AAGAGATAATATTACTTCTATAAATATACTCTTTACTAGAAATAAGTAGGTAGAGAGTTAAGTAATTTTTAATAAACTTTAAATAGAAAGAAATAAAACTTTCCTAGCCTTTAAAAGTTATTTCCTTAGCTTAGCTATTAAGAGATAAGTACTCTAATTAGAGTAGTTTTATTATCTATAGACTAAACTTACTCTAGCTCTTTAAGTACCTAACTTAGGTTTTAAATAGTAATAGGTAAACTCCTTTTTATAGATAGTAGAATACCTTACTATCTATAATATAGAATAAAGGAATAATCTAATAGTAACACCTTTAGCTATTGCCTAGCCTCTATTCTTTAGGCTCTAACTCTAATTAGACTTAAAGCAGCCTACTTTACTATTATACTAATAAGAATATTCTAACCTATTCTATTTAACTATATTTATATATAGTACCTTAAACTTATAAGTAAAGCTAAGTATACTAATACCTATAAGAGATCTAATACCTAGTACTTACTATAACTATAGCAAACCTAGATATTTTATAAAAGAATATATAATACCTTAGGTATATAAAATTAAAGTTAAATAAGAGAAGTTTATAGATACTAAGAAAGATATAGATAAGGACCTAATACCTATAAGAAATAGAGTTATCTAAGAGAATTACTCTACTTAGGCCTAAACTAATATAATCTCTTAAATCTTTTCTTATCTTATTTATTTAGTAGACTTTGTTTCTTTTTAAAAACTATACTATATTATAAGAGTTATAGTATATAATTCTACTCCTTAATTAATACTAGTAACTAAGGTTTCTTATTCTTAAATTTATTAATTATAAACTCTATTTTAATAGCTTTCTAAACCCTTATTTAGAAGCTACCCTTCTTAGCATAAGTAAAGGGCTTTTAGGATTAGATTATATCCCCTATATTTTATTATATCTAACTCTATATAATTATAGATAGATAGAAGATATATAACTACCTATTTATTATTATTAATTTAGGTTCTTAAGATTATATTAATAGGTTTAAATAGTTATATAGGTTTAAACTTAGACTTAATATAGAGTAGTCTTAGTTAGTTTAGCCTGCTAAGTATTTAAAATCCTATAACTCTACTTAACGTACCCCACGGGCGAGTCGGACAACGGGCGAGTCGGACACTTTTGCCAAGCCCCCACCAAACACCTTCTCCTACACCAATGTCTTCTCAACAACACTATTTAGACGCGTCAAAAGAAGCGCAGATACAGCTTGCGCTCCAGGCTCTTAAACAAGACGTGACTCTATCTCTGCGACGCGCTGCTGCTATCTACAAGGTCCCTCGAAGCACACTAAGCGACCAGCGCACTGGACGACCTTCACGCGCTGATTCTATGGCCAACTCACGGAAGCTGGACAACAATGAGGAGGAGGTGATTGTTAAACATGTTCTTGAGCTAGATGCGCGAGGGTTTTCCCCTCGGCTCTCAGATGTGGCTACTATGGCCAATTCTTTGCGCGCTGAGCGTAATCTGGGTCCTGTCGGCGTAAACTGGCCCAGTACGTTTGTTAAGCGACACCCAGAACTTAAAGTCAAGTTTAATCGCAAGTACGACTACAAGAGAGCTCTCTGTGAGGATCCTGAGGTTCTGCAGGGCTGGTTTGGCCTGGTAGCCAACACCAAAGCCAAGTATGGCATCCAGGATGAAGACACGTACAACTTCGACGAGACAGGCTTCATGATGGGCCAGATCTCCCCAGGAGCAGTTGTTACAGCTTCAGAACGACGAGGTCGGCCAAAAGCTATCCAGCCAGGCGACCGGGAGTGGGCTACAGCTATAGTAGGCATCAATGCCAAAGGATGGGCCATTCCTGCCTTCCTTATCTTCAAGGCCCACCACCACCTCTCTGCCTGGTACAAGGAGGAAGAACTGCCTCAAGACTGGGTTATCGGAGTCTCTGATAACGGCTGGACTACCAACAAGCTTGGTATGGACTGGATAAACCACTTTAACAGGCATACAAAGGAGCGTACTGTTGGCACCCACCGTTTGCTCATTATTGATGGTCATGAGAGCCACGACTCTCTTGAATTCCAGCAATACTGCAAGGATAACAAGATTATTGCTCTTTGCTTGCCTCCTCACTCATCGCACCTTACACAGCCTCTTGATGTGGCTTGTTTTGCTGCTTTGAAGAAGGCGTATGGGCGCCAAGCCGAAATACTCATGCGCAACCAGATCAACCACATTACAAAGACAGAGTTCCTACCATGCTTTATACGCGCCTACAACGCTGCAATTACTTCTAGCAACATTCAGGGAGGGTTCCGAGGCGCTGGACTGGTCCCGTTTGATCCACAACGGGTTATAAGCAGCCTCGATGTGAAGCTGCGCACGCCATCACCACTACTACCTGTCAACAACGAGCTCTGGCAGTCGCAAACCCCAAGCAACACCCTTGAACTTGGGTCGCAATCAACGCTTGTAAAGACAAGGATTCAGAGGCATATAGATAGCTCGCCTACCTCTATGGTTGAGGCGTTTGAGAAGGTGGCAAAGGGGGCAGCAATAATTGCGCATAAGCTAGTGTTGGCGCAACAGGAGATTACTCAGCTTCAAGCTGCTAATGAGGCAGCCACACGACGAAAATCACACAAAAGAAAGCGGGTTAAGAAAGAAGGTACTCTAGTAGTTAAAGAGGGCCAGCGATTAACAGCTCTAAAAGAGTTTGGGGCGCGTGGTGATGGTAAGAAGGCAAAGAAGCAGGTGCGCGCTGAAGTAGGTGAGCCCTCCCAAAGGCGCTGTGGACGGTGTAATCAGACAGGACATAACGCGCGAACGTGTAAGAAAGAGATAGAAGTAGTTTCTGAATAGTATTACAGACTATACTGCACGTTGCAGCACCAAACTAGGTTGTTTTGTGTTATAATGGGGTGGAGTTTGGTGGGGGCTTGGCAAAAGTGTCCGACTCGCCCGTTGTCCGACTCGCCCGTGGGGTACGTTACTCTATTTTAATAATATTATATTAACCTATAGTCTCTCCTAATATATAACTAGATATTAAGTAATAAAATAATCTATAAGATATAGATAATTATTAATAAGCCTTAAGCCTATTAGTAAATATATATTATATATAAGGTATAATCTCTATATAAAAATTCTAATCTTAGCCTTTAGCTAAAGTAAATAAAACCTTAATAACTATACCTTAACTCCCTTCTATACTATATCTACCTAAGATTGCTACTATTATATTCTTATTAGTAAATGCCTTTTATTTTACTATACAACAATCCTAAAACAAATTCTTTAGTACTAACTTATATAAAATCTAGTAATTACTAGATAACTACTAAGATAACCTTAAAAACTCTTATCTCCTATATAATAAGCAACTAGCTAGATATTGCTAATATGCTAATATATTTAATAAAATAGAAGCTAAGACACTACTATCTTATTAACTATATAATTATAAGATTATACTAGAAGAACTCTTACTTAACTTATACTCCCTATTATATAAGTAGAACCTTAAAGAACTTAAAGCTATAGAGAAGTTTATATAAGAATAACTTAAGTAAAGATAGATTAAGTATAGTTAAAGCCCTTTTACTTCTCTAGTCTTATATATATATAAACTAAATAGTAGTCTATAGATCTATATAGAATACTAGAAGCTTAACAACCTTACCTATAAGGACTTATATCTAATACCTTATATAGATAAGTTATTAGCATGCCTATTAAAAGCTAAGATCTTTAGTAAATTTAATATCTATATAGTATTTAATTAAATCTATATAGACTCTATATTAGAAGAGTATACTATGTTTTATACCTAATATAGCACCTATAAGTATAAGGTATTGCTATTTAGCCTTTATAATAGTCTAGCTACCTACTAATAGAATATAAATAATATACTTATTAATTATTTAGATAACTTCTATATTATATACCTTAATATCCTAATCTACTCTAAGGACAAAGTAGCTTATAAGAAGTATATTAAGCTTATTCTTAAATAGCTTAGATCTACTAGTCTCTAAATTAATATTAAGAAAAGTAAGTTCTATATTACTAGAACTAAATACCTAGGTTATGTTCTTACTAATATAGGTATTAAAGTAGACTCTAAGAAGGTGTAAGTCCTATATAATTAGAAGCCCCCTATAATAATTACTAGAGTTAAGTTATACCTTAGTTTTACTAGTTTCTATTAATAATTTATACCTAAGTTTTCTTAAGTTACTAAACCTTTAATTATACTCTAAAGCCTAAGTAATAAGTTTAAGTAGATAGAAGTATATTAGACTAGATTTTAGTCTCTTAAATAGAGTCTTCTAGCTATACTAACCTTATATTACTTTAAGTCTATATACTCTATAAGAATTAAGACTAAAGTATCTAATAGTATTAATATAGGTATTTTATTTTAAGAATATCTAGATAAGTAATAGTACTTTATTCTATTTAATAGCTATATCCTAGCTAGAGTAGAACTTAACTAAGAAATCTATAATAAGGAACTATTTACTATCTTCTAAGCCTTTAAAAAATAGTAAGTAAAACTAATATTAATTATAAGTTAGGTCTAAGTGTGCTCTAACTACTAATTCTTAAAATATTTTATAGTTATAAAAGTACTATATATATATTAAGCCTATTAGGTAGAAGTATTAAGTCTATTTAATTCTAGATTAAGTATATGCCTAGTAAGTAGAATAAACATACTAATATCTTAAGCTAATATAAATAAGACTTAAGTAACCTTAAAGTAGCCTAGCTAAATAATTAATCTTAAGTATTATTAGGCTCTTACTAACTACACCCTAGTATTAACTCTAACTTAGCTAAGTAATACCTAGAAATAGTAGTAGTAATAACTCTTGCCTTTATAGAGAAGAAAATAGAACTTAACTTACTAGAATTAGTTAAAGCTATTCTTTAAGCAAACTATAATAGTTTCTCCTAGGAATATTAAGTTCTACTAGAAGGGTATTAGATATACTATAGGCTACTATTATATAAAAACTATCTATGCGTACCTATAGATCCCCTACTCTATACCTACCTTCTCTATAAAGTCTATAACTATATACTATGCTACCCCGCCCTATATAGGCCTACTCTTGCCTAATGTAGTCCTGTTAGTACAGCTCGGGGCTAAAGTCCTGACAGTAGTCCCTTTAATTTCAATTTTAAGCCCGGTGATGCATCGCTACAAACTGTCTTACAGCGCGTTCGACCTCTTCTTGGTGCGAGTAGCTAAGAACGTGTAAGCCTCCCTCTATAATCTGTAAACGAGCATCCAACGAGTTCTGGATCAGGTCTATTTCTTGTTTCGCGTTTGCTACTGTATTCACAGCGTCTTCAGTGCCCTGAGTTTGGTAAGTCTTGGTCAAAGAACTAGCGAGGATTCAAAAATGTCTTACTTGAAGCCAAAGTACTGGGCAACGAACATACCCAAGCCTGCCGTGAAGGCTATCACGGTCTCGTAGATTTATAGCCGCCATCCTGAGTTTCCTTCGTCCATCATCTCCTGAGTAGTAGCTCTTGATTGCTTGTTTCCAGAAGTCGCGCAATGTATCCGGACAGTCGTGGCCAAAGTCGACGTCGACAACGAAATTACAGTAGGTATCGTCTAGCTCGAAATCTGGAGTAGGGACTGAGCTAGTCCAGGCTTTGAGCAGAGGTTCAAACCCTGCCATTGCGTCCCAGCAGCCTTGATCATGCGCTCGCTTAGATTCACAGTCCATAAGTGCCCCGATGGGGATGATTCCTTCGATCTGTAGTACTTATAGCTTAATACTAGCACAGAGTGTTAGATTTTGTGACAAGAATTACTTACTTTCTCGGGTGCAATCAGATATGTGCGAACGGCAATACATCCACCGTGGCTAGTTCCAAGTATGAATGCCTCGTTGATACTGAGGGCGTCCAATAGTTGGACAATCATAATGGCTGTATCCCAATAAGTAAAGGTGTCGTTCTTGACTCTCGTCTCGCCATGACCAATAACATCGATACCGAGGAGATTCATCTCCGAGGTCAAATTTTGGCTTTGAAAATGGCCGGTAAAGACATGGGAGGACATGCTGAAGCCGTGAATAAGAACAAGGGTTGCCTTTGACCTGTCATACGGTTTCGGCATGTAGTATGCAACATCAATGCCGCTTAGATGTGGCACACGGAGATGTTGCATCTGGAACATAGTGCAATGTATGGTTTTTATCTCTAAGATAACAGCGCTTGGATAGGACGTTCTGTGCAGATGTAGTAAGTAACATGTTGAAAGACAGCTAAAGTATTAGCAAGAAGGTAGAGAACGCATAAAAGTGTTGAAACGTTTAACAGAAATAGAGGCAACCAACAATTGAACGTCAGATTGGTACGATATAAAAGTAAAAATTTAGGTATACTTACTAAGCTGTAAACGACCAAATAGTATAACAAGGGATTCTATGAACTGTAGATAGGAGTTTGTCTGACCTGAGGATTGATGAATTTTAAACATATCGCTTGGTCTGCTCAAGATAGTCTCTTCGTGAGTGGGGCTTCTAGAGAGTTAAGGAGTTAAGGAGTTAAGGAGTTAAGGAGTTACGAGGGTATTTGCGTGTCAGCAGTTTGCTTTAGTCGTTGCCAAGCAGCTGTCTAGTGTTGGTGTCAGACCCTAGTGATTAGCAATCAGCACTAACACAACTGTGTGCACCCGGCTCAATGCTGCATTTTGATTAATTTACAACTCAGTACTCTTTGTTCGACTTTGCAGTAGCCAGTCGCTGATCGCTACACAGCGTGTAAGCAAGTCACGTTTTCTGTCCGTAACGACGCTACACCAAGCCTATGCTGTATTGAGGTTCAGGGGACCCCAAAGACGCTAGATCCACTTACGTTCGGCTTTGAGCCAGAGCTACTCTAGGCACTGCCCAGTTCCTCCATTTTGTATTCCGTAGTAATATTCCCCACTAAATATCAGAAACCACTCCCACAAATGCAAGGCCCTTCGCCTCAGAAAAGCCCGACATTCTTCGGGCCTTGCAGTCCTACAGCCAATATCCGAGTAGCTAAATTCCGCGTTCGGATTTTGATTTGAAATAAGGTTTCAGTCTCCAAGCATGAGAGCGCTGGTTGATTGATAATTCGCACAACTAGAACTCTTAGTCAACTTGAGACTGAGATACTTGGTCTTGGAGGGGATATAGATATCGGTATCTGAGAAGGGCATTTGAAAATACAACTCTCTATCATCTCCCTGTCCTTCAGATTACTTATTGCAGCCCAACAATCGCGCTACAAAGACTTCACATTCACTACCCCAACTTACAACTTGCAGAATGACAGCCAACATCAGCACTACCCTAATTCTTGGGGCTACATCTGGCATAGGTGGAGCCTTTGCTCGTTACTTCCATTCCAAAGGGAAGAAAGTCATCGCCGCCGGTCGCCGTCTCGAGCGTCTTCAAAGTCTTGCCACTGAGCTTCCAGGCTTGGATACCTATGAATTTGATATCGGGAACATCTCAACCATCGAATCCAAGTTCGCTGAACTCTTTACCACCTACCCTACACTTGACTGTGTCATCGTCATGGCTGGAAAGATGGAAACGTTGAGTTTCGCAGATGCTTCCACCTCAACTGCGGCATCGATCGTGTCAGAGATCACGACCAATTTCACTGCTCCGCTGGTCATTGCTAGGAGTGTCGTTCCACATCTGCTGTCGCTCAAGCGTCCCACAACCTTCATTATGGTTTCTTCCGCATTGGCGTACATCCCACTCCGCGAATATCCGGTCTACAATGGCACCAAATCAGGTCTTCACCAGTTCACCGTAACTTTGCGAACACAGCTGGCTGGGACAAATGTCAAAGTTCTCGAACTCGTCCCACCGTATGTAGACACCGAGCTGGATCTCCACATCAGAGAACAGACGATCAAATCGCAAGGAGGAAGGACAAGTGCGAACACGCCAATGCCAATTGATGAGTACATGGAGACTGTGATTGCTTCTTTGGAAAGTGGTGAAGAATTGAAGGAGATATCAACTGGGTTCTCTGCCATGGGAGTTCAGGCTTGGAGGGATGCTTTTCAGCCTATCCTATCCCAGTTTGGGATGGCCGGGTGAAAGGTTAGACATCAGCCGAGGTCAGAAGACTATCTTAAGGTGTGATTGTCCCTTTGTAGTGGCAATCCAATAGCTTTCCATGTAATATTTTGTATCCTGGATTCTATGTTAATGTTCTCGGCTTGCCTCCGTGTGACCGCGCCGCAACAACTAATTGTTCTTTTGTCACAGTTAAAAGCTCTACTTGCAGTTGGCCACATAAGCGCCTACCTGCTGACGAGTCGCTACGTGGTACAGTCACGTGGCAACAGTTACATGATATGCCTTCGCTAACGCCTCGCACTATAGCAGCGCAACCCTGGGTTATTGCTAGTTCTTGCTCGGTCACTTTCATTGCATATCGCACCCGGCCCTCACAGGGTACTATCAGCCAGTCAAGTTGTTAGGTTATTGCAAGTGAAAACAAGCATGTGTAATATCCAAGTCAGATGCATTGTTCACGTTTCCAAATCACATAAGAGCATCAAATCTCAGCTTTTAGATCAACGTAACTTAACGATAATAAGCCTTCTGTATTTGAGTAATGTTGCTGTGTTATGGAGCGTCAAAATCCAATAACACACAAATCTCTAAAAACCTATAGATCCTCTAAGCATATTCAATCTAACTTGAAATTCTCCCGTCGCAAGAATTCCTCCAACGACATCGGGCTGCGCCGAGCACGCTCAGCCGCCCAAGTGATATTCTCCCTCGTCTTTTTCCCGTAGTAGCCATGCTCTCTAAACATCGTGTACATATCGTGCAGGTCATATCTCAATCCTTCTGGCATCCAATCCCTAAATACATCATCTGGAACATGCTGAAACTCGACTGTTTTCATAGTGACGTTGGAGATGATTTGAGCAATCTCATCCCACGTATACAAGCCTTGCGCTGCGGCAAAATACTTTCCCTCGTACTCGTCCGATTTTGCGAGAATAGCTCCAACCCACTTGCCTGAATTGGTGGCATCAATTAGTGGCATTAATGTGTTGCCTTTACATAGGTTCGCCAGGACATACGTTCCATCGTTGGCTGACGAGAGTCGCGGCGGCATTCTGTGCGACATAAAGTTCTGCATAAAGAATCCGGGGGCAAAAGATGAAGATTTAATCGGCAGATCGCGCAGATATTCTTCAATCTCAGCCTTTGTATCGAAGTGCTCTACATTCAATTTTCCATCCGAAATATTGTATACTTGCGGAAGCGTGCTCCAGATTACGTATTTTGCTCCAGCGTAACGTACCTCACGGGCGAGTTGATCACCTGGGCGAGCTGATCACTTTTGCCAAGACTTACGAACACCATAACTACTTTGCAATACAACAGTACAAAACCAAGTTATACTGTATTCTACAGTATATAAATCTACTCTATAGAGCCTTGCGCCTTATCCTTGCACGTTTGTGTGTTGTGTCCTGCCTCGCTATATGTACTGCAGCGTCTTAAAGACTAAGTGCCTGTTTCAACGCAAGCCTTCTTGCTTACTCTCTTCCTATTGCTATAGGCATTAAACTCCTTTAGAGTAGTTAAGCGCACTCCATTACTAACTATAAGAGTCCCCTCTTGCTAAATTTGCTTCCTCTTATGTGCTTTACGGCGCGTAGCGGCCTCATTAGCAGCTTGAAGCTTAGCAACCTGGTTGCGCACTAACACCAGTGAATGCGCTATTATCTCTGCGCCTTTTGTAAGCTGATTAAGGGCATCAACTATTGATGTTGGCGAGCTATTACTATGCCTCTGGATCCTCTCTTGAATTAGCTTTGATTGCGATCCGAATTCCAGGGTGTTGCTTGGGGTTTGAGAGTTGACTCTGCGGTCATCTAGTGCATGACAATGTCGTGGAACAGTTCACCGAGAAGCTGGTAGCTAAGGTGAAGACTATGAGGCTGGGAAAAGGCATCGATGCCGCGACTACGCATGACCCTTCGGTGAATGCAGCAGCTGTCAGAAAGGTCGAGGAGCATGTGCAAGATGCGGTAAGCAAAGGTGGCGTTGTTAGAAGCGGTGGCAAGCGACCTAAGGGTCTTGATAGCGGCTTTTTCTACGAGCCGACTGTTGTAACAGGAGCAACCAAAGATATGCAGGTGGCGTACGATGAGACGATTGGGCCATTAGGATCCATCTTTGGATTTAGCAGCGAGGGGGAGGCGCTTGAGCTGGCCAACGATACAGAGTTTGGGCTGGCAGGTTACTTCTTCTCAGATGACATTGGAAGGGTCATAAGGGTGGATAGGGAGCTGCAAGTAGGGATGGTTGGCGTCAACACGGGGCTTATCAGCGCAGCAGAGTCCCCGTTTGGAGGTGTCAATGTCGCGAATGCCGGCGCGGCGCACCGCCCTTCTGCTCGCACATGCTGAACCTGGGGCTCATAGCTGACGGCGGTTTTTGCGACTACGCGCTGGTCGACAGCTGCCAGGTGGCCCCTCTGCCCGCCGCCATGCCGGCCGTGCAGGCGGCGCCGTTGATGTGCGCAGGGCTGACGGTATGTCCGGCGCTAGAGTTCGCACGCACCGAGCTTGCCGTCATCGGCGCGGGCGGCGGGTTGGGCCACCTCGCGGTGCAGTTCGCAGCGCACCTGTCCGTGCTGGCCGTCGATGCCAGCGACGCGCCGCTGCGGCTGCTGCACTCGGTGGTCGCGGCGCTGCAGCCCGAGGCGCGTGCTCGCGTCACCATCTGCGACGCCCGTTCGCTCGACGTGGCCCACGCGCTTGCTGCCGTGGGCGAGGACCGGGCCACCGAGGGCCAGCTGGCCGGCGTCGATGCCGTGCTGCTGCTGCCCGAGTCGCAAGCCGCCTTTGATACGGGCATACAGCTGCTGCGCAACCACGGCACCATGGTCGTCGTGAGCTTCCCTACGCGCGGCTTCGTGCTCAACGCGGCCGACGTCGTCTTCCGCGACATTCGCGTCGTCGGCAGCCTGGTGGGCCGCAACCAGCAGCTGCGCCAACTGCTCGCCTTTGCTGCCACCCACGCCGTGGCCGCCGTCACCCGCGTCTTTGCCTTGGAGGATATCAATCACCGAGGCCCATCGTGGAGCCGGCGGCAAGCTGGTCATCGACATGCTTGCCGAGTCGTCGCCGCCGCCGCCATAGCGAGCAGCTACCGATAGTCGATCTACTGATCACGTGCACGTGTCCGTGCCCCACACTCACCAGTTGTTGGAGAAGCATCGTTGGAGATGCCCCTCCCACCAAACAAGCACCCACATTCACGTTTATAATTGTAGCCGCTCGTAGCCAGTCAAAGCTAGTCTGAAACTGTTAAGAGTAATGAAAAGTTCTAGTTAAAATCTATAGTAATACTATATCACCTACTTAAGGCTGTTATTTTGATAACAAAGGTATACCTAGAGAAGGTTTCACAACTCCTAATTTGTACGTACATGGCAACAGGGCACGTTGGCAGTTCCCTCGTGTTTTAAGTTTCGACTATCCCGCTTCAGGCTGGCTTTGCTCGCGAAATCCTTATCAAAAGTGACACTCTCGAATTACCGGCAGGTATTCGTTGGCATTCGCGTTTCTTTAAGCGCTGACCTCAACGGAGGCTCGGGACACATAGCTTGCACATCAAATAGCATCCGGCCCACCCCTTTCGTAAGGAACCGCAGACCGCCACTTCGGGCGGCACACGATCTTGAAAATCTTCACTCAATAGCACCCACAGTTTCCAGGGTACAGTCTCCTCCTGACTCGATTGTGAAGGCTGCAATGGATGACATGAAAAGGCCTCGTTGTCATAGAACATCAACGAATCGCAACGTTGCGGTTCTCGCAACCCAAACATGTCAACAATAACGAAAACCAATTCTGCCGTCGTAAGCTAGTCTACTTTCTGCGACTTTTTGGCACCTTTGAGCCCAACCGTAGCCATAACACGAAAGATCTAGCCCATATGTCACCTACACAAGCTAGTAACGAGCAAATTACGACCAATACGAATTCGACACAACACGGCTTCAAACTTACCTCAATACTTGATGTCTGCCCTGTTTCGGGTATATAAAGTCTACCACGGCTCTCACCTTCGCGACCAACTTGAACATCCAGTGCCCTGCAGCCCACTTGCGCAAATCACCGAGCAACCATGTCAGGCGTTCTTTGCGTCTGGGCTGCTGACTTACCAGAAAGCTCTGAACAATGGTACGAAGATGAATTTATCCCAGAGATGATGTCCCGTCACTCAGACAGGGTATTACTAAGTGAGATTGTCGAGACGCCTCTAGACAAAGACCTAGAAGGTGTCGCAACGAACGATGCACCTTGGAAGAGTATGGCAGTGTACGAGGTCGACGATGTACAAAAGAGCACAGAGGCAACATATGACGAAAGTAACCATCCGGCGATGGATGGGCCTCTGAAGGGTTCGCGGTTCGATGTCAGAACGTACGAGTTGATCAAAGTATGGCAAGGCGACGAACAATGGAACTGCGGTACGTGTAACTGAGACAAATCCACTTTACAACACATCTCATGTTGTGCCTAACACTCACACCCACTCAGATGCAGCAGATGTTGCCTCGTTACTCTTCTTTGAATGGCAGCCTCGTGCAGGGCGTGAAAGGGAAGTACTCGAATTCTACGAGTCTGAGATCGGACCTCTATTCTCGATGGCACCTGAGATCCTGCGTTTGCGATGGTTCAAAATCAAAAATGCTATAACGCTGAAGAAGGACGCATTTAGTACACTGAAGGAGGAAGACTTGCATACCTACACGGCGATTGCGGAGATGAATTGTGAAGAGTGGCCATGGGGTGAGATCTTTGCACTGAACCAGCTGCCTCAATGGGCGGAGTATTTCGAGGATCAGAAAGCTGTGGTGAGTTCACTAGTCATGTTAGACAAAGGACAGATGTTGACCCATAGCAGAGATGGCAGGCTAGCCATCATGTGGTTAAAAGGAGTTATCCGGCTGCTGAAAACAATGATAGCAGCGATGCTTGTATAGCAAGATAAGCTGGATGATTTCGAATTGTTAAACAATCCCCACCCCTAGTCTCCAACGACAAATCGGGATCAACTGATGATAAATCAGCCGGCTGTTGTCCGTGTTGGTACAAAGCAGGAGTACTGACCGTCACAATCCACAATTAGAGGCTGGCCGTTGGACTGGACGCCCAGCACACCAGCATCTATCACCGCCGCGAGAAGAAGGTCTATGTTCGTCAGCCTGTCCGCAAATCTCAGGTCCAATAGTCTCATACCCTTGCTTGTGGTTGGAGTCTGCCTGTTCTAGTCGCCACAGGAGATATAGCCACCAGCGGCTTGGTGATAGTTGTTCATGTTGACCCTCTTCTAGCTGATAGCAACCCAAATGCAATCAGTGCGTCCACGTGATCCAGCATTCCCGCGTGAAAACTATCTGCGTCGTTACAGCTTTCGTGGATAGAAATGTTGGCATGCAAACCATTGGTGGCCGGGCTTCAAGGGTGGATCGAGGCGAGAAGAGAACGCTGGGAACACATGATTCTTATGGTCTCTCGAGCCAGGATTGCAGCAGCCTATGCGATCATAGAACGGTCTGTTGAGATATAGAGATCCAGGATTTTTCAAGACCTGCTGGCTAAGCTTGACCTAATGCTGTGTGAAAGATTCTGTAATTGGAGCAACTAGTTCAGCTCGTACAACGAAAGCATCGTGACATCCATGTGCGAGCAAAGGAGATGACTGCCGAGATTGACAGTGGTTTCCGTCATCAATCTTATTCTCACTAGCGTCAACGCTAACTTGTGTATGTAGTTAGTCCCGTGCGCTGATCTCCAGACCTTCGCACTTGTTCGCGCGCGGTGATGCCAGTAGAACCTGCGCTTTCCCCATCTCTTCCTTCGACTGGTACCTCTACTTTACTTGCTGTCGGCACGATTCGCAATGGTAGATCAGTTGCCACAAGAACTAATCGATCGGATCAGCCGTTGTCTTCCCACCCAAGACTTGAAGAATACTTTACTACTATCTCATGCGTTCCGTTTTTCTGCTGAGAAGTACTCTGGCGCATTTACAAGTTTCGACTTTGATAAAGATACTGCGGAGAGGTTCCTGAGTATCTACTCTGGTCATCGGCTTTTGTATCTACGAGACTTACGATGCGCCATCCGCCTCCCCCCTCCTGCTGATAGTGCGCGTCGCGACAACGCGGATCAATTGCGTAAGCATGACATGAGCTTCACTGAACAAATCACACTATTGTTCAAGACTGTAAAATCGGTTGAAGAGCGTGCAGGAAATCATGGACCTGGAAAAATTCGACTCGCGATAAGCCCTCTTTTGCGACCGATTTTTCGCGAACTTTCACTCTCATATCATGATCATTTAAGCTGGCGGATCCACTTGTTGGACCCTGAAGCGCTTCCAATACTCAACTCAATCCGCTCGTTGGAAGTAGGAGATGACTGGGGTGGGTCGTCCAGCGTGGATGATGCGGACCACGATCAGGCGCACGTGAAACTGGACTGCCGTGCAATGGTAGATCTCGTCGTCAAATTACCAAATCTTGAGTACTGGGGCTGTCGCATTGGAGGCGATGAATGGTCTCCAAAGACAGAGCAGGAGGCGACAAGGTATCTCACACAGGATTGGGCTGGACCACGTCGGGACACGAGACAAGATTTTGCAAGAGCTCTCCTCTCTGCACGTCTGCCGAAATCACTTCAGCGCGTTCGTCTAGACTTCCTATATAACCAGGATCAAAGTACGTACATCGATCATCTCACGCCACAGCCTGATCTAGTGAGTCCCGCGCCCAACGATCTTTTCAGCACTAGTCTACACCAGCTCTCGCACCATCTCCGACGGCTTCGCCTTTGCGTAGTTGCAGATGAGACGCTCTTCTGCCCCAAAGATAGTTGTAGTCCACCATGGCCGAATCTCGAGAGTCTAGTTGTCATGTTCCACATGGTCGCCCCGTCAGGGAAGTGGTATTTCGTAGGACCGAATGGCGAAGGGCGCGACACGGCTGTCATCAAGATCACGGATGCTGCATATCCCCCCTTGGAAACAACGCCCTACGATGAAGAAATGATCGAGCAGATCGAGGACGAGGGTGATTGGCGATACAGGGGAAGCCCAAATACCCGTTGCCGAATTGTTCCAAACCACGCAACTCTACGCCCGTTCCTTGCAGCTTTTGCCAAGGCGGTGCTGAAAATGAAAGCTCTCCAAGAAGCAGTGCTATGGTGCCCTCTTGTGTGGGCTGCATACAACGAAGATGGCGAAGAGCTGGAGACCGACTGTGTCTTGGAAAACGGTCCAGACAAGAACAAGCTTGCCTGGGGGGTGCATTATCAAGCATTGAACGAGCGTACCTCCACTCGGCAGGGTGAGTCCACTCCTGCAGACGACCCTCTTCTCTGGTGGAAGGTCGGCAAGTGGCGACCGGACCCCGAGCTTCATCAGCTGTTTCGTCAATTTGGATGTTCGTCGAGCTGTGACGGTGTGAAGGAGCAATGGGAAGACGAGGACTATGGAGACAGATTGGTTGATCGCGACTACTTTGAACGTTGTGTGCAAGAAGAGGTTGACAAGGTGGGTCATATTCTGCCGCCGAATTAATCATCAACGATCCTCAAAGAGCTCTTGAGATCATGTATAGCCAGCAATGGAAGTCAGGCAAAACAAGATTATCGAAAACGGCGCAACATCGACGCATGACCAAGAGGCTGCAGCAAAGATTGTCACTTGGGGCGGTAATCAATGGGCTAGCTTTGATGACGCGGAAACGCTCAAGACTAAATTGGATTGCGCAAATCAGAGGTGTTTAGGAGGGTAAGGCCATCGACCTTGACGATGGTTCCTTATTGAGCGCTTTAATATCGGTGAGCACCAAGAAGAAGGAGGAGATCCTGCCCGAGGCAGACTTCGACACGCCAGATTTCGGGACTTCTTGGGATTTTATTCCAAAGGCGAAAGATGCGCAGAAACGAGATGAACTATAGTTGGTTTATGAAATAGTGTTAGCAAGAGATTATTTTGACATATAGAAGTTACGTAATCAAACTATATTTAACCCTCTAAAATAAAGATATAGTTGTAGTTTAGTACCTATATTTATGAATTAATAGTACAAGGTTTATATCTATATCTAGAGATATATCTTAGAAGTAATGCACTATAGTCATCTGTTGAATTTTAGTTCTTTAACACTTTTTAGAATATTACTAGCTATGCACATTTAAGAACTTAGTGTGTAGAGTTGTTTAGGGTAGTTATTCCGAGCCGCAACGTTACGCTACCTAGTCTGCACTCATCGGCCGTGTTTAGCCTTGCTTCTCTAGTTGATTGCGCACCCCGCACTACAACGGCGGAGTATTTATCCGTCTGTACCTGACCCCTCGTAGCCTTTACCAAAGCAATGGTAGAATGAAGCATGGGTACTCCGCTCCGTGTCGTTCTGGGGATCGGGGATCACCAATGAACCGGCTTGGGAGATGACAATTAGCATGACGTGGAATTCCGTGATGTCAATGTCCGGGTACAAAAGGACTTGGAGCAACGTCGCATTCGATGGGTCGTGATCCATTACTCTTGGGTCGGGTCGATCATGAAGCTCGGGCAGTTCGTAGTCGGGGCCGCGCTCTGTTGGCTGCCGTCGCAAGCTGTGGGCCGCGCTCTTGGTGGTAAGCCGAGCGACTTTATCATAGCCGAACGTGCACCACCACTCCAGGACATCGTCACGTGGGACGAACACTCTTTATTTGTTCATGGTGAACGGATCATATTCTGGGGCGGTGAAGTTCATCCTTTCAGGTCTGTACGGCTCTCTGACGGTCTTCCGCACATACTCACCGACGGCTTGCAGGCTTCCCGTGCCGAGCTTATGGTTGGACATCTTCCAAAAAATCAAAGCTCTGGGGTACAACGGTATATCCATCTATACACCATGGGTTCTACATGAGCCAATGCAAGGATCCTTCCAAGCCGAAGGTGTGTTCGATTATGGGCCATTCTTCGAAGCGGCGAAGAAGGTTGGGGTGTACTTGGTCGCAGTAAGTGTAGCGGAGATCCTCTTGTGTATTTTCTGACCACACCACGCAGCGACCGGGTCCTTATATTAACGCAGAGGTACACGGGGGAGGCTTTCCTGGTTGGTTGCAGAGAATTAGTGGCAATCTTCGCACACCGGACGCAGATTATCAGCAGGCATCGAAAAACTACATCGAGAATATAACTCCAATCCTTGCGGAAGCCCAGATAACCAATGGTATGTGCTATCCTACGACACTCGAAATGGATCGCTGCTAATGAGGCGTCATCAGGAGGGCCAATTATCTTGTTCCAGCCAGAGAACGAGTACAGTGCGGGTCTTAACAACGTCACCTTTCCGGATGCGGACTACATGAACAACCTCATGAAGCAATTTCGTGATTTTGGCATAAACGTCCCAATGGTCAACAACGTTGCGTGGCCATCGGGAATCAATGCACCTGGCACAGATGCTCCTGTTGATATTTACGGGCATGACTCCTATCCTCTGGGTATGAATTGCACAGATCCTACCTACTGGATTGACGATGCGTTACCTGCCAATTGGCGGGAATTGCATCTCGAGCAGAGTCCGAGCACACCCTATATGGTAGGTCTCTGACGAAGCATTACGCAACGCGTACTGACCTTGCTAGCTTGTTGAATACCAAGGCGGGGCTTATCAACCATGGGGCGGCGACGGCTTCGAGAAGTGTGCCGAGTTCACAAACCACGAATTCGAGCGCGTGTTTTACAAGAATAACATAGCAGCCGGTTCGACCATCTTCAACGTTTACATGGTAGGCTCGTCGCCCAATGCTCAGCTCTTGCCCATACTGACAGACAACAGACTTTCGGAGGTACAAATTGGGGGAATTTGGGTCATGCGGGTGGTTATACGTCTTATGACTATGGTAGAAGATGCCTTCGCCTCATCAGACAGAACTAACACATCATAGGCGCAGCTATTACTGAAGAACGGCAAGTCCATCGTGAGAAATACAGCGAGGCCAAGCTCATTGCCAACTTTGTGCACGCATCGCCGGCTTTGGCCAGCGCAGTTCCAGGTTACAACACTACTGGGATCTACACAGATAGCAAGGACATTACCACGACACCTCTAATCGGCAACAACACGAACTTCTACGTTACACGTCAAACTAAGTACAACAGTCTGGCCTCGACAAAGTACAAGCTCAAGCTCTCAACTAGTGCTGGTAACTTGACACTTCCACAGCTAGGCGGGGAGCTTTCCATGAACGGCCGCGACAGCAAAATCCACGTTACCGACTACGATGTTGGGGGCTTCAACCTGCTATACTCCACAGCAGAAATCTTCACGTGGAAGAAATATGGCAGTAGAAGCGTTGTCGTTGTCTATGGCGGTCCAAATGAGCTTCATGAACTTGCTGTGTCCAAGACCAGCGGCGCAACTGCCGTTGAAGGTTCTGGTGTCAAGTTTGGTAATCGCAATGGCAACACCATCCTCAACTGGCAGACGGAAGAGAAGCGACGCGTTGTACGCGTTGGCTCCGATCTATACATCATCATCGTCTCCCGCAACGAAGCGTACAACTACTGGACCGTAAGCACGCTGCCTGCGGGAGCAGCATACTCGCACGACTACACGCCTTCGTCTGATTTGATTGTTCATGCTGGCTATCTTGTCCGTAGCGCCTCAATCTCAGGTGGAAAGATTGAACTCGTCGGCGATCTCAATTCCACAACGACCATTGAAATCGTTGGTGGCGCACATGAGAACATCAACAGTCTCTCTTGGAACGGCAACGACCTCGACGCACAACGTGATCGCAACGGTTTCTTGAAAGCAAGTGTCACTTTCTCAGCACCCAAAATCAGTATCCCTGACTTGAACACGCTTACATGGAAGTCTATCGATGCGCTTCCGGAGTTACAGCCTAACTACGATGATTCAGCGTGGACTGACGCCGACCACACTGAAACGAAAAATACATACTGGAACCTCACCACCCCCACTGTTCTTTGGGGTGCAGAGTATGGCTACAACACAGGATCCTTGATCTTTCGTGGTCACTTCGCTGCGACTGGTAACGAGACCGTGATGCATCTCAACGTATCAGGGGGGTCCGCTTTCGCATTCTCTGCGTGGATCAATTCGACTTTCCTTGCATCTTGGACTGGTACTGGTGATGCTGCAATTGCAAATCAGACGTTGTCCTTTCCAAGACTACAGCGTGGCTCGAACTATGTGCTTACCGTACTCGTGGACCACATGGGCCACAACGGTAACTGGTAAGTTTCACTCCTATTTTTGCATTGCATTTGACATGTACTCATGCTGAGCAGGTTCGTGGGCTATAATGAGATGAAAACGCCTCGTGGCATTCATGGATACGATTTCCCCAGTCATACTGTTGCATCGCAATCGAACTCCTCTCGTGCTGACGATGGTATTCGATGGAAAATTACCGGCAACCTTGGCGGTGAGGACTACCGTGGTGGCCCTCGCGGTCCTCTGAACGAAGGCGCATTGTACCCAGAAAGACAAGGCTTCCACCTCCCGTTCGCACCAACTGAATCCTGGACCAGTGACATTCTGCCTGGGTCTCAAGTCAGCAAGCCTGGTGTGCGCTTCTATCAGACCACGTTCAAACTCGACATCCCCAAGGGCTGGGATATACCCCTTTCGTTTGTGTTCAACGGCGATGAGTTCACCGGAAAGGGCCGCGGATGGCGTGCTCAGCTGTGGGTGAACGGGTATCAATTCGGCAAGTTTGCGAACGCCATCGGGCCACAACGCAGATTTCCTGTTCCAGAAGGGATCTTGAACTATCGAGGCGAGAATACAGTATCGATCAGCATTTGGGCATTGGAACAGGGGGGTGTAGGACCAAGAAGCATTGAGTTTGTCTCAGGCATGCCAGTGCAGTCTGGATATGGCGATATTACTTCTGCGCCTATGACTGGCTGGGAGAAAAGAGATGATGCGTACTGAATTTCTGTCGGGTAGACTGTAGAAGGTTGCGATTGCAGTTCACAGCTCGGTTGCGGCGAGGAGGGGTTTTTTGGTGGCCATTAAATGCAATACGTATTCCTGGGGTTGACATTCTACTGGTTCATCAGACCATCCTTCTCTACTCGCATTTCACTTGAAACACGTCCTGTACCCGGACATACAGATGATCTCTGCGCTTATTCTTAACGACACAAGGGCGTGGTAGGTCATACCACTAATCGACGCCGCCACAAAGCTCTTCAACGACATCTACCCCTCAGTCATCAGCGCCCCCGGCCTGCCCGACCACAACCTCTCGGCAACGCAGATGAAGTCGCTGGTGCAAAACCTGTTCCACAAGAAACACGGCAACTCGTTCCTCGGCGACTTCGGCATGGTGCACCTGACCGAGCAAGCCGCCATCTTCGAGACCGTGACGGGGCAGGCGTCGCTGTCCACCATCGACGCCATCACGAAGCTGTGCCTGCAAGACGCGCCCAACAGCATCAAACTCACAGAGCACGTCGGGGCGCCGCCCTCAGTGTCTCTGCCCCACGCGCCCAACCAGCTGCCCAAGAAGATGGCTGTGGCGGACGCGCGCAAGTCGTATCGCGATGTGCGGCGGAGCAAGTTCGGGGCTGAGAGCTCGCTGCTGAAGAAGGAGAATACGTTTTCCAAGCTCCATCACGAAGCCATGAACTTGTACCACGAGCAGCTGAGAGGTAACTATCAGATCAGCCACCAGCATGCTATCCATGAAGTGCGGGCGGCTATGCATCGATAAGCCATGTGCGAGAGTGAAACTGTGTATACGATTCCGTCTGCTTTGTTTGCGGTTGGAAGGAGTCATCGAAAGTTTTGGCGGCGTGATGGTGGTTTTGGACACTGATGCAGAGATGCAATTGAGGTTTAGTTCTGCACGACGGGGGCCACACTCCCCTCCCCCTCCCCCCTCCTCCCCTCAATCGATATCTTGCAAGCCACAGCAGGCGTGACCATCACACACCACCTGCTGCGCCGCACGCCTCACACACAGCGCAAAGGCACTCGTCGATTGCGGCATCTACTTACCCACTGCAGACGAAGCACAGATATCAATGCGCGAAAAGTTGTAACGCGTTTCCTCCTTGGTGCTCAGTCCGAGGTACAAAAACCTCCCAATCTCGGATGTTACGTTTGCGGGATTTGTGATTGGCCGATACTGTGTGGGGCCGAGCTCTCGGTTTGGGGCCGAGCCCTAGGAGCCCACCGCTACGAACTACTGTACAGGACAAGGTAGGGGGAGTATTAGAAGTGGAGTGCGCGGACGGGAGTCGGGCATGGCGCGTTTGGCACTAACCCCGTCTCGCCCGCATGCCGGTGTTCCTGCGCAACTTCATTAATATCGACTGCAAAGCGCGTGTTGATTGCAACGGTTAGACTCCACTCGGATGCCACTTCAAACGGCCCCAGGCCGGGATGCTGAAGGGTGGTTAGCTCGGAAGAGGTTAGATGGGTCTCGATTCGGTGGTTGTTTTGGTGTATTCCCCTGACTTAGCTCGTCAACGGCCGTGAGGACAGTCTCGTCGATCTCTTCAGGAACCCGTGCTCAAGCTTCTGACTAGTTGGTATATAAGAGATGGAAACGCCTGGCATGAACCGAGGACAGAGGAAGTGTTGCGATCCCGCTTTTGCCGGTCCCCTACAGTGAAGCGACTCTCCCAGCCGACATCCCTCCGCCCCGATGCGTCTCTACACCCTCTTCAGTCTGGTGGCTGCGGCTGCGGCCCTCCCGAGCCAAATGCGTCGAGACGATTTCGAGGTCCGGCCATGGATTGCTGCCACCGCCAGCGACTCTCGCGGGCCCTGTCCCATGCTGAACACGTTGGCCAACCATGGATACCTGTACGTAAACAAAGCATGCCTGTATATGCATGACCCGTTACTGACCGACACGAACAGTCCCCGCAACGGTCGCAACATCACCGTTGAAATGTTCGCCGAGGCTATCCACACAGCACTGGGCTGGAGCCCACAATTCGGCACCGTCCCAGCCAACAACGCCTTCAAAGTGCTCAACATCACGGACTCCATCGAGCTCAAGCAGCTCGACAACCGCGCCTCGGGCCTCGAACGCACAAGTTCCCTAGCCCGCGCCGACGACAGCAACGCCGTGGTGCCTGCTCGCGTTCTCGCCGTCCTCGCCGACAGCGACGACGAGAAATACATCTCCGCGGCTTCGCTGGGGCGCTCGCGTCACCGGCTCGAGCTGGGCAACCCGCTGACGCCGGCGCTGCAGAGCGCGGCGCTGATTGAGGCCAGCATGACGCTGGCGTTCAATCTCGACGGGCCTGTGCCTGCTGCTGGGTCTGGCGCGGATTATACGCAGTTGAGGGCGTTCAAGGACCGCGTGCAGGAGTGGCTGACGTTTGAGCGGCTGCCGGTTGAGCTTGGCTGGAGACCGTCTGTGCGGGAGGTGTCGACTGCTGATCTTGGGCCTATTATTGCCCTGATTAGCCAGGCACAGGCCGAGGCCGCATAAGCATGCTATAGGACTTTGGTTCATATCAAGAAGATAATTATAATGGAATATGCCACCCTATCATACCTACTTCAAGACGTCTCACTCGCAGCACAAGGCATCGCGTGAGCACTTTTCGATTGTGAAACCGGGGTATCTACCTACCCGCTACATACAGAAACCAATGCGCGAAGAAAAAAACAATGCGCCACGCTATGCGTCAAGCAAACCCATTACCGCCGGAGCCATACAGCGCGGCGCCGATATATACCCTCGTTGGCATCTCCCTGCACACATGGAACCCCTGCTATGTCCCCCACCCACCCGCCTATATGTCCCCTAATAAGCTAACCTCTAATAAGCCCGCCCACCCCCGCCTGCTCTCGTCTTGAACGACATGCTCACGACCTCCTGCCTAATCAGGCCGCCCAACGCCAGCCGGTCTTCCGGGTCGATGCCCATGCGGTCGAGGTCGTTGAAGCCAGAGAAGTAGAAGCCGACGATGACGACGAAGTACGACAGGATCAGGATGGAGCCTTTGAAGTAGTTGCTCTTGCCCTCGCCGTACATGTAGGAGAGCAGGAAGACGCAGAGGATCACGGTGGCCATATCCCATTGCGGGAAGATGAGGGCTGGGGTGGGGTTAGCATGGAACAACTGCAGTTTAGGTGATGGCAGAGTAGGAGTAGTGAGGGGATGGTGGGGGAATGATGTGGACTTACTGAAGGTCTGTTTTGCGATTTCGCTGGCGGGGATCGTGGACGCGTGCATGGCGCTAAAGAGCACGAGAGCGGGGATCTGGAGCAGGCAAACCTGCAGAGCGTATGCGGAGCCGATTTCCATGGACAGCGCGATGTTGCCGTTCATGGCGAAGGAGATGGCGTTGAGGAACTCGGTGGTGTTGGGGACGAGCGCGAAGAGCGTGATGCCGAGAAACTTTTCGTCGATATCGGAGCCCTCGAGGACCGAGTCGACGGTGTCGACGAGGATCTCAGCGATGATGGCGTAGGCGACGGTGGCGCTGAGGAGGATGGCGGCGCTCTTGCCACGGCTCCAGTTCGGTGCGTCGTGACCGCCTGCCGTGTGGCCAGCTTCCGGCTCCTCTGCTGCGCCCTCGGTGACAGCAGTGGTTGTGCGATGATGGTGTGGTCGCTCGCCCTTGCTTGGAGTGTTGGCCATTTTCGCGGCTTTGTGTGGTGCTCTTGTGACGTCGCGCGTGGCGAAGGCGGTAGTCGTGGCTGCAATCTCAGTGATGTGTCGTACGAGGGCGTCGCTTGCTTCATCCGAAAGACCATCAACATGGAAATGCTCAGTTTCAGTGCGATCCTTCGGCGGGACCAAGTGCGGCGTATTGCTATCTGCCTTGTTGTTTGGCGGGCTACCAGCCAGGGGCTGCCCTTCCAGTCCGAGACCGAATTCATGCTGCGTCTGCCCAACGATGCGCTTATACAGTTGGGTGTCGCGGATCTGGGCTCGAGATACGGACTGTGAGGTTGCTGTTCGCGACATGGCAGAGTGTGGGAACTCCAAATGCTGGCTATTGTTCAGACTGTTTGCAACAGTATCGAATGCTTTCTTCTCCTTCTCCTCAGGCTCATTGCTCCAGATTGTTGCGGCGTGTGTCCGCAGAGTGAAAAGCAGACCGACTAGGTACGACAAGAACAACAGCGTCGCTGCGATCCACGTGTATGGCTTGACTGCTTCGTTGTAGAAGCGGTCGTGGAGAGCTGGAGTCTGCGAGTAGTAGCATCTTCGGCAGTCTCGTTCCGTGCCTGATTCGATGTGACCCATGTGAGGATGAACATGAACACATTGACGGCAGTTGAGTTCATGCTGTGACAGTTAGCGAAGATACTTTAAAATGTTGAGAAACTTACGCTGCCATAGATCTGGTAGAATAACGTGGGACCGAAAGCACCAATCACAGCAAAGAGCAGCATAGTGGATGTGACACCGGCAGATTTCACGTTGAAACGTTGCGTCTTGCGCTTGAGAGCGCCGAAGCACATGGACAGGCCCGGCAGGAATAGGATACCTGCAAAGATGCTGCCGATGATACTTCCCTCGACAAGCTGAGCTTTTCCTTGCTTGAGCGCCACACAGTATAGGAAGACTTCAACGACAGTACTAAAGAAAGCGTTGATGGTCGCACCGACACCCATCGATGACTGAGCAGAAATGGACGCTACAGCTTGGCCGATGAAGTATGCCAGAGGGATGATAGACAGCAGGGCGAGTGAGAAGACTAGGAGAGTGTCGGTGATCCAGATCTTGTAGCCCAGTGCCTCTGCCAAGACAAAGTAGTCGAAGATGGTAAAAGCCACCAAGCCCAGCAAGTTGATCAGGAAGATGTTAGTGCCGTCGATGGTGTACTTCCAGTACTTGATACCAACCGCGCGATAGGTGCACAGGAGAATGGATGACGACTCGCCCACGCGGCGAACGTTGCCGCTATCGGAGTGGAACGACAGGGCCAACGGGTGGCGGCGCAGATGATCGAACAGCAGTAGCATGACTTTACCCATGGGAATGGAGAAGACCAGGAACCAGCAGAGGCCGGAAACGAGGAACAGAGCCGGTGTCATGATGCCATAGAAGTAGACGTAGAAGAGGACGCGGCCGAGAGTCCATTTACCACGTCCAAAGAAGCGGTTCTTGGTCCTCGCGGTGTCCGAGTGTGCAATGTTGGCGCGACCGTCACGGCCGAGCAAGCTGGTGGTCTCCCCGCCAGTCGAGTCAACGCTGTTGCGTCGCCGACCTACCAAGGAGGAGAGGCCGGCGTTGGGACCGAAGAAGAGTCGACCCTCTTCGATGTCACCGCTCTGCCACTGCTCGTACTCGCTAATGCTGCGACCCTCACCCTCATCCTCTTCGGCGTATTGGTCATCCTGCAGAAGCTTAACGTAGCGCCCGAAGGGATAGAAGACGTAGACGGCAAGGTGGAGGAGCAGGCGCGAGTACTCTTTGCAGCTGTCGTCGAATACAAAGACGGCGCAGATAAGGGCACCGGCAGCAGCAAGCAGCGACAACCACCAGCCAAAGACTAGGGTCCAAACGATGTTGAAGAGCAGCAGCCACTTGCTCACGAACAGGCCCGGGTTGGAGTGGATGTCGGCCTCGGCGTTGCGCTGGACGGAGCGGCCCTTCTTGTACAAGGCGGGCTTCCAGATCCTGATGCCGAAGGGGTGGGTGACGTTGATGGCATCCTGACGATCCTTGAGCGTGAAGCTCTCGGCGTCGCTCACGTCACCGTCGTCTTCGTCGGCGTCGCCGGTGCCGCTGTCCTCGTCGGCGCGCACCGTCTCCTCCTCGGAGCTTGCGGGCTGCGGCTCAGGCTCGGCGGGCTCCTCGGCGGCCTCTGCCTCTACCGCGTCGTCCTCGGTCGAGTCGATGGTGGTGAGGGGCGTGCGTTGGGCTGCACCAGTCGGGCGGCGCAGGTTTGAGGGCTTGCGGCGCAACGACTGGCCCTGGCGCTTCTGCTCTTTGGCGTCCTTGATCTGCTGCTCGGTCTCGGCGTGCACCTCGTCAGCGTCGTCGTCGACGCTGAACTCCTGGCCCTTGTGCGGGAACTTGGACGACGTCGTGCGGCGGGTCATGGACGGCTTCTTGGGCTTCGCGCTGGGCGCCTCGGAGGGCGCCATGTTCTGCAGGCGGCGGTCGATGGAGGACGTGATGGAGCCTACGGCGGTCAGTACTGTACTATACAGGCGGGCAGCAATTCTCGGAGACGCACCATAGCTGGCGGGTGGCGCGGCGCTGGGGATGCGCCTGCGCGCCGACTCTGCGATGGTCGTGGGCGTGTTGCCGCCGTGCGAGCTGCCCTGGCGCGAGCCCGGCATGTCGCTGCTCTTCCCGGCTGCCGTCTGGTCGCCGTCCGCCATGTTGGTGGTCGCAGGACGGAGTGGTGCAGAGAAAGGCGGGTATGGGGCCCTGGACTAACAGACCGCTGCTCCTGCGCGGTGACGCCCTTGTCAAGGGTGGTTGTTTATTCGGCCGGACTGGTTTCAGCCGCGCGTGGACGTGCAGAGGACAAAGCAGACAGCGCAGTCATAGGAATCTTGCTGCCCATGACGTGCCCCTCGGTGGATGCGGCGTGCAAGCAGCAGCACGCAGATGACCTGCCAGACCGCCGATCAGCCTTCACCACCTCGTGCAGTGGCTCCCGGCATCCGCGCGACCCTGTCTTATTTGCGATAAGCGCAACTAGCTGAGGCGCACCAACGCAGGCGGTCGGCATCGTGACGGCACTCGGCACACGAGCATTCTCTGCGCCGACAGCATGTTTACGTCGCGTGTCACTGCTGCAGGAATGCCGTGTACCCAACCCACGGTCCACTCTTTGGGCTGTCGACTGCGGAGATGCTGATGACATAACAGCGATTAGCGCGCTGCTGCTGACATAATCCCGCTCTAGCGCGCGTTCGGCGAAACGTTGGCTCCGGCGTCGCGGACAGCTTGACATCGCCGACATCACCGCCTTCACCAGCACCCGTTCGCTTTACCATCCTGCCGCCATCTCCACCGGCCCGGACCTCCGCTGCCTACCCGCCGCACCTGCAGCTCCAGCTTGCCAGCCAGCACACATTCACCCACCAACCACTCGCCTCTCCCTCCCAAACACCGCCGCCGGCGCCCGCCACCACCATGGCGCTCGACACCTTCTTCCATAACAAGATCGAGTCGATGAAGCTCGAGATCATCCAGGGCCAGGCCAAGCTCCGCCGTCTGGAAGCCCAGCGCAACGACTACAACTCGCGCGTGCGGTTACTGCGGGAAGAGCTCGGCCTGCTCCAGCAGCCGGGGTCCTATGTTGGTGAGGTCGTGAAGGTCATGGGCACAAAGAAGGTGCTCGTCAAGGTACATCCGGAAGGCAAATACGGTACGTTGTAAAATGTTTCTGGATGAGCATGTCGCTGATCAACTCAGTCGTCGACATCGCCGACAACGTCGACATTAGCAAACTCACAGCCGGCAAGCGCGTCACCCTCCTCAGCGACTCGTACAAGCTCGAGAAGCTGCTGCCGTCCTCTGTCGATCCGCTCGTTTCGCTCATGATGGTTGAGAAGGTGCCGGACAGCACATACGACATGATCGGTGGTCTCGACCAGCAGATCAAGGAGATCAAGGAGGTCATCGAGCTGGGTCTGCAACATCCAGAGCTGTTCGAGTCACTTGGCATTGCGCAGCCGAAGGGTGTCCTGCTGTACGGTCCGCCAGGAACAGGAAAAACGCTCCTTGCACGAGCAGTAGCTCATCACGCCGACTGCAAATTCATCCGTGTTTCAGGAAGTGAGCTGGTGCAGAAGTACATTGGTGAGGGTAGCCGAATGGTCCGAGAACTGTTTATCATGGCTCGAGAACACGCGCCCAGCATCATCTTCATGGACGAGATCGACAGCATCGGGTCAAGTCGTGTTGAAGGAAGCTCAGGCGGCGACTCCGAGGTGCAGCGTACCATGCTGGAGCTGCTCAACCAGCTGGACGGCTTCGAGCCCACGAAGAACATCAAGATCATCATGGCAACCAACCGTCTCGACATCCTGGACCCCGCCCTGCTACGACCCGGACGTATCGACCGCAAGATCGAGTTCCCCCCGCCCACCGTCGAGGCGCGTGCCGACATCCTGCGCATCCACTCGCGAAGCATGAACCTGACGCGCGGCATCAACCTGACCAAGATCGCCGAAAAGATGAACGGGTGCTCCGGCGCCGAGCTGAAGGGTGTCTGCACCGAGGCCGGCATGTACGCGCTGCGCGAGCGCAGAGTGCACGTCACACAGGAGGACTTCGACCTGGCGACCGCCAAGGTGCTGAACAAGCACGACGACAAGGCCGTCAGTCTGGGCAAGCTGTGGAAGTAAGCGCGGCCGCGAGGCGGGTCGTGCGTGCTTCGTCGCCCTGCTCGGATGCCGGGGGTTTGTACTATAGCATAGCGGCTTTAGCACGCCTGATGAACGAAACGATAATACTGTTACAGACATGCTTGAGTTCTGCTGTGCACGTGCTTTCGCGTCCGACACAAGCGCCACCCTTCACCAAACACCACCCATGTACACCACCCGTACACACCTTCGAACGCATTTGCCAAATACTCACAAAAGGGCACTCGGCAAAAACAAGTACAGCAGCCGAGTCGACTGCGCTGCATACGCGTCCCAACCTCCCAAGGCTGAGTACCCCGTCCAATGCCAGAGCGCCACAGCCGTCCAGACCCAGCCTTGCGCCTTTCTCCGCATCAGACATACCAATGTCCCAGCGGTCTACAGGTATTTTTACGCCATGGACATGGAGTTTGTCTGCGTGTGTGTGCTGCTAATGTTCTTGGGTGTGTGTGTGTGTGGAGTAATACGGGTAGGAGGAGGCTTCAGTCTGGACATGTGACCACCCAGCCAAGAGCCTTACGCAGACATTCGCGGCCAGTATTGGATCGACGAGATTATCTACGTTGATACAGGTTCGGAGATGGTACAGGCCGCGCAAGAACTGGAGTGGGCGCAGAAACAACGTAACTGGCAGATGGCGACCAAGTACAGGGTCTACAGAGATGCGAACGGCGAGCGCTATTACGGAAAACAACAGACCCGGCCTATCGTGTATCAATAGTAAGGCTGAATCGTTCTAAACCGGACTGAGAAGTGTCGTTCCGAAAGAGCGAGTGGTTCACTGGAGGATGTGAACTCCCGTAGTCGTATGTGAAAGAACGATTCCGATTACTACAATGTGTTTGCTTTGATTCGGTGTCTATCCAGCCCATGCTTACACGCGTACATCTCCCGACTGCTCCCCGAGAGCCGCCCGATCCTCCTCCCTCAAAGTCAACGCCTCCTCGTCTTCGTCATCGTCTCTAGCTACAGGTGTGTAAGACGCACCAAGCGGTATAGGACGCAAGCGCATCCCTTCCTCGCCGTGCACGACCTCGATGCGCCACCTCATCGTGCCGTCGGGGTCTCTGAACCATCCCAGCCGGGTCAGAATCTTGTTCTGCGTGAGCATGGTATCGACGCCCTGCTCTGTCACGGCTGCGAGGAGCTGGTCGCTGCCAGCAATCAACGCGAGCACGTCGGCGATGCATTCGACGTTGCGCATCATGCCGCTGTAGTATCTGCGTTGGACGGCGGCAAAGATGGTGATTGTGACGATGAGCCAGATGAGGATGCTGGTCGCGATCCAGAACGCGACAGAGTTTATCTGGAGAATCTCCACACGCGTGCTCAAAGTTGCGGATGTTGTTTTGTTAGTGTTGCGATGGACGTCTTGGAATCTGGGAGCGATGTCGCCGTTGGGTGTTAAGGGTTTTGCGTCCTTGTAGTTGATTGTAGGTGGGGTCATATCGTCATGCAGGCCAGCAGGTTGATAGACGTAACCGCCGTCTTTGGGCGAGACGTTGTTGTTGGCAAAGTGTTGGAAGAACGTAGAGAAAATCTTGCGTGACGTGTTGAGTAAGACATCTGCGTTTAGAAGTGCTGTTGGGTCGAGCTTGACTTGAGCATAAGCCGCGTATGACATAAAGTCCATATTGAGACCTGTTGTATTATCGCGCATGTTGAACACCTTGTCGTCCAATCGGTCGTCGTACTGATTCGAGGGATGGCCTAGTTGATACGATCCCGTCATCATTAGACATGCTGAACGTAAGATCGACTTCATGAAGTAAATACCGTAGCTAAGATATTGTTAGATAGACTGTAGTATACGCAGAGACATACGTACCTCGTAGTGACATTAACATCGAAATAGTTCCTCTCATCCCAGGCAGTGCCATTTTGAATTGGGGGTTTCTCAGTCAAATTGCGATAGACCCACGAATCAGACCATGCTACATCATCGGAAACGGGTGCACTGAGTATACGATAGTCCTGAACGGTTCCAGATGTAAGATCAACGAGGACTTCTGCTTCGCTTGCCTCAAAGGTCGGCATGCAATCCAAGGCTTGCATGACAGGGGCTTCAGAGAAAATCATGTGCCGGATACCAGCATATCCAGAGAGTTCAGCGAAGCTTGTGGGCCCGCGAATCCACTTGATCGTAAAGTTGTTACCTCTGCCAATGATCGATGAGCCATCCGAAAGCCAGTTCTCAGTCCAGTAGGAAATAACTGCCGGATTGTATGTTCGTTCTTCAATAGTACTGTCGGTGACATTGCCACAACATTGTGGAGAAACACCCTGGGCGGTGACACTTGTCGTCAGATTACGATGAGGGTCTCTGAACATACTTTCGTAAAGCCGATAGAAGCTCTTAAGGCTGGTAGTATTGGTCGTCGAATTCTGAAATGTGATCCAAGTGCTGGTGTTCTTCGCCATGTCAATTGCGCTGCAATCCAACCTAGCTCTAAGTGCAGGCGTCTGGAATCTTAGAGTTGCAGGTATAGTGACACCCTCGGGCCCTGGTACTGTATTCATCGCATCGAGCAAGTTTTCTGGGCTCAGAGAAATTGGTACAAAGCTCCAATCGTCTTTGCTCCAGGCCGGAGCAGGACCACCGAGCGCAGTCTGGATGATCGCAGTATACATCCAGTCTGCTTTCATGTCGTAAAGATCGCTCGTGAGCAGAGAGTATTCTTTACTGCTAGGCCCCATTGACGGTCCGTGTGCCCATTCGTACTCGGAGATCTCTATTTTCAATACCTGTGTAAGCGGGACCTGCCGCAGCTCTAGGCTCGGAGTAATCGTCAGTGGCGAAGTGAGAATGCCAGTCCCTGAATCGAACAATGCAGACATGGCTATCGTGACTTCATTTTCAATCAGTTGTTGTCGCAGTGCGAAAGGCCAGAGTCCAAACTTACATATCTGAATCAAGAAAGTTGTCGCGCCAACGAGTGACAGCAACCAGTGCCGGTTCTTCAAGGCTTTGAATGATGTCCACAACCAAAACGAGTAGGCGTAGGATAACCCTGTGCTCTGAAGTGGGGTTGCCGCACCCTTATACATGCTGATGTAAGGTTGCACGGACCGGCAGGTACTGTCAATAGACTCCCACCACAGAGCAATAACTACAGCAAGCACAGTTGGTATAATAGCGAACGGGGAGATGGTGCTTTCATTGCCAAATAACATGACGTTGGCTCGGTAAGTAAAGAAGGCTTGATGAAGTTGTGAACGTTGCGCAAACTGGAACAAGACCACCATTCCTGCCAGAAGTCCGGATATGTAGAGCAACAGGCACGCCATGTTGCGTAGCCGTAACTCAGGAAGTACAGAAGAAGAGGTATCTCCTTTAGTCGTTCTGGCCGATCGAGCCTTTTCCTGGTCCGGGGGCGTTATCTCCGAATTGACTCTCTCCCCAAGCTCGTGGAGCCCTCCCTCGCGAGTGACGAAGAGCCGATTTGTAAGATCCTCTTTCAACGATTTTCTGGTGGCCAGATCCAGCCTTCTGAATTCGGAGAGCACGCTGCGATTGCCGCTCGCCCACTGAGCGACCCCCAACACCATACTAGGATCGCAGTACAGACCCAGATTGCGCTTCGTTGGACGTACCCACCAGATGATACCCAGAAGCGCACAGAAGGAAGTCGCGAGAAGGGCGCAAAGGATGTAGGCAGCCTGCCCACTGACTACGACCTGACGTGAGGACCCATACGATACACCAGCCATCTGTTGTTGCTGTGAAACACTAATCGTGTTATGTTGTAGAGTAGCGCCAATGATTTCAGCGAAAAAGCGGCGCCGAAAGCGTCCAGCTCTTGCCAGTAAGTTGGGATCTGCCATCATCTCTGGTATGCTGAAGTTGTATCCTCTTCCCAGCACAGCAGCTGAGCCGCCAAAAAATCCTTTCTTCATGCTAGACGAAGGCTTTTGAGGGATGAAGTCACTCCATGCGACGCTCTTGTATATATTGCGTAACTCTTGGAGATCGACCATTGCTGGAGTGATTGGAGTGCGAATACGATGGAACATCTCTTCGTCGAACTGGACAGACTGTCGTTCAGGCTTACCAAGAATACGAACTGGTATGTCTGCCATAGTGTGTTCACTATGACAAGCATATGCTTGGACGGTCAGATTGTTAAAAAGCTTCTCTGGTTTGGTATATTCCTCCCACCAAGGAGTGCTCATCAATATAATCTCATCCTCAGGGCATTCCTCGTTTAGCCGAACGATTGCATCTTTGCTGTACTCGTCTCTGAACATGATGCGGTGAGAGTCACCCCATGATATCCAGTTTCCGGTCACCTCCACATTCTCGTATCCGTACTGGGCTGTCGCATTCACGGTGAGATTGAAGTGGCAACCATGGTCTGACTCCAAGAGGACGGAGGCCACGTACGTTTTGTTGTACCGAAGTGTCTCATCGTTCATCGAGTCTGAGCTGTTGACAGCATGCCTGAGATACATGTCCTTCTTACTCAGACGAAGATCTGTGCAGACAAAATCGTTCCGAAACACAGTCGTGTTCGCCTCCCAGCTGTCTGCTTGTAGGGATCGAAAAGTCCAAGGCGATTCAACGTGTGGCGAGTTCGAGGGCCAGAATGGCATGATAAGGTAATCGTCTGTTATCCAAGGAGATGTGCTGTAGTTTTTCAGGATCGCACCCGTAGTCTGGAGATATGTGTCTCGCTTCGCTCGAGGTTGCAGTGGGTGCGCAGAATCGTTGCGCAGAGCCAATCGGACAAAGCTCTCGGTATCGCCCTTCTGCACCTCCTTTGAACTGAGTAGGGCAGCAGATATGGGCGAAATACCAAGTATAGCAAGTATGTAAACTATACATGAGGCAATAATAGCCCAGTTTCGCGATCCACCGTGGCGCTTTTTCTGGAAACCATGGAGAAGAGTTGTCCACCAAGGCTTTGGCTTTTCCAGTAGAGTATAACGAGCGACAGGAACGTTCCCGAGTGTTTTAGCCAGTCTTGCGTAGGGCTCTGTCCGTTTTACGGCCCCCAGGACCATTGCAGTAAGCTGCGTATACACAACAGCCATCAAGGTCGGAATGAATTTCCAGCCAGGAATTGCCGAAGTCTCAGGCCCCAACCCATCATTCTTAGTGGAGAGCTTGTAAAGAGAGGCTACGACGACTGTGAACGTCATAGCTAGTGTAGCTGGCATTACGATGAAGTACCAGCGTAGCGCAAAAGGCGTCCACTGCTGGCTTCCATGGCTGGCCTGGAGACTACTGTCGAGATCAGTTGACCCAGATTTGCATCCATCACCAGATTTCAATAAGCGCCCGCTAGATACGTCAGAAACGGAAGCGTGCTGGGATCGGATACTATTGGCTGTGGTCGGCGCAGGGGATCTTCGAGATAGTAGCTGGTGAGATTCTGGTTCGTGATGAGAACGTCCTCCCTGATGGAAGCTGCTAATACGGTCCATCTCAGGTAACAGCGTTCCGTGTAAAGTGCAAGGGCAACGGGGCGTATTGTGACGGTGTCAGATGGAAGGCGCAAGGCTGAAACTCTGGTGTTAGCGCCGCCTCCGAGAACAACTCCGCCCCCACGTTCTGACCTGCATGCTGACGGTGGCCTAATGCATTCAGGCACGTCCAAATTGCCACCGAACCAGCTAAAACGCAAGAAACGAAGGATCGGTATAACTGATGAAAAGCTGTTCTACTAGTGCAGTTGCACTAAAAGTAGAGGAATCAGTCACAATTCGAAAGCCCATCAGTGTAGGTATTATAGAAGACTTTGATGATAGAAAACTGCGAAAAAGTAGCTCGAACATATGCGAAAGCACTATGATGATGCAGTATCTCCTTACTCTCCATGCTTCCTCAGTCTACATCCTTAAGCTCTCTCCCATACCTATACTCTTCTCTACCTTCCCCCTTCCCAACATCTCCTCTCTCGCAGCAGAAATCAAGCCCACCTTCCAATCCTCCAGCAATCCAAGCAGGAGTGAAATTCTTCCTGCAGCCCCTAACGGCCCCTAAACACCACCTCGTGTTCACGGTGAACGGGCGCTCAGGCGTCCATGCGTTACCTCAAAACCATCGCCCGCGCAAACCGCTGAACACATCCTAGACAAGTGAAGACCAGAGACACTCGCCATATATGCTGGAGGCCGTCTTCACCCGCCTCTCGGGCAAGGCGTCGAGGGTATACCCTGCTTGAGCGTTCTTGGCTCCGCGTCATAACACGGTTTTTTGTGTGACTTCGCGTCCTGGGTATCCTGCAGCCAGCTAAATATATATAGTATAGAACTCTTAGTTACACTACAAAGAAGCCACAACCCTAATCACTGCTACATTGTGCGGACCACCCGATATTCAGAAAGCTATCTGTGCAACGCCTGCATCGCTATCTTTTGAATGGCTATTAAAAACTGGGTTTGATAGGATTCAGTGTGTAACTACACGCAGTAATACTTACAATGCCATCTACCGTATATGCCTGGTACTCGTCGCAGGGCGGTCTGCACATGCCAGCAGTCATTGATACTATACCAATCCACGTTTCGCTCTTCCATAGCAAGAAAACAAGAAGAATGCCACGCTACTATACAAGAAAGAGGCATAGACATCTACACTCATCACGAGTATTTGGTTAGCAGACAGAGGATTCTAGGATACTGCACCAAGCAGCCAAACAACAACTCCTAGACAATAGATTAGCAACCACCCCCCACCCTCCATCTCCCACCACCCGTAGTCCGCAGCCCACACCCCACATCCCCACACCCCCTCTCGCAGCCCCAAAACCGCCCCCCACCCACCACCACGCACTCCTCACAAACGCCCCTTGCTCCATGCCGAGCAACCAGTTCCTCACGCCCAACTCGCAGCTGCCTGGGACACACCACCAACGGCTCCTGCGCACGGACTGTCGTCCCGCGGTCCAGAAAAAGAGCGTTGAGAGGATCGTTGTGCGTTGAGTGGGAGCGTGTGTACTAGCAGATACCTACTGATACATACATGCCAGTAGTCAGTAGTCAGTAGTCAGTAGTCAGTAGTCAGTAGTCAGTAGTCTGGAGTTTCTCACTTGCACATGCACTTGCACGTGAATGAGGCCAATGAGGCCAGACTTTCAAACGCGCCGGGCGGCGCTCACCATTTGTCCTTCATCGAGTCACCATCATACACGCAACCGCAGCACCGGCACCGGCTTGCCAACACGGAAATGACTGACCTGTGCGCGCCTGATCACGTGCGAACTTCACCAGAACATCACCACAACCTCACCACAACATCACCAGCAAACCCACACACAAACAAACACAAACACACAAACCCCCCGTGGGAGATACGAGACACAGCAAAATGCATGTACACAAATAGCATTACAACGCGTAATGTGCGAACCCCTATCTTGCCTGGCTGTTTGGAAAAAGGAAAAAGAAAGAAAAGAAAAAACGCCCGTGAACACCTGGATAGCGGAACGGTTTGCACGAGTGCCGCGCACGCGGGACGCAGGGGGCGTGGGTGCGGCGCTGCGCGCGTCTGGGTGGTGCGGCGCTGCTCGTGCGTGGATGCGTCGCTGTGCTCGTCGCTGTGCTCGTCGCCGTGCTCGTCGCCGTCCTCGTGCCCCTGCTCGTGCCCCTGCCCGTACCACGCTCCACGTCCCCGTCTCCGTCGCCCGTGCCGCACTAACAGCACTTACCCCCCATACCCGCGCCCGCCGACCCCGCATCGCCCACATTCACCGACTGTCCGGGCGCCTGATCAGAGCGCGCGCTATCAATAAGACGCTTCTTGATATCCGACGCGAGCGAGTAGAAGGCCTGGTCGACGTTGATGTTGCTCTTGGCGGAGACCTCGAGGAAGGGGATGCCCAGCTCGTCGGCGAGGGCCTGGCCGCGCTCGGTGCTGACGGCGCGCTTCTCCTCCCAGTCGCACTTGTTGCCGATCAGGATCTTGTTGACGCCCTCGGTGGCGTGCTGCTCGACGTTGGAGAACCAGGTGCGGATATCTGCGGGGGATGAGGATTAGCCGGGCGGGGGGGTGCAGAGCGCCAGAGAGAATACGTACTGTTGAAGCTGCGCTCGTCGGTGACGTCGTAGACTAGCAGGATGCCCATGGCGCCGCGGTAGTAGGCTGTGGTGATGGTGCGGAAGCGCTCCTGGCCGGCCGTGTCCCAGATCTGCAGCTTGACGCGCTTGCCGTCGAGCTCGATGGTCCGGATCTTGAAGTCGATGCCGATGGTGGTGATGAACGAGGGCGTGAACGAGTCCTCGCTAAAGCGCAGCAGACAGCATGACTTTCCGACGCCGGAGTCGCCAATCAGCAGCAGCTTGATCTGGGGGTCGTCAGTACGGCTCGAGATGGCACGGCAGCAGTGCGGGGCCGCAGTCGGGCTGGGGCAGCGGCGGGCAGACTCACGAGGAAGTCGTAGTTTCTTGTCCCGGCCATGGTTGCGGTATTGTGTGCGGGGGTTGGGGTGGGTGGACGGCGGCGTGTTCGCTGTCGAGGGAGGGCGGTGGCGGTGCACCCGCGGGCAGCGAAGGTGTCCTGTACTGGCGGCGCTGGCGGATGCGCAAACGAAAGTGTTGCGGCGAGGCGTAAATCGGCGGTGGGAGTGTGTGGGGCGAGGTGCGGTCTCAGATGGTGGGCGGTGGGCGGTGTTGCGCGTAGCGGTGTTGCTGGCGGTGCGGCGCCTGACGTTGGCTGAGGCGCGCAGTGGCTCTCCCTTGGCGCGGCCCTGAGGTCGTCACGTCGTCACTGCGTCTCGCACGGCCCTGACTCGCGTAACAACCCTGGTGCAACCTGAGACATGTGCGAATCTGGCAGAATAAACGGCGGACTGAGGATATAAGCTAAGTGTACTATACAATAGTAAAGTAGTGAAAATACCCAACAACTCTACACAATGCTTCCCACTTACCTACAACACAGACAATTATTAACTAATGTCTAGCTCTAGGTTCTATAATAGCTACAAGTTACGTATTCTGTAAAGTTGGTAAGCTGAGGGTCTTATTCGCCATTTTTCACGAAACTTGAGAGTCTGGATACAGTACAATTGCTAGCTCTATACGCAGGTGCACTCGACAGCAGGCACGCGGCGCGATTCTATTTGTTCTGTCATGTCCCGTTCATGTAAACCATTTCGAATACGCCCAGCGTATCCTCTCGACCACTCGCTGCTGCTTCTCCAACCCGCTCCTGACGTCGACCAGCTCGTCAATCTCCACCAGGAACTCGTGGAAGATCCGGCGGGGCAGGATGCCGCTCGCCGCTTGTCGCAGGAGGTGCACCTCGCAGAGCAGCAGGCCGTGGTCTTGGTACGACATCTCGCCGAACTCCGTGGGCCTGGCTGCAGTCAGGATGCGATCGATGTTCCTCAAGATCAGCAGCAGCTGGCCCTGCTTGGCCCATTGCTGGACGCCCTTGCGGCTGCTGAACGCGCCCCGCAGCCATCGGTATACACCGACGGAGACGAGCACACCGGGCGTAAGACCAATGAAGCCGAACAGCAGCTCCTGGCTCTTGAGAATGCTGTCAATACCACTCATCGCAACCTCGATATCGACCTTGGTCTTCTGCACCTGGATCAACAGCGCGCTGGCCAGGTTGCCAACAATGGCTCCCTTGACCGGACTCTGGATGTCCTTCTCGTATGACTTCAGCACGGTGGTGAGATCGCCCTCTCTGACCTTGGCTCGGATGTCGGCGATCTGCGACTCGTTCAGGGCAACGCCGTCAGGGTTCTTCACAGCAAAGTCGACGACCATGCGCTCCAGGCTTGCACGGTCAGACTCCAGGCTGCGCTTGCTCAAGATCGACACCTCGCTGTCCGCGTCGTGGCGGATCGTACCAATGACCTTCTTGGAGGGTTCAACCACCCAGTTTGTCCAGAAGTCGATGACTGTCTGGCCAAGCTCACGGATCCATGTCTTGATCTCTTCTTGGCGGTGGACAGCAATGCGCAGGAGAGTAGTGCTCGACAGCAGGAGGATGGTAGCTGGAAGCCAGTATCGTATCAGGAGAGATGGTCGGCCATTGTCTTTGACAACTGCGGTGAAGTGTAATTTGTAGGTGGGCAGGGCGTGTTGGAGCAGATAGCGGAGGCGTTCAGCGACGTCTGCTGGTTTCAGTGCAGTCGCAGCTTGGTGAGCAGATGCGTCGTGGAGTTCGTAATACTGGTCCTCGTGTGTGATACCAGCAACAGACTCGTCGAACTTATCGACCGAGAGCTCGGCCGTGTTGACCGTCTGGATCACGGCGTCCATCAGAGCAATGCTCTTGGTGACCACAACCTTCCATTTATGCTTGTTGTCATGTGTGCCGAACGGGTGAGGTGAGTGGAAGCCTTCGTCGTGGATGTTCTCGTTGCTCAGACCCTCGCCGAGCAGTACGCCGAGCGCGTTCGCGTTGACCAATCGAATCTTCTTAAGGGCCGCACGCTTCTTCCTGCCCTCGTTCCTCACGAGTGCCAGCGGGCTGATGACGCGCCGTTGTATGTTGGCGACACTCCGCTCCTGCACCGACTGCTTGACCAACCCGTAGAATTGCCTCCAGCCGTCTGCCGTCTCTCCACCCCGCGACCTCACATCGTGGTATATCTCCTTCGACCAATTCCAGACCCTGAGCGGCGATGTTTGGATCGAATAGAGGCCGGCAAAGCGGTATGTCGAGAGGATGTCGTCCCAGTACCAGATATCGTCTTCGAGAGGAATTGTCTGTTCGAGAATGGTGTTCAGAACCTCGCCATACGCTTGAGTGGTGGCCTTGCTAAGCAGCAACCACTCCAGCTCGTGCTCGTAGCTCGCATCGTCCCCGGAAGTGCCGTTGCTGCTGTCATCCTGGGCGAACCACTGCGCGCATGTGGTGCAGCTGCTGGAGAAGTCGGCACGATTGAGCGTCTCGAGGATGCGATCTCCAGGCACGAGCGACGATTTCGAGCTTGCAGTAGTCGACAGGCTCTTGATGAGGTTCTGCAGGTGGGCGATACGCGCTGTCTTCTCAGGGTCGTGGGCCTCGGCAGCACTCAGCGTCGAGAAGCTCTCGCCGGCGCGTGTGGACGAGAGCTGCAGCCGATCGAGCGCCCCGTCGATGCGCCGAATCTGGTCGACCACGAAAGACATCCTGTCGCCGTGATGGCGCTATGCTGTGCGGCAAATATGCTGTACGAACGGCACGGGTGATCAGAGCTGGGATGCGCGCGCCAAAGAGACGGAAAGCATGACGTAATTCGGGCTGGCACCAATCACACGTCACGCTGCACGTACCAGCTAACAACATCAACCACACACAAAAAGGAATTGTCACGAGCGGTAATTCATATGTGAAGTAGTTTACATGTATTACAAACGATCTAGATCGTGCTATGTACAGTCTAACAGAACCTGCTCACCAGAGCTTGACCGAACAAAGGAGATTACAAGGCAAAGAAAGCCAGCATGGCACCGAGAATGGCGTGCTGAGCCTCCAGCTTGAAGGGTGCCGCGGCACCTGTGAACTCGGCGGGCGAAGTAGGACTGTAGGCGCCAGTGCCAGAGGGCTTGAAAGTAGCCAGTGTGGTACCGGCAATGGGGTAAGGCGCAGGGGTGGTGCTCGCGGGAGCCTGAGCAGGCGCAGTGCCGGGGATGAGGCCAACAGGCTCGGTAGGGGTGGCACCGGCCTCGTTGGTCTGTGTGGTGAAGTGGACCTGAGGAATGGTCAGGGTGGTGGTGCCGTAGATGATTGTGGTGTGGGGGTAAGCCGCAGGAGTCTCCGCAGGAGCACCGGGGGCGGGTGCTGAGCCGGGTACCTCGGGGACCGGTGTGGTGCCAGGAGCGGGTGTTGTTCCAGGAACCTCAGGAGCAGGAGTGGTACCGTAGACGGCAGTGGAGCTAGCGACCTCACCCGCAGGTGTGCTGACGCCACCAGCCGGGGCTGTAGGCGTAGCAGGAGTGGGGTTGAGAGGAATGTACGAGGGGCAGTCGGTGACGAGACCAGGGTTCTCAGGGACGTGCTCGGCGCAGATACCGATGAGGTACTGGAGAGCCTCGCGGGTCTCATCGTCGGTGCCGCACCAGGCTGAAACGCACTCAATGACCTGCTTTGTGAAGTCCTTGTTCTTGCAGTAGCAGGAGGCATCGGCGTTGTTCTTGCAGTCACCGGAAACCTCGAGCCAGGTGTTCATGCATTTGGGCAGAACATCAGGAGGGCTGACAGGTGGGTAGCTGGGGCTGGAAGGCTGGGGAACACCGGTGCTGATGATGGCGGAGCTGGAAGCGGCAGGGGTAGAAACCGCTGTAGTTCCCTCACACGACTCTCCATAGCTTCCGTCACAGGCAGGGGCACTGGGGCTCTCGGGAACAGAGGGCGGGGCAACGGGGCTCGACTCTTGGGTGGGAGGGGCAACGGGACTCGTCTCGTATGTGGGGGGAGCAGTTGTCGCGGGCACGGTGTTGTTAGTGTAGGGCGCGGTAGAGAAGGTAGAGGGAGTCTCGACAGGAGTAGAGATGACGGTGGTGCCTTCACAGGACTCTTGGCCGTAGCCACCGCAAGGAGTGACAGGAGTCTCGGTAGCAGGAGGGCTAGAAACCTCAGGGGTCGATGTAGCAGGCGTCTCGGCGGGAGGAGTGGTCGTAGAAACCTCAGTCGCGGGACCGGATGAGACTGGAACAGATCCCGCGCAGTATCCACCATCGCAAGGAGGAGCGCCTGATGTAGCAGGTGTCTCGGTGGCAGGTGTTTCAGTGGCAGGTGTCTCGGTAGCGGGCGTCTCAGTAGCGGGAGTCTCGGTAGCAGGAGTCTCAGTAGCAGGAGGCGTTGGGATGGAGGCCTCGGGGGTGGAAGAAACCTCAGTCGCAGGACCGGATGACACAGGGACAGATCCCGGGCAGTAACTGCCATCGCAAGGAGGAGCGCTTGTAGCAGGTGTCTCTGTTGCAGGAGCAGACGAAACGGGGGCAGAGGATCCGCAGTACTCGCCATCACAAGGGGGAGCAGCGCTGGAAGTAGCCGGGGGCTGGGAGTTGCACTCATCGCCATTGCAAGACGGTGTCGACCTGGGAGGGGCGGACGAGGCAGGCTCCGAAACGACGGGAGTAGACGCCGGCGGGGAGACTACTGGTGCTGAAGACGAAGGAATCTCAGGAGGGGTAGGAGGGGAAGGAGGTGTGTAGCCTGTGCCTGGGTTGCAGTCGAAACCGATGTTGTGGAAACCGATCTCGCACTCCTTGTCCGACTTGTCGTGCTTGGGAAGGTAGACGTCGACCGACTTCGCGCCACCACACTGAGTGTTCTGGATAGTGGACCCGGAGGATTTGCAGGGAGCAACCTGCTTGCACTTTGATCCATCCTCCATGTGGTAGTGAAGCTCGAGGTCGACGTCGTACTCAACAGAGACATCGATGTGCGTGATGGAGAAACCAGCCTTTCGCTTGTCACAGCCAAAAGAAGCGGGCTTCTGCTTGCTCACTTTGTTCTTGATGCACTTCGATCCGAAAGTGCGACGTGTGAGGTGATCACGCTTGCCGAAGGAGTTGGAGCATTTCCAGCCACCAGTGAAGTCAAAGTCACCGTAGTTGAAGTTGGATTCACCGTCCTTCAGGTCCGCCCAGTTGAAGCCGCCTTTTTGCTTATCGCTACACTCGTTGTCGTTGTATTTGGGCGAATTGAACGGGTTACCGAACATGTTCCATGTTGCAGCGGCGTGACCGATCAGGCCAGTAGCAAAAACAATCTGAGTGACCTTCATGTTGATGGGTGGGAAAAATTGCAGGATGAAATATCAATCAATTCAAAGCTCAAATGAGAGTGAATGTCCGGTTTGGAGAATGCAGAAGCGTGGTGTGCAGTGAGGATACAATGAGAGGTGATCCTGCACTAATAAGGGGACAAAGATAACGAATGACTTTGTCCACCCGGGTTCGGGAAAGAATGTGAAAGGAGAATTAGGAAGAATGGAACTTGAGGATTTGTACATCGGGCATGGACAGGAAGATATACTTACACATTCAGCCCTGAGTGAAACAGATTATCGAAACATGCATGCGCGATTGGTCCATATTGGGAAAGATTCAGGTACACAGCCACACGAGTCAACAGGGCGACCATGTTCATTGTCGCGCGCTCGATATGCACACAGACGGTACCGCATAGCCGTCGCCTGGCCTGTATGGTGTGAGGTTGGACCAGGGTCTGACGGGGCGAGGGCGCTTGAAACGCGCTAGATAGTATGCTTAAGTCAACTTTCATGCAGGCACCGAGCCAATGGTGTTCCCGCTGTAGGGTTGATTCAGCTGTCAGGCGTCAAGTAGATTGACGCATTCTCAATTGATTCAGTTGTTTTGCAATGCAATGCTGGCTAATTTTGCAAACGATCGATTGTTGTTTGCAGTGGGATGGCGGCGCTTACGGTGCCCGAACGTGACGTTGAATGGGGCAACTTCATGTCCGACGCGCCGAGAGTCTGGCCCGAACCACAACGACCTCCTGCATCCTTCCGACCCACGTACCCTTTCGAGCAATCCCGAATGCGTGTATTGCCTATTGAGGTCATCGCCGTTGGCGCCGCTATTGCGCTAGCCGTAGGCGTCTCGCTATCTTTCGCGAATGCCTGCACGAGCCTACTGTTTCACATCAACATCGAGTGTCACACCAGCAAAGCCATAAGCGAACAACAAGCCTCGGACGACATCAGTCACGGTCTCATGTTGCCGTGTCTAATGCGCAAAGGATCGCTCAGATGGGGCACGCGCAATGCGACCGCTCCCCGCCCATGACTCTCGCAGGCATGTAGCCTCAAACAGGCCTGCTTGGATCATCGAGATCCGGCCAGATAGGCAGGCTTTTACATTTGATCAGAAGAGTCCTTGTGCGCGAAGGGAATGGCGATTCGGTCGAGATGCATCCGCGTGCCACGCAATTAATCCGCCACGTCGCTCGTCTGTAAAGTGAGAAAGTGGTCTGAGACCACTGATTCAGAGCTGATGCGGAATGCGCACTCAGAACAATCTTCAATACCCTATGGGGAACTGACACCGCCACCTCCGTGCGTACTGTGACTCTGATGCTTGCTGTGACTCTGATGCTTGTTTTATCTAGCCCGCTTTGCATCCTTCGCTACTCAAGGAACCCATGGAGGTCATTGCTTCACCCTTCTCAAGCAGCGGGGGAATCGGCATCATTGCAGTTCTATATTCAGTTCTACTCGAGGTGTGAAATGTCAGATCGCACGCAAAGTGAGTTGGGCCCGTTCATGCAAGGAAGCAATGATGAGGGTTGATGACCAACACAATGGACGTGGGTTGAGCTGTGGAGTCGACGTTGTTTGATCATTCATTGTATGTTCTAATGTAGTGGCTCGAGCTCACTGTACCTCGCAGCCGAGTCTATAAATACGATTCATGTAACAACCACATTCGAATTGGCCGCAGCTCCTTCGGAACAACGCCAGAACGTGGGAACCCCTCAATATATCGATTCGAAAACAACGGGTATAGCCGGTATAACTCAATTTGTCTGCGCCTTATCTCTTCAACTGCACTCGAATGCGTGGTATCCTTCGGACAATCAGTCCTCAATCACGATGTGGACAGTCTCATCATGTGACTGTTCTTTGAAAGCCATTCGCACACGAGCATGGCAGTTATTGGCAGCGTGGTTCATGAACGGCACCTGCATAGCGCCGACCAAGGCAACAAGGGCCGATGCCCACCAAGCCAGAGGTGTGAAGCGGATCTCAATCGACAAGCCGTACAGCAACCCTGCGATGGGGCTGGCGACACTTCTGCAGGCTGCTCCAGTCGACGCCGCAAGTCCATTGATCCTTCCAAGCTGCGATTTGTCCGGTGCCGCCTCTTTGATCATGATGAGCAACAGAGGGAAGGCAAGTATGGAGGTGAGGTTCCGCACACTCAACGCAGCAAATATGCCGGGATAAACAAGGTTCTGCGGCAACAGCTGCAGGAACGGTACAATCAAGTACGCAATTGGGTGTGCGACGGTGACCATTTGCAGAAGACGCCATACGCCGAAGAAGTCTGCTAGTAGCGGAAAGACCACAGCTTGTATCAGGAGTTGGATGACTCCATTGACTGACAGTATCAAACCAACTTGCTGCGTAGACAGCCCTAGGCCACCACCCAAAGCAGTGAATGAGAACTCTTGGGCGTGTACATCATCAGCTCGCTTATCTTGGAGGAAGATCGGCGTGAGGTGATCGTAGGTCATGCTGTGGTACGTAAAGATCGAAAGTGCAACAACGAAGATAACGACATTCTTCGTGAAAGCTTTGTCGCCGGATGGTTGCTCGATCCAGTCGCCACTTGCGCTGACCCGCCAGGACTCATCGTGCTGCACTTCAACGGAATTGAATGTGCCATACGACTCAGATGTCAAGTCGACCGGCGCATCGGCCATGGCTCCCTGGGGTGTGAGACCTGAATAACGCCTGGGGCGTTCGCTAGTGGGAGCTGAAATTAAGGGCGTAGTTGCTGTAGCCGTAGCGTTGCCGACTGAGTGGTTCTCAATTCGCTTGTCAGGGTGGGTCTCCTCTAGGAGGAAATATGCCATAATCATTGACACAACGAGTAAGGAAGAGCAGACAAGATTGGGCAAGAGATACGGGAACGTCGCAAACAGCCCTGCGGAGCTAAACAGAGTCGGGAAATTTTCGGCAGGTTGCGAGAACAAGCCACCGATAGATGCTGCACGGTCAGTTACGGATGGAAAGACATTTTTGGGAAGAGCAATCTTACGGCCGATGATAGTACCAATACTCCATACAAACGGCATGACGGCGTATGCCCTTGGTTCATGTTCCGGGTTCCTAACTAGCTCGCCCACCATGGTTTGTATTACTCCTAGAGGCCGTCAGTCAATCAATCGAACGCTGTCCAGAAGTAGAGCACGCTCGTACCGATGTTGCCATTGAGTGCACCGCCAATAATTCTCCCAGCGATAGCAACCCAGAAGTTGGGCGCGAAACCAACGAGCAAGAGAGAAATGATAGTACCCGCGCATCCAACAAAGACGACAGGCTTACGACCGATTCTGTCAGACAGTGCGCCCCAGAACATACCACTGCACGCTTCGGACTGCAACAAGTTTTAGCGGGATCGACAATCGTACATGTAGAGTTTACCAGCGAGAAGGCAGATATGAGCAGTCCAGCGAAGAAAGGCGCATTGGACTCTGAAGAGATTTCGAAGCTCAGAACAAGTTTCCATGCATATGGTAGGATGCTTGTCAAGGCAATAGGCTCTGCGACTCGCACAAGTGCTGCGAAGATCCATCAGTCCACGTGATTTATCAATGCGACGCTGTTCGATCTTACCAAGCAGGAAGAGTTGAGCTGCAGGGAACGCATTTTCGTCGGCGGTTCGAGTGCTGCTTCTTTTTTTGGTGAGAAAAGACATATCCGTCAACATGACTTGGATCTTACGGCTTCGCCACCACGCAGCGTCCACAAGCTCGGAGGAAGAAGACCTGTGTTAGTAGAGCTTTCTTCTGCGTATGGCCCTAGACCCAGATCAAACACAAGGAAAAACCGAATGCAGAAGGAGTGAAGTGAAACACGAGAGCGAGGTTGAGGAATGAGAGTGACGAAGGGGAGCGAGAAGTGAACCGGCTCGCCGCTTCTGCACATAGGGTCATCGGTGCGAGGGCCGATTGGAGCTTGGCAGGGAAGGCGATAAAGCGATAACGCGAGGCGGTCTGCTCGCGTGCACTCCGCGGGCGCAGTTCGACCACTCAAGGTACGATGCTCGTCGGTCAAGAACACGGACTGCAGTTTGTTCCTCCCATGTCTCACTCGCTGTTACAGCAGAGTCGTGTGGAATTGTGTGAGATACCTCCGGGTTCAGCCACAATTACCCCACACGGCAAGCGCACCCGAGACGCTAGTCCGCTTTGCGTCCAACACTCAAACCCCGAACCAAGCTGTGAGCCTTCAACAGACAATATTATGTGCGACAGTCCTGCACATTGAGAAAAAAACGTGCGCTAGCTTGTTCCTTAACCATGCATCTTTAACTCAATAGGCCACGTCCATTCTGTGCGCAATGTCAGGAGTGCTCCGGCTTCGGCCAGATTGCAGTACTGTGCGGATACGCAGCCACGCAACACGACTAGGTAGTGGTGACCACAGTCATCTCTCTCGTTTCTATTTGCTTCAAACAGGTATCACAAGACTGATGTTATGCTTGGACGTTGCATCTGGACATCGGACCCTTATCTTCGCAGATTGGCATCAACTTCCACAGAGCAATCACCTGCTCACACACTTCAGCTCTAGTAGTACTCAGAAATACTAGTAACAACCGGAGCAAGGCACCAAAGAAGCTAGATAGTGACTGACCTCTGGCGAACAGATTAATTTCTGTTGATCGCTGTCAGTCTGGCCCAGGTTACCAGTGCCGATATTGCCTCAGTAAAGGATGGTCGACAGGTGCCTCATGTGGTCTCATTGGTTGCTTCTGCAAATGCCGGTCAGCACGACGACTGATGTTCACCAGACACCGACGAAGGCACTGTGGCTGCTTTTAAGGTAGGAACAAAGTCTGATAGAACACAACCCTTGTTGTCACAACCCGCTTCAGAGTTTGGATATGCTCACGTGGCTAAAATCAGAGAGTGGACTTCGCCAGCGTCGAGATGAGGAAGCCGGTTTTGTGAGATCATGGAATCTAGGTAGGATACATTACAGTGATGTGATTAAGAATGTTTATGATTCCGAATAACATCCTCGGCACAACCATAATTCCTAGAGTCGTTCAAGGAACATATCATAGCCAAGACCTGACGTACGCCGGGACGAGCCGCAAGGTCATGTAACGAAGTGGTCTGCTGGATACGGCTGCACCTGGTTATTCGCATCGATGTCAGACGCTTCAGTGATAGCTCTGACTTCAGCCTTTTTTTGTTGGCCTGGAGCCTGTGTTTGTGGAGATGTTTACCATTGACCTACTTGAAAGCAAAATCAGATCGAGAAGACTCCTGAGATATCCGGTAGTCACTGCCCTGATCTGGAAGTCGTGACGGCAAGAGAATCTGCCTGGTGCTGTGAGTGTCTCATCCAGGGATGTCTTTCATCAGCTCGATGTTCGGCGGCTATCAGCGAATAGGACCTCAATTCTAACTCTTGCACTTTCTGATTCCAACTCCTGACGTACTTTTGATTTTGAGACAAGTCAGTACATCATGTCGATATTAGTATTACTTTCCCTCAAACGTGCTGATTAAGGTTCGTCTTTCTGGATTCGCTACTTACACATTATGGCCATAGTCCCACATGAATTGAGTCGGCTATCAGATGTGACTGGCGTAGTCGCTAGCGTCTACATCGGGCGAAAGGGTTGGCACCAACACATCCTTCGGCTTACCTGACCAAGACAGTGAGAGAGCATGTAGCCAATGACACGCTCAAGCTAGGTTGCCACCCCTCACGAGAGGATCGACGGCCGGGGCATGTGCTGATGTGCACTCGGATGCAGTGGGGCGTCGGGACACTGCGGGGTAGCTTCCGCTGAGACAGGGCTGGCTAGCTCTACTTGTACAACATCAGAGTACAAGCAGTACATAAACCCCGCAAGAGCTGAAAATGGGTCAGCAGACAACATAGCACTCTGGCATTTTCCACACCCAAGATGACGATTCAAGTCTATTGCGATCCGTGTACGGTCAACTCCCGCAAGGTTCTTGCTGGGCTGGATCAGATGAAAGTCAGTCTATAGCCCTGAGTTTAAAGATACTAGTCACTCCTAACCACTGCTTAGGCGGACTACAATCAGAACTACATCAACTACTTCACGGGCCAGCACAAGAGCGAGGAATTCAAGAAGATCAACCCACATGCAACCGTCCCAGCTGCTACAGACGGCGACCTGGTCATCACCGAGTCCAATGCGATTCTGGCGTATGCTGCAGATGTTTCTGGAGCCGAGTCCATGTACCCGAAGGATCTCAAGCAGCGCGCCCTAGTCAACAAGTGGCTTCTCTGGGAGGCCTGTCAATGGTTCCCCTCATGCTACATCTACATAGTCGAGAATGTTGTGAAGCCTTTACTGCAGTCTGAACCAGACCAAAAGGTCCTTGACAGCGAATCAGAGCGTTTCAACACGCTCGCTGGAATCCTCAACGATCAACTCGGGAAGACGAAGTGGCTCACTGGCGAGAACGTCACGATTGCGGACTTCGCGGTCGCGGCGCCCATGCATCTCCACGAGGCATCGCGTTTCCCGCTCGAGAAATACCCGAACCTCAAGCGGTGGATGATAGAGGACATGGAGCAGCTCGATGGCTGGAAAAACACGCAGGGAGCCGTCGACAAGGCGCTGCTCTCCAACGCAACGAGCAACGGCCAGTCAAAGACCGCACAGCCTGATGTACGTACCACCGTCAATTACACCCGCGAGGTAGACCAGCTCACGGAGATCTACTTCTATGAGACCGAGAAAGCTAAGGGCATCCATGAACCAGGCGACTCGGCAGTAGAGATCACGGTCGCGGACGCGTGGCCGCGCGCGCACGACTTCACGCTCGACAAGAACGGCTTCTCGCTGCACGCATTCACGTCGCGGCACAGCAACTGGGAAGACGAGCAGCACGTGCGCACGCAGTTTTACCCAGAGGTGGTGCAGTTCCTCAAGCGCGAGCTCGGCGTCCAGCGCGTGCTTGTCTTCGATCACACGATACGCACTGAATCAAATGCGCAGAAGGCGCTCACAGACGAGAAGAACACGTCCCAGCGCTCGCCTGTCATGCTCGTGCACTGCGACTACACTGCTGAGTCGGGCCCGCTGCGGGTGCAGCAGCTGCTTGGCGACGAGGCGGCGGACCTGCTCAAGCGGCGTGTCGCATTTATCAATGTGTGGAAGCCCATTAATCGTGTTGTGGAGGAGCGCCCGCTCGCCATGTGTGACGTTCAGTCGTGCGAGGACAGCGATTTCTTCAAGCTGCATCTGCGATACCGTGACCGCAATGGTGAAAACTATGTTATGAAGCACTCACCGAAGCACAAGTGGTATTACTTCCCCAAGATCACACCAGAGCAAGTTATTCTCCTCAAGGTAAGACTGTTGACGCGCAAAAGGGAGACGTGTGGGCTGACCGCTGTAGACTTTCGATTCTTCGCCTGATGTGGCTCGCTTCGTAGGCCATACTGCGTTCAAAGACCCGACCAGCCCTCCAGATGCCCCACTGCGTGAGAGTGTTGAGATCCGCACCATATGCTTCTACTAGTGTCTAATACAGATAATTCAGGTGCTCAGCTCATTTACCGTTCGTGCCGTGATATGTACTAGTCAGGGTGCTGTCTGGTGGATGATTACGTTCACCGCTCTAGTGCAGGGCTTCCAGCTAAGTTGGGATCTAGCCCTAGGCTTCAAAATGAGACCCAAATTTTGCGAACTCTTCCTCTATTCGAAACTATTGTGTTAGAGTGCACTTCGCTGAACGGCGTTGATAGCTATGTCGACTGCATAGGACCGTTCCCTGGTTCACTGCCGTAAAGGACACCGGACATGATGGTGAGAGACAGCTCAACATCCAAGCTCAAGTATAGTGAGCGTTGGGCTGGCGTGAGTATTACAAGAATGAATTATTCACGTATCAACACGGTTGCTGGCTTTGCGCCAAATATGCATCAGACACAGTCGATCACTGCAATTTGTCTGAGCAGGATTGGCAAAGGATGAATTGATTGCATGTCTTCCAATGAGATAGGCTGGCACCAGCGAATCAAATAGCCTTGCGAACACTTACCCCGCCCCCAAGCGCTCGTGGCACATCAGAGGTGATCTGTTTGGTCTCAGCATTGAGGTCTTACTGGAATTGCGGTTGCACTGCGCATTCCCGCTCGTACAATGTGGAATGAGCAGGCAAATTTCGTGGGCCTTATCTTTCGAACGCCAGAAAGAATATTTCCAAAATACTTCAGCACTTGTATCAAACTGAGGACTTTCTATTGCCTGTCAGATGCCTTCCTCCAAAATGACACCCGAAGACTCCATGAAGATCACACGCAGTGATCTGAAACAGTCCAGTCGTTCTCCTGGAGCGTCTATCGACGACGTGCAGCACCTCGCCTCATACAACTGGATCGACGCTTTGACACCTGTGGTTGTCGTTCCTGGCGTTCCACCTCTCTGGTCGCCCCCGAGACTGTCTCAACAACTACCAAAAGATTCTGGCCTCGTCTACATAAACCAAAACGCAGCTCGACACCCAGACAGTCCACTGGAGCCCTTGTTCCGTGCCTTGTACATGACAAAGCCATCCTTTGATATAGGCGCAGTCAATGTTGTGACCGATCGAAACAACATACGCAAACTACTGTCCTTCGTGATGGTGGATGTCGACAAGGAAAGACCAGATTCATTTACTATTGACGTGGAGATGGTCAAGAACACAGCGTTGTTGTGCCGCAATAGCCCGCTCAATCAAGAACACATAGGGCCGCATGACTTCAGAGGCTATGGCCATGAGTTCGAAAGAACATACACCAAGACTCAGATCCCTGGGAGCACCGGACATCATCGGATCATCTCTTATCGCTTCTGTGGTATGACCTTCGTCGTTCGCCATGAGACAGATGGATACTACGACTCTAATGCGGGAAACAATTCCAACGATAGCGCAAGCACTGGACAAGACGGCATACTAGCTGGCAAGCTAAGCTCTCTGTCAATATCGCCATCCAACGAGGTTCCATGCCATACCACTACTGGTTCCAAGCTAGCAACCAAGACAGAGGGTTACGAGGTTCCTCTCTCAGCCACCCTTGAGATCAAGACTCGCGCCTCTCACAGAGTTCTGCATATTGCAGATGTTGCACCCCAGCTTTGGGTCTCCCAGACACCAAACCTAGTGCGGGCGTACCATTGCCGGGGCAGATTTGAGGTGCCGTTAGTAGAAGACGTCTCGGATGATATCAAAAGTTGGGAGTTGGAACATGAGCAATACCTACAGGACCTGGCTTTGGTCATCCAAAAGATATCGGATTTTGCGAAGCAGTGTGGCGGAAAGGCCGTCGTCACTTACGATCGATTCCTGGATACCTTGGTGTTGCGGAAGGCCGAGCTGAAACGTATGCTTCCTGACGATTTGTATCGTCACTGGACCGATCGTACAGATTCATTCTCGATAGAGCAGACTCGAGACGAGGTAAGCACAGGATCTAATATATGATCAGTCAAGCTTATGGATCTAGTTGATTCCACAGCCAGAAGTTGATCAGATGTCACAAACCATGATCACGATTGGCGACCAAGAATACTCGATCGATATATCTCAGATACCATACCTTTCTTCGTTCAGTTCTTTCCAGAGAAAAGCTAATCCCAATGAGGGAAAGCTTGCACACGGTCCCATTCCCCTTTTCGACGTAGCCTTGAAGGGCCTTGAATCAGGCTACCGCCACTGCTTCCGCGGTATCTCTGCCGACCTCTCGCAGTATCACACCCTCTGCGATACGTACGAACTCCTTGGGGTAGATGTCTGTAGCGGCCAAACTTTAGACGAGCTTGTGCAAGATCTGAAGGCTGGAAAATCCGGATATGAACTGGAATACAAGTACTACACCTCAACTAGGGGGGATAAGACCAAGGCTCGCGACGCGGCTTTCAAGTTCCTGTACCTCTTGTTGCTAGGAGAGTTCCAAGATGAGCACAAGGTTTCCGCAAAGGTTTACAGCGCAGTACTATTCGTCATCAGTCATCCTGCGACCTTTCGATCCCGAGCTCGGATGGTTATAAGGTTGGCGTACGAGGAGCGTTTCGTAGCGACTAAGAAGCAGAAAGCCGATCTGGACAAGTGGGACAAGAAGTTCGCTGAGTATGGACAGAGCGAGGAGGATGTGACAACCTCGGAAGAGTCGGTTTATGTCGATAGCGACTCCTCATAGGGATGAATCGACATCTGACTGCGAAAGCTATCTCCTCCATTTCCGTCGAAAATGCAGTACGTAAGCGTGTTAGATTCGTCATGTTCGTGATTAGACTGGAGTAAGGCGAATAGCTCCATATGTCCTCCAGATCCAAACTACGCTCATCGATTATGGTAGGTCGTATGCACCTCTTCTGACATATGGGGAATGGCCAAAATCCAAGTGTTGTGAATTCTTCGCACGTCTCACAACTTTGTTTGATTACCTCAATTGTATCCGCTATCGTGCATGCGTAGAAGTGCTGCTACCTTTCCATTCGCAAGCACAAAACATTTGCTCTTACGGCATAGAAGAACGCCTGTGACAAAGCCCGAGGATTTCTTCTGACAATGTCGTTCTTGTAGAATAGTAACGTGAAATCCTTGGGTGATGTGCTTGCGACGCCCCCTCCCAGGCTCCCACGTTGAGACTTTGATAGCCAAAGATCAGGTGTCGCTTACATGATACGTACGAACAGCTTACATCCTGTATCTGATCGTTATGTGATGCTAATATAAGCTTTGCACTTCATTCTTGATGCTCTGACAAGCTTGGAGGTTCAGTTGAGCACCCTGGTGGTCGGTACATCCTTATAGTGTTAATTGCATTAGACTATCCTTTGAGTGGCTAAGAATGTGCGACGCTAATTGTCTCCATGTACATGTAACTCCATCCCACGGAGCATTTACGACAAATGAATCACGCTTTCAATTGAAGAGGGTTGCAACTGCCGTGTCGAAAAGACTTGGACTTTAATGTCTCTCCTATACTCGTCTCCGACACACAAACGAAGTCCTAACAGTTCTCGATCGGGTCTTAGAATGCTCCCGGCTTACCAGCAGTTCCTGGCCCACTAGATGCTTGATTGACAATTTGCGCAATTAGGAACGTGTCCAGTTCGCTGTGTAAGTCCAGAACGGCTGTCGTTGGCATGGTATCCATCCCAAGTAACGCCGCGAACCAGACCGCCGATTTTTAGGCACAGCAGCAACAGCGTAGTAATCCGCTGCTGCGACTTTTAGCAGGTGGATATCCAGATCTTGTAGTACTTGTGCATCTGCTAACAGGAAGACGTGGTGCCATGCACTTCTATCCACGTGCATTGATGGATCTCCAGTTCCCTCCAAATAGAGTTGCCGGGCTTGTGGCAGATTTGCTAGCCAGGCGACCAGCATGGCGCCGCGGGCATCGAAACTCGTCACGATGGCTGGGAGTATGAGTTCAGATGCTGTGCCCCATTCTATTGGCATCCCTGATCTCATGAGGGCCAAAGTCAGAAATATTGTAGCCAGAATCATCGATACCATGCTGAAATTGTCAGTCGGAACCGGCGGCTGGAGACAGGGTACGAGGCTTAGCTCCAGAACTTACAAATTTGCACTGGTCCAGGCTCGCTTTCCGCCAAGCGTGGAAAGGATTTGTTTCTTCTTAACATGCCATGGTTGTGGTCGAGGCGTTTCACATTGTTTAGAAAGTTCACGCTGCGAGAGCATACACTTGCCCTTGGTGATAACCTCTGGATTTCCCAGGAATGTAGCGACAGCATCGCCGACAGTGAAGATGTGCCCGGAAGAACATGTGCGGATAGTCAAGAAAATGCCAACGATCTTCACCATGTTCGAAAGTATTACAACCGCGAGGAACGGAAGTCCGATCTGTACCTTGCTAGCGTACGGGCGAACTCTAGCAAATGCGTAATTGACGTGAAAAGAGGTATGCGTGGGTCGGGCGAGCCAGCCAGTTCCTTTACAAAGGCTCAGCTGGCTATGGTATCGATCCGGTACTCTCACTTCGTCAAATTTGGGCCACAGGCGCTGGACATCGAGGTTGTACTGGCTACTGTCGTTGATAGGATAAATAACCTTGTAGAAATCAAGCCCAGCTGGTATAAGAGTTGAATCGCTTTTGTTGAGTATAGTTGGTATGCTCATTTGTCTCAAATCGTAGGCGCTCTCCCAATCACAGGACTCCGACGGCGACATCTCGAATGCAAAGGTCCAGTTGGAACTAACAATTACCCGGGAGGACGCGTTGTTGAGTACTAGAAGCAAGTCGCTGAAACCAGACACGTATTCGTCGTTGTACGTCTTTGTCCACTCCGAGTTAGTCATCATTTTCCAGCTGGTATTATTTTCGAGAGGTTCTGTCAGATCTGTAATTGCTGTTATGCTGTAGTCCTGGCCACTGGTAACCTGAAAAACGGCCGTTGTAACTACACGAAATCAGACTGTTTCGCATGCGTAGTAAATCAGGCTTACAAAAGATGTAGAGGTGCAGAGCTGGCAGCGAGTGCCCACCAAAGGACCACCCTCCTCTTTCGGATATGTCGTAAGTTGCGCATGCTCATCAATCCGACCTTCAACCGTTTACCGTTCTGATGCGCAAAATCAATCTCCTCTCGTGTAGGAGCGCACAGGATTTGCGTAGCGTAGTTGCTCGAGGCCAGGAGGACTGTGCGCAAGACGTTGATGAAGACATGGAACGCCGTACTCAGGTGCGACACCGTTTTCATGTCGCCCTGAAGATTGTGGCGATGCTACTTTTCACTCCGCCATGCGTGAGCAAGCCGTAGAGCAAGAAAGCAATGTTGCTCAAGAGGACTGCTAAGCATGCGTAAAGGCCAGCGAATAGACCAAACCTCCAGGTCTTTGGCCCGATCCGTTGCTCCAGACGAGCCGGGAACTTGAGCTTAGGAAGTCTGAAGGCGTGGCGCAAGGACGAAGTATCGCGGTTCGAACCATCTGCGATCTCGAAAGTCGAACATCTGAGAGGGCTTCTGTCGGAAGCTTCACCAGATCACCGGCTATCGTGCTCATTGTCCGTTTCGATGTGGCAGAGCTCAGTGCCAGATTCCACTGGTTCGTAGTGTTGGTCCATGATGACAGCACAAGTGTGCTTGGAGGGTAATGGATGTGGAAGAAGGCAGAAGATTGTGATGAACAGTTCGCCTGGGTAGACCAGGCTGAAACAACTCCAAGTCAGCCCCCGCTCCAACAAGGCTCGCACAAGCATGATGAAAGTGGTGGCACACGGAATGACACCAAAGTACTTTATTGGCGCAGCCACAACACCCATTGAAACCTACGAGTGTTGTCAAGTCTTTTGACTAGTGCGAAGAAACAGCAGTTTCCTTGTCTCTTGTCGGTTACAATCTGCTTATGAATTTGGTGTTGTTGTACTAGCATTGAGAGCCTCGCATGCCCATGACAGACTGTAGCAAGAATTGTCAGTCTGCTCCGGCCCCCACATTCAGCCTTGTGAATTGACACAGAAAGGGTGGTCAGGTCAGTGCCAGTTGACTGCCTCCATCATCCATCGACAAGCAATCAATGGCTCTGATGCAGTCAAATAAATTGAATTCCTTGCGCGTTGTCAGGCTGGAGAGCGCAAGACGTTTCTAGTATGATCGCCGGCCGTAAATTCGTTCGCGTGCACTCGGCAGCTTTTGTTCAAAGCGATTACAACAGCTGAAGCCACGTTGTTTTATCATATACCAGAGCCACTGTCGGGGTCTCCGTTTGCCTGTCGAGACCGAGCTTCCGGCACATCCGGCCCCGCAGCGGCTGTGCTGCTTCCTGTGTCTTCCTTTGGCCGCGCCAGGCTGAATCTTCTGCGATGCCCGTTCGGTCGTGCTGTGAGGCTCGGTGCGCGCGGTCGTGCTTTGCCTCGAGCACGGCCACCGACCACTGGCAGCTCGTAGGTAGCAGCGCGGAAGACGTAAAGGACCAGGTCATAAACGACGAGTATGGCCCATGGACCGATCAATACGATGCCAAAGATCAGCTATCAACACAGTCAGTATGGCAACGAAGAAGTGATTAGCCATTCTTACGAATACCCGCGTGAGCCATGTCTCGACAGTAGAGAAACTGGCTGGAAGAATAGACAGCAGACCCATCGTGTCAGCGAGCGAATGCAATCTAGCTACTCAATCGAGGTGATCTAGCTGTTCAATCGAGGCGACGAGGCGACGAGGCCAACTTCCCCATCGACCTGGGAGAGATACGAGGAAGTCAAGCGGAGGCCCGGGAGTAGTTCTAATCTTCGGTAGCGTGATTGTTGAGACGCGACTGCCCGCCGAAACCCTGCCCGTCATCTGTGGCTGAAGCTCGCGCATGGGCCTCCGCCCCGCTTTGCGCCTCAACACCACACTCCGCAGCTGACCTCTCAGGCATCCATGCCAAGGCGATACAATGCCAGGAGCAGCCATTGGACGGCATCGGCTGAGCCTGGCCGATCAAATGGCTGCTGCCGCTTCGTACCGCATTGCTCGGGCGTTGCGAGCTCCCCCGCCCGTCGTGACACATTCACGAACAGTCAACAAGCAACTGCAGTCGAACCCTGAGTCAATTGTGTGCATCTAGGGAGTAATCGTTGTGAACAGAAATCGCTGTCATTGGAGCGGAGTAATCGATCGACTGCAAGCTGGCCACCCTCACAGTCACGCTGTAGCCTAATCCGCAGCCGGTCAGTCGAGCCTTGTCAGACTGGCCGCACCAATTCCCTTTCATTGAAATAATCTCGCCGTCACTTCACTCTGCATCTACTGTACTGTTTTATTCTTATTGTTCATTGACCGCAACGACGCTCTGCTCGGTCGCTGCGACGTAGTCCCGCCAGCCGACAGGCCAAGGACCCTGGAATTGGCGCAATGAACGACCTCACTTTCCTCGACGAGGAGCTCGCCAGCGACTACGGCGCCAGCGACGCAATCCTGAAGGCTGTTCTGCCCGGCGGCAAAGTCGTCCACATCTCAGACGCCGTCAGTCCGTACAAGTTCTTAGATGCGTGTCCGCTGCTGTACCACGCCTTCGAGTACAACGCGCAGAGCCGGCTCCAGGCAAGCATCGATGCTTCCTCCGAGACTCCTGTCATAGCGCTGGCCAGATACTGCTACACTGGCAGCTATCTCGCCGCTGAGCCCGGCGGCGAGACCATCATGCTCCTGCAGCATGCCGAGACGTACAAAATCGCCGAGGACTTTGATGTCCCAGAACTGCAGATCATGGCACATGGGAACTTCTCCTGCCAGATCGAGTACTCGTGTTGTTTGCCGAATCCCCCAGAGGACCTGCTCGACACGATCAGGTTCATCTACCGGTACTTCGCCAGTGACGAAGCACGCCGCAAGCACAACCTCGTCGACACACTGCTCAACTACTGTGTCGCAGTCTATCTCTACCACAAGCTCGGCGAAAACCTGGACTTCCTAACCGCTGTCCACAAGATCGCAGCTTTCCGTCAGGATCTCTGCCGAACGAACATCGCTCGAAACTTCGAGGACGCCTGTGAGTGATGCTCATAAATTCCACTATACCTCCTAACCCCTCCAGGCGCCGCAGACATCATCCGCCTCCCATCCGGCCCCGTCGCCGAATCCAGCAACGCCCTCGCATCCCGCCAGCTGCCAAACGAAATGCTCTACGACCTGCCCTACGACCCCGCGCTCCCCGCCCTCCCATCCACTCGAGCCTGCACCGGCGAAGAAGGCGAAAAGGTCACACTCGCATACCGCCGCGGCCAGCTGTGCGTCAAAACGCCCCGCCAGCAGCTCCCGGACCGGTCCAAGCACTGCGCCTCGCCCGCAGCGCTCACGGCCGCGCTCGAGCGCTACAGCCGCAGCCGTAGCCGCCACACGCCCGCGGAAGACGCCGCGCGCAGCTCGAAACGGGTCCGCTTCGATGCAGAGTTCGAGGCCGAGCCGCCGCTGCGCGTGGACCAGGCGTGCTCCCCCGCCGCCGAGGCCTCGTACTGGTCCAGCGCGTTTGCGGTGCCGGCGGCTGCGTCTGCGTCTCCGTCTGCGCTGCCTTGTCTCCCGCCCGCCGCTGCACCACCTTCCTTCCCACCTGTTGCCGCCGCATCTCCATCCCCTCCCCCCATCCCCGCTTCCCCTCCCCCGTCGTACGCCGCCGCGGTCCCTACGCCCCCCTCGCTGCCGCACCGCCCACACCTCCACCCCGACACCCTCATCCTCCCCACAGACCCCGCAAGCCCAGACCCCGCAAACCCAGACCCTGTACGCGAAGACTCCGCAAGTGAAGACGAAGGTTTCGCGCTCATCGCGCACCCACAGCCCGGCTCGGCGCGAGACAGTCCCATGTCGAGCCCTGAGCTCGTGGGCGTGGAGTGCGAGATGGAGATTCCTGCGTTGAGTGGCGGGGGAGTGGCGAGGGAAGGGGACGGGGAGAGGGATGTGGAGAGGGATGGGGAGGGCAGTGAGGATGGCGAGGGGGGCTGGGTGGAGTTGTGAGGTCGTTCACGGTCTCACCCGGATTCCTCGGTTTAAATCTCTGGGAGTATAAAATAGTCTGCGGCGTTTCGTGGCGTCTTGTGGCGTTGGATCAGTCTTCGGAGGGAGGGAGGGCGTGTTAGGTTCCGGTCTGGCTTTGGCCTTGACTCCGGATTGTTGCATGCAAAGGCAGGTAGGGTGGAGTCGGTACACGGTCCACGGTACACAGTACACAATGCATGAGCTACCGTGCAGCTTCGATTTCCCTGCCCCTCAAAATTGACATGTCAAGCTTCACTCGTGTGTGCTCTACTCGGTCTACGCCTCGCCACCGTCGCTGGGGACTCGCGTCTTGGTTCTCTTTCCACCACTCATACTCTCTACTATATCCCCTCCCCCTCTCCACTCTACCCTCCCCCCCATCTCAGCTCTACACTCTACACTCTCTCCCCTCTCCGCTCTGCACTCTACACTCTCCGCCATATCCCCCTCCCCCGCTGCAATTTCATCGCCCGCGGAAATCCATCGCCTGTGCAGAGACGCAGAGGCTTAGAAACGCAGAAACGCAGAGACGCAGAGGTGCAGAAACGCAGAAGCGCATGGTGCAGGATTGTAGAGACGCGGAAAGGAAGGGTCCTACAGCGTGGAGCGTGCAGCGTGGAGCGTGGAGTAGGCGAACAGTAGGCGAACAGTGTATATATGGTGTGTATAGTGTGTAGTGTGCTGTGTAGAGCGCAGGCAAGTCGCGGAGCGGATGGGGGGTGGTTGGAGAGCAGTGCGGGAGAGCAGGGTAGGGTTCGGGAGAGCAGGGTAGGGTTCGGGAGAGCAGGGTAGGGTGCGGGGTGTGGGGGAAAGCAGTGCAGAGGACAGCGGTGCAGGGTGAGAGATAGCGGTGCAGTGCAGAGAGACATCAGAGCAGGAGACAACAGAGTAGGCGAGCCATCAGCACCCTGCCAAACCCGGTGCCAAATCCGGTGCCAGTGTCAGTGCCAAGCCCCATGTCAGTGCCAAATCCCATGTCAGTCCCAGTGTCAGTGCCAGTGCCAGTGCCGGTATCAGTATCAGTACCAGCGCCAGTGCCAGCGCCACTGCCAGTACCAGTGTCAGTGTCAGTGTCAGTATCAGTGCCGGTGGCAGGGGATGCATCATGCGACCTCAAGCGGTCTAAGCATCTACGCGCACCGTGGACACACGATATCGCGGCTGAGATATGCGCTCCGAGGTGGTGATGGGAGATGCATTATCTTTTGTCTTTTGTCTTTTGTCTTTGCGAAGGCGGAGCGGTGGAGGGGGCGTGAGAAGGCGGGGAGATGGGTTGTATAATAGTGTGGTGTGGTGTGGTGTGAGGCGATGTGAGGCGATGTGATGTGATGCAGTTCAGTTCAGTTCAGTTCAGTTCAGTTCAGTTCACTTCACTTCAATGCAATTCAATGCAATTCAGAATACCAGCCCAGCCCCAGACCGAAACCAGGACCACGACCGCAAACGCCAACGCGAACGCGAAACCCACCCCGGCCATAGGCCACAGAACACAGTCGCACTACCTCCCCCTCCTCCGCCCAGGCGTCCGCGCCTCCTCGCGCCCACTCCCGACACCACTCCCGACACTACCCCCCGCCCAGCGCAGGCGTGCTCTGCGAATGCACCAGCGGCGGGGGCTGGATGAAGCCCCTAACTTCTCCTTCAGTCCCTCTACCTTCTAAACTCCTGCCCTCCAAGCCCCTGCTCTCTATCCCTCTACCCTCTATCCCGCCAAACCCACCCCACGCCGCACCCTCGATATACATCTGCCCCCCCGGCGTCTGCGGCGCGTGCCGCGGCGTCACAGGCGGGTAGTCGTAGTGCGGCGGCGGCGGTGGCGGGGGGGAAGCGGTGGAGTGGCGCAGGAGGGCGAGGGCGTAGTTGGAGAGGGTGAGGCCGGTGAAGAGGAGGGCTGTTAGGAAGATCTGGGGGGTTTGTTAGCTGTGCTCGGGTGTTTGGTTTGTTTGAGGTGTCCGCCCCCTCGCTTGCTCGCGATCTTCTAGGGTAGAGGGTTGCTTGTTCACTTGCTTGCTCACCCGCTCGCTCGCTCGCTCGCTCGGGATGAAGTAGTGAAGTAGTAGAAAAATAAGACGTACCATCGACTTATAACTAAACTCCTCAAAAAACCCATTAATAATATGCGCAAACGCCTTGACCGACACACTCGCGCGCGCCAGCTTCTGCGGATCGCGACTCATACACGTCTCCCAGTTCGCACACGGCGCCTCCATGTAGTGCGTGCGGGACTCAGGCTCGCAGTGGTTCTCGCGATAATTCTTGACGCACTGCGCAATCTCCACCATCAGCGCCGCCTGGTGCCTGTGCGCCTCGATCGTAATGTCCGCCGTCACGCTGTCGTAGATCAGGTACACGCTGTACAGGAACGCGAGCGCCAGGACCGCGTTGATGCTGAACTGCAGGTAGTACGATAGCACGGACGGCAGGCTGGGGTGCGCTTCGATCCAGTGGAAGAAGGCGGCGATGCTGGCGGTGGCGGGCTGCTCGCGGCTCGCGGGGGCGCGCGGCGGGTCGGGGTCCGGGTCTGAGGCGTCGGGGTCGTCGGCGCGCAGGGAGTGTTTCCTGCGGGTGCGGTCCGGGCGGTCGCGCGAGCGGCGCTTGACGACGCGGTTCTCGAGCTTGTCGGCGTAGTGCTTGCGCGAGACCTCCTTCTCGAGGTCGCGGATGGCGCTGCGGTCGCGCGCGGCTTCTTTGGCGGGGCTCGGGCTGCCCGCGAAGTTCTTGATGGCGCGGAAGAAGCTCTGCCGCCGCCCGGGCTTCTTCGGGCTCGGGCTGTCCATCAGCAGCCGCATCTGGCCGGCCATTTGTGTGTCGGGCGTGGGCTGCTCGCTGTCGAGCGCGGGCGTGGTCGGCGTCTCGCCGCCGGAGCTGAAGTCGAAGTCGGCGGCGGGCGTGCGCGGCGTCCACGTGTTGTTGACGTGGTGTGGTATCGACGGGATGGGCCGGCTGCTGCCCGGGGTGAAGTTGAAGGGCTCGCGCGCGCGGCTCGGGGTCGCGAAGGCGTTCTTGGACGGCGAGTCGAAGCCGTGCTTGGTGGGCGACTCAGGGTGCGGCTGCCCTCTGTTCCGCTGGGGCGTCCCCCGTGCTAGGAACGGGTTGGGGCCTGCGGGATCAAGCCCACGTTTCCTCGCGCCGACATGCGCCAGGAACGGCGAGGCGGCGTCGACAGGGCCGTATTTGTTGTCGTATTCAAAGTCCATGGGCGTCAGCGACTCCCGCGTGCCTCCGCGCGACATCGTGTTCTGAGGTGAAGGCAGTTGCGCCGGGTTGTGCGGTGGAGGGGACTGTGGTTGCTATGTAGTTGGCCGGTAAACAAATGTAGTGCGGCGGCGCTTATCGATAGCGCGAGCTGTGTGACGTATTCACTGTGCGTGGACGTGAAACAAAGCATAGTGCCTAATCTGTATTAGTATGCTTGATGTGGTAATATTTCAATGTTTGCGCGTGGAGAATGAAACGAAAGCATAATCATAGTCTACCTAATCGGCAACATCCATGCTATTCACTACAGCGGTCCACGCGTGAACAAGAAACGAAAGCATAGTCCATGTCTACATGATCGGGATCATCATCTACAACGGCTTTGCCCCCTTCGGCAGCCTGACCTTGAACACCAGCACCTGCGAGTCGAGGTCAAACCCCGAAGCATCCCTGTACGCCTGCTTGCCAAAGTTGATATACCCATTCTGCGTGATGAAGTCGTTATCCGAGAACGAGATCAAATAGTACTCCTTGCCCTCGCCCTTGGTCTCGAAGTCGCCGTCCACCGGCCCCAGCGCAAAGCTCTCCCACTTCTCGTTCAGCAGCGCCGCGTCCTGGGCGCCGCCGTTGCGCACGCCGAAGCGGTTGAGCTGCGCGTTGTTGTTGAATGACAGCCAGGGGCAGTAGGTCGCGGGCACGATGTCGCTCTTGAGGACGCCCTTGTTGCTGGCGATTTGCTCGTTGAAGCCGTCGTACTTGCCCTTGATGTTGGTGGCGGAGGAGATGTCGATGACGTCGGCGTTGCGGTAGATGGATTCGGACGCGGCCTGGCCGTGGCCGGCGCCGGAGTCGCGGGCTAGCACGAGGAACTGCGTGTCGGAGATGTAGTGGATCTCTGACTGGCCGGCAACTCTGCCGGTTGAGAGTACGGGGAGCTGGACGGCGTACTCTGCCTCGAGCTCGACCGACTTGGTCTTGACTCTGTATTTGAGAAAGCGAGTGTTGCGGCGCGTGGCTGCCTTGGAGCCGCCGTCCTGGATCGTCGCACTCTGCAGCATGGTGTACAAGTACTTGCCGTCAGGGCTGGCAGTCAACGCTTCGAGACCTTGGTTGTTGGCTCGTCCAGTAGAAGGGTCTTCAGGAGTGATCTCCAAGTCCTGGTCGTAGATGGGCGGGGAGGCGGCGCTAAAGGACTCAGTGCCGTTGCGCAGCGGAACGAAAGCATCTGGAGTGCGGATGGCCTGGATCATCTTGCCCTTCTTGTCAAACTGGTACACGTATGCAGCGTACTCGTCGCTGATCCAGTAGGATCCATCGTCTCCAAGGACCAGGCCTTCGGTGTCAAGAGGCACGCGCGAGCCTCCGGTTCCGTTATTTCCAAAGCCATCACCGGTGTCTTATTTCGTCAGTCGAAGTTCTGAGATGAACATAAATCCACTCACACGTCGCCAACGGCAGGCTGGGAAAGCCATCGTACGACACGTTGCCAGTCGGGTCGAGGCCCGTCAACGGCGTGCCATCAGGCCCACTCAGCAGCAGCGTATCCAGATACGTGAGCTTGAAGTTGGGCGACGCCGGCTTCTCCACCGTCGCCTCTACAATCTCAAAGTCGAAGCTGAACTTGTGGATGCGGCTCTGCGTGTTCTGCGTGCCTTCGGTGTTCCAGCCGCGATCAGGAAGACCGTAGACGATGCCGGTGTACGCCTCTTTCTTGCCTTTCTTGCTCTTCCAGCTCTTCTTGTCGAGCGCGATTGAACTTCCAATGCCGCCAATGGTGTCGCCGAACTTGTCGCGGGCGTCGCCAGCGAGCTTGCCGTAGCCCGCAAGCGCGGAGTAGGTGTAAGTCTTGCCATTGCACGTAGTCACATTTACAGGCGCTGGCGTGCTGCCGGTTGGCTTGGCGATGGCCTGCGCAATGGGCAGAGCCAGCAGGCTGACGGGAATGGCAAAGAGCATGATGGTTGTTGGTCGTGTGCCTCACTGCAAGATTGGGAGAGTGTACTAGGTTCTTATATTGCACTGCAGACGCGGACCTGCAGCCGGGCGCGTGGGGTTAATCACCTACAAATCCATGTCTGGCTACGCACGTTGCCCATTGTTTGGCTACAGGGGAGAGGTCACTTTAGGCTCCTCGCATCGCGCCATCCGGAGCGGGAGGTGGCGGGGCGATGCGTGTTCAGGAACGCGATGATGGTTCATTGAGGCGGCTGCCAAGGGGAAAGCACATTTCGGGATACCCAATGATGCTGCCTGGAGGCCTTGCGAGCTGCAGATGAGATGGCGCACGTTGTGAGGTCGAGAGCTGTGAGTCGCTGATGGAAAGCACACGCAGGTACGCTTGCCGAGACGGGCAGGCCGCGTCGCTGGCGTAAGTTCAACTGTTGATTGCCGAGACCTGTTGGTCACGTGACGTATCACGTCACTCTCGAATTCCGTGTTTTCACGGTATTCCCTTGTTTTTCGTGTCCTCATATCAATAGAATTAGAATCATTGAACCTACTTAATGACCACGTAGATTACTTCCACCAAGACTATACTGAATCTCACGACCACTTATTTCCGCATAATTTGGATTGGTTACCTAATCATACCTAGGATTGCTTCGAAATAAATCGGCCTGTAACGACGGCATCGCGGAGTAGCCCCTCAGAAGCCTCGTTTCGGCGCCGGACTTCTCACTTCAGGCATTGGACTCCTCACTTCCGGCATTTCTAGGACTTCGTTTGGCGGCAGCTCCACGCTTGCCGTATGTGAATGCTTCACTGACTGTGACGGGTCTGAAGGCGGCGAATAGTATGGCTGCTGGTTCGCATACTGAATCGGCATATCATGAGATCCCCAAGTGTGCTGCGGCATTGGCGGTGACTCGTGGTAGTAGGTGCTGGGACTGTGATGCTCCGACCACGATGGAGGCGGCGGCGATGCCTGAGGCGAGTACCCAGACGCGTTCGGATGAGGGGATGGGAACGTGCTGGGGTATGAAGTTGTCGTCGAGGTAGCCACGAACTTCTCGGCCCCGTTGTGCTGCGGAGGAGCCTGCATGGCAGTTGCTGGAGGCGGGTCGTTTGCCTTTTGTTTGCGTCGACGGCGGAGACAGAACCACGCGAGAGCTAAGATGCCTGCTAATCCTAACACACCACCCACGACACCGCCCGCAATTGCACCAGTATTAGTACTTGAGGACGACGGGGCTGGAATGCTGCTTGAAGTGGTGGACGAGCTTGGTAGTGCTCTTGTCGCCGACCGGAGGGTAGCCGGGTAGCTGGTCTGGAAGTAGACCCTCAGATCACTGGTCTGCCAGCCCCCAGCAGGTGCTGTGACAGTAGCTTTGCCCTCAGTTCTACCTAGTGTCAGCGCTGTCTTGACCAGTCAGAGGAAAACCTACCCGCCGCCGATGACTTCTGTGATGTTGCCTGGCACGCGATATTTGGGTGCATCAACTCCCAGCCCATACCACATGGTTTCCTTTTCAACACTCTCCTGTCCAAGCAACACACCATGCTGTCCCCATGCCGTGGGCGCGTCACAGGCATCTCTTTCTGGGTTGACGACTTTTCCGCCCATGACAATCATCTTGGAGTTCTGCATGACGTTACAGGATGACCAGGCCTTCCCACCAGGGAAGTATTCTTGTTTGACTGTAGGGTACCACTGCGGATGATCAGTCCCAATCCACCAGAAGACATCACTTTGCTTACAGGTATCCATTTGAAAGACGGCAGCGATAGTATCCAGAGATCACCGAGTGCTGTCTCATTCGGGCTTATTCCGCCATAGATGTAGCTGATAAAGTGAGCATCCAATTCAGCCGTTGACTCACGACGGGTCGGTCTTACAAATTGTAGGAAGAGTAGTCCTCGGCCCAAGCAACACCTGAGCAGAACCCGCGTCTTGCCTGAGGCATCTCGCCATCTGCGGTCTGAGTAAACCATCTACTATTCGCAATGTCGAAGACGTGTATGTCCTAATACAGATGAAGATTAATATGAAGTGATGATTGCTCGGTTCGCAACTTACACTCATCGACGCCTGTGTGTGTCAGCAATTGTTGTCATGAAATCCAATCACTCCCGACATACATAGCTTGTATTACCAGCTGTCTTCTGTTCCAGCCCACCAAAGTAGACCAACATTCCTCTCTGGGACGCTGGTATATAGTGCATATTCCCCTCAGCTCGTGGCGTGCTGTCATACGACCGGTTATCCCACGTATTCTTATTCATATCGTACTGAACCAAGCCGTTCAACATGATGGTGTCACCCGCCCACCCCGCCACAGAATCATTACCCGCGTAGCCGCCGTAGTAGTACGCGACGCCCTCGTCGGTAACATCCGATGCTCCCAGAGACGGCCATAGGATGTCTAGTTGCGAGCCGTCGGGCGTGATCTCGGTCCAGTTGTTGTAGACCGTATCGAACGACCACAGGTTGTGGAAGGCTTCTACCTTGCCTTCGTTGAAGATGCCGCCGAAGAGATAGAAGTGCTTGTTGACTGTATCGGGCCACAGTACGCCGCCATGAACGCTGGGCACTTCCAGGCTCTGTGGTGTGTCAGTTGGATGTTGAAGTCTGGAGTCTTGCGTACCTTTGTGAGGTTGCTGTGTTGGGCGGGCACTCCAAGGCCGAGATCATTGAGGTCGGCCCAAAGGAGCCGTTTGTCTACGCGGTCAGTCTGAATCAGTCGATAGAGGGCGGCGAACTTACTGCTCTCTGGTTGACTGTTGGGAGTCACGCTTGTGCCGTAATAGACAAACCCTCCATCGATGTAGAGCTTGGAGTCGATGACGCACGTCTGGTGTCCATGGCGTCTGCAAAAGTTTTTTATTGGGTCATTTTGGGCTGTTGCAAGAGCGAGAAGCCCTGCGAGTAGGACCAAGAGCAATCTACACGCGGAATAGGGCATGGTGCAGACGGTGTGAGATGTGAACGTCAGGCAGAGGGCTTTGCTTCAAGGCATAGTAGTTTCATCAGAGCCTCTCCCAGTGGCGAATACGAACCTTGAGCCCAGAACTCACTTCGTGCTTGCTGCAGTCAGAAGGCTATAAATTCTTCCTCTTACGTATGTCGCAGAACTCGGGAGATCACGATTGGACAGCCTTGTGGGTGAGATTGTGATCTGACTGACTATTGGCGAGGCGAACCACAGCAGCTGCAGGCTATCTCAGCTCATACTTGGAGTGAGGTCAGGCTGTGAAAGCCCGCGCGCGGCATGAAAGGGCGCCGTAATAACTTGCAACGGCGTGTTGAGAGACTCAAAAGTCAAGTATGTGAGGTTTCCTTACTCGATGAATAATTCATGGTTCATATTTGAGATTTATCAATAGTGTTGGAAAGTGCCATCGCCAGTGGTTCGTGGTAAGTGAACGATGCGGGGTGCCGAGACGATGTCGTGCAGCCAAGCTTACTCACATCATGGCCGCAGCCATCAGACCCGCGTCAGCCGCACGCGATTATTCTGACAGCATAAGCGATGTTTCCAGAGTACCGAGAGCCACGTGCGTTCATGGGTCATCCGCGGCTACCCTCAAACCCTCTCTAGCACGATCTTCAATGCCCTAGGTTCAATAGCATGAGCTTTGCCGTCGTCACCTAAGTGGAAGACAAATTCATCTAGACCATATATACCGTAGGTGGGCCGATCGATAGCGACCCAGGAAGCACAAGCGTCCAATGGCGACCCTGTGTCTGGGAGAAAAACAGATGTGGATCTCCACGAGACCTGCTTGCCATCCTCACTCACGATGTTTGTGGGAAACATCTGGAACAATTCCGTCGGCGGCACAAATATCGCGTGCATATCAGTGCTGTTGCTGACCCACTCTTCAATGGTGAGTCCTGGAATGCCAGGCGTCGACGAAATCTTGACTGTTGAATTCAGCCCATTTGAAGCAGCGTATGTCCCAGCAAGTGCAGCGTCGGCTTGTACTCTCGCGGCCTCGTCCAGTGCTGGCAGGATTTCGTCAATGATCAACGCTGCAACTGGCGTAGAGATACTGCCCCTCTGACCAGCCATCATCATGATGAATCCCACATTGAAATCCGGGATCAGGATGAAGTTTGATCCATAGCCGGGAAGATTTCCCCCCTTCACATACAGATCGATCACACGGTTGTGCTCTGGGTACGATGCACGATATATTTCCCAACCGTGTCCGACAGCACCGATGAGCGAGGACGTAAGGCCGGTGGGTTTGAACCATGACCGTGTTGTCGCGTTTGGTAGGAGCGAAGAAGACAAGATTGCGCGACCAATTGCAGACATGTCGTTGGGGGTGCTGAAAAGACCACCCTCGGCGGCACTAGGTGTGTCGCTTAGGTCATAGTTCCATCCTGAACGGCTCTCGCTCCCTGGGATGACCGCATTCGTCAAATCCTTTGGCTGAGAGATCGTGGTACCAGTCAGACGTAGGGGTGCTACAAGTCGCTTGCGAAGGACCTCTTCGAAGGTAGAATTTGCCACTGCCTCGACAATCAGACCCAGCGTCGCAAAGCCAGTGTTACTGTATGCTGGTGTAGTGTTCGGCAAGTAAGCCGAGGGCCTGCCTTTGAGATTTTGTAAGAAGGTCTCACTTGTGCATCCGGTTAAGTAGTTGCATCCAGATATCTCGTTCTCAGTCAGGGGCGGGAATGCACCTGGAAAAGCTGCAGCAAGATCGCCACCGGGTATGGAGGAAACTTCATAAACTACTTGAGTTAGTTCATAATCAGCTTCGATAGTTCTGAGCACTCACGATCGCCGACAATATCTCCTAGATAACCTGTGAGTGCTCCCACGGTCATTTCATCCCAGATCGATACACCCGCAAGTTGAGGTAGGTACTCCGTCACCTTGTCGCGCAAGACCACCTCGCCTGCTTCAAGCAAAAGCAGATAGACAGTGATCAACTTCGAACCGCTGGCAATGCGGTAGATGGAATCGCCGTCGACGGTTCTGTTGCCCAAAACGGCGGGTCCGCGGCGGTGATAGTCGAAGAGAGGTTCCTCCGATTCCGTCGAAAATACTTGAATGGAGAAAGTATCATTTGGGTTGACGCGTCCATGTGTAGTGTTGCCGACCATGAACGCTTCGTCAAGCTTGAGCTGCAGGCCCTTCAATGCATCTTGAAAAGCAACAGATGATGACAGATCCCTAGGAGCAGGAAAGACGGGTCCGAGAATAGGACATATGCTTGCAGTAGTCGTTACGACCAGAGTCGCATAGTGGAGCAGTGACTTCGAAATCATGTCGGGTGTTGAGTCAGGAGCGTTTGCCTGTGGCCGAACTTCACACAGAGATCAGCAGTTTATATGGACGTTGTCAGATACCAGCAACTGGGTCAGGTTTTGCTGATAATAGAGTCAGCTTGGCCAGATACCGGGTCGACACAAAAGCTTCATAGAGAAAATAGTTGCTTAAAAGGGAAGGTACGTACCAATATGGTTACCGCAAGGCCTAATCAATGGAGGAACGGTAAGCTGCCAAGGTAAAGCCAAGCGAAATGCGCAGTGCATACCACTTTAGGTAATTTTTGAGAATTTGAGGCTTTTCGACTCCATAGAACATAAGTAGAAGCATTGACTTTACCGTTGCGCATAGCTGCTCAGATCAACTCAGAGATGCGCAGTACATACCAGTTTAGGCAACATCAGAGCATTTGAAGCTAACGCAACCCGCACTGGGGCAGAAGCTCTTGGGTCTTTGCCGTGTCAAGGTACCATCACGCAAAATTATCAAGATAAGATCCCGTTCTCGATCCCTGAGCGGATTCACAGCTTTCCGCACATGGGAAGCTGCGATCATGTCGGTAGCGGCTGACAGATAATCATCGGCAGGTGCAAGAGATGGATGATAGACCGACAGCCGCGTCTCGAACAGAGAGTTCCTTCCACACATGTCAACAGAGAGGAGAAAATTGTAGCGCGCTCCGACACAATGCCAGCTCTTTCACCCTCACCTAAAACCTTTCATCGACCTGTTCAACATATCGACACTATCTTTAATTCCAGCAACGCAGTGTAGCCACAGCGGCTAACTCGATTCACGAAGGCGTTGCATCGCCAGCAGCGTCAACGGCAAGACAGCCTCGATGGCCGGATTGCTCAGCGCAGTATCAAAAACGGTGCCTTTTACAGGTGCCAGAAATCGCGACGATGCTCAAGTCCACGAGCTATTGCAGGCAGAGGTTGGTTCAGATGATTATGTGGATGATTTCCGAGGGCGAAACGGAGAGCTCCAGCAGCCTACATACTCGCATCGATCGACGCGGAAATCAGACAGCCAGCTGGACCTACAGGCGATAGCTACCCCGAGCGGCATGGGCGTGTTGAACGACAACTTGAAACAATGCGCGTCCACCACAGATACCTCAACAGTGAGAGCAGATGGCTGTGGGTCATGTCTGGAGCGGCGCTCGTCAATTCGTCCAAAATCCAATCCGGACTTGCGGAATACGTCCATGACATCGAGCGGGCTGAGTTCAAGGCCTCGAAAGACGTGTCTGAAACAAAAGACGAAGAGCGCGAACGCAACGCCTCCACTTGGCACATCAGAGTCGAGTGAGAAGTTGCTCGAAGACCTGACGCTTCGGCGCAGGAAAACTGTGGATTTTGCAGAGGTATCCTTGGAGCTCTCGAACGGCGACCAGGACGAACGGAAGAAGGATCCAATACAGCACCCGAGGCAGATATCCTCGTGTCCTGGCACGGCCATGTTGACCAGGTGCTCACTCGCGTCGCCAGCCATGACTCGGACAGATGTTCACGTCATCGCAGTGCCCCCTTCATCATCAAAGCCTGGAGGCGTGAGTCGGACACAACCTGGAGAACTGGAGAAAAGCGATCCTGCGACACCAACGATACAGATCGTGGAATCGAAGAATGGCAGCTACGAGGTCGTTTGGGACGATGTACCACCGGAGCACAACGTGGACACACAGAAGCGACGCTCCTCCGCCGGCGAGGCACTTGAAGCCCTTTCGACAGGCCCGAAAGGCCTTGAGCGTGTCAATACAAAGCTTACGGAGTGGTCTGGTACCTGGAACACTCCTTCTGACTGTTTCAAGCCAACGATCGTTGTCTTTCCTGATGACGATGGCTGTAGGCCTCATTTCGAATGCACTATCGTGGATGATGAAGACATTGACATTTTTGCGCCTCCGAACAGCGCAAGAATGAGCGCTGTCCCTTCGCGCCATGTCTCTCGTCCAGCTAGCGCTCACGCATCACCTAAACCATCACAAGACGAATCCAGCGTTGCCTATTTCACGCAAGAGATCCCGCTCGGAGATCCGTCTCCTCATGTTGTAATGAATCAAGAAATATGGCCGGACCATCTTATGACAGCCCGTCGAACGCTGGGTGTGCCGTGCCCGGAGCGGAAGCTGTCAGACAGTGAAGAAGCGGACGTAAAGTTTCGGAACCATCGCGACTCTGTGACTCTAGCTCACTCGCGACTCATACACTCCGGCGGGGTGCGACCAGAGCTGTTCGCGCATAGAGATTCGGTGACGATTGCAAAGAAGCGGATGCACGCCAAAAACCGTGCTGCCTCAGCATCACGATTGCGCCGTCAAGAAACGAAGTCGGAGCCAGGCCTTCTCTACGATGGTGATGTTGCGGTGGTGCCTCTGCTACCAGTCGTGAAAGCCCACGCAATTGATGCGCTGAAGAATAGCACGCCGACTTCCATACTGCGTCGGCCGGACCTTGCTAGACACCCGCACATCCGGATTGGAGATTGACTTCTGGGCGGGAGAACGTGCTGCGCTACGTATAGTCTGTGTGCGCATTGTCATATCCCATGGACTCACCTATTTGATATATTCCAGGATCCGACATACAAACGCGAGCATGTCGACGTGTTCGACTAATGAGGTGGTTTGTGTTGGAGCGAAGTGGAAGAAGGAGGGGCAGCGGCTGCAGCTCGGCGTTGTGTCATGACGCCTTGCCCCACACCTCACTTGCACCTACACTTACACCCACACCTGGCGGATCCCTAGACTCTCCTATTAGCTCTGTTCGAGATAATACCACGGTAAATGCTCACGATGTAGCTGTTGTATGCTTGCAAATTGGTATTTCATGATGGAAGCCGTACTTCGTAATTCCAACAGCTCCATCCGTCGCGTTCTTTTTGGCCTTCACGATCAAGGCAGTGACTGTGATCATGTCTAGATGAGAAACTGACTGCAGAAATATCGTAGAGCCATAAATACGATTGTCAACTTCATCCGTCGTTGGAGATCAGTTTGTGGTTCGAGGCACCAAGTATCGTCACCACTGTCTAACACTTGGCGTTACAGGATGTACTTGGTGGCAACAGCGCAAACCGAACAAAGGGAGTTCGACCCCTCTCTCGTGTGAGCTCCTAGTATTCTACAGCTATCATGTCAACATTCGCACCATACAAGTCAATGCACGACGTTTCGCAGGCCGAGATTGGCGAGACCAAGATGCAGAACGACCAGCGATATAACGCGCTGCGTAATCTCGACAATCACTCTGATGCGAGTACCGAGGTCGGAGATTGGGATATCGAAGACAGCAGAAATACTCGAAGAGCGGGGACAATGGCCTTCTGGGGACGGTTACGGCCGTACCGCTGGCTGCTGGACACGTCGCTCCTTCTCGTCATTGTCGGATTGCTGGCCGAGAAGAGATGGCGGCACGGTCGCGGCCATCAGTACGAGTTCACTGGAGATATTACAGGCTTTGCGCCAAAATGTAAGAAATATCGCAATCACCAAGTGTCCGGCTAACGGTTCCAGTCTCGCAGCATATCACCACATTCCGACCAGATCCAGTATTCGTGCCAGAGCAGGCCTCTGATTTCTGGAATAAGGATGTCCAACAGGCTTGGCTGGACATTGTCCCGGGTACGACCGTTCAACTCTAGTATTACTCAGACTCTAATTGTCAGCAGAAGGATTGGGTTACGTCGAAGTCGAGGATCCCACAAGCCATGACAATCTCCCGCAGCCGATCCACGACTACGCCAACACGACTGTGTTTACGACCTCAATGACGCACCAATTACACTGTCTGCATACAATACTCACCGCCTACAACACCATGGCTGTCACGCTCGATAAGCCGTTCTTCAAGGTAAATCCCATACAGCAGCCGTGGCATGTGAACCATTGCTTTGATTACATCCGACAAGCGATCATGTGTGCAGGCGACGTCGCGCTGGAGGGCGCCGCGACCACGTTCCCATTGGGCGTGCATGGCGAAGACCTGGGAGGCAGCGACGGGTGGGATGCGAAGCACGTGTGCAAAGACTACAGCCAGATCAAGAGGCACCTCGAGGAGAAGACGATCAACCATGTGAAGTGGATATCTTAATGAGTAATCAACTTCCATAGGATTCGTAGCAACACGGGACATCCTTCGTGTGCGGAGTCCCACTTGCCCATCTTCCCAATGCAACATCCATTTACAATCCTGAAATTGTTACAGGATGGGTGCCCGACCGACGCTTGTCAGCAAGTGTGAAGGTTATTCCTGACGGGGTGAAACATGCGATCTTTCGACCAATCACAGGCGCTGGCTAGTAATTCGGAGACAGGGGCTGCGCCTCAGCGGCAACTCCGAGCGACGACACCATCGTCCGCTAGCTCGTGATGAGCCGACGTCGAATCGGATTGTCAGTTCAGCCGCAGCGGAGCACGGGTCCTCTTTTACACAGACCCTTGCGTGGATGCCTCCCGTTTACAGTGGAGCCAGAGAGAGGTTAAGAACATCTCTGTGCCCTGAAGGTGCTGACCAACAACGCCGACGGGTAGAAAGCAACACCGACTCCCGCATTACCCCACGAAAAGGACGTATAAGCGTTGAGACGCTCTTGGCTGCCTGTACGTGACGCAACGGGTGGACGGTTCCGCATTCGATATTGCGTCAAGAGCTCGGCACTGGGCATCACATTGTTAAGACAAACAGGCGTTAAAGAGCTTGGAACAGGACCTCAAGTCACTGCGTTTCGTGGATTCACCTCTTCTTTGTGCTGCGTGCAGCGAGCACTGCCTGTTCACGGTTGAAGTTACCGTTACGTCACCGGCAGTTCCTTACTTCAACCGCAACATCCGCAACATCGCGACCACGCATTCCTAAATACAGTATGGCGCACTCGCCACTCCTATTTGTACTCGCCGGCGCGTTTACTGCGTACGTCCTCTACACACGCATCACACTATACTTTGCGCGGCGGCAATTCAAGAAAGACAATGGTAAGCAATCCCTGATCACGTGGGACAAGACTGACGAACGTAGGCTGCCAACCATGCCCCAACGTCTTCCACAAGGACCCCTTCCTGGGCCTGGACGTGATCCGCGTGATGGGCATCAACAGCAAGAAGCGTGTGTTGTTGGAAGAGAACAGAAAACGCTTCGAGCGTCTCGGCAACACCTTTCACACCCGCATGGCAACGACGCCCGTGATCGCCACATGCGAGCCCGAGAACATCAAAACCGTGCTGAGCCTGAAGTTCAAGGACTACAGCTTCGGCCACCGCACGACCGCGCTCACCCCGCTGCTGGGCCACGGCATCTTCAACGCCGACGGCGAGCAGTGGGCCAACAGCCGCCACCTCCTGCGCCCCAACTTCGCCCGCGACCAGGTCGCCGACCTCGACGCGTTCGAGCGCCACTTCCAGCTTATGCTAAAACATATTCCGACCGACGGCTCGACCTTTGATCTGCAGGAGCTGTTCTTCATGCTCACCATCGACACCGCGACCGAGTTTCTCTTCAACCACTCCACCAACACGCTGCGCCTGAGCGGCGACAAGTCCGACGATAATGAAGACGTCGCCTTCGGCAAGATGTTCAACTTCGCCCAGGACGACGTTGCCGTGCGCCTGCGCCTCGGCCCGCTGGACCGCTTCCGCAAGAACACCAAGGGCGAGGACGCCATCCGCGTGTGCCACGAGTACATCGCGCGCTTCGTCGACGACGCGATTAGCTTCGCGCAGTCGCCCGCCGCGCAGAAGACGCCGGAGCGATATGTGTTCATCCACGAGCTGGCCAAGCAGACGACGGATCGTAATCGGATTCGTGACGAGCTGATCAACATCCTGCTCGCGGGCCGCGACACGACGGCAAGTCTGCTGAGCAACTTGTTCTTCGAGCTCGCGAAGCAGCCTGCGATCTACGCGAAACTGAGGGACGAGGTCGCGTTTCTGGGTGGTGCGCCGCCGTCGTACGAGCAGCTCAAGGGGATGAAGTATCTGAAGTGGTGTTTGAACGAATGTACGTCCTGTCTTACACCGCCCACACTCCCTCCCCACCCCAACCTTGCCTTGCCCTGACTAACTCCCCAAGCTCTCCGCACCCATCCGGTCGTCCCCTCAAACTCCCGCCTCGCCCTGCGCGACACCCTCCTCCCCCTCGGCGGCGGCCCACACGGCACATCCCCCCTCTTCGTGCCCAAAGGCACAATGGTCGGCTACTCGCCCTACACTATGCACCGCCGCACGGACCTCTACGGCCCCGACGCCCACGTCTTCCGGCCTGAGCGCTGGGAGAGCTTGCGCCCGGGCTGGGAGTATCTGCCGTTCAACGGCGGCCCGCGGATTTGTCTCGGGCAGCAGTATGCGCTCACGGAGGCGGGGTATGTGGTGTGCAGACTCGTGCAGGGGTATAGCGGGTTGGAGGATAGGGATGGGGGGCCGTGGGTGGAGGGGTTGACGTTGACGTGTTGTTCGGGGAATGGGGTGAAGGTTGGGTTGGTCGCTTGAGAGAAGACAGACTGGACGGGGGGAGGGTTCAAGATGCATGGGGGGCGGGAGTTGCGTGTGCTTGTGCTTGTGCTTGTGCTGCTAAGTAGCGAGCGCGGTAGTCTCATGGAGAATCGGGGATTTCGTACGGCACTACCTAAAGCATAGCTAGCGTTGGATATCAATACCTGCGTGTGCCTTTGGAGGGGTATCGTGCTCGAACGGTTTCATTGGGTGTTTGTGAGATGAAGCTGACCAGCACTGAAGAGCTGGTGACTTTCCAGTATATACTAAAGCTAGACGGGCGAGGATACCCGCCTCGGTTCACTGATGTGGAGGATATGGCCAATTCTCTGCCTGCGGAGCGTGACCAACCACCTGTTGGCAAGAACTGGGATGGCACGTGCGTAAAGCGTCGCCCAGAGCACGCAGTCAAGTTCAATCGAAAGTGCGACTACACGAGAGCCCTCTGCGAGGATCGTGAGGTGATCTAGGGCTGGTTCCGCCCAGTAGAGACTACCAAAGCCAAGTTGCCAAAGAGGCCGCTACGCGCTGTAAATCACACAGGAGAAAGCGGGTCTAGCGAGAGGGGACTCTTACAGTTAGCGATTGAGTGCACTTGACTACTCTAAAGCAGTTTGACGCCCGTGACAATGGTAAGAGAGCTAGCAAGGAGGCTCGCGTTGAAACAGGCACTCATGAGTCTTCAAGACGCGTGTGGCAAGGCAGGGTATAACGCACGAACGAGCAAGAAACGATGCGCAAGATACTATAGAGCATATTGATATACTATAGAGCACAGTACAACTTAGTTTTGTACTGTTACGTTACAAAGTAGTTGCAGTGATTGTAAGTCTTAGCAAAAGTGAGTTGCTCGCCTGTGACGTACGTTACTTTTTCTCTTGTGCTCTAGGTATATGGAATCTGACAGTTTGTGCATTCAAGTGGCCCCTTGCCTTGTGTATGCATGCAAGCAACCTTAAAATCCCGACTGTGCTACGAGAAGTCTCAAAGTAAGCTGACATTGCATTACATTCCTCCGGCAGGCTTACAGATCGTTATTCGGTGCTCAGCCATGAACAACATAAATCCCCCATCGCTGCCAAACAACCCGTCTCTCTTTGCTAACCATAACCTGCATACCTCCGAGCAATATTCATTCACACTAGTCTCGACGAGTCATCACTACTCGACCACGTCCTTCTGCGTCATCACCATCACCACCACGGCCATGCTCGCCCCCAGACCCACGTTCACCTCCCTCCTCACCCTCCTCACCCTCACCCACCCCTCCACCGCAGCTTTCTCCCTCTACCAGATCGGCCTCGGCGCCAGCGGCATCGGCGCCAACACGGAAGGCTTCCAAGTGTATCCCGACGAAGCCAACTGCGACAACGCGCTCGACTGGCTGTGGCGCAAGAGCTCCGACGTCAGCGGCGGCAAGTACGGCGTGCGCTGCGAGGGAAGCGGGTGCTGGCGCGGCGAGACGGGCGAGATCACTTCGGTCGAATTCAATTTCCTCGGGGATTTTCATTGGAGTAAGTGAATTCTGTTTCGTAGCAAGTCTTGATTCACTGCACTAAGTGTGGTTTTCTGCCTGGTTTGTTGCAGCGGCAGTCGAGTGGGTGGGTGAATGCTAACGGCTCGTCTGTATAGCTTGGTACGCGGATCGCGATAACGCGCTGATTGATCTCGAAGACAGGGTTGTAGGTAGTTGTGACGTTGTTATAGGTCCACATTTTGGTTGTGGCTTGGATCCTATTGGGCAGGTAGTTGGGGAGCGGAAGTTGAAGTGCGAGGTCGATGTTACAGCAGATCAGATCAACGGCAATAGGCCAACGTGATTCTACGTAAATGGACTATGACAGGCTAAGCTCTCTTTGTGTAGACCTGTCTTATTAGGCGCTTCTCTAAACGTTTCAGACGGGATACAAACATCTTACTTGTAGCCTTTTAACTTGAGCTTAACACTATCTGATAGTGTAAGTCCTAGTAGAGCCGTAGAGACCTCCTATGCTCAATTCTCTACTATAATATCTATTCTGAGAGAGTATTATAGAGACTACTATTGGCGCGGGCCTGTTGTCGTACTGAGAGCGGAAGGGAAGGTTGTAGTAACGATCCACACTCGTATTTGGACATCTCCGTGCATGACTTCCGCTGTGTCATGGACTACTTTTCTAATTTCAATAACTGATTTCATTTGCGGAAATTTGCCGGGATCGTAATGCGGATGGTTATTACGGGAATGTCTATTTTGAAATAGTAGTCAACAAGACACCTTGGATGCGGCACCTTGTCTCTCCACGCAGCGCAGCAATGAGCGGCCTGGAGTTGATGCTGTTGCATCCGCACTCGTCGGACGCTACGGAGACGAGGTGGTGGGACCAGCAGGATGATATAGCATGCATTCCGTAGTCTCAGCGATCTACATCTCATCCCTGAGTTTAGTTGTCTGCTATTAATTTTATCCTCTGGGGCCCATGTTGAGAATGTGGACTTGTTGAATCTCAAACAGAACCAAGGCCCGGTCAATGGCTCCTTATTAACGCTCTGATTGACGTCTTTCAGGAAGGCCTGGCGCGCCTCTTCGTCACTAGGCTACGCCACGAGCTGGACAAGTAGGCTTTCTTACCTGGCGTATCCGCCGCTCCGCTTATCTCGTAGCCGGGTTGGGTTGGGTCCTCGAACGACCGCGGCGTCGGGTTGGGATACTGCTGCTTCACCTCTGTAACTGGAGTATGATCGATACACTCGACTGTCTCGGACATTTATGCGTTGCCGGGATGGTCAAAGAGGCACAGAAAGACACGGTATATAAGATGGAGTTAACCTAGCGCTTTCAAACTCGGAAACCAAAACAGTAGATATATACTCGAGTATTCTAAGCCGCTATCATAGTTCCGAGCCATCCGTGGACCTTGGTATGCATCAATTTCATGAACGGACGGACGAGTAAGGAATTGGTCCGAAAAGCGTAACATCACAACGCTAGTCAGTAGAAAAGCACGACAACAATAAGTAATCTGTTAAAATTGCTCCAGACGTTAATCGACTAGCCAGCACTTGGGCGTCGCGCCCGCTGCGACTGAGCTGCACACAAAGAGCCGCACTGGATAGGAATAGCAGAGGTGGAGGTTACCTTAAGCGGCGATTTTCAAGATAGTGTACAGTCGCCCCCATCCTCCTGAATCTAACTTTAGTCGGGAATAAATAAACAGACTCTCATAGGCTTAGTGACAGACGTAACGACAGTCCACGACTAATCATATAGCACTGTTCCTCCCACGTTCCCTTGTGGACATGAAGACCGTGTATGCGTTCGCAACCGCTCCGTAGGGATGGCGTTACGAAAGACAAGACGAGGACCGCGTAATTAGAGAGGAAATAGAACGTACATGCTTCGATGGAAACAAGAATCCAGCTGTTTATGGATGCCTCCGTGAAGGCAAGGGTAAAACACAGTGTGGTCATGTGAATGAGCGAGACCGTGAAGACACAAGCGCAGCGCACGATAGGTACCTTTGACGAGGCCTACGTTCAAGTTGCATATTCAGCCGCTGATAATGCAGCGATAGACTCAGCAAGACCGATAATTTATGCAGTCCCCGTACTATCGAAAGCTGCTGTCTGTCGTCGCTCAAGCAATTGCGAAACCACCACGCCAGATCGACAGACATTGACCAGGTATGTCGCCAACGTCCCTATATAGCCCTAGACAGCCCACAGGAGTTCGTCAGCATCAATGTTGTGGATTAACTAATCAAGATGCTAGCTCGGTTCTACCCCGGACAGACTTCAGATTACCCAGAAAGGTATCGAAAGTCTTGGCCGATGTGACAGGAGAAGAGGAAAGCATAGTAAATGATTAGTTTTTGGTATTGCTGTTCTGTCAGCTAGTGTCGTTCTGGTCGCTTGGACAAGCTAGAAGCCTCCTGGAATAACGGAGATCGTCGGACATTAACAATGTCTTTGGTTAAATACCTCGACATCTCCAACGCCTTCATCTTCAGCCCACTTCTTTTACTATATCCAGTTGAGAAGATAGACCTACCTTACATTTCACACCGTTAAGTTCCAAGTGTAGAAACCATGAAGGGACTATTCACCCTCCTTTTCGCGGTGGCAACTGTCGCTGCTCCCGCAAAACAGTACGTTGAGTGCCCTTGCAATGCTCAAACCCTTCTGACACATCTTTAGCCATGCGGTCCCCGCCACCAGCTCTTCAGCTAATTCCGAGCCACCGAGATTGGCTCAGTACGCTCCGACCAAATACGTCAATATCAGCGACGGCACCCAGATTGCCTACCGACGCTTCGGCAAAGCAAGCGAGTTCCCGTTGCTCTACCTCAACCACCTGCGCCAGAGCATGGACGTCATTGACCCGTTGCTGATGAACCACATTGCCGAAAACCGGGACGTCATCGTATTCGACAACCTGGGGGTTGGCCACAGCCAGGGCGAAGTCCCGGCCTCGCTGGAAGTAATGGGCGTAGTGGCCGTGGAACTCCTTGCAGCCCTGTCCGTTCCCAAAGTCGACATTCTCGGCTTCTCCATGGGCGGTGCAATTGCCCAGTACATCGGCATGGAGTATCCCCACGTGGTCCACAAACTTGTCTTGGCCGGAACGCAATCTGCCGTTGGACCAGGCGTCCAATTCCCTGATCCTTCAATCTTCGCTCTCGCGGCGGGCAACGGGTCCCAGCCGACCGAGGAGGCGATGCTGACGCTGTTCTTCAGCGCCACGGAGACGAGTCTGGCGCTTGGCCACGCGTGGTGGAGACGGCTCTCGCAGCGCAATGTCAAGGGCGAGGACAGGATCGCGTTCGTCGAGGGCGCGGGAATCAACGCGCAATTAACTGCCATCTCCGCGTTCGCCTCGAACGCTACATACTTCGACCGCCTGCAGGAGGTTTCGGCAACAACCTTGGTGACCAACGGCGCAAACGATGTCATGGCCCCGACGGTAGACAGCTACATTTTGCAGCAGCAGTTGCCCCGCGCTGAGCTGCACATCTACCCGGACTCGGGCCATGGGCACCTGTTCCAGTTCCCGGAGCTCTATGCGAGGAATCTGGAGACCTTCCTGGAGAACTAGGGTGGGCGGTTTGAAGGAATCGCGGACCGGACTTGTTCGGATGTGGTGCAGGTTTTCCGTATGAAGAAGGACTGTAGGCAAGGTAAAGGCTGGTGGTAATGGTCGTGTTGCGGTGTATATAGTGTAAGAATAGGTAGACCGGTCTGGACTGACCAAATGTATCGTGCGCGTTTATATGAGTGTAGTCATGCACGGTGTAATTCATCCCAGTCACACTTCCATAGGCCACTATTCGCTCCATCCGTACCGTGGCCGGAACAATGTGAGCCGTGCTCAAACAAACGCCCTTGATATATCTTGTCAGTCCGAACTGGGCCGCCTACTGCCTACTCCCAGGACCCCCTCTTTTCAGTCTCCATCTTAAAGCTCCTACACACCTGCGGTAATCTGTAATCGTAATAACACGAACCCTATATAATCACCTAATGCTCCTTTACTATTTTACGCCCAACCTCGCAATGTCTGCTCTTTTGATGCTGCGTATGCCTTGCACCGCAGTATGCAGTGCAGTGTGCTCGTCGCGCTGTCGCCGACAGGGGGGTGAAGACGCTTGGATTCGGCGCAGCGAGTGCGCGTGCGACGAAGTAAGCGCCATGCAGTGGGGAGCGCTCGCGGGGAGTCTCACATGGTGGTCTCACATGGTGTGCTGATGGGGTGGGGAGGTCACGGACAGAAGGGATAGACGGGGCGGGATATGCTTGATTTTGGGAGTCTACAACGCCAGCCACGCTCCACCGTATACTTCAGCACGCGCCCCCTTCGCTCCGCAGATCTGTCGATCTATCTACAGTTCGCTGTGCACCGGCACCTCCCCACCCTCGCCCCCGCTCCTCACCTCCACCCCGCACACACTCGGACTCCCGACCTCCATCCTGTACACACACTTCTCCTCCTCGACCACCCTCCAAATCTCCTCCTTTTCCGCACAAGCCAACACCACCGTCGTACTCCTAGCCGGCCCATTCCAGCACCCCTGTCCGCCCTCATACTTCAGCACCAGCCGCTCCCCTTTACCCAACCCGCGCCCATCGGCGGGAAGTTCCTCGTCGACGGTGATCGAGGAGATGCGCGCGAAGTTGCCCATGCCGGTGTGGGAGCCGCCTTTCTTGGATTTCTGGGTCGTGCGGGACAGGAAGCAGTGTTCGTAGGTGTATTCGCCGGAATCGAGCGATATGCAGTGCGAGGTTAGGGCGCGGAAGACGGCGTCCGGGCCGTAGTCTTTGGCTAGATCGTCGGCGTGCTTTGTCAGCTCGGTTTCGGAGGTGGTGAGGTCGCGCTTGGCGGCGTCGAGTTGCGATTTCGCATCCGTCACGGCTTTGGATTCGACGTCGGAGGTGGGCGCGGAGGGCAGGATGCCGTTGTCGATTAGCGTGATGCGGAGGTCGCGCAGCTTGGTGTCGACCCAGGTGCGGATGGACTCGGGGAGGTAGAGCTCGAATTGGTAGACTGGCGGGTTAGCGGTGCGGAGACATGGACTAGAAATACGTACGGACGTCGACGTCATCGGCGTCGGGGGTCTCGAAGTCGGCCCACTTGATGGCGCTCTCGGACTCCGGGTTCACGATCTCGTCGAGGTCGCGGTCCAGGGCGGCGTCGGGCGCGGGCCAGTCCTGGGCGGCGTAGTCCTCCCAGGCCTTGACGGCGCGCTTGACGCCCTCGTCGTTGAAGTTGGGGTTGTATTCCTCCTTGAAGCGCTTCAGCATCGCCTCGAGCTCGTCGATGCGGCCGCGGGCGGCGTCGCGCTCGCGGCGCACGCGCTCGACGCTGGTCGTCAGCTCGGCAATGCGGTCCTTGGCCAGGCCGGCGAGCACGGCGATCTTGCCGCCTGCCCCCGCGCCGCGCACCACGCGCCCCTTCTCGGCGCGCTCGATGTCGGCGAGGCTCGTGGTCAGGGCGTCCACCTTCTGCGTCTGGCCCTCGATCTGCGCCTTCAGCGTCGAGATGCGGTCCTCGACCTCCTTGCGGAGCCGCGCCGACTCGGCCACCAGCTCGCGCCGCTTCTGCTGCGCGTTGTCGAGGCTCTTCTGCCGCGCCGCGTCCTGCTTGCGCCACTCCTTGCCAATCGCCGCGCACTTGTCCGGGCACTTGACGCCGCCGACGCCCGCGTGCTCGTCGCTGCCGTCGCAGCACACGTCGTAGTCGCACTTGCCGTCGTTGACGCTGGTGAAGGGGAGATAGCTCGGGCGGTGGCCCTTGTTCGTGCAGTAGAAGCCGGGCAGAGCGGGCGTCTCATCGAACGAGCCCAGGTCCCGGCGCGCGGGCTGCGGCGGCGACAGCGGCGAGAGGTACGCGCACGCGGCCGTGCCGGGCTCGTCGGAGCCGTCCGGGCAGTCGCAGTAGTCGTCGTTCAGCCGCGCCCTGTCCAGCGTGATGCCCGGGTTCGAAATGCACGTGAACGAGCCAGCGTCCGCGTAGAACTTCGCAACTGTGACCGTCAGCGCTGCCATTCCCCGGGTTATATGCACATACACTCCGGGCCCACGCCGCGCGGCGCTGCGGGCTCCGCCGCGGCCGTGGTGGCGAGCAGCGGGAGCAGCAATGCAATTGACGAGAGTGTCTGCCTCCCCATCTTCTGTGGTGTGGAGGAATGGCTCCCGCTGCTCTGAACATGTGGCAGGAAGGGTCCAGGGCCGTGCGTTGCGTTGGCGTGGCGTTTCATGCTCCACTCGCCTCGCCAATCACGACGACCTCTCACGACGACATTCGTTGACACCCGTCTTGACAACACGACGGACGTAGTCAGAACAGTAGGTAGAAAACCATGTCAAGAGCTGGAATTTGAGCAATCAACAGCAGCAATCTCGAAATCACCATGACAGAACCATGGCCTGCACATTTTATCACCACCGCACCTCCAACAACCTACCACCATCTTCGTCTCCAAATTCTCCATCTCGAAATCCCCTCATCAGTTACCACTCCTAAAATCTCCATCCCAGCACACACTTCACGCCGCCCACCCAAACCGCCCACGCCACCTCTCCCCTTCCCCAGACCCCCATACCATCACCGCCCAAACCCTCGCAACCTAGAACCCCATGTCCTGTTATGTCACAGCACACCCACCCCTTTCTCTGCGATGAGAAGCCCCAATTCTGGATCCGTAGGCACCAGTCTCGAATCCCCAAGACACTGGTTCTGAATTCCCAGGCAGGAATTTCTTGTCTCATGCCCGAAATCGCTCCAAAGCCCGATGGCGTGCGAGGCATGCCCAACGCAAACGCACATCTCATGTTAGGCAGCGAATCCCGGATCTCGAGAACACATGGCAGCGGTGAGATCATGACGGCGTGGAAACATGACGGCGGAAAGCACACGACAAGTCCGTCATGCCGCAGCAGTGCAGAGGCAGCAGTGCAGAGGCAGCAGTGCAGATGTAGTAGCGAATGACAGGCTGGGAAGACTCGAATTGCTCCATGTCTCGTGCGTCATGCGCCGAAGAATGATGGTGCGAGGCATGCCGGCAAACGCGCAAACCTGCCTGCACCCAACCAGCGCCGAAGCCTCGAAGCCTCGAGAAGCACATGACAACCTGCCATGGCGTAGAAGGAGCAGAAGCAGCAGAAGGAGCAGCGACCCACCACCCAGCAGCCTCGAAACGCAAACGCAAACGCACCCGCCTCTGCCCACGTCTATGCCCGTGCACACGCCCACGCCCAGGCTCGCCTGTAAGCGCGTTTGCGACAGGGATACGCGTCATGCTGCGAATCATGCTGCGTTGGCGCCGTGCAGACGTGCGTTTGGAGGCTCTGCGTCTGCATCTGGAGCGGTGGGTTGCCAGGGTTGACGGGGGTGGGCGGGGGGTTCATAGGGAGGACGCGCTGCCCATTGGGTTTGGTTTTGGTATCTTTCGTGTCAACGTGCTTGGTGGCTTTTGAGGTAGGTTTCGACATCTTTTGAGGTTTCGATATCTCTCAGTGTCTTTCTGAGGACTCTTTCGAGGCATTGTCTTTCAGTGGCTTTCGAGGTATTGTCTTTCCAGGTGGTTCTTTCGACGGTTCTTTGAGACATCGTGATAACGGTGGGTTTTGGGGTCTTGCTCTCGGCAGCTTTTGAGGTGGGTCTTTCGACGGTGACTACGGTGGTGTCGAGAGTGGTGTCGAGTGTCGAGAGTATCGACGGCATTGACGGCATCGACAGCATCGACAGCAGCACCGACAACATCATCATCGATAACAGCATCTTTCGACACAGTCCTCTCATTGTTGACGACGGCAGCATCGACAGCACCACCATCTTCCAACCGCCCGCACACCACATATCACACATCTCACACCATACCGCACACACCTCACATCTGACACCACACACCATACCACACACCACACCACATATCTGACACCTCACATCTCACACACCACACGCCCCGCCGGCATCCCACCATGCGCCACGACCTCGAAGACGAAATAGACTGGAGCGACGGCACCCTCAACGACGAGCCCCTGCCGTCTGCGCGTCTGTCCGTGGACTCTGGATACGTCAGTCCTGCGGCCGTCAGTCTCGCGGCCGGAGGTAGGAAGGATGGTGGGTTTTTTGCGCCGAGGGGAGACGATGGATTGGGGGCGCGACGAGAGCTGGGAGAGGACGATGGGTTGGGGTCGCTGTTTGAGGACGATGGGCTCGACTCTTTGTTCGACGACGACGGCCTCTCCTCACCATTCAACGACGACGACCTCACCACTCTGCCCGCGCCCCAGTCCGACGACAACCCAGCCTCCCTCTTCGACAACAACAGCCAGAAACCCCTCTTCGACAACACCGACCCCCTGCACCCGCGCCAGACCCCACCCACCACAGCCATCCCCCCCTCGGCGCAGAACCACACCGCCTCCCCCGACCTAACAGCCTTCCTAACCCACGCCCTGCGCCCCTCGCAGATCAAGAACTGTCTCGCGGAAGACGTCGACGCGGATGAATTGCTGAGGTACTTGGCTGCGGTGTGTGAGTGCGTTGGCGCGATTGCTGGCGCGATTGCGGGGGGTGTGTGTCTGGGGGGTGCTGGTGCGCATACCCGTGTGCGAGACGTTGGAGCGGAGGGTGCGGAGTTCTGCGATACAACGTGTCTCGAGCACGATCTCGCGCGCTGGGACGATAATGATGCGTCGCGGGTGGGGTGGGGTGTAAGTACGGGATGGCGGTGCGCGGCGCTCGATTCTTCGCCTGGCGCTCGTGGTAGGTCAGACGACGACATCGAGGCCGCGGAGACATCGGCCAGAGATTTGCTGCGCGCGGGTGGGGGCGCAGAGGATGTGCGGTGTGGCGACTGGCTGGCGGGGCTGGCGGAGGCGGGTGGTGCTGATGCTGGGGCCTTCGACCAGAGACAGTGGCTGGATGAGCAGATGTCGGAGGCATTGGTGCTTGATACTGCGAATGGTGGAGCTGGGATCTGGGGACAGGGTCAGATGCAAGATGGGCAGATGTCCGTGGTGGCGCCTGACACTGCGGCTGCTGATTTTGGGATCTTCGAACAGATCCAGATGCAGGATGGGTGGTTTGGGGCGGCGGTTCACACGTTGCCGCCGGTGGCACGCGCAGCCGTCGATCCTATGATCCTCGATCATGTTCAACTCCAGGACGATCAATATGGCACACCTTTCCAGACATCTCCAGCAGCGCTCGACGCTACAGCTATCGGACCTGAGATCTTCGATCATCGCCAGCCTCAGGACAGTCAAGATGGTACATCTCTCCAGATGTTTCCGGCGATGGCGCTCGACACTACCACCGACGCACCATCGGGCTTGACGCAACTCGAGCAGCTGTTCGAGGAGTTCGGAGCTGACGCTCTGACGGGCCACCATGCGAATCGAGTCGGCACACCGCATGTCGATTCCATGCTGACATGGCCCGTCCGTCTCTTCAACGACCACAAACAGCGACTGGCCCAGAAATCACCACAAGCGCCTCAGCGAAAGTCACCTGGTATCAGTGCGGTCGTCGCCGAAGCTGCTGCACGAGGCTACCGCCCAGTTGGCCCTGATACCGAACAGCTCATCGCCAGCATCGAAGCTCGAGAGCAGGCAAGAGTTCCACCGGCGCAGGTGTGTGAGGACGTCGCTCGCTCTCAAGATGTCCAGCGAGATGTCTCGGGTACGCAGAATCACGGCAAGAAGCGGAGGCGGGAACAGATCGCGCCCATTCGCATGTTCAACAAGCCGGTTGAACCGAAGAGAAAGAGGCGTCGAGTCGGTGACATGGCAGGATCGCCTGCCGCCGCACTGGTGTCTCCCGGACCGTCCAAGCCAAAGCAGAAAGCCAAATCACCCGCAAGCCCACCTCCAAACCCACCCCCGAATTCGACCCCCCTCCCACCCCACCCCAGCGGCTCCAGAACACTAGAACCGCACCAACACCTCCCCCCCGGCGCCTACTTCACCCCGACCTCGCCATCCGACAAGCCCGCCTGGCGCTGCGGCATCAACCACGCCATGGGCCACTACTACAACGCAGGCGACCGCAAAAACTGCCCCGGCTGCTTCACCGCGCTGTCCGAAAACCCGCGCGCCGTGACCATGGACTTCCACCTGCCGCCGCACACCGCGACCCACCAGCCGAACCCTACCGCGCGCTGGCGCCCCTCCAAAGCCTTCCGGACCTGCTTCGGCCGCGCGCGCCGCTCGAAACACCTCAGCCACAACAGCATCGCGAAGGACGCGTACTGGACCGCGATCACCGCGGGCGCGGGGGACGCCGATGCGCTTGCTACCGCGCTGGCTGCTGTCGCCGCTCACACCGCGCCGAAACCCAAAGCCGTGCCTAAGTCCAAACAACCAATTCCCCCGCGCACCCCGACACCAGACCCCGGGCCCCACCCCTCCGGCTCCACGACTCTGCACGCCTCCGCCGCGCTGCCGCGCGGTGCATCGTTCGCCCCCTTCGCGCCCGCTCAGGAACGAGCGTGGCGCTGCGATGTAAGGCATGCGCTGGGCTGGTACTATCTCGCGGGCGATCGAAGGTCGTGTCCGGGGTGTGGGTCGAATAAGGGCGGGAAGGGGAGGCAGGGGGAGATGGATTTCTGGTTGCCGGAAGGGGGGGTGGTTAGGGAGGTTGTTAGGGAGTTGGACGGGGAGAGGGGGAAGGGGGAGGAAGGGAAGGGGGAGGGGGGGTGGAGGCCGAGGAGGCCGTATCGGGGGCGTGGGGAGGGGAAGGGGAATGAGGGGGAGGGGAAGGGGAAGGAGGGGAAGGGCAAGGAGAAAGAGAAGAGCAAACACGCTGTGAACGAGAAAAGCGTCGTGAGCGCGTCCCAGCCCGCTCCAAACAACACCGAACAACCAGCCCAACCGCCCGCGAACGCAGAACCCAACAACCCATCCCACACCCCAGCGCACTGCACACCCCAACCCGCCCCGACCAAGAACAATCCGAAGAAAGACAACCCACCCAAATCCAACCAAACCAAAGCCCACAAATCCAATTCCCCCTCCCACAACCAACTCGCAAGCCGCGCCTACTGGACCGCCCTCGACGCGGGCCTCTCCAGCGCCGCGGCGCTGGCCCGTGCACTAAGTGAGACTGAGCGGGTGGTTGGGGGGAGGGAGGAGGGGGAGAGGCGGAGGGCGGAGAGGAGGGGGGCGGAGAGGGAGAAGAAGGAGAGGGCGGAGAGGAAGAGGGTGGAGAAGCGGAGGGCGGAGAGGAAGAGGGTGGAGAGGAAGAAGGAGGTTATTGAGAGGAGGGAGGAGCGTGGAAATAAGGGGAGTGGGAAGAGGGGGAATGCGGCTGTGAGTGGCATGAGGACCGAGCGTACGGCACGGAGTGTGCGTGGAGGTGCGCGTCGGACGCGGACGTCGCATGGCACGCCCGACGCACACGGGGGAGAGGCTGGGGCTGGTGGCCGTTTGCTTACGGCGTCGTTGGCGCTTAATGCGTGGCTTGAGCGTCAGTTTGAGGATGCGGAGGGGTGTGGAGATGAGGATGAGGACGGGGACGAGGATGAGGACGAGTACGAAAGTGGTGATGAGGATCAGGATGGGGATGAGGGCGACGACGGAGATGACGAGTCTTCCGGCGATGAGGATGAGTCTTCTTCCGACGACGACGAGTCGAGCTCAGGCTCGGACAGCGAGTAGCGGGGGATGGCTGATGGATACTGCTGTACTGGAGCTACTGGATTTACTTCTATTGCGATATCTGCTGTATCTACTGTATCTACTGTGTCTATGGTATCTACGGTATCTACGGTGTCTACTACATCTACTACACCCCCCCCCCCCCCCCTCCTGTCCCCCCGCTCTACGGGCGAATCGTGAGTTCCCGTGAGGAAGACAGTATTGCGACAGCGGTGTCTGAAGTGGTGGGTTTGAAGCGAAGTGTTGATCCGACAGCCACGATCTCGCGTCAGCGACGGCAGCCATCTTGCAAACCTCGAGGCCGGCGATTGGAAACTGAGAGTTGGGCGTTAACAGGCCTTCGTTACTACGTTGCTGAAACGTGCCGGTGGAATGCGGTGGTTCCTTCATGATGTTCGGAGCGGGTTTCGGACTGCGGGTGTGCAGAGTGTTGGCCTAGATGGTAGACATGTTGCTACTTCCTATCGTTGCATCCGTGCATCCACCCCTCTACCTGCCGGACCATACAGCAGTCCTGATGCAGCGTGGTATGGGTGTGTAGCGGCGAAGCGAGGGCAACGGAGAGCGGCCGAGGAATCGGCGGTAGCGGGAACATATCACAGAGCGACATGTGTACACCGCGCATTAACTCTAAACCCCGAGCACCCATCACTTTACCCCCCCCCCCCCCCCCCCCCCCCTTCTCAGACACAATCGCCATCTGCCATCCCCCATCTTCAACTACTATCCGCACACATATTTTGTGGAAGCTTTAAGCAAACTGTCTGCAAATATAGCGCTAATATCCTTATAATCTGCGAGTTTCTAAGTTTTCTAATTTTTTTTCTATCATCACTTCTTCATTTTTTGTTCTTTTCTATTATGTTTTAATTTAGTACTGTAAGGTTACTGTAGGCCGGCAATTAACCACGGGTTTAAGGGGTGCGAGTAAGGGCAGAATAAGGTATTATTTGATGTAAGTTAAGACAAGTCCTTAAGGTGTAAGCCTTAGGATTTGGATAGTATATGCGCCTGGTCCCGGGGTATACCCAGAGGGAGACTCAGGCAGGCCTTGTTGGAAACACTTGTGACGGCTCGTTTATTCCGGGAGATAAGCAACAGTCTCAGCGTGGGCTAGTGGAGTTTCCGACTCGACTACAGTACCTATGACTCATGAGTGGGCGTTGGTTGCCTCTGCATTACGATCTCTACAAGGAGTTATTGCTGCGTGTAGACTAGTGTTGCCGCAGGGGACTCTATGTTATCCGTAGGCCTAACCTAACCGCAATTAGCGCACGAATTAGACAACAGCCAAGGCGGGCTGGACGTTGCTTAGCCAAACACACAATGCTTATGTTATCGGCGGCCCTGCATTGCGATCTTCCGCACAATCGGGTATTGGTTGGTGGCCGTGTCCGTGCGCATACATCTTGTTTGTTGGATTTCGAATGGCGTGTTTCCAGGGAATAATTGACATACCAGTATCGCAGTTTCGTGCAGTGTAAACCTATTCACAAAACAAGCATGCCATTCGGAAATAGCAAGTACAGCATTATTCTCCACGCAGGGGCCGCCGAATCATGGCATGGCAATGCAGCCGCACACGAAAACAGCGTGAATTTTGTGAGGGCTCTGATTGAGAAGGGGAAGTCCGACTTGCACAATGGCGCCGTGGCAGTCGACGTTGTTACAGAGATTACTGCAGCGCTGGAGGATTATCCAGACTTCAATGCTGGAAAGGGCTCTGCACTCAATCTAGAAGGATTTCACGAGGTAACACGATTGGTATACATGTCAGGAGGTTGAGAACATGCTGACGTTCTGCCAGCTGGAAGCGGCTGTCATCGATGGCAAGACCAGCGAGTACCGGGCAGCTGTCGGGTTGCGTCGTACCAAGAACCCCGTTCGCCTTGCCAGATCTATGTTATCATCAGCAGACCTGTGTTTCCTAGCCGGATCCGTGGCTGATGATCTAGCCGCCCGCAACGGGCTCGAATTAGTGGAAAACTCCCATTTCACCACGCCGAAGCGCAAGAGCTATTGGGATGCGAATGTGACCAGAATCAATGCCACTGCTGAAAGCCATGGGACAGTTGGAGCAGCAGCATTGGACGTTTACGGCAACCTTGCAGCGGCAAACTCCACCGGTGGCACTATGTTCAAGAGTGTCGGTCGAGTAGGGGACACGGCAATTGTTGGTGCTGGGCTCTATGCGGACGACGAGGTGGCAATTGTGTGGTATGTCTTGTTTTGCCTTTTGTGGTCGTGCATGTCAGCTTATACAAAATCCAGCAGCGGAAGTGGTGAAGCCATTCTAAAGGCGACCGTTGCATCTAGAGTCGCGGCAAACATGCACAAGTGTGACTCTCTGAGCGATGCAATCAAAATGTCCGTCCTCAAATCGGCTCAACTATTCCCTACCTCTTCTTGTGGCGTTATCGCAGTCAATCGGGAAGGCGACGTATCAACCCAGTCCAATAGCAGAATCTTTGCGATAGCGTCTGCAGGCTCACACACGTTAACCAGAGCAGGAGTCATCGGGTCGACTATCCCACTCCTTACTCAACACATCTTCTTCGCAGATCGTAACCTCACTGTTGGAGTGGCAAAGTATCCCACGATGCCATATCAGGTGACTGCTGAGATAAAGCAGACATCTGCCGTAGCAAGTCTGGGATCAGAATTATTTCTTGACGTATTTTCAAAATTGCGCATCGCTTCTAGAGTCCTGAAGCATTATTCCGGATTAGCAGACTGCGGATTAGTCATGAGTACTGCAACTGAGGTTCAGATTTATCCGTTCACATCGCCTCCTCACTTCACCAATCGTTCATCGCCATACGAGACCGAGAACAGTCTCATCTTCACACATCGACTAGACGATACCTTTGGCGCAGTATTAAATCTAACACCTGAAGATGAGGATGTTCTTGCACGCATATGCCTCATTCCAAAAGGTATTGACTGCAGGGTAGACTTTGTTTCGTTGCCATCAGAAGCATTTCACAACCTACTCGAGCTGATATGGGACAGCCTGCAGGCGCTAGTCATCAAACACAACAAGAAGCCCTCTTCACTAAGACTTAAACTTGAGCCGGTGTCCAGAGAGGGCCTGATAGTAACCATTTTCTGCTCCGAATCAACTTCAGGATCTCCAATGAAGGATCCACGTCCTGCTCCGTTCCAGGAAATCTACACGGGACACATGGCTACTGGTCTCGGTCTTCGTGCTCAAAATCTGGAGGAGCTTCCTTTTGTTGCACAAGAGCTATTGGAGTGTATGAGGAGAGCCATTGATCAAGAAAACGTGGTTCTGAGTGTGTAGATGCTCCATCAGATAGGGTTATCATTCGATGTCAGAAGAGTGACGCTGACAGATCATCCTTCAAGAAGAGTTCTCTCACTTGGTATTAGCATAGTCAAATGTCGCGCTTGGTTTGCATTTTCTGCTTGCTTCTTTGTATGCTACTACAAATACCTCTATGTGTACCGATCATTTAGGTAGTCGCCAGGCCATGGCGTTGATTCTGCTGAATTCGTAGTTTGCACCACGGTGCAAAGATCTACTAGAGTGCCAGGCGTCTCTTTTGTCTTCTTGCGTGGTTTTCGACACGTGCGCGGAAAAATGCTGTTCTTAGCGCTCTGGTGCATTTTGACATAATGGGATCTCATGTTGTCAGCTCTTCCAAATACACGCTCACATCCTGGTTCCGGGCAGCTAATTTCCGGCCTGTGTGATCGCATATGCCGCTGCAAATCTTTCCTGGTTGAGAAGCCGGTTTTAGCTGAGGTGCAGGCTGGGACATCGCAGAAAAAGAATTTGAGGTGGGAGCGGTAGTGCTTCCGTAGGTCGCACGCTCGTATGAAGGTCTTGTCATAGGCGCAGCCCCCGTGTTTGCAACGCCAGTTTCCTGAAGAATCCTGGAACCCGATGTACTGGAGGTCCTCCGGTAGCCAGTCGTCAGGCTTGAGAAGACTTGACTCGGGTTGCTGGCCATTCTGGGATAAACACAAATCCGTTGCTTGGTCCAATGGAGCGTATACATCGTCATTAAGCACGTCCTCGTTCAAGGAAGCAAGTGCTTCGGCACTAGCCTGATCCAGATAGCCCATGTACGAAGAGGCGCTCCCGCAAACTTCAGCCGCATTGAGATCGGGGGTGACAGAAGTAGACAGACCAAGATCCCACGACTGAAAGCATGTTCGCCAGGATTCTGGAACCCGAGGTATCTGAGTGGGCATCACCTCCTGGCCAAGCTCAATAGGAGATTCGAAAGCGACCCCAGACTCAGGAGAGAAGTAGAAGCTGCAGGATTCAAGGCTTATTCCTGGTATGCCGGGGCTTTGAAACGTGTTGTCGCATGGCAGATGCATGTTTTCACATGCACTGTGAAGTATCCCAGAGGCGTCCGAGGCTGCCGATAGCCCAGTCATGAGTAAGGTGTCAGGACATTGTTGAGCCCAAGGAGGCTCTGATCCCCTAGTCCTGGTTGACGTGTGTATGCAAGGAGGGATGAGAAGGTTGTTGCTTTGTCGGAAACGATTCTCAAATGTTGTGAACTCCATTGCTCTTGTCTGATACAACAACAATATCTTGTTGCTCTGCACTTTATACAGATGAATCAAGAAGCTTTATGCTCGCGATGAGGACGTATCGGCATACGCAGACGTTGTTGAGAGATGTTGTTTGCTTGCTGGAGACAGTGGGATATAGATACACCGAGACGTGCTAGTCCTGAGTAGTCACTGTAACAAAGACCAGGGGCTGTAACAATTTGCTTTCCGCTGCAACAATGAGCTACTTCGGTAGCCATGCAGGGGCGCCTGAGTGGGGCGTGTGCATCTGACGCGCTAACCTGATGGAGAAGGTATATGTTACGGGCAATCCCGTACACCTGTCTCCGGAGATCCTTCCAGTCCGTGCAGATCAGACCCTGGTGCAGGATTGGCCTAAGAGCTATAGTGCTTATCTTTCCTTACCCTCCAAAGCTTGACCTGCCGAAGATATGGTCTGATGCTTTTTGGAAGTTAGCTCTCTTGTCCTACAGCTCCAGATGTTTAGCTGCTGTGTCAAAGGTCACAGCGTATCCTACAGAATGAGCTGTTTGTCGTCGTAATGGTCATCGTGATCTAGTCCTGATGTTCTATCCTGAGAATACTACGAAATACAACAATATGTGTCGGTGCTATGGGCAATTCATTGTGTCGATTTTTTGTGGTTGCTGGCTAACGCGAACTGGACCTTAGGCTAATTAGCGGTGATAACAAGCAGCTCTCGCGCCAGGGATGCCACTGAGCTTGTGCATGGCCCTTTCTGCGGTACGGTGCTGAGAAACTTTAGTAGTAAATTAGCAACCTAGGAAATGTCTTAGCCGGTATCCCATTTGCGGTCATGGTAACATCTCACTTAATGCAACGTTGTCCAAGTTGCTGTCCTTTGCCGGCCCTGTGTCGCAGTTACTCAACTCAGCCTGGATGTACACCGCCACAGGCAGGTCCATCACCACATCTTGTCACCATAAACGATGTTGCTACATCTCTGTATAGTAGCGTTTGCTTTTGCTCCTCAATTACGGGCGTTGAGATATCGGCCTCGCGCAGGTTTGTATACAAGGGCGAGTGAAGCGAGGTAGTCTTCCTGTAGTGCGCTTGTGAGCATGTTGAATTCGTGAATATCATTTACAATTTTCTTTGCCATGTAGCGGTGTCTGACCATTGAGACGAGCCAGTCTTTAAGTATGAGAAGGGGCGGCAAAGCATGCAGCCTTGGAGGCGGAAGGTTTAGAAAAATGATCAGCCAACTTGACATCACCTCTGATAAGCAGCTCTTCCATTCTTTCTCAACACAGTAACTTCTAGAGTATATTGTTTGACGAATAGCAAGATGAGCCAGGGGATGGTGAAGCCTGACACCATGTCACAGAACGTCTGAAAAAAATCTTGACGTTCTGCCAGACAACAGAACGAGTATGGACTTATTCTAGGTATAAACAAGAATAGAACAAGTCATAATCAAAGAATGCTTTAGAATTTCCAAAATTGTACACTGGGGCAATCTAAGTGTATATACCTGCTGAATCCAATCAAGGAGGCTGTTTGTGATATAGCCTCTCCCCTCGGGATGACACGTTGCATCATAATCAAGGGTAGTTACAAAGCTCAGTCGCTGCCAAATTCTAACTGAGAACTTCTAGGTACTATGCTAATAGCGTTAAGAGTCGCAGGGAAAGCCATTCTATGCTCATTTATGCTTACCAATACGCAGTGGAAGCGTAACACACTTGTGGTAGTGTATGTTTTAGTACGAGACGCATGGCGTGACCCAGTGCAATCGAACGAGTTGATTGTTATCGGGAGAGAGCGAATATGAAACCCAGTTGACATGACTTTAAACCCCAATTCGAGTGTTGACGTGTGCGTAAGTCGTCAGATAAGGGCATAGAGTTCTACCTGGCTGCTTTCTCCGTGTCTTTGCTCAATGCAGTCAAGTTCGCACTTCTATTCCGGGTCACTAGTGTCGTGCTGAACGCTTCGCATATATGATACTACAACCGTTAAGCTTGCGAGTCCCGGTACAGTAAAAGGTAAGCAATAGTTCCCACAAACCGCCGGTCTTAGCTTAGCAAGCGCGGCATGAGTTTCCTGCTTCTACTTCATTGACATACAGCTAACGACCAGACTTAGCGCAACTATTGTGCTCTCCTGTTGGTGATTGTCTCCTTCGCGTTGCTGATGGAGATGTTCTATTGCTGCTACTTAATTGCATCCTTCTTTTCCTGACGACTGTCGCCATAATATGTGCCTCTGATGGTCAGTGATACAATCTCCCCGGTCAAGACTGACATACAAGGGTCCCAAGTCTTGTCTCGGCTTTGCAGCTGCGTCTGGTGGACAGGAGTAACGATTCAGGTGTGGTACTAGTGGTAAGAGTTTTGACTCGGGATACTCTGGTCCATTCGTCATCGAGATTTTGGATCAGGGTCAACCTCAACGTTATTTAGTCTGCTTGATGCGCCTCAACATCCAAACTGCTGAGCTGTTGGACACAATCACCTACATTGATACCTACTGCATGTTGTTTTCAATTTGCCCATTATGTTAATTTCTGACGAGTAGCAGCAACTGACGTAAAAGATGTCTTTGTTGACCTGTGCTGATTTAGACTACATATTTGCTTTCTTCCTGACTTCGCAGCACAGTCCGGCCAACATGCCTCCTTTACCCGTATTATGATAACTGAAACCTCTGCAGAAGATGCTGACGTAGATTTATTGACAGCGAGATGCACTTATTCTCCAACTGCGTGTGTTGCGTGTGTTGCCTATCTACAAACAACGTACATGCAAGTTGCCAATATGTTATTAGTCTTGGTTATAAAGCTTCCAAGCCACTGGTTAGATGCAGCGTTGTTTCTTTCAAGCTGAACAGCTCGTTAAGGCTTTGAATATAGCCAATGGCCGTCTTTTTGGGGTTTGAGAGGCTCTTGACCACGAAAAAGCAGCGCAGTGTTGGGCAATGGACGCATTACGGAAGGTAACAAGAGGAGATGAAACTTTCATAAGGTGGATAATCTAATGGACTGGCCGATCTGATGTTGGATTTTGTTAATGGATCGTTTCCCCTAATTGCTTCCAACACAGAAGCTACGCCAGGCTTCAAAAATCCTACCGCCTCCTTCATTCCATCTTGTAGCGAAGGTTGATCCTCCACAAAGCCTTAATCGTTGCTTAGTTGGCCAACTAATGTGGTTAGCGAATGATTGGAAGGTGATGGGAATACATACTCCAGTGCAGGCCATGTCGCCAACGTTGCAACCAAGCTCGTTACGGGAGTCGAGCTTCTCTGGGGCGCGGGCGGTGAGGTCACGCTCTGCAAGACCAGTGCAGGCCATGTCGCCAACGTTGCAACCAAGCTCGTTACGGGAGTCGAGCTTCTCTGGGGCGCGGGCGGTGAGGTCACGCTCTGCAAGACCAGTGCAGGCCATGTCGCCAACGTTGCAACCAAGCTCGTTACGGGAGTCGAGCTTCTCTGGGGCGGGAGCGGCGACGACTGCCGAGGCAAGAAGGACGGAGACGAAGACAGTGAACTTCATTTTCAAGGATGGAGGGAACAAAGATTGCTGGTGGCAAAGTTTTCTGTTCGAAGCTGTTGATGAAGGAAGTGAGAGCTGGACAGTATATCACTGCTGCGCATATGGTGATTTATGCATGTGTTCCCATAGCCCATCCCACAAAGAAGTTTAGTCCACAGAGTGGACTGACATGTGGAACCTCACCTTGTCGGTGGCCTTACATGACGGATCGAAGCCCAGGATGTCAATATTGGAGGCCCCTCGCTCGTTTGGGATCTTTGCCTTAAGCGTATTGATGACGCTGGTGCCAAAGTCCGGCCCGTATGTGTCGTGTTGCCATAAATAGGAATTTCTCTTGAAGACTGGAATCTCTTGAGCAAACTGTTGATGCTGTGATTTATTCCACCATCATCTGTGTAGCTATGTCGAAGGTGGTACACATATATGCACAACAACTAGCTACGTATACAGATACTCTAGCGCACAAAAAAATCAATTCCTGCTCATGCTACAGACGTCCTCTACTGCTTCCGTTGATTATCGTCGCTACCTAAAGTGTAATATGTGTTGAGTGACATCTATCTAGATCTGTTCTTGAGGGCTCGAGGGTTGTTTTGCTGAGCCTCCCGGCGCTTTGTCTCACCCTGCTATTGTCTTGGTAGCCTAGTACCGCAAGGAACCGATCTATATCGAACCTCGCTCTCAACTATCTCACCAGCAAGAAGAGCATCGTGCCGACTCCTGCGTGAAGCAACCAGAAAAGTTGCGACCCATCGCAGTTTTCCTGTTTCTGGTCCTGGAATAACATCTCCCCGCTGAAACAGAGTGTGGTGCTCGACTATGGCGCTGGCGAGGTCTGGCCTCCTTTCCAGCAACTCGTCTTTCAGGTTGCCAGAGTCGAAGATACCTCCAGTCCTTGCGGGAATATATACAGCTTCACAGCACTGATATTGACAACCTCCAAGAAAGGGTTGACAAAGCGCTGTGGTGCGAGCGGTATCGCCAATCGCTAGGAGCAATTGCATCATGTAATAGTCGACTCCATAGGAACGAGCAACCGCAGATAGAGCTTGTCGACCAGGACATCGTGCGTTGACCTCTATGAGAAAAACACGTGCTTCCGAGCTCGGCTGGACCAATTTGTGATGCAGGTCTACGGTTCCATCCTCGCCGAGTGCGTAATGTTTCGATGATTTGTCTATCCGGGCTTCCACGTGAAAGACTCCACTGGAGAAACCTAAGTCCAGGAGAACCTGATGAAGCTGCCTCTTGGCGAGGTCGAGCTCTACCTGGTCCAGCGCTGATGGGAAAATGATTCTAGTTTCTAGGAAGGAATCGCTGATACTGGCGTTTGGTAGATCTCCAGCGCACGGAAAGTTGTCTGATATCTCGCAGAAGAGAATCTCTCCGCGATGCAAAATAAAATTTGCATCGATTTCTGGCCCATCGATATAGGGTTCCACGACTACCTGCCCGCCCATGTGGTTGGAAGTTCGGTTCAATGCAGAGTACAGCTCCTGCTCGTTTCTGACTTTAACAACGCCCTGTGAGCCACCACCCTGTGTGGGCTTTACAATGAGTGGGAAAGGCAATACATGTGATATTGCGTTCAGTTGCTGTCTGAGATCCTTTTCGCTAGAGCAGCAGAAGGTCTTTGGTTGACTCGACAAAGAGCGCCTGCATTTGTCTTTATCCACAACTTTCTCCAAAGCAGTTGAAGGGGATGTCGGCAACTTTAGAATCTCTGCAGCACTTGCAGTGGCCACAAGATACGAATCTGAGAAAGATGTAAGTCCGTCAATAGGTATGCCACCAGCCTCTAAAGTGCGCACAATGCGAGAGGGCAAATCGCTGTCAAGAGTCATATCCATAGCGAGAAAAGCGCGCCGCAAGTGTTGGTAGCTCGGACAATTCAACCAATGACTCTCCTGATCCAAGATGACCACATCAATACCGAGTCCATGTGCGTCATTCAGCATCAGTTGACGAAAGTCGTAGTTAAAGCCGCCTTCGATGATGGCGAGCGTCTTCCGACGAACGGGAGTGGGTGAAAGCCATGGTAGTGATAGACGTTGAAGAAGTGCATCATCTAGCTCGCATAATTGCTGCGGTAAGTTTGCGGGTGCGGTCTGCAGCAACACGCCTGCGACAGACTTCGTGAAAATGTCGGATAACGTGTCGTACGACTCGGTACCGCATGTTGCATCTAGTCGTTGAAGGGGCTGGAAGGTATTGAATGAGAGATCCACCAGGGGACAGTCCGTCATTCTCATCTCGAAAGCTCCCGCCCACGATACATAGGTTGCCTTTGCGGGATAAAAGAGTCGTAGGGACAACGAGTTGTGTGCAAGCGCTGCAGTGGATTTGATAACGCGGTCCAGGAAGATGAGACCCGGTACCTGTGTAAGCCGTATCGAGTAGTTTGGAAGATCCACTGCAAGGGATGAGTTATACTGTAGAGAATCCGAGATCTGTAGAGAAACATCGATGCTTCGAAGACCGATTGCATCTTGCACATGCTCGTTGGAAGATGTCTGCCATTCTCCAAGGCCCTGGACTGTGAAGCTCAGCCATGGCAAAAGCACAATGATTGGGTTATTTGGATACCTAAGAAAGTCTCGCTGGCGTCAAGAATAGAAAAGCGCCTTTGGTGCATTTGACTTGATTGCGTCTAAAGACGGGATTTCGTACTGCGATTTTCTGAATGCGCGATGAACCACAGCGAGTACCTTGCTTAATGTTAGAAAAAGGCAGATTCATCGCACAATGGAGTATACTCAGGCACGAATGAAGCACTTGTGGAGGTGACGGGGCAAGCTGCTCTAGATCATGCGACGCTAAACCAAATTTGGCTCAAACCAGGAAGTTGAGCAAGCGACCACACCGTGAGGCCTCCAGCTTGGTGCGGCCGGAAACAAGTGGGCTCATAAACAGGCGGCACGACTTGAGCAAATAAGCCACTCCACATGAGAATTCTTGTAATACATCTGTGCTAGATTGCAACAACGTGTTGGATGTAGGCGAGCGTTTATTCACCATGGGCACTGATTTTGAGATGCGTCAACGCGTACTGGTATCTGGTATAGGATCAAACCCCATCCTTCAGTTGGGAGAATTCTGACGATATACTGTAGCGATCATGTTGTCTAATCTTGTAAGTCACTCTCGAGGATATAAAGTGCCATAGCCGAATATTAAGAACACAGATCATCGCGCTTGACTCCAGCCTGTCTGCTTCTACACATGTTGCGATTGCTACCATCTTTGGCAGGGCCAATATAGCAACTTGGCCGGTAAACAGCTTCCTCGTGTGCTCATTGATTGTACAACCGCTGTTTGCGAGGATGTCAGATTACACCGGACGCAAGTTGCCCTACGTATGTGCCATAGCAATTTTCGCTTTGGCAACCGCTCTCAGCTCGATCGGAAGCAGCTGGCACTGGATTCTCTTTACGCGCGCACTATGCGGTGTGGGAATTGGTGGCATGTTAGGTTTGGGTGAGTGCCACAAATCGACCTGTCCTGTCTACAAAATAATTTCATGCAGGCTCAATCACCCTTACAGACGTGGTAGGCCTGAGTCAGCGGCCATACTACCAGTCTGTAAACTATATCATGTATGGGGCCGGATCAGCGTGGGTTTCGATGCCTCAGACCGAGTAACGGAATCTAAGCTCACAGTACTGCAGACTCGGATCCTCTTTCGGAAGTAGCATCGTAGAGCGTCTAGGCTATCGATGGGTTTTTGCTGTAACGTTGACACGAAAAATACCGAAAAATATGGACTAACCTTATCAAGATTCAAGTACCTCTCTGCATCCCTGTGTTAGTGGTCTTGGCTTTATGGGCGCCTTGCCACGGATCTCTCTCAGATACAGCTACGGGCAGGAATGCATTTGTCGTGGCTTTGAAAGGGTTTGACTGGCTGGGATCTGTGTGTCTGGTTCGTGCCGGGTATGAAATTTAGACATTGTTCACTCTGACATAAAACAGACAGCGAGTCTTGTTTTCCTGTTCGTTTTCTTGACAACAGGAGGCAATGTCTATCCTTGGCTTAGCCTCCCTGTCTTGGGGGCCGGAATTGGACTCCTGATTGCAGCCTACATCCTGGTCCGTGTGGAGTCGGCGAAAGAAAATCCAATCGTAGAGATACAGATGGTTTGCAGCTACCCGGTGAGAAACCTAATGCTCACTGGCCTCTTGTTGAATATGACGAATTATGTTGTAAGTTAGGGATAGGCTACAATTTCTTAATGTAGGTGTGCTAATGTGTAGTTTATAGGTCATGTACTACGTCCCTGTTTTCAGTCAGGCCGTTCTGCTTGATACACCAGAGGAGGCAGGCATCCGTCTTATGGTACCATCGGTATCATTCACTGCGACGAGCGCTTTGTCATCCTATCTGATTGCCCACATAGGAAGTCCGCTTCCCACTCTTTACTTAAGTCAAGTCTTTTTGATTTTCGGCACCGCCAGTCTGCTGTCGGTCATGCTCATTTCTCTGAAGAGCGCATTGCCAAGTATTGTTATCACATTGTTGCTGACTCTGCCTGTGATAGGCGCGAGTATGATGGCACCTAGTGCATTGATGACCTTGCTGAACACGGTTGACGAAGAGAAATGTGCTGTGGTGAACAGCAATTTCATTCTTGCACGTTCTTTGGGATACTTTGCTGCAACCACGCTTGGAGCTACGGTTTTACAAAACACTTACTCACGATTCATCGAAGGTCTTGGACTATCGCAGGCTGATTTTGAGGTAATTGCGCAATCCCGTCTTGGGTCATCGACTGATCGTCTTCAGAAAGCCAAACAAGCCCAAAGAGCGGTATCGTTAGTTCAAGAGCTACCGAAGATTCTTCAATCACATGGTAGAAGCCCAAACAACCAAGTATGGGCTTTCCAGACTTACTAACACATTGTGTAGTAAAGCAAGCATTTGTTAGGGGTTTAGCTGGAGTGTTTTCTTTGCCCTTATGTGCGTCAATCATCATGATCGTATTGCTCTCAAGACTTCGGGGAGCGTCGAAACTTCGGGGCGAAGAGGATCATGCCCACTCTGTATATCACGCAGTTGAACTTCTTAGCTTCGATGACGAGTTGTCCGAGGTATCGAAAAGCACGGACCCTTGAAAGGAGATTGGGCTGCTATTTCTCGGTTACGTGTATGAATAGAACTCTACTTTACTACCAAACAGCATTTTAGAATTGAACTAAGTGCAGTCGCTGTGGATATTCGTTTTGTGTCATAGCATGTCGGCGATGACCAACGTACAGTCGCCAATTTCAATAATAATTGTGTTATTGGAACCCTGGTTGAACCCCCTTCTTTCAACAGTGATATCCTGACTCTCAAGTTGCAGTGCTTGTGCACCTCAGAAAAGAATTGGCTGGTTTAGTCCTGTTAAAAGCCTACATAACAAAATCATGTCAGCCTTCCCAATACGCTTAGACACGCTTGGACACTTGTGAGATTCCACGCACTTTGCTCTCTCGAATCGTTGAATTGTTTCTTGCGCGCATGATAAATATCCACCAATCGTACCTCATGTTCGTCGATTATCTTGTATGGCATCTCCTCCCAGGTTTTTGGGTTATGTGCTATATCGTAAATATCTTTCCACGGCTGTGTGCGGAGTTGCTGGGTAGCAGATAAAGTAACTGCATCTGAGACAGCGCCTTTCGTAGTCAGAGCTGATTTTGGTTCCATGTTAAAGTGCGATATGCGGAGAGCCACCTCGCAATCCTGGTCCTTAAAGGTTTCCTCGTGACACGCAGCCCCAAGTGGCCTTAGTGTCCCAAGCGCAGCCCACCCGTTCGGGGATTAGTGCCAAATTCACTTACCTATCGTAATGGGAGGCCTAGCGCTACGGGAGGCGGCACTCCCACGAAAGCTGGTGATGTGGGACCACTAGCGCAATGTCATGCGATTATCTAGATTTACAGTCAATATAATGTGACTTGTTTGTTGAAGACAACTATTGCATGCGGACAGAAAGAACCTTCTGAAGAGCCTTGCACCAGAATGATCGTAAAGACGGAAGTCGAGTCTCGTCGTGTTACTTTCAAACACATCCGAGACGATTCGGTATATGCGCGAGAGAAGCCTTATCGTCTTCACAAGATTGCGCCTATCGAAGGTCTCCCACTCACAAATGTAGTTTTCGAGTCATTCGAAGCCGCAGAGCTGGTGGACGTAAGGGATAGCATGGATCACCTAGATCTGGAATTTGATTCTTTCAAATTCCTGCATCACCCCAGCAAGATCAAGCTCGACGACTCTGTTGACACAATCAGAGAATATTGTCAAGAATCAGTCGAGATACTGAAGAGCCAGGTCAAAGCTGATCGAGTGATTTGCTACGAAATATTGGTGAGCCACAGGTCTCCTCTACTTGGGAATGACCTGCAGACCTGACAAACGAGCCAATAGCAACGCCATGCCAATGCGGCGGAGATCGCCCCTGCGAGAAAACGATCCATGCCAATTGAGATGGTACACATAGGTATTTTGGAACCAGAACGATGCTTAAAAGGTCGTGAAACTCAAAACATTGGCAGATCACACACCTGAAGGAGGACGATTCAGGATCAAACATCATCTGACTAGAGATGAGATATCTGAATACTCAAGTGACAAGTGGAGGTGGAGGATCATCAAGTAAGTAATCGATCTAAAAATACTTCTTCTGTTTGTTTGAAATTAATCAAATACTGGCATGAGATTTTTCTGATCACTGACAGCATCTGGCGTCCACTCTGCACAGAAGTCAAAGACATGCCACTTGCAATTCTTGACCCGAAATCCGTCGACCCACAGGACATCCTAGAAACTGATCAAGTTGGACCGCAATATGCTGGGGAAACAAGTTATGTGCTATTCAGTCCCAATCAACGTTGGTATTGGCTTCGAAACCAGACATGCGAAGAAGTGACTCTCTTCACTTGCTTTGATAGCCACGCGAAGCATCCATACTCCAACAGTAAGTCATCCCAACTAAACGTGCTGCTTAGAACCGAGAAAGATTTATCGAGTGGATCAGTGCAATAGCTAAAACTCTTCCAGGCTGTCCACACGCGTCGTTCAAAGATGAGACTGCGCCAAAGAACTGTCCACCAAGAGAAAGTGTAGAGTTAAGATGCATTGTCCTATCGAAAATCTAATATTCTAACTGTTCTTCAATTCTTGGAAACACTCTTCGATGCAACTTACGTGCCCTGTAACTATGCCTGTCATCCCTAGCGGACTTGATGGATTGTTATTGATAGCCCGCTTACTGTATATCCAATATGGTTCGAAAGAACATGCAGTTGAGGAAGTTCTCAAATGAGCAACATAAAACCGAAGAATCCATTTCCGTGCCTAGTGTGACTACTACATCGCAGCTTCGAGAACGTGCATGCCAAGCAACTAATTACCCATGTGGGTAGACTTAGGGGTGAGGCCACCAGCACGGCAAGGCACTTACTAGTTGTTTCCAACTTTTAGGCCCCTATATACCACTACAAGCATCATTCGTGACTAGAGATATGAGCGCAGGGTATGAGAGATCAGGGAAAGAATGCTACACCAGCGTACATACAGCTTTGTTCCTGGTCAGCACAACGTACACAATCAATCCGTTCCAGCATTGCTCTACTCTACTGAATGGACAAGACCACGAAGCGCTCGATGGATATCCCGGATGCCACGATGAACCCAAAATCAAGACATGCAATACGAACTCCGACTCAGCTCTGCGTATTCAGAAAACCTGTGACCGTATCAGAAACTTTCATGCGTACTGCGAGATACGCTGAAAATCCGAAAAAATATCTTGAGAAGACGTCGGACAGTCTGGTCTCCAGTCGTCAAGGCGCTCTGTCTTCACCATTGCTCGAGAATAGTATGGTGGACATGGACTTGTATGGATCTGGCACTTGCAAGGACCGTTTTGAAAAGACGATTGCGCATAAGCTAGGAAAATCGCATGGGTTGTTCTTTCTGACTGGAACCCAAGCACAATTATCGGCACTCAAGACCCATGCCACCCAGCAGCAGCGTAGTTTGATCGGTTGGCATCCGACATCACACCTCGAGACTTCCGAACAGGAATCCTATAAATATCTTTACAATTTGAACAGGGTTCTTGTTGGAACGAATAGGAACAGGTTGGCGAGCATGGAAGAGATCAATGATATTGTATCTCGGCCAGTTGACCAGCGGCCTGCCGCGATCCTATTGGAGATACCAAATCGTACGCTTGGATGCGCGACCTACAGTTTTTCCGAATTAGAAAAAATTTCCTCCATGTGCCGAACAGCGGGAGTTGCTCTTCATTGCGATGGCGCTCGTATTTGGGAGATCGAGGCCTTTTACAACGCGACCAGCGGCAAGTCCTTCGACGATATTGGAGCACTGTTCGATTCAGTGTACGTCAGTTTGTACAAAGGGCTCGGAGGAATTACTGGAGCCATGGTGCTACACAATGACAAGGCTTTCATCGAAGAGCTGAAGATTTGGCAACATCGAGCTGGGGGCAGACCGTTCACACTAGCGTACGAGATCGCTGACTGTGAGCGCGGATATCACGAGATGGTGAACACGTTTTCGCGAAAACGAGAGAAGATGATTCGAGTCGTGAGGGAGATCTCACGTGCAACTGCAACGCAACACAACTCTCATGGTGAGAGGATCGTTCGCTTCGTTCCCGAGGTTCCGACATGTTGTCAAGTACTCACGTACTTCGACGGATTTAACGAGCATGAATTACTGGCGGCAAGGGACAGAGTGGAGCAGCAGCTTAACGTGCGGATCTTCGAAAGGCTTAGATCATCTTTTGATATAATCGATACAGACTCGGAAGCAACCAAAACAAGACTACTACAGCATCAGCTTGACTTGCCGAAGCAGGCTGCAGTGCCTATAGGCAAAGAATATATCGAATGGCGTATTGGATCTGTCACTGAGCAGATTGCTGACGACGTGTTTGTGGAAACGTACGTTGCATTTTGCAACGCATTGAAGGGATTGGTTAAGTGTCGACCCGGAGACAGCACCATAGACAGCTTGTAAAGAGAGACCAGAAAATTTAAGCAAATGAAGTACCAATTCTCGGCGTTGGGTAAAGTGTATTGATATCCTCCATGTACAGGTCGACTTTCAGTCATACGCTTTCGAGGCCTTGCCCTTCGCAGGGCACTGAGAGCTATATACATCGTCATCGTTCTGAAGTCTGCAGGATGTCGCTTGCGCTGTTGGATAGGCAGACGAGCACATGTCGCGTGATACACTGTGCTGCTTGCTGCGCACTCAGCTTTGTGACATCAAGTTCCAAGCGGGTTTCCACATTTTCGAAGAGAAAGACTGGTGGTGGGTGCAGTTCCTCCCGAAATTGTATCAGGAGTTCAGCGTCAGTGACCTTGTGCCAGAGTGCCCGATCGCTGTTGCGAAGTCTAGCGATGTTTTCCGCTTGCTCGCAGTTGATGATAATCGGAATAAATTCGCACCCACGGTCAAGCGCTGTAGATTGAAAATCTTTGCACACTTCTGTGCCAACGTCATCACCACTCTGCCAGTCGGTGAATAAGTAGGCTGTGGTGAACGTGGCGGGTTCGCTCTTCAGCGTCGAGAATACTGCGTCTCGCAGCGCTTTGCGTAAGTTTTGGTAGCCTGGCTGCGTTCTGTGCAGGACAGCATCGGCGGGATTTATCAGTAGATGATTGTGCACAAGCTTGATTTGTTCTCCCGACCCAAAGGTTGCAAAGTGCTCTTGTAATATTTTGACCACCTCTCGCGCAATGGTCAATTTTCCGGTCCCCGGGAATCCATTTAAGTGAATGATCGGTAAAGGTTTGGACCGCGGAAAAAGTGGTAAAGCCATGGTCGCCTTTTCGAGCACACTGTCGGTGCTTGGGTATGCCTTGGATGCTTAAAACAGAAATTGCGCTGCTGCGCGTGCCTCGCACACTTGCTTCAAAGAGGAGAGTTGATCAGGCCTCCAGCTGGGTGAGGCCGCCAGGAGGGCTAGCAAAAGGACGCCTCGCTTAGGTAACTGTGGTTCCAAATGCCGCACGGCCCGTCCTAATTTGCCGCCGCCCACACAAGCACCACTCCTAATGCCTAAGGCTGCCATTCGCCGTGGTGTTGCACACACCACCTGGGCACCATTTCACTTGAAACCGTGGAGACAAATGGTGACAGCGTCCTGTGTGGCTGCACGCGCTCTTTGGACCTCTGACGACAGGAATTGACAGCCTCCCATCACGTGTTCACTTAGCTACTGGCATCACGATCAAGTTGACTTTGCAGGGCAACATCATTAGGTGTACGGTCTCGCAACATGTCTGGTACGTAGCATTATTTTGAAACAACTGTATAGTATCCCCCAAACTCCTGTTATTGCGTTAACTCTCAAAAGTTTCATGGAGCACACAACATGCCCTTGAGACGGGGCAAGAGCTGGATGTCTCGGATATCGTCGTGCTGCAGGATCCATGCTAAGAAGCGCTCGGATCCGATGCCCCAACCAGTCGTGTTGAGCTCTTTCACCTTCCGCATTTCGACATACCAGTCATACTCTGCTGGGTCCACCTCATGACGTTCTAACGCATCCAGGGCTTGCTCAGCTGTTTCATGCCGGTTACCACAGCCAACGACTTCGCCCATTCCGATCAACAGATCTCCGCAACGCGCCTTGCGGTTGTCTCCTGCGTATGCCTGGTAGAACGGTACGCTCATATGGTCCATCTCAGTAAGCCAGACAGCACCGCCGAATTTTGCGATGAGCATTTGCTCTCCGACACGCGACAAGCAGCGACCGTATTGAGGTCGTCCCTCTACTGCGTAGTACCACATATTCTCAGTCATCTCTGGGAGAGCGAGAGCATCGTCCAGTGTAATCATGGGGAAGGCATTGCCGTGTGCTTGATACAGATCCAGCATATCATCAAGATGTTTCGTGGTCCCAGCAATCCTTTCGACTTCAATGCGATGGTTCTTCTTGAACGCCTGGACAAGTGCGATTACATATTCGTTCGCGACACGCATGCCATCTTCCAATTCTCCAAGAAGTTCACACTCCACATGACAGAATTGGTTCAGATGCGTTGCATCCGGGTCCTCACCACGACACGAAGTACCCAGGTAGTATGCTCCTTTGAGACCATCTTCAAGTCTTAGCGCATACTCAAGTGTGAACTGTTGGGAATCCGCAAGATAAGTCCTCGTGCCAGCAAGCTCAATAGAAACAGGCTGCGAGTCTGAGCCAAGGCCCATAGGAGAGCTGATACTGCCTGTGGTCATAGGGACGATAACATAGCGGTAACCCATGCATTGGTTGAAGAAGTCCACCGAGGTGTGGATGAGCGTGCTTTGAAGACGCAGCATCGCGGTGTACCAGGGACTGTGTAGGGCTGACATGGCGAAAGTGGATGGAGTCTTCCATAGTTTGGGTGCGCCTTCTCGCTTTTTCGCATCGCTGATACTTGTGGATGCTGACTTTTCGATCTTCGGTTTGCGGGCGTGATATTCTTTGCGTTCAAGATGCAGAGATGTAAGTCGCTTGTCGGATTCCTCGTATGTGTATAGAGGATTTGGACCTGAAGGGGGCAGTCGCAACAGACTGTCAATTGGGTGTACGGTCAACATTGTTGATGTTTACCCTGTGTAGCCGAGGTGCAGACGAGGATGATTACAGATTATAACGTTTGGGAATCGTTCCGGAATCGCGAGTAGAGCGAGGCACACAGTAGAAGTGCTTGTTTGGATCATCCGAATCATGCGAGTGGTGTCATGATATCCTCGTACCTGGTACCAGATATACCCAACTTGAAATCAGTGTCCGAACGGTGGCGTTCTGCTTCATCGGCATTGCGGCCTTCGATAGTGTGAGGCCCGCCACAACAACAGGTGCGTTAACAACCCTCCTCAGAGGGATCAGCGCTTACCCGCTTTGGTCAGGCTAATCTTGCAGCACTATCCGGACTATCGCAATTTCAACGCCTGCTACTCAAAAACATCCATCTACGTGTTCGTCCTCTGTGCATCCCAAGCTTTTCAATTGAGCTTAAAGCATATCTTCCTGATCTACCTTCTCTTTTATTCTCAGACCCCAAGATGAAGCGGGACGACTATGGCCATGTCCCATCTTCTTCTTCGGAAGATCTTGTTTCTGAGACACAAAATTTCTTCGAAGAATCAAAGATTGATACCCAATCGCGGAAGCAAAACAAAAGGATGATGCTTGCAACAAGTCTTATCTTGTTAGCAACATTCTTGAATGTAATCTGCCTCTACTTCTGGCTACGGCCTGGCACTGCCTCTTCTGCTTTGTCAACATCAGAAACACCTATAATTTGGGACTATTTCCGTAGGCAATGAATACATCTCCAAAGAAGACTTAAGACTTGCGAGTCGAGCCTAACAAGCTTGTAGTCAACGATTCCAGTGGCAAACGGCTTCCAGAGTCTGTTACAAGGACATATTGGGATTATCACGATGATTTTCTGAACGAAAACCTGACAATTGCACACGACTTCTGGGCCTCCCTCTTTCCGCGTAAGTCTCCAATCATAGTCTCTCTCTACAGATGGCTGACTGTGCTCTACACAGCTGGCGAAGGACTTGTAGCTCTCACAGATACAGAAGTGAGCGCATTGCAATTGCATGAGTCGAATCGCGCGTGGAAAGAACCAACCAAGCACATCTATCTTGTCGCTGTTTTCCATCAACTTCACTGTCTTGTGAGTGGCCTGCCAATGGCTGTCAAGAAACTCACACAAATACTGATACGAGTTCTTACAGAGTGTCTTGCGTGCACAAACCATCAAGCTTTGGCAAAATCCGTCCTTTTCAATCGCTGATGCTACCTACCACCACACGATGCACTGTGTGGACATTCTGCGTCAAGGCTTGCTTTGCGCTGCCGACTCCACATTGATCTTCAAGACAAATGATATCAAGTGGCCAGGAGAAGGCGGAAACGTGACTTGCAGGAACTTCGAGGCATTGAAGGAATGGACATTATCACGGGATTATGTGTCGAGTCCGAACGAGCCCGAATTCCACGATGCATCCCCAAAATTGTTGTAGAAAAGTAGATGTTATTGTTAAAAAGCGTACCGTTATATCCAAGGTTATGATCTGTGCATGAAAACAAAAGCATTAGAAGCTTGATCAAGAGACTCTGCTGCAGTAGCCTATAGTATCACTGTGTAAAATGTGCCTGAGAGGCTGCGCTAGGTTCCGTAATTAGATCATGATAGGTCCTAGAGGAGCCATTTTGAATCTAGCACGTAACTCAGACCAAAATGATTACATATTGGAAGCATACGGTTGCACGCCCTGTTTATCTGCTGGACCGTACGTGGGTCTGATTTAGTGCAGTGTAGGTATTTAGCGGCAAAGCAAAGGTAGAGGGCAGCAGAAATGAGGTGCGGAGCGCAGAAGCTAAGGAAGATTAGTAAGAGAGGTATGCATAGTGTATAAGCTACCCTTGAACACCTATTAGTCTTTTATCCCTCCTTGCACATTATATACTGTTTGCTGTTTACTGCCACCTGTCTTTAACTACTATCTGCACATCCACCGCACGTTAAAGCGTAAGGCAAGCTGTCTACAGGTGTACGTAGCGCTTAGTAGAAGGGGTTGGTAGATTGTCGCTACTATATACTGCGGGGATCCTTCGTGTCAGCAGGTTGTACTAATAGGGAGTCAGAATAGGGTGGAGGTAGGGTTATAGTTAGTTGCTTAGTTGATCGAGCCCTCCGTCATCCTACTAGGTATGTCCGGCGCCCTCTGCCTTCTTCAAGCAGTAATTAAGGTGCTGCCGGGTAAGAAACATACGTATCGCAATCCCGCAATACATTACTGCTGTAAGATGACATCAGGAAGAATGCGCAACATAGTGGCGCCTAACACAAAAAAGTAGCCCTTAAATCTAGTAACGACAACATTGAGATAAATGATGCCTTTAGCAATGTCGTCGCACTAAACATAAGAGCCAAGCGCCGCTGCGGACAGATCAACATGCGGGCGATGCATGCCTAACTTCGAGTTATACAGTGCCCAGAATACGTTTAGTCGCAACATCTCAATTCTGACAGAGCAGACACGTTACTTACATATAGGATGCTATTCGTGTGCTGGATGAAGGAACTAAAGCGGGATCTGTCCAGTCTTCAGGGAGGGAGATATATGACCAGGCGCAGCTTAACCGTTCCGACTTAGAGATTTTTACTGTCTTCTCTATTCCACCTGTTTTCTACATGTAGCATAACGAGAGCTGAGTCATGATTGACGTTTGATATTTCCGATGCCACCCTGTACTAACCCACGTCCATTTCTCTCCTGTATACAGCTATAGGCTACCACTTAGACTCTCTTTACATCTTTATAATGAGTGCTCTTTCAGAATACAACATTGAAGTAGATTAATTATTACCTATGATGTAGCTGTTGAGAGTATTGCAGCGCAGAAAAGGCAAAGGATCCAGCCTTGCTGATGCATGTGATGCGGGGTGTGCGGGGTGTCATGCCACAATGCTGTCAGATAACCAGGCGTTTCCCTCCTTTATCTGGATCTTACCTTCCGCTAGCAAACTTTACCCTCTTGACTACTCTCAACCCTGAGCCTCTTCCAACCGAACTCAATACAAAATGCCTTACTGTGACCTTTGTAACGGTCTTACGATCGAGGGCCTGTTCCCGCCAAACATCTACCACCATGCGAAGACCTTGGCAGCCTTGGAAGAGTCGGGTAAGACTTGCGAACTGTGTAAACTCCTCTATCGTTGCATCAGGCCCGCTGGAGATTATCGTACAGAGTACCATCCCCGATTTCTTAGTTCATCTAAGGCCCCTCGGCTTGTAGGATGGACAGATGACATGCTGCTTTCATACGATTTGGAGGCATGCAGCGACACGGGCGCCAGTGATGGTGCGAGCCAACTTCCCACGAATGCTTGCTCTGTGGCATCCAACGTTGTCAGCATCAAGCTCCAAATTCTTGAAGAAAGTGAAATACAAAAGAAGGAATCGTTCCTTCCCTCTCTGGATGGGTTCACCCACATCGGCATTTGGACAGAGTCTCCACATATGCTCACAAGCCTGACGCTATTCGTGCACGAAGGTTAGAAATACTAGGTCGCGGTAATGATGTTCGAAGCTGATGAAGGTGCAAGGCGATGAATTAGGTTATCGAGCAAGCCTGGAAGAGGGCCAGCACAGGTTCATCTCTGGTCGCGTGCTCACTAGCCATCACCCTTCCAAAGCGTACTTCGATGTCGCCCGCCGCTGGTTCAATCACTGCGTTTCCAGACACACAGAATGCGGAGATCACCTCAGCTTACAGAATTCCACTGTACCAGACAGAGTCATAGATGTTGCACTCTACGGCGGTCAGCCACGTCTCATAAATTCGATGGGCTTGAGGTCTCGTTACGCTACATTGAGTCATTGCTGGGGTGGTACGATACCAATGATGACGTTAACGGAGAATCTTGAGTGAAGAATGGCAGGTTTGCCAATGTCGGAGTTGCCAAAGACGTTCCGCGAGGCCATAGTGATATGCAGGGCCTTGATGATACCCTACCTATGGATTGACAGTATATGCATCATCCAGGACTCACCAACAGACTGGGAGATACAGTCAAGCAAGATGCATTCAATATATCACGACAGTGCAGTTACCTTAGCTGCTTTAGACGCAGCTAATTCGAGTAAAGGACTTTTCATCCCTAAGCTTCCATTTGTAGATGTATTTCCTCTACACCAACAATTTGGCAACGGCAAAGGTCAAGCATACGTTGGACCACCCACTTGGACCAAGTTCAGCCATAGCTCCGGACCGTATAACGACCATATTGGATGGGTGTATGAAGCTTTGCAGGATATGTTTTCACAGACATCTTATATTAGGAGAGGTGTTCTAGAAAGTCGAGCATGGGCCATGCAGGAGCTACGGCTATCTCAACGTGTCCTGTACTTCTTTAAGGGCGAGATGATGTGGAGATGTCCTGAAGCGATTATGCGTCAGAACGGATCATGGAAGGCCCCAAATCGTATGTTTCAACTGAGGTTTGCATTGGAGAGACATAGTATGGGATTCGAATCAGTACGGAACTTGCTCGCGGAACGAGGCCACCCTCTCGTTCACCATCGGAATGACAATGATGAGAATAGCGGAAGCGAGACACATGAAAGCCGCGTCGTACAAGCTGGTACGAGTCCAAGAACTCTTGGGGCCATTGATAACAGCGTCGAGCGGAATTCTAATACATTAGTCTTCGACCTAGTGCTGGAAGGATCAAATGGCTACGATATCCTGGAGACCTGGTATCACCTAGTCAGAGACTATAGTCAGTGTCAGTTGACATTCCACGCCGACAAACTACCTGCGCTGTCCGGTATAGCATCCCGCATTCATGCCATCACGCACGACCAGTATCTTGCTGGCCACTGGCGCATAAATCTCGAAAAGACTTTGTTCTGGAAAGGTCAGGGCCGAGTCAAAGTATACAGGGCTCCATCGTGGAGCTGGGCGAGCTCAGAGGGTCACTTGGGCGACCTGTACGGCATAGACGCACAGGAAGACCAGACGCTACCTCCTCTCGAAGTTCTGGACGCCTGCACGAAGATCGATGGCGGGAACCCTTTCGGGCGTGTAACGTCAGGCCGAATTATCATCAATGCCAGAACGATTGAGGCAATTTGGAATCCAGAGCAACAATGCTGGGACTCGCGCAGTAGGTCGTGCTCGGGCAAAATACACACCGACTCGACACACCCACTTGGTATCACCGATTGTGACGGGAATCCAATCGGTTACTGGTCCTACGACGATCGGCTCTACGGCGTACTGCCTGGTCTGCCTCTGGACATGCACGCGACGCAAGCCGCCATCGAAGCTAGAATGTGTCCTGTCATGCCCGACCTGAGGGTACCTTGCGGCACGCCAAAGGAGCCTGTGCAGCCCAGATACGATGACGCAGCTGGCGAGATCGACCTGTTCTGGTCAAAGGCAGCTTATCTGCCCGAAAACTTGCTGTTGGTGCAAGGACCGGGAATCGCTTGTCAAAATGAGGAAAATGATGTTGTAGATTGTAGCGATCAAGAGATTGTTGTTGTGCTTGTACTTCAAAAATCAAACACAGACCCTGACACGTTTCAACGTATAGGTATAGGGGAGTTGTTCATATGGGATGAGAGCGTAGAAACAAGACATAATTTAACAATTATCTAGAAGACTAGAAATATACTCTTCTAATACCTACATCGCTATAGATAATAATCAAGACTTTCTTTAAGCTAACAAAAAGTTTGTAGAACTAGAATACCTATACCTGTCCCAACAGCCCTCAACCCTACAAGTGAGTGCACGAAGACCATGGATCAGAGCAACTCCCTCTTCCCCACAACCGATTAACGACACAGATGAGCCAGCACCTACTACCCATTTACTATAGACCAACAGCCGCTCAACAGCCACCCGCACGCAGCCCGACCCACCACCAAAAGCACCAGTCCTCCGTGCCCACAACCACACAAGCCCACCACAACACGCCGTGTGCACGAACAACCCGCATTGAACCCAAAGATACCACGAGCGCTGATGATCTACGTGTGCTGTGGTGCACGTGTGGTGTCGATTCTAGAGACCGGCACGACACCGAACCCGACACCGAGAGCGAAACCGAGGAGCACGAAACAGCGCGCGCGCAGACAGACATCTCGGCGCAGTGCTGCTGGGTGGTCCCACTGGAGACAGTCACCGGAGATAGTCGCCGGAGAGATGCACCGGTGCCTTTGTTGTTCGCCGTTCGGCAGCGAGGAATGAGGCTCTTGTGTCGTGGCGTGGGGCGAGACAATGCGTGTCGAGTGGCTCTTTGGCGGTGTTCAGGGCGGGAGACTGGGGGGTGGGATGGAGGGGTTGGGGCGCGGTGGTGCTTTGTAAGGGGGGAGACGGAATGTCAACTGGGCGGGGAGGGGAGGAGGAGCGGATGGTGAAGGGAGAAGTGGAGGTGTTGCAGTAGAAAGAGGCGTACATGGAGCACCTGATCAGAGATACTTGTGGACGTGCATATTGTCTCTCTTTCGACTGTCATGGAAGGTGAAGGGGGTGGGCAGACATGGCCTCGAGAGGAAAAGAGTTGGATGTGGAGTAAGAGAACGGGTTGAATGTCTTGCGAGGGGATGCTGTGGTAGAGGGAATGTAGCGCGAAGGTGGATTAGAGTATCTCCATACACACACGGCTGCGTAGTGTGGTACTTACCACGTCCAGTAATAATATGACAGGCTAGGTGTAGGATATAGTATGTGTATGGGTCTTTGAGTTTAGACAGTGTTAGTAAACATCTACGGGTGTTTCGACGAAACATCTTGAATGGAGAAGGGTGGATCACGCAACCCTACCTTGCACGATGTATCTGCAGCACATCGACTGACGTTAGCATCGACAACCCTGCCGATCGGTCGACTCGACGAATGCCAGTTGCGGCGCAGTCATTTCTGCTGATCAACATCGACAATGAGCGCATGTGCTCAGCCGCGGCCTTGGTGCGTGCCACTCGGAAGCTCGGAAAATAGATCTACAGAAGGAAGGAGTCTGCCCTCACGTGGCAGCGTCCGCGCACCAAACAAGACGTCTGGAAGACGATCACAGAGTCTCGAAACCGGGATCGTGATTCGATCTGCAGCCCCGAGCAAAATTTCATATGGCCAATTTAAATCTCGGTCTGCTCTTGGCAGGGGTGCCCACGGAGCTGGGTGGCCCTTGACGTCACAACCGTTCGGCTCGCTCTTCGTGGTTTAGGCTGGTGAGAGGGAAGTGGAGCCGTTGGTGCTCGCAACGTGGTGTAACCGGTATCCAACGTCGTCCCGTCAGCCAGAAGACAACATTAACTACCCAAAGCCGAACACGCGTCATTCCATGGCGGGACTCACCGTGGGCCGACTGGTGAGATGGCTGCAGCGGATGCTCGAGGATGGGCTGCGCTGCAAGTGGAGAGCTCATCTTCATCATCTGCGGTTGCGTGTCTCGCCGAAGACAAGGTTCGCGCCGCCAGCCATGTTCAGGTTCTCCGCACTTCCAGACATCCAGACCAGCGATTAATTTGACTTTACCTCATCAGCAATTTCTCAGGCCGTTGCGCGAACTTGGAGCGCGCTCATTGTAAGCCATTTCGTTCCCCAGCCAATAGGAAGCTCGGGCGTGGCAGGGCTGAGATAGTGCAGATCCTGGTCTAATTTCGCAGACGGCAGGCAGATGGATCGTCATTCGCATCGTGAGTGCGGTAGCGAGGGAAGCTGTCTCGAGCCGGTGCAGAACAACGGCGTGAACCCGGCTTGCTAAGGTGAGTGGTTCGGCTTGCTGTTGGGTGTTGGGTTGGGGCATGTTGACTTGCTGCTGACCTGGCGGTGGGTCCTGCCGTCTCGCTAAAGTGTACCATATGAGGTGAGCAGGATTGCTGTCAGGACCGAATTCTACTCTATATCTGCTGCAGCGGTGTCCAACTGCCAATCCGTTGAGTACGCTTCAGCTTGCCCCACATGTCGTACCATTAAGATGATGAAGGTGCAGCGCAGAAGACGGCAAAACTCGATGTGATTTGACGCACGCAGTGTTGAGCTGCAACGCAGCAGGGACAGAAACTGTGTCGGTGCCAGGATGCTGACCATATAGGTGCGGAAATGAGCAGCGGCGTACTTGTGGGAGATCAGGTGCAGTCGCAGTGACTTGTTGCGGCTCCCAGCGTTTATTGGTGATCAGCGGTAATACACTCGGTCGACTGGTTGGTGCGCAATTCATACTCGGTCGGGCTGCCTACAGACTCGACGTTGCACAGGAAAGGAGAGATGCAAGACAACGGGCGGCGGTTAGGCCAGGAGGCTGTGGCAGCCAACAGCTCCAGGGCAACGGTTCACGGGTGATTCGTTCGCTTGTGAGACTAGCGGCTTCAGGTACCCGTGGAGCAGTGGGCGTTTGACGTGGACATCAAGAGTCGCCTCCCCGCATTCCTCGCAGTGCGAATGATGAATCATTGCCGGCGGCGGCGGGCGCAGTGGGTGTTGTTTGTTTGGCAATGCAACAAGCAACGCAACAAGCAAGTCGGGGCTTTGATGCTTTGATGACCACCTGCAGATCGGGCAAGCTGCGGGAGGGGCTGCAGGGCCCTGCTTCGTTTCAGGGGAGCACGCGCACTGATTGGCTGCAGATGTTTCGCTGCACCACGCGTCACGGCGTGCAGGTGGCTTCGCCGTTGTCACAGTCGCCGCCGCTGTCGTCCCAGCCCCTCGAGAGTCAGGATGGCGCGTCAAGACGGCGCACCGCAGCCTGAGTCGCGGGCGAGTGGTGAGGCCTCTGTTTGTTGTGCTAGCAAAACGGAATGCACACGCGCGACGGTGGCAGGCGCTACCGGCGCTAGTCCCCGTTTCTTTTTCCTGTCGCGTCCACCAGCGCGCATCAGCGAGCATCCCCTGGCGGCGTAGGTTTGGGCTGATGAGGGCCACGAGAGCCATGAGGCCGCCAGGCGTGCTCGATCAGGATGCCTGTCGCCGCAGTGGGCAGGGAACCGACGCCGGCATCTGGCCCGCGCGGCACGTCTGCGCTGGACGTGTCGCAGATGCGCCCATGCGTGCGGAAATGAAGCCTAGTGGAAATTGATCCTTGTACCCAGTCCAAGTGCTTGTCACTCCCCCAGGCCCGGCGTATGCAGCCCACGCTCCTTCAAGGTCGCTGCCGTCTTTCTGGCCGGCAGATCTGCTGCACATTCCTTTCTTCTGCCAAACACCGCAGTGCGCGTGCCCACACTCCTTCGCCGTTACCTCCAGCTGTATACGCTCCTTAATTGCAACCGCCGCAATAATCTACTGTTTAGACGCTCTGCCGCCGCCGCGACGCCTTGAGAAGAAGCTCTTTGTGACCTGCCGTGGAAGACGCCACCCGACCAGGACCAGGACCTCGCATGCATTCCGGGCCAAACAGACTCTAAATTCACTGCGCCGCCCGTTTCGCCCTGCCTCCAGCTCTGCCATTACCTGCAGCGAGCGCTCGCTGCGTCTTCTATCATCGGCAGTCGCTGCCCGCAACCCAGCGTGCTGACGACGCACAGTTGTGGAGACCTTGGTATGTCAAAGTCTCATGTGTACATAAACTTCTTCACTGTGCATCCAAGACGCATACAGAGCATGCCACTAACACAGTCCCAGCAGAGGCTTCTTTCGTCGACCCCGCCTTCCGTTCACCAGCGTTGTCTGAACATCGCTCCTTCTGTAAACCACTGTCAGCCACTGTGCTACCGTACAACACTGCGCGCAGCCGCACACTTCCGTAAGATCCCTGCCTTGAGTCGCACCTGCGTCTCTCCAGGATAGACCTATCGAGTCACGTCCTGTCCGCTTTTGACCCAGCTCACTGGTCCGGACACTTCTCGCGCCCATGATGGGTTTCTTGAGTAGGAAGAAGGACAAGACCGTCGACGACGATGCCTCCAGCACGAAGAAGGGGAAGAAGGGGAAGAAGGCTCAGGTGGAGGAGCCCAAGCCAAACTTTGATCTAGGATCGGTCTTGCCAAGCACAGATGACTTCCGAACAAGTCTGATCTTGCCTGGCTTGTCCACGCGTTTCAGCATGTTGAGAGAGCAGGATGATCCCAGCTCGATGCTGGGCAAGGCCAGCGACGACAGCGTCCTTGCACCGAAGCGGTCGTCTCGCCTGCATGAGTTTGGCTTTGCCCCCGGTGGGCTGTCCGATATTGCCGAAGTCTCGTCTCTCAGTAGTTCCGTTCGACCACCCTTGTCCGCCCAGCGTAAAAGCTCGTTTGACAGCGACAGGACGGGAGATCCATCTGGCGGCAGCGTGATGACCCGAGCGAGGCCTGTTGAGGGCAATGTGCTGTTTGGTGGCCGTCAGAATATCTTCGTTTCCAACAACACCACCCTGAGGAACCTGGGATCGTCCATATACGACGATGAGGTCAGCATGTCAGCCTACCAACGCATACGAGCAGAAGAGAAGGAACGGTTACGACTGGAGGCCGAGTCACGGAACGAACTGAATTCGGAGCCATCCAGTCCGACGGCTCTCAGTCGAAAGAGAGAAACCGCGTCATCCACGACCTCTGGCCCTGAGAACACCCGCACATCGACGGCCGCCACGTCGATAACGTCTCAGGGCGCTGGCGATGCCCCTGTCACTTCGCCAGTCCTGCCCCCTTCTGCAGGACCTTTTCCAACCGCTGACGCGAACCGCTCCATGCCCAAGCCGCGAAGACTTTACGATCAAGGTCTCGATCAGCACATCCAGGAGCAGCAGTCATCAGCTATGAACAGACTGAACTCGATCCAGCGAGCGCGGGCGCCAACCGGGCGTTCAACTCCTCCGATTCCACTCTCTCAAGCACGATCTGCGACAAGTTTGAATGACCGTTTCCACCGGGGCCCCATGTTTCGCTCGGACAGTCCAAACGCAGTGGTACACCCTGGTATGGCCCGGAAGAACTCTCAGCTTTCCAGCGGCGCCTCTAGTCCCGTTGTATCTCAGTCACAGTCGCCTCCGCCAGGCAGCCCAGTCACCAGTGATGTCGGCGACAAGCTGCCTCTGACATCTGCTCTCCAGCAAGGTGATCGCGGCAAGGCTACTGCTATGGGTGCGTTCAACAAGCCTAAGGAAGCCTTCAGCGAGCAACAATACGCGGAGCGTCTGCGTCAGATGCGGGTCGATCGCGAAGGAGCTCAGGAGGTGCCCGGGTTTCCAGCCCCCGTCATGGAGCCTGTGCCCAAGAGCGAAAAGTCGCCCCCTAGGAAGCCCACCCTTCGCGAGCGTGCAGAGGAGGAGAAGCGAAAGCGGTCTGAAAGCATTGGCCGTCAGAGGTCAGAATCGTCTGCTTCCTCTGGTGATGCGAACCAAGCCGCGGCGGGCATCTCCGCTTTCCAGGCTGCTGCAAACCGCATGAAGGCCGCTGCCAATGCGAACCAATCTCCATTCATGCCTGCAATGTCGCAACCTCGGCAGAAATCACCAGCCGAGCGAACTCCTGCTGCCTTCTTGGCCGCCCCAGAATCCAGCGATGAAGAAGAGCCAGCTCAAACTAGGCCTACGACCGCTCGCACCACAGACACTACGCGTCGTTTCGAGAACCTACCCGTCGCAACGGGCCCTGCACCTTCTATCTTCGAGCATCCCGCTATGCGGTCTCGTGAAGTTTCGGAAGAGCATGTTCCACAGGTAGTCTCACAAGTCTCCAGCCCGATGCTGCCTCTCGGCGTCTCCCCAAAACCTGATCACATCGCGGACAGAGAATTGGATTCACCTACACTGGGACCAAACAACGGAGGGCTGAGTGGTATGATCCGTCAACATCTTCGTAGCGACAGTAACCTATCTTCCAACTACGGCGAAACTGACTATTATTCGCCTGCGCCTGTCGGCCTAGCTATTCAAACTCAGGGCATGGGACTCCAGCCACGTCAGCGAAGCTCGGATTCGGCTACACCTGCGCCTTCCACTTACAGCCACTCAAACCCTTGGGATCTGGACGACCTTGACAACCCGTCTCGCGGTAGTTTCAGCTCGGGCAGTCCCGTCGATGGACAGCGCACCAACGCCGGTCTGGGCCAACAGTGGGACACCCGAAGGAACCACGAACGTATTGCTAGCAACGAGACGGAAGCAGAGCACGAGGCTTTCCAGCGCGATCTTGCTCAGCGCCAGCGCGTTATCCAAGAGAATCTCCGCGCCCGGGCGGAGGGTCGATCTACGAGTCCGGCCCCTGGCTCTGCTGGAGGCTTGAAGAACGCCCTAAACATGCTTCGCGCAAAGTCCAGCCGAGAGTCCTTCGCGATTGTTGAGAGACAACAGGCAGACATGCCCCACAAGGGTCTGCGAAAGGCCAACTTGGGCTCGGGATCAGGCAATGCTAGCACTACCTCGCTGGTAGGATCTTTCATTGGTGAACACTGGAAGGCCGAGATGCCCACTCTGAAGTCCAAGTCGTCTCGTCTGGGCCAGCAGAATGACCAAGAATCGCAGCGTGAGGTTGGAGGCAGACAACGATCTGGAACTGATAGCAGCAGAGTGGGACGGCCGGTAGGTCGTTCGCCTCCCATGATGAGCAGGAGTTCCACTCGTGAGCGCTCGGGTTCTGGTACCTCATCTGGCCGCTCACTCAGTCGTCCTGGTCAGCCGGAGATTGACAACACCTACCCCCTGCCAGCTAACCGTCCGTCCGTTGAGAGCCAAGGCCGTACTCGGTCTCGCAGCAACAGCTACTTCGAGTCGAAGCATTTGCACCCGATCCAGACGAACACGCCCCATCCTCCGCTCCCAGTTCCTTCCGGCTTACCTCACCAAAAGTACTCGCCGGGCCTCCCGATCTCGCCAAGACCTTCCCCTGGTGGCTTGACTAGCCCGAATATGCACGCTTACCAACCTCAAGGTTCACCAGTGCCTCCCTTTTCGGCCACCCCCACTCCCCCTGCCTCCAACCCCACAACACCGAATGCCGCTGCTTTCAATGCAGCCATTGGTCAGCCAAACATTAGACAGGGTGTGCTGCGCAAGAAGTCAATTGCCAAGTCGGAGATTTCGGAGCCAGTCTTCTTGTCCACCACATCTGTCATCGACACGGTCAGCCTACCTGCTGGAGCGTCACTGAAAAATGGCTCCGAGCCGTATGCACCACCGCCCGTTCCACCGATCAATCCGATGAGGCGCCGCTTCGGGTTTGGCCGCTCTGACAGCGACAAGTCTACTGATGGACCGACAAGCCACGCGGATTTCGATGCTCCAAGAGCGCCCTTCGCTGATACTCCACGCACCAACTCTCACGACGGGACCAGCCAAATCCCACAGCCTAGAAACAGGCTGAGGAAGAGCTCAAGTGAGAGCCGGAGCCTCTACGGCATGACGCAAGGTCAGACTGGAGCTGTCCCAGCCATGCCTCCTACCGGCTTCCTTGGTCGCAACAACGCCGCTCCCCGTCCGATGAACCAGCAACACATGGCTCAGCAAAAAATGGACGGTGCTATGTTCTAATTGCTGGTACATCTGACACTGCTCATGTACCGGACAAGCCACTTCTGCCTGCTTTTATTCGCATGGCCCATTTACACTGCTTCCAAGAATTTAGACCTTTCCAGTCCGAATTTCTGGTCTTTCACCTTTTGTCTTTTGTCTAAATTATAGTTGTCGCCTGCATTGACGGCCTGGCTTTCGTTTTCTTTCCTACTGCAATATACCTCACGGTCTGTCCTGTTTAGTGTTCTCAGTCATTTCATCGGTCAAAGATAGGGTCGTTCGGGATAACATGGAGTCTTCATACATGAGATCGGGACCGACACCGGGCTGGACACGGTGTAAATGGACCCGCAGGCTTTACTTTCATAGTCATACATTCGGAAGGGCAACTGCTGTACCACTAGTCGAGCATCTCTGGCAGCTACTCTGCCATGTCAACACAAATCTGCATGTTGCGCCGCAACCAATTCACACCTTCATCGATGTCAACTTCTTTTCTTCCGAGTTACACTTGGCTAGATCCAATGGTATGCCAACTTACTCGACAGACAGCGTAGACTTACTCGTGCTCTTATGCATACCTACTGAATACACAGAACGCCCCTGGACCCTGCGCCAGAGCTCCACACGTTCGCCGGTCGGTCTTCGCTACTACTGTATGGTGCGGGAGCCCATTAAAGCGTAACGCACAAGCGTAAAGTTTACACAGAAGGCCCACAGCAGAATCCCACCCGTGGGCCAGAACGAATAGACGATGAGATCTCTCAGTACCCACACTGGTCCAAATCAGCCACAACACCCGGAACCAAAGAAACAGAGCCGGCCGATGATAGCGCCCACTAGAGGGCAGCAGTACCAGCTGGCAACTGACATGTGAATCGTCCCTTCAGCTCAAGCATTCCTTTCAAGCTGAATCGCCGGAAAAAGCATCGTCGTGACAGGTTACGTGCGGACTGCAGCATGCAGCTGCAGGGCTGGATCACGAGAATCTGAGGCGAAAACAGCCCCTGATCTGCAGGCTGACGCGGGTGCACGTTTCAGCAACCGGCAGTCAGACGGCATGTGGGGCCCATCCCATCCCATCTTCAACAACACGACTTTAGCTTTGTAGGCGCTTGCAATTCAGGCAGGCCGCAGACGCAATATTGAAAAGAGTCATCTCGAAATATTGCATTGGCACTGCCTCGCAAAAATGGACTTCCGGATGGCGATGCAGCTTGAACGGAGACGCAGCTTGGACGGAGATGCTGTGTTCGTGGTGCCCGTTGTCTGGGCCAATGACGATGCACGTCATGCACTCTTTGTTCTAGCAGCACCAAGTTCTGGCACATAACAAGGGATGGGCATATCCGGTTCCCGATCCTCTGTGCTGCATCGTCTCGGGGCCGTGTGTTGGCATCCAACAAACCTGCACAGATGCTGTCACGCATGGCAACGGGGCTCCTCAGTGGCGGAAAGGCAGAGGCCACCCAGCGCACCTTGGGCCATTGATGCAAGAGGAGGCGATTCGAGTTAAGGTTTGTTCAAACTTGAGAGCGCACTCTGCTACTCGAGATAAGTGCACGCATGATTCGGTTAGCGCCTGTCAAGTAACACAGCAAATCTTACAACGTCCCGATGCAGCCTCACCAAGTTTTCCCTTCTTTTCTCGCCCGATTCTCACAAACAAAGAAGCGCGAGGTTCCGATCGTCCAGAACATTCGGACACCCAGACAACGTGCTTTCTCCGCAATCTCGGCCTCGGTTTTGAAGCTCGCTCTCTCCCCCGCATTTGAGCTACGGTACGGCCAGACTACAGATCCGCAGGCGGACTAACGCCACTAGCGAGTGGCGGTCCAAACTTTGGACGAGTGTTCAGCAGCGGACACCCACCGAAGAGCTCGGTCCGCAGTTCCGTGAAACCCAATTCGATAATTGCACAGTCCTGCAATGCCTATTTCGATAGCCTGGAGCTTTTCGATGCGTGGGACCGTGTGTCGACGGTGCTGCGGTGCAACTAGACTTGCTTTTTGCGGGTGTCACGCCTCGGCACAGAAGCAGGTACAAAACGTGCGCCATGTCCTCGATGTGGGAGTTATTCGTGCTGAACCGATTGATATCTCGTATCTTTAATATTTTCGCCAAACCTACACTCTCGTTTGACACGATCACATACCAATCTTAACCATTCAATATGCGTTTCTCCACCATCGCTGCGTTCGCGACTTCGCTCGCCGTCGTCTCTGCTCAGGCCCCTGACCTGTCGGCTGTCCCTGACTGCGCTGTAAGTTTTTGCTGAACACCAATCGATTGCTCTTGCTGACCCGTCCCAGGTTGCCTGTCTTGTCGCTGCCATCCCCGGCTCAGGCTGCGGTGTCACCGACGTGACCTGCCAGTGCACCACCGGCCAGGCCGCCATCACCAGCTCGCTCGAACAGTGCCTCCCATCCCGCTGCTCGGCCGATGAGGTTCCCCGTATGTTCTCTCGCATATCTCCACGCTCTACATGCTAATCAATCCCCAGGTGTCGCTGCTGCGCTCGCTGGCGTCTGCTCCGCTGCCGGTGTCTCCGTCTCCGTCCCTGCTTCCCTCGCCACCTCAGCTGGCGCTTCTGCGACCGGCGCCGTAAGCTCTGCTTCCGCCGCTGCCAGCTCCGCGGTGTCCTCTGCTGCCTCTGCTGCCAGCTCCGCCGCCTCTTCGGCCGCGTCTGTTGCCTCCTCTGCCAGGTCTGCCGCCTCCTCGATCATCGCATCGGCCACCTCGCGCGCTGCCTCCGCCACCTCGTCTGGCCCCGCCCAGAGCACCGGTGGTGCCGCTGCCAACGCTGTTGGCCTCGGTGCCGTTGCCCTCGGCATGTTCGCCGCTCTCTTTTAAGTGTTGACGGAATGGAGTAACGATGGATGAAGAAAGCACCGAGGAATTCCATGGCTGGCGCCTGGCCCGTGCTAATGCGGAGGTGCTGCGTTGTACAAATACATACACATACCAGACTGAATACACCTTGTAATACCCACCCAACCCATCGTACCATGCTTGTGCCCGACAGTGCTCCCTCAGCCGGGTAGGTGAACCCACACTCCCGTGAATACATCCAAATGAACCTAAATGCAATACTCGAATCCACCCACCCACAAAGCACCACTGTATCCACTCACTCACGCCGCATCCAGCGCCCCAACCCACTTCCCCGCCCACACCGTAAACTCGTCCTCGCCCCCGTCCCAACTCGTCCGCACAAGCGTCACCGCGCTCTTCGCCTCGTCGCACACTTTCGCCAGCGCGGCGGCCGCGTCTTCCTCCGAGAGCTCGTAGAACGCGCTCGCGAGGTCGTCGGCGCTCGAGGGGATGGTGGTCAGGAGGCGCATGAGGGTGTCTAGGCGGTCGGTGGGGGGTTGTAAGGTGGTGGCGGTCGGGGTTGGAGGGGTGTTGGGGGGTGGGTTTTTGGGGTTGGTGGGCGGGCTCGTGGGCTTGCTGTTGCCGCTCGTGGCCTTGCTGTTCGCGCTCGTAGCCTTGCCACTCGCCGCGGCTGTCGATGCCGGCATCGCGCTGTGCACCGCCACAGGGAAAGTATTCAGCCTCCTCTTGCCCACAGCCTGGTACATAATCCCCACCATCTTAAGCTTCTTAACACTCCGATCCAGCAGCGCCTTCAACTCGACATCGTCCTTGCCAATCTTATTCTCCGCGCCAAAGAAATCATCCTCGTCTCCAAACCCATCACCCTCGTCCCCACTCCCCTCAGCCTTATCCTCCTCCTCATCCTCATCCGCAACATCCTCCCCCCACTCCTTCAGCTCCTCCACCGCATCCAACAACACCGCCCGCAACTGCCTCGCCTTCCCAAGCACCAACTCCACCACCCCGCCGTCGCACAACCTCAGCACCTCATCGCACACATCCCACACCACCCCCGTCCGCTCCAACACGCCCTTCCGCTCGCCCTCGCTCACCCCGCCGTCGCGCCCCACCCCCCGCGCCCCGCCATCTGCACCACCACGCCCAGCACCTCGCCCCACGCGCCCACCAGCCGCTTGACCTGCGCGCGCACCTCGGCGCGCAGCACGGCGCCCAGCTCGTCGCGCGCACCTGCCGCGGGCACGTGGGACGCCGCGGCCACCATGCCCGAGAGCGGGCCGGACGTGACGTCTGTGATTTTCGCGATCAGGGCGCTGGGCGTGAGCGGTGGGGTCAGGAGGAGCAGGGAGAGCGTGGTGGTGTGGGATTTGAGGAGGGTGGTTGCGGCGCGCAGGGCGGGGAGGGTGCCGGTTGGGAGGTCGGCTGGGGGGATGGAGGTTATAGTTGTTGTTGTTGGCGAGGCGGAGGAGGCGGGTGGCGCGGTCAGCGAGGTTTGGAAGTGGGTGAGTAGCGTTTGCGTGGTTTGCGTTAGGGAGATGAGCTTTTCGAGGTCTTTTGGGGGCGGCATTTTGGGGGGTGGTGTGCTTTCTGCACGGGAGATCGTGGGGAGAAAAGAGATTTGAGGTGTGTTTGGCGCGTGGAAATTGCGCGGGAGCGTCAAATGCGCGGAATGTAGGTATGTATATCCGTGGTCGTAAAAAAAGTGTCAATGGATTTGGTGGGGTTGTGTCGAAAAGCTTATCGATTCCTGACTCAGGGAGGGGTAGACTTGCCCTACTGCACCAATGACACTCGAGTCATGCGTCATCTGCATACATCAAAACCGAGATTCTCAAATGCATGTCGCATTCGCACAAATTCCCATGCTGCCCAACCACACATGAACTCAAAAATGCGAGTTCCTGTGTTCGTAGCTATATAAGTATCCATTTGGACCTTGTCGCTTCTTCTCTTACACTCTGCTCCATACCACACTTCAGAACTGTCAAATCATCTCAAGAAAGGCGCCGTATCCAGTGCGTACTCGCCTCTCTTTCAAGTCATAGAGCAAGCGTACGTGTGAGACATTCTCGAAGGCGCCAGGCACATCAAGCAGCAAGAGGCTCACCACTTGACCATTGTTCTAGCCCCGTGATTCAAATATCTTTTGAGTGCGGTCTCGACTGGGCAGCTAAGTCGTGGTGCTCCGACTAAATCCATGGTCTTTCCTGTAACATTCATCAGCAGGGTGGTTGCTGGGCGTTGCGTGACTGCGGGCGTTGCATACACAAACGTGCTAGCGCGGTTGCCTATCGATCCTTCCACGTCTACACAAATCTCGTTCACCTGCCACGGCCAGCAAGCTTATCATATCGCGTGATGGTTGGGTCGACGAATACCTCGCCTGCCTTCACTAGGCTTCCCACTGAGCTTCTGATACAAATTCTGGAACAACAACACTATGTAGCGGACACGTATGAGCGAAATATGTAAGCTGTCACTACGCAGATAGTCGGATCTAAGACTTCTAACACCCACGCCCAGAATCGACTTCGCTACACTCAAATCACTCCGTCTAGCCTGCAGGCAGTATGCCTATCTTCCGGCGCTTCTAGCGGATATCTTTCAACACATCCGGATCGAGGCGTCGCCAGAGCAAGTGAAAGTTGCCGAATTGCTTGATCTGTCATCTATGAAACCTTATGTCAAAGCTATCACAATGGTACCCTCAAAGTATACCTGGACCATGACCGAAGGCAAATTCCAGCACATCATTTGGTCTCCCCGAGCTGAAGAGATATTTGATGAGAAATTCTCGGTCAACGACTCATCCGCATTGGGAAGGCAAGAGATCAAAGAATTAGGGTTGGTTAGTTTCGTCGAGAAGCACACAGATGGGGCCATGCCTTTCACCAAAGGCGAAGTCGCAACTGGCTACGAGCGCTACATGCAGCATGCACGACGAACTCGGGAAATGTTCGAGACAAAACAGATAGACCGCGCGTGGTCCAGGTTGCTTGCCGAGCTACCGGATGTGGATTCGTTCAATATTGGACTCTGGAACTTTGACAGCAGCACAGACCAGAACTGGCGAAAACGGGGCTGCGACCTCCAGATACACGGCCACGGTTATGGCATCCCAGGACATGAATATGAAGCTTGCCGGCAGCTCCATGCGCCCGTGGGAGAAGCGCTATTCAGAGCAGCCATTGCAGCTTTAACCACCGCTCGGTCCAACGTATCGCGTCTGGAGATTGAGTGCGTCGTCGACGGGGAGTTTACATGGGCGGACGATGAAACGTTGGACGGGCTGAACCTTTCCCGACTGCAGAGTCTGGTCTTTGACCCGATTGGAGCAGACTGGCGGGAGGCGGGCAATTGGTCGCGTGAGCACAAAGCTGCTGCTGGTGCGCGGTGTGGTCTTGCACTGGTAACACTCCTCAACAAGTGCAGTTCCAGTCTGCGTGAACTAAGCTTCTTTCCGCAGCGTAGTGGCAATTACTTCGACTGGCCGCCCGCGGCACCGAATTGGCCTCCAGTATTGCCAGCCCTCGGCAGTCTCACAACGGGCACAGGGCTCGACCTATCCGGATTTGCACGCTTTTTACTTCAATCTCCTGCTCTGGTCTACCTCCGACTTGATGGCTCTGAGTGGCGCCGGGGAGAGTGGCGCGAGCTTTGGGATGCTATACGCAATCATCCCAACCGCATGACTCTCAATTTCGATCAGCTTCCCTGCAGCAACTACGGAGAGTGTAGTGTGTATCATTACACAGGAGAGGCCAGCACTCTAGATTCCGATGAGGACCAGTGGGACAATGTTCAGTACTGTCTAGAGAACTACCTATCTGGGAGAAGCCCATGGAACCGCACATTAACACTATGGTTTGAAGAGAGCGACTTTGAGTTCAGTGACTCGGACAATGACGAAAGTGATAGCGCTGAGAATGACAGCGGTGACGATACCGGTATAGATGTATCAACCAGCTAGTCTGACAAGAGAACCCGTATCTTGGGTACACTGCACCATTCGAATGGCGCTCGCACACAGGGGTTCAAGACTTTCAATGCAGAATGGACTATGCACAGCTGCAGCAGGCAACCAGTGCGACAACACTACCGATAGACGAAGTCTTCACGCTCTCATTCTGAGGTCTGTTCCAGCTGGCCTGGATGTACGTGTAACATACACCACGATCGATGTTGCTCACATAACGTCCCAGTCATGAGCATGATGTGCTGAAAGATACAAGCTCTGATGCGCATTGCTCTGAGTTTGAGTAGAATAGACTGAAGAAGTGTGTGATCGAATGAGCCGTCTGCCACAGGACCTTATAGACTGTTTTGGGAGGCACCAAAGTACATGGAAAGCAGCAGCTATATGTTGTAGTTTTCATTGACTAAGAGGGCGTGTATTCGCAAAGCTATGTGATCCCTTCAAGATTGTAGACCAAATCAATCATTTTACTTCCGTTGCAACATTGAGGTTTTCCGTAACCGTGTCATTGCTTCCTTTCCTATCCTCAGCGCTCCATTTCTCGGCGTCCCCAAGTCGATCGGCTGTTAAGCCAGCAGAGCCAGGGTGATTCATCCCAGCTTCAAGCTGTCGGACATAGCTAATCTTTCTCAAGCGCTCAGCTTCTCTTGGGGTAAGATGTAGCTAGATTATGTTAGCTGAATGCTCCTACCATTTCTGAGTTTACTCACATAGATCTCAACACCAAGGGCATGTAATGAGGTGGCAAGCCACAATGCCATGCCAAAGTTTAAGTCAAGCGCTGCACCTGCATTTGCGCCAGACTCGCCATCCATATCTGCTAATACAGCACTTACTGCCTCAAGATTACTACCGTCTGCAAATGATGCACACGCAGGGTATGCAGCAACAAGATCCATATCGGGACTGATGGTGTAGGCGAGATTTGCGCAAGACCAAACGACATAGCGCCCCTTGCCTGAGATGACAATTGCAGCTATGATCATGATGAGACGAGTGGTGATGATGGAACCCGCCTGTGATCGTAAGTAAAATTCCTCTTGTGGTTCGCTGAATGTACTCACGTAGAACCAGGCCCGCAGCATCCACGCCCGATGCTCCTCGATCTGCAGCTTCTTGATGTTGGCGATAGAGACAATCAGGCAGAGTAGTACACCAATGCCAACAAAGCCCACCCAAACCTGGATGTCCATGCCTCCTCCAAAAGCCATATGCGCAATCATTAGCGCACCAGCCAGACTTACAACGTAAAGTAAGACAGCGATGTATCCAAAAATCCGGTGTAGCAAGATTGACTTGTAGCGGATAATAGGAGTAAATTGGAAACAAACAAGGATACTAGCTGGGAGAATGCTAGCAAGGTGCAGGATGATGCCAACCTTGTCGCGGGTGAATGTCGTGTAGTAGTAGCACTCGCCAGGACCAGCAGAGTTACCTCCGCCGCTAGGATCGGGAGGGCAGAAATAGCGGTCGAAATTTAGGTACATGAAGCGGGCAAGGGTGAAGCCAAGCAGCGCACCAGCGAAGATAAACCATAGAACAAAGTTGTAGCCTTTGGTAAAACCAAGAGGTTTGTAGACCTTGGTGGTCCATTTGGACGCATTCTTTGGTGTATCAACCATGTTGCCGTCGACGGTAGTGAGGATAGTCTTTCAAGGTGTAGAGGTAAAAGCACGGACCACAGATGCAACGATGGGTCAACCGTGATAGGTCTGCAGTGATGAAGATGGCGAACTTGAGGATGAGTCCCCAGATGTAGATGTGACGCGGCATATCTATATGTTCTTTGCTTCGCCCAGAACTTTTTCATTTCGAATTCAATTGTCGGCGTCTTCATCTGCAAAGCTAAGCTAACGCAGTGTTCCATCGCTTGCGCGGGTAGCACTCTGAGATTGGCATGCACGATTGCCGCGCTTACACTTGGCGGGCGTGAGAAGCCATGCGGCGCCGAGATATCAGGGCCGCATTATCACTTGGCAATCGCGACTAATTTGCCATGTCGCGAAGCACTTTGGCGTAGGACTTGTACCACAATTGGCCCTGGGACGTTATCGCATTTACAATTGCATCTGGTGCGTCTTGGCAACTTCTGGCCGGCGACGGTCCAAGCAACGCTGTCTGGTGCGCAAGATGGAGCCTGAAATGGCTAGTTGCTACCTAAATAGCGAAGCGGCGGACTGGGGGCCTCAGCCTCCCATTGGTCGATTTGCACGAATGAAGGCGCTTGTAAGCAATGAGTACAGGGTCATAGGTGGAACTTTCTCCGTGAGCTCAGTATGCGCCAACTCTTCTTTACTAACCGCTGCGTCTGTTGGGTGGGTCACCAACTTCTGTTTCTCCTGCAATGCTACGTTGCGTGTTGGCCTGAGCGTGGTTTAGGCGTGCACATGGCAGGGCAGCAGCGGGCGGAATAAAGAACTACGGGTGCCTCAATATGGACCATTTCGCGCAGCCGACGCTTCTGTAAACAAGTGAGATTTACGCGATATGCGATAATGGTCGGGGTGCCAGGTCGCTCCAAGGGCTGTGCAACATGCAGGAGAAGGAAGAAGGGTGTAAGTCGAGCTCGGCATACACATGATGTCGGTTTACAGAGTTCAATGACTGACATTTGTGCAGTGTGATCTAAAACGTCCCACTTGCGGTCAGTGTCTTCAGCGTCAGGTGTATTGTGAAGGTTACGAACCCGACCGCGTTTTCGTCACCAGCAAGTATCTTGCATCCCCTCCAGCCAGATTGAAGGACTGTCAAGGTGCCACATTGGATCTCGTCGCATTTTCGGCCTCTACTTATCAAGTCCTTCTTCCCACTCTTGCGCGAACCGCGTTCAGAACGCAAAGCGTGGAGTCCGTATTCAAACTGTTTCCTTCGCCCCACGATGCGCGAGGCTCATTGTTGATCAAACAGCTATCTCAAGTTCTGGCATCTTCAAATGCTCGAGAAGAGGCACTTCGTCAAACGATCTTTGCCCTTGGCTTAGTCACACTTGGAAAAGAATCAAATGATGAGGTCATACTCTACAAAGGCCGAGCATTATACGGTAGAGCGCTCCGTGAGCTTAATTCAACGCTTTTAAGTTCTAGGGCGCAGATTGAATCATTGCTTATAACGACGAGGCTAATGGGTCTCTTTGAAATACTCTATGGTGCGGATGAAAGCGCGTGCACGCAGACTCAAGATTGGACAAGTCATGCTCACGGAGAAGTCGCTTTGATCATTTCAAGAGGAGCTGAGGCTTTTACAGAGGGGACTGCGCATGCTCTGTTCACGCTGGCACGATATAGTGCTGTAGGTTACTCTTTGACTTTCCCGTCTCCGCTCTGACAAAGTCCTAGGTCGTCATCGGTATTCGATCTCGAAAAAATATCGTTTTCAACGAAGAGGCTTGGAAGACAATTCCGTGGCGAGGGAGAGAGAAGACCGCAAGCGACACCATCGTGGATATTCTTCTGGAGCTTCCGGAGATACTCGAAGGACTGGATAATCTCAATCACATACCACCAGATGACTGTTGTAACAAAACAAGGCTGGCTATAGCAGAGAAGTGTTGGACTGTGCATCGCAGTTTGATCGCGTGGGCTGTAGTAAACTCACACCTGATCTACACACCTGACACCTGGAAGCCAATTCCTATCAAGTTTCCCAACTTATACGTGGCGTCGATCTCAGTAAGATACTGGACTGCAGCAACGTTATTGTATCAGTCTCTTGATTGTGTCTTACGCTCCCCCGTGTATGATACACTCTCATAATACAAAAATCACCCACACAGCCAACAATTCGCCCGCCTTATAACACGGTCTATGCCCTGGCTTCTAAGGAAGGACAACGGCGCACTTGGCCCCTACACTGCGTTATTTCCACTTAGTACAGCTATCATGTACATGCAGCAAAGCGAGATACCAGATCCTGATTATATGAAGCTGGTGTTCGCCGCCTGGAGCAACCCTGGATTGCCAAGCTGTATCAAGATGATCCTAGCTAGTATGGATGACGCTGTCTTATTGCCTACGAAAACAAGACGAACGGACCACAAGGAACCATGTAACTCGATCGACAAGTGAGCCCGGGCTAGTATTGTATATAGATAGCAATCTTTGAGATAGACGAGTTAACACACTATTGAAAATTTGCCTACTTAATTATATTTTGATATTGCTGGTAACTCACGTTTGAACTCTGTCTGCACATTTCATGCATAGACATAGCATCTGTAGGCATTGACACCTTGCTGGTTGATAGCCGGCGATATGCATCACAACAATTTTATTTTTACACTTTCTTACTGCTACTGCTTGCCTGCAGGATCAAATCACAAAGGCTAGCTGTATGAAGTACATTACGCGCCACACTAACTCTAAGCGACGATCTGCAATCTGCTGTACGGACCTCTAGCGCCAGAGCGGCTGGCTAGCCAATCAACACAAGAACAGTGAGCAGTTGGAACTCATTGAGTGCATCAGCTTAGTCTTCACGCGGCTGGTAGTACCATCGTCGCGGGAATAAGGGTAACCCAGAACAGGGTCCTGCTGACTGGCAAGTAATTCCCGGTGTCCCGCGATTGTGGCCATCAGACCACTACAGTTTTTAACCGTTCGCTGTGGCACACGATGTATATAGATTTGCTGACAAGCAGGAAAAGCATGGTCACATCACCCATCTATGCCACGTTGTTCTTAAGTCGCGTACTAACTAGCTTGAGAGCAAGAAGGATTGGGCGCTCTTGTAAACCCTGAGCAGTATCGCCAACTGGCACGTACCTACCTAGGTAGTGTCATTTATTGACTTGCATGGAGCACTATCTAACCCAGTAACCCAGTAAAGAGGCAGCCTTGCCGCCCCAGCGCGGCAAGGCTGCTCGGCCTCGCTGCGGTGAGATTGTTAGTAGCATGAGCAATACGTGTGCTAGACAAAGACCGGAGATGCCCGTCAACGGACGAAGTGAACCTTGCTCGTTATCGGAAAAGACCTATATAAGACTTGTAAGTTGTAGCAAGGTCCAACAACACTGAGTCCTTCCGATCATCACCTAGCACAGTCCCAATCGGAAACATGACCTTCCACCCTGACTCGCTTCCCGATCTGACTGGCAGGGTGTATGTTGTGACAGGAGCAACATCGGGCGTGTAAGTAACTTCGATGAAGACTGTTTCAAAGATCCGTCACTGATCATTTGAAGAGGCTACCACACCGCCGCTCGCCTTGCCGAACACAATGCCCACGTCTTCATCTGCGCGCGCACAGCCGAAAAAGGCTCTGCCACCTTGTCCCGGATTCGCAGCACATCTCCCGCAGCGACCCTTAGCGTCCTTACAATGGACCACGAGCGTCTATCCAGCGTAGTTGAAGCCGCGAAGCAGTTTGTATCGTCGCAAAATCGCCTCGACGGCCTCATCAACAATGCTGGCATTATGGCAACGCCGTTCGCGCTGACAGCTGACGGATACGAAGCGCAATGGCAAACGAACTACCTTGCACACTACGTATTTACCTTCCACTTGCTCCCTGTAATGCTCCGAACTGTACAACGAGCAGCGCATGCCGGTGCATCTCCTGGGAGCGTACGTATCGTCAACCTTTCGTCGTCAGGCCACTATCTCTCTGCGCCAAAGGAAGGCATAGTATTTGCCGACACCAACTTAGAACATGCAAGCGGTATGACCCGTTATGGGCAGTCGAAGCTTGCCAACGTCCTTCACACCAAGACGCTGAACAAGCTGTACGGCCCGGATTCACCATCCGCGAGAGCCGGAGAGGGCGAGGTTTGGGTCACGGCTGTAAATCCTGGCTTCGTGAAGAGCGAACTGGGCGTCAAAGCGGATTTGCCACTGTATATGAGTATGGCGGCTATGGCTTCTCGATGGTTAGGAGCTGAATTTGACACGGACAGAGGGAGCTGGACGAGCTTGTACTGCGCTGCTAGCGCGGATATGAGGAAAGAGGAGAGCGGAAAGTACTTTCAGCGTATTGCAGATCCAAACGGAAAGTTGAGCTCAAGCGCAAAAGATGAACAGCTTGCAGCTGATCTAGAAAAATGGACAAAAGACGTGCTACGTCAAGGCGGATGGCTGGAATAAGCAGCCAGAGTTTGATATCCACCATATGCAGATCTCATTATAACATCAAGGACGACTCATGACTCTCCAATTCGCATGTCATCATGCTTTGCTAGTATATCAAATAGATTCACGTTCGCACATTGAGATCCATCAATCAATAAGAATGGGGCCGATGCAGATGATCCGACTTAAAACTACAGCTTTTTGTTTCAGATAAGTATGTTCATTCACATGCAATGTCTTGTCTACCTTTTTACCAAGCTTCAAAAGAATAGTGCCAAAACACATGCCTATCTGTTCAGAGCGCGAGACACGATTCATACCTTTATCCTGTATGATGGCCATGATGCGTTTGCAGCTCGTGCTGCCTGAAAGCAACGGAGAAGCGTAACATGTCTGCTCCCTGCGCTCGAACACTTTTACACAAGATCTCGTCAAGAGCTGGCTTCAATTCCTCGCACACGTAGGCACACCGACCTGTGAACGTACAAGAGCTGCCGAAAGTTAAAATGTTTGCTTCCCGCACTTCAAAATTACTCAAATGAGAACGCATGTCCCGTGCTTCTTGCCTGGCCTCGGAATCCAGCATATCCACGCTCCCCCTTAGCCAAAGAATCACCGAAAGCTATCTCGTCTTATGCATCTGCTTCTGGAATTTTGAATCAAGACAGTGATGTTGCCATGTTCGTGGCTCCATTCTAGCTCCAACAATTTGAGTTTCGCGTACCCTGAATGATGTTTGGCCCCTCATACTATGTGCAAGACATGGCTGAAAGTTCTTTCTCCTTTATCATATTCATGTCTCTCGTCGTCTTGCAGAGACCTGGCGAAAGCATATGTTCGCTGATGGAATGCTCTTTTTCGACTGGGAAGTTGGATTCCAATCTAAAAAAATCCTTCATGGGGGCATATGTAGTACTTATTTGAATAATCTTCGACCTCTCGATTCACTGAGATTTTTCACTTGCTCAGTCATACTCTGAGAATGTATGCGATCAGGAACCAGGTTGGAAAGAAGAGTTTGGGACAACACATGTCTAATCCTGCCTGTTATCTAAAATAACTTGGTCTAAGTTCACCTGCGTTTCTGCCGCAGCTGCTAGCATGCAAAACACTGACCCACGTCAATTTTCCAACCCTTGGAAGCTCTTGGGAACATTGACAGATCATCTCCTTCTATCGTCCAAACAATCGACTTCAAGCACTTCCCGAGTCAGGATATGTTTGAGACTGTCCGTTCCTCCTGCAACTCTCCGTCTATATTCTGTTTCAAGAGAGAACTAGCTTGTAATTTCAACATACTCTATCATTCCTGCTGCTTGCGGGCATACTGCCTTGACCATTCCTTTGTATCGGCCAAAAACACCTAGAGTAGCACCAAAAACATTTCTATGTCTTGCGCAAGTACCCTTGTCGAGGTCTTTCTTTACTCTAAAAGACTTTCAGGACATCACATGTCGGCAGCCATTTTTCTGCAAACCCTTTTATACCTCTGAATATATCAAATAGACAAAGAAACGAGCCCATGTGTGCGTTTGTCTGCTGCCGGTCAGTATGCTACTTCAACCTCGACTCTCAATCGACTGCTGCGAATCACCCCGTTCAATCAAGGTCTTCTAAAGTGCAAGGAGATCTACATTGACGTGTATGGCTTACAAGTTCGACCCATAAAGCTACATCATATGTTTGTGGCTCTCTGTTTGTCCTCTTTTCCTGAAAAAAAAAACGTCAATCTGTTTGATGCGTTCGTGTTGCTGGAGTGTCGTATCAATCACGACTCGGATAATTCTGCTTCCTGCTACGAATCATTCCAACCTCCAAGGCACCACAATGAAAAGCAATCGACGGAGAAGTAAAATATCAATACATGAATGATTTTTCTACCACCAATTCAGAACTATCAACGATTCCAACACATGTCTGAGATCGCTCTGGTCCTGAAATCTGCTTTGAAGCAAAGGTATGCGTTCGTGTACTTTGAAAAGCTCCAATTTCTAGGAAACCCGGAGAAGATAGTCGTCATGTCGTCGTGTGCTTGTTTCTCGCTGCATCGTACACATGTCCGCCAAATCTTCTGCGAACCCTTCTGCCACCTAGCTACTTCCCATTCTAAGAAACAAAATAAGGCAGACGGTGAGGTACATGAGCAATTTCGACCAGAAACCACTGCTTTGATCATCAAGGAGACTATCTAGTCCCAAGAAATGACAACGAAGACAATATGTGTTGTCTGCCATGCTGCTCGTTTGCATCAAGCCATCAACTAGCGGATCTGTCCACCAAAATGTTCTGCCACATAATTGCCAACTCACGAAGCCTCCGAGTCTCGGAGAAAAACCAACAGTCACCCGAAAAATGTGTTGGTGTGCTACCTCGCCTGTCCTTGGTAGGGCTGCGCGCTAGACTATTGATTTGAATCTCGACCACTCCCTTCATTCACCTATCAATCAGGTCGTCTACCAACTCTTCTACTTGCTTGTGCTCCTTTCCTTGCCGCTTGTCATAGAACCACACACCAAAACGTCAATACATGCACTACTATCTCCACGAGAATGCTTGGTCTCTAGAGACCACATACGAATACGTTACATGTGTTGTATTTTCTGTTCTACGCAAACTTCATGGACTCATCAATTGATACGTCCATATTCTGACTAAATTTATCTCCGTGGCCTATCTATAGCCCTACCTATCCTCGAATAAACGTCTTCCTGACACGACACCAAACGTGTTTGTGCTGCTTTTCGGCGCACCCCAGCGACTCACACATCAGTCCGTCTATTCAACAATTGAAAGTTCTTACCACCCATCCCCGACTTCCACCGATGAAACGAACGATTGGCCACATGTGTTCGTGCTGCTTTCCAACGGATTCTTCATAAATCCACCGATCGGACCGTCAAACATTCAAAGTATTTCTCTCAATGACTGCTTTCACTTGTAGAAGACATGAGTAGCCAGCAAGAGCATGTGTTTGTCTTATTTTCCTGCGTATCATGAACACATCCACGGGATTGTCACTTCTACCGCCATACTCATCATCCTCCCTTCATGAGACCGCCCGTCTCTGGAGAAGAAAAGAAACAAACCCCACATTTGATGCGTTTGCCTACCACCTTCTGCCAAAAGAACTACAAACGGAACTTTATATGAACACTACTACTCCCTATCTATGAGACTGCATGACCTTTCAACTTCGCAGGAAGAGTGGCCATGAGCCTGCTGAAACCCTTGCCCAACCCTTAAAAACCTTTGGATAGGCATGTCCACCGCTTATGGGCATGGCTGTTTCGAAACGAACGATATTCCGACGCATGCATACGTGTTCTCATGTCGGCTTTGCACCAAGCCACAAATAAGGTTACTGTCTATCTATGTGCCTGACTATCCTGAAAGCGTCGAAAATTTGCTCCATCCGTGTGTCGTGTTCTTGGCCCATCCCTCTGTGAGCCTGTTTGCTTCAAAACGAATGAGAATATTCAGATGTGTCTCCTCGCGCCACGATTCTTGGAAATCCACAAACGGGTTTGCAATTCTTCCGTGCGACCGCCTCTTCTGCAACTTAATAAGGAAGACTTGTACGTGTCTGCTTGCTTCACTGACGCTCCCAAAAAATCTTCAAACGAACTGCTGCATGTCTACATGGCTACCTGTTCTAAAACGTATTCAAACCATTTCATGTCCGTTCGCTCTCCCGCCAACTCTCGAAAATTTACTCTGCATGGCGAACCCAATCTTCAGTCTGTTCAAGACGTCCTAATATGCTCGTATGGGACTGCGTTCACTTGAAAACCATGAAACAAATGAATGATGTTTTGCTTCAACGCCACTCTCTCCTTACAGACCCCCACCCGAACTCTCTATAAATTTACGCACCCGTCTCTTCTAAAAGCGAGAACAAATCGGCTAATGTCTGCTTGCTCTCCTGGCGCTTGTCAACAATTTACACAAGGGCACAAACCGACTCGTCGAATTGTCTGTCTGTCCAAAATGACATTCGCGAGAAACGCTAAGCAGGTCTTGTTATGTATATGTACAGCCTCTCAGTCCTCTCTGTACAAATCTCCACATGAACCCTCTATGCAGTGGTACGACTGCTTTGTCTAAAAGTAAGATCCCCGAAACAAATGCTTACCTCCGCGCCAACTTTGAACGTTTACATAAACCCACTCTTCGAACCGCCAGTCCACCAAAAGCCTTACTCTGTGTCCCAGAATAACCAGAAGCAAGATGTGTAATGTGGCGCTCTTTTTTTCTGCTTCTCCTTACCGACCTTTCGAAAAACTGCCATTCCATGACTGTCCGTTCGAAAAATGAACATAGAACCTATCTATGTCTGCTTGCGTCTGCGCTGATTTCGAAAGCCGAAATATACAAACCACCTCATCCAGCTGCTACCTCACCCCAAAGTCATGTTCACTCGCTTCATTAGACTGTGTCCTAAAAAAGGCGGAAAGTGGCGTGGGATGTGTTCGTCCTTCTCTCCTATCTTCTCCTAACAGACCTCTCGAAAATCGATGACTTACCACCTATGCGACTGCCCGTTTTGAAAACCATAGATAGACGCGTACATGCCTGTCCTGCGTTCGCGCCAACTTCGAAAACCTACCTAAACAGACTCATTTGTTAGACCACCGGTCTATAGAAAGTCCTTTTGATACGCTCCATGGAATTGTGTGTTCTCGGAAAGGTGGAAGGTGGAATGGGATGTGTTCGTCCTGCTCTCCAATTCATACCTTGCAAGCCCCTTAAAGAACCACCACCCACCACCCATGCAGCGACCCGTTCTAGAAACAACTAGCACATGGACATGTCTGTGCCCTTCATATAAACCAGATTTGGAAGCCGACTTGCATAAACGAACTCATCTGACTGCTGGTTCACCTAAATGTCATGTTCACTCCATCTATGGGACAGCGTCCTCGAAAACATTGAAGCCAGAATGGTATGGGTCTGTCCGGCTGTCCCGCTTGGAAACTGCTTCTCAAGATCCCTCGATTCTCCCACCGCCATCTGCTTCTGCATCACCTACCTGCGAAAATATCTGGCCTTTCGAAATTGACCGAACTGACGAACATGTGTCTGTCTTCTTTTCCCGCCCCTGTCCGCGACCCACCACTCGCCTATCTCTATCTACATCTCCATCTCCAGTTGCACCTGCGTCTCCATCGCCTACCTGCGAAAACACCCGGAAGTTCAAAATATCTCATCACCATGTGATGTGTCCGTCTGCGTGCGTTCTCGCGCACCCAATAAATCCACCAGCCCCTCACTCCCACCAGGACGCTACCGATGTCTTCATATGAGACCTTCTGCCTTGGAAGAAAATTCGGTAAACATCAGCCATGCACTTGCGCCGATGGCCACAGACTTAATCATTCAGTTCCCGTAGAGCCGTCTGTCTGCCGCTTGCCACAAACCTAGTACTCTGTTACTTGGACAAATACACTCCCAGCTGCTTTCTATGAATCCCTGTCTCGAAAAACAGTATTGCATTCTATCCATGCGTCTGTGCCGCTGCCCTAAACGTCATCAAAGAATCCCGATGGAGCTGTCTGTGCCTGCCGAAGAATCCCCCAAAACACCATTTCATGTGTTCGGCGCTTTCCGGCACACTCTATCAAACACTCAATGAATTATTCTGCCACTTCATCTGTATATCTCTGTCCGGCCAAGAAACCGTGTGTACCCACAAGAGCTACTCGAAAACGGCAGGCTGTAAAGGCATGTGTGCTGTGCTGGCCTGCGGGCTTGTTCCCTCTAAAAATTGGCTACGCATGAGCCTGTAATACCGAAAAAAAACGAGAAGCACGTCTCATGTGTGCTGTGCTGCGCGGGCCTGCGAACTTGATCTCTCCACCCAAGAGCTTACAAAGCTCAAAAGACAAAAAACACTGCTGTATGTGTGCTATGCTGGCCTGCGGGCTTGCAGATTTGTTCTTTGTATCTGCCTAGAAGCTTGTGAAGCTTGAAAGCGAAGTTCGGACTCTTCATGTGTGCCCTGTGGGCTTCTCTCCAAGGCTCGTCCATGAAAGAACCTATAAAGTTTGAAAGCGAACGCTCCGCTACACATGTGTGCTGTGTTGGTCTACGTGCTGGGAGACGGCCCGTTCTCTCCCAAAGCTTGCTACGCAGGACTCGCGATCCTCAAAACTACGAGACTCCTTGCGATGTGTGCTGTGCAGGGCAGACTCGTTCTATCCAAGATTTCTCCACTCCGAGGGGCCTGTAAAACCTGAAAGCAACAGAAAGAGGGTTGGATGTGCGCTGTGCTGTGCAAGCTCGTTCTCTTCCCCCACGCAGGACTCAAAAGTCGAAGACGCTTTGCCAATGTGCATGTGTGCTGTGCTAGTCTGAATGCTGTGCTGTGCTGGCTTGCGGGCTCGTTCTATTTACTCACCTATGAGGCCAGAAAGTCCGAAAGTAAGAGATGCATGTTTGATATGTGAAGCAACTGCTTGCTCTCCTCTCCTCTAACCGACTGAGCCTGCATATCCTTTTTCGTTAAAGCCAGAGCTACCACATTGACCGTATAACCCAACAGGCCTTAGACCGACCGGCCTTTTCCATCAAGATAACATTATAACCGTCGTGAAGACTTTACTTCTACAGCCACCATGGTGAAGATAGTATTTGGAGGCGCCTCTTTTATGAGCGGGGCCAGACCCAACACCATGGACAAGGCCGTCGACACTCTATGCTCGCCTCTGGCGTTACCACAATTGACACAGCCCGCACCTACCCTGACTCAGAAGAAGCCATCGACAAGCAGGAGAAACGCACACAGTTCGCCATCGATACCAAATTAAAGTTCCAGGCGGTTTTGTGCCTGGATCAGCGCGCAAGGACATAATAGACTTACACGTGAAAGGGGCTATTCAGAAAGTCAACATTGAGCAATTCAACACCCTCTACATGCACTCGCCCTCCGCCGACGTCCCGCTCGAAGACGCCCTCGTCGGCATCAATGAAGCCCACAAGCTCGGCTTCTTCAGACGCTTTGGCCTGAGCAACTATGCGCCCCGAGACGTGCAGCACGTGCACAACCTCGGAAAGGAAAAAGGCTACCCGCTCCTTGAAGTATTGGAACCCTTCAATCTAACAAATAAACAACATGAGGAGGAATATAGACTAATTGTATTACTATCGCACAAAAACATTGTACAAAGTCTAGGGGCAGATAACTAATCGGCTTGGGTTACTTATTACAAGTCTCTCTATTCAAAGCTTAGATTACAACTTGCCTCCTCCCACTGGCTAAGAAGCTTTAGTTGGTCTTCAGCCTTCTTCTTCGCCATACCCCAAGAATCCTCACCTAGCATCAGCGTAGTTGGAAGGTCCTTGCCCTTTGCAAGGCCTTCTCCTTTAACCATATCTATGATACGGTTTGCGCCCTTAATGGGATCGCCAGGCTGCTGTCCACTGACGCCCTTGTACAGCTTGAATGCTTCGTCAACCTGTGTCTGGTAACCGTCGATCTTCGTGCCGCTGTATGTGGTGTTTGTTTCAGTAAGGAAGTCTGTTCGGAAGAGACCTGGTTGGACAATAAGTGTACGGATGCCGAATGGGGCAACTTCTTGAGCAAGAGATTCCGCAACACCTATGTATAGAGTTAGCAGATGTTGTCTAGTCATAGCACGGTGCTCCTTACCAGTCAAAGCAAATTTGGAAGCAGAGTACAGGCTTAGTATTCCAAACCCATTTATAGCGGTAGCAGAGCCGTTAAAGACCACAGTCCCTGATTTGTTACTGCGGAAGTGCGGCAAGAAAGAACGTGTGACATTGACCGCACCAAAAACGTTGGTGTTAAATTGCGCAAGCCAGTCTTGATGCCTAAAGCGTTTGTCAGCGTCAAGTGACAGCGGAGCGACGTCTTGATCGTACGTAGCCTCTTCAAAGGTACCAAAATGCCCATAACCAGCATTGTTAACTAGCACATCAATCCTGCCGTAAACTGCGATAGCCTCTCTAGCGATCTTCTCAAGCTCAGCGGTTGATGCGGTCACGTCAAGCTGTAGAGTGGCCGCGCCTAGCTTTCCCAGGTGTTCGATCTTGGAGAGTGTACGCGCAGTTGCAATAACCTTTTCGCCGCGTACGAGCAAGCTTTTGACGAGGGCGGCTCCAAAACCAGTCGAGGCACCAGTAATGAGCCAGACTTGTGGATCAGACATTGTAGGCGCAGTGTAGTGGTCGATAAGAGTACGTGAGAAAGTCTTCCAGCAATTGAACCAATAGCGCTGAGTGCAAAGTCAGGAATGCTGCAGGAAGACCTTTAATGGTACAACGTATTTATATACTCAGTATTTCCCTTTTCAAAGGCGGCGTACTCAAGAATGCGGAATGACATCCGCATAATTACCAATAAGTCTCGGATCCGGCGGACTTGTAGACATCTCCGAAGACACTTGGAGAGGCTACCTACCTAGGTACAGGTTTCAGAAACTCACCGAAGAGCTTCTTTAGCGCTATGGAGTAATTTTGTAAGCAGTAAGACTACACGTCGCGTGGATGCTGTTGTGCATTTGTATGTGCAACAATTCTTGACTAAGCGCAGTTACCGATGTACGGAAAGACCTCGTCCGCACAAAAATGAGTTATACATTAGTAGATTAGTCTCAGCAACATATGTTGTCTTGCATTATACTATAGTGCGTCGCAATGTATGCCTTACATACAATTTTGCACACAAGGCGCGGTGGTTACGAGATGCAAGCCGTCTTTCACCACCTGCAGGGCTAGACAGGGGCCATTGCAACTTAGCCAACGACAATGTCGCCAGCGATAAGACAATGATGGACAGGTGAATGAAGAGATGGCTGGGTTCGAGGGTTACAGCTCGATTGGCTTGTCCATGTTCTCGCTCAGAGCACAATCGTGAGCCAAGACCGGATGCCTGCCTGAATTGTTTGTTGAGTAATCCATCTGCCAGCCGGATCCTCTATCATAGCAACAGCCAAGGCAATGTCCTCAGCTTTTTCAAGCCTGTGCTCTACTGGACTCATCTGCCTCTGCCTCTGCTGTGCTATGTGGGCCTGCAGGCTTGTTGTCTTCCAAGGCTTGTCCCTGCAAGTCCCCGAGATACTTGAAAATATACGAAGACATGCTTATGTATGCTATTTTGGCATTTTATCTTCAACATCCATCAGGTATTCTGAAGTCTGTAATCTTTGAAATGAAAACAGAAAAAGACATCCATCATGTGTGTCAGCCTGCGGGCTTGTTCCCTTTCTCAACATATCCATGCAGGACCCGTGCTCCCTGAAAGAGAAATGCCCACCACTGACAGCTGTGCTGGTTTGCGGGTCCACTCCCTCTAACAATCGTCTACTTATAAACCTGTGACATCCATAAACGAAGAAACGCGCTCGGGATGTGCGCTGTGCTGACCCGCTCGCTAATTCTCTTCACGTCTCGTGCATGCAGTATCTGCGATACTCAAAAGCAAAGACCACAGGGATGATATGTGCTGTGCGGGCTTGTTCTCTTCGACAGTTCGTCCACACAGGAGCCCGTGATGCTTGAAAGTTTGAGGGTAACGAATGATGTGTGCTGTCCTGATTTGCGGGCTTGTGCGCCTCCAGATCTTCTATGCAGAAACTCGAAAATCTCGAAACAAAGATACCTATCCCGACTACATGCTGTGGGGGCTTGTATCCTGTATTCACGTAGAAGCATGTGAAGCTCGAAAGCAACCGATGCCTTGGTGATGTGTGCGGCGCGAGCCTGTGGGCTTGGTCACTCCCAAGGCTCGTCCACGTAAAATCCCATCATCCCTAAAACCGCAAAACGCGCTTTTCATGTGTGCTGTGCTGTGCGAGCCTGTGGGCTTGATTCCTTCAAAGTCTGTCCACGCAGACCCCGTAACCCTCGAAATCAATAGCCTCGCCACTGATGTGCGCTGTGTGGGCTCGTCCTCTCCATTCAACCAGGAGCTCATTATGCTAAAAAGAATTACGAGACACTATGCTGTACCGTGCTAGCTTGCATGCCTCTTCTCTTCCAAGTTCTATCCACGCAGGAACCCCATGATTCTCAAAAGTTAAAAGTGCTGTACTCATATGCAATGTCCTGACCTGCGAGTCTTTTCTCTTCGAAGCTCCGTCCACCCAGAAACCCGTCACACTCAGAGAGACCAGAAGATTTTTGTGTGCGTGTCGTGCTGTCCCACTGGATCGCGTACCCTCCATCGAATCTCGAAGAACAAATGTCCGATCCATGCAGCGCTGTGCGCTACGAGTGTTGAAACCCACTGGCTCTGCTCTGATGGCCTGGAACCGGGATGGAATTGAATTGAACCCAACTGAAACAGACTGAAACGGGAAGTCCCAAAATAAACGAATGCGAGCACCCATGCTGTCGAAAACAAAGGTTCTTGAAATATCAACTCCGCTAATACATGCGTTTCTCCCGTCCGTGGGAGATTGGGCGTGTCGAAAGGGGAGTTGAGAGGATGGAATGGGCGGTGCGGGGCTGTGGGTGTGTGGTTGTGTGAGCATGGTAACGCATTGACGTTGAGAGGCTTCTTGTATCGACGTGCATAATGGGCGTTGGATGGAGTGTAGATTTGGATGTTTGCTTTGAGGCGATTACTTCGAGGCGAGAATGGCTGCGTGCGCTTCGAGTAACGGATTCCATTTCCTCGAGAACCTTCTGGTCGGTAACGGCGTTGTGTGTGTTTGGACGACGTATATCATGTATCATACCTCCCCCCTCACGCGCACACCACGACACCGCTTCACGCCTCACACTTCACACCTCACACTTCACACTTCACACCTCACACTTTAACCCTCCACCGCCACCCCCCCGCCACCATCCGCGCAGCCCCCAAAAACCCCGCGCCCAGAAACAACATGCCCCCGCCATACCCCCACAGCGCGCCCCACCCCCAGCGATCCAACACCGCCCCCCCAACCGGCGTGCCAACCAGCACCCCGACCCCAACCACGAAAAAACTCTGCCCCATGCGCGTCCCAATCTTATCCCTCGCATCCTGACTCAGCGCCACCACCACGGTGGGCGGCAGACTCACAAACGCACCCGAGAAGAACCCATACACGGCCATCAGCACGCACAGCCCGGGTGTCCCCGTGACGGGGACGTAGCACACGCACAGCGCGCCCGCGACGGCGCAGCACGGCACGACGACATTCAGCGCGCCGACGCGGTCGGCTGCCACGTTGGGCACGATGCGGCCGAACACGCTGGCGCCGTTCATGATGGCGAGCAGGTAGAACGCGAGATCCGGGCTGGTCAGACGGCGGTCCAGCGCGTACGTCTGCGCGAAGAAAAACGGCATGTACAGGCCCATGAACCCCGTTGCGAAGCCGGCGACCTGCAGGGTGTAGGCCGGGATGCGGAACGCGGCGAGGTCGAGCAGCGCGCGGGTGTGCGGCGGCCGCGTGCGGGGCCGCATGACGGCGCAGGGGATGGCCATTGTAGCGCCGACGAGGAGCGCGAGCGCGCGCGTGGTCCAGGGGAAGCCGATGCGGGGGAGCAGCGCGTGGAAGGCGATCGGGTACAGGACGCCGCCTGCGCTGGAGCCGGCGGCGGCGAGGCCGATGGCGGCGCCGATGCGGGTGGAGAAGTAGGTGGTGAGGATTGCGACGGAGGGGACGAAGAGCGCGGCGGTGCCGAAGCCGATGCAGAGGGCTTGCGCGAGGAAGATCTGCGTGTACGAGGTGCAGAGGGAGAGTAGGGTTTGGCCGGCGACGAGCAGCAGGGTGCCTGTGAAGAGGAGGGCGCGGAAGTAGCCGGCGTCGTAGAGGGGGCCGGTGAGGGCGCCGGCGGAGAGGAGGAGGAAGGCTTGCGTGCTGCCGATCCAGGCGATGCTTGAGGCGGAGGAGGAGGGGAGGAGCATGGTGGAGTAGTAGGTCGAGTAAGACCCAAAACAATTTTGTTGAAGGGGCAAAGGCTCAGAAAGATGTGATGAAAGCGATATATTTCTATATAGGCAAAGTACTATACTTATGTGTGAAGATGCTTACTTGCTTCTTACGTACAAACAAACAAGTGTTGGTGAAAGTATCAAACCTTAGGACGTTTGTACCTGCACTGGACGGAACCCTGCTCAACATTCCCTCGTTCACGCAATATGGTCTTCAACCACTGAGTCTGGCCAGTCCTGTCTCCAAGGCGATACGCGGCAGTGGTTTAGTGAACAGGTCTGCCTTGTTCTCCTTCCCTGATACCCTAGTAGTGACGAGCTGCTTCTCTTGGACCTTCTTACGTATGAAGTGCCACTTGATATCGATATGTTTCGACCGCTTATGATGCTCTGGATTGCGTGTGAGCGCCAGTGCTGCCTTATTGTTAATACTAATCTCAATGACCGGAACTTTGATAATGCTGATGTCCTTCATGATGCTGTTTATCTAGATAGCTTCCTTAGCTGCTTTAGATGCAGCTACGTACTTAGCTTCACATGAGGAGAGAGCAACAGTCTTCTGGCGCTTTGAGCTCTAACTAACTGGGGAACTGCAGAATGTAAAGACCTAGCTAGTAGTAGAGTGATGTGTGTCTGGGCATTGAGCAAAATTGCTATTGCTCCAGGCCTGAATGACTGGTGTTGCATTGGCAGAGTATAGTAGTCTAAACTCAGGGAACTGTTGGAGGTATGCGTAAATGCGATGAACCGCACGCAAGTGTCCTTCGTTAGGATTAGACATGAATTGAGATACTGCTCCGAAGGCAAAGCTGATGTTATAGCGGGTGCGAGAAGCCAAGTAGTTTAGGCTTCCTATAAGCTCCTAGTAATGAAGTTTGAAGTTGTCTGACGCAGTAAGAGTTGTCTCTTTACTGAGAACGACTCCTGGCTCAAGAGGCGTCTTGACCGGTCGCAGATTAGTAAGCTTGTACTTCTGAAGCAGCTGCGCGACATAGCTAGCTTGGTGGAGTCGAACATGACTAGGTTGAATGTCCACCTGCATCTTGAGGTATTCTGTGCATGGACCAAGGTCTGTCATTTCGAATTCCTTAGATAGGCCCTCCTTGACTTTATTTATGAGGTTTGCATCTTTAGTGGTGATGAGGAGATTATCTATATAGACGGCAATGACCCCAAACCCCTGTTGATGAAAAAGGCATGGATTGTATGCTGACACTTCCTACCCAAGCGACACGAGGTAGTTGCGGAGTTTTGTATACTAAACTCGAGGTGACTGCTTGAGACTGTATAGCGCTTTGGCGAGCTGAAGGACGTGACCAGGTGGATAGAGGTGTTCGAAACCTTCCGGGGCACGAACAAATACCATTTCCTCGATGTCTCTGTTAAGGAACGCTGTTATAACGTCTATAGTGTCGCAAAGCTAGAGCAGCTTAGCTATAATAGCAAAAACTAGCAAGAATGAAGAGTGCTTAATTACTGCTGAGAAAGTCTCAGTGTAGTCAAGTCCCTTGCGCTGGAGGAAACTATGAATGACATATCGAGCCTTGTAACGGCCGATAGTCCCATCAGCCTTAAGCTTGCGTTTTGTGACCCATCGTCTACTAAGTATGAGAAACTCCTCAGGGACCTCTGACAATGGTACTGAGTACCATACCTTAGCACGGATGATACTGTCAATCTCGGCGAGGAAAGCTTGTAGCCATTCATCCCGTTCAGGGCCACTCATAGCTTCCTTGAATGTCCGTGGTTCAGGTGCACTTGCATAGTCGTGGGTGGTATTGAAGAAAAGTCTGCGTCCATTCAAGGCTAACACATCATCGTGTTGTGGTTGTGACGATTCATTTGCAGTGAAGTCAGTGATATTGCTGGCACTGTCATCAGCGTCTAAGTTGTAGTCTAGCTCACTGGCTTCAATGAGGAAATCTCCGCGTACACTGGCAGTCTCCTCAGTCTGGACCATGTTAAGGAGAGGTCGGCCTGTGCGTCCAACCCAGTTATCGCGATATTTTTGCCGAAGACTAGAGACCTTGTCAGGATCCATGTAAGCTCGCTGTCTGTACTTAGGGTTGATGACTTTGACGCAGTGTAGTCGAGCATTGTAATAGTTGTTGGTGAGTTCGTCCACGCAATAGGTGCACGGAAATCCCTCACATTCGCGATTCTGCCTGAAGTGCGTTCGATTGTAAGTGATACAGTGATCGCAAGAGTCGCCCTTGGGCCACAGTTCCTCAAATTCATCTTCTAGAAACACCACATGTTCATGCTTGATGATGAAGGACTCATGTTTCTTGTAGTGAACACAGAACCGTTCGGTTGGTGCATGTGCAAGATTGGGAAGCTTCTTGCACTAATAACACGGGGTTTGCCCATTGCATTGGAATTTGAGTTGTGTACATCGGTGGCATTTCTTGTCTGAAGAAACCCTCTGTGTTGGAGGTATACGATAGTAAGGTTTCTTAGCCCTAGCGAAGACTGGTTGAGATGGCATTCGCACCTGTTTCCTTTTGGGGCTGACAAGATGTTGAGTTGTTGAAGAGCTCTGATCTTTAGAGTTCTTGGCCATACGCGCGTGGTATCTCTTGATCTGAGTGACTTCCGCCTTTTTCTTTTAGCGTTTAAGATCCTTGAGGCGCCGAACATGATTAGCATCTGAGGCAGGGATACAGTGGAAGCTACGCTTAAGACAGGTCTCGCAGCGACCTAGTGGATTATTGGGCGTAACTGGAAGCTTCTTGCAGCGAGCATTCTTATTGACACAGTGATTGCAGGCCTCCTTTAGGGCCTTGATCTTGTCAGCCTCTTTTTGTGCCAACTTTGCCTTGCATGTTGCTTCTTTTTGCAGATCAGCAGCTGTGGGCGGGATATATTTGTGATTCGTAGCCCTGACACACCGCTCACACTAATCTTTTGGTGCAATGACTGATTTAATGCAAACCTTCCCAGACTGGACGCATGGTCTATACTGCATATCCCGAATCTGATAACCAGAATTGGGGGCAGGAGCGGTGTTGTAGTTATGACGTTGTCTCAGTGCATCAGTGGGATCAAGGCAGGGAACGTCTTTAGCGACATGACGCAGCTGGGAGGTAAGCGGAGGAGAGGGCTGTGGCGAGAGAAGAGGAGCAGGACTATTGTTATCGAAGTCCCAGTCCAGGTTGTCGCTGAATAACACATTGCTGAAGTTACTAGAGGCAGATGACGCGCGCCGCGGCTTTGGCTTTATGAGTAGACTAGCAGATTTGTGACGTCGCTTCCGTGATGGCTGAGCGAGAGGTTCTGCATCACCCAGGTAGTCTTTGTCTTCCTCAGATTCGGCGTCCTTGGCCTCCTCCTATTCAGACGCATCATCTGACACTTCATGACTGGGTTCATTGTTATTGACATCGAAACTGTCGGTGTTCTCATCATCCCGGACTGATTGTGGACTAGCAGGAGTGGCTCTAGAAAAGGACGCAGGAATGGGGGCTGAGCCTTGGAAATATGGCGTGTTGAACTGTCCCCTGGTGAAGAAGTCTAGATCATCATCCGAAGTCTGGTCAGCCTAACTAGTGATGAGCACGTTGATCTGTCCTTTGTGGGTGGGATATCCATTTGCCTTCACAACCCACGTAGTAAATGGATTATTGGCCTTCGGAATAGGCTGCTCGTCGTAGCGCGAGATGTTGGAGTTGCCCGCAGCTGAAGTAGATTCCTGGACAGGAGTATTCACGATAGAACCAGGAGCCTCATGCTCAGACTCTGGTGTTGATGACTCAGATGTCGATCGCATAGAACCGGGGTTCAGACTTGGCAAAGGTGAACTAGCCGGAACCGATTGAGCGTCCAGATCATCCGGTGTGGGCTCATCCCTTCTATCTTCCTGGGAAGGGGGAGGTTGAGCGTTCAGGTCATCCGGTGCGGGCTCAGCCCCGCCGTCGTCTGGGTTGCTATAGTCTTCCTCTTCTTCGCAACCGTCATCAACGATAGTAGACCACTGTCGAGTAACTTTTGCAGTGTCGGGGCTGTAGATACGATGCGTAGTTTCGTTCTGCATGCCAACAAAATAGCCAAGCTGACTCCGTCCTTCTAGAATCTTGGACCCACCACGTTTATCCCATGGGATGATAGCGTATGCTGGACTACCCCAGACACGGTCCTGACTCAGATCGGGCGCGACTCCGTATTTGGCAAACCAGGGGGTGACTTTATCACCAAGTGACGCAGCTGGGGAACGATTCTTGATCCAGATCGCGTGACAAACTAGTTCGGGCCAGAGTGTCTCAGGTAGAGTAGCACTGAAGTTTCCGGAACCGTAGTCTTCCACCCAGTCATCTGGGTGTCCAGGCAGGAGATGATCTTGCCACATGGCGGACGCTCGCTCACGCATGGTGCGGTGACCGCGCTCAGCAACACCAACCTGATGGGCCCCATAGGGCGCAGAGAACTCATAGTCGATGCCTTTCTTCTCGCAGGAGTCCCGAAATTCGTGGGTGTTGAAGATGTTATCCATGCGAACACGCTTAGTGACGCGCCCATTGGTCCGTTGGATCATCTGGTTTACTACCTTCCAGGCCCGAAATGCTTGATGCATACCGATCATACGTACGGCAAATGTCCATTTAGTACCAACGTCAGTGAGGAAGAGGACGTATTTTGTCCCATCCCACCCCACTGGGTTGTTATGCGGGCCCCAAATGTCGCCAATGATCATCTCACCTGGTTCTGTAAACTGTCGAGTAGCAGGTTCTCGAGGAATATGCACCTGGGGTCTAGCCACCGCACATACAGGGCAGACTGCTCCAAGCATGGCTTCCACATCCTTGAGTGAAAACTTAAGCCCAGTGGCATGTCCAACGAGCTGACGTAAAGCAGAAAAGGAGAGGTGACCCTGTCGACGGTGTGCACGAATAACCATCTTTCGAGCGACGTTATACACCTCGAGTGGCTGCGAAGCGAGAGGCTGCGGAACGGGTGGCTGGGGCGGGGATGTCTTACCCTCAACCGTTTGGGCATTCTTAGTGACGCCGCGCATAAAATAGAGCCTGTTTCGCTCTACCGCGGTACCAAGAAGCTGGTTGTCTCGGGCATCACATATAGTGATCCGTTCTCCGTCCCACGTGCTAGACATACCAGCCTTACCAAGTCGTGAGAGTGAAAGTATGTTAATACGAGCGCCTGGTGCAAACAGCGTCCTAACTAGAGATACAGACGTGTCTGACTCGGAGATATGCAGGTTGACGACACCTTGTCCTTGCAAGGGAATCGCAGCAGACGGGCTGCTTGCCTGCTTAGAGGTAGGATGGAGCTCAGAGAACTACTCAGGCTGATAAGCAAGGTGGGTGTTCGCACCAGAGTCCAGGATCTATTCACCCTGACCGCTCTTGGTGTGCATGACAGTTGTGTCCTGGGATGCATCACCAGAGACCGTAAGCGCTATAGCTATGCAACCGTTAGGGCCTGAAACATCAGCATTAGACTCGTCACTTGCAGATTTGGCGGCTGATTGTTCCAGATTTACCTGGAAGTCATGAAAAGTCGCGCTGTACTCGGGGTCTTCTTCGACAAGCTGAATGTACTGAACAGACTGCATTACCACGCGATGGGCTTCTGCAAGGTTTAGAACATCAAGCGAGACGGTCTGAGGTAAAGGGCTGATTTGGTTGTCAATATTAAGCATCAGACTGAGCTGGTTGTTGATCTGTCGAGCAGCACGGAAACTAGGAGGCGTCTCATCTAGACCTTGCGCTGGAGAGAGAACATCGCTAAGGCTGATAGGTGTGCCAAAAGCGTGCGATGATGTATCCTTATATGGAGGTGGGTTAATAGGAATCGTGAGATTATCAACCATATAAGATCTACGTTCCTGGGGCCTGGGCCGAGGAGCTGGAGAAGGAGTATGAGGTGCCGGACTGTCATCAGTCACGCGCAGCCGTTCGACATCCTTATTCACAGTCTCCATCCCATCATTATCAGCGACAATTGTTGACTGCGCCTGCTGTAGTTCATTGTCTTCTATTAATGCCCTGACCATATCCCTCTTCAAGACCTTTGTTGCACCTGGGGCCGGCAGGACGGTGATGCCCCGCTGCGTTACAAGTTGCAGCAGCGCATGATGGGTCTTCTGCATGTAGGTGTCAAAGGTCTTTGGGGTTGCAGGAACAGGGGTGTGAAGATGGGCGCGTCTGACATTGCTAGTGAGCATGAAGATTTTTGCCAGAACCGGACAAGTCTTATTGGGCACGGTGACGGAGCGGGGAGAAACTCGAAGTGAGTTCCTAATTAAACGCCACAGGCATGTCTGGAAGACGGACAGACCCTGGTTATATTGATGAAGGCGAAATGACCTGCGCTAAATGCTTATCTTGGCAAGCAGCAATGAGGCGAATTGAAGTGATCCTCGGTTATTGTGCTCTATAGCAAGACGTTTAACTTGTTGGTTGTAGGCGCGCATAGTTTTGAGAGCGACAACCTAGCGTTGTCCTATACGAGATAGGTTTTGTCCATATGTTGTTGGGAAGAGTTGAGCGCATTGTAGCTCCTCAGTAAGTTCGGTCACCACCGTGGCTGGATTGACTACTGAAGACGACAGTTGACCCGCATTCTGAGGTTCATCCTCTGTAGTGGCCGTACCCTCGAGGGCATTCCATGTGTCGTCTAAATCGTTAGTGGTTATTATGTGTTTACTGTAATCACACGGGCCCGGAATAAGGTTGATATGAGTAACAAAAGCCTTTGTTGTAGCTGGAGGGTTGTTGTTGGTGTGATTCGCAACAGTAGTGGGCTTCATGTTATTCTTCTTGGGGCGTTGCTCTGGATGAGCTGTCTAGCATCTGTCGGTAGTATGGCTCTACTATGTACGGCAGCCTTTAGTGAAGCACTTCTTCTCCTGGGGTGGTCTATTACTGGCGGGATGGAAGTTGTTCGAGGCGGTGGTGTGTGTGTTTGCTACCTGGGTTGGTGACACAGCAGTGGCGTTGTGGACTGTGTGACCGCGCTTGGCAAGCTTAGACTCAAAAGTTAGGAGCTGGGAAGTAATATCATCTAGTGTAAGCAGAGGAGTGCCAGGCAGATCAGACAGATAGTCGTGCTGATCTATGAAAGGACGATAAGAGTCTGGTAAGGCACGCAGAATCTTTGGGATTATTTGCCTATTAGAATACGGTTCACCGCTCACGTCGCGTATATCCTGGCGATGCATCTCAAGGCGGTTAAGGAAATCCTGAACGCTGGAACAGTCCCGAAGGCGGAGTTTGTTAATCTTGTCCTGAGCAATCTGCTCCACTCGGCTATCAGCCATCTGGTAATGATGATGGAGGTATAGCCAGATGTCATGGGGAGTCTGCAACGCCTCAAGGTTTCCCTGAATCGTAGTGTCGCAGTAATAGATGAGCATCGCGGTAGCACGGCGAACTCGCTGGTTGTTGCGCTCGTATTGGTTAGACTTCAATCGGAAACGGGCAATGCGATCGGACAAGGATTTGTGTGCAGCAAACTGAGTGGAACGATCTGGAACCGGCGGTGTCCGGGTGTTTGCAACATCCCAGTCAACCAGTCTCCGGGCAAGCTCACCCTTGGTTTCAGCAGTCGTGCTATCGTCTTTGGTAACTAAGGTGAGTCGTCGCACGGTAAGAAGTTGCTCGAGATTACTCTTGCTAAGCTGCTCGTACTGGGCAGCAGTGAGAGTAAAGCGAGCAGAGCTTTCTGCGGGTGCGGAAGTGGACTCAGTCTTGGTTGGAGTTTCTGAGGAGAGCGTACCAATGTAGTCGTCCTCGTTGGGAGGTGACTGGATAGGCTCTTGTCCTTCAATGATGTCTAGAACTCCTTCGGAGATGGCGACGACTTTGAGATCACGTTTCCAACGAACGAAGTTGTCCTGGCCTTTCAACTGGACAAGATCGGATGGGAGTTTGGATAGGTCGGCGGTATTGGTGAAGGGTGATATGGTGGTAGTGATCGGTTCAGAGACAATGTGTGTGAATCTTTGCGTACGATAGATTTGAAGCAACTGGGCTCATAACCTGTTGAAGGGGCAAAGGCTTAGAAAGATGTGATGAAAGCGATACATTTCTATATAGGCAAAGTACTATACTTATGTGTGAAGATGCTTACTTGCTTCTCACGTACAAACAAACAAGTGTCGGTGAAAGTATCAAACCTTAGGACGTTTGTACCTGCACCGGACGGAACCCTGCTCAACAAATTTACGATTCCCCACGTGTTAAAAAGCAGGAAGAAGGCGCCCAGGACCTGTAACCAGGCCCGGAGACCGCCGTTTGGTATGATGTCTACATCGTGGACGCTGGGCCCGCTCTTCACCGTGGTCAAGGTCTCGTCCTCAGTCACGTGCGGCTTTTCCTGGCGCTCCTCAACCGGGGCATCTCCTATTGCCAGGCTACCATGCGATTTGTGGCTGGACAGCGGCGATGTCTGCGCCGACTTTTGCTCGACCTTGTCGTCGTGTGTGGCTTGGGCGGAGTCGCGCAATGCCTCGGTAATGCTTGGTCGCGAATCCATCTCTTGGCTACAGTGACCTATCAAGTCTGCCAGCACAGCGCTGCGCAATGCGAATCTACTCTTTCAGCTGTGACGACGACACTGCAAACCACAAATGTTTCCACCAAGCCGCGCAGAAACAGTGGACGCGACCAGGAAGGAATCCGTAGATCTGGAGCGAGGATCTGGGGAAGGTAGATCATATGTGCGGGACGACATGGTTGCTATTCCGTACTAACGGCTAGCGGTACATAGCAGCGTGCGGCACGTCCGTCGCACTGTTGGAGGCTTGTTCGCACGCAAAAACGTCGTTTAGGCGCGTCATGCTTATTTCCGTGCAAATTCCGGAACCTTTACACATTACTACCGTTTTGACGCCGTTAGCACGGAAACGTTAAAGGCGCGAGGCGACGTGAGAAGGGCGCAGCACAGTCATACCACGACTGGATCTTCACCGGTTATTTGCGATTGCTGGAGAATTTGCGTGAGAGGGCTGCGGGGGCTTATGTACTATTCCTCTCGGAGACATACGGCGGTGTATGTTCCCGAGAGGAAAGGTGTAGGATTGCGTGGCTGTTCGGTGACTCGAAGGTGCATACGCCGACTGACTACGTGCATGGTATCTTGCTGTTTCATAAAATGTTATTTTCCGCCTCTAAGGGCAACTACCTACGCCTTTTCACGGCTTCAAGAAATGCCGATGGTATACAACGCGCGCCGGGCCTGCCTTTCGGCGTCGTAATCCTGGGGAATATGCGTCGTCGCTCCATACTTTTCGCCCACCGAAGGTGGTGACCGTGTCAATAATTCATCCAAAACACCAGTTCGCAACGCCCAACGCTCACTATGCTATACACCGGAAAGAGCAAGGCCCACCCAAGGTTTTTATGTAAGTGGAAATGTAGGAAACAGTTGCCAGATGGTGAGAGCACATCGGTATATCCTGGATTATGCCCCGTGCGGAGCGCATGGGAGACGAAATAATGACAGAAATCGAAGGGTCAGATCAAGCACCGACACGGTGTGCGGTGATCATGTAACCAGAAGGATGGAGATGGGAGGTGCCGACGTGCTCGACGCGCTCTTCGAGGAACAGGTTCTCCATGAGTGCACTCGGCGCCGTGCCGTCCAGCTGCAGCTGACTCTGAGCAGCCTTTTGGCGGCGGTTCTCGCGCTCGTCCACGACGTCGTGCAGCACTTTGGCAGCGCCAGTCCATCCAATCTGGTTGGCGGTCGCGCGGTGGTTGAACAGGCGGCCGAGAAGCTGCGGCGGCAACGATAGAAGGATAGTGGAAAGAGTCCTCGACACGGGGCTGACTTGTGTGTCGTCGTCGGCGGGCGCGTCGCCGAAACGGATCTTGCTCAGCCGCGGGTTGTGTGTCTGCGCACGCGCGTCGGCACGGCTGGGCAGACGCGGGTCGTCTCGAAGCTCTGCAGCGATTTTGTGTAGTGAAAAGTCGTTAGGGAAGTTGTACGCGATGAAGTCGATGGCTGAGTTGAGAAGCTCTGTAGCGAACGGATCGCGGACATCGGCGTCGACGGCCGATCGTAGGGTTGTTCTTGTGGCTTGAAGACCGTAGTGCAGGACCTGCTCGACGGTATCCCACCGCAGTAGCGCTTTGGCAATCTCCACACCTCGTACTTGCATGCTGGGAATCTGCAGAACGCTGCCGGCTGCAATGTAGCTGAGAAGCTGATCCATGCGCCTGCGAGCGTCCTTTGTGACGTGCGCGTGGGGCACCTCTGGCGAGTAATGACCGAGGCCGTACAGGAAAGACTGCATGGACAGGAGCGGTGCTCCGTAAAGCACCTTGACGGCCTCCTGGACTGACTCGCTCGCAACGAATGGGTTTGTGGTAAGAACGTCTGCAAGACGGCGCGAGTCCCGGGATCGATGAGCGGAGGGAATGCTGCGGCGGAGGGCATTGGCCACGACCGGGCTGCGGACTACGACGATGGCATGTACGGGAATGGACATGTACTGGTACTCGGGCGACCGGACCTGCAGAAGGAAGTCTGCAAACTCGGGGTTGCCAAACTGCGTAGACAGGTAGGAGGCAAGCTCGAAGGGCGACTCGCTCATCTCCTCAGACCGAGGGCCGCCGTTCTGCTGGGGCTGCGCGTGCTGGACGTCCAGGCGATCCGTGAGAGGCTCACCAAACTGCGACTTGCTGGGCGACTGTGACTGCGAGGTCGCGATGCCGTTGGCAGCAAAGCGCGGGTCCTCGGGGGAGAAGTGCGCTGGGTACGGCTCCGGGTATGCGGCCGGGCCGGCGGTGAACTGCGGCGACTGGAAATCACTGCCGTTGCCGTACATGGGCTCCGGAGGGGGAGGCATCGAGTACGGCGGGTAGAGCCACGGGGCGCCGGCGTCCGAGGGATGGTGCGAGTGTCCGGGGAAGAACGAAGGCGTGAAGTCGGGCGGCGCAAAGCCGGGTGGAATGCGCGGCACAGCCTGTCGAAGCGCGTCTCCTGCCTCAAAGGCCTGAGGCGTCGCAGGGTGAACCGGCGAGTCCTGCACCAGACCACCCACTGCGCCGTCCACGCTTGGCCGGGCCGGGTGGAAGACGTGGCCGTGGCTCTCCGCGACCGGCGTGTTCATGCCGCTCATGCTCGACGGGTAGAAGGGCGGCGGCAGCTCCTTGCGGTGCACGCCGTTCGTGAGCGGCTTGGCCTCGACCTCAGCCGCAAGGGCTTCATGGACATGCTTCGGGTCGTCGTTCGGGGCGTCGTTCGGTCCGTCGTTCGCAGTGGAAGCTGTCCGGCTGTTAGCGACTCTGCACGTGCTGGGCAGGTCTGGCAGAGTTCAACGCACCTGGCGCTTCGGCTGTTGGCTGCACCTCCCCATCCTGCGACGGCGCTGGCGACGCTGCAGCGCCAGCCTCCGCCTCAGGCGTGACCTGCTCGGGCGTGGGCACGGGGGCCTCGACAGGCGGCGCGGGCTGCTCCTCCGCCTTCTCCTCCGCGGGCTGGGTCTGCGGCTCCGGCTGCGGCTCCGGTTGCGTCACAGGGTCCTTGAGCGGCTGTGCGGGGGAGACGGGCTTTGCGGCAGGCACGCGGCGCGACAGACGGTGAGGAATGGCAGGCACGATGCGCGCAATCGGGCGGCGCGCCTGCTGCCTCTGCGCAGGCTCGGCAGCGCTGGACATTGCAGCAGTCGTGGGCAGTCAAACGCGTCGTGAGCTAGCGACTCCAAGATAATTGCGGATCAATGGGCTTGCCAATTATCCTGGAGCGCCGTGGGGTGTGGAGGGCGGCGAGAGATCGAGCGGTGGGGTGTCGGCGCCCAAGTGCAGTTTGGAACATTGACGACGGTGGGGAATAAATCTGCGCTCTGACGCGCCTGACTAAGCAGCCTGTGACGCGTTGCCGCATGCACTGGACCGTCGTGTCCTGACGAGCTGTCAAGCGTGTTGTTGCACATCGTTGAACATCGTTGAACATCGCTGAACATCGCTGAACGCTATCCCATGCTTTTCCTCGATAAAATCTGGGTAGCCATCGAATCTGCGCACGTGAGAGCAATCCCAGTGGACGCCGGTGAACGTATCACGAAGATTACCAGTAGGCGATCTGTCAGTGTGTTGAACAGGTTGATGCTGTTGCTTGATCTGATGATGCAGTCGGCAACCTAGCCACAAGACAGCTGTCACTGTAGACAGTCCTAGTCCCCTACTTCACCAGCAAGATTGTACTTCAACGGTACCTTAAGATGTACTTCACCATGCACTTCAAGATCGCAGATGCACTCGCGATTCTACAAGTCTATCAGTATCTCATCATATCTCCTATCGAGCTGGGCTCCTCGCTCCTGCCGTAGTCACCACGCCTCTTTCCCGACATCGAAACAACAAGGCATCAGCACGTGGCTGAGATAACGCCGTGTTGATACCCTACATGATGTCGCCCCCCGCCCTACTACTCACCTCAATATCTAACCTAGAGCTACAATTCCATCTCTCTTTCCTAGTGCTCCTACTTCACATTCCCTACCTTGCACTGATTATGGTCTTGAGGCCCCGAACCTCATGCAACAGCGGGCGGCCCATCAGAGGTCCTTCTCCAGCGCGACCCCTGAACGACGACCGCTGCTTTGAGTGCCAACTGGACGCTCCACCGGCCACCCGCCACCACACATGTCCCCACCAGAATGCGTTTGCGCCTACGCGTAGGCCACTTCCGACGCCTTGCAGTGTCGTGCTAAAGATTCGCAGAGAACCGCTTCAGTATCCTAGCTGGGCTCAACCCGTCCCCAGAGACGAAATGGGCGCTTGACTTCGCATCGACGCCGAAGCCTGGCTCCAGAAGACGCGGCAAACGGGGGTGGCAAGCATCACCGAACCAAGCATCCCAAAACGACCTGCGACATGCCAGACATTGCTGAGCTCGGCGACCAGTTTGCTGCACTGCGCCTGGACGACGCACCGCAAAACCTAGACGAAGCGCAACCCAACACACGAGAACATTTGTCAGATGTAGACGCTGTCAGGCATCACTGGGCCCCGCAGTTTCGTGCGAATTCGCTTCCAACGTCAAAGTCAGGGTCGCCCCGTACCCTGTCCAAGATGTACCAGGGCTTCTCTTTCGAGGGACCTTTGGTAGAGAACCCGCCAAGCACTCCAAACCTTCGTCCCCAATATCCTCTGTCTGCCTTCCTCAAAGACCTGACGTCTCCGTCCGCATCTCCACCTGAGTCTGCGGGATACTGGTCACCAACAACTCCGTCTGAAGTATCTTCTCTTCCATCGAGCACCCCAGCACCGGCAACGCCAACAGCAAAGAGCTGCGACCTTGTACTGCGCAAGAACACTGCGTTGCGGTCAAGAAATGCACTGAAAACACCTGAGCCGGTGCCAACGTCGTCGCTGTCGATCGACATACCAGCTTCTGTCATACGTCCGCTCACATTTGACGCTTCTTTATTCACGCCATCATCTCCACCGCCGGCCCCTGCCGTGTCACTGGCAGCGACACCCGTGCTGCGCATTCTGACTTCAAGTCCACCTACCATGCGAAGCGCAAGCCCCCTAGCTTCAGGCCTAGCTTCACCGGGAACCTCGCCAATGCGACCATACGCACCATTGCCTCCGCCAGATCGTCGGTCACGTTTTGGCTGGCCAGGCACATCTCAAGACATGACCCCGACGGCTTTGATCACAGCCCCTGTCACCTCTCCGCACCCGTTCGTGTTCCCGCCCGGGCCGTGGCTACCAGCAGCCGGAGGTTCGGTCAGCACAGCGAGCCCGCTGGCGTTGAGCTCCCAGTCCCCTGAGACGCGCAAAGACGTGGCGGAGTTCCTGCTCACGGGTCACGCGAAGGACTGCTGGTGCCGTGCACACCAAGAACAGAGGGACGCCCAGGCTGTCGCTGATGCCAACGAGACAGAGCCCGAGGATGTTTCGGACGATGCTGCCACGAACCCCGACGCAGCGGCAGATAATGCCGACTCTGAAGGTAGTGCCAGCAGCGACGGTGGATCTGATTCGGCTACTGACTCCGACGGCGATTCCGACAGCAACGACAGCAGCAAGAGTCAGGGCATCAGTAATAGCAACGACAACAACAGCAGCAACGACAACACCACCACCCATAGCACCGGCGTTCACAGCGGCAGTTACGAACCAATACCGCCTCCCGTTGCTCCCATCTTCAATTTCGATAACCTCGAAGTCATCGACGGCATCCCCGTCGACTCGGACGACGAGTGGCTCGAGCTGGCCCGGTGCTCGTACGTCTACCAGCCCAGCTTCCCGTCGGCCGTATCAGACGTGCCGTCCGTCGCAGACGCCTCAGGTGCGGCATACTCGGACGCCTCGGATGCAGACGATGCCTGGGACGCGTATCTCGCGTCGCTGGCTAGCTCACCGTACCCCCGTCACGACGTAGCGATGCAATAGAGTGCTCGTCGCTCGCAGGAGTCGGTTGTGCAGGTCAAGCAGGAGCTGTGGGGGAAGGAGAAGGAGGTCGGTGGGGATGGGCTGGAGTGGCCGACGCTGAAGGAGGCATTGGGGATGAGAGCTAAAGAGGAGGATGAGTGGGGCGGACAAGTGTGGGATGGGGTTGCGGATTGGTTTTTGTAAGGTGGTATGGATGAGGTGGTATGGATGAGGTGGTACTCGTAAACTGGATGAACTGGATAAACTGGATAAACTGGATAAACTGGATAAACTGGATAAGCTGACGTGAACGGGAGGGTGGAATAGGATGGATGGTATAGGATAGGGTGCGCCTGGATCGGAAAGGGTGGGTAGGTAGATGGGAAGAATCAATCATCCGCGGTGGATATCTTGTGATTGAACCGTCTCAAGCTACACCTTTAGGTACATATGCATCGTGCTAATGTCCACACCTTTTTTGCAAATAGAAATCACACATGTGGAAAGATAGAAGACTTTAGTAGCTGGTCAATGTGAGAGAGAGTAGTCAGACAGTACTCGTACTCTACTTTATGATAGGCAATTGATACCGTGCCGGAGTTACAGATTCAAGGGGCGTAGGCCGGTAGGTGTAGCTTGCAATTTGTGGTTACTCGGCTCATATAAATGACCGACCAACAAGAGAGCGACTAGTCAAACAGTACTCTACTTTACGTTAGCCAGTTAATACAGCTCTAGAGCCACGAGTTCAAGAGACGTTGGCAGGTAACGTGTAGCTTGGTGGTTACTTGGGTTATAGTGTTTGAGTCGTAGTGTTTGAGTCGTAGTGTTTGAGTCGTAGTGCTCGGGTCGTAATTCTTGACTCGTAGTGCTTAACTTGTAGTGCTCAAACAGTACTCTCCTTTAGCTAGTCAACACGGTGCTAGAGCCACAAATTCAAGAGACTTGGGCAGGTGCGTGTAGCTTGCAATTGGTGGTTACTCAGGTTGTAGTTGCCAGATCTCAGTACTAAGCCACTGAGCCAGCAAGCCTTAAAACGTATCACATCACGATCTACTCTTGATGGTGAGTCCTCGCTCGGTACGGTATATTTTGTTGTCGTTCTGTCCTAAGGTCTATCAGATAGGATCTAATAGTAGTGTTTAGGTTGTAGTGTAGGGTTGTAGTGCTTAGGTCGTAGTGCTTAGGTTATAGTGTTTAGGTTTACTAGGGTATAAGTGCAGTGTTAAAAACACTGCTGAAGTATAGTTACCTAGTGTGCTAGGTAGACAGGCTTATTTACCTAGCTATAGGTTAGATTACCTAAAATTGTAGTGTTTTTTTACCTAATATCTAGTTCTATAGTAGGTACGTAGCTACTTAGGTAGCTAGGCTTACAGCCTACTACCTCTTTATTATGCCTCTTCTTGTTATTATATCTCTCTTCTCTCTCTCTCTTCTCTCTCCTTACAATCTTTCTCTCCAACCCCCTCCCCCCCCCTCTACCTCTTCCTACTTCCTTCTCCTTTACTCCCCTCTCCTCCCCCCCTCTCTTCCTCTACTAAATAGATAGATACTAGATAGAATAATAGACCTATATAAAAAAACTACTATAATATAAAAGAATACTGCATAAATAGGTAAAACAAACCCCCCTATAGTGTTTTTAACAGACTTTCTTCTACATATTTTACCTGTTAAGAGTGCGGTGTTGTACCCTAGTGTTGGTGTACCATCTAGAGAGAAGACAATAGTGCTAGAGCTGCTCTAATGCACACCGAACGGTTCTGCTAAAGTTTGGTAAGCTGATCGAGTCTGTAATAAGGTGTGTCTCCTAGCGAGCTAAGATAGGTTACTTACAACAAGAGTTAAGAACGCGCCGGTGGGGATCAGTTCAAGTTCAAGTTCGAAGCTATGCTGTCACATCCGCTGAAACTATCAGGGGGTGGAACTTGCTGAAACTACGGTCCGTTCGGTGGGGTTTTGGATACCGTATTTTCTAGTGGAGAGCGACTCCACTATCTGCTCTAGGTCATCGTGAGCAGTTTATTGTAGAGGTTAATTCTACGCCTGCGCTTATGTAAGCTAAGCAAGATTCTGTAACAACTCTATAATAACTAAGACGCAGCTGTCTAATAAGCTTAACAGGTGTTAAAGACTATAGCCCAAAGCGGATAGTCAAGTCGCTCTCCACCAGAACATACGGTATGGTAGCCGTCAGTGGCACTGACGTCCGGGCCCTTCAATTTAATCATCTCTAAAGCCAATCAAAGCCGCAGAATGACATACGTCAGTGAGGAGCCCAATACCTCTGGAACCTTGATCCCGCTTGCTGGGTGTGAAGATGTAGTATTTCTTCATTTCACGTCAGTCGAAACGCCGTCGGCTCCACACAGCTCCGCCCGGGGGTTGAGCTGGTTCATCATCTACTCGTGAGTCTCTAGTCTCTCCACAAGCTGTCCCGACCAGACCTAAAATCGATATTGATGAAAACCCGAGATTGCTATGATGCTTTGCTCAAGTGTCTACGCTCTATCTAAGTCTACCATGAGATCCCCAACGCAGGCACCTCGTCTGATATTTTTACATTAGTGCGAGAGATGGACTCCCTTACGTATCCACAAGAGGTGCGAGTTAGGATGCGACCAACGCGAGAGACTACCGCTTCAAACGAGTTCTTGTCCACGAATGTTGGCGGAGACCTCAACATGCATCTCTTTCTGCCCTGTAGTGTCGCTTCTACCACCGATGTGATCCTCTATCAAAACACCGGCCGCAATTCCTTCAGTCTGCCGTTGCTCATCCCGTAACCTCTTCTGGTGCAGCCACATACTGCGAAAATTTCTCGCCCCAAAGAGCTGAGCAGCGCTGAAGATCGCGTGCAGAAGTGGGGTGACGATCTTAAACGGAAGCGTCCAGCGGTCCCACAGCGAGCCAAACAGCCACATGACAGTGATAGTCTCGATAACGGTACCGGCGAACGTGCTGATGCAGCTGAAGCAGAACACCTTTGCAAGGAAATCATGCCGTGTCGGATACACACGATACAGGATGATGGCGACATGTGGCCAGAATTCCGCGACGATGTCAAAGGCACCTGTCACGTGGGACCGGTCAGCAAAGCTCGAAGAGCGCGGGCAGATCGGTCGGATGCATGCGGTTTGCGAAAACCATACATACCCCATACGAAGCACAGGATGAACTCGATAGTGGCGTCGCGCTCATGCTCCCAGTTCAGACTTATGGCGACGGCGCTCTGCGCTATGACCACGGCGCCGATGTGGTGGAGCACCGCGATCGGAGAAAGCTTCGCACGGAACAGAAGCTCAAAAATGTACATGGCAATGAAGAGTTGGTTGACAACGATGAGAACTGCAATTCCGTCAGGTTCTGACACGATCTTCTTTAGCAATTAGGGGCAGAAAGCATACCATCGCCATACGTCACAACCTTAGCCCCCAGAAACAGAGTGTGAACCGTAGCCGACCCAAAGGCGATGCCGAGGAACGGATGAGCAGCAACGACGAGCATGAGGATTTTCGCGAGACCGGCGATGTGGTGGTTGACAAACCCGCGTCGATTGACCTCACTGAGGTTCGAATACGTTGCGCCGTAACATCTCGGTATCGCAAATAACTCGAACACGTAGTAGCGTACGAGGAACGCGACGACGAGTATGATGGTAAGGATAAGCGCAGAGAAAGGTGCTAGTCGAGAAACCGCCTCGTTGACCAACATGCCAACGTGGGGTCGGTCGTCATCCGGATGGGTGTGTCGTGTTTCGATCATGGTGCTCAGTTGGTTCCGGTGCGTTGTGAAGCACTCGCATCAAAGTGGTACCGCAATGGGGATTTGTCCGTAGTAGCACTTGAGGTTGAGAACACGTTGGCCGGTATGGAGATGGTACGTCGAGCAACGAGACAAATCAACCAGTACCACCAAGAGAGGTGGATTGGTCTTTTGGAGCAAGACAAGGTAACGTGGAGGGAAGCATGTCGTATAAATTGATTTCTGTGACAAAACGCTAGCAGGGAGAACTTAGCCACAGCAACTAATAGAGTAGAACGCGGGTCCCCTGGGACGCAGTTTTGATACTGTAATTGGTCCCCCACGTCTGAGTCTCCTGTTAGCGTTTGGCCAAAGAAACCAATTTATACGGTATGCGACGAGTTCTATTGCACACATCGTTTCTCCCTGGATGCAGCGGGGGTACCTCGTGTCTTGTGGCGAATGAGTGGCTGCCGGAATAAGGTACTCGGGTGACAAAAAACCCGCACTCACAAACGATGTGCTGAGTTGCTGCTGATACCAGAAGGCAGCAACCACAAAATTCAGAACTCCGGGTAAGCAGATCTGTAGAGCGTCTTCTTCTCTACAAATCTGTGATTTTGTAGGAATTTTAAACTTGTTGCTGTGTTGTATCGTGCCAAAGAGGATAACCTAGCTTGGTGTTCCTTCACTTTATTATGGTTTGGAGTGCGGCTTTTTTTGGCACTCGAGCAAGGGTTCCGTTTGTGGCGAGTGAGTGGCTGTGACAAGGGTCCCGTTCCGTTAGTTGATACGAAGAACTAAGCTTTGGATTGGCAAGGCTTGTTTCGCAGACATGTTGCGTATCCCCACGCCGGAGTAGGCTCCGACCCGATCAAGTCCAGAACATCACATCTCGTGTCCGGTCTCGGGGCATCTGCTCTTCCTTCATGAACTGACTGTGGACCCTTCTCGGAAAAAGGTGGACCATGAGGAAAGGTGGCAGCTCCGTAGGTAACTGAAGAGACCGACCAAGTCTGTAAGCTGTGGTCTTATATCGAATTCACGTGCTTCTGGTCAACGTGCGGGTAAAGCGGCATGAGACGGGATGTCACCAAAACCATGAGAGGGATTAAAAAAGATGGAACGAAACTCGGGTTTATTCCATTGTCTGGTGGTAAGCGTCCACACTAAGCATTCTAAGTAACGCCTGCGAAACTTATAGATTGATTGAGTGATTATTATTTGCGCCAAAAGGGGCTATTCTACAGTAAACCGGCCTCCCATGGGGCACTCATTGACGTGTGAACAGGGGAGTAAGGGGTTGTAGCCCTGTCACCCCCTAGCACAGTTCACTGTTGAAGGTGTGGCTGGAGCTCCAGCCAAGTCGAGTGTAGGGTCCTCCGCCGGTCAAGGAAAGTACATGAATATTTTGTGTGCCAGTTGTCAGTGGAGAGAGAGGCAATTTTGAGCAGATGAGTAACAAGACAGACTAAACAAACGAAACCTGTAGAGTCATAGCAGCAAGCAACCAAAAACAACCACAACCCACGCTTACACCAAGCCCTCGGCCAAAACACCATACTATATATCGCCCTTCCATCCCAAGTCACACAAGCCAGAACCCAGCAACATCCCCCTTGTCAGCGCGGAAACTTCCCTAGCGCAAGTACACCACGCACCACCACCCACGCGCCCGTGTCCCCGACCTCCTAGTTCCAGCAGCTCGTGGCGTGCACGCCTTCCACACGCGTCGCTCCAACCCGCAGCAGGCCTATTTCGCTACCCCCGACCCAGGCACGGGCGGGGAGAGCCTGAGGCACATCGCCAACCCACGCACCCACGTTCTCCACATACCGTGAACTCGCACTTACCACCCCCCCCCCCCCCCTAACTAAGTTCCAAACCAACCTCACCTACTCTCGTTTATTCCACCCTTCTACAACTTATTGTATACGCAGTAGAACACGTGTCCGCGTGCAAGCTACCCAAAAGCCTAGGAGCATACTAAGCAAGAATCCACCGGCAGGGAGACATTAAAATTAGCTCTACATAAAACAGCAGAAGAGAGGGAACAAGAAGAAGATGTCGAAGAAGAGGAAGAGGTAGGTAGAAGGTAGTAACAGGTATACTCACCACCGACTTCTTGGCTTGTGATTGTCGGGTTGGATTTAGATTTCCTTCTCTGTTTTACGCCTGATGCGACGCTTTTATGTGCTGACTGTGGAGGCTTTTGCTTCTGTAGCCTATGCTGGGCTTGTGGAGTACACCCTGCTGCTCTTGTTAAGTACAATCCGCTGTTCTGGAACACGGGGGCTACGCCGGCAGTACAATCGCACTTAGTACACCCGGGTTTTGTACGCGGGGGTTTGCAGTGCGCTTGCGCAGACGCAGAAGCGTACTGCTACGGCAAGTCGCGCACCAGCCCCTACCTAGCTCCGCCCACCGCAGCCATTACGCCCAAAGGCATCGCTAGGTAGGTACCAGGCGCCTCCCCGCGTCAGCGAGTATACACCCGACCCGCCCAGGCGCGTATAAGTAGTACCCAAGACACCGCCGCCAGCGGCCCGCAGTTCATACCCCTACTTTTCTTTCTCTCTACTTAATATACCTGACTACATACGGGCTGTGCGATAACTCCCCGTGGGCCTGGCGGCTGGACGGGAAGGTATCGCAACAGGAAGTCTAACACCAACGCCGCGCTTGGTACAGTGTAGTATAGTACAGTATATATTATTGTTCTATGAAGGCTAGCCATCTCAAGTCCCGACTCCCACGCGACAGGACCCGAGACCGAGCTTGTGCGGTTTCGCATTTTGCGACTACAAGATCTTAGATCTTGGACGTTGTGGTGGGTTGAAGGGTTGTCTGAAATGGTAGTGTTGGGGGGCTTGGAGGCAGAAAGGGGGGGAAGCTGGTGTAAGGTGACTGCCTCACCCTGCCTAGAGTCTTGACCTATCCTCCATCACTTCCTCCATCACTTCCCCCCCACACCCTATCTAAACCCCATTCCGCCTCACACCCGGGATTACCGTCACCCCATCACGTCTCATAGATTATCATCCCCCCACACCCCACCCCCCTCCCCCTTTTTCTTCCCCCCCTCCTCCACCAGCGGCGCCCTCGGCACCTCCACCCCGTCGATCCGCCACTGCATGCCGATGTACGTATCACTGTACACGGTGATATTAAGTTTCTGGCCCTGGGCTGTGGGCGGGAGGGAGAGGGTGGGGGAGGCGTGGAGACGAGGAGGTCCGGCTGCTGCGCTTGCTGCACCTGCTGAGCCTGCTGAGCCTGCTGGGGACGAGGTTGTGGCGGGGTCAGTAGAGACGGGGTCGGAGGAGACGGGGTCGGAGGAGACGGGGTGGGTCGAAGTATCGAGACCCGGCGCCGCGAGGTGTGTGGACGACGGCGCTGAAGTCGAAGGCGAAGGCGAGGACGCATCCGCGATCTGCCTCTGCGCCCCTGCGCCACGGCCTCGTCCACCTCGACTAGCGCCGTAGCCGCGAGCGCCTCGCTCTGCGCCGCCTCTGCCGCCCCGTCCACCGCGTCCACCCCTCCCACCATCATTACCACCACGACTGCGATCCCCACCACCACCGCCGCCACCATGGCCACTGCGTCCACCCCTCCCCTCCACCCACCCAACCCTCTTCAACCCCACCAACTCCCCACTCCCCGCCACACAAACCACCACGAAAAACCCCTCTGTCTGCACCTTGCCCCACCGGGGCGCATACACCCTGACCCCCCCGCCCTGCAGACGCGCCGGATTGCGGCGCTCGAGCCGCAGCGACAGGGAAAGGGCTGAGACACTGTTCACGGTGAGGTTGAGGATGGGGAGACGGGACAGCGGGGCCGCGGCGCGGGGGACCGCGGACGCGGGAACGAGGGACTTGAGTGTTGCATTCAGGGCCGCGGGGGCGAGGAGCGTGGCGGCGACGAGCGAGACCGCGGGTGTGGACTGGATGGACGCGGGGGATACACCGGGCAGAATGCTCAGCGGCGCGTCGGTGGGCCAGCGCGCAGACTTGACGCACGCCAGCAGCGTCACGAGCACTTCTACTGCCCCCGCGTGCCCCAGTTCCGCGCTCACGTCGATGGCGGCCTGCGTGATGCGGATCGCCTGGTCGAGCACGGAGTTCAGATCGCCGACGTAGTCGGCAATCGGCAGCTCCACCCTGCTTAAGTGCGCCTGCAGCAGCAAGAAAGCCTTGACGTGCGGGTCCCACAGCGGCAGGTTGAAGTGGTCGGCGTTGTGCGGCAGCGCGCGCGCGAGCTCGGCGTTGATCAGGTCCTCGTTGTGGCGCACGGGCAGCTCGTCGTACTCGGTGGCGTGCGCGATCCAGGTCAGCGCGTCGAGGAACGACGGGGCGGGCGCGGCGTGCGCGGCCAGGTAGCGGATCGTGTGGTGCGAGAGGTAGTAGTAGGACATGATTTTGCCGAGGGGCGTGGGGGAGACGTCGCCGGTGGGCTCGACGAGGGCGCACGACGAGTCGTTGAGGGCGGCGAGCGAGGTCTCGACGAGATCGACCATGTACGCGTTCGCGGTGGTCTGGGCCGCGAGCGTGTTGTGCTCCTCGGCGCTGACTTCGAGCCCGTAGAAGGACGGGTTCTTGTGCAGGCGCCGGAAGAAAAACGTCCACGTCAGGTAGTCGAGAGCGTCCTGCTTGGTGCCGATGGTGCCGGCGGAGATCTCGGCACCCAGATGGTTGTCGAGGACTTTGTGCAGCGACGACTCCACCGGGAAGCCCGTGTGCAGGAAGTGCTTGTAGAACTCCTTCTTGGCGTCCTGCGTGAAGATGCGCGCGATTCCGGACGTGTCGAATTGCGGACGCCCCGCGCGGCCCAGCATCTGCAGCACATCCGTCAGGTCCATGTCTTTGTAGCCCTCGGACTTGGCATCAAAGAACTGCGTGCCCTTGACGACGACGAGGTGGGCGGGCAGGTTGACGCCCCACGCGAGCGTACTCGTAGCGACGAGGATCTGGATCTTGTTGTTGGCGAACAGCTCTTCTGAGAGCGAGCGATCCGACTCGACCAGACCGGCGTGATGAAGACCGATGCCGAAGCTCAGCGCCTCCTTCAGCGCGTCATCCTTCACCCGCTCGAGATTCAGCGCCAGGTCGTCCTCAGACATGCGCAGGAAACGTCGAGGATTGTCCTCCATGCCGCAGAAGTTGATCAGATCGCGCGCAGTGAGGCGCGTCTGGCGGCGCGACGCCACAAACACAATCACCGGCTTGTCGGGGGAGTGCTGCTTGATGGCGAGGAACGTGGGCCGGTTCATCGACTGCATCAGCGCGCAGAAGCCGCGCTGCTCGGGGAAGCCGTCGATGAAGATCTCCAGCGGTACTGGACGCACCGAGTGGCGGAAGTTGAACAGGCCCTCCTTCACGCCCAGCCAGTTGCCGAGATCCGACGCGTTGGCGCACGCCGTCGACATGCCGAGCAGACGGATAGAACCATCCTTCTTCTGCGACGCGATGTAGTTCATGCGCGACACGATGATCTCGAGAATGGGGCCGCGGTCGCCACCGAGCAGGTGGATCTCGTCGATGATGACAAGACTGACCTGGCGGACATAGCCACGCGTCTGCCAGCTACGACTGATACCGTCCCACTTCTCCGGAGTCGTGACGATGATGTCTGCGTCGCGGATGGTGCGCGTGTCGGGCGTGTTATCACCCGTCAGCTCCACAAGCTTCAGGCCCATCGGCCCTGCGAGCCGCTTGCCCCAGTCCTGGACTCGCTCGCGCACGAGCGCCTTCATCGGCGCGATGTAGACGACCTTGGAGCCGGGCTTTTCGCGGAACGCCCACCACATGGCCAGCTCAGCTGCGACAGTCTTGCCACTGCCTGTGGGCGATCCGAGGAGCACGTTGGCGGGGGTGTGGTAGAGGCAGTGGAAGATCTGCGTCTGCATGGGGTTGAAGTACTGGAAGCGCTGACCGTAGAGCTCTTCCAGCAGCGGGTTCTTGAGCGCAGCAATGGGCAGCGGCTGCAGGTCGAGCAGGTCGGTGTAGACGCTCTCGGTGTCGGGCCGGATGAGGTGCTGGAAGGAGATGGGGTGGACGGTCTCCGAGCCCAGCCAGCGATCGGACACAGCGCGGACGTAGATCTGCGTCGGCAGTGGGTCCGTGAGGGGGATTGTAAAGTTGAGTTCGTGTTCATCGTAGAGCTTCTTACGCGACAGGATGAAGAATTCGTAGTGGTAGATTTCAGACGTCTCCGAGTTCTCCACCCAGATCCAGAACGACTCTGACATACCGTGGTGTCGGTCGTTCCACTTGAACTCGGGCGTGAGCCATAGCTTAATGCGGAGCACGTCGCGGTTCAAGGGCGCAATCTCAGACTCAATCCCAAGCGTTGGGAAGTTGTCCAGCAGCTTTGAGATGACGCCGCCCATTTTCGTGTTGTGCACGAGATCGCCAATCTCGCGCGCCTCCATATCGCGCAGGGCTTCGATGGAGGGATATCGATGGTCGAGCGCTCGTAATACCGGCTGCGGCAGGTCAAACTGATGCAGCGGGTGTTCGATGGACCACACACGGTGTTCAATTGACTGACAGAGGCTGAGCAGAACCAGACACTGGTAGCCCCAGCGCCTGTTCAGCGCGATCATGAACAGTGCTCTAGCGATACGCGCAGCGTTCTGGGTGACGTAGTTGGTGTCCGAGACGAGCGTGAAGTCTTCCAACCGCGCCCTCGAGATGTGAGCCTGCAGGAGGTAGTTTGTCTTGCCGTGGGATGTCGCAAAGCCGCCCTTGACTTCGGTAATCACGTAGCCCTCCTCCTTGAGCGCCGAGAGCTCCTTCTCCTCGGTCTCGCGGGACTGCACCTGGTCGAACTCACCGCTCATACTGATCATAGCGAGGGCATCAGCGTCCGAGCTGCGCGGGCGCATCATCGTGTTGAAGATCTCGATACTTGACTGCTGGACGTAGAACTGGCTGGCAATGCGGCCGACATCCTTCGAGCGCAGGTCTTCCGTGGTCTCGTTGAAGATGATCATCTGGCTCTTTTGCAGAACGCGGGCGGCGTCGATGATGAGCTTGCGTCGCCGTCCAACGAGCTGCGGGTCGTCGCGGATCTCGGCCCACTCGATGCCGTATAGTAGTGGACTCTTCTGCATCCTCACGAAGAGGTAGGAGTACCCCAACCACTGCACGGCCTCGGACACTGTAGTGACCGTTCCTAGCGAGATCTCAGCGTTGAGGTTGTCGACGAGCTTCGCCGAGAACCGCGACTCAATCGGCTGCTGCTCGGTTATAGCGCGCATGTAGTGGTCCAGACGATCGTGGGTTGTGCAAATGAAGCCGATACCGGTGTCCTGGAACTGGGGACGACCAGCACGACCGAAGATCTGCAGCACGTCGAGGATACCCAGGTCTGTGAACTTACCCTCCTGCGCGTTGTACACCTGCGTGCCCTTGATCAGGACCGCCGCAGCAGGCAAGTTGACTCCCCAGGCTAGCGTGGCGGTACAGCAGAGGACCTTGACGACGCCCTCGGAGAAGAGACGCTCAACAAGATTGCGGTCCGAGCGAGGCATACCAGCGTGATGCGTGCCCATGCCCTTCCCAAGCAGCTCGCGCAGCTCACGGCCCTTGGAGTGCTTCATGTCGCGGACGGCAGCGTCGTATTTCTCGTGCATGGTCGGGTCGAAGAGATCCGCACACCCGTCGTCGACAGCGAGCTCGAAGAGCCTGCGCGCCGTCTTGACGGTGTCTTTGCGCGAGTGCACAAAGACCATGATCTGGTGGCCCCTCTCCAGCATCTGCTTTACCTTTTCAAAAGCCACGCGCTCGAGATTCTCACGCGACTTCATGGTGCCGGCCTTGCCCTTGGCGCCGATGAAGTGCTGCTCGAGCGGGACCGGGCGGAAGGAGGCGTCGAAGTAGAACAGGCCCGCCATCTTGTTCACGCGGAGGAAGTCGGCGACGTCGACATAGTTGGGCAGCGTGGCGGACAGGCCGACGATGCGGATGAGAGACTGTGTGCTCTCGACCTGGCGCTGGGTCCTGGCCACCAGACTCTCCAACACGGCACCGCGCTCGTCGTGCAGCATGTGCACTTCATCAATAATAAGCAGTCTCACCTTCTGCACAAGCTCGGTGTCGCCTGTGCTCTTTCTCGTCACGACGTCCCACTTCTCGGGTGTGGTGACGATGATCTGCGTGTCAAGGATCTCGGCTTTGGTGAGATGCATGTCGCCCGTCAGCTCGCGCGCCTTGATGCCCAGCCAGGCCAGCCGCTTTCCCAGCTTCTCGGTGACCTCGGCAGCGAGCGCCTTCATGGGCGCGACGTAGATGACCTTGAAGTCTTCCAACATGACGGCAAAATCGGTGGCCTCGGGCTCCTCGATTGGATTGGGCATGATGTTCTTCCCGATAGTGTTGAGGATGGTCAGCATGGCGGCGTCGGTTTTACCCGCACCGGTGGGCGCGCAGATCAGCATGTTCTCGCTCGTCTTGTACGCGACGGGGTACACCAGGCTCTGCATGCGGTTGAGGGCCTTGTAGCCCTGGAAGGTCCGCTGGCACAGGCCGTCCAGCTCGCTGATCTCAACGAGCTTGCGGCCAACGCCGATGGTCCCCACGGGCATGGCAGGGATCTCATACTCTTCGTAGAGGTTGTCGTCGTGGTGCTTGTGGTTCGTGGGGAGAGCGTACTTCTTGCCATACGCGGAGAGCTTGTTGCCTGCCGAGTAGGTCTGGTAGACGTGCGGATACTGAGGCCCGGTGCGGTCAACCGACGCAGAAAGGGAGGCGTTCTTGTGCTCGTAGTCCTGTCTCCGCAGAGCTTCCTCGCGCTCTGCCCGCGTCATGAGCCGTCCTGAGATGCCGCTGTCCTCGCCTGGCTTCGGCTCCAGCAGCGAGCGGGTGACGTCCCTGCGGTGTGAGATGAGATCCGCAACCAGGTCCAGCTCTTCGTAGCCCACAATATCGGCCAGCATCATCTGCAGCTCCTCGTTATTGCTGTCGCTGCTCAGAATGGCGAGAATCTGGTCTCGCAGGGCGCCCGCGTCGAGCCCCGAGCCTCTCTGCGCGACGCCCTCGCATTTTTTGGTGAGCCAGCGCTGGTCATATGCGCTGCTGGCGGAGCTTTCCTGGGCCTGCTCGAGGTGGTCGCTGCTGTAGTCGTCCTCGTACTCGTCGCTGATGACGTCCCAGATGTCTTCTCCGCTGGCGGTGCCCGAGAAGTCATCGTCGTCGAACTCGATGTCGTCGCCGTACGCCGGTGCCTTGTCGGCGCCTGCAGGCAGATTCAGGTCTGCAATGGCCTTGCGCATGGCGGCGAGCTGCTCGAGCCATTGCGCCTGCGCCGCATCCATTGACGACATGGTGAGAGGAGTGTTTGTAGTATGTTGATGACGACGACGAGGTTTGCACTACTCCACCAGTTTAATTCTACCCACACAACCGTGAGTCGAAGTGAGTCGACTTAGCCCACCGCAACCCATCGATGACGGTGCTACACAGTGGGTCCCGCCTGCCCACCCCCACGCCTAGCGCGACGACGGGGCCGCGGTGAGACAGCCATGCGCATCACCGCGACTCCAGGCACCCTCGACCGCCTTCCGCGCCTTCACACACACCACCACACCCTCGCCCCACCAACACACACCCCACGCATACCTACACCACAGCCCCGCCCACCGCCGCCATGAAGGTCGTGTACATCGGAGTCCGCCCCCCGCCTCCGCCGCTGCGCCCGCCGCTAACCACCGCCCCCAGATCTTCAACAACGCGGCCAAGCCCGCCGTCGAACTGAGCCACGAGACCGACCTCTCGTCGTACGGCCGCTTCACACGGGGCAGCGTCGCGGAATTCGTATGCCGCCCAGGACCCCGAGAACGCCGCCCGCGTGCTAACAAACCCTGTAGCTGACCTTCTTCGCGGGCGAAGTCGCGCAGCGCACACGCCCGGGCCAGCGACAAGATGTCGAGGAGAAAGGTGTGTAAAAAACTTCCATTTGCTTAGTGAGGAAGCCGCTAACAACCCCAGAATACACCTTCCACGCCTACGCCCGCTCTGAAGGCCTCTGCGGTCTCCTCATAACCGACGCCGAATACCCGACCCTCGTGGCGCACCGCATCCTCTCCAAGACCCTCGACGAATTCGCAACCCGCTACCCGGCCTCCGCCTACACCTCCTTCCGCGCCGGCGACACCCAGCTCAGCTTCCCCGAGCTCAAGACGTACATTGCGCAGTACCAGGACCCGGCGCAGGCAGACAGCATAGTGAAGATTCAGCGCGAGCTGGACGAGACGAAGATTGTGCTGCATAAGACGATTGAGAGTGTGTTGGAGCGCGGGGAGAAGATTGATACGCTGGTTGCGAAGAGTGATGGGTTGAGTGCGCAGAGTAAGATGTTTTATACGCAGGCGAAGAAGCAGAATAGCTGTTGTGCGGTTATGTGAGCGGTGAGGGGGTGAGGGGAGGGGAGGGGAGGGGAGGGAATTGGAGGTGTGGGGTCGAAGGGAGATGGGCGTTCAGGGTAGATTGTAAATGCACATGCCCTTTTTGCGGTACGCAGGGGTCTCACATGGTGCTGTTCGTGGATGTTGTGGATACGTGAATTGATTTCGTGAACACATACGTGTGGTTCGTATGCATGGATATACTGGGCGTGAATGCTGTACAGCTACGTGCTGCCAACAAGCGCCGCTTTCATGGAGCAGCGTCTTTATCTCCCGCTGTGTGTGCTTCCGTCGAGCGTCCAGCCGCACCACGTGCTTCATGGCCGTGATGCCTCTGCTGAACTACCCTCTGCCTCCGCTCTACCCACCCCATCCCTGCTACCACCCCACCCTCACTCCCCAAACACGACAAAACTGCACTCCTCCTCCGCCTCAAAGTAAATATACTCACTCCCATCCGTCCCATCATCCTCCATCTCCCACTCGCTATCCCCATCACTATCCCCCTCTTCATCATCATCATCATCCTCCATCTCCAGCCGCGACTCGAAACTGCCCAACCTGGACTCAAAACTGCCCACCGCGAGCGCCGCCTCCGCCTTCCGCACCCCGGCCTCGCTCCACCGCAGCGCATCCGTCAGCACGCCCATTGTCTGCACCGCGTCGTACATGTGCGAGGCCGGGGTGTCGCCGGGCCCGGGCTCGAGCAGGATGGGCGCGCGGTAGTCCTCCGAGTCTTCGGAGATGGAGTGGTCGGCGTCGGGATCAGGATCTTCGTGTTCGTCTCCGTGTTCATGGTCGTGGTCGTGGTCGTGGTCGTGGTGTGCAGGGGCGGGCGCCGGTGTGTATTTCCCCGGCGAGTAGCGCATCGACTTGCGGTGGAAGTAGTGCGAGGGCCGGCAGGGGGTGAAGTCGGTGTCGGGCGCGAACTGCACGGCTTTGGATGTCTTCGGGGGCGGGGTGTGGGTCGGGGGCACGGCGAAGGCCTCGCTCCAGTACAGATCGAGCGCCTGGGCTGCGGTGCGGACGTCGTCGTGTTTCCAGTCCTTGTGGCGGGCCTGCCATTCTTCTTCCTCGGCGGCCGCTTGCTCGAGCTCGGTCAGGCAGTGCAGGGTTTCGAGCTTGCCGGTCACGAAGGCAGCATATAAAGCTTCCTGCTGCGGCGAGGTGGCTTGCATGGCGGCGCGTGGTGCGCGGCCGCCGGCGTCGCGCAGCGCTTTCTCTAGCGCGCGCGTGTAGCTGATGTACATGTCGATGGTGCAGACCGGACACCGCTTTCTCAGCTGGCCGGCTGTGACGGGGTGCATGATGTGTCGGCAGAGGACTGCCGTGGGCGGCTCGTCCGCGGTGGCTGGTTTAATGTGTTCGGCTACGTCTTCAAACAGGTCGGAAAAGTACCCGGAGTCCTGCTTCCGCAGCCATTGTTGGAAATCCTCGAACTCGTCTGCGTTGGGGAGGAGACCTTGCTCATTCGGCCTTAATGTGGTGTGCAAGTTTTGCCATCGTCGGTACTGCTTCACCTCGCGCGGAGTAAAGATGGCATTTGCCGACACGTCGCTTCGGACGCGAAAGCTGGTGGAAGCCATGTTGCAAGGTCTGAGGATCGGATCTGAACCGAGCTAGGTTGACGCGAAAGGTTGCGCTCCTTTGTCACAGAGCGTGTCAAAACCAGAAAACACGTCGCCGTGGGTGAAACAAAGTTCGAACTGTTGTGCGAAAGCTCAGCTTTCACCTGGGGCGAAGGTCGCGTTCTTGGCGTCCTTTGTTGGTGAGAGTGAACGAGGTAATCGATTTCTTTCTGCCTGCAGCTCACAGTGCAAGCCCAATGTATCGCAGCGCGTTTTGCCGCGACAAGCTTTGCGTAGTAATGATCTCGTCTCACGCGGCGCGTTCAGACCCCGTGGCGACCGTTACCGCTGACTAGAATGATGTCGCCAAACTTCTCGGTCTTTGGGAGGTTGGAGTACCACGAATAAGCCATGACTTTGGTGCTAAAATGGTCCATTCCACGCTCTTTCTGCTTGTTTGCTGGCTCGCCTGTCGCCTGTTTGCCTTGTCACCGTGCGGATGCGGGGTGAACGCGGTCGCGGGGCAGAGGATTCTGCTATGAATGCGATATGAAGCGTGTGTTCAGCACGCTTTGTGTTGTCCTTGGAAGCCCTCTGGTGGGCTCGTAAAGATTGTTGGTAGGATGAGAAACCGAACGCTGAGCGACGGCGACACCCGAGACGAAGGGGTGTTGGGCGCATGCATTTGCGTCATGTTGCACGTGACGCTGACTCATTCGGAAGGTGGTCTTCCGCGCACCGCCTGATTGGGTTCCAGTGCGTCTTCCGCTTGCACGAGTGGGCACATTCCACCGCGCCGCAACAGGTTCAAATAGTAATATATCACTGCACGCATCCTTTGCTTCTACACATGTGCAGTATCTCCTAAGAGCGTCGACTTGAAATCCCACATTTGCACAAAGTGTCAGGCGACGGTCAAATCGTCTCTCGGCGCGCCGAGGCATCTGCGCAACGCAGCATAATATATTGCTCACAGCCATGCTGACTGCTTTCGCTGCGCCTTACACGCCGTGACTGTTGGGCTGACGCATGATCAGTTTAGCTGTCAACCTAATCTCTGCGGAGAAACATGCAGTCTTCGGAACATCTCATAGCATCACCGAGCTTAAGCCGCGCAGCACCGTGCTCGTCTCAACTTACCCTTCAGAGTAGGACCGAGCTGATATGAAAGGATTCGATTGTACACTGTACACGAGAAATAATGCAAGACACCTTCAGACCCAAGTGGATGTACGACCATAGGTCGTTCCGTCGTCACTAAATCCAAACAGACCAACCACCCAGACATTTAGACCGAGACCCATATACACGTGACCATCATTCATTTACCTGAGTGCTATCCGCACTCGCCGTAGACGTCGTAGAAATCGTCCGAAGCCCCCAAACACCCCCAAAGCGATTCTTCAAGCTACCGGGCCAGACATTCTACTCTTGGCCCTTGGTGCTGCCCATGCGCTCGATATTAGACAAGAGCCTACTCTTGCTGGCACCGCTCTGGCTCCTGCTTAGAGCTGACTCGCCGGCAGCCTTAAAGCCGAAACCGCCGGGCGCGCGCATACCGCTGGGCTTGGACTTTGAGTTGCCAGAGTGACTGCTAGACTGACTGCTAGACAGTGAGGAGCCAGGGCGAGTAGCGGAGGAACTGACTGAGCTCCCGCCTGCAAGGAAACCCGTGTTACGCATTGCCTGTTGCTCGGGCGCCGGCTGCTGCCTCGTTGGCCTGGATGTTGGCCGTGGCTCGAGCGGAGGCTGTGCGGGAGCTGCTTGACTGCGACGGAAGTCCTCCTGTTGCATGGACTCCATCTTCTCGCCACAGAGGACAAGCATCTGCTCCGCGGCAGCAACCAGCTCGCCCTTCTCGACGCGCTCAGCTTCCAGCTCTTCGAGCAAGGTCTGTTGTGTCCTGTGGAGTGAGTGCAGCTCGGACTGCAGACCCGCAAGTTTGGCCTTGAGGCTCTCAATCTCGGAGCGCTGAGCTTCGAGATTGTGCAGATCTTCTGGGCTGGAAACGGGTCCTGCCGCTGCGTTCTTTCCGCACTTCTCGCATGAACCGTTGGACTTGGAGCCGAATTCGTCGAAGCTGCTGAAAGTATCGTCTCGCTTCTCCTCTGCGTCTCCGATCTGTCGCTCGAGCTTCGTGATTTGATGGCGGAGCTCCTTGCAGCGCTCGTCGGCCTTCTTTTGGTAGTTCTCCTTGAGCGCCTTGATCTTCTTCTCGTGCTTTGCCTTGTATGCAGCGTGAAGATCGCGAGCGACCTCGTTGACCTTCTCGGCAATGGCCGACTGGCATTCGATCTCCGAGTAGATCTTTTTATTCTCGTCCTCATCGTTATTGATAAAGGTGGTCATGTCGACATTCTTGCTCTCCGCATCGATGAGTCTAGTCTCGAGCTCAGTGGAACGGATTTCTGCATCTTCAGCGCGCCTCTCCGCGTCCGCTAAGCGCGCGAGGAGCTGGTCACGCTCCTCATCGTTGCGTGCAAGCTCGGATTGTACGTCTTGAAGAATGGTCTGGACTTCCTCGCCCTTCTTCTTCCAGTCTTCCATCTGCGCCTCAGCGTAATCACGCGCTGACCGCTCATCCCGCACAGCCTCATGTGCTTCGCCCACGCGACGCTCTGCGTCCCCGATTGCTCTTGACAGCGACTCAACCTCGGCTTCCTTGCCTGAGAGACTAGCAGAGAGCGAGGAGATTTGCGACTGGAATTGCGACTTGAGGGACTCCATTTCGCGGATAGTCACCGTCGGCAGCGATCGTGGTGTCGGTGGGGGAGGCAGTTCAAAGTCGAGAAGATTCAACAGCGGGCGATTTTGGCTAGGTGTATACCCGCCTTTAGCTGGAGAGCGCTTGCTTTGATAGTACGAGCGAAGATTCGGCTCTGTGGTCGACTTGCCGTTGCCGTGTGAAGGTGTGCCATTGCGCGATGCTCCGAGAGACTCTATTTGTGCGGTAAAGTCAAGTAGCAAGTTTGTGGTATCGTTGTCTCTGTATGGCCGGCGAGGCGTAGGCGAAGGCGTGCGCTCCGAGCGACGGCTTGTGGACGGGGTCATCTGGGTGCGTGCGCGTGGTGTTGCCTACAGACGCATTAGTAAAACATCAATTGGAATCTCTGCTTTTACCTACGTCACCGTTCTTCGTCGGGCTCTTCCTGAAAGACGCGAATTTGGTCATGTCGAGGCCTGGCATCTCAGAAAAGTCACTGAAGCGCGTGTCGTCGACGTCCGGCGTTGTGGCGTCTGGATTGAAATCCGTGATGTCGGCCTCCATGTTCACCTCGTATTGATTCTCGTACGATTTCCGTCTCTTGTGATTTCTGTCCAGGTCTGTATCCTCCATAAATCGGTTTGCGGCAACTGTGAGACCCTCATTGTCACGCAGTTCGGCGGCATGGCGCGAGGGCGTTTGTGCTGGCGACGGTCGCTTCGAGGGTGTCGCTGTCAGATTGATGGCAGCACCGAGCGAGGGCGCGCGAGGTGTTGCCTCGATGTCGAAATCGGACGGGACGGACGAGAGGACCGATGACTTCGACGGCGAGCGGCTCTTGCGAGTACGATTACTCGTAGAAGATCTAGGGCGCTCCTCGAAGGGACTTGACTTCATCGGCGATTTAGCTGGAGAAAGCCTCAGGGTACTCGCACGGCCCATGCCAGGCGTAGTGACTCCAAAATCCTCAACTATGTGTTGCCTGACTGGTGAGCTCTTCAATGTGCTCGCGCGACTCCGATTCGGTCTCTGCGCTGCAGCAGCCTCAAAATCTCCTAGCAGGTTCTTAACTGGCGACGACTTGAACGGGCTGCTGCGCTCCTTCAACGCAGCTTTCCTGCCCGAGTCGACCTTGAAAGCCGACTGGGGCACATTTGCATCCTCGAAGTCGATCAATTGCTGCTTGGAAGGTGTGGGTGCGACGCTCGGCGCAATATTTTCTTGGTTGCCGGGCTCAACGTTCTCCAGAAACGGGCTTGAAAGCCCCTCAGCGTAGATATCGATTTCGTCGTCGTGCTGCATGGCGTTCGAATTGGCGTTTATTTTCTCCGGAGAGAGCGTGGACATGGGCTGCGCCATGTTGCGTGGTGTGGAAATCGCGTCAGTCCTGTGTGGTTAGTGTCGAAGTGGAGGTGTGGGGATCGTGTTGTTGCTCAGGTGTTTGTTTGGGTTTAGCCGCTTTGGGAAAGTGCGTTTCAGCAGTCACTACACCGACACTGACAGCAAGCTTGAATAATTGATCATGCTTATGTATGCAGTTGGAAGATGTATCAATACACAAAACCTCCGACGCCTCTATCTAACCATCCGCCGCCTGTATGTGCCATAAATGCTACGCTTAAATCTACAATTGGTGAATCGCACTCCGCATCGCTGCAGCGAGTCGCTGGTAATCCTTCAACAGCTCGTCAACCTCTTTCAACTTCAGGTCCTGGGCATCCTTTGCATCTAAAAACTTCTTCAAGGGGGGCGCAGTCTTCTTCATTTGCTCCAGGGCGGCGATTGCCTTGACACCTTTCTCATCCACTAGCGCAACTTCAGTCGATATTGTGCGGCTCGGTGGCTCAGGAGTAGGCACGGGAGATGTCTTGGTTTGCTCAGGTGCAGGCGAGGGTAGTGTTGGCGTAGTAACGGTGCTGGCAGCGCGCCCAAATCGTGGGAGGACGCTGACACTCCTGAAAGTGTTCAAAGGATTGAAGCTATTGCCCAGGCTGCGGAGAGAGTCGACGGCTGAAGGAGTGGTAGGCGCTGGGTCGGTCTTCGTTGCTGCCGGCGATGGCGTCTTCTCCTCGATGGCCTTTGAAGCGAGTGCCACTCGGCGTGCGCTATTGCTGCCCCCTGAGCGTGCGGAGTCAACACTGCGGTCTCGCACTTGTCGTTTGCCGGCGAATAGATCGCTCATTCTTGTGTTGAGATCTTGTTTGGGCAGTACCTCATGGCGGTCATCTTCACTTGCTGCACTGACGCTCAGGTTATCGTCATCGATATGTAGTCCTCGGGTGGGTGAGCTGACAAGCTCCCGTACTTCTTCTAGAGTTTTCGGCAGCACAGGTTGCTCTGCTGCAGGATCTCGTTCTCGCAGTCCGCCAAAGAAGAACTTGAAACTAGTGTCGAGAGTAGTGTTGATCCTGCCTAGTGCCTGATCAGCAGAGTCGAGGATAGATTCGCGGACAGCGTCTGAAGCTGATTCGATCCGGTTCGTCTGAGCCTGCACCAAATTACTAAGTCGGCGCTGGATCTTTGTCGTTGTCGGACTCGAGGGCTCCTTGAAGGTTGTTCTAGTAGTTGGCGTTGCTGGCGTCTGTACTAGATCTGGTGCGTCAGACAGCCCTAGAAGCATAGGAGTGACTTCGACCTTCGGTGTTGAAGGTCGCGAGCTGGTTCTTTCTAGTGCAGCTCCCTCCTCGGCGCGGAGCGACGAAAGATCTACTGTTTCCAAGAAGGACACTGCCGCCTCCAGGTTGACAAGACAGTAAGCTGTCTCTCCATCGATCCTGCTTGCGCCACGGAACCTCTGTATGAAGTTGAGGTCACTGATCACGTTGAGATATGCGGGTGGGAGGGTGATGAGAGCGTAGATGAGAGTAGGCAAGATCTCGTCTGCTGATGAGGTGGCTGGAAAGATCTTCGATAGCGCGTCTACGATGGATTTGTGCGCTGCTGTCAGGTGCAGCATTTTGCCAAGTGGGTGCTTCTCGTGGTTCATCTTCATGATGTCTGATCGAGCAGCGGATAGAAACTCCCGAATCTCAGGCTCCTTCTCTTTAGCCTTGTTGCGTTCCTCCTCGGTCATTTCCTCGCCAGTCATAAGTAACTCCTTCAGGCCAATACCAACAAGCGAGAGTGCCGCTGTTCGTGACCTTAGCTTGTGATCCCGTTCTTCGTCATCCGTACTCCTGTGTCGCCAAATCCTGTCGTAGACCTTCTCACAGACGGCTCTCTCGACAGCCTCTTCCAGCAACACCTTCTTCGTTTCGAGAGACTTTCTGGCCTTCTTCCTGTCAGACATCTCAGACGCACTAAGCATCTGCTGTTCGGCAGCGGGGTCGCTGCCTTTTCTGATCGAGCCTGCTCTGCTCGATGGCGCCGAGCCCTTGTTCGATTGCGCTATGAAGGTCTCACTCGTCAGACGAGCTGAGAGTGTTGCTATGTGTGTGTTGATCTTGGATGAGGCGCGTGTATAGAAGTCTTGGAACAAGTCTGAGAGACTGTCGGCGGTAGGGGGGGTCGGGTGGACTTTGGCAGAAAGGGACTCGAGGAACCTGGAGAGGTTAGTTGTGGTGGTCTGAACAAGAGTCGTGGGTTCCGTACCTCTCCGTCAAGCTCCGTATCTCGATGGGCAGCTCCTCGAAGACATCTGGAGCTGGTTGGGCCGGCAGCTGTTGCTCCTCCTCCTCCTTCTTCGCAAAGACATCGCCATCCACGTTCTCATCTTCCTCTGGTACCATGCTGGTCTTGAGTGGGTCGAGCATGTCGGTCACATGGGGACCTTGCAAGGTGCTTGCTCGATTGCGGGCCAGCGGGCTTGTCGGGGCAGCGTCGAGGCGCGTGAAAGACCGCGACGGGTGCAGATTCCTGGGGCGGCCAGACATGGTGGCTATATATGGGGAGTGGTCAGGCTACAGAGGGTGTCGTGTGCCAGCATCGGAGTTGGCTGCTGAAACCAAAGGTCAAGCTCGAGCCCTGCACCACTTCGCAACGTCATGCGGAGGCGCGGCTGGCCCGGCGGTACGTATGACGGGGACGGACAGCTGGGGGTCACCTGAGGTTATGGCAGCGCGGTCCTCCGTCAGGGTTCGGCGCTTCAGGGTCAACGAGTGAATTGGCCTGTCCGCGCCAGAAATGAGCTTGCGTCTGTGCTCGTGCATTGCGGTATCAGATGCGGAGTTGGAGGACATGGGCCTGCTATCTGCGGCTAGGCTGCGTTCAGCAAGGCGCATCCGCGGCTGCATCCATCGCTGGGTCCGTGCCATCCCAGCGCCGCTGTTGCTGGGGTCCTCGCAGCTGGCGTCATTGACGCGACCATGTGCATGTGCCACCGCCTTGAGCACCACGACCTCTGCAGTTTCCCCCAAAACCCCGACACATCTACATTATGCGACGACGACCTCTCTGCACTTCGGCATCACGTGTCACAGCCTCGCTGCTGCTGTCTTTCCTCGCGGCGAGTGCTGCGGAGCTTCCTCTGCTACCACTGCCGCCGACATCGCCGCATTTGCACAACACCGAGAGGGACTTCACACTTCGCCACATTTACCACCATGGCACCTACAAGTATCCCGAGCTGCACCGCCGGCTCGACGTCCCGGAGAAGGCTGCAGTCTACATGCTGGCAGACGAGGGCTCGGCCAATCGGGAACCGGTGCCTGCCTTGCGCGCCAAGTCGGAGATTATGAGCATCGAGAGGATGGTGCACAGGGACAGGGACACCATCGACGGCATCTTGGACTATGGACGAATGAGGGGCAAGGCAGTGCAGCTGGCTGCTGAGGACTGGACTATCGACGAGCTGCCTGGGCCAAATGTCACCGACAAAGAGACCGTGCTCACATTCGCCCGCATGGCATCCGATGCCTACATACTGGAGCCTGGTACGGGAGACTGGGAAGATGTGAAGGGTGGCTTCAACTACACTGAAGACTTTGGCTGGGAGTCGGACGGCTTACGGGGTCACATCTTCGCCGACACCGAGAACGCGACCGTTGTCATCGGTTTGAAGGGGACGTCACCCGCCATGTTCGACGGCTCAGAGACCACCACCAACGACAAGATCAACGATAATCTGTATTTCAGTTGCTGCTGCGGGCAGGGTGGCCAGTTCCTTTGGCGCCAAGTTTGCGACTGCCAGACAACTGCTTACACATGCAACTCGACTTGCCTTGTCACTGCTCTGAGGGAGAAGAATCGCTATTACTCTGCAGCGCAGGACCTCTACCACAACGTCACAGCTCTGTACCCGCACGCCGAGGTGTGGTTTGCAGGGCACTCGCTTGGCGGCGCTGTTTCTTCCTTCCTTTCTCTGACGTACGGTCACCCGGCTCTCACTTTCGAAGCCGTCCCCGAAGCTCTGCCCGCTGCTCGACTTGGCTTGCCAACGCCCCCCGGCCATGAAATTGGCTCCATGCAGCAACGCAAAATGACTGGCGGCTTCCATTTCGGCCACACAGCAGATCCCATCTTCATGGGACAGTGTAACACAGCAACGAGCGTGTGTACGATTGGCGGTTATGCCATGCAGAGTCTATGCCACACCGGCAAGAAGTGCACATACGATACCGTAAAGGACTTTGGCTGGCGTGTTGGTATCGGAACTCACAAGATTGCCGAAGTCATTCGCGACGTGATCATGAAGTACGACCAGCCAGCCAAGTGCGAACCGTACGTTAACTGCACCGACTGCTTCGCCTGGGACTATTTCGAGAGTAACGGCACCGAAACATCCACCTCCTCCAAATCAAAACCAACATCAACCTTAACTCTGACCCGCAGCACACGCACTCGCACCGAAACCTGCAAAACCCCCGGCTGGTGGGGCTGCCTCGACGAGTCCACCACCGCCAGTGCTACTACCACCACCACCACAACATCCACCACCTCAACCTCGACCTGCAAAACCCCCGGCTGGTTCGGCTGCAAGGACAAAGACCCCTCCGAAGAAACCTCCACCACCACAAGCACAATAACCACCCCCGCCCCCGCCCCTTCCGTCACCACTACCTCCCACACCCCCACCTCCTCCGCAGCGTCATCCTGCAAGTACCCCGGCTGGTTCGGCGGCTGCCTCGACGGCGACGACCCACCCGGCCACTCGCACAGCACGCATCGCTCCTCGGTGCCTGCGCCCACGGCGTCGGCGACGACGTGTACGGACGAGGGCTGGTTTGGGCTGATTTGCTACGATAAGACGAAGACTAAGACGAGGACGGGGAAGGCGTCGGGGTCGACAAAGGGCACGGAGAAGATGGAGACTGCTACTGAGAGGATGGAAATGTAATGACGCGTTTGATATTGCTGCTCTTATGTACTGGCGCCTGTTTTTTGATGGCTGGGAAGGGGGGGTGGGCATTATATCCGGGCGTTTGCGGTGCTTGGCGTTGGTAGGCAGATTGGAATACACGATTGTGGTGCGTCCACTACAACAGATTACTTTTCTCGCAACAGGAGACGTGTGATGCTGCAGGTCTGCCTATTATACAGTCCTTATCAAACACATTTAGACACGTGCAAAGATTGTTTCAGCCTTGCTACATCACAATCTGTGCGGTTCCGACCTGGAGCAGGAAGCATGCTGTTCTTGTAGTGCTCAGCCTTCTGGGCTTCCTTCCAGCGAATGGCAACGCACCGTCTCCCCCCTCCAACTCTGTTTACATGCACCTGTCAGCACAGGCACCCCACTTCTGTGGCACCGTGGACATAATGTGTCGGCGTCATACGAAATATATAGTAAGGCCGTTTCCCTTCTCGAGCCTGCTTATCCTCACCAACATACTGCCTCATCTAGCTATTGTAGCTGGCATGCCCGTCTTCTTGGGCAATCGTCCGATCGGAGGGTCAAGCGAGTACACTGCCGTGAAGCATGACGAACACAGCAGCGACGAAATCAGCACATATCAGCCTTGCGAGCATACTATCGAAGAAAGTCCGACAACCACTGGTCAGATCTCCAGCAACGTAGAAGAGACCAAAACATCCGATCACCAAGAATGCGGATCAAGTGAACGATCACGCGAAGAGGCAGGAGGCAGGAGTATTGTGTCAACAATCGCTGGCTGGCCACAGAGCCCTTGCCGGCTCGATCGGTTTTCAGTCCCTCTCCTTGTTGGAGATGTGCTGTTGATCCTTCTCCCTGTTGCGTTTCTGGGTATGTACTGCCGTTTCAAACTACAAACCGAAAAACAAGCAAAGTATTAACAGTGCTAGTCCTGGCGATTACTGCCTGGCGACTTGACGGCGAGCCACTTTCGAAGACCGTTCTGACTGTAGAACGCGCCATGACTCTTGGCCCTACCGTCTTCCCTCTCGCATTTGCTGCAATCGGTAGTCGTTGTCTGAGAGGCGTGGCAATCTACCTTGCCGAGAGAGGAACTTCGATAACAGTATGGTTTTTCGAGCGTATTATTAAGATTGGAACTAATGCAAAGACAGGTGCTCGATTACTAGGCAGCCAGAGCGTTGTGTCTGCCGTGGGAACTGCCTTTACCCTGCGATCTGTCAACCTGATCACTATAGCGCTTCTTTTGCTCTGGGCCCTTTCACCTCTAGGAGGACAGAGCTCACTACGACTGCTAATCGAATCTAACAAAACAATGTCTCACACAGGCACTGTGTATTATTCCGATCCAGCAGCCACCATGGACCTTGACGAGTCATGGAACTGGTTTTCACTCATACCGACAGTACTTGGAGCCAGTCTTGCCGTTTCCGAAGATGTTAAGAGCAGGCCCGTTGACTTATGGGGCCATCCAAAGATCCCGAGAGTTGATCTCATAGAACAGAATGCCAGAAGCAAGGTCGACATTGAGGGCGAATGGATACCTGTAAACACCACAGACAGAACCTATCCTTCATGGACTGGCATTAATGTACAAGGAATCTTCCCCGACATGCACGCTACATTCCAGGTAAAGGCTAATTACTTGGTTCTTGATTGCGAAAAACTCTTCGGCGGCAACTCATCGGCAGTTGTGACATACTTGCAGGACCCAAACATCTCGATGTACCCGAATCTCTGGCCAAGGAACCCAGACAATTATACCTTGGAAGAACTCGAGAGTATGCCTGATAAAAGACTTTGGAGCGGATACATAGTCGATGGCGGGTTTGAGACCTTCTCATTCTTCCTCAAAGCGGCGTGGAAATCTACAGACGGCGGCAAAAGTAAAAGTCAATACACTCCAAGCACTCTCATAGGACTACATCCTGTAAAATTTTGGTACGGCGCATCGTACCAAGGATTCAGAGATAACGACGGCAATGAAGAAGATGCATCCCGCAATCCCCCGAAGTCTTTCATCCAGATCCATTCATGTACGCCCAAGATAGTGACTGTAGACGCACGCGTCGAATGTCAGTCAGGCGATTGCGAGGTCACACAAGTTCGCAGTAGCCCAAGTGCTCCTAATAGCGTATGCCATACGGGGCTCGAAACAACATTGGCTTGCTTAGAGAAGGGAACCATAGGTTTACATAAGTTCTTGAACTACTTCCCGAAAGCAGTCAGCGTAGGATCTCTAGCAACCTCGATGAATCCGTATGACGACTTCATCGGTGGGGCAAATGTAACTTATCGAAATAGCCGGACTGACTACACACGAGATCTTAGACAGATCCCCGACAAGACGATATCTGACCGCCTCACCACCGTTCTCAACACGTACTGGCAAGCTGGCGCCTGGGGCTTGCAAGTGATGCGAGCAGGCCTGTTCGATCTGCCAGTATATCCTTGGAACGGATCTGAAAATGAGCCGGAGCGCTTTGTCAACGTAACGGAAGCTACCTTCACGAGTCAGGTTGTGGTGTACAGAGCGAACGTTGGCTGGGTTGCCTATCTGGTTCTCATTGCGACCATACTGCTTCTTCTCGCAGTAGGGAACGTGACCGTATCCGCCTTAACAGTTGCCCCTGATCTGTTCTACTACGCATCTTCGCTAGCTCGCGAGAATCCATACACGAACACTCCAGATGGTGGCACAGGGCTAGATGGGGCCAAACGGAGTCGTCTGCTCAAAAACATGAAGGTTCAGATTGCCGATGTTAGTCCAGATCATGATATAGGGTAAGTGGTCCTGAAAAGCGTCGAAGAGGGCGAGGACTTTCGAACTGGGCGGTTGAAGGCGGATAGACTGTATTGGTAGTATTAGGTCTGGAGGTCGTTCTGGACCCAATCCCTACCAAATCAGGCTTTACGCGCTCAGAGCGTCTGTCACAACTTATCGTTCCACCTACAAATACCTAGCATCCTGCATGGACCCAAAGAGCTAAGCCGCATACATGCTAAAATACCATCCAGTCAGTACAACACCTTCCTCTCATAAACCCCAAACCTATTGCCCTCCGGATCTTTGAAATTAGCAAAGAATCCATGCTCGCTCTCTGGCGTCTTTGGTAGTGTCTTCGTCCCACCCAGAACAGTGATCTTAGCGTCAATCTCCAGGTCAACGTCAGCTAACAGTACCACCAATTGACACCTGCATGGGACGTATCTCAGATCTCAGGGGAAGAGACGGCGCACCTCGTTAATCGAATCGACGTAGAAATACACGGTAAATCCGATGCCCGTAGGCTGGTCGCCGGGCGTCGGACAGCCGTCTGGAAGCTTGACTATGCCGCCCGAGAGACCTTCATGCAGTGTATTAGCTTTGCAACCGTCGTTCACTTCGTTTGCTCGCGCGGCTGAGCGGTCACGTACGGGAAAGCTGCTCGAATTTGAAGTGCGCAACCTCAGCATGAGTATCAGGCGCGATTGTCGTGAACCTCCACGCTGGGAAGAGGGTGGCGTAGAATTCCTGTTTTGCAGTGTGAGAAATCGATGTCAGTGTATCGTATGATACACAGTACACTTGCCTTGAGCTTTTGCGGGTCAGAGGCCATGATCTCGGCCCAACATGGTGCGCCGATGGGCGTGGTGTTACTTTCCGCCGACATGTTCTCGATAGACAATCACAATGTGTTTGAGAAAAGCTGGACACAAAGGCGAGTGGACTGAGATCAAGGAGCTACAGCTGTGAAAACAGCTGTCTCGCGAGCTTTTACGCAGCAGACTTTTCAGACACCAGCAGTGCCATTCTATGCCGATCACTACCGAACCCCAGATCTAGCCTTGGCTCATGGCCTCGACTGCGAATTGTGGTTCGGTGCTTGGGACCCCGCATCTTTCGCTTTCATGGCCGAGAGGCTTGGTGGCGCTGTTGACTGGCGAGCGGTCGGCGAAGGGCAAGCGAGCTGGGTAACTCCGTAGGCTGCGTTACACGAACTAATGTTCGAGATGTCCTCTTTGTGTGAGGTATTGTCGACTTTCTTATAGGGTATATAAGATGGTGAGTTAGAATGGTAGTCAGAATTAGGCGAGCTTGCCTATTCGGGCCTAGGTGGTCAGGGGCCTTTCTCTTGATGCTGTCTGACACATCGGACCATCAGCAGAGACCTATGATTTGTTTCCCTTAAAGTGACTATCTCGATACGTAAGCTCGTACGTCACGCGACTTAACAATCGCAGAACGGGTTCGATGGCCGGTACGGGTCACAAGCTGGCAGTTGATAGGAACCTATCTGCAACATTTGCAGGTTCCGTCTTGAGTGCCACAGCGTGCCGTTTGAGCATAGGAACAGGACCATGAGAATTTCCAGTCAAGTTTAGAGGCTCATTGAGGTACATAGTAGACGCACGTTGGCAAGGAGTCCATCTTGAGCCCGGTGCTAAGAAGACCTACATGTATCGTGACCACCAGCAGTGAGGAAAATTGCATGGACCATCGTTACGCCGTTGTTATCCTTCAAAACAATTAGTTGACTTTTAACAGACTCTTCCGTCCCAGACAATTGAAGATGGCGTGATCGGTTGACGTCGATATTGCTTTACTTGAGGGCCGAGCATCCCCATCTCACATGCTTTCGGCACGGGATACAGCGAATCCCTTAGTTACTATAATACCCACAAGATCCTCTTGACTGCTAGTATTGCCAGCAGGCCCACTATCCTTCGATGCTATTGGATTCATGAGCACTGACCCATTCCCAATTTCCTTCGGATTCTGGCCCTTGGAGCCCTTTGTGCAGCCTTCCATGTTATAGTATGGCGTCTCACGACTATTACTGACCGAGGTAGCTTTGCGGTAGAAACCGGGACCGCAGCCTACGATGATCGCGACAGAGGCCTCGATGACACTCCAAAGAGATAGCCATGTCAGCATCGGCTGATGGGAACGATTCGAACCAGTTGTTCTCCGAGCTTCAGTCGATCTCAGAATTGATGCGAGAATACATAAACCCCCTAAGCTGAAAAGAGCAATGATGCTCATCTTTTGGGCCAACGGCAACTGAAGGTTTCGAACCAACCCAATGGGAAGTAGCATAACTACCCACCAAAATTAGCAAGTTAAGGGGTTGACGAACCAAAATAGACATACTCATAAGATCAGAAGTCAAGTCGACCGCAAATGACTGCCAGAAACTGATTGCAGTTCTTTGTACGACCGCACCCGAATATGTACAGGCGTTTAGTACGAACCAGGATTTGGGGGTAGGACAACTCGTGATGTGCAACACGAGCGACGAGATCAGAGTCTACGGATGAAGGCCCAAGTCAGTTGTTACGTCTATTCCAATGATGATGTAAATACTGACTAACACACAGTACACTAGCACTGCCCACCACAGCCTGGTATACAGCAACACATTGGCCAAAATCTTCTTGTAGAAGGCAAGGAGCGCGAACTTGATACTCCATAAACTGAGCCATAGGGCAGGAGCGATGAATAAGTAGGCTCTCTGGGCATCGAAAGCCTCATACGCTGAGGCTGGATACAGTTCCATGCGCCCCTCCTGTACCGCCACGACGCGGATTATGACACCAGCCTTTATTGCGATACATAAGCATAGAGCCAGAAAGAATAGATATCCAACGAGTAGCCACCCCTCATGCCAGAAGATGCTTGTTAGGTTTTTGGCGCGTAGACTCGCTCGAACTCCAAAGATAAGGGTTGTCAGTACCAGCAGCCCGATCGTGGTTCCTCGAAGCGTCGTCTCTGTAAGTTCGGTGGCCATGGCGTAATGTAGGCATGTATGGCGTAGAGTTCGAGAGAAGTGACCTTGGACAGCTCGCCTGGGAGATTTGTTGCCAATGGTATATCAGAGAGGCAAAACCCAGCTCCCAAACGCCAGTTCGGTCCTTCACGGCCTCATTCCAGGGACGATCATCTCATTTTCTTGATAATGACTCTTGCTCACAGTGTCAAATTAGACTCACCGACTCTCTAGCTTAGATTGTGCACATACTTGGATTTCGACATCAATATGCCAAACATGGATCGGGGAACAAACATGGATCGGGGAACACCAGACCCTTCCCGCAGGACCTGCCAATCTTACCTACGCGAAAGCTTACGCAGCCCAGGGCATGGTATCGCTTACTGCGGCGACACAGTCATCTCCCCGATCTATGCACGGATCGCAGAACGGGTGGTAGGATCCTACAGGAAGGAGTTGTAGCGCGATGCACGTTCCAATAAACAATCTATCGGGATGGCGTACTCGCCGCTCCGACCCATACAGTATGTACATAGGTCGGCCCGGGCCTTGTTTCATGATAGCCGCATCGTCCACGGCCACTATGCGTCTCGTGATCTCGTTCATCGGCGCGATTAGCGTCGCATCGCAGGTTTTTCAAAGGAATGATCTCAATGTACAACAGCCCAGGTAGTTCAGGGTGTCAACACCTCGGCCGAGCAGTCATCAGATGTGGCGTGCGGTATCGCATCAAGCCCTCTTTCTTGGCTGAGCACCATTATTAATCTTGGGTCTAGATCAGTCACCAGTACTGTTTGATCAACGTTCCCTACGCGCGAGACGCCGTGGTTCACGGAATGGAGCATCCAGATTTCGACTTCAACGTCCTGGTCGGCCACTTGCGCTGATGTCCGCCACACTGCATCTTCAAGCCTTCTACACCCTGCATCTATCTCCGTTATGGTTCTACTATCACGTCCCTCCTAGAGCTCTTTGCTGTGAAGAGTGAAGTTCACTCCAACGTTGCGACCGTTGAGCACAGAATCACGGTGTTTCAAGAGTTTACAGGGCACAAAAATGTCATCTGACAAAAGGCTTGCTCTGGTCAATTTGAACAAGATCGAGACAAATCTTTGACTACACTTTCAATCGTTGAAGTCACTGTCATTGCAGATCATATCAGTGATACTGGAGTTGGTATGTTCACCTCATATAGGAGGTGGAACCTCGTGTACTTCAGGTAAGTATAGCTTGGCGTATGACAATATGGAAGGCTTTGAAATAGGTACCGACCTAGGGCGGCAACTATAGCGAGAGTAGTATTGTGTTCACAGCTAAGCCCCACAGTTCCCGGATCTGTATCGGTCCTTGCGCACTAACTTGTGCACTGACAGCTTTGGTCTACCTCTGGAACGAGCCTTTTCTTCGGCAATCCAAAAACAGTTACCGAGAATGTGTTCGGCGATCTCATACACAACCGCATGGGTTGATCTGACGCCCAAGCTGGATCACCCGGACTAATCTCGGAATCCAGACAGCGTCCGTCGAGCTCTGATCTGGCGCAGCTTTTGCCAACGACTCTGACTCGGTCGGCTTTGCGCCGTCCTACAACATGACTGCCATATTCGCCATCACCCACACACAAAGTCTGCCGCATCTGTGACTAATGACGAAGCTCTCAACACCTATGGTCTACAAAAGTTGCACTGCAAGGCCCTTTGCTCGGTCGACACTTCCTTTGACGGCAGCGGGAGCTGACAGCCGCAGAAGGGGATTTTCCGGTATTAGTCTGACAGCAGATCCCCAAAGCTCACTGAGCGGAAGGATCAAAAAGGGGCCAACGTGCTAGCTTCCATTCAACTGGCGATTCAGTCTGCATCATCCATTTCCAAATTTAGCAGTCACCAAGACAAGTCTTATATTTATATGCCAGACCCGCTCGCAGCTCACTAGCAACGTGTTCTTGGGTGAACAAGATGAGGACTCATGATCAGCAGGCAATCAGCGTCAAAATCTTGCACCACATTTGTACCTACTCGTCCTATCACAAAGCTGCTTTATTGACAAATTGTGTTCTAGATTAGTAGACTACCACGTCCTAGAATTCCCTACAGAAGGCCGGCTTACCGTACCTAGAGCAGTCCGACAGACGCGAATTATCATCAATCGATCAATCACATCAGCCAGCTTGCAGGCTCCTGGAACAACGCTAGGAACAACAATAAAGTGTACAAGATCCTGTTAGGAGTAAATCAACAAAGCATCAGTGGACTTGTATGCTACAAATGACCGAGTGTACATGAACCGCGCTAGTCACTTCAGGATGTGCTTGCCAGTGACGGTGACGAGAGCAATATGAGAACGAAGCCTGCAGCCAGTGGGTGCAACCCCAAGGCTGTGTTCCAGGAGCTGCAATCGGACAACATAAGCCTGGATAGAGAATGTGTTGTCAGTTACTTCTCTCACTGAAGAAACAAGGGACCTTTCAAAACCTATCGGCCAACCAGAGCGCCAATTCTCCCTCGAGCATGTCCTCCACTACCACTGCACCCAAATCCACCCCGGCACGTCACACACCAAGTCCTACACCCCCGCCTCATCCCACAGCAACAAGACCAAGCCTCCACCAGCACCCCAACCACGCATCGCCACCCCCTCTCACAGCCCCTCCAAATCCCCCCCCGTACACGGCCCCACATGCAACACCTCATGCTCCGGCACCTTCCCCCCCTTAACCGGAAACTGCGCAATCACCGTGCTCTCCAGCCCCGGAAACACCGTCACGTGGCCGCTGGCAGCAACTTCCTTGAGATCCGCCGCGATCAGCATCCCGCGCGCGCCGCCGGCGATGAAGACTTCGTTCAGGTACGCGGGGAGGCCGGAGTGTGGGGTCGAGATGTGTGCTAGGCCTGTGAGGAAGAGGGAGAATCTGGTGGGGTGGTGGTTAGAGTTGGGATTGGACTTGGACTTGGACTTGGACTTGGACTTGGACTTGGGATTGAGATGGGGATGGGGATGGGGGGACGCACTGCACGCGCTCCGCGTTCCCAATCGTGCCGGTCGTCGTGTTCGGCGGTATCACGCCGACGAAAGCGTCTTCGAGGTCGCCGAGGGGGTAGTTGAGGGCGCCGCGGCCGGGCACGGCGGGCGCCGCGAGCTGCCAGCACTCGAGGCGCGAGGCGTTGTTGGCGGCGGCGATGGCGGTGATGTTGAGGCGGGTGGAGTGGGCGGGGGTGAGGAGGGCGAGGAGCGTGGTGAGGTGGGTGGTGCGCATCGCGGTGGTGGGTGGGAGGGCAATTGGGGACGGGGACTGGGTGGAGGGTTGGAGGGAGTGCTGTGGGGTTGGGGTGGTGAGTGGTGAGGCTGAGGGGGACGTCACTGTGCAGCAGGTATCCCTGGACTTGCATTGCAGGAGCTGACATGAGGCTTGTTTGTGTTACTTTGCTGGTTGTACCTCTGGCTGATCGCTCCGGCAAGGTAGGATACGATACGACTTGCTCGCTGGTTGAACGTCGTTATGCTGGAATTTGGGCTGGAAATCGGGGACCTTGTCACGCGTTGTGTAAGGCTCACATGGTCACGATCGTAGTGCTCGCATTCTGCAAGTCAAATCGCTTCGATTTCGATGCAACGATACTGAACGCATCAGCAGACAACTTGATAGGCACGAAGCCCCGTTCGCAACACCCTGTGCGCCGTTGATACCAATACAAGACCAAGTCCCCAATTTTGTCGGAACAAACACAACATCCTCCATGATAACCAGCAGACCACCACCACATACCCCCTTTCGGAAATCAAATGTACCCAAACGCCGCGCAAATCGATCATACATCGTGTCAATACATACGTCATCACATCTCATCTAAGCAGCACTGCCACTGGCCCCTCCTGGCGGTGCGGGACTCGTCCCTCTGCGCGCCCGCCCACTAAACACATCGCCCAGCCGCGTGCTGATCCTCCTGCTGCGGCGATCTCGCGTTACGTCTTCTGCGCTCGCGTTCGCCGCGACCTCGGCAACCTCGCCACTCTGATTGCGGCGCTGCTCGCGCAGGCGGCGCAGCGCACTAATGCGGTCCTCGGCAGGCGCATCGGGGTGCGAGCGGAAGAAGAGGATATCGCGCAGGCCGGTGCGGCGGTGGCTTGCAGCGTCGGGGGCAGCGTCGGCTTCGGGGTTAAGGGGCGGGGCGAGCTCGTCGCCAGGCGTGGCGCTCGACTCGTTGGTTTTGGTCGGGCGCAGGTCGACGCGGCACAGCGGACACGTGCCGGACACGTTCAGTAGCCAAGGGTCGACGCACTCGGGGTGGAACTTGTGGTCGCACGGGAGCACGCGGATGTCCTGGCCTTTCTCGAAGTCGTCTGTGCAGATGCTGCAGCCGAGATGCTCTTCGGTGGGTGTGTCGTTCGCGCTGGCGACGGCGGCTGAGGCAGGCGTGACGGCGGCGGCGATGCCCTCGGGAAGGTCGCGGGAGGCAGAGGTGTCCTGCACTGTGATGGAGGGAGGTGCTGCGGCGTCTACCACTGGCGTTTCGGTTGTGGTCGCCGTTGTGCCTTTCTGCTGCGCGGCCATCGTTGCGGTGGCGCCCTCCACATCATCAAGTTGCCTAGTCTCAGTCGATGCCAACTCAACATCGGCGGGCTTCGCCGGCTCCTTGTCGCCGAATTTGATAATGGGTATGGTCTCCAGAATGGCTCTCCCCAGGCCCTTTGCCCTGCTTTGGCGTGGTCGGCCCACAATGTTCCTTGGCCCGTAGCGCTCGGGGTGGCGGTGTGCACGTATGGCACCGGTCAGGATGATGACCAGGAACAGCGCCGTGATGATGCCGGTAATGCTGTAAAGGATGATCATGGCCACAGCCGTCGAGGGCGACGGGCCCAGTGGATTCTGTGGCGTGTTGCCCGCATTGCCGGCAACGCTGCCGCCGCGACCTTGCACCTGGACGAAGTACTTCATGTGCACGGCCAGGTTGTCGATCTGATCCAGGACGGTGGCCGAGTCGGTCTTGTTCGTCATGGATAGCACGGGGAAGCCGGACATGCTGCCATCGTCGTCGTAGTCGCAGTAGTCGGTCTCGGTGCTGTACAGAATGATGCCAGAGATGTTAGCGTTGCCATTGCCGTAGGCTCTGTCAAAGACGCCCTGGGCGTCGACGAAGCCAGGATAGTCGGCAGGGTTGCAGCTGATGTAGGCGATCTCGCCGTCAGAGATGGCGTCGACGGTTGTGGTATTTGCGCGGTACAGGTTGCCTTCGATGGACCGCTGGGCGCCCTCGCGCGTCAGCGGCACCAGCTCGGCAATCTGCTGGCCATCGCCGGGGCCCTGCAGAGGGAGCGTGCCCTGGAAGTAGCGCGAGTTGACGGTTGATGAGTTGGACGGCGTGATGGCGGCAGACGCGACGGCGACCAGGGCGAGCACGAGGGTGCCGGGCAGGCACTGGAGGCGGGACATCAGCATCGCAGCGGCGCACGTCGAGCGCGCAGGCGTGGCGGCGCTTTGTTCTTATCGATTTCGACAAGAACTAATAACGCGGGGTGTGGCTTGGTAGCTTGGATCAGCCGCGCCCAGAGCGACAGCAATTGCAGATCAGTCGGATGGTGCTGGCAGAGGCGCGTTCAAGAAGATAAGGGCGTCCGGGGCGCTGTGCACCATGTTTGTTGCCGTGGCAGACAGCGGAAGCGCCGGTAGATACATGAAGCATGACAGATGTCACGGCTGCTAGAGATGCCGGATCGTGGCTCAAAGAAGCTTGCAAGGGTGCGCTAGACAACTCCGAAGCGCCCTCCGCACGCTTTGAAACTCGGCGCGGGCGTATTATCACTGCACTGCCTCAGTTCACACCGTCAGCTGCCTACATGATTGTCGCGAACGTGTACGCGTCGACACATCCGTTGCCCTCCGTGTGGTTGTTGAAGTACTCGCTCTTGCTGCTTTCTTACCGTCATGCTCAGTCTGGTGCTGACACTGCCCCGTCTAATACAAATTCCTACAGGTGCACCGGACGAGTCTGCACGCGGAGTCCGATCTGCACATGCGACACCGGCAACAAGCATTTCCTGATCTATCAAATCACGTCCATGTAGCTCGGACTTTTGGCCGAATTGTAGGCTGGTGTTCCAAGCTCTCTGATTGGCTCGCTACTTGCTCCGTGAACTGAATGCGTGGACACGAACCACGTGGATTAGGGGATTAATTCTGCTTCTGGAAATATGCGTAGGAAAGGCCGATTGCAGATACGTATTTTTGGTGGTTCGTTCGTGACAAAACCATGATGCAATTTGATTGGTAGCAGACATACAATTAATCTGCGCGTCATACATACAATTACTTTGCGCATTTGCACAAGCATTTCCTTATAATACACGATTATCATCCAGGCGTTGTAAAGACTGTCTTCTTGGTAATGATGTTCACCCCGTTACGGGATGAATAGCAGGTATCGATATGCCATTCCAAACGCTGCGTCCAGATGTCTTAGAACCAATCCTCCGCCTCGCCACCCTCCCGTCTTTATATAATCGCGTCGTCGTCTACAAGCTCGATTACTGATACCCAACCTCAGTTCACGACGATCGGCTCACGGCACCCTATCGACCTCTTTCTGCCCAGCGAAACCGTATATTGGTCCGTGCTCAGTTTCGAGCGACCCTGCTCCCAGACTAAGTTGAACTTCCTACAATAGCATCGCCACAAGACTACTTACAGGCAGTTTCCAGACTTCCTTTTCAGCATCCGATTGGAGGAGCACAGCAGGAACCCCTGATGTCAGCACAGCCGAACCCAGCAGCACCACTGACACAATATAAAGAGCGAGTGCATCCAGCAGTGCAAAAGCAGGTTGAAGCTGCTACGGCGGAGGCTGGGGCTGCCGATACAGCAGAAGTGAAGAGTAGGAGCCCGAGGGTGGAGAGTCTCATTGTGACGGCCCTGCTTTCAACTTTTCAAGAAAGGTTATGGTATGATCTCTTGAGATGCCTCTTATCTGACTAAAGATTAAGGATGGACAGTTGGTGAGTCCTGACATGGGAGCATCGTTTGTTAAATACCCACGACATTGTAGCACAGAAGATCTTTGATGGATCGCTCGCAGGACGTCAAATTAATGCTCACGTACCCAGACAAGTCTCGACCGGGGTCTGTGTAGCCGCGTTGTGCAACTCTAGTTGCCCTCCTGTATCGTGGAATGTAGGAGCCTGGATCAAGCTTGGGTCCTACCTAGCTACAAAGTCTGGTTGCACTGCTTTTCTCCAGAGCACTTTTGCAGAAAACTCTCACTTTGGCTGACTCACATGATGCTACAACAGACACGTTCATCGCTTCGTAGATGATGGTGTGTTATAACCTCGCACACTGCTATCCAGAGACGTTCTGATAGGGACTGGCAAGGTAGTCTGTCGTGCAAGTAACCCGTGTTGTGGAATGTTCGGGCACGGTTGGGTCATCCTGCGCAAGAGAGGGTGTTTGATTCGACAGGATGAGCCACAAGTCTACTTACGCTGGCCAGCTAGCGCTTCCATCCGAGTTCCGCAATCACCAAAGCGGCAGACAGGCTGACCGGCGATAGGCGGAAGGAAGTTGCGCACTGTCGTAGCGCGAATTCCAGGGTACTTCTTGTATATGAGATAACCTGTCAGGAAGATGATAGAATCTGACATTGAGAGTTTAGAACACACCCGTGATAACGTTCTAATTTGACAGTCTGTCAAGGGCTTTGTTAGATGTCTATCAAGAGCGTGCCTTCCCTCGTGCAGAAACACCAAAGCATCTGAGTTGCAGACAGGCAAGTACCTAAGTATGTGTTTTACCCGGATATTTGTTATTTTTCAAGCCCGACAGAGCTTTGACAGTTCATACATCTCAACTAAACATCAGAGCCTAGTAGCATATTACACAGTAGAATATAACAGTCCGATCAGTGATAAATAATTAGGCGGGTTGACAAGGAACAAACAAGGCAGCTACTTGTGACTCTCCACACTGAAATCACGTAGTCATGGATTCATAGCGACTAGTCATGAGGTAGTGAATTAAGGTATATGCCAATACTCTGCAAACCCTGATATGGAGTGATGCTGTATGCGTATTGCGTGGTATGATCTGCACACCTCTACAAGCGCGGCTATGCTTCCCACTTTTTCACAACACGTCCTGTGGTAGTAGTCGCATCCGATACATACCCAATCGCTGATAGCTCTGCGGTAATGAAGTCCAACTTCCAGCTACGAGCTGTATGTCAGACTCCCATGTGGCTGGTCTGACACGAAGTGGAAGTCATCTGAGCCCGGTATTGCTAGATAAGAGTTATAGCCTGGAGTCGTGTTCGTCACAATTGGGTTCAGCCTTGCTGCAGCATAGCCTGGGCAATGCTGACGTGCAGTAAGGTCTCGTCTTGGCAGTGTTCAGCCTTGCGACTCGACGAGTTTGAGCCGCATAGGTCGATTCACAGTCTATTTCAAGGCATCTCCAGATTTTTTGGGTATTCTTCCTATCATACTCATCTTCTTTCACTTTCACACCTGTTTGGCTCGAATTGCATATTCACAACGACATGTGGAACTGGCTCCTACGAAAGCTTCTCGGTGAAGAAGAGGGACTTGCCCCACACAGCAGTCTTAAAAGATGCTTTCAAATAGTGATATTGTTTCTTTTGTTCGTCATCGGTTTTTTTTTTCGTGGCATTCATTAGCATTGCAGTTGATATGATATACACGGACACAACTGGATTCGGGATTGAAGGTCCGAACTTTCCTCTCTACAAGAACACAATGTTCGAACAGTGCTCAAAGTCATCACCAAGTACAGAAGTCAACTGCACTACTCTGTTCTGGACTCGCACTCCTGATCGCGATCTCACCGATCACTACAGATGGACACAGTCGTTTAGACTTGATTCGCCACACAGAAACGAGCACACCGTTCAGTACGGACAGGACGCTCTAGTCTATGGTACAACCGCGTACGATTGGTGCGATCTCATGAGCTGTCTCAAAGACTACAAAATTATACCGTCACTGTCTCGCCCAATAGCATTTGGATTCGATGGATACAACCGACTTCAGATATGGGTCTGGCTTTGCTTGGCAGCCTTCAGCAGCGGTTGGTTCATTTGTAACGCGTTGATTAGAATACATTGATCTCACGAAGACTCGAGCCACATTCTTCGCGATCGCAGAGATTTCGGGGAAGGGTCTTCTCCAGCACGAAGCGGTATCGAACGTCAAATGGTTGAAGGGACTTGCTCAGGTCTCAGTACATTAGACTGGTTGTTTTCGATCTATGACATCGGCAGTATGGGGCTGTGGATCTAATCATACTCTGAGGTGATTGGAACTCGCTTCAATACTGGTACAGTGAATAGAATTACATGGATCATACCATGGAGAGCCGCTGTCGGTCTATTCAACCATCCTTTTGCCTGCCACCATCCTCATAGCAACAAAGGAGATCACCCATCAAGGACCAGACTTGCGAGGATTGCAATATCGGTGATAGCCGTGACTGCCTTCGTGTACTGGATTCTTTGTGCTTATCTTCATCTTGACATGTCAAAACGTCGAAGTCTGGAAGAATTCAGATATCCGTTTTACGGGTGTCTCGAGTCGGAGATCTTGCAAGCACCTGTAACAACCGTCTGTTCGCCTCAGCAACTCTGTTCGGAAGAGAAACAGTGGCTTTTCATTGATAGGGGTTGAGACGGTTCGATGCACAACAATATTAGCAAGTCATAGTACCTGAACAGTCTTTACTCAACTGCGTTCATCTTAACTTCCGTAGCTGCGTGATTAGCACTGGGATTATGGGTCCCGAATCAAGCCTACTTCAAGGAGAAGTGGCACAGTTGGAAAATTAACTGGCGAATGGCCCTCGATGGTACCGTAATGGCTTCTCTGATCTTCTTAATCATAGCGGGTGCAACGGAAGGCAGATGTGTCCTTGAGGACGTCTTGGCTTACAACAATGGTTCCAAACTCCCACGACAGGCGGTTGTCACTGATGATGTCAACTGTACTGCAGCTCATGTGTGCACGAGCAAATGGCGATACTACCAAGACATTGATAGATCCAGACAGATGCAAGGCAAATGAAGGGTACAGTTACCGTTTTCACAAATGAGATATTACCACCGAAGCAGCGTAGGCCTGCTAGCTTTGGCGCCCACGTCCGTTGAGAGTAGTTGAATAGGCATTTTGACACAAACTTAATGGCACCATGGCCAGCGTCCCTTCTCTTGACAGCTGATAACAAAACAACACTCCGGTACTAATGCGGTGCTTTCTGGCTGGAGGAAGACTTTGTGCTATGTCTAAGACATCATTTTGTTTTTTACACTAAGAGTTCAGGCATTTTACCTAGTTTCTAGGTATTTCATACAAATCCTCAGTACATTTTTAACTAATTGAACCTTTGTTTGTTGTGAAATAATACAAAAACGCGGGGTTATTAACACTAATCTCTAGTGTTTCTTACAAGATTCTGTACCGTAGTATAAAGCCCATGTAACGCATCAATATTTGCATGAAGGAAAGCACACCGATTGATTTGTTATAAGAATTAGTACGACATATGAGCGGTGTAGATATGCGATGTCTGCATGTATGTGTCGTTGCGCGATACAGTTGAATGCTACTTAGACATAGCGTTCACCATTACAAAGACATATGTCAAGCCTTTCAATGAGTATTTGCTCTTGCTCTGAGAGTTGTTTGAATCTACCCCAACCTGATAAGCCTCTTTACTCCCATCATGGACTCACTGTAGCGACGGAAGCTGGCAAGTTGGAAGAGCTACCGGTTACGTTGGAAGACTCTGTCTGTGGTGACAGATCTGTCACAATGTCCGTGCCAGATGACGAAGTTACTGTCTCCGTGATTGAGGTGGGTGCTTGAGATGTGGGCTGTTGCTGGATCTGATCTCGAATTGAGTTGTAGTAGGAAATTACAAGGGCTGCTCGATCCGACTCGTACCCCATCTGCCTTCCAAGCTCCGCACGTGCTTGGGTGATTGAGTAGCAGGACTTGCTGGCACGTATGCGATTCCGATTTTCTTGCTGATCAAGTACGGCTATCGACTCCAGAATGGACACGTCGTTAGAAGCAGCACTATCTGTGCTGAGGTATTAGTGCTCTGGTCTGCACAAAAGTCGGGGACCTACCCGCAGTTTTCGCGGCTTGATCATCTTTCGCTAAGGTAGTCTTGGATACTACCCATTTCTTGGTTTTGCTGGCTAAGGCTGTGACTCTCTTCTCGAGCGGCCCGAGATGAATGATGGCTGCAATGCCCTGGATAAGGCCGCTGTTGTTGACGGCGAGGTGGACCGGTGTCTTTTTGAAGAGGGCGAACTCGGCGACCAGTTCCTCGCTCAAAAGCAAGTCATGTCTGCAGTTTGGAAGTACGTGAAAGCGAACTCTCTTCCACGGGCAAGGTCCTTTGGAGTTTTGTACTGGAATCGTCAACATGATCTCGACAATGCCAATAGTGAGCGCTATTGATCCGTCTGCAAATTTAATGCGCTCGGCTCCTGACTCAAGCGACAGATCGCGAGCCATCATGTATGAGTCACTGATGAGCGCGATCTCAGAGCCTGTGTCGGCATACGCATAGGCCAGCTCCCCCTCGGCAACACATACAACGTGGTTGGTGGCTTCTCCCATCGAACAAAAGAGATACGGACGCTCGTATGGACCAACTGAAACTCGCTTTGGTAATTCCTCGAGGCGGTGATCGTTGTCGGTCAGTGTCTGTGTCGCGATTAAGAAGTCGAGACCCATGAGAGTTGGTGTCGCTAGTTCTGCGAACACGTAGAACCAACATGGCATTGCAACTGCTTTATCTGGATGATCTGCCTTGAATTGAACTTTGGCTTCGAATTTTCCGAGAGCTTGCATAAACTTTCCGTTTGGTAGCTCGAATAAAGTGTTGCATTGTCCTTGCGATCGGAAACCCAGGGAATATGCTAGGGATAGCGAGATGTGATTTGCATACGTTCCAGTATCAGGGATGGCCACAATCTCTTTGGAGTATCCAGGACAATCGAATATAAGACGAATACCTTTTCGGGTAGCCGCAGCGGGAGCGTTGGCTAGAGCTTTGCCTCGAGTTATGGCTAGAGCTTCGGCGAAAGCTTCGGCTATAGTTTTGCCTCGAGTTATAGCTAGAGCTTTGACTGGAGCTTTGACTGGAGCTTTGGGAACGCCGGCTTTCATATGCACTTCAACCTTCGATATGTGGCAATTACCACATCGACCGTTCCCACAACTCGGACAGCTGGCAGAACGATAAACTATAGAGGGGTATCCGCAGTAGCACTATATCAAATACCAAAAGGCGTCAATTCAAGACCGCTGTACAACAAAAGCACCTGAGCACTTACACACTGCCAAACATAGGAATGGCGCTTTTTGGTCTGCTTTGCCATCTTGCCGTTTCGCTGCTGTTTCTTAGCTGGAAGAGCGGAGCGTACGCTACTACCAAACTTGCGCAAGTATTGAATGCAGGTGATGATAAATGATGGACTGATTGCTCGGTGTTTGCGAGATACTAGGTGTACCGGCAGCCCTCCTAACCTTGGAAGGGACCGTGCTTCGTGTAACGTACACAGGAGCGGGGTATGCATGCACAGCCACTCGGATCGGAGACCATTGTAGCAGACGGCCTGCGAGGCAAACTACGAGGCAGACTCAAATCTACATGCTTATTGCAATGAAACCTCCCTGATTTCCGTCCTTTCTCAAAATGTCCGGACAGCTTGAACAGACGTCCAACCCTTTCCGAGCTTCCCCAGTATCGCTTGATGGGTTCCCATCTCTTGCTAGTTTTATTGCTAGCGACAAGGATCGTACTTCGTTGATCTTCCGAAGGTTTGACAGGCTTGCTGCCAGGAACATACTCTACCTCCAAAGTGAGCTGGTTGAGCTAGAAGCACTCCAGGATCAGTATGACCGGGAAGACCAGAGCATCGATGGCGGGGACCTTCACACGAAGAGATGTGCAATGGACTGGGAAGAGTTTAAAGGTTCAGCAATGCCAACTGGAGTAGAGAAGCAGCAACGCCGCATGAAGCTCGTAAAGGACATACGTGCAAAAATGAAAGAATACCGTATGCTATCATTACAAGATTTGCAACACGCAGTCTGACCATCAAAGGCAAAGCCTTACTATCTGAGAGCTTACTGGCCAGTCTGGAAGCGCCACCAGATCGCAACTTCGAAAGCCTGATGTATGCTTCCACCCGACCGGTCAACAACACAGACCAGCGTGACTCCATATTCGGTGGGCATAGCGCAACGCTCTACAGTAGCAACGACGACATGGTTTTGCTCAAACATCCAGAGCACAGGGATAGGTTAACTTCATTTGTGGAGAAGCACATGCCGATTTTCTTCATTGTATGCTATCACTCAACCTGTAAACTGAATACACAGGGAGGATGCTAATCTTACCAAGTCAGAACGATCCAACGACGATATGGCGTTCGTATCGCAGAGAAGCATTTCCCGGTTCGTAACGATAGTCAGTATTGTACTGTCTATTGTCCTCTTGTTCAGTGCCATAGTGGCTCTGTATCTAGTCTCAAGTCCAGCTAAAAAACTTGTTATTCTGGGGTTGTATGTAGTCTTGTTTGCGAGTAGTGTAGGATTACTAACCACGGCGAAGAAGACCGAGATTTTTGCCGCAACAGCAGCATATGCCGCTGTGTTGGTGGTTTTCGTAAGCGGTAGTCTTGGGTCGGAATCATTGAGATAGTGTTACTGTATCTATGCTCACTATACACGTGTTTGCAATATTAACGTAGGTTTTATACACCAAGAGCCTATAAACCTTAGTAAGTTCCAGAATTTTACTACATAAAGTTATACTCCCTGCTACGCACTAAGGTTTTGTAGATCAATCTGATTGATGTGAATTTGTTTGCTTGCTTTCAAGATTTACCGTCCTGCGGAAGAGCATACCCACAAACGCAGCGCGGCTTCGCGATAAAGTATGTGTCCTGCTGTGCGGAAAAGTGCCTACATGATCCGTGAGGAGGCACAGCGCCATGCGTCGAAGCAGCATTGCGGTGATGGCATGCTCACGTATTCCTTCATAGGTGATGCGTACGTACATGGTTTGATGGATGGGCAAGCAATTGCTCAGGCGACAACGGACAAACTGAAGCAAGAGTGTATTCTTTTGGGCGGGCAAGCCTTGGACCCGGAAATGGAGTTTATGCATGCGGAGATGGATGTTCAGCATGTCGAAACGGAGGTTGAGCATGCGGGATCAAGGCTTCTTTACACGTCGACGGAGTTTGAGGCTGCGGGAAATAAGGTATCACCCACAGAGTCAGTGCCCGAGCGCAGCACTCATTCAAAAGCTGAGAGACCTCGCTGTAGCTGCGTTATTCTGTAGGCACAAAAGCAGGTTTTCTGTTGACCTGTCGAGACACTGTTGCACCACGAAGGGATCAGAGCTGCAGCAACAACACAATCACAAACGCCTCACCACACGCGACCAAAAAGTTTCAAACTTTTCTTCTATTCTCACCGCACACAGATTACTATTACTCAAATTACGCATTAAAATTAATCAGTCCCAACCCAATGACCACCTAGACATAGGAAAACCTAGACATAAGAAACCTAGAACATAGGAAATATATGTTTGTCGGAACACACCAAGTCCACGCGCAACACAACGCTTTACATCTCCGCGAACACCCAGCCCATGACGCCCACGGCACCCGCGAAGAGAACGGCGGGCGCGTTGGCGACGGCAGCGCCGGTGTAGTCGGGGACGGCAGGCGAGGAGGGGGTGGTGGGGGGTGAGACTGGGGGCGAGGCGGGGGGAGCAGCGGGAGGAGCAGCCGGGGGAGCAGCAGGAGGGGCAGCGGGAGGTGCAGCAGGAGGAGCGGCGGGAGGTGCAGCAGGAGGAGCGGCAGGAGGAGCAGCCGGGGGAGCAGCCGGGGGAGCAGCCGGGGGTGCGGCAGGAGGTGCGGCAGGAGGAGCAGCCGGAGGAGCAGCCGGGGGAGCAGCCGGAGGAGCAGCGGGAGGAGCAGCCGGGGGAGCAGCGGGAGGACCAGCAGGAGGATAGACAGGAGGGGGTGCAGGAGACGAGGCAGGGGGGGCAGGAGGAGCGGAAGAGCTGCCGGTAACGCGAATGGTGGAGGTGATTTGGCTGGTAGAGGTGACGGTCGTGGTGTTGTTGACGGGAGGAGGAGGAGGAGGAGTGCAGTAGGCCTTGCACGACGTAACAGTGATGGTACTGGTGGTGGTAGTAGTCTTGCCGTCGGTGGTGATGGGGCACACAGTCGTGGTGGTGTACGTGGTGTACTCCTGTGTCTTGTTGTTGACTGGGTAGACTGGGTAGGTCGGGTAGGGTGTGGGGGGTGACGGTGATGTGGGTCGGGTACGGCTTGGGAGCATAGCAGACATCCTTCTGGAAGGCGATGTAGGCCTCGTAGTCCTCCTTGCTGCAGCCCTTTCCAACCTTTCCGGCAACGTCCTCGTGCTCTAGGTCCTTGCAGATGCACTCGTAATCGCAGGGGCTGCACTTGCTGTGGGCGATGGCCTCGAAGACATAGGTCTGGACAGACTGGGGAAGCTTCTGGATGGTGCCGAAGATGTCCTTATCGCACTTGTGGGGGACAGGAGAGGCACTGTAGGCGCTGTATCCGGAGCTGTAGGCGCTGTAGGCCGAGCTGTGGTGAGCAGTGATATAGGACGTCAAAGTCGTCGCCGAAGTGACGTAGGTGGTGGTGGTGGAAGGCATAGCGCTGCTGTGGTTGCTAATAGGCACAGAAGGCGTGTAGATTGGAGTATAGGTTGGAGTGTCAACCGAAGAATACGGCGAAGTCTCCGAACTGTAGTCTGGATAGTAGACCGGAGTTGAAGTGTAAGCTGGGTAGCTAAGGGAGGACGAAACTTGGTAGGCCATTTCGAGAATTTATAGTCTGTTTCGAACTTAGAACGAAAGTGTGTGTGTTCAAATGCAGATATTCAGCGAGTGATGCGTTTCCTTGTTCTGTTCCGGGCCCTTCATTATATAGAAAGAATGTTTTGCGCCAACCTCGTCTCGACCGTTTGCGACATTTCCTAGCGCTGGCAAAGGACTCATACTGACGCGCGAGTGTAAAAATAACCGCCTCACGCATCCGGCAGACGTCTTTGTTTGGAGTTGAGCGCTGCGGAGTCCTCTGGGCCGATGTTGCGTTGCCGGATTCGGCCAGAACTGAGGAATGTAACCATCGCCAATGAAAAGTCTTGCGCAAACCCTAGTCGCTACCAACCGATTGCAATTGGACAAGTGCCCGGAAAAGCGCGCGATACGATGAGGCGCAAATAATGGCGTCGCTCGTATCTCTGCTGCTCCTGCACCTAATGCAGTGCCGCCACTTTCGGCCAGTCCCGCTTCGTCCTGCCAAAACAAACTCAACCTCATATACCCGAGAGCGTAACATCGGACGCGACCAATCTCACGGGTTATGTTGTCATGGACTGCTGCTCCCGTGGGGTCCTTGTGATGGGCTGCGAATGCGTTCGAGCAGTTTCATCATATCCATGGCAACCGGCTTCTCTTCTGCCTCGTTCAGCCATCCAATGATACGCTCGATGTCCCGGATCTCATAGTAACATTCATAGCGCTCCTTCGCGTACCTTACCGCACGTGAACGGTCGTCTACGGCATCGGCATCGGGTTCAGGCTGGTTAGCTAGAAGGTTCTCAAAGTACTTATTGGAGTATTCATGACCAGATAGGTGGCGCTGCATCGGGTGCTCTTCCATATAGTCCTTGTAGCGGTACGCTAGAACGTATGGGTCCTGTCGTAGAGATCGCGCGTTTGCTTCTTTCTGAAGCCTGCGAGCGCATCGTCGGGGAATCTGTGATCCGTCCATATGAGTGGGTATTCTCGAGTCGGTCGTGGTGTCAGGAAGTCGAAGTGGGCAGTCATGAGTTGAGATGTAGTCGAAAAGTGCGACAAAGCACGTGTACCTTTGTCTTAGATTGCTCCTTCCTAAACATGTGCGCTGCATGTGCGACAAATGGCATTTGCTTGCTGCTTTGTGACACTGAAACAAGCGCGGTCCTATGCAGTCCTGCAGTAAACAACAGACACAATAGAGTAATACGACACGTGGTAACCAAGGTGATGAAATGCATCTCCACGTGTGAAGGATGTGACATTATAGACAACGCCATGCTGTGAAGTGCCTGTCTCAACTAGGTTAATGAACGCCTATTCATTGTGTCCCAAATACTCTTACAGATAAGAAAAGACTTTAGCCGAGCGCGTTGCCTAGGTCGTGCTCTTTGATGTACTCTCCGCCCTTCTCGGCCCAGTCCGCTTTGGTAATGAAGTTGCGCCGGTTCTCCTTCTTGCCACCCCACTGAGCTGCACCTCGCCAGCTGTCCAGGACGCAATCCTTAGCCCGCCTTACCTTGATGCTTTGCTCAGCAGGCAAGACAGCCCTCAGCTCGTTCCTCAGTCTTTCTTCAAAGCCTTGGAAGAGGGTGTTTCCACCGGTCAAGAAGATGTCGCTGAGGACATCGTCTCTTCGGGAGTTGTTCGCGAGTCGCTCAGTCAAAATCGTCGACGCAATCTCGACGATGCCTGCTTGATCAAGACCTGCTATGGACGGTTGGAATACGACTTCAGGAACGCGGATGCGCTCGACGTTGAGATGCAGTTGATGGGCTTCACGTTGAGACTCGGGGTCATACGGATAAGGACCGTGGAAAAAAGCGTGTAGCACGCTCTTTGTCCAGTCTGTCTGTGCTTCCCGTGTGGAGTCCTCGGTGAAATTCGGGTCATGCTGCAGCAGCTGTCCTTCGATGTCCTTGAGAGCTTTGGCCAAATCTTCCTCTTCTTCATCATCCGACCCCTCGCCAGTTGCGATTGTGCGGTACACCGTCCAATCAGCATCGTCGGCGCCGAAGGTATCGTCATCTCCACCACCACGGCGGCGCTTTTTGGAGGGTGCATCTGAGGCCAAATTGGCAATAGATTTCATGCGCATCTGGTTAGCAAGCGATTTCCGGTTGCCAAGCTCCGCCTTCAGACGTTCCCGGTCCTTGATTTTCTGAACGATGGCTTGGCGGGCTATCCTTCGCTCGCCGATCCAACCGTCCGGATCGGACTCTCGTCGCTCGTCGTCGAGACGCTGTTCTTCTGCTAGACGAGCCTTCTCGTTGTCCTTCTCTACCCGCGCACGGAGGCGCGCATCGTAATTTGACTTCATAAGTCGCTGCTGGCGCTTTTGCTTGATGCCCTCTTCGTCCAGCTGATCGTCTGGGACTTCGAGAAGAGGGAAAGTAGGCTCTTCTTGTTGCTCTTCCTCGGCATCGTCACCAAGATCCTTGTTCCGTGTCTTCTTGATCGACTTCTCCAGCTCCTTGACCCTCTTGTCAAGCTGGCTTTCGTCGTCAAAGTCGTTAGACTCGAGCACACGCGCCTTCTCCTTCTTTGTGGGTATCTCCTGTATTTGCGCCTGTAGTTGTACGTAGTACTCGAATTCTTCCTCTTTCTTCTTGAGCTTGTCCAGGCGCATCTTGGCAGCTTGGGCTTGTAAGCGCCGTCCGCTCTCTTTACGCTTTTCGGCTGCTATCGCCAGTTCTTCCTCCGTCTTCTGTACCACTACCTGCTCGGTGTACGGCGTTTGGACGATGTGGTCCCGGTCTTCTAGCCCCGTCCAGTCTAGGTATCGGCTGAGCTCCTCTTCGTAGTTTTGTGATACGTAGCAATGCTCTCTGACCAAGTCTTCCGCCTGGGTGTCGCTGAGCTTGCCAGGGAAAGAGGGATACTTTAGTCTCAGCAGCTTCAGCAGGTACTGTGCGGACTGGAATCGCCCCCAGTTGAGTCGCGTGGCCTGTGATATCAGAGGCTTTGCATCAACGACGGGTATCAGGTGGGTTGAGGTGTAGGAAGAGTCGACGACCAAGCCATTGCGGCCACCGTTGTACGAGTATGAGAAGAGAGAATCGACGCCGTATGCGACAGATGGCGCGCCGTAGCACTCGAATAGGATTTCAGACATTGCTGTTATCATGTCAGCGATCTCCAGCAAAATTGTGCTCTGCTGTACATACTCTTTCTTGTGTAGCCCAAGTTGGCGACTGGTTCGGTCATGACGATGGGCCTGTCTATGCTGCCTGATCGCCCGTCGATGCCCATTTTGATAAAGCAGTAGTCCAGCACACCTTCCATAGCATCCCAGTTGTTGATGACGTTGCTCCCGGGCTCGTATATGGGCTTCGACTGCCCGCGCGCCGTGCCGTCAGAGAAGACGTCGGACCCGATGAATGTGAATGTGCGGTTGAGCTTGCGGTCCCTGTACCGTGCCATGTTGGGCAGCACCGAGAGACGCGGTTTGGAGTCAAAGGACCACCCGGCGCGCACCGCCGACGACCCTGCGATTCATTAACACTTGCGACAAGTGAGATCCATAGCTTGGGGTGGTACCATTGTCGATGATGATGGCTGTTTCCCGATTACTGCGCGCATAGCCTTCGTTGTCGATGGGCCTGAAGCCCTCGAAGGGTGGCTCGCTCACGTTCCAGATGCGCGCAGGGGGAGGCTTGGGAGAGTTGCGCCCCGAGGCGGCTGGCGCATCGTTGATCGCAGATGGCGCCATTGTCGTGAAGTCGTATGTTGAGGAAGGAGTGGTCAGGGAACGTCTATATCATGTCGCGCGGTCAATCTGCGGCGTAAGCAGGTCACTAGCGCGCGGGTTGTTGGGGTCGTGGTGGTTGCTGGTGGTTCTGTGAGCTGCGACTTCGCGGAGCGGTCCAAGCACGCGCCTCCGAGGTGTTGCGCGCTACAAAGTACCAAGGTACTCCAAACTTCAACGTGTGAATGCAAATTTTGGGCAAAAAGCAGAAGAGGGACTCTCGTAATCATGAGGTTTAGCTTTGTCTATCTGTCTCTCGCACACGGGTATCATTTTGTCCATCGTTCAGCTCATCTAACCATCAGTACCAATCTTCTAGATTTGGAATACCGATCCTGTGCTGCAGTTTTTCAACCAAGAGCATGGAAAGTCCCCTCAGGCTGGGTCTTTCAGACCGTTTGTCGCTGTCCTTGTCAGCTAGGCAGTAGTGGTCGAGCTGTAATGATTTATTTACCTTCAAGATGGAACAGAACATTTGACTGATAGTTCTTGAACATCTGCGCGACAAGTTCAGTGTCCATGTTCTGGATGTTGATCTCTTGGAGATTCTTGTTTAACATCATGATGGCCTCATTTAGTTTCTCCTGTATTTGGAGTCAGTTGAGCGCATACTGGTATTGTTTACATGGCTGCCACTCACAACATTGACAATGATACGTGAGAGCAAAAGGCTCTGTTGGTGCTCGTGGGGACTTTCCTTGAACCCAGTCAGCTATCTGCACTCTTGGACTCTAACACTTTCCTAACTTACCATAGCTGTTGCGATGCGACGGGTGGAGTTGGTGGGATGGACTAGAACAGTTAGATGCAGGGCGGCTTGGTGAAAGGCGATCGCCGACATCTCCACCTCCGCAAGCTCCCCCGACAGCTCGATAGCAACCACACATCGCCGTCGCTGCCTCACCGCCTCGCATCAACATGGCGCCGCTTACCACTCAGTCCGACGAGAAGACGCATCAGGCGCTGCTCGACAAGCTCGACATCTACGCCGTACACAAGCCGTTCCGCAACCCTAGCTGGAAGCCACCGCAGCGCCGCAACAAGAACCTCAAGCAGGTGCTCGGCGATGCATCGCGCAGAGAAGCCTCGATGATGAACACACAAGCCAACAGCGGCGCGTCGACGCCAGCCGTCGCGTCTGAGGGCGGCTCGACACCAGCCGGCATCGGTCGACCGCCGAACATCGCGCAAGCAGCGCAGAGCCTCGACCGGCTGGTCCTCGAGAAGAATGGCCGCGCAGCAGCAGCGAATGCAACCGGGCCTGCGCCGACCTACACAAACATCGAGTCCGCGCCGAGCTTCCATCCAAGCGCGCAGAAGAAGTACTGCGACATCACCGGACTGCCTGCACCCTACACCGACCCCAAGACGAGGTTGAGGTACCACAACAAAGAGATGTTCGGAACTATCAGGACAATGCCGCAGAACGTGTACGAGGGGTACTTGGCTGCAAGAGGCGCACATACAGTGCTCAAATGAGCTCCTGCACTGCGTAGATTCATCAACCAACAGCGGCGCATCAAGGTCTCACAAGCTGCGGCGCGCGGTACACTTTCGCGCATAACACTGGACGCGAGGTGAAGCTTGCAAGAAGCAAGCATCAGACGACCGTTGGCAGCAACCACGGGAAAGCAACAGCATGCTATGTATGACCATCAAAGTCAAGCACCTTCCACCCACGCAAGCTCCTTTCGAAGCAAGGCTCAAGAAGGCGCTCCGGCTTAATCGTGATCCTGTATTGTTCTTCGCCCATCAGACGGGATACCAGGAGCTCGGGGGGAGGCATCCCAGTTACAGCAGCACGGAATGGCATGCTGTTGTCAGGGCGGTTCTAAACTTTTCCTACAGGATAGCATCATAGTACAATCAGAAACACATTGATTTCTCCAAAGTCGGTACAAGATCTTGGCAACTGTATGTTGAGTTGATGAGTGACGAGACAAGACGGCGCAGCTCAAAAATCTGCGAACGCTCGCAAAACTCCACGCTAGCAGGGGGTGGCGCGCTAGCAGCCGAGGCGCGTCAACCTCAACGGGTCAGGACACGAGACAAAAGTTGCCAGGCACAGACAGACATAGACACTCACTCGCTTCCTCGGGGCTCATAGTTGCTGTTGTAGATCACGAGGTTCCCCTGCTGTTAGAACTACCACCGCATTTTTTGCGAATACATAGGCCCGGCCTCCCGAACTCAAGATGCCTACCATGTGGCTTTCAGATACCCAGAGTACGTTGGCATAGGTACTATAAACGTGTGGTTCTATACTGACAAACCACAGAGATCGGGGTCGCCTTCTGCTCAGGAGGTAGGTACGCTCTCCGTCCAGCAGACCGCATGCGAACCACGCTCTAACACCCGGGCTTCCCAGGCGGCCTCTTTCTCATGGGCGGCGTAATGATGTTTTTTGATCGCGCCATGTACGTTCTTTCCAGCCGTCTCTCAACTGCCGACTGACAACCCTCAGGCTGGCCATGGGCAACGTACGCCTCCTCCCCTCGCCCCCCCGCGCACCCTAACGCCCGCAGATCCTCTTCCTCATCGGCCTGACCCTCATAATCGGCACGCAGAAGACGCTCGCCTTCTTCGCGCGGCGGCAGAAGTGGAAAGGCACCGCCGCGTTCGCGCTGGGCATCACGCTGATCCTGATGCGCTGGGCCTTCTTCGGCTTCCTGATCGAGCTGTACGGCATCCTGGTGCTGTTTGGCGACTTCTTCGCCACGATCGCCGGGTTCGCGGGCGGCATCCCCATCGTGGGGCCGTACATCGCGAAGGCGCTGAATAGCCTGGGCGGCGCGAGTGCGGCCGCGAACGGCGAGAGCGTGTGAGCGCGTAGACGTCGCGGGGAACCAGACTCGGCGCGAACTGCACGGATCGGCGCGGCGCGGGACAGGGCGCGCGCGACGCTCGCAGGCAGTGTATTGTATACTACGGACTGGGCAGGCGTTCGGCGCGCCATTGCACACGATACCACACGAAGCGACGACAGGGCATGTATGTACTTAATTACCACACCTGCACACTCCACCCGCAGCGCCATGTACCCGCGCCACCCCCCACCCACCCCAAACCTCCTCAAGCAATGCCCTCGCGCAACACCCTCAAGCAATGCCCAAGCAACGCGCCCCAAACCCACACGCAATGCCCAAACACCGGAACATAGCAACCGCCCACCCCTTCCACACCCCCTCCGGCAGCCTTACATCCGAGGCACCGACACCCTTGTCGCACCTGCAGCCTCGCCGCCTTAACAGCGCCTGATAAGATGCGCAAAACGCGCGGGAGCTGGGATCCGAAACGCGAGGACTGGACATGACAGTGGACGGGCGGTGGTGCCGGCGCGGGCCAGGCCTTGCGAGTGTGAATGGTGGTGCAGCCAGACGCTGCTTACAGACTCAGCACACTGTCATGTTTTTGCGCGCGATAAGACTCAACCTGCATACATTATCGCGCTGACTCGCTGCTATAGCAGCACATGCACCGCACTGTGATGCCGTGTACTATGTATGCAAGTACCACAATCCCCTACACCATCCTCTACACCGCCCTCTACACCCCACCACCCCCCACCGTAAAAACAGCGCCCTGTGTATGTACTGTAGATGTGCAGCCCACAACACCCAACACTCCCAGCGTACTCCAACCCGTCCATACACACACACGAGCACGCGCTGTTTCACGTCGCATCAGCGCCGTTAAGCACAGGGATCACGCTCCTGATGACGCTGCGCGGCTAGATCGGGCCGGTTTCGTTTCATGTCGGGCGAGCGCGGGGGAAGGTCAGGGAAGGGAAGGTGAGGACGAAGAAGAAGAAGGGCCCGGAGTAGGAGGTCTTGGAGTGGGAGCAGAGAGAAAGAAGAGAGAGGGAGAGGGGAGAAGCAAGGTGGGAGGTGTCTTGAGAAGCGTGAGGCAAGGAAAACGGAAAAGAGTGGGTGTATTGATGGATTTGTCGCAGATGCACAGCGCAGCGCTGAAGTCATGTTCGTGGTAATAAGTAACTTGTGCACAATGGTATATCCTAAAAAAAAAACGCCCCGGCCGTGATGCAACCCGCGACGCCCGCCCGCGCCGCGCCCATACCGCTATAACGCGCACAACGCTATAACGCCAAGTGAAAAATAACAATCGTCCTTGTTTCGCGGTGCCCGCTACGGCAGGAAATGCGAATAGTGCCCGGGGACGCGCTGTCTGCACTTCTCGCAGTCGTCGCGGTAGCCCATGCTGAAGCGGCCGGGCGTGCCGGTCAGCGCGCCGCTGCGTTTGCGGCCGCGCGGGGTGGGCGGCAGGGCGAGCGGGGCCGACTCGGTGTCCATCTCGTCGGCAGTCGCGTGCGAGAAACTAAGTCGCGAGAGTTGCGATTGCGTCAGGGCGGTGGGCGTGTCGGGGATGTCTTCGTCTTCGGAGATGGGCGAGGGCATGCGGCGGCTGCGGTCGTTGGGCTGCTCTTGTCTGTTCTTGCGGACGGTCAGGCCAGGCAGTGAGGGCGATGCGTTGCTTGTTACGCCGCCTGCTGAGCCGCTGGTGGGATAGCTGAGCCCGTTCATGCCGCCTCGGCTGAATGTGGGATGTATGGGCGTCGGTATGCGCCCAGTGTTGTTGCAGTCGGAGAGCGTCGAGGAAGATGGATTGAATGTGGGCGGCCGAAAGAAATGGTCGCCGAATGGTGACTCTGGCGGTTGGCTACATACGTCGCTCTGATTGTCGTCTTCGTCCATGCTCATTCTGTAGTCCATATCTGACCACTGGGAGGACTGGACTGGGCCTCCCCATGCGTGGTTTTGTCGTTGTCCGTTGTGCGCCGACATCATGGTATCGGCGTGTGATGTTGCTGGCGGCGAAGGCGGAAGTGAGGGTCCGACATTGATATGTAATGGCGATGCTGCGAAACCATGGTTGAGGTGTGCGATGTATGCTGGTCGAGATTTCTATTACCCATCAGATTGGTCCACTGCATTTGTTGGCTGCTACACACCTTGAAGTTGGGCTCCTCCTCAGAGTCCGAGTCGTCGTCTCGCCGCCGCTTGGAAGTCATGGTCTGGAATTGAAACATGGTGGGTGTGATGTCAGAGCGACTGATTAGATTAGGTAGCGGGGGACACGATCAACGTGCGGGCGAGGCAGCAGTGAAATGGGTCCAGCGGCGCACAGATGGTCTTGAGTCTTCTCTTCGTCTCTGACCGCGGGGAATCTCGAAGCAGCGATGGATGTGGCGTGCTCATTTGTTTTGAGGCAGGCGCTGATGGGCTAGACAATCAGGGGAAGTGCAGAAGACTGCGACCCTGTTTCAGGTGTTGCATGAATGCTCTCCGACTGCCCAGTCGAAGGAGTCGCGCGCCTGTCTGATCGCTGGCGGATCCTGTGGGGAGTCGTTCCGTCGTTCCTCAAGTTTCTCAAGTGAGTTGCGCCGTTGTCGCAGCCGGCACCACCGTTACGAACGATGATCGTGGTGGAGGCTATGACCACGCTACCAGCCAGGGAGCCGCAGCCGCATCCCGTTGCGAAAATAGCGTCCCAGGAATCCGAGGTTCAGTGCCCCCTTTGCTCGGCGCAGGCGTGCGTAGAAACTGGTGGAGCTGAAGGCAGCCCGCTCAGCTGGACGGGCATTCTGATGCTGGTTGCGGCTGGATCACATGAATGCGGTGGGACAGCATGATGTGGAGGTTGCAACATGGAAATGATCAACCCCTCGGTACTGTGCACCTTTGAAAGGTAGCCTACCAGCTTGGCTTCGGGTCAACCCTTGTAGCCAGCAGTGCGAATGCAAGAACTGCTCGAGAACCATTGACGGTGCAGCGGTGAGTATGCCCTTCCAAGGTTGCCAAGAGCGCCATTGATCGACGCCTGAGGAATGGCGCTAGAGTCTATCGATTAGCCACGAACGCCCCGCCCAAACATTTTCGAGCGTGGAGCCTCTCAATTTGTCTGGATTATATGACTCCATGCAAATCGAAGTGACTTATAACGCAAACTACTCTCACACCACCTGAAATCTCTTAATCTTACATCTCTGCCTCTGCAAATCTTGTCTGCCCAGCCAATTGACTCCCTGCTTCACTGTCAGCAGCCAATCAAGCCCCGCGCATTGCCCCTCATAGCACGTCCCTACGTGGCGCTGCACAGCTCGCACTCAGCACACACTTGACCGCTGTTCCTCATCGCTTAATTGTCTGTTGTGAGTAAAGCCAGCACTCAGCCCCCTGTCACATGTAGGGCGCATGTCTGACTAGCTATAAGAAGCAGAGACCTTCACAATGGCCTTCGCCGACGCAGATCTCAAAAACCCTAAACTTGCCGGAGACATGCCTTCCTTCAACTCCACCGAGCAGAGCGACGATGTGCGCGGTATGTGCTGCAGAAATTTCGCCTAACAGTCGCAATGCTCATGTTGCGTCACAGTCCTCGGCTACGATCCTTTGATCCCTCCCCAGCTCCTCGCCGCCGAAGTCCCAATCACACCCGTCTCCGAGAAGACTGTCGTCCGCGGTCGCAAAGAGGCCGTCCAGATCATCACACAGCAAGATGACCGTCTCCTGGTCATGGTCGGGCCCTGCTCGCTGCACGACCCCGAGCTGGCGCTCGAGTACTGCCAGCGCCTGAAGGCTCTCGCCGACAAGCTGCAGGACAACATCTGCATCATCATGCGCGCCTACCTCGAGAAGCCCCGCACAACTGTCGGCTGGAAGGGCCTGATCAACGACCCCGACATCGACGAGTCGTTCCAGATCAACAAGGGTCTGCGCATCTCGCGCAAGCTTTTCGTCGACCTCACATCGTCTGGCATGCCCATTGCCTCCGAGATGCTCGACACCATCTCCCCCCAGTTCCTCGCAGACCTGATCTCCCTCGGCGCCATTGGTGCGCGCACAACAGAGTCGCAATTGCACCGTGAGCTTGCCTCTGGTCTCTCGTTCCCCATTGGCTTCAAGAACGGCACCGACGGCGGTCTCACAGTCGCTGTTGACGCGATTGGCAGCGCGGCCGCAAAGCACCACTTCATGGGTGTGACCAAGCAGGGTCTCGCGGCCATCACCCGGACAAGCGGAAACGAGCACTGCTTCGTCATCCTGCGCGGCGGGTCAAAGGGCACCAACTTCGACAGCGCCAGCATCAAGACTGTGCGCGAGCTGTTGCGGAAGAAGGGCCTGCCCGAGGTCATGATGGTGGACTGCTCCCACGGTATGTTCGCACCTGTGCAGTGATTTGAGTACGGCGACTGACGCTTCCAGGCAACTCCAACAAAGACCACCGCAACCAGCCCAAGGTCGCCAAGGATGTCGCGGATCAGATCCGCAATGGCGAGACGGGCATCGTCGGTGTCATGATCGAGTCCAACATCAACGAGGGCAACCAGAAGGTGCCTGCCGAGGGCCCCAGCGGCCTCAAGAAGGGCGTATCCATCACCGATGCCTGCATCGACTGGGAGTCCACGGTCGGCGTCCTTGAGGATCTCGCTGCTGCTGTTGCCGAGCGCAGGGCGAACAGCTCCAAGACTAACGGTGCGCACTGAGCGCGTAGACTGGCTTGGATCGGGAGGGTTGGTGCTTGTATATACGTGTTTTTTGCCGACGTTTACATTGGATGAAAAGTTCAACATGGGGGTGCAGATTTTACACATTCAGCGTCGAGAATACGATTGCATATCTTCACGATCAGCTTCGCTTTGGGTATCAAATCACTCGTCCTCTTCGTCTTCCTCCATCTCTTCATCTCCCCCTCTCCCACCCGCGCTATTCCGCTGCGGTACTCTGTCCGCCCTCTCGCCCACGTAAACGTTCCCGCTGCACACAGCCCTGCACTTCGGACACCTCTTCCCCTCAGCGCTCTTCCCCCTGTAATACTGATTCGCACACCGATCATGCCACCGCACCCCGCACTCGCGATTATTACACCGAATGCCAAACGTGACAATCTCCCTGCACCCTTCACAATCCCGAATCCTGACCACCGGCTCCTCGTCCTCGTCCTCGGCGCCCTCGTTGTACGTCTCCTTGAGATACGAGTGCAGCTCCATCAGCGCGCGCGGCGCAAGCGAGAAATACATGGCGCGCGAGAGCTGCAGAAAGCGGTCTGCGACCAGCGCATCGAGCACGGCGTCGGCCTCGGCGATCGAGATGCCCGCGTCGGCCTGGCTCTGCGCGTCGTCGGCGAGGCTGGCGGCCTGCGACTGGCGGCTGCGGCGCGGGCGCGCGAGCTGGCTGGCTTCCATTTGCTTGACCGCCATGGTCTCGCGCGTGGGTGTGTTGTTGGTGTCGAACATGGCGTCGAGCAGGCGGCGGATGAAGGCGATTTCGCTGGGGGAGAAGCGGGTCGCGAGCTGGGTCATGGCGTCCGAGGTCTTGTTTACGAGCGCGTAGGTTGTTTCTTTGGTCTGTTGGTTGCGGGTGTGGCGGATTTCGAAGTTGTAGGGCTCGAGGCGGGCGTTGATGGTCTGGATTGTGGGCGTGATGAAGCCGGACTGAGTTACGTCGCCGACAGGGAAGGGTCGCTCTGGGTCTGCGAGGTGTGTTAGTGAATGCGGTATATGTGGGGGAGTGGACTGACTATGCGCAGTCATGATGGCTGCGAGGACTGGCTTGATCTCATCCACTGTCATAACGCCATGAGTGAAGAAAGACTGCAGGAAGACGCGGTGGACGTGAGTATAGGCCTCCTCGTCTGGCACGTCGCGCACAAGCGGCGTTTCGTCCCGTGACATAGTGATCCTCACTTGAGGTAGGTCGAGTCAGCGTGCGATATTTCAAGTGGTGTGGGGTTGAAGTTGGAAGGAATAGACGCGTTGCCAGGGAATCTTGGCAAACGCGAAACCACGTGCAGGCGTCGCTGAAGTACACGGGCCGGGCCTGCCTACACCATCCATCGCGAATTGATGATTGAACGTTATTGCTCCCAATAAACTAATTGGGTGGGTACTATGCCTTTAATTGCATGTTAGACTTGCTACAATACTTCGCAGCTACAACCCCTGCATTGATGACCTTCAACACCGCTGGTCGTCTTGACAGCTTCCGTCGCTTCCAAGGTTTGTCTCCCAGCAACCTTGCAACAGCTTCACGACTCGCGGCTCACCGTGAATGACCTTGTGATCACAAAACAAGTACATCCTGGCCACAAGGCGCTGGACCGGTGAACTTGATAGTTATCATGCCATTTTGCAACTGTCAGATGGGGAAAACAGGGCGGTTGTCGTTTTGTCGGTCCTTCTACAGCGTGAAGCGTGCTAGATGACCACGAGGACCTTCTACCGGCCCGTTCATACATCATGATCCAGGTCCAAGTCGTTGTTCAATATCTCGGGAAGCTAAAAAAGTCTATCTGCAGGAACAGAGCCGCCGGCCGAACATGATGACGGTATTGCGGCAGGGGCCTCTTGGCTTACCCAACACCACGATGAATTTACAAAGTGCAAAAAATGGACAAAGTCACCAGTTTTGTTCGGCTATGATGCCGAGGATCGTGACAGTGCTCCCAGATAGCCGCCCCCTGGCCAGCACGAATCAGGCAGATCTGCAATTAGCAACGATTGGCCGGCAGCCGGTGCCAGCTCGCAAACAGCGGTCACCGTTGGTGAGCCCAACCGGGCACGCGACAAAAGGGTCCGTTCGCTCTGGCCTGGGCCAGCTCTGAAGATCAACCGTCATATGAACTCTATTCAGCAGCGAGCCCGCGATCAACATTTGCTCTTGCCCAAGGCTGCGAGCTGCTTAAGCATGTCCCGCAGCCCAGTGCATGACGGGGTCCTGTCTGGGACCATCATGTCAAACTAGCAAAACTCAGGGTCTTGTGGATCGCCTTGTTTCGTACCTACCGCTTGACGCCCAGCCTGGTCTCAGACAAGCCACAGCAGGTTTCCGCCTCGTACCCTGAAGTGGTCAGATGGCTCGCAATACCTGCACAATACCAGAGTGGCAGTGTGACTGGGAAGTACTGGGAGGTCAGCACGGAAGGCTGAGCACGTGAAGTTGCAGCGCATGTACACTACGGTGTACTCATGTCTCTGCAAGCTGCCCTGGTGGCCCTAGCGACTTGATGTCGCAATCGAATGAGAGGAAGCAGCGTGATAGGGCGGGCAGCTGACTGGACGGGTGGAAAAGTGGTGATGATTGTCAGTTCCAGGCCCGGCCCCGGGACTGAGCAACGCTCTCTGCGCCTTGGAAGCGGAACACTAGTAACTCGCCATCCCTCCATTTCCCGATCCCTAATAAGCACTCTCGATCCGCTGCCCTTCTATGCTCCAAAATTCACGATCACAAGTAGTTGTTTCCGCCCTCTTCTCCTCTCCGCCCACGCTCCGCCGTTGGCACTCTCAGCCCTACCACCGTTACGTCACGAGCCTGCTGTTTCAGGGGGCTCCAGAACGGACCCTGCGTACCCTCTTAGCGAGCCGCGCATTTCAACAGCCCGCCGGCGCAATTGGCCACGGCAACAGGTTTTGAACGCAGCAATTGCTTATCGCCGCATTTGCACTCCGAAGGCCTTCGTCCGGCCTCAGACATCAGCGACATTCCTCAGCACACTCAGCGAGCGCTGTTCTGAGCGTTCGTTGCTGCGCCGTCCAGGCCCTGTTTGTCATCGGTGCGGTGACATCATACTGGAAATTGCCGGGCAGCACACCACCCCGGCCATCACGCCCGCACCAACTATAATCAACGCCACGGAGATCCATATTTCATGTACCTATTGCCTACCACGCCCCTGCACCGCCGCTAGAGCCACACCTGCTACGTCGACACCATCGTGCAGTTGCTCAGCATGTCAACACCTGTGATTTCCCCCAGACCGCGAGGAACCTCCTACTCGGCACAGCGACCCGTCAGATCGACGCCCATGACGAAGCCAAGTACGACCCTACCCAGGGCCCATCCACCGCCTCTCGCGCCCCGCATGAACGGCATCGCCAAAACCCCGAGCCATGTCGTGCAGAAGAGTAAGGCACCGGGCACGCCGAGCCCGAATTACTTTGGCCTGACCGTCAATGGCGACCACTTCTCCTCCAGCGCGGCGCAGCACATCCGCGGCAACTGGAGTCCACCGACGTCAGACGTGCGCTCGACCGCCGCCGCGTCGCCGCAGATGATTCCTGTCGAGCAGAATCCCGAGTTCGAGCAGTTCAGGAAGGCCTCCGAGAACGCAAAGGGATTCGCTCTGGGCAACTTCGACTTTGGCTCGTTCTCGGCTGCCGTGCCCACAAAGGGCCCACTGACTGGGTCCTACAAGCCGCCTATATCTCCACAGTCGATGAGGGACACTACACAAGCCACCGTCGAAAAGTACGACGGCAGCAGCGATTCATCGCCCAAGTCGCCCAAGCCTCGCTCCCCCAAACGCATGCTTTCCACCGATGCATCCATGTTCCCCGACCGACCGAGGAGAAATTCACCAGCTTCCTTTGAAGGCTTCGGGCGCACAGATGCCATCGCCGAGTTCGATGAGATCCGCCCACCCCGGCCCTCCTTGCCGCCAACAAGAACCTCGCATCACCAATCGATGCGGGCAGAGACACTGCCTGCTAATATCTCTGGTGAAACCAACACCGAAGGGCCTACTATGGCGACCCCTCAGCACATCCTTAACATCCTAGAGTCAGCGGTCGAGGAGGTGCTCCTGCTCGACCTTCGAGTGTCCACGCAATACGCCAAATCTCGCATTGCAGGCGCACTTAGTCTTTGCATACCTACAACACTCCTCAAACGAGCATCGTTCAATGTACAGAAGTTGGCAGAGACCTTCAAAGACGACGAACAGAAGCAAAGATTCGAGAAATGGAGGAACAGCAAACACATCATAGTCTACGACTCCAACTCAGCGCAAATGAAGGACGCGGCAACTTGCATCAACACACTCAAGAAGTTCACATGTGAGGGCTGGAGTGGCAGCACTTTCATCATCCGCGGTGGCTTCCTAGAATTTTCACAGAAGTTCCCCAACTGGGTCACACAAGCGAGCTCCCAAAGCCCTATCTCGACATCGGGCATGAAGGGAGCCCTCAAGCTCAACATTGACCGACCTGTAGTTGCACCAGTCATCGGTGGCTGCCCAATGCCCGCTACGCAGAACGCTGCAAACCCCTTCTTCGGCAACATTCGTCAAAACATGGACCTCATCGGTGGTGTTGGCCAGATGCCTGTAAAGAAGCCCGCGTCCATGACTACATCTGCGAAAGAGGAAGTTCCGCAGTGGCTTCAGCACGCCGCAGATGACAAGGACGCGGGCAAGCGCGTGTCTGACAAGTTCTTACACATTGAGAAGAAGGAACAGAAGCGCATGCAGGAGGCCCTCTCAGGCAAAGTTGTCTACGGGACCCCTGGAGGGCAGAAAGATGTCTCCAAAAACATCCAAATTGCTGGTATCGAAAAGGGTTCCAAGAACCGGTACAACAACATCTGGCCGTACGAGCATTCTCGAGTCAAGCTCGAGGGTTGTGCAGATGGGTCGTGTGATTACATCAACGCCAACCATGTCCAAGCCGCCTACTCGAACAAGCGTTACATCGCGACGCAGGGTCCAATCCCCGCTACATTCAAGGTATGTCTTACACTACATCACACTAAGCAATCACGGCTGACAAATGTTTAGGACTTCTGGAACGTTGTTTGGCAGCAGGATGCCCGCGTCATTGTCATGCTTACCGCCGAGCAGGAGGGTGGACAAGTCAAAGCGCACAATTATTGGTCTGACAAGCACTTTGGCAATTTGCACTTGAAGCAGCTCGGAGAGCATCGTGCTTCCCTCGAGCCATCCAAGATCCACGGCCACAAGGAACGCTCGAGCGCAAACAGACCTACTCTCGGCCAGAGGAAATCGACAGCATCGCAACCGAGGACCTCGTTTTTCCCTGACCCTAATGAAGATGAGACCGCCGCACCTCCTGCATCTGAAAAGCCTTATGTCATCGTGCGGAAGTTTACACTTTCAAACGACGACGAGCCTTTCGAGCGCATGCGCGAAATCACGCAGCTGCAGTACTCCCACTGGCCTGACTTCGGTGCGCCAGCGCATCCGACCCACCTTCTCGGTCTTATCGAGCAGACCGATGCTGTCGTCCGTTCTGTCAATGGCGTCAGCTCCCCCAACAAGCCCGAGTCGGCTAACAGCCGTCCGGTTGTTGTCCATTGCTCTGCTGGCTGCGGCCGCACTGGTACATTCTGCACTGTTGACTCTGTCCTCGACATGCTCAAGCGCCAGAAGCTAGCCGGCTCCGGCCGACAACCCACGCCAATGGACGTCGACGCCGGGTCACCCAACCGCCGCGAGAACGGAGAGTGGATCAGCAAAGACGATCTAGATCTCGTTGAGAAGACGGTCGAGGACTTCCGCCTCCAGCGTCTCAGCATGGTGCAGTCGCTGCGCCAGTTTGTGCTTTGCTACGAAAGCGTCCTGGAGTGGGTGAACGAGCAGCACGTCCAGGCCAAGGCCGCTTAGACCGGGATTCTCCGCATTGCATGCATTTTGTCTGTTTTTTAGTTTTTGAGAAACTGGGTTCATGAGATTCACGACATGCATGAGCAGGGCGTGTGGGCGCACAGTTGTTAGCATTGGTGTTTTTTGCGGTTCGCTGTGTGGGATCATGGGTCGGCGTTGCATTGCTTCGGGCGTGTGTATAATGCATAGGTATCATGGCGAGTCGGCGTGGATCTGGGTTGGCTTGATGCGACGGGCTTGGATAGTATGGAATCAGGCGCAATGGTCGCGATGGCTAAAGAACACAATTGAAGACGTATTTCCAAATTGCTGCTTCAAATCTTTCATCTTGTCGTTTTGCATGTGCGGCCTCACTGCTGTTACCACACTGCTCTCGCCTTGGTGGGGTGCGTAATCACAAATGTCTCCCATATATACATGGTATGTCCAACAGCGCTTGAGCAGTACACCTGCCATCCACCGCCATCGGAGTCGTATATCTGTGCAGAAGCCAATACTCTGCCCCCAGAAACCCACGCCTCCATCCACAAAACCACCGAGAAGCGGTAGGACAGAACAAGTGCCACAAGCCCCATCACCAGAAGGCTCGAGTACCCGCAACAACGCATCAAAGCCCAAACACCCTCCTCCATCCCATCTAACGACCTCCCACTGTCCTTCATAGCTTCCTCAATACATCTCAACGCCCGCTGCTCTACACGACCCGCCTCCCCGCCACCTTGCGGTTCTCAACCTGCCTCTTCGCCTTCAGCGCATCGCGCCTCCTCTTCTTCCACGCACGATTGATATCGCCCCTGTGCTCCCAGAACCACGCCTTGAACGCGCTATCCTCCTTGGGCTCGCCAGCCGGCGCAGCCTCGCCGTCCTCACCGCCCTCAGCCTCCTCAACCACATCAGCAAGCCCCTTGCCCTTATTCGCCCGCGTATTCAGACTGAGCTGCGCCTCCGCGGCCCCGTCGCCGCTCAGCTCTGCGTCCTCCTCGGCGTCCGCGCTGCCCTTGCGCCAGTCGAAGCTGAACCGGCGGCCGATGGCGGCGGTGTCAGGCGTTGGGGCGGCGCTGCGCAGGCCGCGCCACTCGAGATCGCGCTGCGTGAAGGGGGTGGTGGGCGCGGCGTCGGTGGGCGAGGTGGCGGCGGGCGGCGAGGTGGTTTCGTTGTCGAAGAAGGAGAAGGTTGTGTTTATGGGGGGTGGCTTGGTCGGGGTGGAGAGTGTGGGGGTGCGTTTGAAGAGTGCTTCGAGGGGGTGGATTTCTTTGGATTCTGTGGAGAGGGTGGCGGGGATGGGTTTGGGGGTTGGTTTGGAGGCCGGTTTGGAGTGGACTGGGGAGGGGACGGGGGAGGCGGCGGGAGAGTTCTTGCTTGCTTCTGAGTCGTTGTCGAATTCTGGGTCTGAGTCTGAGTCGGAGTCGGAGTCGGAGGAGTCTTCGGAGGAGCTCGATACGACACTCGAATCGTCGTCCACTTCAGACTCGGACGATGACTCTGGTGGTGGTGCGGCCTTCTTCTTTTTCTCTTTCTTCGCTGGCTTAGGCGCTTCTTTCTTCACGATTGGTCGTCCTTGAGAGTCTGTTGGCGGCGGCTCCTTCAACGGCTGGCCATCCACGAGCTGCAGAACTCTGCTGTGCGCTGCTTTCTTCGTCTCAGGTTCGACCACAGTGCCGTCCTCGTCCACCCATCCTACGCCATCAATGTAGTCGACTGGAGGCTTCTTCTCGGTCGAGACCTTGGCTACCTTGAGGAAGGAAGGCGTCTTGGTGTTCTTCTCGAATTCATGAATAATGACTTCCTTGGTCTTGGTTTTGCGCTCTTTCTTGTCCTTCTTTTCCTTCTTTTCCTTCTTCTTCTCTTTGTGCGTGTGCTCAGTCGCAGCAACAGGCTCTAGCTTCGCTGTGAAGAGGAGCTCGGCATCTTTGGTGTATTTGGACGGCTTCGCCTGGTGCTTGTCGTCTTTGCTCTTCTTGTCCTTCTTGTCCTTGCTGCTCCTAGTCTTTGCAGAAGCAGGCTCAGTCCATCCACGCTTGACCTTGCGGCCCTCTGGGAGCTCCACGCCGTCAAAGACACCAGGTGACCTCTCGCGCTTCTCTGATTTCGCCTTCTTCTCTTTCTTCTCCTTCTTGTCTTTCTTTGAGCGCTTGGCAGGCTTCTCCTCGGCGTCTGCTTCTTCGCGCGCTTTGCGCTTCTCGGGCTTGGCCATCTCGATGCGCACCTTTGAGCCCTTCAGCGTAGCACCGTTGAGCTTCTTCTTGATCTTCTGCGCCTCTGGCTCTGGCAGCTCGACGTAGCCAAATCCTCTCTCGGGAAACGTCTCAGTGGCGTGGTAGGAGATGTTGCGCGCAAGCGGCAGGACTGATGGCGCGAGATAGACCTTTAGCAGCTCAGGCTTGAACGGCGTAATGTGCAGTCTGACAGTCTTGGTGTTATCCGATTCTGTAGCAGGCGCCTGTGTCGCGGGCATTGAGTCGCCGTGACCGTGTATATCCGAAGCTCGAAGCTGTTCTGCGCGTGCAACTTGACCGCGGCGGTGGGGAGGAAAATGTAGGCCTTAGCGCCTGCTGGTCGTCGATCAGGTCAAAGCGCGGCGAGCTGTCGGACTGGGATGTCAAAGAACAGCCGAACCTGGTCAACCCTCGAGTCTGTGTGAGATCAGGTGAAACCCCAGATCATCGCTGACTGCGAGTGTCGTGTTCTTGTAAGCACGCGCCGACTGTGCATCGGAAACCGAGCGGACCCTGGTCAGCCGCACCCAACCGCCACCAACGCGCCAGCACTCGTCGCGCAACTGTACAACAACCACCGCGACCATGAGGAGGTACCTCCTTGCTGTTCTGACCTTCTTTGCATTTTTATCGCTGTCTCTCGCCGCATGTACGTCTCTCGCCCGCCGCCACTTTCGCCTCTAACCACCACAGCACCGACATCCTACTGCAAATGCACCTGCTTCGGCAATAGCACCATAGTCGCCCTCGACGCGCCCTCCACCACGTCGAAACCGCACCTCGAACTGCGTCCACGCGCGAATAGAAAGTCTTGCAACGACTGCAACCGCCAGTTCTGTCTGGGCTACAGCTTCTGCAAGGGTGAGAAGGAGGAGAAGGTCCTCACATCGTGTTTCCAGCGAGACTCGACAAAGGACCAGGTCGTGGTGCTGGCCTTCATCGCTGCGACGGTGGGATTACTGGGGTATGCGGGCGTGAGGCCGTGGGTAGACCAATGGCGAGAGGTAAGCACCAGTTCTGATTGCGAGGCTCGTACTAACGTTGCACAGCGCCGCCAAAGCTACATGCCCGTCTCGGGGCGAGGCAATCAATAGACAGAAGCTGCTCGTGCGATGATCGATATGCAATTATAGACATGAATGACAGATATCCAGCGCCCGTCTACATGTGCCGCCCAACTCCGCGATGCATACATGATAGTGAAACAGCGATGTACAAGCTGATGTCGAGTATAGTACACGGAGGTCTGTTGCCTCCTTTTACTCAATCTGATATCCTACTCTTTCTTGGAGGATCCCCACATCCATCCCAACCAGCCCTTGCCCTTCTGCTCAATCTTCTGGGTCGCCTGCGCGGCCTCCTGGTCAAGCGGACCGCCGACAACTGGCGTTGATGTGGATGTTGTCGACAGAGTGCTCGAGACCTTGTCCGCCACCTTGTCCCGTGCCTCCTGCACCGCCGCAGTGACACTCGCAACGCCAGCATTGACACCTGAGCTCTGCCCCTCGGCCTCTGTCTTCTTGAACTCGGCCAGCGCCGCCTTCCTCTGCTCCTCCAACAGCTTCTCCTCCTTCCAGTCGCCGTGCAGCCACCACAACAGCTTCGATGGCGCTTTCCTCTCGGCCTTCTTCTTCTCCATCGCCTCCTCTTCCTCGGCAATACCTGCGACGAGGGCCGCCTGCGCAGGCGATGCAATTCCTGCGGCGACAGCTGTTCGGGCGGCTTCGAGGATCTTGGCTTGTTCGCGCTCCTGTTCTGCGAAGTAGATTGCGCGTTTCCGGCGGTTGTAGACGACCATGTCGCCTATTGAGAACACGGCGAGGACACCGACACAGCCTGTAATTTATGAGTAACTGGATTTTCACTTTACAAGACTCAATGCGGCAGCATTGGGCGTATTGCACGTAGCAGACGTACCGGTTGCGAAAATCAACCCATACACTGTGAACCTATGCGCCGCATCTGCAGCCATTCGGCCGTACAGATACGCGTAATCCCACTTGGTGACCTGCGCCATCTTCGCCCTGTTCGCCGCCTCCCTCAGCCTCTTGACTTTCTGCTGCGGCGTCTCGTTCTTGGGTGCTGGATCGGCGAATTGCAGCGTCGAGGCGCGTCCGCCCGGTCTTGTGTGCGCCCATACTCCCGTCGCTGTGAAGCGCGTGGCATCTTTGACGTGCTTCGACATGCTGATGTGTGGGGGAGACGAGGGGTGGGCGTGGCAGGTGCGATGTGGAGATCGGATGATTCGACAAAAGTTGGGATCATCGAAGAGGCTGCCAAGACCTGAGATCTTGACATCGGCATGCGGGTCATAGAGCTGCCGACTTCATCTGTCGATCACGCACTCCGTGATTGGATCTCACGGCCGATTCTTGTGATTTTTTGCTTTCACATGCATTGCAGGGCTTGAGGAAGGAGTGAAGAGTGCGGTTCTCATTTCGTCAACTCGAACGCGACTCTTGTCACTTTCGATCTTCCCTGGCTTCCACTACGCGCCATGTCCATTCACGTGCACACTGCTGGATTAGCTGCTACAACCGCGCCTTGAACCGAGCTGTTCATTCCAATACTTGCTTGTCAACATGGCGGAGAATAACGCGCTGCCGGCCAACATGGACCTGGATGCCATCCTCCGGACACTTGCCAGTCTCTCGAAGCCCGAGGAGCAAGGACAGCATCAGCCTCAGGACCAATACGTGCCACAACAACAACCCGCGGCAGATCCTCGCTTGGCCGGACGCTCATTCCAACCTCAGCCCATCCCAAAGCCTCAAGTGCGCTCGTCCACGCCCCTGATCGATCCTGCAACTATCATCGACTGGAAGCAGGGTTTGCGATGCGTTAGCAAAATCGCGGCACAAAACCCGCAATTCACAATCACAGTGCGCAAGCTAATCAAGGACCAAGAGGGTAACGTGAGGCAGTGGGAAGCCGGTCGAACGCGCCTCATCGAAGAGCATGTTCTAAAGAAGGAGAATGAACAAACACATCGAGCTGCATTGTAGGTTTGGAGTAATTCTTGGTATCGAACCTGGCTGACCTCTCTAGATCTCTGCCAGGTCTTTTGGAGAACACACCTCTCCTTCGGGTACGACCGTGCAGGCTGCTTAGCATGCACAAGCTAACACGCGCTAGACTCCGGAGCGTGAACAGGAAGAGCTTACACAATACGATGCCAAGGTCTACCGGGCTAGCAAAGCAATGGTGGAGTCGCAGACGTCAGCGCTGAAAGTACTTGGAGTGCCGTTCTTTGGTGTGCGGCCGCACCTGCTGGCCAGCGAGGACGAGACGATTGCTACGAATGCAGATGAAAGTCCCATGAAGATCTCACAAAGCCAGGTCTTGGAGCTCCAGCGAAGGATGCTAACCCACTTACTGGACCTGTATGGCGATTGATCGATACTGGGCGTCACTGGAAATTGCATGGAGCATAGGCAAGATAGCATCGACTGTTGGATTGGTAGACATAGGGTGTCTCCGCCACTGGTCCCGATATCGGTTTCCACTGTCTGAAGTTCTTGCTTGGATCTCGCTGGTAGTACCATAGCACAACCTGCCATGTGTAGGTCGTTTCGACCTGGTCACAACTAAGATTACGGTCACGAAAAGGGCGGCACCACCCAGAAAGCCGGGATGTATTGAAATAAGCACCTGAGGATTATTGCACATGGCACGCGACGACGATGCAGGCTACCAATAAGAGCGCGTTTGCCAAAGCACGAAACAGGCAAGAGCGACGCGGGTATGACACAACAACACAAACGGAGGTTCACCGTCATACCGATTTGCTGCTCTGCTACTGGCTCACCTTTGATCAATCTTGTAAAGAGCTCTCATCTCGCCTTCACCCCGTGTCGCGTTGCCAAGAACCTTGCGATCGGCGCTCACTTACACTTGCTCCCTCCCCGGCTTTTTTCCTCTCCTCACCAACGATCCCACACTCGTTCCACCCGTTGGCTCCGCACTCTTTCAACACAATCACGTTCTTTTTCTGAACCCATTCCCCACGACTTCGACCACTTTCGTAGTCATGAACTCCCTTCGCACGCTCGCGCTTGCCGCAGTCGCTGGTAGGTATCACTCCGCACTTTCTTTCCGCGCAATTCCCTCGTGCCGCCACACGAAGGACACAATTCTGTTTTGAGTAATCATACTGATATGCAGGAGCTGGCGTCACTGCCGAGGCCATGTACGACCGCGTTTCCAATGGAGAAGTGATCGAAATGTTGCCTAGGGGCGAGGCCGAGGGCATCTGCCCCGAACTTCCCAATCTCTGCACTGCGCCAGCCATGATGTACGGCTACGCTACAACCGTCACCTACGTCTGCCCGGAGACCAGCAAAGTTCGCGAACCGTCCACGGTCCATGTTACGATCACCAAGACTACTACGGTGACGCCTACCAGCGCTGAGCCGACTCCGGTGTTGACCAGTGCTCCTAGCGTGTAAGTAGCTCTCTTCCTTGAATGTTCTGGTCGTGCTATGTATTGATCGTGCTAGGGTCGCTCCCCCGGTTCAATCTGAAGAACCGGATTCCACGACTACGGTCCACACGACGAAGACCGAGTACTTGACCATCACCCTTATCGGTGCAACCCCTCTTCCTGATGCCTCGACTATCAGCGTCTCGGATGATCCTATCGATTCGACTCCCTCTGCTGCCCCTATCACCAGCACCTTGACCGCTCCTGTCGGTTCGACTTCTTTCCCTGCAGCCCCAATCACCAGCCACCCCTCAGTGACCACTTCGACTCTGCTGCTTCCTCATCCCATCGATAGCGAGGAGCCTGCGTTCACGGTTCAAACCTCCGTTCCCCCAAGGGTCAACTGCACATCACACTCCAGCTTCCCGTCCATGTCGCTGCCCGTCATCAACGGCACCACGACCGGCGTACTCTACTCTGCATCAATGACGAACTCCTCCCTCGTTCATCCCACCCCTTTCTTCCCTAACGCGACTTCTGCTCACTCGCACCTCGCCCTTCCTACCCCGAACGTCGAGAACAGGGCGGCTGAGAACCAAAAGGTCAAGGGCGCTGCTCAGAAGCTCGGCACTTCTCTCGTGGCTCTCGCTATCGGCGTGGTGGCAGTAGCCCTCGTTGCCTGAGCGTTTCTTTGATGCATCTGCAGTCAATGATACGCAAAGCTCGCATACTTACGACGGTGCAATTTTGGCGGAGATCTCGAGACTGAGATATGAAGGTTATGCGGCATCTCGCTCACAGATGTGGGTTGCAATTTGGGGTGTTCAATATCATGGCGATTTTGGCGTCTATCCGCTTCACTAGTATGGATTACGTCGGATAGCCAATCACAAATGATACTCTTTTTCATCATGGACTGACTATCCCCACAACGTTTCCTTGCACTCAATTCGTGATGCTCCAGACATAGGAAAGGTAACACGTGATATCTATGCATCCTCACATCGCCACTCTCATACAGACAACGGTAGAAGCTGATAACTTCTAATGCTTCTGCACTTGATTGAGAACAAGACTAGACTGCTAATCATAGGTACATGTGCAGGCCTGATGTGGACAACCTGCAGTAACGTCCTATATGTAAGGTAGTGCATCAACTGAACACATCTTGTACAGATTTAAAGTGCTCATTAGACCGTAATATATACACATGCTTCCTACGTACTGCCTTGGCCGAACTGCATCACCTTTGAAACAAAGGCCACGTACTATTCCACCTTTAGATGCTATCTTCTGGTATATTATTAACATCAATCCCAGGATAAACAACACCGCGGAACTTCGCCACCTGCTCTCGCATCCTTTGAATCTGTCCGGGTGTCCAAGAAGTGCGGCACGAATCCTTGGCATATCCCATGTGGTTATCTACAAAGCACGATGCACGTCAGTCTGCCGTTCTATAAGTGCTGATACTATATTTTCCACTTACAGATAAGATCTACACCGGGATGGTCGGGGCATGAATCTCTGTCCTCAGTGTTAGTAAATCGAGGCCCGGTGACATTGCTAGAGGATGCAGAGGCTTACCTGGGTTCGCAACTTGTTGGGTCGGAGTAATCTAGCATCTCGTGCGGAGTGTCGTCGACCTGAGTAGATGATTAGAAGCTTCGATACGAGGCTGAATCAATGAACGTACGTAGTCGAAACTGAATTCGCACTGGTATGAGAAAGGGTGATAGAGACCAAACCACTAAATAGTGCAGTTAGCTTTAGCTTCAGGCAGCCCTTCTTTTGTAAATGAGCAGAATGGCTTCAGAGCAATGGAGACGTACGTGGCCAACTTCGTGAACAAGCGTCTTGCCCTCGCTTTTCTCAGGATTGCTTCCTCCAACTAACACTGTGCCGTTGATGAAGACACCGTCCATTTCTGGACGATACTGCACCTCAGAGGCTGTAGTAGCCCATGCATAATCGGTGCTGTTGTTCGCACTAGAAGACTAGGTTAGCTCAACTCGGTACAGTCTAGGGCGTATGACTTACCCCACGGTGTAAACATTCAGCGTTGCATTACCTCCCTTGTGTAGCGTTGTTGCTATCTCAGTCTCAACTGGAGAATAGTACTTGACGTCCCGGTACCTGGTACAATGGTAAGCGGCTTGAATGGCGTAGGGATTGCATCGAAAGGTTCAAGGAGACGTACCAATGGGCGTTGATCGTGCGAGTCGTCTCCACGAGGGTGAACTTGTATCCAACCTCTTCAAAAGCACTGTTCAAGATCTTCATTTGCGCATCGATTGTTTCATCACTATGTCTCGGTTAGCGGCTACCACGCCGAGTACTTCCCATCTGAAGTTGTGTTGCACACCGTCATACCTGATGTTTCCGCCTTCCTCCGTCTCATCAGCGCTTATGACCTGCATGACAACCTACGAAGTATCAGCCATAGATACCATATTGCTTGTATGTCTAGGGAATCCTACATCAATCGGTAGTAGCACAGATGAGTTGCCTGCCTGCCTCGGCCGAACGATAGTCTCTTTCTTGATCTGCCGTGGAAGAGCTCCGGAAGCGGATGTTGGTACAACTTTATTCTGCGTGCCACACCCAAAAGCCCTATATCAACCCGTCAGCAAGCAAGCCACACACCTAGGACTCCTCTCGAATGCACATACACTCTTTCGGCTTCGGCTGCGCGCCCAACGTCTTGAGCGGAAACCGAGACGCACGCGGCGACCACGAGAAGGCACGACCACAGAGACGCAGCAACCATATTTACCAGCTGCGAGGTGTGAATTAATCGACGGAAGCATTGCTACCGGGCAGCCGCCTCTTTTACTACAGAACTGCCTGGAGTAGATCATCGTATCTTTAATCTGCGTTGCCTTGGCGGGTCCCGATGTGGGAAGGAGGGTTCTTGGAACATCACAATCGCACACCGCTTCGACTAAAGAGGTTACTGTCGGAAGTGGCGGTATCTTAAGGGCCCGCTAGTCCTTGTGCGCGCAAGTGTACGCTGGACGACAGTCTTCGTGTTCACTACGAGTTTACATCACTAACGGCGTGATCAATGTCGTCTTTATCCGTGTCCTTGCCCTATCTTTGCATTGCATGTGCAATAGTATCGGTGCTTGTAAGAATGTGCAGACCCTCCCAAGCATGGAACAGAGATGTACCTGTAGGTAGTAAAGGCCTCTAACTGGCTATAGGAGTCTAGTTAGACGTCCTGCAGGGCAACAACGTAAGATTTAACTAATAATAGGATGGTTTGTTAATTGCTACCATGGTCTGTAGCTACACTGTGCAATCTGTTCCATAGTTGTAGGGATCTGCACCAATTGCCAACGATTTTAACACAACACGTTGCTTCAGAAGTTAGGGCCTGAGGATTATCTTATCTTGATCATGAGAAATACTAGTTTGAGCTTGATCAGACTGTCTGCCTAGGTATTATTGCTGGTCCCAATTCATGACCGTCCCATTCATAAAAGCCCTTTCAGCCACTCCAGTGTTCGATCATCATATCCCTTTAGGCTCCGCCCTATGATGCCACCGAGATAAGCTGGACCACCGGTGTCTCCATCTTCTTCTTCTCCTCCGGCGATAACTCAAAGACGCCAACGCCTGAGACGGAGTCCTTGACCTGGCCCGGCTGGGGTGTGTCCTCCACAGCAGATGGAATTACCTTTCCCTCGAGCCTCTGATCGTCCGCCCGCATCGGCGCATAGAACGACAACAGATCATTCAACCGCTCTCGCTGAATGCAATTATCCAGCTTCCAGCTTGCTGCCAGCTCATCGAGCTCCTCGAATGTCTTGTCTTTAAAGTAGTCCGCCCACTCGGGGATCATGTACTCAGCCATAGTGATACCGCGGATTCCGCGGAACACGTGCATGTGCATGCGCCATTGCCACGGATACTTCTTGCTGTACTGTGCCGGAACGTTTTCCTCGAACCACTGGTGCAGCGGGCCAAAGAGGCCCTTTTGCAAATGTGCGTCATCGTATGCCCATGGGTCAACGGCTAGGTCGTGCTTCTTGCGGATCATGGGGCCCAAGAGTTTGAGCCAGGGTGAATCTGGGGAGACGTGGGCGAGACCCATGACGTTGATGTCTTTGTATGTCCAGATGTTCCAGGCTATGAGCAGGAGTCAGTCGGTACATGCAGGTGTGAGCCATGAAGGGAACCTACCAATACTTTCTGAAGTGTAGATAGCCATCTGTTTGTCGAGCATGTTGTATCTCTCGTTGTTGTGAACTTGCCAGTCCGGGTTGTATTCCTCTTTCTCGTAGATGGGTCCAAATTCACCTTGATATCTATGTTAGCTGTTGTATCCGCTATTCAAGCTACCACTGGAAGTGCATACCATTCCAGACTGGCACATTGTGCTCCTTCATGAATGCGGCTTTGCGGTCGTACATCCGGCGGATGTATTCGTCCTGCTCCTTCTGGCCTTGATATCTGCCTATGCGATTTGGGAAGCCGAAACCGCAGTAGTCATGGATGGCGTACACTGAGTTGGGGAACGTTGTGGTGAAGCCTGTAAAGTCCATGCTGAATGTATTGCCCTCGAGGAACAAAATGTGGTCCGGGTCGACTTCGCGGATAGACGGCACAATCCTGTCGTAGAAGGAAAGCAGCCGCGTCCACTGTTCGTCGGCAGGCTCGTTGAGTGGGTTGTAACCAGCCACCCAGGGATTGCCCTTGTATCGTTCTGCGATGGCCTGCCATAAATTGATAACGCGATCCTGGAAGTGTTTGTGGTCCCAGAAGGCGGCATAGCAGGTGGGGTTGTCGGAATGCCAGTCCTGATTCTGGCCACCGGGGGCTGAGTGGAGGTCGAGAATCGTGTAGATGTTATGTCTCGAGCACTGCAGAGATGTTGTCAGCCGCTACCACGCAAAAATAGGGCTGTCATTATGGGCAAGCTTACGATCTCAATCGCTCTGTCTATGTGCTTGAACGCTTCTTCCTTGATTACGAAAGGATTCATGTCGTCCTCGAAGTGGTGGTAGTTGAACGAGAGGCGTAGGCAGTTGAAACCCAGACTGGCCAAGAACTCGCCGTCCTTGTCGGTGAAGAAGTACTCCAGGAAGCGGTCAAAGAAGAAGTCGTACTTTTCCTTGCCCAGCACCTTGAGCAGTGCCGCGCGAATCTGGTGCTCTCGGCCGGGGAAGCCATTAATGAAGTTCTCCATCATCATCCAGCCACCAAGAGTTGTCTGGTCTAGTCAGCGAAAGCTCAAGGGCAAACATACATGGGTGCGATGGGTGCTACATACCCCTCTAAGGAGCACATCTTGGCCTTTGGCATCCACGATACGCGTGCCAGAGGTCTTGAGAATCCCAGATGCCATATCGAATGAATGGTGTACAGGTGGGGAATGGTGAATGGAAAGAACGGGCGTGAGGGTCGGGCCTGGTTCGTCACGGAGGACCTTGAGAGAGGATCAAGAGTTCCTAAATATACGAGCCCGGTTATATAACTAGAGTTAGGTTACGAAGCTGCTTTCTCCGACGTCGGGAGGATGTGTGGTAGCTAGTATGAATGGCGAGCCACTCGGCCACATTGAGTGACGATCTTGGAACTGTATTTCTCTCATACCTACTCTCACCACTTGCTCTCCGTGATTCGTACCTCGAGGAATAGGCGAAGGCGGCTCGGGGGAGGCACCGAACAAGCCCCGTCGGGGCAAGCATTTAGATGCCCCGCGCTAGGATCCACCTCGGGGACCAGTTTTAGGTCCCCCGAACACCTCTGACTGGTCAATGGGTGCCGACCTGGAGCCAAAAACGCCCAGACATGCAGACTTGAAGCAAACTCGATCACAAGAGTCCCCCATGGGGTACCCGCACGCGAAACATCTCCTGATTTCCCCGTAGGTGCCTTCCCCAATCTTTCGGAGCGTCTCCGTATCGCGACGACGTAGACCGTCATGCAATTCACCCGGCGCCTAGACTTTCCCTCCCAAGTGCCTGGTTTGAGGAGATTAGCGAGCTTGTATTCGATCAATTCAGAATGCTTTAGCCGCAAAGCTTGCATCGCACCCAAAACTCTTCCGTTGAATCAGCCGATTTTCGGCTAGCCACCAGGACTTACCCCGGCTCGACAACACTATTCCCTTGGGATAAAGTAGCCCTCGACACTTCGCGGATATAAAGTACGCAAGGTCCCCTCCGATGGGATCTTCAGGGCCCATTCACCACACCCCTGACCTTTCTTAACCCCCCCCCCCCCCCCCCCCCCCCTCCGCACTGCTGCTCGAACTTGAACGGCACCGTCGAAAACCTCCAACATGAACGCACTCCGCCAGCGACTACCAGCACCTCGCCAGGATCAAGTCACCCGCCTGGCTCGGAAGCAGGGTGATTCCGAGAGAGGGACTCACGGTGTCAGTCAACCGAGTCGCATGACCCAGCTTGCTGGCGAAGCCCCAATCTGGTTCCGCTCCGCCGCACGCCGACGCCTCTACTTCCTGCTTTTTCCAGCCGCTGTCGTGTCTTATGCCACATCGGGTTTCGATGGGAGCATGATGAACTCACTTCAGACGGTGTCCTACTGGGACGACTTCTTTGGAAATCCACGTGGAGCAACACTGGGGCTGATCAGCGCCATCATGTCGCTCGGAAGTATCTGCTCCACCCCTATCGCGCCCTGGGTTGCAGATAAGTACGGCCGACGGTGGGGAATCACCACAGGAAGCATTATTATGATTATTGGTGCTATCATCCAGTGTGAGTACTCCCCTCATAAGCCTGGCTGGCTGGCGGGCGAAATCTGACTTTGCATAACAGGCGAAAGCGTCAACTACACCATGTTTGTCATCAGCAGGTTCATTCTCGGCTTCGGCCTGTCCTTTGCCACCACAGCCTCACCCAGCTTGGTCAGTGAGCTGTCGCACCCCAAAGACAGAGTCACGGTCACGGCCATCTGCAACACCTGGTAAGACGACAGCCCAGAGCTCCAAGGCTCAAGAACAAGAAGCTAATACGAGATGAAAGTTGGTTCCTCGGCAGCATCGCAGCAGCCTGGATCACGTACGGCACGCGGCGTATTCCGAGCACTTGGTCCTGGAGAATCCCCTCACTGCTCCAGATGGGACCTAGCCTACTTCAACTGTCCACCATCTGGCTCCTCCCCGAGTCGCCCCGTTGGCTGATTTCCAAGGACCGTGACGACGAGGCGCTGGCTGCCCTGAAGCAATACCACGGGGAAGGCAAAGAGACCGAGCTCGTCAGGCTCGAGTTCGAGGAAATCCGCAACGCCATTGACCACGAGAAGCGTACGTATTGCACTTCAGCCCGAATTTTGGATGTGCAAACTAACAGTAGTCAGTTGCCGGCACGACAACCTGGAAGTCGATGGTCAGCACCCCCGGAAACCGCTACCGCATGTTCCTCGTCATATGCATGGGCTTCATGAGCCAGTGGAGTGGTAACGGCTTGGTCGCATACTGTGAGTGAGGATCTCTGTGGCACATCTGTTCCGGAGCTGACAATTGCCACTCGTAGATCTCTCCCGGATTTTGGACTCTGTCGGCATTACGAACAAAGATACCCAGGCCCTCGTCAATGGCTTGATCAATATATGGAACTTCGGCCTCGCCCTCACCAGCGCGTTCTTTGTAGAACGAATCGGCCGCCGGCCCCTTTTTAGAGCGTCAACCCTGGGGATGCTGGCCATGTTTACCGCTTGGACAATTGCTTCGGCGCGGTTTGCTGAGACTAATAACAAGTCCGCAGGCATCGCGGTCATAGCTCTGATCTTTGTATTCCAGTTCTTCTACTGCATCGCCTTCTCTCCGCTCCCTGTTGCGTACTCAGTCGAGGTCTTACCCTTCTCGATCCGCGCCAAGGGGATGGCGACCTATGTATTTTCCACGAAAATGGCCGTTTTTGTCAACCAATACGTCAACGTAAGTTTCACTATGCACGGAGCTGGATCCTATGGATTATCATTTTACTGACATTTATTGGATAGCCCATCGGACTTCAGGACATTGGCTGGAAGTACTACCTTGTTTACGTTGTCATCCTTCTCGTAGAGAGTTTCATCGCATACGGATGGTTCCTCGAGACCAAGGGCAAAGCTCTGGAAGAGATCGCTGTTATTTTCGATGGGGAGGCTGCGGATGTTATGGTTCCCGGTGGCAAGGCTGTTGCGGGCGTAGTTGAGCAAATCGAGAACGCGGAGCGCAAGGCATAAGATGTCAATAGCTTGGGCACGTGTTCGACCCACACACAATCTTGTTCAATCAGTGTATGGAAGGATCAAGTCTGAATACTTCTCCAACTCGTAGAATGAAGTTGGATGTTTGTAAAGTGGAAACAACATAGTAAAAACGAGCTTCTTAATCTGAGCCCCTCAAAAAAAAAACAATACTAAGTGAAGACATTACATGATGTGAATGGTGGAAGCTTTGCGGATTATATACACGCAGTCCATTACGTAGCACATTAGTACCCTCCCATTCGAAGACACAGTTCGTCAACAATCGACCTAACCAAATTGGGTCGCTACTGTGCGGCTACCGAGGGCGAGGCGCTCACGCGGACCCTCAGGTCCTCGACTTTAACGTCGATCTCTCCAAGCACGTCCAGACGAGGACCCGTCTTAGCAATGAACCATGCAGCGTCGACCACCTCGTTTGCCGCCTCGAACTACTTTCCCAGCCGACGACGGGTGTGGCAAGCATGCACGAATTGCCGCAACCGCAAGACGCGATGCGACGCGGCGCAACCGAGGTGCGGCCTGTGCACGGCCCAGGATGTCGAATGCATCTACAAGGACAGCCAGCAGCCCCGAATCGAGCACAACACGAAGATCCTGCTGGAGAGGATCCAAATGCTTGAGGACCGTATTTTCTCCTCGACTGCCTTCCTATCAGAGCAACGGGACCGGACCGGACCGCCCCCAGTCGAGCCCATCAACCCACTACCACTCAAGGAACGCAACTCAGCGTGGGCGACCTTCTCGTCGGCGCCTAGGAACGGACCAGACGAGGTTGCTCAGACAGCGGCATCGAGGGATGCTCCGGACGGCGACAGCCAGATCCCCATCCCGCTCTCGCACACCGCCAATGCGAACCACGTCCTGGGCTGGCCCTTCGTCCAGCGACTCCTTGCAGACTCAGGGGTGCTGCCTGCCAGGCCTCGAATTGATGTGCCCTGGACTGCTGCGACGGATTCATTTTTCGTCATCTCGCCAGATTCATCGGGCACGCCACCTCAGTCGTGGAGGCTCTTCCACGACCAAGGCCGCCAGGGACAGACCGAGAACCCAGATCATCTCCGTAACTGCATCAACTCGTACTTTGAGCAAGTTGACGTCTTCTTCTCCTTGCTTTCGCTTAGTGAGCTCGCCTCTGTCCTTGAGGCAGTCATTTCCTCCGAGTTGGGACCAGACGAATGGCCGTCTGATCGCATCGTCTCAACTGCCGAGTACTGCTTGCTGCTGCTCGTCCTCTGTCTCGGTTCCTTTGTCAGTCGTGGGGAGGCTCGAATACACCTTGAATCTGATCTGCCCCTCGACGACGATGGTGGTCAATCGCAGACCCTCGACGACCAGCTATGGCAGAAAGCGAAGCTGCTCCTCGGCTACCTCTCGTCTCAGGTTAGCGTCGAGGCGGCGCAGTGTATCATGCTTGCCAGGTAATCAGGCACCCGAGACTCCATCGCTGCCATGCTAATCCCACTCAGCCTGTACATGGGAGCCAGGGGCCGAGTGGCCGATTCATTCAATTGGGCTCACGGAGCCGCCGTCAAGTGCGAGGCGCTTGCAAAATTGTATCCCTTCCTCTTCTGCTTGTGCCACCCTACACTCTTCTGATACCATGCAGACTCTCCAACCAAAGCAGTCAACCTGATGCCTTCCCAGAGTCATTCCGGCGGCTGTACTGGGTGGCGTATATCTATGAGAGCGATTTCGTGTCCGAAGTCTCCATCACGCTCCCCTCGGGCATTACTCGGTACGAAGACCTGGTACCCTACCCAGCCAATGGACAGCTCACTAAGCTGTCCCACATGGGAACTACGCCGGGTTCGGATGGCAGCACGCCAGGATCCATGTCCTTTGATCGCACTGACGAGCGGGTGGCGTTCCAGATCAGCACCAACGCCGCCATCCGGCGCTTCCTTAATCGTGCTAACAACTTCGTCTACGATAGCAAGGACCAGTTCCGGATGACGCGAGCGAACTACGCCAACTGGCTCCTTCGCATCACGGAGGACTTATGGTCCTACCACGGCGCTATCTACCAGAACCTCCACGACTTCCTCCTTAAGAGCCAGTTTCTGCCGACGCATCTACGAAATGCCTCGTCACCCAAACCTCCTGGCATTTCGTGGCTGCCTGAGCTAGGGCACGATCCTTGGAACGTCCTGCGTCTGGAGGGGCGGTATTACGCGGGCCAGTACACCATTCACCGACCGTTCATCGAGTACGTGCTACTCAACATGGATCACTTCCAGACGCACCCTTGTCGAGAGGCAATTCTGGAACGATGCCGCCGGTGTCTTCAAGGCTGCCGGGGGTTCATCAAGGTATTCGACGTTGAATCTGCCAACAGTGTCACTTGCCTCTTCGCACCCGGGATGGTGTGAGTATGTCTGGGCCAAAATTTGACCGGGGGACTGACATAATCTCAGCACGTTCACCATGATCATCATCCTGCGCATAGCAACCCTGTGCCAGTTATTTCGGGACCTTCTCTCAGACGACGTGGAGCACGTTATCTTTGTCGGCAAGCGGAACTTACGAAGATTCGCGAGGAGTGTCAAGGATTTCCAGTGGCATCTGGAGGTACTAGACAAGCTGGATGCAGCCTGTCGGGGCATGGCTATGTCGTAACATCGTAGGTGACGAACCTTAACGAGCGACTAAACAGCAAGATGAAATGACCGTGTTTTAAGCGCTGAGGTAGTAGCAGTAACGTCAGACCTTACTTGCTCTAGGCGATGAAAGTAAAGTTGCTGTGCGTTGCATACCTAAAACATGCCGACGCGGTGCTCAGCTGGCTACGAATTGCGAATCGCTGCCACTGTGACCCATGGGACATTTGACCGACTGACGCCGATGATTCAACATACTCCTGTCAACTAAGGTAGGGGTACAACTTTACCACCAGCCCGCACCTACATGCCTCGATGTACCGCTGCCGCAATAGCTCACGCCCTGAAGCAAATCAAATGCGACCCAATCGTCCTGGTACGCTCTGTGGAGTTGAGCCTTGGCGGACAATGTCTCAATCAGTACTCTAGTGCCGTTGATAAGAGGTGTCAGGCAAACCGATGTCCCCAGGGCAAGGCCACAATCTGGCAGCCAAGCGACGTCTGGCGGCTGCGGTTTAGGCGTGGGCGGTCCACAGCCTCCACAGCGCTGCGCGGAGACCAGATAGGAGGCCGCAGCAGCAGAGCAGAATGCGTAGGGTATGGAACACATCAATCGGATTGGATGACAAGAATATCACAGACGTCATGCCATAGAAAGATTGTGGACATCTATACAACATTTGAGCGTTACTTTCACATACGACCATAGGACGTTGAAAACAAGGCTTCCCGTTCGCTCAGCCCTATTTAAGCAACGTACCGGTGGATTAGTACTCAGGTGGGTGACCACTGGGGAATCCCCACTGTTGTATGTGACGCGATTTCTTTTTGCATCTTGTTCAGTCTTTATAACTATGTAATGTTGTGGTAGTCTACAAAGCCATGTTGCAAGCGTCCCTGTTTCTGATTAACTGGCTACTTCTCAAACATAGCCTACTTTAGACAATTCCGTATAGCTACAGACTGTTTATCTTAGTAGCCTCTTTTTGTTGCTAGCCGTATTTAGACTATAAATCTTTGCCTGTCAACAAGGTTGTCTTTATTCTGCGGCTATACAGGGCTAATACAGTCGCAAATTTTTGAAGTAGCTTAGATACAGGTTCTAATACAAGAGGCAATACAACATGCATGCGCGATTTAAAAGAGCCTTTCGGAAAAAGTAGTAGTTTATAGTTGAGTGGCAGTGCAGTTGCTTGTGTTCGGATGTTGCATTTACGCCCGTGGACAAATATCTCGAGCAGACCAGACTGGTGCCCTCCGTCATGGGTGGGTGAGGGGTGTGGCCAGATTCAGACAAGCCTGGACACGCAACTACTAACTAGCACTCACCGCTCACATCTCAAGTTGGCCAAATGCATACCTCAATCGTCATTCTATACAAGACCAATAGTAGCTTTGAATCCTGTATGCATTCAGCGTACAAGTACTGTGTACGAGAATAAGATGATCCTCTGTAAACCAAATGACTACAAGACAGGCTCTGTTGCACGCTATTCTTGAATCTATCGTGTCATGTACAAGCTACATCTACGCAGATCTGCGACCACAAGGCATTCTTACCCCATGCGCTAATCTGCCTGCTACTGTCCATATTAGTGTTACATCGTATCTATCACTGATACCTCCATGTTCAACATTCACACTACAGTGCACAACCGCGAGAAAAACACTAGGGATGGGGTAAGCGGCTAGGTAAGGATCGAGAATAGGATGCACTCTGTGTCTAAGACATTGCCGCCACCGCAAGGCAGCCAACGTTGCTTTGTGCAAGAATTCACTTCGCTCGCCATGGGGTCATGCAAATGTACAGTTGGAAGAATATGTAACATGTGAAGCTGGCGCACACTGGCGCATGCTAGCGCACATCTATTTACTTATCCTTGCCATGCGCCCATTGAGCGGCGTTTTACACACCTATGGTCATCTGTAGCCCCTGTTTTTTGGGCTTGTGAAACGCTAAGATAGAAGGCCTAAGGTTCCCAAGGCTGTGTACAAGGCTCATGACGACAGCTTATCATATACACTGCAAGTTACGGGGGACTATTCTGTCGATCTGTCGACGCAGCGTGAGCAGCGTCTCAGAACTACTCCAATTGTGCGACAGAATGACGTGGGGCGGGATTAGCTTAATGCGAAAGTCTGTCAAGGTAGCCTTGCTGGTGTATCAACATAAAGAAGCCGCACAGCGCTTGTAGCTCTGAAGTATTGCCTAGTGAAATAGAGTCGAAAGTAAAAGCTGGCAAAAGTTCGATGACATAGATGCGACACAAAATAGGCCGCTGCGTGAGGCAATGCAGGTAACTAGAATGGAGGTATTAGCTGCATCAAACACCCAGCGTCCTACATTCCGCCTTACCGATCTGCACTAAGACAGTGCGTAAATTGCTCAGGTCAAGTTAGAGGAGTGCATCGGTGGACCAGGTGGCTGCATATCTATTGATTCTGATGATCGCCTTCGTGCATCATGAATTGCTCTCTGAAACATGCAGCAGCGATTCTCTGGCCATTTACGCTTGTTTTATTGGCTACGTATGCTTTGCAAGCTGCAGATCGCATTCTAGCTATGCAGCTAGTTGGAAGGTCTTCTGCGGTCTTTGATACTGTAAGACAATTCTTGCATCTGCATAGGGCTGTGCGATGACCAGCAACTGGGAGCCATGTCTGTAAGTAGCGTTAGAAGCTCTTTGGCATCTAGCCATGTCTCAGCCATGCAACCTACTCAAGGGTCCCGTAGCTGGAACCTCAAGTCTGAGTATCACGTTAAGACTACCGCTCTTCTCTACGAACCACCGAGCGTTGTGAAGCTGCGCCTCGAGATCGAGCCAATAACATCCAGTGACAAATAATGTGACTCTGAGACTTTAGGTCACCATAAGTACCTTAGCAGGGGGCCTCTCTTGCTTACGGGGCGTAGACATCATAGATTCTTCCACCTATCCGAACTGCGTGAACATTAGGCCTAAAGTCTCCTGCTGTACTCCCAACCGTTGAAGAAGACTATTTAATGGGGAGCAGAACGCGAATTCGAGAATCATCAAACACTCTTCCAGATCCGCTTGTCTGTACTTTCGTATACGCGATTCTGAATCACTTTCCGAAACCAACCAGACACAACTCGCAATGAAGGCACACGCGATTGTTTTGGTATTTCTCACAATGATCCCTGCCTTTGCGACAGCGGAGTGTCGTCTCGGAGGCCATAAGGCTCGTGGCGATTGCACCGAATATGACGCAGGCGATGAAGCTTGTGGCAACCATGTTATTGTAAGTCCGCGAATTGATGTCATTATTTAAGTGACTGCGGTCTGGCCCCTGAGCGACCTGTCTTGCGATAGCCAAAATCAATAAACGATAGCTGACTATATCTTAGTTGGAGTGTCAGAACAATAAATGGTCTGTGCAGAAAAGCTGCCGACTGACAAGCCAAAAATGTAAAGCATGCGCGTGCGTCTAAGCTGAATATCATACATTCTTGTCGAACGATGTGAATAGGGGTGTGGGTGGTAGCGTGTAAGGTGAGGCAATGCGAGTGGGAAGATTTTTTCCCCGTACTGCCAAAGATACAATCGTCCAGTCCACTCGTGGGGAGCAAAAGTCTCTATAGTGTGACTGCATAAGTCTCAACCTTACGAAGTTCAATCAATATTCACTCTGAAGCTTCTGATCAAAGTATGGGGTAGTGAGATGTTTTCTGACTCAAATGTTGCAAGTAATGATTGCTCCAGGATCTTTGTGTTACCATTCAGTTCAAGTAACAAGCCAAAAGAGTCCCCCCTCTTTCAACGAGCAAGCAGAAGTGACAGCTTTACTCCAAGCTAAGAGTAGTTTTTCAATTTGTTGATATGGCCTCGTTGATCCAGAACTCGGCAATCGTGGCTTTTAAGGTCCCCAAAGCGTCTGATGCAACCGCACCGGTACACCGATCCTCCATAGCCTGATTATACTGACTTTTCTGTTTTCTATAGCGAACGCGAATGGTATCATGAAGAAGAGGAAGAATAACTCTTGTATTGTACACAACATGAACGTTAGACATTACGTTATTACGACGTCCGGTATGGGACGATTAGTCACCCATGACATAACTCGATATCTCCCCCTGCACTTAAACCCCAACGCAGACGTAAGTCTTCGACCACATGTTATTGCAGCCCGAACCAACACCCGTGTTCCACTTCGTGAAGCTAGCAAGATCGATCTTCTCATAGCTGATTATCTGGCCACAGGTATCGCCCTCAGATACGTAGTGAAACTTCTTGCAATTGGAGACCATGCCAGGCTGGGTTGGTGTAGGTGTTGTGATGCCATTACCCGCACTGGTGGTCGTGCTCGGCTTAGTCGTAGTTGTGGTCGGTTTAGAACCTCCAATGAGTCCGACACAAACATTAACTTCAGCCCACATGCCCGAGCAGTCGGCCTTAACTGATGGATTCCATGCGTAGAAGTCTGCAAGGCTAATCTGCTCGTAGCTGATGATCTGGCTGCAGCTAACACCTTGAGCAACATAGTGGAACTTGGCACAAGTACCAATCATACCTGGCTGGATTGGTGTTGGTGTTGTGACGCCATTACCAGCCTTCGTAGTTGTTGCAGCCTTGGTGGTGGTCGTCGATGGTGCAGCTGGAGTCGTCGTGGCACCTCCGATAATGCCGACGCACACGTTAACCTCTGCCCACATACCGGAGCAATCAGCATTGACTGAAGGATTCCAAGCAAAGAAGTCAGCCAAAGAGATCTTCTCATAGCTAATCACTGCGCTACAGCTAACACCCTGGTTTATGTAGTGGAACTTGTTGCAGTTGGATACCATGCTAGGCTGTGTGGGTAGAGGGGTCGAGATGCCGTTACCAGCACTAGTGGTGGTACTGGAAATGGTGGTGCTCGTCTTGGTGGAGCTTGGAGTAGTGACTACTGGCGCTGAAGTTGTCGTAGGGACTGTCGTCGCTGGGACTGTCGTCGCTGGGACAGTCGCCTTGGTTGTCGAGGATGGGGTGGTCACTGGGTCGTCATTGACTGTGCCAATCACGCAGTACGACTTGCTGGTGTCCAGGCTGGCACACTGGATCCCAGGGTTCAGGGACGTGAGGTCATCGACGGACATACCCCAAGAGCTCGCAAAGCTCTCGCAAGTAGCGCCATTGTCCGCAGTAGTGGCAAAGTCGCAGTCAACTCCACGACGTTGAAAGGCCGGTCTTGCAGAAACTGATCCCAGGGCCAGTGCAGCGGTGAAAAGGCTGTGCAAATGCATCTTTCTAGATTCAAAATGAACGTATGTCTCAAGTAAAGGCTGGAAGAGAAGAATAAGGTCCAAGATATGAAGCCTGATGTTCTGATACCACAACTAGATCGGATCACTCTAGAGCTTTTATACATGATTCAGAAGAGACTGGTGGCCTGGATGGTCTGCACTGAGTATAGTCTCTCAATAGACTTCACTGTCACCCCGGCCTCGCTGCATACGGTACAACCGATACTGAGCCGATCCGTGTCTGAACGAAGCTTGTCATATTGTACTATGGTAGAACAAGTGCTGTATGCCGTTGTCACTAGCGGGCCCCACCATCGTTGTAGTCTCTCGGCCGATGACAGACGGGAACCTCCCATGACGGTGGGGCCCGCTGATATGCTTGTTGGTGCCAAGCCGGCAAACGGCAAATTCTTAGCGTGCTTCTATGGAATTGGCTCCTGCCTGTTTCGAACTCTCCTGACCTAATATTCAGCACCTCAAAAAAGCGCTAGGCTGTTCCATCAGTCAGTGGGTCTTGCCTCGTCAAAATGTGGAAGACCTTCACAGCTCGCACAGTAGGCTCACGCGCAAGGCCCTACAGAACTATTGTAGAAAATATGGCTTCTTTTTCTCTCTTTAACGTGTTGCTACAAACTCTACTTATCTCTGGAAAACAGGCTGTTGTTGGCTCACAAAAAAAGTCACTCTGAAGCATAAGAGAGCCTAATCCTAGGCTGTTGATTGGGCAGACGGTGCTAATTGGTGTTCTCGATAACCTTCATTAGGATGCTCGACAACGCTTCCCGCGGTCCGTAGTCGGTCATGCAGGAACAAGCAATTAACGCCCGGCAAGGCACGGCCCGCTAATATGAGCTCGCCACAAAGGCGTCCAGCGATGGGGCTGATATCTCTTTGCGGCACGGTAGTCTCGGCATTCTCAACTACTACCTCCCTACAAATTCCTGCAGTGCTTTGCCTTGCACTTCATTTGGGGCCTTACATCACGACCATTTGTCTCTATTGAACAATCACAGCGCCGTTTCTCTTACACACGTGCTCTGATCCCTGTCAACAACAGGCAACATGCGTCTCTCCCCTTGGCTGCGTCCAGCCCTCGCGGCTCTTACGCTGGTTGCCGCTGCGGCAGCCAACGGAGCAGAGGGTGTCGTGCAAGTGGACTTAGCTTTCCCTCGCAACGAGACGTATGCACCTGCGGAACGGTTGCCTTTCATCTTCGCCTACCAAAATGCGCAATCGGCAACATACCTCAATAGCCAAATTCACCTGGATATTTGGCCTCTCAATGACAGCGATCGGGTCACCTCACCCAGGTATCGCAGTCACGTATTCGATGTGGGACAATTCAATCATTCCGGTGAAGGGCCTCTCTTCGAATATTACGGCCTCAAGTTTGATACCGAGGGAGTCTGGTTGATGCTATGGGATCTGCGATGGAGCAACTGTTCGGAGAACCCTTCAAGGCTGAACGAGAACCCCATTTTTGCCGATGGCACCATGACACGACAGATTGTCTTCACAACCAAAAACTCTGCGCCGAGTCTTGACCTGATCGAGGCTACAAAAAACGCACAATGCTCGAATAGCTCAGGCGTTGCTCTGAACATCACAGAGAATATCGATGTTCCTGCCAGCACGACATATCCTGGGGGGGCCAAATGCCCAGTTTTGGCGGCCACCAATCCCGCCCCAAGCCTCTGTCTGCCCGCGATTGATTCTGCCACTGCCTCTAAAGTATCTGCCTCCTTGACTAGCCAGGAGTGTCGAGCCACCTCTCCAGTAGTGGGTTGCGATCCTGACGATGAGAAGGGAACTGGGGCAAATTTGGCGGTGGGTCTTGTTGCCACCTTGACAGTCACGGCAGGCGCCATCGGTTTCTTGTTATTCTAGATGGTGTTCAGGCAAACAACGACGGCACAATCATCTAGTCTCACTTGCACATGTACCCTGTATAGTCACTTCAGTAGAACAAATTTCATCTCCGGTACCAACGTTAGTGTGTCATTCGGTGCCGGGCGAGACCAACGATCTAAGCTTGAGGCAGATTGAATGTACGGCTTAACTTCCTGTCAGTGCTTGGACGAATCCTATACATAAAAGGGTTGCCTAGCTATGCATCTTAGTGTGGATCCTGACCGATTTCGCCCCGAGCCGATGCTATCTGGGGGCGGGAAACCTGCAAAATGTGGGTCTCATACATTGGCCAGTTGACTACCGTCCGCTGACAGCCCACTAGTAGAGACTAATGTCCCGTTCAAGGCCCTGGTTTGAGGCCACAGTGCTATGTGCAACGGGATCATGCAGTTGTGAAATGACAGATCCTTGCAATATGGTAAGAGCCGCACATTTGGCCAAAGTTAAGGCAACCAAGGAGATGCAACAAAGCCTGAGGGTCAGATAAGCTTGGAAGCCGAGATTCGGAAGACAAATTTGCTGGCAAACAGCGGCTCGGTTCTCCTGCATCGAGCATACGGGTATCAGCCTTCCAGAGATGAGTAGTGTTAATGTGAGTGTGAGACTATAAGTACCACTCAATTGCTCCAGTCTCTTACAGCATCTCTCAATATCCGGTCTTTACCATCTCTTACTCACTCTTTTCTACACTCATTTCGTATCTTATGCCACACGTTCATTAATTTCGGGACCGTGCCCCAGTTCAACCATGGTAGCTGCATCATGGTTGTTTTTCCCAGCTGCCAGTATTCTGCTCTCTATAGAAGGAGTACTGGCCAATCCGGGACTCGGACTCTCTGTCAGTCCGTCCTACCGCACCTCCAATCCTTGTCCAGAACGCTGCAAGATCACTGGACCAAACGCCAGCAACTGGTCTGTGTATCCAGATTTTAAGAAGATCCAAAAATGTCAAGAGACCATGTTTTACGACTTTTCTCTTACCGACGATGTCGATGACCCGGAAAGCACCCACAAGATCAATGCGTGCTCATCTTTTGGCCCCGACTTTTCCAAGCTTGCCAACTCGACGGCTGAGACGACTGCTGCTACAGCCGTCGATTGTGATTTCGAACTTGGATGGTGGGAAGAAGGCTTTGGACTCAAGACTTCTTCCATCCGTTCCGTCATCCGACAGATCCGCGATTATGCTGATAGTGGATACGGTGCTACAGATAGGCCGTTCATTCTCTTCGGCCGATCTGGCCAGGCTAGCGTCGGTGTATACATAGGTCAAAGTCTGTCAAACGAAGGGCTGAGTGCAACTGCGCTCAAGAAACTTGAAGATGGTCTAACTAGTCTCAATGTTTCTTCACCCAGCTTGGCCATGCAGCTTTGCAGCCCTGAGTCTGACAGCGGCCATATCTTTGGCGTCATGGTTACCAGTAACTCATCTTTTGGACCCATTCAAGAAGCGATCAAGAAGTGGAACAACGCAACCTGCCTTGAGTTTCCTGACTCGGTACAGCTCACGGGACAAGCTACATTTATAACGCCACTTTTGTCTAGCAATGGGACTTCCAACTCGACCCTTTCGAATGGAACACTGAGCCAGGAGAAACGCCATCTGAAGCACATGCAGCACCATCATATCCGCCCGCGTGCCGAGTGCAAGACGGTTCAAGTTGAATCCGGCGACAGTTGTGCCTCGCTTGCCACCAAGTGTGGCATCCCATCTGCTGCTTTCACCAAGGTCAACCCCGCGTCCGACTTTTGTTCGACTCTCATGCCTAAGCAGCACGTTTGCTGTTCCAGTGGAACTATGCCCGACTTTAGTCCCAAAAAGAATGCTGATGGCAGCTGCCACGCATATCAGGTAGTCACTGACGACAATTGTGACAACCTTGCTTCTGAGTACAGCTTGACTAAAGACAAGATAGAGAGCTTCAACAAGAAGACCTGGGGCTGGAATGGATGTCAGCTCCTGTTCGTGGACACCATAATGTGCTTAAGCGAGGGTACTCCGCCATTCCCAGCTCCAATTGCAAACGCGCAGTGTGGGCCTCAGAAACCAGGCTCTGTTGCACCGACCGACGGTTCTAACATCACAACTATGAACCCTTGCGCACTTAATGCTTGCTGTAACATTTGGGGGCAGTGCGGAATTACTAAAGATTTCTGCGTTGACACATCCACTGGCCCACCAGGCACCGCAAAGAAAGGCACTTTTGGCTGCATCTCCAACTGCGGCACCGATATAATTAAAGGAAGCGGGTCTGGAAGTATAAAGATTGCGTACTTTGAGGGCTACAACATGCAGCGAGATTGTCTACTCCAAGACGCTTCCCAGATAGACACCTCCGGATACACGCATCTTCATTTCGGCTTTGGCACTCTGACATCAGACTTCCAAGTAGAGACTGGCGACATACTTTCCACCTACCAATTCCAGGAGTTCAAAAAGGTCACGGGCGCGAAGAAAGTCATCTCATTCGGTGGTTGGGACTTCTCTACCAACCCTGCCACATACACCATCTTCCGCCAAGGCGTGACCTCCGCTAATCGTCTCAAGATGGCTCAGAGTCTCGCTAAATTCGTCAACGATAACGATCTGGACGGTGTCGACATTGATTGGGAATACCCTGGTGCTCCTGATATCCCAGGTATTCCTGCAGCCAGTAAGGACGATGGTGCTAATTACCTGGCGTTCCTCGTCGTTCTGAAGAACTTATTGGGTCGCTCCAAGACCGTGTCTATCGCCGCACCCTCTTCCTACTGGTATCTCAAGCAGTTCCCTATCAAAGATATCGCGAAAGTAGTTGACTACATCGTCTACATGACATACGATCTCCACGGTCAATGGGACACTGACAACGCATGGTCACAAGAGGGATGCGACATGGGCAACTGTTTACGCAGCCAAGTCAATCTTACAGAGACTAAGCAGTCTTTGGCTATGGTCACTAAGGCTGGCGTCCCCGGAGAGAAAATCATTGTTGGTGTTACCAGTTACGGCCGATCCTATAACATGGCCGCATCTGGATGCTGGGGTCCAAACTGCCTCTACACGGGTAGTCGCGCAGCCTCAGATGCTACCCCGGGCAAATGTACTGCTACTGGTGGTTATATTGCTGACGCCGAGATTGCAGACATCATTGCTGACCGTAAGCGTTCGGGACGCGTAGTTACGAGCTTTGTCGACGCAAGCAGCAACAGTGATATCCTTGTGTACGATGACAGCCAATGGGTCAGCTACATGAGTGCCAGCACCAAGAAGACCCGCGCTACTTTGTATACAGCATGGGGCATGGGAGGTACCTCTGACTGGGCCAGTGACCTCCAGACCTACAACGATGTTCCCGAGCCGGCTGCTAGTTGGGCAGAGTTCAAGCAACGCGTCAAGGCCGGGGAGGACCCTAAGACAGACCATTCTCGCACTGGCAATTGGACCGATCTTGACTGCACCAGCAAGTTCATCGCAAGCTACCTCGACTACACGCCCTCGCAGCGCTGGAAGGGCCTCGATACAGATGCGGCATGGGATGACGTCCTCAGGATCTGGAAAGACACCGACAGCGACAGAATCGGTGTATCTTTCATGCAGTCGGTCTCCAGCACTCTTCACATGGGCGCCCAACCGGACTGTGAGAAAATCACTAGTGCTACCTGTGCAGTGGCAATGGAGTGTCCCGATGGCGCAAATGGTAAAGAGTCAGGACCCGCAGCGGAACTTATATGGAATTCTTTGGCTACCATCCATCAGATGTACCAGGATTACTACAACACTCTATTTAACGTAGCGTCGGTTGTCAGCATGAGTTTGAAAGATTTGGAGAACAAATTTGCGCCGTTGCCTGAGCCACAGGATAACACCTGGTTGTTAGTTATGATAGACCTTCTCACCGTGGGAACACTCACCGCGGCCGGTCCCTTCTTCAACACCTTCCTCAAGAAGCTACCTTACTTTTTAGAGAAAGCCTCATCTTCCACCTTGGACAACGCAAAAGACACAGCCATGAATCTCATCGGACAAAGTACCACTCTTGCCAAGGATCTTCTGTCTACTGATGACCCCAAGTGGACTGCCGAAAAGCAGGATGCCTTCTCGAATTACTTGGGTCAGGTTATCGACGGCTGGGCGACCGTCGCTGAGCTCACGGTACAGGACCTTTTCGACGGGTCCCAAGGCTCAATTGATCTCGTCTGGGGCGCAATGTCGGGCGGAAAACTCATCGAGGGTAAATTTGAAACTGAACCGGAGAAGAAGAACATCACGACCGAGTTGCGCCAGAATATCGGAAAGTCCTTCTTTGGTTATGCGATACCCAACCTCTGGCGTGTCTCCAAGACGTACGCCTTTGTGGTTGATTCAGGATACGACTGCAGCGAGGATAAGCCGCTTGACAAGTACCTTGATGATGAAACAATGGAAGCCACGGGTGCCTGCGTGGACAACAAGAGATACTACCTCGTCTACCCTAAGGGCGACTCGACGACCTGCACATGTACTGTATACGATCATGGTCCCTGCCAGACGACCTGTGTGAACACCAAGTTCAGCGCACCACCAGGTATCGATACTCTTGACGGCGCTCTGTGGAGCGGTATCTCGAAGGAAGACTTGATCAAGGGGTCTGTAAACACATACATCCAGAACGGTGGAAACAATGGTGGCGCGACCGCCGATCCCAGGGACAAGGGCACAATGGAAGCCCTCATGGATGTTGACATCACCACTCCTGGCTTCATCCGCCTACCTGTGTGCAGTCCAGAGCGCGCTTTTCAGTCCTGGGACACATCGTCAGCAGGATCGAGCAGCAACTACCCCTGCGATATTCCGCCAGGCATTGGCGACTGCAGTGACTCGAGTTTCGAGAACGAGACCAGTGATGCTTCGCCAGACGTCGATGATTGTCTGAAGATCATCAAGAACATCGAGGGCGACGGTTCTACCGAATGGACTACACAAGTTGTCGGCCATAACCAACGCGAAATTGCAAAGGCGGGTTCTTGTAGTTTCGGTGTTGAGGCTACCAAGACCGATGGCAATGTCAACTTTCGGGTAGGCGGACAAGACGTCATTGACATTATCAACGATGCTATCAAGCAGTTTGGCGGAGGTGGTAAGATTGGCGCCAAAGGCGATATGTCCTGCAATGGCAACGTTAAGCAGCAGAACGTAAAGTGGGGAATTTACTAAGCTCTATGTAGCATTCTCTGAATTGTTTCATATGTAACTTTTCATGTACAGATATTATACATGATATTTTCACAGCAAGTCATTGAGCCACTAATGAGCTAGAATCTGTACCACATCAAATGCGTCTTAGTCGAGTCAAACTGACGTCGTACCTCAAAACGCCATGCCAGCTCAAAGACATCACCCCCTAGGCAGCTAGTAGATAGGCCCACTTGTACTGAATAACACGAAGATCGGCAGCTTCCAGTCTATGGATAGCTTGTCCTACTAAATACGATATCTTACTAATGCGCGCTCTGAATCACTTGTATCTTAAACCTAGTCCTACACTAGCTATTATCTACGCTAGTAATGTTAGCTGGTAATCTAATATAAACATAGGGTACTCATATTTTATTGACTATCATAACCCCACCTGATAGGTCCCATTGGCTCACTATCAACATAAGTCGAGTATCTCAGCGGCTCGGGTTGAGGCCTGGCACTAATCCTAAACATATAGCCCTAGACTTTCTACTTAGCTTATCAATATTAGTTCGGTCCTAAATGTTGCTATCACCTACACTCCTGAATGCATGTACACGTATATTTAGCAATATTTGCTGTTGCATATTAAGATCAAAATGGCTACAGATATTCACAGCAATCTACGAGTTCGCGCAGCGACATCGACAGGTCAATAACGACATGACCACCTTCCAAATTACACAATACTACTGCAACTTGAAACAGTGAAGATAGGTATATCTAGCAGAACATCGAAAAATCCCATTCGTAATCCGTGCACCCAATGTGAACCCCTTTGTCATCACACGCGCCGTGGCAGCAGTACCTGGAGGTAGATGGATGCTGCCCAAATGACCATGACTGGCTTGGATTAGCGAACCAGGCCGTGCTTCCATCTTTCGTGAAGGCGTAAACGTATCCAGGCAGACATTTCCTGTGCAGTAGAATTAGCACGACTTTTCCACGTATAGGTAGACACCAGGCGCGCATTCTAGGACGTCGGAAAGTAAAATATTGTAAACCCTCACGAGGCATCTCGTGTTCTGATCAGCTACTTACATAGAATAGTGACCGTCCTGATCGATGCGGGATTCCGAGTTGCAGACTTGGACACCATTGTCTACAGCCTCTACGTTCCAAGTACCACTCAACCCTGGAAAAGGGTCGTGAGTAATACCACCTTTGAGGTGAAGACAAGCGAGACCAGGGGCCACCAGAGCAAAAGAAGCAACGAGGATGGATAGAGACCTCATTGTGTGCGATTGCCTTATTGAATTAATGGATGAAGACAGCTGGGTGAAAGTGATCGATTGGCAGAGGTCTAACAAGATGATGTGGAGATCGCAGCACAATCTGCCATGACTTATATACTGTCCACTTCGTATACACCCCGCACTCTAACGTTGAGGTGATTGGTGGATTGGAGAAACATTCAAGGCAGCCGAAAGAGTAGCAATACAATCCCCCATCACGCGAATGCCAAGAGCAACTGTCTAGGGTTCTGCCTGAGTCGCACGGTGCCTCTTGCAGGCAGCCAATACCATCATTGTTAAGGCGGCCAAAGAACGGCGGCCAGATAACAGCTAAAATGCTCCAAGTAAAGCCCAATACCGGTCAGAACAAGCATCAATGATTTCCACTCATGAATATCTAGGTAGATGCGGTCATGCAGAATCATTGCAACGGTAGAGCCCCTACACAACCACTCCCCAACTTAAGAGCGTGCCCTTGTCAAACTTCCAAGACAATCAGCTTAATCCAGAGCGATATAGCACATGCATTGTGGCTTCCGATAAGATTTTCTGACAGGCTTCGGAGGTGGCGCGCGGTTTTTGCGGATTGTGTATCTAAGGTGAGTGCTAACGAGTGATGCGTTTGGAAGTTGTGTAAAGATTTCAGGCCCCTCGTATGGTTTGTCGTATTTCTTACATTGATGTGGAAGCTCTAGTGTGTCCTCATACGCTGAGAGGGTCCTACAGATTTTTCAGGGCTTGTTGTGGCTTCGTGACCCCAGAACGTCCAGGGTCCCCCCCAATCGGAGTCTCATCGCCAATGTTTAATGGCAGGCCCGAATCAGAGATAAGCTCAGCTAAGAATTTCATTCCGGCGGCTTGCACTTCCTGTTGTGGAATAGGGATTGCTTATCTGCAGCGGGCAAGACTTATGAGGCTAGTGCTTATACAAAACTACATAGCGAGGACCATGTCACGAGGCAGCATGGTATGATATGGGCAGCTCTAGAAAAGCCTCTTCTGCCCATCTATGAATAGGAACTTTATCGAAGACATGACTACCTAGGTCGAGTCAAAAATTACAATCCACAATTGAAGAAAAGGCGTGCAAAAAACAAGGATCGGTAAGGCGTCCAAGATCAGGGTTGTGGTAAGGCGTCCAAGACCAGAGGTCGGTAGTGCATAAGTACCAGGACCAAGCCATGTCTGCTGGTCAGATGAGGCTTTATAGGCTACTAGTGATCCGGCATCGAACGGTGTCATTGTCGGTACATTCGGAACTTGGCTATAATCTCTAGGCCTTGTCTGTAACCTGGAAATAGAGCTGTAACATAAGACCAAATTGTAGATCCTTGCTGGATGGACCCCAGGTCAAGGAACTTCGTTCTGAACTCTAAAGGACACGATATAGAAAGATAGATAGTCGCTAACGCGGTAAATTTGTACTAGGTGTTGCTCTGGCCTTTATTCCATTTGGCGTCCTCGATAGCAGCTTCACTTTTAATCACAGTCCACTTATGACCACACCCTACTATCTTGTATCAACGCTCTAGTTTCTTGTAGACGATTTGAAACGTTTCTAGGGCTTTGATATGATCCTTTGAGCTCCTGACTTGGTCATGCAAAATACTATCGCTCAAAACTGAGTTGATCAGATCTAGGTATCGGACTTCCGAAGCGGCAATGAAGGTTAATAGCTAATTTATATGCTAGAACGGAGCAGTGCTAATGTCTTTGTCTTCTCTGATTGGATGGCGTGACGTTTTGATGTAAATCGATCGACCTGCATTCAAAGGCAGGATTGATGTGATAGTCTGAGGACAAGGCAGCGGCATCATGTCTGGGCAAGGTGACTGGCCCAAAGTTTATGCTTGTAGCAGCGTAATCGATATCGAATTGTGGGTTCCCTATGACCGTTTTTCTTTTTGCTTGGCTCCGGTATCTGCCCATACAACTACTACGTCTTTGTTTCAGTAGCTTAACACAAGTATATTACGTATAGGCATACTTAAACATTGCTTGAGGTCTTCGATGGAGCGTTGGATCAAGATGGTTGCATCCTGCTCCAAGTTGAATCTGCGCAACATGTCACACAACTCTGTCGCTCGGAATATATAGGGGTTGGAAAGGTTTCCAATTCGTCCTGTCCTCAGGTCCTACAAGTAACGACCCATATGTGTAAGCAAAGCGTGGTAGTAGTATATAGTCTCATGTATAAGTGTATTGTTGTGCGTATGTACAAGTGTGTAATCTGAGCTCGAAAGCAGTTGGACGTATCAGTCATGCCTGCAGGACAGTCATGCGATGTGGTCCTAGGCTTACAAATATTGTTCGGATACCTTCCACCTGTGCCACTTGCCTACATGAGAAATCTAGGATCATTGCAACAAGGCCTTCAAGGTATCTGCAGGCGTAACCGTTGGCGGCGCAAGCTCCAATACCTCCTTGCTTATCGTCGATGTTGATAACAGTCCCTCCCAAGTTGTTAAGGGGCCCAAGTTAGCCGATCCAAGCACATTTTTGGACTCTCCAGGCACGGCAAACACCTCGTCAAGCACAGACACATCTTTGTATGAAACATCTTCAACCTTTGTGCCAATGTACTTTTCTACCATTGCCACGATCCCCTCGCCGTTGATGTCCTCCGGTCCGGTGAGGGTGTACTTGGCCTTGCTGTGTTTGGAGATGTCTTCTTGGATCAAGAGCGCCGCTGCCATGCGACTGATGTCGTAAGGGTCAATCATGGCACTGGGTGCCTCGTTGAAAAGAATTCGAAGCGTATTTTGCTTCTCCCCAGCTCGTACCCTCTTAATCAATTCAGCAGCAGGATACAATATCATTGGCGCGAACCCAGTCGGCTGCAGAGATGTCCAGTTTAGCTTGCTGAAAGCCGGTTGCTCAAGCATCGTCTCAATCGCCCAGTGCGTGCGTGGATAGTATGCTGGGCAATCTGGGCGTACATTCGTTGTTGTTGTGGAGATGCGCACTACGTACTCAACTTCTGCGTGGAGAGCTGCTAAGAGGAACGTGGATTCTTCTGAAAACTGATTTGGCCGAAGGTGTGAAGCTATAAAGACTCTAGCAACCTTTTGTTCGCGCAGCCATTCAGAGGTGATCTCAGGCCAGTTCACTTCGACGAGTTCGACATGAGGTAGCTTGGCAAGCTCTTTAGCCGCAGAGCCGCTGGCTGATCGTGTCTGAAGGAGGAGACGGTATCCAGAAAACTTCGGATGGTTTGGAAGGGTCTTGGATAAGATCTCAACCACGCCGCGACCAGTGTTGCCAGTTCCGCCTACGATGAGAAAAGAAGGGGACATGTTGAAAAAGCTGCTGTTTGTTGGAATTCTGGGACGAGCGCTGCGACGATAGATACTAGACCTTTTGATGCTGTTTGTCCTTCATAGTCATTTTATGCCTAGGAATTGCACATTGTCGAACAAGTTTAGGTCTCCACAATGCTTTGCAAGCAGTCCCAATGTGGCTGGCGTAGTGACCGGGTGCAGCGGGTAGTCCAAGGTGCAGACTGACCCACACTTACTAGCTCATTTTCTCCAGTTTCAAATGTAGATCAATCAATTTTTAATCGTAGCCTCAGAAATTCAACGCCCCGCCAAGCTATCTATCCCCAGTTTTATAATGCCACGATGGTATCGTCAAAGCTTCCCAATCAACGCCATCATTTGTAAGCAATAATTTGTGATCATCAGAGGGCATTACCAACCTCATGTGAAGCTGTAGTGCGTTAGCAGTCTTAGAGACGCCGCGCCCGTAACAAATGTATCCAAGGCACTAATCCTTAGGTGGTGCTCAACCCTTTTTCATGCCAATGTAACAGTCCATTTACACAGGACACGGTCAGTCGCCCCGCTGCTGAAGCTTGTAATACATCATCTCCATCGTAATTCTCGTCAATATTCACGTCCCGTGCGGCTTTGTTGTCGGAAACGTTCAACAAAGACAAGTTTGACAGCCCTTCCAAGATATCCGTCATTCTCCTCTGCAATGGTTGCCCCGGCTTGCGATGTCCCCACGGATGTCTCGATCTCGATAATTGTGCGTAGTTCTGCTACAGTAAACTCGGCGATTGTTCCAGTGTGAGTTTCTACGATTGCAGGCTGAGTTGCGTCAGGTGAGCCACTAGATAATTATAAAGATGACACAGTGTGACTTCCAAGTGTCTGGATAGACTCAATCATGTAGGCGGTAGGAAGCTCATCTCCGTACGGAGGCGAAGCGACCGATGCACGAGCAGAGGCGATCATAGGCAAGGACGTGTGGAGGTGTCGTGGAATGTATTCACTGGCTGCAGCGCAATGCTGTGCATCTACTCCATAGAACGAACTTGGGCCGTTTAAAGAAGCAGGAGGATCGGCTTTCTGCAGGTTTTCAACATCAGGAGCGATCTTCGCGATTTCCCTAGCAGGCTTGGCTGCAGTCTCAGCTGCGACACCTTCTTTAGCCTCTCGGTCAGTAGTGTCTGCCCGAGCAATAGTTGCGGCGTTTTTCCCCGGAGTCTTGTCTTCCCAGCCATTGCCCTTTCGCTCCTGCTTATTCTCCCCGGCACTCTCGCTCATGTTGCCGATTGCGTTATTCTTCTACCCTGTTGTTGTCGTGCGAGCCGCGCTCACCTTTTCTCTCTGCTTAGCCTCCTTCGCGGTCTTCTTGATCCCCTTAGTCTTTATAAAAGCACTCTGTTCTTTCATCCATTGTACAAACAGGCCTTCGAGTGGGACGTCTTTCTAGGAAGCTGGATTGGCGTCCGTGGCCACCATTCTTGGTGCTCGTCCTTCGTCACAAGTGGTCTTGTAGATACGATATTCGTGCTGGATGCTCTCAGTAAATCGTTCAATCGGATAGAATCGCTTCCTATCAACGTTTTCCTTCAAGGGATGGGCGCGGTCGTTGAAGAGTTGAGCCGCGTCCAACAGGGAGATCATAGGCTGTTTGAGAAAGACGCCTCCCAACTCTTCTCTTTCCGCTTCCGACCAAGGATCCTCTCTTTTCAAACTGTCCCTAACTGCATTCTGGATGCCTTTGTTCGCGACAGCAAGTGCCTTCGAATCGGACCAGTCAACAGGGATCCCGTGCTGGCACTGATAGGTGATGGGGTCACGCTTAGGCTGCTGGCCTTGAGGATTAGGTCGGAGATTCATCAGCGGAAGACATAGGTGATACGCTTGATCGTAACCATTGATGAATCGATCACCCTTATTGACAAGGCGCTGCATGTCTCCACCAATCTAACAGCTCACAGGATATATATGGCCCCCGCTTCAATTGCCAGACCTGCGGCAACCCCGATTATTGTTTCATGTGTAGACCATTTTTGCGCCAGTTGCATGACAACCACAAGTGGGAACGTGTAGAGCCACCGCTTCTTTGAAATGAAATGGCAACCGACAATAGCATGATTGGTGGGCTAGCGAGTAGCAAATCAATGCGGTGAACGTACGCTGTGACTCGGAACACGGATACAAGAAGAGACATACCTGGCGCGCAGAAAGCGTACCGCTTGAGGAAGCTGGAATCCCCTCTCCGAATCATTCCCTTCCACAACCACAACAATAGGGACTTGCCGCAGTAGAGTGAGGTCTATCTGTAGAACCCGGTGAAGGGTACTTGTGCACGTGTATCTGCCTCTCTTCTAGTTATCACTAAATTGTATTCAAAACCGAACTCCGCTGTTGGATGTCTATCACAACAAAACGCCTTGCCCATGCATATGCAAAACTAGCAGCGCGATGCAAAATCGAAATCTACCAGTCTTTCGGTCCAAAAATGCCTCCTTGCGGCACGTCGCGGTACGAACACGCTGTGTAATCGCAGCCCTGTCGGTGTGTCAGTATCGAATATTGAGTCTGGGGGAGACCTTGTGACCTACCTGCTTGTACACCTCGGTGCCCCACCACTTGAAGTTCTTCATCCACCCGGGGAACACAATTCCGAAGAAGATGACCACGACACCGAACGCGAGGCCGGAGTCGAGGGCAGCGCTGAGCATCATGTTGTACTTCCTCCACCAATTCTTCCTACGGTTGCGGATCTCGTAGTTGAAAATGTAGCACACGATGGCCCAGACCGAGAAGTTCAGGCCCGTGGCGGGTGGGATCCAACTCAAGCTACCAAAGACGACCGCGAGATTGACCTTGCGGAGAATAGACTTGCGGTTATTGCGCGCGAAGTACCACAAGATGATTGGTGATACGGCACCAATGAGAAAGGCCCAGACGAGGGGTCGGTAGAGAGCGCCGGGGCCAAAGAAGCGCTTCGGTCCTACGACACCCCAAAGGATACTGCCGTTGAAGTGGACTCGAGCAATGGGGCAATTAAAGCCGTTGATAGCCTCTGTGGTGCAGATGCCTGGAATGTAGTTCAGCATCCAGTTCAGAACGCCGATCTGAGTCAGACTTGATACGATGGTGACTGTGAGCTGGAGCCTGAACAGAAGCCTAGGAGGGATTTTCATGTAGTGACCGAGCTTCAGATCAGACGCGAACTTGAGACCCTGGGTGGAGGAGATGTAGCCAAAGGTTGTGAAGACCATGTTGGCGACCGGACGACCAGGAAATACGCCGCCGCAGATCAATTGACAGATGAGGTAGATACTGCTCTGCTGGTTTGTGATGGCCATGACGATGCCAATCGGGATGAAGAGAAGTCCGCCGATACCTAGAGCCAATAGGAGCCCGTACCAAGGGAGATGGACTGGATAGTACTCGACGACGTACATGCCGACAGCTGCCATACTTACTCCCGTGAGCAAGTACCAGGTCATTGGTGCATCAGGGTATCTGCGCATGAGTCGGTTGTGGACATCCTCGGCCTCCATTAGATCCTCCATATCAGGCTCCGACGTCGTGCTATTCCGATGGCGATGGAGATTGGGAGATGGAGTGCGTCTATTGCCATCGGGTAGATTGTTGAGTGGTTCGTAATCAGGTGCAGGTGCTTTCCGTATCTCCGCCCACGAACGGCTCCATTGCCTCCAGATGTCTTTGCCATGCCAGAGGGCCGTGTGCGAGAGCAGCGCCGTGAGGGCTGCGAACTGTAGTGCGTAGCTGAGCACATACGTGATAGGTAAGAATACCCGGCTGTATTGCTTGTATGCCTGCTCGTCGAACAGAAAGTCTTGGGTTAAAATCTTGCTTACATCGTACGGAGCACCGGTGTTGTCCCAAACCGCAGCCGAGAGGATTGGCATGTACGAAGAGTACATGACATTTGTGTAGTCTGTCGTTGATTAGCGAAACACTTCAAGACCAAAGACTTGAAGCCGTACACATGATAGGTGCTGCGATCCACATAACAAGCACGAGCCCACCAAGAATATTGAGAGCAGCCCAGAATGGTGTGACAAGGGGGGATCCAATGTACGCAATCTGGGCCCAGTCAAACGTTACAGGAAATAGACCTAAGCCGGAAGATACTCCAAACTACAGCTGGGTTAGCTCACATTGTGGTCTGATATATATAAGAACTTACAAGATTGGCAATAACGACATTCTGGGGCGCAAACCAAGTTATGACGCTAAAGTAACTTAGAGCCGGGAAGAGCAGACCGGGCAGAAAGTAAAATGCAACGGAGCCAGAAAACACGCGCGTGAAGAACTTTCGGGGCGAAATCGTCCATCCGTCTGCAGGCTTATTTTCCTCTTTGTGTAGTGCTGTGAACATAGCCGTGGACACCAGCGTGCTAGGCCAAATCATGCCGCTGGGTCGGACCAAGTACCGCCTTGTGAGTCCGGCAAGCGAATATCCAAGAATTTGCGTGGACAGAATCAGTAACACCTGGTACATGATACCTAAGTCTTGATGGTAGAATTTCACTTGCTCGACGATAACCTGGAATGTGATCAGCACACGAAAATTGTGTTGCGGTTTGTGTACTGACATCTGTAGCAAATGCGAATCCAAAAGATACGTTACTGCTGACATAGACGCAACAGTGCTCTTTCTCGTTCCAACGGCCTTTTGCAAGATAGAGTCGGAACCGACGGGTCCAAGATGTGTTAGGTGGTAGAGCGAGGCTGGCTCGGCAGCCATCAACAAAGGTTTCTTCGGGGTCATCTGGTCGTTTGAGGACTTGATCCCAAAACAGACCAAGAGGATGGACAAGCAATAACGCAATAATAGGAGTGAGACTGACGCTAGGGTATCGTAGGGAAAAAAACAAATTGGTTGAAGAACCAGCAATAGCAAATATCATAGACAAGATCCACATCCGCGGTGTATCAATGGATAGGGTGGTGTCGTCGGTCGCAGCGACGGAAGCCCGGACTTGCGCATAGGGAGAGTTGTCAGACGGGTTGCCTTTTTGGTCATGCAGACTGTCGTCGTCGGAGGCGTCGTCAAGTTCATCGTCGTCATCGTCATCGTCAATGTCGATGTTGGTGCTGGATGCTGACGATTTGTTGCTCCCAGGGACAGGTGCTACTCCAGCTATCGAGGGATCCAACGCACTTGCGTTGAAACGTGCTTCAAATTGCGACGCTCCCGGTCCTCCAGTTTCGTTAAGAGTCGTACTGCTACCGCTCTCGTCCCTCAGTCGCCGTCTTGAAGCCGAATTTGTGAGAATGGGCGAGCTCCGTGCTGATCCGTGGTTGCTCCTGAGTGATGCGTTTGACACCGCGTTTGAAAGCTTACTCTTCGCCGACTTCTTCCCATGACGTGCGCTGATCACATGATCCTCGTCGGATTGATCGGGGCTCAAAGAAAGTATGGGCAAACCTCCATAGGATCCTAGCAAACATGATCAGTATGCGTTTTCCAGGGCACTGACACCAAGCACAGGCAAAGCGCACGTTCCTAGGCGCCGTGCGACGCCTGAGCGCACTCGAGCACGGAATGCGAAATGACCCATTAGCTTACCTGTGCCCTGCGCCGGGGACGATCGCACCAACAGCGGGGCGCGCGACATCCTTCTCTTGCGAGATGGAGAAGAGTTGTCTGTGGGATGATCTGAGAGATCGCGCTCGTCATCGGGTGTGGCTGTGGCTATGTTCCTTGCGTTTTGGCGGAAGTCATGTAATTCGTAGCTGCTGCCTGCGGGCGAGGAAGGGCCAGGGTCGTAGCTTGTGTCACGCAGAACAGGCGAAGAAATTACAGGCGGAAACGACGGTTCTTCAGCCATATATGTGGATTCGTTGGCCACAGGGGGCGCGTGGCTACGTCCGCCCGTATATCACACGAAAAGGGTTTCGTGCCAGTCGGGGTAATCAGACAATCAGATAATTCCGTAATCTTTCGATGATCTGATTAGATGTTAAGGATCAAAGCAAGATTGACCAATGGATCCTGCATCTCAGGCGGGACGCGTTAACGTGGAAGAGCTAGCGTGGCGCGCAAAGCTCGGCCTTCGAACGCGATGCGGTACGGGCGGTTGCGCATCACTTGCAGCACGCATTTGCTGCCCGGCCCGTGGGCTTGACCCTGTTTCTCGGGCCTGGTGATGAGAAAAATTCGCTCTGCAGCGCCCTTGAGCTGCCTAACAGTTGCAAGTGAGATTATGGTACACTAGATTGTCATGCAACAGAGTCTAGACATGCTGATATCTCGGTGTGATGTCATGCATTCTTTTGACCCCACTTATCTCAGATCTACGTGACCGGGGATGCCCACATGGCCTTCACGTTGACTGTGATCAGCGGTGAGGCCCGAGACCATGCTAATGGCTCCCTCGACGTCGTCTTTGTTATACAGGAAGAGACCCTGCAGCGCTGCTGTGCTCACCGAGTCAACCAGTCCCAACTCCTTGACCTTGGCCATGAATCTCCGCCTAGCTTCTCCTTGCCTGTCAAACTCGGCGTAAAATCGATCCCACAAATGCTCGATCTGATGCTCGGTAGCCTCACCGAGTCTGACAGTCATGTCGACGCGCCCAGGTCGCACAAGAGCCTCGTCCAACCTTTCGACGTGATTGGTTGTGAGGAAGATAATGCGCTCTTCAGCACTGGCGACACCGTCCAGAGCATTGAGGAGTCCAGAGAAAGTCACAGAGGCACTCGCAAATCCATCTGCACCCGGCGTCTTCCGGTTCATGAACGCAACGTCCACGTCTTCGAGGAGGACGACAGTCCGTCGTGGCACGTTGGTCAACAGATGGTTCAGGCGATCGTCCGTCAACCCTCGTTCGCTGACATTGAGAATGGCGATGTTGAAATCCAAGTGTCCTGCAACAGCTTGAATAAACGAGCTCTTGCCGGTACCCGGAGGTCCGTAAAGCAGATAGCCCCTTCTGTATGGAATACCACGGTCAAGATACCAGGCGCGTGAAGCAATGAAGGCTTCCATATCCTCAACGATGCGCTCTTTAACGCCTGCCTCCAATACAACCGAGTCCAACGGGCGCTTGCGCTTCGGCTGCCCAAATGGCTGCCAGCTCGTGCCCATGGAATTGTAGATGACCGTTTTTCCTTCTTGCGATTGTTGGTACAGTTGGTGCGCCTCCGCGAAGATGTCCTCGAAAACGCCACGGTGGCTGTAGAGAGTCGTGAGGCTGATCGTTTCAAAGGGCGTACCATCTCGCATGTCAAACGCGTCGCGCGTACGTTGGCGGTCGACTAAAAGAAAGGCATTCTTGTAGCGCATGAAGTGCCGCCCAGGGCCAGGTACGAAGGCAAAGTGCGCAGCCAACGACGGCCCATCCTGCGGCGCTGAGGTTCGCACCTGAAGATGGTGCATACGTGGGTCGATGCGATTGAGCAGTTTCGTAAGGAGACCGTTTGGCGCAGCGGCAGCGCCTGTTGAACGTTGGGCGCCATTCAGTTGCGCCCTGTGATACGTGGTCATCCATTGAAGGAGCCAAGGGTAAGCATCGTCGTGACGTGTGATCTCAAGGTCGATGAGCATCCGTCTCCGAAGAAATGCGGCGCCATGCTGAAGTCCTTTCTGTCCTGTTCGCGCTGCGACTCCTAGTGCAGCGAGTCCGAAGCCCTGTGGCCATTGTGAGCACACTCCATCTCATCGGGGCAATGCAAGGATCGATCGTACAGCAGTAAAGAATGGATTACTAGTAAACTGTGAGTATAACGAGCTGGCATTGTCGCCGCCGCTCGTGGCGAGCTGCTTCAACAGCTGCGATTTCGGATCATTAGAGTCCATGAGCTGAACACGCACGTCACGAAAACTTTAGGAAAGGCGCGGATTGCACTAGGCCCAGAACGAACAGCTACGCGCGAATCAGACCCACTAAGTACTTCACAGGATCCAACTCGTTCTTCTCGCAGCAAATAAACGGCGGCACGATGTCTGAATTCATTCATTTAAGGGCAAACACTCTAGTAGAGAAGAGTCGCGATGAGATTGTTGGTGTTTCTCGCCTGATGCTGCATCTTGCCAATTGGCTAGTTGGAAGTGCCTGGGTGTAGTACCTCGCACAGATTGAGGCATGTACTGTTGGTTAATTGATAATTGCTAGCAGTAGACACTGGCGCAAGGCAATAGGCTCTGTAGGTCCACCCGTTGAGTACCCTCTTCGAACAATGGCGAGATGGCTTCTCGTCGCGTCGCGCCTTTCCAAAAAAAGTGGGGCGGCGCGCCCAGCTCCTTCCCCAGATTGATATCAGACAAACGGGCAGCCAAGATTGCTCGGGTACTTGCTACATATTATTTCTTCTTCTCCCACGCTTTTGCATAAAGCCACCTCCAGCCGCTCACCTTCTTTTCACCTTACCGTTATGGCCACTGTTACTATAGGCAGAGCCTATTTCGATGCTCTTCTTCGCAGGTGAGTGTGCTGTTGACGCGCAGCTAAGCCTTACGTATTCACTGACACAAAAACAGAGCCCAGTTCGTGGGTCGCCATGGCAAATGATCGATTCTTCGTCAAACTAATTCACTGCCAGTACACTTCTGGACAGGAGTTCGAGCTTGCGCCTGACCTCCTCAGCAACGTCATCATCTCGAAAGTAGAGCATGATTACATGGTAAGTTCCTAATAAGTCTGGTTCTTCTCGCATGGACATCTTCTGGCAGGTCACTAATGCGTACAGCAACAATGCAGTCACGAGTATGGTACGTAGAATCCCGGACTCCTCGAACTACGACATAGTATTGAAATTGCTTAGCCCTCCTCAAGAGTGCTCTGTTCCGTGGCGGCCTGACGATGGACACACTGAACACACTCCTCGCTAGTGAAAGCGAGGCCACCGATCACACTGCACAGTACGGACACGGCTCCTCCGAGAAAATCTTCTTTAGACCTGATACAGTACCTAACACGACGCGAATATCTTACAACGATGTCAGCCCTCGCAACAATGACAGTTCGCACAGCTCAGACGAGACCGAGACTCTCAGTGATCATCTCAGCCTACCCCAACCTCGACCTCTGCAACGCACAAATAGCATCGACGAGACTGAGTCCTGCATAGACAACTGCGTGGAAGAAGAGCAGGACCATCGGCAGGATTATGGACACCGCGAGCGCATTCCTGTGCGTGATCAACGCACCATTCTCATCAGCAATCTCGCCGAACGTACCACTCATAAGGACATAACTGGAATAATTCGGGGCGGGCGACTCCTAGATATCTTCCTCCGCAACGACCGATCTGCTACAGTGTCCTTTGTCGAGGGCGCGGCTAATTTCCTGGCACATATCAAGCGCAATGACATCTATCTCCATGCCAAGCGTGTAAGTTCTGCCAGCTCCCTAGTTCGCCAACAAACAATACTGACCTGAATATAGCTTGAATTCCGTTGGGCCGACCGTCAGTTCCACGTTTCGCCTCACGTCTCTTACAATATTGCAAAGGGGGTGACGAGGAACCTCGTGGTGCGTGGCGTGGCTGGTAGAGTCACTGAAGAGCAGATTCGAGATCATCTTGACCATATCCACAACCTCATCATTGTCGACGTCTACTTCCAAAATGGAAATGCGCACATATCGACAAATTCGATCAACAACGCACGATTTGCGAGGACCTGTATGATGTCTCGTGCAGTCTACAAGGGCGTACGGATCGAATGGGGCCCAGACGAGTGTGCTGCTCCGCTGCCGCAGCCTGAGTCAAGGACTCGTCCACCAGCCATGCGTGTACCTTCACTGCCTCTCTCGATGTCGAACATCTATGCACCCCTCGATACTAGCTCAGAGCTGGACTCAGACTCCCAAACTGAGCCTTACATTCCTGATGGTGTGCGTCTCGACCGCAATGACTGGGCCAACGCTACTGTAGCATAAGTATATCAGCTCAGCGCTCACACCGGCTCACAGCGCAGTCAATAGGCGCTTCGCAACTTCTGATACCCACACATGCAAGGAAGCTTGCGCGGGCAACTCGTTCTTTCGAGGTCAAGAACTGTTCCTGCGCCCTTTCTTCAATTCAGATTCAACAACAATATGAACCAGTCGTCATTGGTGTTGTCCTCGGCGTATGACATGATCTGGTTTCTTGGTTCTTGTCCATATCTCGGGTGTTTTCAGGAACATTAACACTGCCAGTACTTAGATATTCGCCCTAGTTCGAGAGTTTTTATAGTCAAACGAATCACCTGTAGAAGTTTTGATGAATTCGTGATATAGACTATTCGATGAACACTGACCAATCATGCAAGAGCGGAGCTTATCTTCGGCTGAGGGCTTACCCCATCTTCATCTACATACCCTTGCAATCCTTCTTACCTCGAAGCATTTTTCTAATTGCTGTTTTGAAGCAGGCAGCAGCAAGATGGCATCCACAATTAAAGTTGCGGTGATCCAGATGTACCCAAAAGTACGATCTCCCCATGGTGACCCACATTGACCACGCTCATCCAAGCAGCCTCTGGACCCAGAGCACAACTTCAACAAAGCGGCAGACTATGTACGCTCTGCTGCAGCCCAGGGCGCCGAGCTGGCCGTGCTGCCAGAATACCACCTCACCAACTGGTTGCCGAAAGACCCGGCTTTCGTAGGGCTCTGCGACCAGTGGGAAACGTATCTGAAGAAGTACCAGGCGCTGGCGAAAGAGTGTGGGATCTGCATTGTGCCGGGGACTATTGTCGAGGGTCATCGTGGCGAGCAGAAGGAGGAGGATCGGCTACTGAATGTGGCGTACTTCATTGGCGCAGACGGGGAGATTGTAGGCAAGTACGTGAAGAAGAACCTATGGTACGTACGCCAACACTCCCCGCACCACGCACCCCCCACTCACCCCCCAGGGGCCCCGAGCGCAGCCACCTCACCTCCTCGCGCCACGCGCCCCACGAAGTCTTCCCCACGCCCCTCGGCAACGTCGGCCTGCTCATCTGCTGGGACCTGGCCTTCCCCGAAGCCTTCCGCGAGCTCATCGCCGCCGGCGCCCAGCTCATCATCATCCCGACCTTCTGGACGCTCAACGACTGCTCGCCCGCGGGGCTCGCGCGCAATCCCCGCGCCGAGGCGCTGTTCCTTGAGAGCGTGCTTACCGCGCGCGCGTTTGAGAACACGTGTGCAGTTGTTTTTGCGAATGCGGCGGGGCCCGCACAGGAGGGGTATGCCGGGTTGAGTCAGGTCACGGTGCCCTTTTTGGGGCCGGTGGGGCGGCTGGGGGATGCGGAGGAGGGGTTGCTGGTGGTGGATGTCGAGATGGGGATTTTGGAGGAGGCGGAGCGGAATTATAGGATCAGGGAGGATATTGGGGGGGAGGGGTGGCATTACACGTATCGACATGACAGTGTGGGTGGTGAGTAAAGAGTTCTTGGGGGTGGTGAGATTAGGGAAGGGGAGCATGGAGATGTTGACTCTGGCACGTGATTGGAGGAATGTAGTTGCTTAGTTTAGGTTTCGATAGTGAACGCATGTTGGCTTGTAAGTATTAAAGTTATGTCAAGCTGCAGGCTGATGTCAATCTGCTGTAGCGGCTCGCGACTTGGTAACTGCCGTCGTGGAAGGATAGCCGAAAGTGAAGCACTGCACGTCTACTCAAGTCGACTACACTCAGATCCACTGCACTCAAACGCACCACATGCACCGCATAGGTATTGGAATCCACCACGCTTAAATTCACTGCACTCATATCCACTACAAACCCACTGCAGGGACTCCAATCCACCGCAAATCCACCGCACCACCCCCATCCTTCCAAGAAACATGATTTCAAACCCCCAGAACGCCATCCAGACCGCCAGGCTCCCACAATTCAACAAGGCTGGATATCGCGCAAGAACGCCTAGAGAATCCTTCCAATAGTAGACCCACATGCTAATGCAAACGCCAAAGGAGAAACGACGGGCAGAGGCTAGCTCTGCTCGCTCATGCTGCCGTCGCTGTAGTCGGTGTCGTTGGGGCTGGGGCAGTTCTTGTAGGAACGGGTGATGCCGTGCTCGGTGGAAACAGTCTCGCCGACGACGACGACGCGGGTCTTGCCCAGCTGCAGGAACTCGTTCTCGTCGGCGGCCAGCTTGGCGGCGACGTCCTTTTCGTAGATGCGCTTGTAGAAGGCCTGGAAGGCGCCCTCGCTCTCGAAGGTCATCTCGGACACGACGTCGTAGTCAATGACGTCGGCATCGCCGCGCAGCAGCAGCGGCGGGCGGTCGGGGTTGGCGGGCCCGCCGAAGCCTCGTCGCGTAATGCGGGCCAGGTACTGTCGGGTGAACTTGTAGGGCCAGCTGCCGGCACACAGGCGCTGGGCCAGCGGGATGTGCACGTTCTCGTAGTGGTCGCGGAAGGCCTCGGGCGAGAGGTCGGGCCGTCGGGTGACGAAGAGCAAGATGGTGTAGGCCATGAGGGACACGGTGACAGCGGCACTTCCAGAAGCCCAGAAGCCGCGTAGAAGACGGCGACGCGGCTTATAAGGTGCAGCGTGCGGCGTGCAGCGGGCCACTGGAGACGGGCGTCGCAGGGCTAGCCGGAGCGCGCTGGGCGGGCATGATGCGACGAGCTGGCGCTGGCGGCGCAGGACCGCAGGATCGCGGAGCTCGCTCGGCGCGCAGGATCTCTCTCCGCGCGCACGGCACAGGCGCTCCGCTCGCCAGACCTGCTGGCGACGCTGTGAGCCATGGATCCAAGGCCCAGGTGCAGCGGCGAGCACCCGGCGGCCGCGGCGCTGTGATTGGCCGGCGGGGGTGGTGGCAGCAGCCGCTAGCAACGCACTTTGGCGGTGCGAATTCGAAATCTCGCGGGGAGCCTCGTCGCCATTGTCTCGTCGCTGCCACCCCGCCCACGCCTGCGCGACCACCTGCTGCTCGACACTGCCGCCCGAGCTCGACACTGCCGCGACACACTCGACTGCCGCGCAGCTCGACCGCCACACCCGACCGCCACATTTCCCCCACCATGAGCCGCTACCAGGGCGACTCGGACGCCGAGGACGACGCGCCGCAGGTGCAGTACGACGGCATGGACGAGCTCGACCGCATGCCGTCCATGGGCGGCACCCAGGACATCCACGCGCAGCTGCAGGCCGCCGCCACGCCGCTCGAGTTCCAGGCCACGCTCGAGACCAAGTTCGCCAGCTACGACAACTACTGCAACCTGTTCCACTACATCCTCAACTCGGACGGGCCCGTCGACCTCGAGGTGCCCAACGTAAGGCGCACCTGACTGCCGCATCTGCTGCCGTATCTGACTGCTGACTGCTGACCGCAGTACTACTGGGCCTGGGACGTCATCGACGAGTTCATCTACCAGTTCAACAGCTTCTGCAGCTACCGCCAGAAGGTCGCCCTCAAGAACGACAACCCCGACGAGCTGGCCCTGCTGCGCGAGAACCCCAACACCTGGGGCTGCTACAGCGTGCTCAACGTCCTGTACTCGCTGATCCAGCGCTCGCAGATCAACGAGCAGCTGGCCGCCATGAAGCGCGGCGAGGACTCCAACCTGTACGCCGGCGAGTACGGCCAGCGCCCGCTGTACAAGATGCTGGGCTACTTCTCCATCATCGGGCTGCTGCGCGTGCACTGCCTGCTGGGCGACTTCAGCCTGGCCCTCAAGACCCTCGACGACATCGAGCTCAACAAAAAGGCCCAGTTCGCCCGCGTCATGGCCGCCCACTTCACCACCTACTACTACGTCGGCTTCTCGTACATGATGATGCGCCGCTACACCGACGCCATCCGCATGTTCTCGCACATCCTGGTCTACGTCTCGCGCACCAAGAACTTCCAGAAGAACGCCCAGTACGACTCCATCACCAAGAAGAACGACCAGATGTACGCCCTGGTCGCCATCTGCGTCGCCTTCCAGCCCACGCGCCTCGACGACACCATCCACACCGCCCTGCGCGAGAAGTACGGCGAGCAGTTCAACAAGCTGCAGCGCGGCGGCCCCGAGTCGCTGCCCCTGTTTGAGGAGCTGTTCCGCACCGCCTGCCCCAAGTTCATCTCCCCCACCCCGCCCGACTTCGACAACCCAGAGGTCAACATCGACCCCGTCGAGCACCACCTGCGCATCTTCATGGACGACGTCAAGAACAACATGATGTCGCCCACCGTCAAGAGCTACCTCAAGCTCTACACCACCATGGACCTCAACAAGCTCGCCGGCTTCCTCGATGTCGAGGCCGAGACCCTGCGCTGCTGGCTGCTGGTGAACAAGCAGCGCAACAAGCAGATCCGCTGGAACGAGGGCGGGCTGTTGGAGGGCGACGTCGTGTCGGCGGGCGACCTCGACTACGCCATGGAGGGTGTACGTATTTCCAAAACTACAGAACGACCGCAAACTAACGCAAACAGGACCTCATCCACGTCTCCGAGGCAAAGGTCGGCCGCAAGCTCGTCGACTGGTATCTCCGCAACCTGGCGCGCACGTACTAGATAGCGAAACACGAGGAGAGGAGGCACGTCAGAGTCATTCTTGGCCAATCGAGATAGAGCATCCGGCTTGGCGTTGGGGTTACGGCATATGGAAAGACATGGCATAGCAAAAGCGTTTCTGAGGTTTTTGAGCGTGATGAGGCACAGAAGGTGCTGTGTTGGCCGTGCTGTGCTGGCCTGCGGTGCTGTGGCCGTGCGGTACGGTGTGGAGAAGGATGTTGTGGAGCAGAGATGGACGGGGAAGAAGCACCCGAGGATTGAAGTAGAAGTATACGGTGATGATATATGCGCCAATGAACAAATCGCACTTGAGTCTTGCTAGCCTGTAGTGGTATGGCGGGGCACGTTGGTGGCCACCGCACGACGTCTTCTCGACCAGCAACGCAGACAGCTCACTAGAAGTGCAGGGGACAGTTAATTAAAAGCGTCGTCTCCAGCACTTCGTCGCCTCAGCATGAGACTGGGTTTCACTTGATGCAGCTGCCCCTCACGGCCGCTCCTGCCTCCGCCGAGACCCCTCCTTCAACACGTGCAGGACCACTGTCTTGACGACGCGTAACTCCACACAGCGACGCGTCTGCTGTTCGCAACACGCCACGAGCTCTCACACGCCGAGCAGTGTTCAAAAAGCATCCCGGTCGCAGCCCCAGCTCTGCGGGGTAAACACTATCATCCGACAACAAACACCATCGACGACACACCACCTCCAACCAACCTCCACACAACCACAACCATGGCTCCAGACCTCAACTCCGTCCCCGTCTCGCCGCGCCCAAGCGCCTCGCACTCCACCACCACCTCCCGCCAACCCTCCGCCCCCACCTCCCGCCGGCCCTCGCAAATGAGCCCCCCCGCGCTCCCCCTCTCACCCAACACCGCCTTCCCGCCCCTCTCCCCCGCCGAACCGCACGCGCCCACGCGCCACCCGCGCCCCATGACCGCCGCAGAACTGCACCTCGAGCTCGAAAAAGAACAAGAAGCCGTCGTCAACAGACTCACCCGCGAGCTATCCGTGCTGCGCGCGCACTCAGCCTCCGTCGCATCAACGGGCTCCAGCGCATCCGCGATCGTTGGGGGCGAGGAGGCCGTGCCGCCGCTGGGCGCGGAGCGCAGGCACAGGAGCAGCAGCAGCGTGTCGCGCGCCGCGCTGGGCACGGCGCACGGGCACGCGTACGGGCTCGCACACGGCCACGCACACGGCCACGCCCACGCGCCCAGCTCGACGCCGAGCGTCAGCGTCAGCGCATCGTCGTCCGCGCGCCAGAGTCTCAGCGGCCCGCCGGCGGGTCCGCAGGGCGGCGTGGAGATGCGGCGCAGCAGCAGCATTGTGGCGACGCCCAGGTACGAGGAGGTTGCGCTGCAGCGCGCGGAGCTGGAGGACGTGCGGCGCGAGAACGAGGCGCTGAAGGAGAGGATCAGGGAGCTGGAGCGGGCGATAAGGGGTGAGGAGAGGGGGCGGCGCGGGGCTCCTGCTGCGTCTGTTGGGGGGGAGGGGGGTGCGTCTGCGTCTCCGTCTGCGGTTGTGGCTACCGGAGAGTCGTAGGCAGGGCGGCATCAAGGGGAGGAGCTAGAGCGGTATTCTTCCAGGGGTATGCACTTATACTTGCACTTGCACAAACCGCGTCACAGCCAGATCTTGAGTTCTTTTAATGCATTAAACGTTAAGCTCATAGCAATACCCTGGCTAGCCCTGGTCCTTAGAGATCATTCTCACAGGCCCTGACTAATCCTAGGAGGAGCGTGGAGGATAGGGTCCCTTCAAGTTCCGAAAATGGTGGCGGAAGAGTTCCCTTAAAGCCAACCAAATGTAGAACACATTTTGTAGCTATTACAATGCCCAAAGATAATGTTTAGTTGAGAGTTGTCCACATTGTCTATAGGCAAAGTAGTGTTCAACAGAGACTCTTAGTATTTCCCCTTCTCTGCTGTTGTGTGGTGTACTGGCCTCATATCCTCAATCCGCCGTTCATTCTGCAACGTCAGCACTTCCCCATCGAGACTGTAGAAAGCCGCACCCGCATCACCCGTCCCTAGTAAGAGTCCAAGCCCTCGACATGCCTCTCAAACTCCGCTTCCGCGAGCGGCCTCATGTAAAACCCCGTCGACAGGCTCCCCTGCATGTCTGCATCTGCCTCCCTCGGAACCTGCTGCAGCAACTGCTCGAGAAACTCTGCATCTGCGGCCTGTGCATCGCCATGGAGGGTTATGCGCGGCATCGGCGACTGGTAGACGACCACAACGCGAGACGGAGGGTAGTGCGTGGGCTGGGTGAGCCACAGCACAGACTCCATGACTTCTCGGCCGTGCACGGCGCCGCGCGCGTGTGTGATGGTCATTTCGATGGTGCGGACGGGCGGGGCGTCCGGTGTGCGGCCTGGTGCTGGACGCGTGCGCGAGAGCGCGAAGGCGCAAACGTCCAGGAAGGACTGCACGGCTGTGTTTTGTTCGCTGACGTACTCGTCGGGTACGCCGAGGCAGCTTTGCAGGGGACTGTTAGGGTATATGAGGGCGAAGGCTGCGCTGTAGTCGACAAGATATCGTACAGGCAGGAGCATAGAGTGCTCTATCTTGCGTCTAATAAAGGGGTGGGCTTCCTTGTTGACGAGGCGGCAAGTCGCAAGAATTTCGACCGCGAATTTAGTGCACGGCTGGATAAGAGTGACGCGAGAATCTTGGACCGGAGACTGGCGAGGAACTGGCCAGTTCGATTTGCAAAGTTCAGCCTGTGTTCGTTCGAGGACGTGCCGGGTAGTTGGCATCTCGAGATCGATCTGTTCGTACACGCAGTAACGTAGGTCTACAGGCAGATCGAGAAATCGGAAGGGCTGATCATGATTACCTACAGCAACTGTGTGTGATGCCATATTCGCGGACTGAAAGATGTTGGTGGAAACATGGGGCGGGCGTGAAGTACAAATACTTTGTTGACGTCCCTCAACAACCCAAACTCTCTGTCTAAAAGCAGGATGCAGTCGGGTCAGGGGCACACTAAGACCTAAGCAATTTCACTCTACCACAAAAAAGATGGTGCACCCACGCCGTCTTAGCAGTTATTCGTTACTAGAAAACGACTTATAGAGGTATACAAAGTATCTCGGCTCTAATATTAGTACTTATTGTCTAATCTTGCCTGCATTACAGGTGTTGTTTGCAGAGACGTGTTCATAGAAGAAGAACATTTAAGGATGCACATTAATTACTCACCCTTGCTATGCTGTATGTATGGAGCTGTGGAGCCACGACGAGACGCCTTGCTCGATTATCGTCCCCACAGTGTCGAGAGAAGGCGTGAGATGTGGCATTGGTGTTGATAGGTAGCAGACGGAAGAAGTCAGAAGGCAGCAGCGAAACGCCACACCCGGCACATTTCCTCCCCTGAGAACTCTTGTTGCGTCAAGAGCAAGAGCCTAGGGGACCGGGGTGCGAAATGGAGAAGTGCGTCCACTCGGTCTCTAGCTTCCTAATCGCTAGGTCTCTACCGCACCTTTCCTTCCTTCAATGTAGCCTTTAGGGTTGGCCTTGCTGTTGCATAGTGGCTTGCCGGTAAGAGCATATTAGGGTACATGTAGTCTTTCGCGCAGTCTCTTATCCTGGTTTCTTTCACTAGCACATCGAGACCGCTGCCACCACCACCACCACCACTACCACCACCGCCGCCGCCACAGCAGCAGCAGCAACAACAACAGCAGTAGGTAGATCAGGGCATCCTTGATCCTACTGCAAATAAAGTATCATGCTGAGAGCCAACTTACAGGCCGCCGCACCGCCCTGCCGCCGCCGCCGCCCACCACCACCACCACCGCCGCCGCCACAGCAGCAGCAGCAACAACAACAACAACAGCAGCAGCAGCAGCAGTAGGTAGATCAGGGCATCTTGATCCTACTGCAAATAAAGTATCATGCTGAGAGCCAACTTACAGGCCGCCGCACCGCCCACCACCACCACCGCCCACCACCGCCGCCGCACCGCCGCCCGCCACCACCCCACCATGTTCGTATACAGTCTACCGCTGTACCCCTCCTCCTCGATATCATCGTTGAGATTGCATGTTGTCGTAACGTCGTAGTATGATCAGAAGATTTGAGCTGATGTCACGTGATTTATAGGAGTCGTCTCGACCGGCTGCGGGAGCAGCTGCGGGCCGCCGAGGCGGCCCATTTTGTAGCCGCCGGCGACTACCTCGCCGACCCCACCCCGGAGACGGCCCGCGCGTGGCTTCGCGCTGGAGCGTTTGTGAGCATAGATAGCTTTCCAGGGCTCTCTCTGTTGCGCTGTGGTGGATGGAAAACTTTAATTCTCATGTGTGCTAACAATTGTTGTAAAGGTCGCCGCCACTGGAGCCGCCATTAAGGCGGAGGAGCGACGCCGCGCCTCCAGGCAGTAGAGGGGGGAGGGGGGTAGAGGGGGGTAGAGGGGGGGGGGGGCTTTTTTGGACTTCTGATATAATTACCGTCAATATATTTCGATAATCATTTTTTAAATGCAGACCTACATCTTAACTAAACCTGATTCCAAGAACTATCCAAACCCTCTACATGTCTCTCAAAATCTGCTTCCTTAAGCGGCCTTATAAAAACTCCCCAAGACAGATTGCTAATTTCTAGTTCTCTTGGAACCTGTTGTAGCATCTGCTCCAAAAAACCTGAATCTGTCACCTGCGTACTACCAGGCATCAATATTCTTGGAAGCGGAGACTGGTAGATGACCACAACTCGAGTTGGAGTCAAGTACGTGAGCTTAGAGAGCCACACTACAGCTTCCATGACCTCTCTGCTGTGCACCGCGTCGCGCCTGTAAGTGATCGTGATCTCTATCGCTCGTACCCCGCGTGAACCGCTCTGTGTTCCGTCCCATGCTCGGTTCCGTGCTGGACGCGTGCGAGAGAGGGTGAGTGCGCAGACGCGCAAGAAGGACTTCACGGCTGTGTTTTCGCCCTGGCTAATGCCTGCGCCAGCCATGCCGAGACAGCTTCGCAAGACGCTGTTGGGCTTCACGAGGGCGAATACTGCACTGTAGTCTACCAAGTACTGTACAGGCAGACGCCTGGCTTGTTGTATTTTGCGGCTAAGAAAGTAGCTGGCTTCCTTGTTAACAAGGCGGCACGTCGCTAGGAGGTTTGTCGCAGACTTGGTGTGCGGCTGGATTAGGGTGATGCGGGAGTCATAGATCTGGGATTTGGGCAAAACGGGCCAGTCTGGTTTCCTGATAAGGGCTTGTGTTCGGTCGAGACTGTGCCGGGTCGCAGGGATCTCGATGTGTTCGTACACGCAGCAACGCAGGTCTGTAGGCAGATCAAGGAAGCGGAAGGGCTGTTCGCTTATAGTATCTGTACATGATGCCATGTTTACGAACTGGAAAATGGTGGTGGAAACGTGAGGCGGGCATGAAGCTGTGAGGCGGACATGAAGCTGAAGTATCGTACCTACCCTGTTGGCTTCGCTTAACGACCCAAACTCTCCGTTCAAACACAGGATGCGGTTGAGCCAACCAATACTAGGAGAATGAGTACACTGGGACCTTGGTAACTCCACTTTAGTGCATCCTTATCTTTAAGTCCATGTGCGTAAACGGGAGGCATTCAGCTCGGATCTCGGACATTATATGTTAGATCTCAGAAACCAGACGCTAGAAACCGAAAGGCAGAATACAGATGGCAGGAGTTCGGAGCCTAGAGTCAGAAGACAGGAGCCAGACGTTAGAAGGCAAATACAAATGTCAGACACACGTGTCAGATGCCAGTATCCGCCACCCAGCGCTCTGCAAACTTGCTTCTGCTTCCGTTGCGCCTTTGTAGGATGTAAGTTGTGCTACTTGCAGCGTAGAAGCTGTGGAACTACTGTTAAACACTTCCATTTAGATAGCAGATGGCAGATGGCAAATACTTATATCTGCGATCTGCGGAACAGTGTTGGGTATAGGACCCACTTGGCTGCTCGGTACGTTGTAGGATGTAAACTGTGTTGCTTGCAGCTGGGAAGGTGCACAAGTACTGTTGAACAACTCCGTTCAGATAGGAGATAGCAGATACTAGTAGTTACTTAATAGGCACTTGCACACGTCTGCCGAGCTGCTTAGCACTATTATAGGATGCAAACTGTGGTACTCGCAGCGAAGAAGCTGTACGACTCAGATGCTGAACATCTAACGTCCAGCATCCAACACCCAATATCTACCACCTGCAACTTGCCACCTGCCACCTGCCCTACCACAGTTCTCTAACGAATGTCGAGGCTGGCACGTTATGGGATAGATATGCATTAGCTGCTCGATTCAATACTGGAAGGGTATACTATAAACGACGCCTCGAGACACACAACACCGTAAAACACAACCAGAGATCTAGAATAACCGCACCAGCACACACCCCGACGATGAATACCTCACTGCTTCTGCACCCCCCGTACAACCGCCCGCCCCACACCCGCCAGAATCCGGAACACTAGCATCAGCACCCATACCACCGCCTTCACCGCAAACGACACCAGCTTGATCACCGCGCGCACCACAAACGGCAGCCGGTCCTCCTTCTCGGCCTGCCGGCGCGCCCGCTTCTCAGCCCGGGACTCCTTGGCACTCGGACTCGCGCTGACACTGGCGGTCGCGGGCGCAGCAGGACTCTGCCCGTACCACGCGCCCATCTCGATGTCCTTGTCGACATCCGCATTGCGGTCGCGGGCGCGCGTCGAGCTGTCGTCGCCCGTGGACGACTTGAGCGCGCACAGGAGCCTGCTGAGCGACGACTTGGCGGCTGCGCCGGCGTTGGCGCGGCCCTGCTTGCTCGCGTCGACGGCGGCCCAGTCGCGCTTGAGCGTGTTGCCGACGCCGCGGGCGCTGGAGCCGGGGGAGCGCGGGGCGTAGTCGTTTGCGGGCGGGGCGGCGAAGTCGCTGAGGGATGTTTTGCGCGCGGAGCGGCCGCGCGTAGCTTCGGCGATGGCGACGGCGCAGAGGGTACTGGCGGCGACGTCGACGAGGAAGGGGTTGCCGAAGCGGGTCAGGGCGCCGAGATTGAGAACCAGGGTGTCGGCAGCAAAGTCGAGGCGTGCGAGCATTGCGTCGTCGGCAGTAGCGTCAGTGGTGGTAGGGAGCTGTGCGACGGACATGGTTGAGGGGGTGGCCGAGATGGGGCGGTTATGTGCGTCAAAGCGTGGGGGCTCGGGGAGAGGTGAGAAGGCGTTTGTCCGCGGTGTGGTGGTGGACAGAATGTACGGATTCAAAAGAGTGATGGACGCGGGCTTTGGTGTAGATAGGGTTGGTGTCGAGGCCATATTGTGCCCGTATATGGCGGTTATGGGGCGGGTGGATGGCTTGTTGATGACGGAGCAGTCGCCTTCAATCTGGATGGGAAAATTGCCTAGAGCCGGGTGGTGCAGCTGGTACGAGCCTTCAGACGGGATGTGCTGGGCCCATGGATTGGCTTGTTGGTTAGGGTCATCACGCGTCCAGAGGAGTGTGCAGCACTCCCGTTGAGCGGCGCCGGCAAGGACGTCTTCGGCCAGCCTTTGTGCAGCAGGGGACTGGGCACCAGGATCTACCAGAGCGATACGTGAGGCGGCAGGCGACGTCGCGGCTGCATCCAGGGCTTGGAGAGCGGCGAGTTTGGGGTATACGCTTGTCAGAAGAGTAGTCGACTCCTGCTGCCGGGGGTCGAATGCCATGCTATCCATAGAAGGAGGTGAGATGAGATCGAGTTGTGCAATAGGCAGTACCCGAGGTTGAGTAGGGTGATGCCGTTGGATCAGGAGCTCGTTGATGATGCTCTGCACCGGGGCATCCTCACCAGCCAGGTTCGTCGTTGCTAAGCTGTAGAACGGAAGCGAGGGCGTGGTTCCGAAGGTGATGGTAGGGTTGGCCATTGTAGCTCGATGCATTTTGAGAGTATAGATCTGAATCGCCGGCTCTTCTTGTCCATTGGCCGCTAGCCAGAGATTGTCAAGCAGGTGAGAAGGCGTGAAGAAGGTTTTCGGTGGCGGTTTGGCAGTCATGGTGCTCCTTGAAGACGTGTTGCTGTGAGGCACGTACGGCTCTGCAGAGTATGGCGATCTGCTGGTCTGCAAGTGAGTTGGCGACGCCTGCATGGGCTTGTACGCCTGTTGCGAAAGAGGTACATTGGGGTTATATGTTGGAAACATAGAACGCATCTGGACCTCTTCTTGTGGTGACCTTGGCGGTCGTGTGGCCGTCGTGTTGCTTCGGACAAGCGTCTCACATGTTGAGAATGCAGGAGAGGCTGTCCGGTTGGGTTCAGGACTGTAGGCGTGAGGCATCGAGAGGGCTGGCGAGGGCCCTCGGTAGAACTCCTCATGTGCTGATGGTGGTGTATGGCCTGCGGCGGAGCCGCTTGGCGCGACATGAGCTCGAGGCGGTGCGGCGATTGCTGGAGCCGCATTGTTCGTGTTGGACGGTGATACGGGAACTGAGTTGACTTGTATGACCAGTTCGTGGAAGTCGATTGACTGTTCCATGTGGTTTGCGCTGTCCTTTCTCTCCACCACGGGCGCGGGCACAGATGGCTTCGCCGCTGGCGAGGGCCTCCGAGCCGGGCTTGTTTGCCTTGCCCGAGGCGGTGGAGGAAACAATTGGAAGCCGGTACCAGTCATGTTCAACGCTGCTCTTTCGTGTAAGGACGATTAGAAATTACGTGGAGACGTTTTGTTCGCTATGATAGAGGCGAGAGACGTTAGGTCGGCATTGAAACACAAGACGCTGAATGCACGAGTATATGGGAACGACGATGCATGCACGCGGTGGAGGCTGGCGAACAATCTCTGCTCTTTACCCCGAACGATAGCGGTAGAAGTGCGTCGCATGCATAAACTACCTCTTGCAGCACTTGGGGCGGCCAATCAGAACGCCGACCTGGTTCGGCGCGTAGAGTTGCGGCGAGGATTAGCGGCTACGATGTCGGTGGTTGGTCTACATCACATTAAGCGCCGGCATACTCAAGACCCCAGAACATGGCCAGGACTCTGAATGGTCTGGGAAAGTCTGCGAAGCGCCCTCATTCGCCGGAGGCCTCGTGCCTGACAGCGCACAGGCATGGCTGTCTGTGATGGGTGCACGGGAGAAGCGATCGTCTCGGGGTCTATTTCGGGGTCTTCTGCGAGCTGCTGCTTCTCTGAGAGGACGGTACAAGAAGTAGACGCTCGCCGAGTCATGCCTGGCCTGATTTCTCGGAGCATGAGCAGTCCGTCGAGGTGACTGCCAGAGATCGACAGCGATGGGTACTGTCGCCGCATGTGTGCACGTGCAGGTGGCAGAGGTCACTTTGACCTGCGCATCGGGCAATCTCGAATTGACAGAAACATTGCGGGGTCGGGTCGCTGTCGAGCTCCGAGATGTTCAGTGAGGTTTGAAGGGCGGAGGAAGGGCATGGAAGGGCTCGTGTGGCGTAGATGAGATGAAGGCGCTACTGTTATCGATAACCTTAAATACTTTTGGTGGCAGAAAAGTTGTCATTGCGCATGCGACCAGCAAACAACTTTCAAAATGCCGACAGAACTAGAAGAGGTACGGTGCTGAACAGACAAAAGACAGGATTGCATACTCACACACATCTCCAGCTTGTTGAATTCCTCCACCACGGCAACACGCAGATCCGACAAGTTGGTGAGCGCTGCCCCACCACCCCGCCATCTCTCGCTCACAGCAGACAGCCGCTGAGCACCTGGTCGGATACTCGCAGGTCGACGTACCACTCTTCAAGCGCAACCAGCTGGAGCCTGTGAAGGACCTCAAGCTGCTTGTCAAGGACTACACGCCAATTGCGAAGAATGCCCTCACCATTCTGATCAACATCTCGGCCGATCTTGAGGTCCTGAAGGACATCGCCAAGGACGATGCCTTCCTCGAGCTGCTGCTGTCTCGGATAACAGTATGTCAGTTCCCCGCACGTGTTGCGTCGGTAGCACGCTGACGCCGTCCAGAACAAGAAGGAGCCCCATGCCAATGAGATTGCTATGCTGCTCGCCAACATGGCAAAGGACGACGCCCTGCAGCGCGTCCTCCAACTGCAACGCGACATACCAAAAGAACTGTCGACGTCCAAATGGGCCATGGACCAGCTAATGGACTGCTTCGTCAAGGGCGCTGAGGGCGCATACAACCCCCACGCCGACTTCGACTTCCTGTCCTACTTTTTCGCCGACCTCGCCAAGGTGCGTCACAGCTCCACCCCCTACCAATCCACGACTAACCCCTCCAGTTCGAGCAAGGTCGCGAGTACCTCACCACCCCCCAAACGCACGACAACGACATAATCCCCATCACCAAGCTGCAAGTCTTCACCTCACACACCTCACACACCCGCCGCCTGGGCGTCGCCTCAACACTCAAGAACGCCGCGTTCCGCGTCCCCGCACACCCCGTGCTCCTCTCGTCCCTCGCCACCGACCTAGACCTCCCTCCGCCGCACCTCGGCGCCAACACGCTCCCGTACATCCTGCTCCCACTCATGGGCAGCGAGGACTACTCCGACGAAGACACGGACGGCATGCTCGACGAGCTGCAGCTGCTGGAGCCGGACAAGGAGCGCGAGCCCGATTTCGAGATTGCGAAGGCGCATTTGGAGACGCTGTTGCTTTTCACGTCGACGCGCGAGGGCAGGGACGTGCTGAGGAGGGTCAAGGTGTATCCGATTGTGCGGGAGTGCCATTTGCATACAGAGGACGAGGGTGTTAGGGAGGCGTGTGATCGCGTGGTGCAGATTTTGATGCGCGACGAGGAGGGGGAGGAGAGCGCTGAGGCTAAGGCAGGGGGGAGCGGGCGGTTGATCGAGTTGGAGCAGGACGAGGATGAGGAGGATCAATTGATCGAGGTGTTGTAGTGGCGTGATGTATCGAAGAATTGAATTGACGTGTTGAGATCAAGCGTTTGTCTTGGGCGCTCGTAAGCAATGACACTGCATGCTATGCTTTCTCTGACCCCTCTGTCATATTCTCCACACTTTCACGTTTCAGGATAAACAGTGGATCAAGGAGGTGGGTAGAAAGAATGAAATTGGATAAAATTGTCCTCCCCAATAAAGCCCACCAGTTCGAGTGCATTCACCCTCGACAGCTGCCCCGTCGCCTCCTTCATCGCCGCCAACGTACTCTCGTCTAGGTGCGGGAGGAGTGAGCCCATCTTTGCCGTCGTCCTCAACAGAAACTCGAAGTCCAACAAGCCACCAATCTTCCCCCGGTCAGCCACCATCACACCACGCAACGCAAGAAGATCCGCCCGGGATGTGATGAATCCATCATGAAAGCGTGTCTGCACGGCCCCGCAAAGCCGCCACCAAGTTGTAGGAGTCTTAATTGCGTGGTGCCGCTCGCAATTACGCCGCGAAAGCAACGAATCGCTCCGGAGAAGGCCGTCACCCTCGCCGTCTTCTATGTACTGTGAACCGTGGAAAACGCTGGCGGCCCCTCCGATTGCGATGAACGACGTGCGCAAGTGCAGCGGAAGGAGGCGGGTGGCTGATAGGAAGCACTCGATCAGAGCTGCTTTCATGTCTCGGGTGATGTGCCTATGGGAAGGCATGAGTGCTGTGGGACAACCTGAGGACAACTTGTCAGCACGGCGGTATGGGTTAAGATTATACAGACAGACTGACGGCTGTTTAGTGATAGGCTGGCGGTAGGAATACGGATAAAGACCTGCAAGTGCGTGTTGGTATCGTTGTTCGAGGGTGGGTTGTACGCCTTACTGTTACTCTGCGCCGGTGGATGAAGAAGAGAGGAGAAGGAAAGGAGGCAGGACCTGAACAAGTTCATTGCTACCATCGTAGAACCTTCCATCTCTGATGTAGGTAGTGACTTCCATGTGGTCGCAAGAACGCACTTGCTAAGCTGATATGGCAGGAGCGAAACCGCAGATCAAAGGCGCATCATAGCATCTTAGAAACCTTCCCAAGTACGGGAACATCGAGCTCGACTATTTCGATTGAGGCTGCGCTCTTGCTTTGCACCAATCCGGATAACTGGCTGGGTCCCACTTATGCACCTGCGTCCCAACACCTTCTTGATACACAAAGAAAGGTTTTCTCTTGTAATCCCGGAGATACTCCTCCATATAGTCGTCCTCTTCAAGCTCTATGAGTAGTGGTAACTGCTGATGGGGCAGCTCCAGATACAAGTACCGAACTAAGTTTCGAATTATCCATGATGCAAACAAGGCAAGTTCCTGCTTCGATTCTCTGTAGTGAGTTGCCTGAAACACAAGGGCGTCCAGATATGCCGGAAGGCTTGGGACTAGTATCGGATGGTTGTTGGATGGGCTCTTGCCTCTTGGAAATCTTTCGGAGAATGTCCTTGCTGCCACTGCTCCCTCTGATAAGTTGCGTAATTTCGTCTCCGAACAAAGACGAGGACCATACCACCATCCATCTTCTCGCCCTATTGCTGGGTGCCACTTCTCTTCTATGAGAACGACGAACCAGGGATAAAAGTCGGGCACTTCGACGAATGGGCAAGTATCTACGTTGATGTGATACGTGGTTTCAGACCACAGACAGAGATACTCGTACTCGTTCTCATCCTCGACTTTTGTTCGCTGGAGGAATATATCGGCTTCGGATTCGGGCACTTCATGCAGGCCGAGCTGTTCTTTCGGGTTGGCCTTTTTCCAATGTCCGGACTGAATAAGAGCTTTGCCAATGCTTTGAAGACCACTGTTCTTTATGAGGAGATCACAGATACGTGAAAGGGCTCCGGCGGACCCCATCCATCGTTGCGCGGAAGAGCCCACTAATACCACAGGATGATGGTGAGAAACCATGATATCAACAATATGATCCATGATGTCTCTCTAGTAGGACACTGTCCTAATAGACTAGTAGTGATCTTTTGCGAGGTCTTTGAAAAAGATTTAGTCGTCAGCTTCGCGCCCGCTGTGAGTTGATTATCGGGAGAGGCTTGAGAGTCGAAGAATGAAACGTGTCATCTGATGCGGCGGAGGATAAAATTTTTAGTGAAGGCACCGATTATCGCTATCGAATAGTGTGATTTCGTGGTACAGCCCTATTAGAAGCTATCCGTTACCACGGTAGACTACTTCAAGTTTGTTCCCGTGATTGGGCCTGGCAATGAGATTCTGCGCTAGGTATCGACCCTGTATGCACCCTGTTGAGGCGCTGTCATGAGCCAGCCACGTTTGTGACAATTCCATGGATTTCCAAGGTCGTCAACCTTGCAAGGATTTTGTTTTCAACATCGCTCCCTTCGAAGGACAACAGTGTCAGGCTTGCTGCTCGTTCTCTCCCGTCCTCTGTAGCAAATTGATGTGGTTATTCCAGGGGTTTGACTAAGACGCTCGTATGTGATGACTTCGACCTCTACGCCTTCTCCTCCACACTCCCACTCTCGCGCAGCTCACTCGCACCTTCCTCCCGCACAACAACCACCTCCCGCTTCTTGAAACTCCACCCCCCACTCCACCCAACCCACCCTTCCTCCCACGGCCCCCTGACAACCATGACCCCCACCGCGGCCCCCAAGAACCCCACACTGACACTCCCACTCGCCACCCACCCCCCTCGCGCATAAACCCGATTCCCGACCGCCGTCCCGATCAGCTGCCCCACAAACGCACACACCATAAATGCCGTGTTTACGCCATTCCGTCTCTTCGGCTCGATACCGAAGATCGCGCTTCTTTGCGCAATCTGCGCAGTCTGGTTGCCGAAGTCGAGCAGCAGCGCCTGCAACACGGGGCCCGCGACGCTGAACAGTCCCGTGTAGGTACCGATACACACGCCGAGCAGCGAGCAGCTCAGACCGAACAAGATACTGAGGTGAGGGACGAAGCGGTCGGTGACGGTGCGTGCCCACAGCGGCGACGCGAGCATACCCGCCAGTCCGATGAGGCCGAACAGTCCGATTGTGAGCGACGAGTAGGCGTAAGGCGGGCCCGCGAGGAGGAAGGTGAGTGTGGTCCAGAACGAGGTGAAGGGCGCGGAGCACAGGAGCGAGGCCAGGCAGGCCTGAACGAGGACGGGGTGGCGGGGCAGCATAGCGGGAATGGAGAGGAGGAGGTGCGCGTAGTTGGTGTCTGGGTTCGTGGGCGGGTAGTCTGGCATGAAGAGCCACAGCAGCACGAAGATGAGGTACTGCAAACCGAGTGACAGCCAGTATACAGCGCGCCAGGAGGTGAAGTTGGAGATTGTGCCGGAAAGGACGCGGGCAATCAGCACGCCGAGCATGAGGCCAGAAACTACAATGGAGAGGGCTGCTGCGCGACGGTTGGGCGGGGCCAGATCACCGACGAGGGGGAGCATAAGCTGTGGGGTTACAGTTGTGACGGCGGTGATAAAGGAGATTGCGGTGAAGACGGAGAGGTTGGAGGTTATGCAGAGACCGAGCCTGTGGTGGAGATCTTAGTTTTGGACTCTGGTTTGACGTTTAATTTTGACTTACCACATGGTTGCCGTGAAGAACACCAAGCCACATACGAACGGTCGTCTGGGTAGCAAGTCTCCTAGCGGACATAGAAACAGTAGGCCAGCAGCATATCCGGCCTGCATTACCGTCGGGATCTGCGCAACCTGTTCATAGCGAACACCAAAGTCTCGCGCCATGATGTTGAGAACTGGATGACTGTAGTATAGGTTGGCGACCGTGAAGCCTGCCGCAAAGGCGAAGAGAACGTTCATCGACATCGAGAACTTCGGTGGTTTCTTTGGATCCCAGCGACATCGCGGTGGACAGTATGTAAGAACAGCGTAGATTTTGTCCCATCGAGATAGCTTTTTCGGACTGCCATCATTGTCATGCGTCGAGTCTGGTATCGAATTCGGTGTTGATACTGGTGTTGGCGTCTGATATCCCGGATTGGGGATCGGTTGGTCACCCTCGGCCTTTGGTTCGCTCGCTGCCATCGTCTGTTGCACAAGCTACCCTGATCTAAGACCTGTCTAATGATGTACGATTGCGAGAAAAGCCTCAGTATCCAAACATAGTCACACGAAGCGAATACATTGAGGGAACACAGAATGCCATGCAGGAAAGTCCATGACGGATCTCGCCTCGGGAGTCGATGAGGAGCCGATGTCACAATTGTTAAATCCGGTATGGCCGCCAATCACATCATCAAAGCCTGATTGCTGCGGATAAGTATCCATGCTGACTGGGCGCTGCAGAGACAAGCCTTATCGTCCGTCTGCAGTCTGAAGGTAAAGCAGTTGTTAGCACCACATTACCAACATAGAAGCAATAGCCCTGAAAGTCTAGGGTGCAATATTGGTCACGTGTCGAGCTGAACCCTCATACGAGCTATCGGTGGACGTGATTAAAGCGCGGAGAGTGTTGCTTGTTGACCCAAATCTACTATTGAGTGTCTTGATCGACAGGATGGGCAATTGCTGCCAGTGGAGACTTCCTGTTGCGATGACCGGATCAAGACCCTGGGGTCCAAAACAAGGTGGCCAGACAGACATCGGGGCAGCAGTGCATTTGAAAGGAGCAAACAGGATTCGGGATTTGCGTCAGGCTTTTGCATCCGCGGAGCATGTGGAGACCAGCGACAGGACAAGGATTGATACGGTGCAGGAATGTGCTGGGAGCGAGGGTGTGCGGCATGATCGCGAACCTGGAGAAGATCGGTAAGCGAGAATTGCCATCCCTAACACATGCTGATCCTGACATCTCGATTCCTCAATCCGCTCAGCGCCGACAAGAGGTCTGGATCAACTCTCGCGTGTCACCCCTAGCAGCATTTAGCACACGACTTTCAGGTGTCAGAAATGGTTGCCGCGAATATTGGGCTGAAAGCGGCAGCTGATGATCCCTAGTGATGCTGTGGCTTCGAACGATCTGATGCGGGCCGCTACTGCAGCAGCCTATGACGCAACTCATACTGGCAAGCGCACCCTGGCGCGTCTCCTTGTTGTATAACAGCAACAAAGCGTGAGGCTCATGCCTGATCTCCCTACACCTGATTTCTCACAACCGTGCTACTGCGACCTCAGACAATATGGTCGAAGGAATGGTCCTCAAGGATCTGCTACCTCACCCGGAAACAGACCCCACAGCGCATGAGGGAAAAGCCACAACGATTGTAGATGCACCTACCGAGAGTCATGCGCTTGCTTTGGAAGCAGCGAAAGGCATCAATCCAGACCATGGCACAGGCAGAGCCCAAGTTGCTCATGGCCAGGAGGTGCTGGACCTAGGATGGAACGAACCAAAGGAGCACGTAGAGAGCCCTTTGGTTGGAGGCCTCTCAAATGAGGATGTGTGGCTGCTTGTTCGACGATTTAATAAGGTAATTGATTGTAGACATCTGTGTCCTTGCAGACTGCTGATTGCGATAGCAAATGTACCATGTGAAGGAAATCCCAACGGCCCCACCTGGTGGCTTGGACATGAACATTGCAGACGAAGAGGAGTTCTCTCCTGACAAGCTGCGGGCAAACCTTGAGCGTGTGTATATGACGATAGTAAGGCAAATCCGCAAGACTATCATGCATTCACTTACGTACAACAGGGTATCGGACTGATTACATTCGGGAAACACATCGTCCGCCTCCGCTCATGGCGCGAATTCAACCGTACCTCCTACTTTGCCGCAGCGTACTTCCTGGCTTGGGTAATTGACCTGATTATGCCACTGATATCGATCACACTTGTCACTCTCATCGTCTACCCTCCGTCCCGTGGGATGCTATTCCCGCCGGCACCAATAGCACTGGTCAGCTCCAAAGGAGGAGTGCAGAAGCCCAAGGCTGGCACCCTGGGTAGCAAAGACAGCGCAACGGGAGCACCAGAGAACCACAAGGGTGAAGCAGTGGAACAGGAGGCCAACAACTTCGTCAACGGCATTGCTCATGTTGCGCTGGCTAGTGCGACGGGCAAGCACCCTCAGGGCGAATCTGAGTCTGACGACCAGCCGCAAGGAGATAGTATCCCGGACCCAACCTCTATTGCTATCGGCGCGGCGGACGCACAGCAAGCAGCATCTGGTGGCAAGGCTTCAGCCAAGCATGACAAGACCAAGGTGCCCATGGAGACTGCTATGTGGACCAAGATGCGTCCCATCATGCATGGCCTAGCAGACGTCACCGACACATGGGAGCGATTCGGGAACGCTCTTGAGCCAACAGCTCCGTTCCCAAAACGAAAGTATCCCTTGCGCATGGCAATTGTTGTCGCTCCACTTGTCCTCGTCTCACTGATCGTCTCCTCCTACATGTTCATGAAGGGTTTAACATTTGGCATCGGGTTTGGATTCTTCGGCGACCCAGTCATTCAACGCGGTCTTGCGCTGCTGAATCGCAAGTTTCCAAACTGGCAGAAGCTGCTCGAACTCCGTAATACACTACTCAAGGGCGTACCCACTAATGCTCAGCTCACTGTTACGCTCCTCCGGATCGGCGAAGCTAATAAAGCGCCTCTACCACCACCACCTCGCATCGATGAGCCTCCCCCAGAGAAGCCTGTCGACGTCAGTGATAAGGACCTCCGCGCTGCTGGGGCAGACTGGCCACTTAACGCAACACAAGCCGAGCTCGACGAGGCCATGGCCCACGACCCGACCGTCAAATACCAAACCGATGGCGCAGACATTGACAAAGCCAAAGACAGCAAACATGGCAAGAAGGGCAGCAAAATTCTCAACTTCTTCCGCGGTACCGTCAAAGGCGGCGTCGAAACTACCATCGGTGCCGACAAACTAAAAGCCGCCGCCGGCTCTCACCACGCACGCAACCGCCTCGGCGCCGTGCAGCCCAAGAACGCTTCCCCCGCCGACGGCCCCGTCGACTTCAAGGCCCGCGATAACGGCAAAAAGGGACACTTGTACATCACTACCCTCGCCACCATCCCTAGCATCGCCTTCTCGACCGACTCCACCATCGAAACCATCGGCTCCCGCGACCGTGAGGATCTGCACCCCTCGTGGAGCATGCCGGTCGGCGACATCAAGGAGCTGAAAAAGATAGGCGGGTATGGGTGGAAGGCGAAGCTGGTGGTGGGATGGGCGCTGAATCGCGAGGTCGCGGACGGCGTGGAGATTGTGGATCGCAGGGGGAAGGTGGTGAGACTTACGGCTATGCCGCTCAGGGATGAATTGTTCAATCGACTAGTGGCGATGGGTGGCCAAAAGTGGGAGTGTTGGTGAATGGGAGGTGGGAGCGTGGCGCGTCGCCAGTATATACCACGGACCGGCGTTTGACGGCGTTCAAGGGGCAAGTGGTGTGTGTACTGAGAAAGTCCTCTCAGGCGTATACAGTCTAACAAGAAAGACTCCTGATGAGAATATCCATCGTTGATTCCGCATACACGCAGCGAATATCAGCTGTAGTAGGACTCCACACCCTCTACATACCTTTTAAGATCAGCAAGTGTCATTAAACAGCTACAACTGACGTAGTTTGCATCCTACAAAGAGTTAAGTGGCTGGCCAGGACACGCAACTTATTACGTGGTGTATGCACGCTTATTGATTATTAATTAGTTATTCTTGTAATTTAATTTTTAGTATTAGCAGGTATTGATTTTATGTATAACTAGTATAAGTATATAAATAGTGTATAGACACGTTAAGAGTTATAGTACATAGCAGACTTGGCATAGTTAGTAACAAATCTGTCCTAATATTCCTGGCCTCGATATAGCAGAAAACAATCCACAAGGGCGAACGTTACTAGACCACTAGATCTACATAGCTTCTGTTCGTCGTCCATCAACAGTATCGGACGGTTGGGGCTGCCAACCCGATGTCGTTGCTTTGCGCGACTCATTGGGTGTACGCGATGTCTAGGCTATAAAAACCTGTATGTTAGCATCCGAAACTAAAAGATAGTTATTAGCCAACTAATGTAGTCCCGCCTTCTTTTGCAAACATGCGACTCTAATAGTAACGCCTAGACATTTTGCATGTTCATGCCTAAACAACGCGTCTAGCTCGTACTCTAATGTGCTTAATGAATTACTAGGTGCGAAATGCATGTGTTCTAGTCGCTGTACTATTCTCTGTACGAATTGAGCTTTCCTATCGAAGTCGTCACGTAATGCTTTCACCTGACCCTAAATGTCATCATCCACGCCTTCGAGGATGAGCTCATGCACTGCAGCAGGCATGCTTCCACTTGTCCTCATCGTAGTTATATCTACCAACGACCTCTGCCAGCTATGGTTCCCGTAATCTCCAAGATCTTTGTTTGAAATGCGCAATAACATGAGGCGCCTCCGTACATGACCTCTAGTCAGTCGGCGGAGGCGTCAAAGGCTGGCCTGTGAAGACAGAGGGTGGCTTTACGTGTTGGTGCTGCGTTGAACCAATTGGCGATGTCGACATAGCTGTGTGCTGTGTTGCATTGTGGAATGAGGTCGGATCGTCCGAAACTGCGCAGAATTTTGATTGCCTTTGCACGACTGCAGTTCTCCCACATGCTCGTAAGGATTTTAGCTTCTACCTCGCTCTAGTGATCCAGCCCTATGGCAAGCCGTATGGCTACGTTCGATACTGGAAAAAAGCTACGGACATTCGACGCGTCCAGGTCACGGGATAGATTTGTGGTTGGCCGTCTTACATTTGTCTGCACATGAAGGCACTGCGATCATTCGCTCTTGATCACTGCATGGCTTGTTGTGGCACAGTGATGAGGCAGCGACGCTTATCTCGCACCATTCAAATGCAGCCTCATCCTCTTAATTATCTCAGTGCGGGTCGCAAATATGTTGCCCATGTGGTCATAATGTCACCGGTAGCCTTACTACGGTTGTTGGCATAAGTAGTGTAGGTGTTAGGACCGAAGAGGGCGACATCCTAGACACTCCCTGTCAGCAAATAACAGCCCTCCAGATTTTTGACAGGCTTTGTACTGGCCATGATCTTATACGAGACTGCAGAAGTTTCAATCAACCAATGGACTACTCTTCCACATCAAACATGACATCTTAGCTTCTCAACTTACTATCGCCAACTCAAGGACCCTAGTGACACGAGTACTACGGCCATTTACTCGGTCCGCTCATGGTTGGATGTCCCTACCAACGAGGCAGAAGGGCGCTATCGGTCCGTCTTGCTCCCTTTCGGCGAATCAGGTGAGCGCACTCTCGCTTGTCACCATGGTAGGTGGAGTCTAGGAACAAGTACCATAAACTCGGACTTGGTAAACCCGGGTGTACTCAGTCAAAACTTCTGTATTCGCTGCTAGCTTATAGCAGTACGTAAAATGGGGCGCTCCCCTGGTCTTCTAATTGACCCCACGTCGACGAGTCTTTGGTATAAGTAGGTGGTTGATGGCTTTTACCTTCCTCTGGTTCATAGCTCATTCTTCAGTAGCTGTCTCTGGCTCCAAGTCCCAACTACTCATTATTATCACACATCATGTCTACGAACCGTATCGCTGTCTACGGCCATCGCGGATTGTTCAGCTCTACAATTGCTGCTGCCCTTGTCGCGTCCGGCGCACCTGTTACCGTTCTGTACCGCCCTGAATCGGACGCTTCTGGATTCCCCGCTGGCGTTCCGACGATCAAGGTAGACCCCTTCGACGAGGATGCGTTGGTTGCGGCGTTGCAGGATATTGACATCGTGATGTAAGTGAGAATGAATCCACTCGTACCTAGCGGAAGATGAATTGACAACCGCCAGCTCTCTAGTGGGAGACAAAGGCATTGATGCTGAGCACGGATTTGTCCGGGCTATTCCTCGAACCAAGGTCAAATTGTTCGTACCATCGGATCTTGGCCTTCGCTATGGCGAAGAAGGAATGCTGGTCCCTGTTCTAAAGAGAAAGGAGGATGTTCAGGAGGCCGCTAGAAAAGCGGGTATTCCGTTGACTGTCATTTTGATCGGTAACTTTGCAGAGTATACCCTTGGCTCAGTGTAAGTCATTTCCCTGTTAACTGCGATGTTACTGCACTGGCTGACAAATCGTGATGTAGCGCAATGGGTATCGACGTTAAGGGAAATAGGCTTTGCTACACCGGCAACTCGGCCAAGGAGAAGGCGATCATGAGGTAAGTTCCCAACCAAGAACAACACCAGGGCGAGAGGCTTTCGAATCACATGAACTTATTGGTGTGATATAGCACGGCAGACTACGTGGCAGCTGCATATGTCTCAATCTTCACTGGCAATCCGGTTTCCGAAATCAGCAACCGAGCCATCGCTGTGATCGAGCTCGCCCCTACAGGCGAAGAGATCGCTGAATCACTCCGGAAAAAGCACGGTGAAGAGCCCAAAATCTCCTATCAAAGCGCTGAAGAAGCCACTGCGCAGTACCACACTCACCGCAACTCCGGCCATCCAATCCTCTCCTTGCTTTCTGGAGCATGGTTCTATCGCAAACTCTGGGGTACTGGCGAGCTGACCAGTATGCTCGGCTTAGACATTTGGGATGTTGCTGGGTACCGGAAGGCCACAATTGACGATCTCATTGTTGAAGGAATGGTCAGACCTTATCGGGATCTGTCCATATACCTGCCGTACCTTGAACCAGTCATGTTTCCATAAATTTTTCTTTGCCGACTGTTGTTGGTACTAGCATACTACAAGTAGCTGTATTTCAACGCGCGCGTACACTGACTTGCCACGTGCATTGAGTGCACTGACGCTGTACATAGGTATGGGGCGAAGCCAGATTGGATGAAAAACCCGGTTGATTCTTTCGACAAATGCAAACTCTAATATCAGCCCCAGCACTGCTTGCGTCTCTCAAGAGACGATCGATGAACTGTAACACCTCCAAAGACTCCGCACATACGTCAAGATCGTCTATAAGAATGCGAACACCACCTGTCAGGCTGGTCGTATTGGTCAACATGATCTCCCTCAAGGCAGTCTTGGTCCTATTGATCGTCCAGTAGTCAATCACTGGAGAACTATCTGTGGCCTCGAAGGCTTCTTTCCATGACTCAAGGAAAGACCATGGTTTCTTTGGAGCCTGTTTAAGAAGTTGACAGAGCAAGGATCTATAGAGACGCGGCAGCTGATCAGCTGGTGTCATCTGTCGGCTCTTGATATCTCCAAAGCAGTGTCGAATAAGACTGGCCCTCTCGCTTGTACATATTTTGGCGATTTCGGTCAGTAGCACAGTCTTTCCGGTTCCTGGATTACCTCTCAGCGACAATAGAGCGTGCGACCGACTGCCTTTCAGGTTGCCAGCGTTCCATTTGGTGTAGCTTTCGTGTTCGAAGAGCCATTCAGGCCTCTCGAAGAGCCAGGGGTCCTCATTGTTGGTCACATCTTCTGAGATGTATAGTGCACGTTTGCAGCCTACTCAAATGTTCAAGCACATGCTAGAAGTAAGCGCTACAGTGCTCACCTATGTATGCATGATCATCCATGATTGTATCTATGATGTCTCAGAAATGCTCTACTACGGAATTGGAACATGGCTATTCAAGCGTGCGCTTACTAGAATGCTCAATCATCTTTACCAATGCATCACTGACGTTCTCGAAGTCGTCTTCTGTTGGTTTGGCAAACTTGTTGATGTTAAAGTGGTTGCGCGATATCGAACACCTATCGGCAAAGTCGAGACAGCCCGAGGTCTCAGTGACAACAATGGCCTAGTAGTAATTGTGAGCTAAAGTGATGTACGGCAGCCCAGATCTACTCACATATCTGTCTTTGCTTCCAACGATCTTTCCGGGATTTGCTTGATCTGTTTCGAAGAAGCAAGACAGCTTCGCTCTCGACTCACTTTTGTACACTGCGCTGAACTCATCCAAGAGTCCTTTCAGTGTCTCACCTTCGTTCTGGAGGATTTTGAGGCTTTCGATGCGGATCTGATCCCCAGTATACTCCTCTAATGCCGCTGCTAGCATTATCCACATGCCTTTCAAGACCAGCAAGTGTCATTAAACAACTACGACTAACGTAGTCTACATCCCACAAAAGAGTCAAGTGGCTGGCCGGTACACGCAACTCATTACTCAGTGTGTACACGCTTAATGATAATCAATTGGCCAATCAGTAGTTATTCTTTACACAACGGGTGAACGACATGCTAGAAGTCATACTATATCCCCGAGTCATATAATACATGGTCCCGTTCTGTCGGTACTCGGATGATGACCACACCGTACTTTCGTACAGCACCAGACCAGGAGCCGGGCATGCTCGATACGAAGTAAAGTATGGCTGCTCCTCTCAGCATAAAGTCCATACCTATCATGTATTATGACAACCTTGATAGTTTAGGCCAATAAGATCTTCTCAGAATTTTTGTTCCATGGTTTAGTTGGTCCGCACATGTTCGTATAGGAAGCGGGGGTGCAAGGATCCGATTTCATTTAGAATGTTCTATTATTAAACACCGAAGGCATACATAACCTTCAACATCTTGTCGCAGCGAGAACAACCTCATTCAGATGCGACGCAACGCAGCGTACTAGACCTTATAGTCTAACGAGAGCTCAAGAAAGAACACCGGTGAAGGAGCACACGCAAGCCATGCTTGCGCAAAGCACAGACTCTCAAAAGCTCGGAATACGAGGTTACGAGATAGGAGCATTGCGCTCGACCACTCTAGGCAGGAGCACGTTTGGATCTGCAATGTAAAACTCGCGCTCTTGTCATGCGATGGTGATTAGTATAAAGGCATGCGTATATGGTGACTATGGGAAAATTAATAGCCTGACCTACGTCCGTCTTCCTCCAAAATGCGCTCTGAGTCTCTGCTTCGTGTTGCAGCTGTTCTCAACGCTGTGTCTGCTTCAAATGCCGGTGCTGAGGATGAAGGAGTTTCATTGGGACACCCTCGCAATGAGGTTGTGCATATGACTGTCGCTTTCCATCAATCAAGGCTGGCTGAAGCCGAATCCTTACTACTCCAAGTTTCGGACCCGAAATCCTCCAATTTTGGCCAATACTTAACTAGAGATGAACTGGTGAGTGGATCTGGGTATGTCAAAGGACTTGGGAAGTAACGAAATCAAGGATGTCATGTTTGCACCGAGCGAGGCCTCGCAACGCAAGGCCTTGGAGTGGCTCAACGAGGCAGGAGTGACCGGTAGTAATGTTCGGCTGCACAAGGCTGCAGGCCTGTTTGAGTTCCCGGTCACAGAGGATCAGATGAGGAAGTTGTTTGGTTCTGCCCACGAACGCCGCGACACGGGCGAAACGCGCCACGATAGTTCTATTCATCCTGTCCCGGTGGGGCTGAAGTCTCACGTGGAGTCGATTTGGTCGAGGAGGCCGAGACGGAAGCGGACCTCGGTGCAGTCTGAGCAACCAACGTCGTACAAGTCCAGAGAGTTGCACGCCAGACAGACCAACCAAACGAGCGAGTGTGGGCCCAACTGGTCTCCAAAATGCATTCGAGGTGAGACTTCGAAAGTCCTCAAGTTGTACCATTCACACCTGACCATCCAACAGAGCTCTACCAAATCGATATCGACCAGCCAGCTGCCCCGAACAACTCGCTCGGTATCTACGGTAGCGGCGATGCCTACGAAGCCGCCGACTTGCCCAACTTCTTCTCCCAATTCGCCAACTTTATTCCAAACGACACTCACCCAACTGTCGACATCGTCAACGGCGCACCAGCCGTTCCAGGCGTGAGCTTCGCCGGCGAACAGATCCTGGACCTCTCGATGGCGTACCCTATTGTGTATCCTCAGAACGTACACATCTTCCAGATGCCCGGCGCGAGCTACGATACCGGGTTGGGCAACAACTTCCTGGACGCCGTTGATGCGTCGTATTGCACCTTCGACGGCGGCGACGACCCAACGCTCGACCCGCAATACCCGCAGTTTATGGGCTACCAGGGTCCCGCGATGTGCGGCACGTACAACATCACCAACGTGCTGTCTATCTCATTTGCCACAGACGAAAGCCACCTTGGCGCGCGCTATGTGCGGCGCCAGTGCACTCAATGGATGAAGATGGCGCTGCAGGGTGTCAGCGTGCTTGTCTCGTCTGGAGACCGCGGTGTGCAGGGTAACCAAGGCTGTCAGTTCTTGGAGGCCGCGAAAGGTGGCGCGTTCAACCCGCTGTTCCCGGGAGTTTGCCCGTATGTGACGACCGTTGGCGCAACGCAGGTCAACTACACCGAGCCCGGTCGTCCGGAAGTGGCAGTCTATGATCCCGCGCACTACTTCTGGTCGGGAGGTGAGACAACAATGCTCCATTTGAGATGCAGAACTGACCATGACTACTAGGCGGCTTCAGCAACTTCAACGAACAGCCCGCATACCAAACTGAGGCTGTGGATCACTACCTCGCATCCCACGATCCCAAGTACCCCGAGGGCACTTTCAACAGATCCGGCCGAGCATTCCCAGATGTTTCCATGTTAGGGGCCAACGTGACAATCTCAGACAGCGGCAAGATCGTGCAGAGTGGAGGCACAAGCGCCGCTGCACCGTTGTTTGCCGCAGTTATCAGCAAGATCAATGACGAGAGGTTGCTTTCTGGCAAGCGTCCGATTGGCTTTCTCAACCAGATCTTATACCAGCACCCTGAGGTGTTCAACGATGTAAGCGTTTTCGAATTTCTTCAATACTCAAAGCTGACACGTTCCCCAGATCACAGATGGCAGCAACCCGGGATGCGAGACTGGAGGCTTCCAGGCTGCGGAGGGATGGGATCCGGTGTCAGGGTTGGGCTCTCCCAACTTTCCAAAGTTGCGGGATCTGCTTGTCAACCTTCCTTGAGCAGGATATTCACAGGCAACAGCGAATTGTTCTACCGTTCAGGAAGTGTATACGGGAGATAGTACGTCTACAGTACTATAATGTAATGTTGTAGCCACAGTGCTAAACGCAACCGATAAAAGACCACCAATCGAGGGTGCGTATAGCAGGTACCTGCTGCTTTTGGACTACAAAATAGTTGAATGTCCTCCACTCATTATCAGGTCAATGTCTGACGTGCCCCAGAGTATCAATGTTATAAGAAGTTGCAACGATCCATACCGTGGAGGTCCTGTAAGAAGCACTGTGCAACAGATATGTCCATAACCCAGTTCTGGGATAGTAAGTCTGCTTCTTCGACTTTGATGTACCAGGTTTCCAGTCCAGGGCATCCATAGAGTGTTGAATCGATACTAGTCAGCAGATCGACATAGTTGCATGGTGCGCGTCATTGAGAGTAGAGAAAATGGGTGTCATCAGAGCTTGGGGAGGCAACGACGCGTACGTCCACGTTCTCCAAGACGAAGATATCTTCTACAAAAGTGAGTGTGATGTCCTCATTCAACTCACCCAGAGACGTGACGTTCAAAAATAGAAGGTGCGGGGCCTCGGCACTGCCCAATGGTTTCGATTGGCGGTACCACTCTTTTTATGTACTCCTTTTGTAAGCGCAAGAGATGCAACACAAGACAAGACATCAATACCATGATGCCAATCGCAATGTGCCCTCTTATATCTCGATTCCATTTTGGCCTGTGCAATAGTAAGTTCAGCCGCATTATGTATGCGTACCTAAGGTACTCCACGTGTAAGCTCGCGATTACCCCGCCACACGTCCCGTGTCCACCTCCCTGTTCAGCCTTTCGCTGTCGCCCTCCTTCTCACTTCGTGTAACCACCTCCTACTGCGCGACATTGCCTGAAAGGACCTGGAGATCCCGTATGGGAGTCTCGCGAACAAAACGCGTCCAGAGCTATCCAAGCAACGCCTTGCCACTGATTGAGCGATCGAGCTGGCCCGCGCGCTTGTGCCTCTGGAGAAAGCATGATGCCACCTGCAAGCAGAACAATACAAGATGCGACTTGTGAAGATCAGCAATGGGGAGCGACTCAGCTTGACTGAGGATTTGATGGGCGACGATGACGACATCCCTCTTTATGCCATACTGTCGCATACGTGGACGAAGGATCAGGAGGTGACTTTCGATGACCTCAAGAACGGCACCAGTAGCGACAAGGAAGGGCTAAAGAAGATACAATTCTGCGCAAAACGAGCTATGCGTGATGGCCTCTCACATTTCTGGGTAGATACATGTTGCATCGACAAGAACAACCCAGTAGAGCTTCAGTACGCAATAAATTCGATGTTCAGCTGGTACCGGGATGCAGCAAAATGCTACGTTTATCTTTCGGACGTTTCGACAACGAAGCGTAAAAAGAGCACCGATCCCTCACCATTCACTTGGGAGCCTTCCTTTCGACACAGTCTGTGGTTCACTCGGGGCTGGACTCTGCAAGAGCTTCTCGCACCTGAGAGTGTCAAATTCTTTTCAAAAGAAGGATACTATCTAGGTGACCGTCTTGAGCACAAGAAGATGATCCACGAGATCACAGGGATCCCGGTCACCGCATTGTCAGGCAGATCGTTGCATAAGTTCGGTGTTGAAGAACGTCTCTCATGGTCGGACAAGCGCAAAACTACCTGGCCAGAGGATAAAGCATATTCAATGCTAGGAATTTTCGGTGCCTTCATGCCATTGCTGTAGGATGAAACACAGCAAAATGCCTTTCGCCGCCTGCGCAAATGCATTGATGAATTGCGTCGTGATCAGACTCAAATGGCCAGCACCGACACAAAGATCGAAGTCACACCACAAATGCTTAGTAAGATATCTGTATCAGTCCTGTAGCTATATCTGACCCTTCAAGATTGTCTCAAGTCCTTGTCGTTCCCGGAACAGGACCAAAGGTACAATGACGTTCATATCGCAAGAGATACTTGTCAATGGCTCCTGCAGAATAATAAGTATCGAACATGGGTCGACAGTCGTCGAGGTCTCTTCTGGGTTAAGGGAAACCCAGGCTCTGGCAAATCTGTGCTGATGAAGCACGCTGTCAAAACAATGCATCAGTCACATCCTGAAGAACTTACAGTACACTGCTTCATCCATGGACAGGGATCGGACTTGCAACGAACTTCACTCGGCGTACTCCGCGCACTGCTGAACACGGTACTATCAGAATTCCCTTTCACTTTGGATGTGCTTGCACAAGATTTCGAGCGACGAGAAAATAGATCGACATGTGGATGTATATGGGGCTGCAAGGAACTCCAGGACACCTTCATGAAGGCCATTGCAGACGAGCAACATCAGTCTCGCCCTGTCAACGTTTTTGTTGACGCTTTGGATGAGTTGGGCGAAGAGGAAGCTAGAAAGCTATTAGGGTATTTCCGTGATCTCATGGAAGTTGCCGAGAACAAGAGAGCGCAGTTGAAGATTTGTGTATCTTCCAGGCACTATCCCATCATTGGTCATGAAAATATTCCCTCGGTTTATGTAGAACAAGAGAATCACGAGGACATCCAAAGGTACCTGCGAAAGGCACTCCGAGGCCTCAAGCTCGGCCCAGCCCGCCAGTAGATTGAGCAAGATATCTCGACAAAAGCCCGCGGCGGATTCCAATGGGTTATTCTGATCGTTGAAACGATACTGGTTAAGAACTTGGTTGGCATCAGGGCAGACAGACTGCTCAATGAACTGACAACCTGCCCGCAAACATTGAGCGACATGTACGATGCGCTATTAAAGACTGCCTCTGAAATCGAGAAGCATCAGATGATCAGACTTTTCCAATGGGTCTTGTTCGCTAGGAGACCTTTGAACGCTGACGAGTTGAGGGATGCGTTGGCTATCAGCAATAACACCTCCTGTACTACGGTCTCCCAGATGAGGACCCACGATGGCTGGTCGGATTCGCTGGCGAGCTTCGAACAACACGTCAAACATATTTCCAAGGGTCTAGTAGAGTTCCGCGATCATCGCCACTCAACGGCCTCAGAGAGTGGTCGTACAGCACAGTTGATTCACCAATCAGTAGCTGATTACTTGTTGGAAAGGTGGCTGAAGAACGATAACTACGATCAAACTGAGACTGCCCATATCGAGCTATCAAGGTCGTGTCTCAGATACTTAACGTTGGAGGAAGTCCTATCGTCGCCCTTCCCGTTGGAAGACAGTTTTACATCAAAATACCCTCTAGCATCATATGCAACGAACAATCTGTTCGACCATCTCAAAAGCTCGCCATGGGACCTTACCAAACAATGTTACCAGGTCAGCACCTTTCTTACGTTGCAGTGGACGCCCCTCACTAGGACTTCGCTTGCGCTCTCGACGTTATGGAGATTTTTGGCACTGCCAAATATACACGAAGAAGTGCACTGGCCATTCCACGGGGCAGCAGGCTTTCATGCATTGGCCGCGCTCGGGTCCAAGAGCTCCCTCAAAGCTGTGGAAGAATTATGTTCGCCGATACATGGTAGGTTTGATCGCGCCAGATGTCGACCGCTACATTCTACGAGCATAGACAGTCATAAAGAGATAATATTGGCGCTCTTGAACCAACACACAGAGTCCTATACGGGGAGAGGTTCGAGCATGGAACATTCCAGGGCCAGTCTCACCAACTTTCACAGCCGTGCCGTGTCGACAATTGCTTCCGCGGTCAAACCCGAAACAATGGTCTTCCTCGGGTTGATGGACGCAGATCTAGATATCGGTCGAATGTCACGAGATGTTATGCTGCTCTACTTCGCTATCAGCAGTAGAAGTACGACGCTCTTCGACACGATGATCACCCAGTGCACTTGCCTGAACGGTGCGATCTACTTTGCATTAACTACTTGCACATCGGAGGAGGACACTGTTCTCGAAAACATGGTGGCAATGCTTCTCCAGTCAGGCGCAAGTACGGCCAGGTCCTGGACATATCAATCACCTGCCTCCATCAAATCCGAGGAAAGTATGGATGAGGCGTTACAGCTAGCTTTCAAAAGGGGCCTCACACACATGTTCGACTTACTCGTTGAATATAAGGTCTCAAAAGTATCGTTGGATGTCTTTGGCCCAAATCAGCTCATAACGGCCGTTACTATGGGTCATGTGGGTATTGCTACAGCTCTGCTCAAAGATGAGCCTTCGGCTGTAGAGCAGCTAGATGCCCGAAAACTTACAGCTTTAGACCTTGCATTCCGGCATAATCGTCTCGATGTCGTAGAAGTTTTGCTAGAGTTAGGCCAGTATTCAGCACAAAGCTCAACCTTGAGCAACTTCTTCTTCAAGCTTGTCGATTCGGAAAAAACACACATCCTCGAAGTTCGCCCCGGGAGCCAACAGAACACGGTGATCGTGTTGACTGCACAACGAGGTAGTCCGAAGATATTTAGACTGGTTCTCGACATGCATCAGATGAATGTTTATGCAAATGACGAACAAGGTCATTCGTTATTATGGTACGCTGCCCGAGGTGGTTGGACCGCCATGGCGGAGCTACTTCTCGACGCGAACGACGTCAACATGAGAGACAAGCACCATAATACACCACTACTTCTAGCGGTACTCAATGGCCACTTCGACATCGTCACATTGTTGCTTTCTACGAATCGGGTAGATGTAAACGCAAAGGGTTTGATCAACTGCACGCCGCTGATGCTGGCCGTTAAGAAAGGTCGTACGGACATGATTACGCTTTTACTTGCTGCAAGAGGCGTTGATCTCAACACAACGAACCGATTTGGATGTTCGTTACTCCAAGAAGCAGCCGGCAGTGGAGATCTGGATGTTGTCAAACTCTTACTGGGCACTCCCCAAATCAACATCCATGCGAAAGACAGTGATGGAAGCTCCGCCCTGCACTACGCCGCGCGATATTGTCACATTCCTGTAGTCAAACTGCTCGTCGAGACTGGCGAGTTCGACGACGATAGAATCTCCTTGCTGTGGGCTGCAGTAAGAGCTCAAGTTCCAGAGCTGATCAAGGCTCTCCTCGGAACAGACCATAGACTTATCAAGGTCAAGAATGAGCAAGGGCAGTCACTGCTGTGGCAGGTGACAGCATCCGGAAGCCACGAAGCATTGCAGATACTGCTTGCTCTGCCTAAAATAGATTTAGGGGAAAAGGATGAGGCCGGAAGATCACTTCTGTGGCAGGCTGTCCAAACCAAGAACAGTGCGGTCGTGAAGCTACTGTTAGGCACAGGAAAGTTCCACGTCGGATGTACCGACGAGAAGGTCGGTGACACGCCATTCTCGTGTGTGGGAAGTGAAGGGAATGATGCGCTTGCAACCCTGTTGCTCGATTTCCACAAAGCTACGATCGGACACCAAGGCGGGCATGGACATTCTCCTCGTTGTGAAGCAATAGGTCATTTGCAACTGACAGGTAGGTAGAGAGTGATATTTTGACCTACTGCAATAGATCGCCTTTCCCACTTAAAATATGCGATATCACTTGACGAGCCATGAGGATATCGTATCACAAAGCTGGAGGTGTAAAGATCACGTGTGGCAATGCGGGGTCTGGATCGCACGCGCCAGTAGGTACAGCGACCTCACACAACGACGTCACTCTCAACTTTGCTCAGCCATACTGACTGCATTGAAACACTACACAAATTGCACACATCAATAACACCAATCACAATGGTCAGTGCGTAGATGATTAGCCGTACCTATCGTAAGTATGGACCTGGTATTTCTAGCTGTTTGCCAAAGCTCCCAAAAACAACAACCGATTAACAATTCAAGAGACTTTCTACCTCAAGAGGCGCTCATTTGAACAGCAAGCCGTTCTTAACTTATGCATTCATCCACCAATATCATATCGTTGGCCAATAATCGCTACCGTGCCATTGATCATGGTGGACTCCAAGGATGTGTCCACTAAGTGGGCAGTGCTGCTAGGAATTAATGCGTATCCGGTGCATCCTCTGGGAGGGTGCGTTCGCGATGTCTCGAGGATCCACAACTATCTCACCTCAGCGTCAACTCGTGTGAACGTGACGGCCTTGACCGCGAGTCCGGCTGATGACTCACTGTCTAGTGCCATCATCGAAAGCCCAAGCTCAAGACCGACTTACAACAACGTTGTCTCCAAACTCGACGAGATCGCCGATAAGGCAACATCTGGTGACCATGTGCACATTCATTTCTCCGGTCATGGCACCCGCAACAAGCTCACAGGCGACTTCAACTTGGTCTTACTCGATGATGACCAAGACATACGTTATCTCGGAGGTCATCATCTGGCTGGGCTACTGAGTAAACTAGTAGATAAAGGACTTCATGTTACGCTTGTGCTAGATTGCTGCTTCTCTGGTGGGATCTTGCGACAAAATGACATACACGATCCTTCTGTTCGGACTATCGAATACGACCCAGGCGTTGACACCCGACATCCACCAGCGCAACTTGAAGCTGGTCGCCGGACTAAGTCAACGCTCCGCGACGTCACTATTCTTCCAAGGTGGCTGATAGACCCCAGATGTTATACAGTTCTCACTGCCTGTGGCCCTCATGAGAAAGCACAAGAGCACACGGCTGAGGACGGAGAGAAGTGTGGGGTGTGATCACACTTTCTGGTCCAAGCACTCATTGCGCTCAGAAAGCGGGATGTTGAGATCACCAAAGAGTCCCTTTATAGATATATCTCGCTCCAAGTTAGCTCGTATTGGCGCCTGCAAAACCCAATCTGTTACGGGGATCCCAATTTCCAGTATTTTGGCAATTTCAAATCTGAGCCCGACTCAGGCTACGTTCAAGTCTCGTCTGAGAGCGGCTCCCACTTGCGTCTCCAAGCAGGGCTGGCACACGGTGTCAATATAGGAGATGAGTACGCCCTATATCCATTAATCAAATCCAAAGTCTCATCCGCACAATCACCGGAGACTTCGCGCAGGGCACGAGTGACTAGAGTCTGGGAATTAACATCTGATCTATTAGAGATCAATGCGGCGACCATCCTTTCAACGTTAAGCGATCAGACAGACTACAGCGCAAAAGCTAAATCAACAGTCAAAACAGGATGGAAGGCTGTACCGCTTACCACCATTTCCATGAGTAAGATTGTGGTATTCATAGCGCCCCAGCTTCGGAGGCTTACTTCGTGGGTAAGTATTGTGCATGAACAAACATTCCGCTACCTTGCGTTCGATACAGATCAGCAGAAGTGCATACTCTTTGTATCACGGAATGCGAAGGACGAGTATGAGATCCAAGACAGTCAGTCTGTGCAGATGTCGGGCTTTCCCGTCGTATCTGCCACATCGGATGGAGCTGAGAACCGTATTGTTTCTACTTTAGCTCACATAGCGGCTTACAAATTTTTTGAGAAGATCGAAAATCGTTGTCCGGACCCTGTCTTCGAGAACTTATTCAGACTGAAGTTTTGCGATAGCAACGGGTCGGATCTCACACAAGCGTCACGAATCGACATTCGTCATGAGGGGATCCTGAGCCTGGTGCTAGAGAATTTTGATCAGGTCCCACGATACCAAAAGCTTTTGGAAAGAAGGGCTGGCTTGGAAGGCAGCAACACCTTCGATACATGCCCGGATAGCTTACCAACTTGCCGAACGTACCCGGGGCGAATGGAGCGAAGCCTTCTCCTACTATGAGAAGGCAGTAAAGCTAATTCCTCTTGTCACCGACTGGACACTAGCGAACAGCGATAAGCTGGACTCATTCGAGCATTTCCATGGCCTGGCATCGGCAGGTGCTGCTGCAGCATTACAAGCTGGTAAAGGTACCCACGCTGCATTGGAACTGTTAGAGATGGGTAGATGCGTCACTGCCGGCTTGCTCCTTGGGATACGCTCAGACATCACTACCTTGAAGGAACAACATCCAGATCTAGCTGCGAGATTTGTCGCCTTGAGGAACGAACTGGATGCACCTATCCAAGACTCTGGACATGTTCCAACCGATACCAACTTTGTCATTGATGAAGTTGCCCAAAAGGCCAAAACAAGCCAACGGCTAGATGAGCTTCTGGAAGAAATTCGTAGCCACTCTGGCTTCGAGACGTTCCTTTTGCCGCCTAAATCCAAAGAACTACAAGCTGCAGCTAGTTCAGGTCCTATCGTCATCGTTAATATGCGCGCCTATCGATGTGACGCATTTCTGATCGAGCGCCAGCAGATCACAGTTCTGCCTTTGCCAGATCTCAAGCTGGACGACGCGAACAAGAAGTCAAAGCAACCACGGCTTACGACAGACACCTTACAGTGGCTATGGTTGACGGTGACAGCTCCGGTGTTATCAAAGCTGAGATACACCAAGAGCTCATCCGATCAGGACCTTCCCCACATTTGGTGGTACCAACAGGGCCTTTGAGCCAAATGCCTCTCCATGCAGCCGGCGTTTACGGCACAGGCTCCCAAGATACAGTCCTTGATCGATGCATGTCCTCGTACGCTTCATCGGTAAGAGCACTGATCTATGGGCGACAGTCGAAACTTCGCAAAGCACTACCTTCTGACCAGAAGCTTGCCCTTCTCGTGTCAATGCAACACACGCCAAACCTCTCGTGGAACTCGGACCTTCCCTTCGCATCGGAAGGAGTGGAAAGCGTGACCGGACTTGTCAAATCGATCAATCTCGATCCAATCAGACCGCCTCCCAGAAGAAAAGATGTCCTCGCCAACCTCGGCGCTTGTCACATTTTCCATTTCGCTGGCCACGGCGAATCAGACCCCCGAGATCCATCGAAGAGCCGTTTGCTACTGGAAGACTGGGAAGAAAGCCCACTGACCGTGGGAGACCTGCAGGAACACAGAGTCCAGAACGATCCTCCTTTCCTGGGGTACCTTTCTGCATGCTCCACAGCCTCGAACAGAGTCGATCGCCTCGTTGACGAAAGTGTCCATCTCGTGAGCGCGTTCCAGCTCGCAGGCTTCAGACACGTCGTTGGTACACTCTGGGCGGTGTCAGACAGTCATTGTGTGGATGTAGCACGGATCGTGTACGAAACGCTTCGGGACGAAGGCCTTACTGATTTGGCGGTGTGTCGAGGCCTTCATCGTGCAGTCAAACACTTGCGACTGAGTACAAGTTATGTCAAAATGAGGGGTCCAAGAGACATCGAATTATTGGACGATGAGGAAGAAGAAGAGTGCAAAGTGGTCCTAGGAGATCCAGCGCTGTGGGCGCCATATATTCATTATGGTGTTTGAGGGTTGCATGCTCTTGAGCAGCATTTCCAGCTTCCTAAAGCAACAGAAAGAAAGCATCCACATACCATTCTTCACGGCTAGCAACCACTGTTGCTACAGATCCAGTTGTTCGCAGCTTCTACGCCCTACTACCTGCTTCCTTCCTACCCTGTTGCACGTCTTAGCATCCTACCCTAAGGACTTCTGACAGATAGACATGAAAACAAAACAAGAAGTAAAAAGAAATTATGTTACATGCAAGGCTGTTTGTGAAAGTGGGCGTTGTGAGTTTGTGTTGTTGAAAGCGCTCGCTCTTGTGACAACATCTGCGCTAATGCTCAAGGTCGTGTACAACAGCGTGAGGCCCCCAAAGCGTTCGTGATCTCTGACGATATGTGCCGAACGACGTACAGAAAGAAGACAGCTCGCGCCAATTTGATCATAGGACCATCAGCATCCTCGAATGGCTCTAGCTCCATGTCACAGCTACAAAACTAGCTTTGCATACGTTGTGGGTCTGACACCGATAGAAGATTAACCCGACGCTAGTCTACCACATGCTTCAACAGGGCGACACATTTCAACGAGAAGAGGGCCTTTTCGAGGTTTCCACTACATTCCCCTTGTTTCTCTACACGCCATCTCACCATGGCTTCTAAGCTATGGTAGTGTGTTAAGTATAGGCGTGATTGAACATGAACAGCAGTCCATTGCTGCTGTATTGGCTGCTGTACTGGGCACCCACAGAAGTATCTCATGCGGCTTCGAAGGGCTCAGGGCCGGCATGACACTGCCCGCATGTGTGGTTCGCAGTGATACCTTTCAAAACTTCTGCACTTGGACGACCATATGGCTCGCTGGCGAGCATGGCGGCGGGCTCAGTCCACTCATTCAGCAACAGCTCCCAGTCCTCCTTTCCAAAAGTGACATCCACAAAGTTCAAACGCTCAAGGACATTGTTGTGCCAAATGCGCACAGCTTCCAAATTACCTTGGTACGATCTGTCGCCCGGTGATCTATGAGCTTCCGCTAGTAACTTGCGCTCATTTCTTTGCCCTGTTGTGCTCAAGGTGGCAAGAATTTCCATGAAAACACATCCCAGGGAGAATATGTCTGCAGAATAACCCCTTGTTTCCTGTGCTACAACTTCGGGTGCGGCATAGATACGTGTGAACGAGGTCGGGGAGTCCGTGTTGGAATCTTCGTCGCATTTGTATGTACGAGCGATGCCGAAATCAGCAACGTATATACGATACTCGAAGCCCGCCTGACGAACAAGCAAGTTTTGCGGCTTGATATCCATATGTTTCACATGTTTGCCGTGTATGAACTGTAGCGCATGTGAGAGACATCCAACGAAAGTGCTGAGATTGGTAGCAGCAAAAGGGTGGATATGGGGCTCGTGTTGAAAGAAGCTGTCCATGTACTCCTCAAGGTTCCACTGAGCAGCCGGATAAAGCAGTATCGCAAGTTCCTGCAGGTGTCCCCTTTTGAACAAGTATGTGCCAACTACACGGACTACATGCCGGTGTAGTGCCTGCTGCAAGCTCTTGACCTCTTCAACAGCTTCCTCTTTGGTCAAGCTTCTAGAGCATCGAATGATCTTGCGTGCCAGCTCAATTCTCCGACACATGACACTGTCCACGATGGCAGATCTACTCTCGCCTAGCAGGCGAGAGTCTTTCAACGGTATGATACCCTCTTCTCCAGGTTTGTACTCAACGTGCTGTCCACGACCAGACCAGTTGAGCTCCGCGTCTGGATCCAGGACGATCCCCCGACGGTGTAGATAGTTCAACCACTCGCTAGTGAACACTTGTCCACCTTCCCAATAGGATCTAGGAACCTGATCTCTCAGATGTGGCTGAACAGATGCGAACTCGAAGACTCGCAGACGAATTGTGTCCTTCAGGCTTGTCCATCGCGAATGCGCAGCAAAACCTTGTCGTGTCGAGAACTGCTGCATATTCAATACAGTAGTATCCACCACATGTTCCAGAGGCTTGATCGAATCTACGGAAGTTAAAGTTGCTAATTCTTTCACGGCTGTAACGAGCAGGCTATGAGTGAGCGGCATGCATGCTCCTGCTGCATGTACCATACAGGCATCGCTGCAGCTGTGACGGCGTCTTGAAAGACCGTTTCGGCGAACAAGTCAAAGAACTCCTCGTCTGTGAAATGCGGCACGGGTGTTTGCGCGTTCGTGTACAAGGCTGGATTCAGTTTCCTGCGCGCTACCCCGAACTTCCACAAGCGTGCAGAGTTGGCTGGTGCTGTGGTATAGCTAGCGATACTTGAGATTGCGGATGCATAGGTTCGGGAACTGCCCGTGATTGAAGTGTGTGGGCCTTTCGATGTTGGGTGCGAGGGCAGAATAGGTACGATCGTGGTAGCGTCGGAGCCATATGATCCAGGTCCTTCTGCGGGCGCTGAGGCTGTCAATGGGATTCGAGGCATCGAAGAACAAAAAGATATTTCGCACTGACCTTCAACTACAGCCTCCTTTTCCCGCCCGCATCGTCGATGACGGATCAGGATCGAACGACGGCCCCGCGTTTTGCACCTTGCTATACGATATCCGCGGTATGTGTGCGCCTGATGATCCTTCAAAAGATCAGCCCCAATGAATTTTAATCTACACCAGTCGCAGAAGACCTTGGACAGTCCAGATGTCTGGGTGCCTTCATTTGACTTTGGCTGGATTCGTAATTTTCTGGTTTTCCGATCTTCCATAGATGTCATTGCTGTACAATTGTATTTTCATCCGAAGGTACGAATGGTCTTCTTAATTGTTGATACCAATGTTTCCTATACATCAGGGACGAAGTACGAGACAAGATCTCCCTGGGTCCGGTAGTCGACCGCTGCAGCGACGTCAGGAGGCAAAGGTGGCCTGTTGCCAGCAACGCGGACGAGGTGCATTCGTGGAGCGGTGTAAAGTCCCTTTGCTGTGCAGTGTAAGGGAACAACACGATGCTTTCGTACGTGGAGCTCTAGCTGGAGAATGAGGGTGGGGAGCGGCAACACGTTCGCAGGCAGGCGATCAGGCAACGCCATAACCGCCACCATGCAGGAGGGACGTCATGCCCTGCATAGTATCTATATCTACACCAACACTGGTGGGCATCATGAATCTTGATATGATGCAAGATGGATTGAAGCTGCTTGTATAGCCAGTGAGCACCGCGTATTTGAGGTGTTTTTGTTCTCTCTGCAGATGGTCAACAACATAAGCGCCCAGTCGGCGTCGTTTCGGCGCGCTTGCAGTTCTAGCCCCAAACGCGTACAGCTCGCTATGCTATACCTACAGCGACTTGTTGCTGGAGCAAGCGGTTAGGAGTGAACGGCCGTGAGCGAGAGGGCTGGCGCTGGCAGGACATAGTAGACAACAGCATGTCAGAAGTCGGCATGTTGTCAAGTTCACAGAGTGGACTCTTGTCTTTGGTTTAGTGCTTCCGAAGAAGATCGTTTCTTTTTTACAGAGAAGACCGTAATCCTTCAAAACTGCTAAGATGCTACTTGGATGTGCCTGAGTGCCGTACTCGGGAGCTGTAGTCCGAGCAGCATTCCTATGTAGCCTCTTGTTCCAGCCCTACCTAGACTTACCACAGTGACGGCGATCAGTTATTCACTTCATGGTATTTCATACATCTAGCAGGATGTCTTCGCGTGTTTCAGTCGTCATCAAGGCGCTCAAAGCGAGAGCAAACGGAATCGCTGCTCAAGGCTTGACCTGACAGAAGCCGAGACCGGGAGTGCACCCAAATAGCACAAAAAGAGCATCCACATACCGCTCTTCACGGTTGGCGACTACTTCTTGTCAAAAGCCTGGTTGTTCGCGACTTCCACACACCACAGCCCCCCTCCTTCCCACCCGCGCACCCCACCCGTGAGTCTTCAATAACAGCAAAAGCAGGCTGGCAGCAAAAAGAAATCATGTGACATACAACAGTGGGGATTCCCCAGTGGTCACCCACCTGAGTACTAATCCACCGGTACGTTGCTTAAATAGGGCTGAGCGAACGGGAAGCCTTGTTTTCAACGTCCTATGGTCGTATGTGAAGTAATATCTAAACGCAACCATATCTATTGAGACTTTTTGCATCGGGCAGGGCCATTGCTGAAGGCACGTTGTGCGCAATCCCGCAATATATACATCTATCTATACATCTAGATCAGACCAGACACTCACGTCTCGCCAAACACAAACACGCCCTTGCCCTCCCGATACCCGCCCAGCGTGTCCTTGACCTTGGCAATCAGATCCTCGCCCTTGGTATCGTACGCCCACGGAATCTGGTCAAACGGCGTGTCCTTGAACGAGCCCTTCTTGGTCATATCCAGCACATCGTTGACCGTCTTGAGCTTCTCCTCCGGATGCTGCTCGGCCCAGCGACTGACCCAGAAGCCGTGGAAATGGATGTCTTTGAAGATGAGCATGGACGCGGGGACCGTGAGCGGCTGCTTGGACATGGCGCCATAGGTGACGAAGTGCGAGGACGACGAGAGCAGTTTCGCCATGGCGGTGGCCGCCTTGCCGTTGACGCAGTTGAGCGCCAGATTGATCTTTTCGCGGCCGCCGGCCGTCCACTCCTTGGCGCGGTCGCGGATGCCCTGCGCCTGCAGCTCGGCGTCGGTGATGACGATGTCTGCGCCGAGGGCGGTGAGATCGTCTTTGAGTTTCTGCTCCGCGGGGGCGTCGTCGCGCGCGCGGATGATGTTTATGCTCTTCAGGCCCCAGGCGGCGCCGAGCTGGATGGCGGCGCGGCCGACGCCTGAGTTGGCGCCGTTTTGGATGAACCAGTCGCCGGGCTTCAGGGTGGTGAAGTCGGTGAGCATGCGGTATGCGGTGCAGGGGTTGATGCTGACAGTGCCGGCTTGGAGGGCGGTGATGCCCTCGCGCGTGGCGTCGTCGAGTTTGACGACTTGTGAGGTGGTTGCGGAGGCGTGGGTGCGCCATGTGCCGAAGCCGGGGCCCTTCATGAAGACCCAGTCGCCCTTTTTGTATCCTGCATCTTTCGCCTTGTCGCCGAGCGCGATCACTTCAGCAACGCCCTCATTTCCAGCTACTGCAATGGGGTTGGGCGTGCCGAGGTCGGTGGTAAAGGTCGGTTTCGACGGGTACACGCCCTGAATCTGGTTGATGTCGGCCGGGTTGATGGGAGAGGCGAGGAAGCGGATCGTCATCTTGTCGCCGTGCGGCGGCGAGATCGAGTGTCCATGAAGGGAGAGGACGGACGGCGGCTCGCCGTACTCAGTGAATGTGAGGGCTTTGGCCTGCTCGTAGCCGTATGCGGAGATGCAGCGGCGCTGTGCGAGCGGAGCAATTGCACGCGGTGCGGCGAGGCGAGACGCGGTTCGAGCGCATGTCCGCGCAATGCCTGGCGCAGGCGAAAGGAGTTTCGAAGCCATTGGTGTCGGAGTGTTTGTGGCCGAAGAAATGTTTGGAGCTCTCGGACGACCGAGACGAGCTATGACGTGATGTCTAAGCCGCGGATAATGGCGGTACATAGAGTGGGGAGCTTGAGCTTCACATAAATTCTGAACACACCATTGCCCCTCCAAACATACAAAACGTCAACATGAGTGAATCCAAGGAAATGGTCATTATCCTCACTGGAGCATCGCGAGGTACGTCCCGTCAACGCAAAGACATTGCACATCCACATCTCAACCAATCCCCCACCACGCCGACACATCACCAATGCACAGCTTCTGCATACAGAAGAAGCAGAAGCTATACTCAAAACCCTATCATGATCTCTACTAACAAGCACAGGCATCGGCCTCGCAATAGCGCACCACCTCCTCTCCCACCCCGCCAACCACAAACTCGTCCTCACCTCGCGCACCACCAGCGCCCTCAGCGCCCTGCAAACCCAATACGGCGACTCCCGCGTCGAGATCCTCGCCGGCGACGCCGCCGACCCCTCGCTCCCCGCCTCCCTGATCAGCGCCGCAAAATCCCGCTTCGGCCGCCTCGACGCCCTGATCGTGAACCACGGCTCACTGGACCCGGTGTGCAAGATCGGCGACTCGTCGCCCGCCGCGTGGCGCGCCGCCTTCGACACCAACGTGTTCAGCGCGGTGGGGCTGGTGCAAGCCGCGCTGCCGCTGCTGCGCGAGAGCAAGGGCCGCATCGTGCTGACCAGCAGCGGGGCGGCGACGGGCGCGTACCAGGGCTGGGGCGCGTACGGGGCGGGCAAGGCGGTGCTGAACCATGTGGCGCTGACGCTGGGCGTTGAGGAGCCGGACGTCACGACCGTGAGTGTCAGGCCTGGTGTCGTGGATACGGAGATGCAGCGTGCGATTCGCGAGGATCATGTCCAGGGGATGAGTGCGCGGGACCAGGAGAAGTTCCATGGGTGGCATAAGGAGGGGAAGCTGGTTAGGCCGGAGCAGCCGGCGGGGGTTATTGGGGAGTTGGCGCTGAGGAGCGAGAAGGGGCTGAGTGGGAAGTTCTTGAGCTGGGATGATGAGAGTTTGAAGGGGTATCGAACGGATTTGTAGATGGGACGTCGTAGATGAAACGTTGTAGACGAAATATAGAGCAGACGCAATAGATCAAGATCAAACTGACAATGGTTGATTCGTTTCGTTACATACTATTCATAATGCACTCGTACCGCACACCGCCTAGCCGCTGCTGCTAGGCCTGCCAGCCAGGGTATCGATGGGTGTGGGGTTCTTGGGCGCCTGGGGACGGCCAGACAGCGTGTCGACAGTTTCCTTGAGCGCCATCCAGAACTCGTGCTTGGGGCGTCTCCTGTGCCACTCCGTCTCCTTCTTCTCGACCTGCTCCATGGGGCTGAACAGCAGCTTGCTACCCTTGATACCGACAACACTGACGCTCATAGGGTCGTCGTCGATCTCCTCAGGATCCTGGCCGATAAACTCCTCAAGATGCTGCATGGCCTTGGTGGCGAACCTGACAGCGCGGACACGGTCCATGGGCGAGGGTGTGGTGCCTTGCTGGAAGTGACCGGGTACACCGTGCCTCGACTCGAACTTGCCCTTGCCGGCCTCTGCGATCATCTGCGCAATCGTCTGGACGGAATATGTCTTGCTTGCCTTCTCGTTGACCAGAATGACCTTGCCGGAGCGGGAAACACCCTTGTCCTTCTTGAACACTGAGGCCAAGTGGTCGATATCGCGATCCAGCATCTTGAGGTTGATGCCGTCCTCGGGTGTGTAGACAGCGAGCGCGCCGATAGAGAGACCGGCAACAGTGGCGATGTAACCAGACTCACCACCCTGAGTCTCGATGACGAAGACACGGCGTCGAGATGCGGAGGCAGATTGGCGGCAGGCGTCGGCGTACTGGATGAGCGCGTTCAAGCATGTATCTGAGCCAATGGAGTACTCGGTTCCAGGGACGTTGTTCGAGATGGTAGCAGGAACGATGACCTGTTCATGTCAGTACTGGAATTACAGGTTACAGTGGGAAACTTACGATAGGGATCTTGAACGCCTTGTAGTGCTCACGAGCCTTGCGCAGCTCGGAGACAGCCGTGAAGGCCTCGAAACCACCAACAACAAACAGCGACTGGATGTTGTACTTCTTGAAGACAAAGGCGGTGGTCTCGAGGTCCTCACTGGGTAGACCACGGTTGGTACCGATCTCAGATCCACCCTTGGAGGCCCATGTCTCAGCGTCAACCCACTTAATGTCGCGCACAGCACCGACAGGCTCGTCTGAGTGATGGCGAATGATACCTGGGAATCCATTGTGGAGCGCGACGGGTGTGTGACCACGGGCAATGCAGTACGCGACCGCCGCACGAGTGGCAGCGTTCATACCACCAGCTGGCGCACCAACGTGGATAATACCAACACGCATGCGCTTCTCTTCTGGGAGGCGAAGCTCAGGCAGGTTTGCTGCTGTGGTGATATGGTAGGATTGGTACTGCTCGGCGAACTCGGTGTCACGAAGCTGCATGGCACGCTCGAAGTCCTTGTTCTCGATGGCGACAGCGACCTCTTTCGTCTGAGCAACAGCCTCTAGCAGAGATCTGCGAACAATCTTGTTCTCTTGCATGCAGATGACCGGACTGGGAGTCTCAGGAGTAGCCTCCAAGACTGCCTTGACAGCCTCAGCACCCTGCAGGGTTGCAAGCATGCGGTCGTACGCAGATGGGGTACCTCCACGCTGAACGTGACCAAGTGTTGTGATTCTTGTGTCAAGACCGCCCTCCTTTGCGAGGACGTCCTTGACCTGTTCGCAGGTGATCTTCTTCAGGTCGCGATCAATCGCACCCTCAGCAACAACCACAATGGTCTTGCGCTTGCCCATGGACCTCTGCTTCTGGACCTGCTTCAGCATCTCCTTCTCCCAGCCTGGGTGCGGCGGGTTCTCGGGTGTGAAGACAAAGTCTGCTCCAGTTGCTACACCGGCGCTAAGAGCGAGCCAACCGCAGTGCCTCCCCATGACCTCGATGACGAACGCACGCTGGTGACTGACGGCTGTGGTGTCGACCGAATCGATAGCCTCGCAGATACGGGCAAGTGATGTGTAGCAACCGATGGTGGCATCGGTCATGGAGAGATCGTTATCGATGGAGCCGACAAGACCAACAATGTTGAGGTGACGGAACGGATCGACCTGCTCCTTGGTGAGCTCCTTTCGCTCAATGAGCTCCTCGAGCAGGCTGGGCCATTCGTCGCGGAACCTGTCGGCACCTGTGAGCGAGCCATCACCACCGCAGATGATGAGCGCGTTGATGCCCTTGATGATCATGTTCTTTGCGGCTGTGCGGCGGCCCTCTCGCTGCATGAACTCCATGCAGCGCGCTGTGCCAATGAGGGTACCTCCTTCCGAGAGGAAACCTCGAACGTCCTCCCAGTGCATCTCCTTGATCATGTCGCCGCCCTTCACCAGGCCGTCGTAGCCTTCGTAGATGGCGTAGGCCTCGCAGTCGTTGTGAATGGCCATGCGGACAACGGCTCGCACCGCTCCGTTCATGCCAGGCGCGTCTCCTCCGCTGGTCATGACACCGATTCTCCTCTTCTTGCCCGCAAGGGGCGGTGGCACGTTTGTGGGCGCCATAGCTGTGAGTGTTGTTCGTAGTGGAAGGTCGTAGGAGTCTGGGTGAATCGTCGAAGGGAGGGAGGAATGATGTAGTCGGCGTTTCACTGTGGGTCAGGTATGAGATCAAGGTGCGGTGTCAAGGTAAGAATAGCGAGGCCGAAGCGGGTCCTCGTGGATGTGTTGAGGTTCAGAGCTTCGGGAGGGGTAGCTCCAATGCGGCTGCAAGCAGACAATAAGAATGACGAGAGTGTGTATCTGGGAAAAGCAACGTTGATTGATTATACAGACATGTCCGGTCAATTACTATATACCCACGGCGACCCGATGATAAGGTTGCGCGCGTTCCCTTGCGGTGCTGCTCAATGGCTGCACAGCTGCGGCATGACGTGGGACGTTGGAAAAAACAGCAGCCCTGGTCAGCAAGTGGGGTCACTCCACTCTCTCGTGCCTGCCGGATCTCCAGCGATGCGTTTTTCAGCCTCAACACCAGGCCGCGGATCGAGATGGGATTATGCAATTTTGTGATGTCAACGTCGCCCAAGTAGTAGCATTCTGGTGATGCGGCAGATACGGTGCGTATGGCTGCAATCCCACGCCCCAGGCTACACTGCACGGCTGCACGGCCGAACACTGCGACACGTGCTAGCTAGCTTGTCTCGAAGCCAATGGCGGTCGTGCCGCGTCCGGTCCGAGACGTCTGGAGCAAGACTGGGAACAGCACATTATACGACTGCTGTCGAAGACACCCTGCGATCGAGATGTCTCGCAATGGTCGCTCCTCCCAATGACGGAGCTACTTGGATTCGCTCGGCGCCGGTCCAATCAAGGGCTCGAGCGTCCGACTTCCAAGGCAGCAGACAAATCTCAGCTGATATCTGGCGCTTGGCTGTGTGGCCTTGCAGAAGAAGGTCTCATCACTTCATGTAGATGCGGATTCAAGCAAACAAGTAGGGCTTCAGCCAAGGGCTGGGCCAACAGACAAGATGTCGCAGGCTATGGTATTTCTGCATATCGCTCACCCGAGCCAGCTCTTGACCTGCTCCTTGAGCGACAAACCGCCCTCATTGCCAGACCATGAGTGCGATTCTTGTGATGGCTCCTGCGAACTGCTGTTCGTCAAGTGTACTGACAGCGACCCTTCTTTCAACTCGAGCGCGATGTCCTGCTTGGCAGACGTCCCCTTCTTGCCGCCCTTACTTGCAATTGTCACTCTAGCCTCGTTTCCATTGACAGATGCACGGTTCGCGTACTCGTACTTGAGCACTCGGTGCGCTATATGCAACGACAGAATCCAGTCGAGGTAGGACGTGACGTCGACGGTAGACTGGAATCTGTTCTCCGTAGAGAGGCCGAGATCTGTTGCGAGAGCTGCCGGGAGCGTAAGTTTGTACTCGGTGCCAAAAGTAGGTGCGCCGATGACGGTGCGTATTGCGATGGTGAGCTGCTCGGTTTGCGAGCCTGGGTGTGACGGCAGAGTCAAGGTAGCTTTGCCTGTGAACGGCTTGGAGAAAATTTCCAGGAGCTGATCAGTTGCTGAGAGATCTCTCCTGGTAGGCTTCGCGAGGCTGTCGCGGAGTTTGATCCATGACTCCTCGCGGTCTGTTTCCAACGGAGCTTCAAGACCAGCACTTTTCAGCGTGCGGCAGACAGTGATAAGGTAAGCAAACAAGGAGTCCACATGCTGTAGATGGTATAACATGGCAAGCAAGGTGCGTAGAAGCGGCGGTGACTTCTGCTCTTGCTTTCGTGCTGTCAACGCAGGCGGAAGCTGGGTCCTGCGGTACAATCGCATGTTGTGCTCATGTGTCAACAAAAGACGCAAGGCTTCTGCAATGTTGTGTGCAAGCCAGTCATTTGCATGCCCCTGCCCATCAGCAGCTCTGTCGTCCCGAGGTATACAATCGATGAGGAGTTGTCGTGAGACTGAGGTGTTCGCCCCTGGCGCATCCACGGATATGACGTTGTCTCGCAGGCGAACACCGTATGGTAGCAGCTGCCGTGTCTCCAAGCTCATCTCGTGGTACAGTTCCTCTTCGAGCAGCGAATCTCTTGCAAGCCGTACCGATTTCTCCACCGCAAGACCTTCTACCAAGCTCTCTACGGGAAGCTGGGATGACCCGGTGATCTTCCCACCCTCGCTGATCCTCACACGCAGAGTCTTCGGTTTCAAAGCAAGATTCGGATCGAGGATAATGCTGCCGTCTTTGTCCATACGTAGAGGAGCTGAGCCGCGAGTTTTGAACTGCCCGCTTGCTGTACGCTTGTCAGTAGTTATTCTCATGGCGACCTGCTTTCACGTACCTTCGGGGGCCCCAAAACGCACACCGAACGGCGCATGGCGGGCATTGCCCATGCGGTGAATTGGCCAGCCCTTATTCGAGATGGACACGATCTCCTGCCAGTATTTTGTCTCTCTGCGAACTTCCTTCTCTAGGTTCTTTGCCGCCTTCAGGATCTCGTCCGTCGCATTATCGAGCGCTTCCATCCTGGCAGCCTTGGCTACAAGCTCTTGTCTCTTTTGATATTCTTCTCTCCGAGACCTTTCCGGGGGTTTCAGCTCGTCATATTCATGGTTCTCCCTAGCAACACCCACAGATCCGAATGGCAGCCCTTGGTTCAGACCAGCCTCGCGGAACGTATGGCTGAAGGACGTGGGCGCACGCTTGTTGGGGTCGGTGGAAAGTACGAGTGAAATGAGATCGAGCGCATTGGTGGCTGCAAACCTGGCCCAGCTTTCAAATATCAGTATACAGTATTCTTGCGTGCGCGCTATGGCATGCGTACTCTAGGTGGCTCGCCATCTCCATCTGCATCTCAGCTATCTCCTTCTTCCTCTCATCCAGGGTGCGGGGCTCCTTCTCATCGTCCTCGGTCTCCGAGTCCTCTTTCGCGTTATCGAGGACATCTTTGCCGGCCTCAATGTCAGCCTGCAGCGACTGCTCTGTGATGTTGCGCAAGTGGCCGCGCTCTCGCGCGAGCTGCTCGATTTGTGGTAATATGACATCTTTGCCAAATTCGTCTGTCTTATTCGCTGGCCATGGGCGCAATGCCACATCCTTCAGCGACTCGATCCCAGCCATGGTGCGAATTGTCCGGCGACCGATTGTGCCAAAGCGGTGCCGTTGATCGGAAGAAGTTGGACCCTTGCACAACGGTCGAAGCTCTGCTCGGTAGCGCCCGCGGCTCCGCCTCTCACGTTGCAGGATGAACAGCGGGCTATCAAGGTGTGAGCCAAGTATTTCACCACGCAACAGCAAAGTAGAAATGATATAAGGGAAGTCTATCGAACACTTTTCGCCTACACCATAGGTAGTTCTTAACTAAACGTTAGCTTCAGGCATTACAAGAGCTACAAGTTCTGTATCAAGGTTGTTCAGCTCGAAGGTCGCTTAACTGCCGTTTTCCCTGGAACGTCAGAGTCGGCCCCTCGTCGCGTGTCTGTTATCGATAAAGCTCACCTCATTCACCTCCGCTTTATTGCTGTGCCATTGCAGCATCGTTCATCGGGTCTCTGTCAAGCCTCGATTGTGTTGGTCAATCTCCTTTCGCGTGTGTTCTCGTTGCAGCGGATCATCTGAGCTTGAAAGTGTCACATACCCACCGTACCAGACTCCACGTGTAACTCTTCGTTCCGCTAGCGGCGTCCTCCGATACCTAAGCGTGCAGTCATTGAACACATTGACAGCGCGACACTCTCCTCCCTTTCTAACACCCCTTTAACACCCCCTCTTACCAATTGCCACGCACGATGACCACCAGATACCGCGTAGAATGTATGTTGGACCTCTGAGCTGCTATGCCATCCCACTCACGTCTTCAAGCTGAGCTCGTGCAACGACACGCTAACGTGGCTGATATGTAGATGCTCTCAAGGTCGGTCGTTCAATTCCAGACCTCTTGACTCCCGATTAACAGGCATTGAAGACACACAGGCGAGACCAGTTGGTAAGGGCACTTACAGACCCATTGTGGACCCCAACACTAACTGACTTTCATAGATTGAATGGATCAAGGTACTGTTTCTCTGTTGTCGTGCTACCGAGATGCTCATCGTCAAAAGGGTCTCCTTGCAGTTCCGTTCGTTCTGCATTCGCAGCCAACAGCCGTGTTCGAGGAAAATGCACAGACCGTTCATCAGCAATCCAGTGTTGCCCAGCGTCGATACGCCGAGATCATGCGTGATGTAGAAGAGATAATCAACGACCACAGTGAGTCTCACGGATTGAATGCAATTGGCTTTGTCGCTTTGAGTTCCTGAATGATGATATTGACCTCTGTTCTAGTTGAACACCAGAAGCAGGGGAAGCCAGATCGATCCAAGCTCAAGCTTTTGGTACCTACCGTCGCCAATTTCTTTACTCCTCTAGCTCTCCACGATGCGTTCATATTCCAAGACCAACGTCGCTCCATCAGCTACAGGCGGTTTGTGCCACCTTCATTCAACGACGTGCGTCTGGTTCTCAACACCGCTCAAGTCATGAGCCTTGTCCGCAGTGGCCCTATTGAACTCGTCACCTTTGACGGAGATGTCACCTTGTATGATGACGGGATGAACCTCCTACCCGACAACCCAATCATTCCTAAGATTTTGCAGCTCATGCGGAGAGGGTCAAAGATTGGTATTGTCACAGCAGCAGGCTACACAGAAGCTAGTCGGTACTACGGACGTCTTTTCGGACTACTGCATGCAATCCAAGAGTCTGACCTACCGCTCGAGTCGAAGCAAGGCTTTATGATCATGGGCGGCGAGAGTAGCTTCTGCTTCAAATTCGACGAGAACAGCCCGGACTTGTTGAGATTCGTTCCGCGCGAGGAGTGGGTGCTCAAGGAGATGCTGCTGTGGTCGGACGCCGATGTTACGGAGCTCCTGGACATTGCAGAGGCATCGCTGAGAGACACGGTGAGGAACATGCGGATGAACGCCGAAATTGTCAGAAAGGAGATGGCAGTGGGCATCATACCAAAGAACGGTGACCGATTCTGTCGAGAAACGCTGGAGGAGACGGTGCTGATTGTGCAGAAAGTGCTCGTATGTCTTGCAGCTGCTTTCACACTAACGACCTGCTGACTCGCCCAGGACATCTCGGACGTCGGACAGCGACTGCCATTCTGCGCCTTTAACGGTACGTGGCGCAACATGTCTTGTGGATCTTTACTAACACGACCAGGTGGCAACGACGTGTTTGTGGATATTGGAGACAAAAGCTGGGGCGTCTTGGCCTGCCAGAGGATCTTTGGGTCAATTGAAGGCAGCAAGACGCTGCACGTGGGAGATCAGTTCTTGAGCGCAGGTGCGAACGACTTCAAGGCGCGACTGGCATGTACGACGGCGTGGATCGCGAATCCCACCGAGACGTGCCAGCTGCTGGACGAGATCACCGAGCTAGACGAGACACACCAGCGCAAGACTCGCTGAGACGTCGCCACAGTCAGAGTAAAGGGACCAGGGCAGTGTGACATGGCATGTGTTTGACAGACTCACAGCAGTGTCCTACCTATTTATACTACAAGACTTGCACAGAATCGATGTTAGTAGGCTGCAGGAGACCCTGCGCCATGGTGTGGAGTGGGACGGGTCAGGGCAACAGCTGCCCCTGACTCGCCCGCGGCCCGCAGCTTCCGCATTCAGACAAAACTGGCATTGTGCATGCAGCCTTTCAAAACGTTGTTCCACGCCTCGCATTCTCGCCTTCGCGCTTGCTGGCTGGCGGCAGCACATGGGGCCCGTTGTGGACTGACTTTCCAAGGCGACGCAAGTGCATCGCTTGTGCCTCCCGGACTGCCGTTGGCCGACGCCACGCTGCCTCGTGTCGTGCAAACCATCGCTCGCAGCACCGTCCCATAAACCCTGCAAGCTCCTTCGCCCCGGCCCCTTCTGAGCTCACACCCACCGGCGGCCGTGCGACGTTCGCTGACCTCTTTCTGCCGCTCGCCGCCCAATTGCTTGCATTGAGACGCACTTCACTCGCGTCGTTGCAGAGGCAGTAATCTCTCGAATACCGCCGCGATGCCTCCCACTAAGTTCAAGCCATTGACGCTTGTGCCCATCAACTTCTCGCTCACAGAGGGCACCTCGATTCCGGCACCGCTCGACTCGCCGCCCGAGACGCCTCGTCCGCCGACGCCAGGCAAGGGACCGCTCTCGTCGCATCCCACACCCAGGTCCCCCGCCTCGTCACAGCAACAGCTCAGCTCCCCGAATGGAAAGACGTCTGAGGACTCGGTGCAGCCAGAACCGCCAGTGACGCGCGGACGGACGAGCGAAGCGGCCGACGGCGGCCTCTCGCCCACGAGTCCCGGCCGGCGGCCGTCGTCGGTGCGCCAGTTCCTGGGCCTCCGCACTTTGCCCTCGCGGGACAGCCTCCACCAGGACGAGCGACCCGGCTCGCCCGCCGCCACCATAAACAGCCAGCGGAGCCTCACGCGGAAGAAGAGCACCAGCTGGTTCGGCAGCAAGAGGAAGAGCTCCTACTTTGGCTCAGTGCCCGAGGAGAACAAGAGCACAGCAGCGGCGCCTCTGTCCAGGACCGTCACAAACGGCACAATGGCCGCACCGGCACCACGACCCCAGCCTGTACAGCCTGCACAGCCGCCGCCCCAGAAGAAGGGCCCGCCGCCGCCGGCTCTGCCGCAGCTCAACTCGTTTGGCGTCAACGAGAAAACGCTGAGCTTCGACGCCGAGGACATGTTTAAGAACATCAAGTAAGGCGGCAGACGCATCGACCACGACTACGATGCAGTTCTGATGGATTGGGGCTAATGAGGTTTGTCGATTCTGGACCATGACATGGAGTTTATAAGTTTGATTGTGGATAATACGTTCTTTGTTTCTGCTTGTTGCATAGCACACGATACCCCGGGTCGACGCATGATAGCAGAAGGGCTGGCACGGTTTGGGGTATGCTCTGGGGATTACTTCGCAGACAGCAGTACTGTGGGTACTTTGGACTTCTGTTCGAGCGTTCGTTTAATACTTGACAGCACGGGCTGTCGTTGCTAGACCCTGCAAATACCATTCTCTTCTGTCGACTTTGCTTTCCCAATGTGCAATTTCGCATCTCGCACACGATCAGGTTCGTCATGCTCACGATTGGTCGTGGTCGAGACGCTTAATGTTGCCGCCATCGCTATTGTTAGTTTGCGATGTTGTCGGTCTTGCACGCGACGGCTCCAGTGACGGCGTACGTGCAGGGCGCCAATGAGGGGCACGCGCTGGCCAGCAACCGCTAACGACGACCCCTGCCACCACAACAAACAGTCAACACGGCCGTCAGCCCTGCAACACCAACGTACATCTCGACTTGCGCGCGCCTGCACTGCATATTAGCGGCTGTGCCCCCATCGCAGCATCATTGCGACAACCTGACTCTACTATGGCCCACGACCAGGGCATGTTCTCGGTCCAGCGACCGCGCCAGGTCCGTTGTTTTGCGCCGAAAACCTTCCGGACGATACTGATACTGATACTGCGCAGACATTAGGACCCATAAACAACAACTCCTCCGCCATTCCCATGCCCTCGTCGGCCATGAAGCGCTCCAGTTCCGTACACCAGATGCAGCAGGGCTCGCAGTTTGGCAACAACCATGCGCGCTCGCAGTCGGGCGGCCGCATGTCGCTGGCGCCCGGGCGGCCCAGCCAGCCGCTCTTTGCGCGCTCGTCGTCGGGCACAAACCTCGCTGAAGGCTTCCCCTCGGTGCAGCGCCAGTCCATGGGCGCCTTCGGTGGAGCCAGCAGCGGGCGCAAGAGCTATGCGCCAGGCTCTGCGCTCTTCCAGACTCCTGCGCCGCCTGCCGGACCAGACTTCGAGCAGAGCGCCCAGCGACGCAGCAGCGTCTTCAAGGGGCGCACGTCGCACGCCGGCGGTCAGCCGGGCATCAAGCAGTCTTTCTTCCAGCAGGCGCCCATGCCTGCGACCCCTCCACCAGACCCGCGCAGACTGAAGGACCTCCAGACCCGGCAGACAATGGCCGCCGAGCTCCTGCAATTCCTCACACACAACAACTTCGAGATGGAGTCAAAGCATGTCTTGTCCGCAAAAGCTATGACATCCCCCACACAAAAGGACTTCAACAGCATGTTCCAGTGGCTGTACAACAAGATCGATCCGAGCTATCGCTTCCAGAAAACCATTGACCAGGAAGTACCGGTTCTGCTCAAGCAGCTGCGCTACCCCTTCGAGAAGTCGATCATGAAGTCGCAAATTGCGGCGGTCGGCGGAAACAACTGGCCGACGTTCCTGGGATTGCTGCATTGGATGATGCAGCTTGTGGTCCTGTGTCAGAGGTACGAATCTGGTAGCTATGACGATGCTTGCTTTGAAGCCGGCTTCGACGTATCTGGCGACCGCATCATCTTCGAGTTCCTCACAGACGCATACAGCACATGGCTAGCAGCAGATGACGAGGAAGACGATGAGGAATCCCAAGCTCGACACATGGAACCGCACATCAGGGCGATGGCGGACAAGTTCGAGGCAACGAATTCGCAAAACCACGATCACGTCAAGATGCTTGAGGCAGAGCACAAGCTTCTCGAGGAGCAGATTGAGGAGCTCAGCAAAGCGGGCCCGAAAATCGCAAAGTACGAGGAACAAAACGAGATCTTGGGCAAGGATAAGGTGAAGTTTGAGAACTTCAACCAGAACATGGAACTCAAAGTCAAGAAGTACACCGATCGCTGCGAGTTTCTGGAAAGAAACATCGAAGAGCTAGAAGCTGAGCTCGAAGCGTCAGAACGGGAGCAGGCTGACCTCCAAGCCATTATCGACGGCCGCGGGATGACCATCAACGATATTGATCGCATGGCTGCCGAGAAGGATCGCTTAGACCAAGCCCTACAAGGCACTGCCGCGCGTCTGGAGGAATCGAGGAAGCGCATTGCAGAGAGAGAAGTGCATGCCTCGAGGAAGCTTGACGAACTCGAGCAGACAATCGAGCGCTACAACAACTTAGGCTACCAAATCGGCGTCATCCCATCCACTGCCGTAAACGCAAAGGGCCAGGACTACGAGCTCGTCCTCACCATCACCGACGTTCCCAACTTCTCAGGCTCCCAGATGGGCGCCTCCTCCCAAGAACCCTCAGACCGCCTCCTTCAAGACGCAAGCACAGGCTACGCGCCCGCACACCTCCTGAACCTCGACCTCAAGGGCAGCGTGAAATCCAACATCCTTACCCTGCGCAAGGAAATCGCAGAGCGCCGCAACGCCGCTCTCGAAGCCGACATGAACAACCACGACCTTCTGGACAAGATCAAGGAAGCCATGGACGACAAGGTTGCCGAGGTCGAGGCGCTCGGCCACCGTGTTGCACAGGCAGAAGACGAACTCGAGAAACTGCGCGAAATCACAAATACCCAGAAGAGCCAGAGCGACGCCCAGATCGAGCGCCTGGAGAAGGATCTCGGCCGTATGCGCAGCGGGCTCGGCGAGAGCGTGCAGCTGATGGTGCAACGCGAGATGGCGGTCAACATTGAGTACGTCCCCACTCACATCGGTTCTTCTCTTTGCAGAGAACGTCAAGCTAACCCGCCCCAGATACGAACAACTTCAGCTCCGCGCCAACTCGCTCCGCGAAGAGTTGCACACGGAGATCGAGCGCATGCTAGACGATATCGTACGCTTCAAGTTGCACGTCCAGCGCTCGCTCGAAGAGTACGAGCAGTTCATTGCCGATGAGGTCGAGCGCAGCTGTGAAGAGCAGGATCTGCTTGCACAGGCGCCCGAGGACGAGCAGGACGAGGAGATGGAGGATGCTGAGTGAATTCATTCAGCGCATTGATGGGTGGATTGGATGTGTTGGATATAGCGAGTTCTGACGATGTTACGACGCGGCGTTGGGTTTGAGCGGCTCTTTCATGGACGGCGGTGTTATTGCCGCGGAGCTGCCCATGGCAGACTCGGCTGGAGTTTGGCGTTGGAGCCTGATACTTTCTAGATACCTCTGCGTTTGGCGCAATGCAACGTGCTCTCCCTCCACATCCCCCCCTTCTACACCCGCGCCCCCGGCTTCCGCGCACTAAACTGAATCACCTCAAAGTACGCATGCACCTTCCTCTCCTTCAACCCCGTCCTAAACTTCGCAATAAACACCTGCGCCTCCTCTACACTCCACCCCATCACCCGCGTCAGCAGAAACAACCCCCACCCCTCCGCGCCCTGCGTGCAGTGCAAGAAATTCCACCGCCCGAGCTCCTTCATCCGCGCATCCGCCGGCCACCCATTCACGGGCACCTTGTACACGCGCTCCACCACCTCCTCGAACCCGGCGTCCCTTGCATACCGCGACAGCGCCCACACCTCGTAGAAGCTCTTCCCAAACCGCTTCGACGCGTCGTGGAACACGTCGCTCCACGCGCTGAGCACGTGGTCGGGCGCCAGCGTCCCGTCGTCGGATTTGAACTGGATGCTCATCTCCACGGCGTGCAGGTAGCCGCCCGGGACGAGCGCGGCGTGGGCCTGTGCGTACAGCGCGGGCCAGTCGGCGATGGAGCCGTAGAGAGAGCGGTGGTTGATGAGGTCGAAGGTGTGCGGGAAGGTCCACGGCGAGGTGATGTCGTCGATTTCGAAGCGGCAGTTGGGCGGCGTGAAGGAGGGCTGGATGGGGGAGAGGTCGACGCCGGTGATGTCTGCGGCGGGGTGTTCTGCGCAGAACGACTGGTCAGTGGCGGATTCGGGGAGAGGGCGGGGGGGGGGGGGGGGGGGGGGGGGGGGGGCAAGAAGTAGTGTTTACCGTCAGCCATGTCCATGCACCAGATGCCCGTGCCGCAGCCCAGATCGAGGATGCGCTGCGGGTCCGGGATGGGCGCGAGGTGCAGCTTGTTGTCGAGCAGCAGCAGGAACATGTGGTGCGCAATGTCGAGCTGGTCGTTTTGCAGCTCGTCGTTGGGGCCCCAGTACTCGCCCTCGCGGAACTTGTGGTAGCGGCGGCCATTCTCGTAGCGGTGCTTCCAGATGGTCGACGGGATCGAGGTGGTGTCGCTCAAGTGGTCCGAGTCGCCATATGCGGAGTCGGATTCGTCAAAGTCGGACTCCTGGGTAGGTTTCAGTCATGGTCATTTTTGATGTTGTTAAGCTGTGTTTCACACATTCAATCTGTGTTGTGCACTGCTTTTAGTTCATGTACATACGGGTTGAATTGGAGGTTGGATTGGGGCAGGGTCGTGTTCTACCAGCGTGGAGGGACCCGCCGTTGTGGTCATTGGCGCACTCTCCGCGGAACCTTGTTCTTCGTTTGTAGGTGCCGGGGTTGCTGGACTTGCCGGTGCATGCTCAATGGATGGTTCCGGTACTGCTTGATCTGATATCGGCACCGTCTCTTCGATGCTTGCTGGAGGAGCCGACGTGCTCGCTCCCGCGGTATGTTCTGGTTGCGTCATCGGCATGTCGATGAGCTCTAATCGGTGGAGTCAGGTACGACTACGCCGCACTCTCGCAGACCGGGGTCGCCTGAGTCAGCCTGTCAGACGTCAAAGATGACTTCAATAAGGTTCAAGAGGTATAAATTTTGGCAAGTGTCCGGGTTTGCTCGCAACTTTGCAGGATTGTGCGCTGCCAACACGGTCGAGAAAAATCTACTCCGGCTTGACTGCTCCACAACCTGGACAACCAAGAGACTATGTACAGCGGGAAGCTCCAGTCTCCGGATCCGTCGACGGACGTGCATCGGGAAGCAACGTGGTTGCAGGCTTCACACCTGGTCGTAGCTGCGGGCCAATCTGTTCCTAGAGACTCGGGCGTCGTGGGTCTGGCCGTGTGGTCAGATGTTCATGCAGAGCATCTCCCGATGACTCGCAGCGCTGCTGTGTGCTGATGTGCTTTTTGCATTGGCGCTGCCATGCCGTGCTTCCTTGGAAACATTGTCGCGCGCTGGAGTACTCACACGGCAGAGAAGATTGCGGTCGCTAGCCCATGAACGGCGGCTCTCACATTGCAGGATAAACGGCAGACCAAGGATGTGAGCTGAATATCCTACTCCCCAATGGCAACGTTGAGGAACTGCACAAGAACTCTATGCAACACTTTTTTTGCCTACAACATAGGCAATGCTTTAACACATCTTAGCTTTAACTGTTATAATAGCTACAAGCTCTGTTTTGAAGTTTGTCAGCTTGAAGCTCGCTTGTCCGCCGTCATTCCGAGCGACAGCTCGATGCGCTACCTCGCATTGCAAGCCAGCCTACTTGCCCGGGGAAGCTCCGCTTCCCGGTAGCATCAGTACATGCATTCGGATACGGGCAGGATTCCGCAAAACTTCACTCGCCATATGCATGGCCCACGTTGCCGCGCTTGGTCGCAAGCACGGCAGATGTCATGCACACACGGAGATGGCTCCCTCTCCAGCCAGATCGTGTCAGCAATGCGTCTGTAGCGACGATGAACGACCCTCTCCCTAGCGCCCGCGGCATCCATCATCCTTGAGGATCCACAAAACCTACCACACAGAGACTCCTTGTTGTCATCAACCGCCTTGAGTGTGAGGCAGAACGGCGATTGCTTCTGTCGTGTTACCTGGTCGGCATCATGGTCACCGATGTGTCAGGCGCACTGCTGAATACAGTCCCACCCTTGTACCTAGGCCTGCTCCTCATTGCGGCTTATCTGGTAATTGCTCGCCTCCGCCAGTATTATCGCCTCAGCCACTTCAAGGGCCCGGCAACCACCGGCATTTCATGGTGGTGGCATTCGAAGGCTGTATTGAGTGGTCAGGCGCAGCGCTATTATGGTGACGTGACGGAGAAATATGGTAATTTGCAACACTGGGGACAGAAAAGAAGATATACTAACAATCCAGGCCCAATCGCAAGAGTGTCGCCTGAGCACTTGATAACAAGTGACCCTGAGCTATGGGCGCACATCAATGGCGTTCGGTCGCCATACCGCAGGGCGCCATGGTACTACCACGCAGCACGTTTCGAGCCTGGAAAGGACAATGTCTTCACCGAGTGCGATAATGAACGCCATGATGCCAGAAGGAAGAAGATGTTTGCTGGTGTATGTGCATCTGATACTAACAGCCTTGGGTATATGCTGACTACAGCAGTACTCTGGAAAAGAGAACCCAACCCTAGAACCCTCTATCGACAGCCATGTGCAAGAGCTGATTCAACTCGTCCGGACTTACGCTGATCAGACAGCATCATCAAAACCAATTAAATCAATGGACCTTGCCAAAAAGATCCCATTCTTCACTCTGGATGTCATCAGTCACATTGGTCTCGGCTCCGCATTTGGAAACCTCGTCTCGAACAAGGACGTGAACGACTACCTCAAGTCCACCGAGGAGGGCCTCAAAATTGGCAACACAGCCTTTGGTATGGGTCTAGGCTGGATGCGAGAAAACCCCCTCATCGGCCCAGCAATCAGCCCCTCGGAGAAGGACGCCAGTGGATACGGCCGCATGATGCACGAAGCGCGCAAGCTCGTCGATGCTCGCAGACTGTCGTCCACCGAGGGCAAGTCCGACATGCTGGCATCCTTCATCCGCAACGGCGTCGCAGGTGACGACCTCTTCCAGGAGGCCTTCGAGCAGATCCTCGCGGGCTCCGACACCACCGCCGCCGCTATCCGCATCATCCTGCTCTACATCATGACGCATCCCCGCGTCTACGCAAAACTGCAGGCCGAGATCGACGAAGCCGTGAAATCAGACGCTGCCCCGCCGTCTCCAGGCGTCATTTCAGACACCGAAGCGCGTAAGCTGCCCTACCTGGGCGCCGTGGTGCGGGAAGGCATGCGCGTGCACCCACCCGTCGTCAACCTGTTTTCCCGCGTCGCTCCCGACGCAGGCGACGTCGTCACGGTGCAAGGCAAGGAGTACTTCATCCCGGGCGGCACCATGGTCGGCTACTGTGCGTGGTCGATGCACCGCAACAACACCTCCTTGTACGGCGCCGACGCCGCCATCTTCCGGCCGGAGCGGTGGCTCGTGGACGAGTCTAGCGCTGCTGAGCAGGCCCAGCTGAAGGAGATGGTCAGGACGAACGACATGATCTTCGGGCACGGCAGGTGGGTGTGCTTGGGCAGGAATATCGCGTTGCTCGAGGTGCACAAGTGCGTGTTCGAGCTGCTGAGGCACTTTGATCTTGCGCTGAGTAACCCCGCGGAGCCGTGGAAGACGCATAATAGTCTCGGGCTGTGGGAGATTAAGGATATGTGGGTTGATGTTACGGCGCGAGCGTGATGATGCCACTCGCAGGTAGAAACGGTAGATTGGCGACGCGAGATAATTAATGCAAGTTTGAAAGTGCAGTGGTGCAAAGGCATGGGAACGTCATTTATTACAACTCATTATCGTCGTGACAGAAACAGGGTATACGCAAAGGGACAGCAATTTAAGCCAAACGAGACCACCACGGCGTCTACACACTCACTTCTGCTTGGGCGCCTTCCCCGGCTCAGGCAACTGCGACACATCAGGCAGATCCGCCACCGTCGCCTTCCCATCCTCCTTGCCGTCCCTGATGATCGTCGGCTCCGTCGGCTCGCCGCCCACCCTCGGCACGGGCTCAGATGTCGCCTTGCTCTTGCGCGCCTTCTTGTCGCCGAACACGGAGTCGTCGTCGCTGGCGACCGCACTGGTCGTGCCCGAGGCCTCAGCCGAGCCGGCCTCAGCAGCGAGACGCTCTTTCTCGAGCCGCACTTCGCGGCCGCGCTTGTGGCAGTACCAGAAGACGAAGAGCAGGACTGCAGGGGTCAGCAACGGGCGTCACATCCAGATGTGTGGGGGGTTACTTACTCATCACGGCCAGACTCATGATCAGGTTTGTGCCCGTGGCCAGGGCCGGGAACCTGAACTTGAGGAAATTCACGATGCTGCGCAGCGCCGTGGCGACCGCGCCCTGCGCCGAGACCAGCTGCTTGAGGCTGGGGATCTTGGGGACGCCGGGGATCTTGCTCTTCTTGGTCTTGCTGCCCTCGCCGGCCGCGCGCTGCTTAGCGTCGAAGCCTGGTTTCTCGGCGCTGGCGGCGAGCAGCTCGGGGCCCAGGGTGGCGGTCATTTTGGCGGGCAGGCTCTTGACGAAGTTCTGCAGAAACGGGGGCAGGCCGCCGTACATTTTCTTTAGCTGGTTGTCGTAGTCGGTGAAGAGCTTCTCGAGGTCGTTGTATGCGGTTGGAGCGCCGTTGACGAGGTCTTTGAGGACGAGTGTGAACTTTTGTAGGAGTTCTTCGGATTCTTTGCTGAAGGAGAAGACGCGATTGTTTATGGCTGACATGTTCAGTTCCTCCAAGATCTTCGAAAGGTCTTGAGTCTCCTTTTCGACTTCGGCTTCCTCTGCAGCCTTTGACTTTGCGGCGGCGGCAAGGAGGTTGTCGGCGAGCTCGTTGCGCTCTGCATCCGTGACCTTGGCTTTGCCCTTCTTGTCCTTGGTTGTGGTGTCCTTCTCCTTCTCAGTCTTGTCGGCCTTCTTGCCAAACTTGGGGAGCGCGAAGTATGACGTGAAAGCCTTCTTCTCCGGCGGGCTCTTCGGGAGCGCAATTTTGTCTGCGCCGTCCATCAGCGCCGCCTGTGCATCCTTGCCGACCTTCTGTTGACCAGTCTCGTCGATGACTATGGCTGGGCGGCCAGGTAGCGGCGGCGGGGTACCCTCAGGCTCAGATGCAATCGCTGCGAGTCGTTCCAGGAATTTCTCGTCTTCTTCGTCGAGGACTGGCTCGGCGCCTGTCTCGTCAGCCGGTTCGCTGATTGCGGGTGCGGGCGGTGGTGAGGGAACAGGTCCGGTGGACTTAGGTGCCTCCTCGGTCTTGGGCGCATTGTGAACCACTGTTTCTCTGAACTTGGTAGGATCATCCTGCTTTGGTTTCGGTCGTAGTTTTTGTAAGTAAGAGGCCATGGCGGATGTTGATGGTGTGTCGGGGTTTCGGGAGTGTGGGGTATTCGAGCACCTGGTTCAGGTTTCTTGCGTATTTTAAGCTGTCTGGAAGGACTGACGTTTATTAAAGATCTTCGCAACAGCTCAGCCACGATCTCCCACACACGGTGATCGCCACGCGGTAACCATGTCGTTGTGGCCTTGTTGTGCGTCTGGTCGCATCTAGTACTTACGTCATTAGCAGGGGTCTGAATGTCGCACCTAGCGCGTCGGCATGTGCAAGTTCACCCTCTCCAACCAACGCCACTGGACCAACCGTACTTCGGTTTTGAGAGTATTGGCGCGCTAGGTATTCCACACGGAGCCAAGCTATATCTAATGGCCATTGACGTACCTACTCCCTTTCCAGGGTCGCCTTTCTGATACTCTACCTTACACTCTTCATGCTCCTTACAAGGTGCTCGCTACGAGTTCCTCTCAGACGAGCTTGAGTCTAGCTACAATCAATTGTTTGAGCGAGGGACCACGTGACGATGCGGCGGGCACAGCGTGATGGACTAAAAAGTCTTGGATGGCTCGACTTGCAATCGCCAAGCTTCGACCTCACAATGCGACAAATGCTTTTAGACCCTTTTTTATGGCAGCCATAAGCATGGCATTGTACATTTTATTCCTACTTGATGCGATCTCTGGAACAACATGCTGTGCTTTTCGGTGTTCGCTGTGCGTGGCTCACTCTCCTTCCTTCACTAGTCAACAACCCCCATCAGCGCAAGCCGTTTGTTTGTACCTGATGAATCTATGGCTATCACAGGCTGAATTGAGCCAGTATACTAGCATGATGATCGCTTGTACCTCTTACCTTGACTGTTGGCGACCCCGGCGTTCTCTTACTTGCTGTTCGCGCATTTGTCCTCCTCGCCAAGGAGCACTTCACTGGCTGTGCAGGCTCCAATATAAAGTCAAACACCCCTCCTAGATCTGACCCACACCCCCAACACACTGCAACAGGTATCCGCCTGGCATATTTCGCCAACGATATGGCCGACTACGCTTTCAGCTCTGACAGTAAGGCTGCTTGTACTAACTCCAAGCGCTCGTCGTACTGACAGATAGCACAGATGCTGATCCCGTGGACGACACAGCGTTTGACGATGGGATGGAGACGGCCTCTAATAATGACCCAGACGACGAAGTAGACGACGAAGTGGATGATCCCACCTTCCTGGACATGAACGATGCAAGTGCTGATTGCGCCCCCTAGAGATAGTCACTGACGGATGCAGGGTGATGACGAAGACTTCGAGCTTGATGGCGTCGATAGTCTTGGTCTCCCGGAAGATGAGGAGAATAAGCACGACAGTGACGATAACGACAACACTCTAGCCAGCAAGAAGCTCAAGCGCAAGCGCGCCGCCTCTGATACCGGTGATGGAGAGCTGAATCACTCCAAGCACACCGATGCCCGCATCAAGGCTGAAGGCGGTGAAGCCTTCATTCTTGAAGACGGGACTTCCTCGCTTTCTAACTCGAAGAGCTCTCGCGTGTTCGGCACGTTCGGTCGCCGTAAGTTCAACTCCAGCAATCATCAAACTCAGGTATATGTTGACCGGTATCAGGCGATCGTGAGAAGGGTGAAAGTCTGCCTGCCTACCACAAGAGGGTGACTGCCAAGCTCGACGACGATGATGCGCTCATGCTTGAGATGCGCGAGAAGGGTTTCAGTGACCGCCAAATCGCCGAGAAGCTTGCAAAAGACGGCCGCGTTCGCTATGATCAGAAGTCCATCTCTACGCGTATCATGCGCATACGTCTTGCTCAGGCTGAGAACGTCGATTACCTTCTGAATGAGGGTCTCAAAGAGTGGGAGATGGAAGACGTTAGTTTCACTTCTTTGTAATGTCGCTGGGATGGCTCACTCATTATATCCAGGACCAACGCCTCGCTGAAGCATACGCTCTGGCTGACATCGAGATCAGCTATGAGATCGAACGCATCCGTGCTTGGCGTTTCCGCAAAGTATCTGAGTATATGCGTCGTCTGAAGAAGGACTCTCTCTTCTCCGCCAACGCCTGCCGTACCCGTTACGGTCAGCTCACATCAGGTACCGCTCGCATTCCTTGCGATGTAGACGATGACCCAGCAGCTCGCCGTACCGAGCTCGAACTCTTCCGCCAGTTCCGCGAAGCAGCCCGCGACAAAGAAGAGAACGAGAAGGAGACGCGTGAATCCATGGAGAAGCGAATCAAAGACCAAGTCAAGATCAAAAACGCCCAAAAGGCCGAAGAAGTCGCCAGCAAGCGCGCCGCAGACGAAGAAAAGAAGGCCCAGAACCTCATGCAGCGCGCTGCCCAGGCCCAGCTACGTTTCCAGAAGGCAGCCGAGAACCGCAAGGCCAAGTCGGAGCGCAACGCGCAGATCAAACAGGCTGCCTCCACGCCCAAGAAGAATTCCAAGAAACCGAAGCCGGACACCTCTCTCGGATCCTCCAAAGCCCCAACGCCGAAGACGACACCCTCCAAGCCCGGCAAGGAAGACTCCGAGGCCGTCGACCCGCGCTCCTACCTCAACATCTCCGACCTGACTAGCCTCTGCGCCAAGCGCGGCCTGCCCACCTCCAACAAGAGCAAGAAGGACCTCATCGCCTCGCTCGTTGATGCGGATATGGAGTGGAGCCACGACCAGCTGCGCAAGATGTGCAAGGCGAAAGGGCTGAGCGCAGGCGGAAACAAGACTGTTATGCGCTACCAGCTTGCTCTCAAGGCGGCACAGAGCTGCCCTAGCTTCGAGACGGGTATGAAGGCGGTGGAGGAGGCGGAGGATGAGGGTGGCGATGCTATGGTTGTAGACGCCGAGTAGGCGCACAGTCGTATGGTGGTGAGGGCGGGAATCATCTGCAGCCGTTTTGACTGCTTTTGGGATGGGAATGTGTGCTCCGGGGTGCGATGGAGCTGACACGGCGTGCTGCGTTGCGGATCTTCTGGGTGTCTTTGTCCAACATTTCGTTTGGACAGTGTTTTGACAAGGTCTTACGGAAGACACAGGTTTGATTAAAGTTTGCATGTCATTCATTCTTCTCATTGCAGCCTTCAGGGGCTGTTCACCTTGGCTGCACCACATCGTGGGTCCGTTTGAGTACCTACCCGGTAGTTTATTAATTTTTGCCGCCAATACTACACTAGACGGTTTTCTTCCAGTGACGTGAATGCAGTAAACTCGCAACGTTCCACTAGACTGAGTACCTTCAGAATCAAATGTACATCTCTCTCGAGCCTGACAATTAGAGGAGGCCCACACCATTCAATCTTCAAATCGTTCTGATATCAGGTAGTATGGCGGATGTTTCTAGTCACTTCACACTGCAAACTATTCCCTTCATATCCAAGGTCTCTTACACATTAATTTGCTACGAACAAACCCATCCGAACAACCGATAAAGTCTCAGAGTCTCACTACATCCACCCAACTAATTCATCTTCGACGACAATTTGAGTCCATCTGTAGTCGGCACAAGCCTGACCACCATGGTGTCAGCCTTCTTCGATAGCACTCTTGTCTTGTTACCATCTACACCGCACGAGTGCTGCTCGAGAGTATCTTTATCCAAACCATGAAACATTAGTTCGAGCGCTGAAGACTTGAAGTCAAAGGCGCTGTTACCCTCCCGACCACAAGATTTCTGCAAGACTCTTTGTGTTTCGTGGCTATGCCATATTGTTAATGCGAGAAAGCCGGCGAGGAGAAGCACGATCACAGTGGAGTAAATAAGCCATGGCCATGCTACACGAAGGCATGTTGTTTCTTTGAGTACTTTGCCAGGTGCCGGGGCGCTAAGATTCGTGTCGCCATGGATGCGAGAGTAGGTGTTCATGGCGTCTGCGATGTTATCCATAAAAGCCTGCGCGTTTACGAGCGAGGTTGCAGCGCTACGAAATGTGGCGTACGGAATATCATCATCGACTTTTGACTCGTTTTTGGTATATCCGTTGAACATCTCCATCAAAGGCCAAGTATATGCTTGGTACAGATTAGCGGAAGTAAGTAGGTTGTATGCTTTCAGGGTGAGCCAGTAATTCGAAGGGAACGAAGTGTTATGCGGGCGACGCTCATAGCAGAACTCCTCTGTGTCGTTGAGTTGCTGAGCCGTAGTAAGTGAAACCAGGTGATCTGGACACGGGTTTTCTTCAAGTCGAAAATCAGTGTAGTTGAAAGGTGGTTGTCTCCCGGCCATGAAGCTGAGATTGTACGGGACGAAATGAGTGGTATCGTCGAATTTGTAACCGAGAGTCTTCAGCCCGACTCGCTGCTGTCCAAGTAGTGGTAGGGTCTGGAGGTCCACATAACTGAACGTGCCTTTTTGAGACCAGTGTCTAGAAGTGTCCACCAAATTGAATTGAGATTCAATTGTTTCATGGAGTTTCCCTGCATCTACTCTCGCCCTGATGTTTCTGATACATGGATGCAAAGAGCAGTGATACCCTCTGGGTTGATCGGTCCAACTGATCCAACTTAAACCCAAATGGCACGCTTCTGCGGCAAAGACTCCTGTGTGTGTCAGAGAGCGCTGTAATGTTACGTTAGATCCGCCCCACTTCTCGCAGATTGGAAGTGTCACGTTATTGGACGTGGGTAGTTTTGGGTAGTAAAGAGACTGGTTGAAACTCCCAATCAGAGGGATTTCTGATTCAATAAGTTTGTCGGAGATATCTGAACAAGAACTTGTCCATGCCAGCGTTGAGAATTCTTCGAAGGTGCAATTTCCAGTTGAACAGCTGAAGAGATCCTGCTCGAGGGAACCTCCTAACAAAACTTTGTAGATGGAACCTTTGTAGCCATGATCAATACTGGTGGATCGATTGCGGGACTGGCTTCTGCCTGCATCAATGAATCGAGTTCGAGATATGGATGCCTCAAGTCCATCTACATTCTTCACACAAGAGATCTGCCGGACAATCTGTTGCGTGAAGGGATCCAAAGCCAGTAGCATGAGTATGACAGCAGCTCCGAGTGAAGAACGTGGATTCTTCCATCGAAAGTGGAAGAGCAATTGAAGAGCTCCCAAAGGTCCTCTTGAGGCATCATCGTGTACGACTATATCAGACAATGACTTAAAGTCTTTAACGGCCCATGTCCACTTCAAGTGGCTCAATGCTTCCGCTGCCACCAGACCACCGGCAGATTTAATGATGACGGCGTAAATTGAGATGACAGTGTTGAATGTCATGCCACTTGGGAAGTCCGGGATAGCATGGCCATCGTAAGCCTTGAGTGTGCTGACTAAAGCGACGAAGGCGAGCAGTACTATGGAGCAACAGGTCGACTCCCACCACCAAATCCCGATGCGAGTGTATGAAGTGCGCGGCGATATTGACAAAGAAGACTTTGAGTCCAGGTAGGCTATCGATGCGCTTATCGCATCCTCTAAACGCAAGGACTGGCGCTTCTTGACTGGCGTGATTGATGGAGAAACCGTAATGTTAGATGTCGTAGTGTTTTTTTACCGTATGTAGCAACGGCGTTGTGCTGCACTCGGTTTCGTTGTCTTTGTGTATCAAGTTCGCAGACGCATTACTCAGATCCCGCGGCCTCTGAACGCTGGTGCTGGTCTGCGTCGAGTCTGTAGGCTGGACAGCCTGTTCGAGAACGCTGATGATGTCGCTGTCTGTGCCACCTGACGTTGGTCCTGCCTGGGAGAGCAAATGCTCAGACTCCTGCATCGTAACGAACTAGGAATGATCGTTGGAACGCATGGAACTGGGATCTCTCGTAAGTGACGGATGACGAGGTGCCTTGTCTTTCGCCATGCAGGATGCCTGAGCTGGGTAAGCTGCAGAGCACCTGCGGGGTCCGTCAGATAGCCAAACATATCGCAAGGCTGAGACGATAGACATCTTGCTGTTGTTACACGGTCGAGAAATCAAGCATAAAACATGTAAAGCACTCGCATGCATTAGTAGCAAAAAAGAACAGTGCCATGAATTCTTAATCGCTGCGACAGTGACGACGAAACAAGGCATGCAGTGACAGAAGGAGGCAACAACCGCAAAGGAAACCGCCACATCAGAGCAACAGCAGAAGCCGCAACCGACGTCTAGCTCACATATCCGTTCAAATTACACCGTACCTCTAGCAAGCTGGGGATGGTTATACATCACCGAAAAGCTGACATGAGGACATATCACGATTCCTGGGAGTCGCTGGTAGGCAATCGCGGCGGAACTGAAGTTTCCAAAGCTGGCACCTGTGAGAATTGAGGCATTCCTCCAAAAAGATGTCCATTGGGTTCAAGTCTTCTCGCTCTATCTTCGGCTCCTGCTCCTGCTCCTGCTTCTGCTCTTGGATCGTGGACTGTCGTAGGAATCGTAGCTCGGGCTTCGCCTCCCACCGCCGCCTCGTCCGCCTCTTCTTGGTGACGAGTCTCTTCGCCCATAGCCTCCTCCACCTCGCCCACTTCCGCCTCCTCTGCGGCGTGGCGGTGTCCTTGACGGTGACCGGCTGTATGAGGATCGCGATATGCTCCTTCGCGGTGACCGGCTCCTGGACCTGGAGTACGAGCGTGGCCTGTGACCGAAATCTCCGCCTCCACGCCCTCCTCTGCCCCGTCCTCTGCCCCGTCCTCGCCAGCCTCCGCGTGGTGAAGGTGATCGTCCACGCCCCCGTCCACCGCCATAGCCACCCATTGGTGGTGGCCTGTAGGCGCCAGGTGGCCCTCCAGCTCCGAAACCATTGTGGTCGTCGTGGAATCGCGGTGGTGGTCCTCCTCGCCTTGGAGGTGGTGTTTGGGAGAAACGGCGACGGGGAAGGACGATTGAAACTTGAATTTTGGCTCCATCCAATTGAGCCTCGTGCATTTTCGCGATTGCGCGCTCCGCATCTTCGATCTCCTCATACATGATGTATGCAGTCCCGCGGTTCACATTGACTATCAGGTCAGCACAGCCTTAGGTAGAGATGTCAGCGAACGTACAAACTGGATTCATCGGCATCCTCAATTCCTTGATGGTACCGTACTTCCCAAAGATTTCGCGAACATGGTCTTCTTTGACATTCCTTGTCAAGGCTTCCACTACGATCTGTAACCATCATCAGTGGCTGCGCAACGAGGCTGGAGGCTTGCTAGGTAAGCTTGTCTTACCTTTGCGCTCCTCGGCGCAGGCGAGCCATCTCGAGGGCTGGGACTTCGCGTGAAGCTCCTTCCTCTGCCGTTTGGTGATTTTGTGCGCGACCGTGACCGCGATCTTGCCCTGTCGTCTGGTGTGAGGCTTCTGCGCCCGTTGCGCCGAGGCGTGGGGGACCGTGTGCGTGACCGAGAACGGGACACAGAGCGTGGCGACCTCGACCCACGAGGCGACAGCGATCGTGCCGAAATAGAGCGCCGAGGAGATCTTGTGCGCGAACGGTCGCGAGGACTTGGAGAACGCGTTCGTGATCGCGATCGATCCATTGGAGACGGCGAGCGCGACGGCATTGTGAGAGGACTCGGCGTTCGATTGCGTTGGTGATATGATTGCAATACCAATATATGGAAATTCAATTCGCAAGTCGCTACGAGTAGGGATCTCTTGAAAGTTGGTGAGCCTTCTTTGGAGCTCGAACCTTGCAACATGAACGCTGGTTGGACATCATTAGCGTGGGCACGGGCCATCATGCATACCCACGCTACGAAGTCCCACTTTCACCTCGACCTTTGATCTCAAAGACTCACTCCATAACATGCAACATCACCTATCTACCGCACTTGGGCACGACCGAGCTGTCTCCGATTTAACTCTAATGTAAGAAACACAAGACCAATAATGTCAACCGGCAGCTCTCTTGTTAGCGCAGTTGCGTTGAAGTGGAGGTATTCAGTTATGATTTGAAAGCCTATCAGCTATGTTAAAGAACAACTCAATCCTCCAAAACTACCAAGAGGCAACTCAGACGTTCCTGGGTGCAGTATTGGCTTAACCCTCTAATTGCGACCAATCCACCACTGTATCCGGAATCTGGAACTGCGGCTCCCAAGGCCAGCTCATCTGAGTCGTGTTCACATTTCCTCTATCAGCCGCCTCGCGTTCCATGACATCCCCGTCCCAGTTGTTCTCAATGCCTCTTGTCCCCTCCAGGTTCTTCTTGTAGTTCACAAAATCATGAAAAATTGACACACGTCCAATTTCCGTCCTACGCCTCTTAGCTGTCTTCTCTGGCTTGTTTGATCGAGCGAGGGCTTGTTGCTGATTGCCACGGGGTTGCTTTTGATCCACGAGCTCTACTAGGCCGTGATCGTTCTTACCTTGCCAAAGTTCGTATGCGCAGCCTCCAGAGAAAACCTGACTCATCTGCGGTGAGTACAAGGCAGTCGTTTCTTGGAATAGTCGTGGTTGTATTGAGTTTGTTCCGTACTCGGACATGAAGATGGGTATGGCTGCATTTCGAAAGCGACTGATCAACGCTTCGTAGCCGGACATCTGCAGGTTCGAATTTCCTGCCCACGCATAACAGTTGCACTGTTCACTAAGATCAGCAACAATGATACAACGCAAGAACAAGACTTACGGTCCAAAAGTCAATCGTGCTTGCGGGGTCTCCAAGAGATAGGAAGTCCAGATTCGTCGTACGTAGTTGCTCGGGCGAACCAGCTGCGTAGCCGATAGGAAGTATTCGCTGACCGCGAGCTACGTTCTGCAGTTCCATGTACTTCTTGAGATCTCTCACCACAGCTTTGATAATAGGGCTAGCATGCTCTGAGATTGGGCTGTTCATCACAGCTACGCCTGCGAGAAGACCTAACGTATTCGGATATTGTGCCATGGTGTCCACAGTCTGGAAGAACTCTATCACCGCTGTGCGATTATAAGAGCCGTACGGATCAGAGCGGTTGATGACGTTGATTTGAGTGGAGACAGCGGTGAAGACGTAGATACCAGCATCCTGAAGCAGTTTCATGGCAGATTTATGTCTCTTAGAGTTATCAATCGTGTCTTATTTTATTAGCTTTGCTGGTCGGCATCGAAGTTGTGGCTACAGACAAACAAACAACGTGTTAAGTCCTAACTCTTTGAACAAAGTGAGGTCATGCTTCAGTCGTGGTAGACATGCATCCGAGATTGGGTCTTGCACATTACGGTCCTGGTACACAACTCCTCGAACGAAGAACTATGCTGTGATCAGCGTCTGTACGGCTTTTGAAGAAACCATTGCTTGCCCTTTCGTCCCCTCGCCAGAGATAGCGTCCGCGGACAGTGATAGGGACTGACATGCTGATGTTGGTTCAAGAAGTAAGTCATGAATCTCAGGGCTCCATGTGTTGAACAGCTAGGAAGTCGCGACAGCGAGTGGTTGCCTAAAGAGCAGAGCTTAGTGTGACGCAGCTTGGGCGTTGCAGTAGCAACATTCTCGTGTCAAGAGCCATGTTGAGTTGTTCAGTCCATGCCAGAGCCGAGCTATCCATGTCTCTTCTGCTCGCTCGATAAATGTGTCCTGATAACGATCGAATTTATTCACGACTATTCCCGATCACAGGCGCGAGGCGCGCCTCTTCCTGAGGAGGCTTCACCCTGTGATCGTTATTCTTCGAAAGCATCCAAGGACGTCGATGAGTTCATCAAATAAGCCCCAGCATGCATCCGGGATACCGCCGTAGATATCGAGTGCCGTTCCATTTGACCGATCTTGTGCATCGATACCTCGAGCCAGGATGGCAGGGCGGCAGATGCGCGTAGCACGCGCCGAAGCTCGTGCGTGCTCGTTCTCAACATGGCAACTGCAAGGCTGAGGCAGCGTGTAAGACCTAAGGCTGAGGCAGAGTGTAAGATATCCAATACAATAGGCAGCTGCACGACGGCGCCATCACTGTAGGTAGTCGATTTATCTTGTGTTGCCATGTTCGCGTGTCCGCTGTGTTCGTCGCCCGTTGCAACAGTGACCCCGCTGCTGTCACAGTTTCTCAACTGCCCCACCAAGCACACCAAACGGGTCCGTCCGCGCGACAACACCCAACACTCGCCCTTCCACACCGCATACATTCACTGCGGCTTAGTCAGACCCTTGTTGATCTACCTCGCCTTAAACTTGCGATTTTCTCCTGCGACTGCATCGACTGTTTCAACCGTACTTCCACGCACCCCACACACCACCAAGCTCCCGTAGCCCGCATAACCCCCCTCAGTAAACATGTCCTGGCAAGGTGAGCACCGGTGACGCACTTGAGACCCGTCCGCGAAGCTGACCACAACAATAGCATACGTCGACCAGAGGTGATTAGCTATCTGCATCTAAAACCGACCATCTCTAATCGCCCCCGCAGCCTCGTTGGCACTGGCAACATTGACAAGGCCGTCATCTGCGATGCCACCGGCCAAACCACCTGGGCCTCATCCCCCGGCTTCTCCGTACGTCGCACGCCACGCCGCGCGCCCACCCTCACAGGCCAAAGGCGCCCCTGCACTCAGACACCGACTAACCGCCGCAGCTCACCGCCGCCGAAATGGGCGCCATCGCCACCTCGTTCAGCGACAAGAGCGAGCCCAAAGCCGTAATCGCCAACGGCATCAAGATCAACGGCGAGAAGTACATGACCATCGAGGCCTCGGACGACTCGCTCAAGGCCAAGAAGGCGCGCCTCCCCCCATCCACACCCGACCGCACACACTAACATCTCTCGCAGGGCAAGGAGGGCATCGTCGCCTACAAGACAACCCAGGCGCTCCTCATCGCACACCACTCGGCCGAGGTGCAGACCACCAACGCCTTCAACAGCGTCGCCGAGCTGGGCGAGTACCTGAAAAAGGTCGGCTACTAAGCGCGGCGCGGTGCGCGGTGTGAGGCTTGTTTATACGATGGATATTTGCATACAGCGCGGCGGACGTGAAGCGGCGCCGCCCGCGGCTTGGCGACGCTTGAGATGGGAGGGGTGAGGAAGGAATAGATCATGGCAATGAGACACATTACGCCTACAATGAACGCTGTAGCGTGACCATCATGGTGGACACTGAAGAACGTGTTCTGGGAGAGACCTATGCGAACCCAGAGGCCGGTGATGACCCACTTACTTCGAGGCAGTGTGAACGACATTCGACGATTGAGCGAGCAGTGTCTAACGGAGAGTTCACTTGTTATTGATGGTACCTAGGTCGCTCACAAACGCCGGGCTAAATATGCTCAACCCAACACCACATCTTGCAAGGTGCCTTTTGATTCCCCCTTCCCTCCCTGCTTCCCCTCCATATTGACTCCTCCGTTAACTCACAACTTACAATTCCTTCTTCATCTCAGGCTTCGCCTCAATCACCGCTCTGTCGATCAAGTTCTTGCCCACGCTAGCAGACTCCTTCCACCCGCGCTGGCGACTCCAGAAGCGCGTCTCAGGCGTCGTCTCGCTCAGACTCGACTGCCTAGCATCCTCCTCGAGACTCTTCCTTGTGATTTCCTCACCGCCATCAGTCAGCGAGGGGAATTTCTGCAGCTGACTCAGGTTCTCGTCGAAGAACTGCTTGCGGAGCAGGAAGCGCTCGCGACGCTCCTTCTGCTGACCTGGAGAATCGATCTTGGACACGCCAATGCGGACGGCTGTGCGAACGAGGATGAAGATGTGTTCGGCGAAGAAGACGGTGAGAAGGAGGGCCCAGAGCTGGATGTTGGAGGGCTTGCCGTCGGGGCCTTTGCCGTCGCCGTAGAACATGTAGACGAGTGCGGAGGTGGTGAGGCTGCCCATCCAGGTTAGGAAGCTGAGAGAATCGAGCCAAGGACCAATGGTGTCCGCACGCCAGGGAATAGGACGTTGCATCTCGACGCAGATCTTCATGGCATCGGCACGAAGCTCGATCCAGTTGTTGATAAGGAAGGACACAGCGGTCAAAGGCCAGACGACAGAGAAGAGAGACAGGTATCCGAACTGGACAACCATCTCGCGGAGATCTGCGGTAACATCGTAGACCTCAAGCTCGGCTTCCTTGCGGACACGATCCAAGAAAGCGGCATCCTCGGGTGGGTCGTTTGCAGCGGGCGAAGGAGCAGCACCACCGTTCTTTGCGGCACGCTCAGTCTGAATTTCCTTGAATTTGGCCATTCCACGACGCTTCAAATACGGGACGATGAGCTCCATGCCGAGATTGACAACTTGCGCGGTGACCGTGAAGTAGATGACTTGCTTGCGGAGACGGTCAGGGTTGATTGACCAGCTCGAGGTGCCGGTAGTTGAGTGAAGATGCAGCTGCTTCTCGTCCTCGGCGAACGGACGGACAGCCACATTAAAGACGTCAAGGTGAGGTACAATAACGGTACCGAACGGAACGTAGACAAATGCGGTCAAAAAGATACCGAGGTAAGACATGATGAAGTTCAACACGAAGATCTTCTGGGTCAGAGCATATTCGAAGGCGCTTGCGGTTTCGTAGTTCTCGAATTCTGTGAGCCGTGTAGCGAACCGAGTCAAGATGGTGTTGAGAATAGGGTTGACCGTGGTGAGGATACCAGTAGGGATAAAGACCAGGACGCTCTTGAGTGGCCCATTGTAGACTTCCGAGATGAAGACCTCGATACCAAAGCAGGTTGCAATGACAGTTCCAAGCATGAACGTAGCCGCAATGGCGAAGGGAATCTGCAGCAACTGCCTTCTAAATCGCTTCTGTGCGGGAAAGAAGCCGACCTGCTCGCCGGTGATGGGGTCCGTGATGGTGTGCTCGTGCTGGAAGTCTCTCCTCTTGACGTCAATTGTGGAAACGTTCTTGACGCCCCAGCGGACACTGAGGTCGCCCTCCTGGTGCTTCCAGTATTCAGTGAAGACGATACACCAAAGTGCGCTGAATAAGGCGTAGATGGGCGAGAAATGACCGAAGAAGAGCCATGAGAAAGTGCCGAAACCTGCTGCAGGAATCAGGAAGGTGAAATAGGACTGTGTAAAGGCAAAGTAAAATGCGATCTGCAACGGTCAGCTTGCTAGCGAAAAGGCTGGCTTAGGGATCGTACCTTTTCGCCTAGACGGTTCCTGATATCGTCAAGATCATCTATGCTCAGAAAGTAGGACGATGTCCACTTCTTGATCCAGTCCTTGTTATATGCATGATCGTGAAGAGCGAAAATGGACTTGACGTCCTCCCATTCTCCTTCCTTAGGTGTGATGCCAGCTCCGCCTTCGTCTGTAGGGTTGGTAATGAGCTGGTAAATGATTCGCAGGCGTTCAGCTTCGTAGAGGGGTTCGGCTTCGAGCGCGGCACGCGTCTCTTTGTCGGGGGCAGCAGAGCGGACGCCATGCATCCAGTCTCGAACCCTGAAAGGAGGTCAGTACCGTGCTATACATGGGAAACTGGGCGGATGCCTACCTTGATCTGTATACTTCACCGAACAAGTGCTCATCCGAAGCTACCCTTACAAAGAGCAGCACCGAGTTGTTGTCTCCATTGCGAGCCTCGGTCTGCAGACCTACATTTGCAAGGGCATGGCAAAGCTTCTCGAATTGTGCAGCAGCCTTAGCCTTGTCTGTATCGTGGTCAGCTGCGAGTTGCCCCGCTGGTGTGTTCACATGCTGCGTACCCGTCTTCGCAAAGCTATAGCTAATCACGTAGTCGACGTCCAGGTTCGACTGGAGCGCCTGTGATTTCGTCATGGCGGAAGTTTGACTCGAGTCGAGCAGGACGTATTTGAGGTCGTAGATCTTCCAGGTCAGGTCCGTAAAATAGGGAATCTTTTGAGGTGTGAGCCCCTCAGTGGAAGGCATTCCAAGTTCCAAGAGTCGGTGTTCCACGCTCAAAAGGAGACACGACGAACGTCATTGAGGCGCCGATCCAACATCCTTGCAACACATCCCGCTTCTGACATTTCGACATCGCGACCGCACTGCATAAACAGGAAACAGTGTTCACACAAGCAGAAGAGCTTTTGGGTGACAGAACTTGAGACGTGTGCGATTGTCGTCATTGCTTGGCTCGCAAGCACTCGCAGCAACGGGCAGACTTCGCAACTACACTGAATTCAACCACAATGACTAACCTGCGCAAATCTTGTGTAGAGTCCTGCATGTGTCGGTAAATTCGCTTGACGCCTACACTCTAAACTTGCCCGCCAGAGGCTGCTACATCACCAGGAGATCGGAGGTTGGCGCGAGTCATGTTCGTTCTCCGAAGCGTGATGCATTGACCGTGCACGCGTCCTCGCGACATCCGGAGCTCGAATTCCTAACAGTGACGAAATGCGCTCCGATCCAAATGTCACTACTTAAGCATGCAAAGCAATACATAGCCAATCAGTCGAAGTACGCACATCTCAATGCCTTCATATCACTAGTCGACTCGACCAAACTGCTCCCTCGAGCCGAGACGCCCTCGAGCGATGACCCGCACAATGTCAGAGACAAACCAATAGCCTTGAAGGACAACATCTGTACGAAAGACTTTAAGACCACAGCGTCTTCTGGCATCCTTAGGGACTTTGTGAGTCCGTACGATGCGACGGTCGTAACGCTTCTGCAGGGTGCGGGCGCGGTGGTCGCAGGAAAGACGAACATGGATGAGTTTGGCATGGGCTCGCACTCCACACACTCACCTACTGGGCCCGTGAAGATGCAGAGACATAGCAACGAGGAGGTTAAGAGTGCTGGAGGTAGTTCGGGAGGAAGTGCGCTCGCTGTTGCTAGTGCGCAGTGCTGGGCAGCTCTAGGCACAGATACTGGCGGCTCTGTCAGGTTGCCGGCTGCGTATACAGGTGTTGTGGGCTTCAAGCCCAGCTATGGACTGGTCTCGAGATGGGGTGTCATCGCATACGCAAACTCCCTTGACACTGTCGGTATCTTGGGCAAGAGTGTTGGCGATGTTGAAGCCGTCTTCGGTAAGTCGTCCAGAGTCCCCGAACCTGGGAGCTTTGCCTAAGATCGACCCAGACAAACTGAACGCCTACGACTCCCGAGATCCCACGTCACTCCCCACTTCGACTCGAGCCCAGCTTGGGAACAACAATACGAAATCGCCGTCGTTACGAATCGGTATCCCCCTAGATTACAACATCGCTACACTACAGCCAGCTGTTCGTCAGGCATGGACATGCACGCTAAAGTCCTTGTGGGAACAAGGTCATAGCCTACATCCTGTGCGTCTGCCATCAACACAGCACGCGTTGTCGGCATATTACATTCTTGCGCCAGCAGAAGCTTCAAGCAACCTGGCCAAGTACGACGGTGTTCGTTATGGGAGCAGAGCAGATGGCATTGACGGGACACCCGAGAGTGTACTTTTCGCTAAGACAAGAGGGCAAGGGTTCGGCTCTGAAGTACAACGACGTGTTCTACTGGGAGCTTTCACGCTCAGTGCAGAAGCCATGGACAACTACTTCATCCAAGCACAGAAAATACGTAGACTGGTTCAAGAAGAATTCAACGGGGTCTTCTCAAGGCCGAATCCCCTCAACAGCGAGACTTGTCAGTCAGCCGAGGATATCGAGAAGGTGGACGTCATAATATCCCCTACGGCCCCAACGCTTGCACCATCGTTAGCAAGCGTCAAGAACCAAGACCCCATCTCGGCGTATATGAACGACATCTTCACAGTACCAGCCAGTCTTGCTGGTCTACCAGCTATCAGCGTTCCTGTCCGAACAACGCCTGAGACACAAAATGCTCAACAGCAGGACCATGCTACGCACGAGAGTGCTGGGATCCAGGTGATCGGCCAATACGGCGATGACAAACTAGTTCTTCGTGTTGCAGATGCCGTTGCAAAAGCCGCGCCGACGAAACAGGCACACGCTGGACCGACCGTAACCTCTTGGGGTGCCAGCACACTCCAGGATAGCTGAGCGAGGAGATGTACAGTACGAAAGTGTATACCTAAATTACTTCACGACGAAGTTGTACAACATACACACGATCAGCCAGTTTCACAAGCCAAACACGATGCTCGTGTTCCTCTTTCCAACGCGGAACCTATCTCTTATCTAACTCTATTCACTCCGTGCGCATCGTCATAGGGCTTCAGGTTAATGTCTCGGCTTTACCGCCCTCGGCGACTACAGAGATCAATGTGTTTCTCTAATAGGAAAGTCTGGGCACCTGGCGATCTCCGACGTTGTCTGTGTCAAGAGTTCGGTTCGATTACATTTTGCTATTAGGTGTGCTGCGGCTGTCGCGGCATTGAATGATCATAGAGAGGGTCACTGACTAGGGTAACAGGAATGGTATCAAAAGTACGTACCATACCAACTACAGTCTGGATCTTACACCACGTGCGATGAGATACCGGTAGTAACCTTGAGCCTCCCACCCACACCCACGTGTCCCAACTAGTACGTCTTGAAACGGACTGGGTTTCCATATGATTGGCTTATATGGTCCTCAACCATATTGGTCAATTCTATCTCTGCTTCAAATCTAAGCAGATATTGAAGATACTATGAGCACCATGTGACTTATTGACAGCAACCGATGGATATGTGACTGGTGAAAGCAGCGCGGCTTTAGCCGCCCCGGGGTCTCGAAGTATCATGCATGCCCAGCTCAGCATGAGCGGGGTTACATATGCAGTACTACACTCGCCTAAAGTTGACCAGTAGGCAAGTAAGAGCAGACTACTTGATAACAACCTCAGGTAGGCGGACGCTTCATCCCACGTCTCCAATATCTCGTACTATACCAAACCAGGTATCCCACCTGCACGGTAGCTAACGGCTCAGTCCAGTACGTGTGAGCGATCTGCAAGCCATCATGCAGGTGCGTCTCTGATGGTGTGAAAGACATCCAACATACTCCTATCGGAAGATCTTGGCCGAGAGACATCTGCCATCATAGGTGCGACTAAGGCTTGTCCTACGCATGGTTGCCTGATATGCGGACCTGACAAACTAGGAAGGATCGTATCTCTCGTGTATGGACTATCTTGTCCTCAATCCCGGTGTCTTCACCTGTCAGACGTATCGGCAGTCACAGAGTCTCTGGTCCAGCCCGCGCCCGCCACTCAGTGCCCAACAGCTTGTGCGTGGTCCTGCATATCCATACCGTCGTGTGGGGTCCCAGACGCCTCACTCTGCCCTGCGGCCTTTGTGCGGATCGAATCGCATCTCATCGTGGGTTGTGAAGCGTGTAGTCGGCCGTGCTAGCCAGCGGCTAGTCGCCATCGACATGTCACCGGTTCGTCGGCGCCCAATCGGCCGCACAAGTCGCGCATGGTCAGGTGTCGCCAACTTGATACGCGCGGGTGCGGAGAGGCGTCCAGATACCATCCCACAGGCGGCAGATGCTGTATATAAAGGCCTGCTCGTGGGCACCTTGATGGGCACAACTCACCGACTCGACTCCTCACCAGCCAACTACAACGAATCACTTTCCAGCTTCACGCTACCAACCAATTATACCAACATGTCTCCATGGTATGTTTCACTATCCCGCTGTTCACCAATCTCGCGGCCTGAAGTCTCCAGGTTGGCGTTGGGATGGGCACTGCTGGAGCGGGGCACACCTTGATGTCCAGTGTGCATGAAAGAACGACGTCAGCTGACCATGCCCGAACAGCAACTGCAACACCTGCTCGTGCAAGGGCGACTGCACTAGCTGCGGATGCGGATCCTGCTCTGTGAGTGCCCGTCCCGTCTTCCTTCACCCTTGACGCCCACCATCGTCCCCATCGTCCGCTTCCTCACCACCTCGGTACTGATAAATGCAGCACTAAGCATCTTGTGCTCTGAACCCTGATTTCGATCCCAACCCCGTGTCCCGATACAACCTGGGACGTCGAGCACAATGCATGCGCCTTCTGTGGCGTTTTGGGAACAGACAGGGGGAAGATAGCATGTAGCATGAATCACGATAAACGAACAAGACCTTTTTCTGTACATACAAGTGACGTTCCTTTCTGTAGCAGTACCTATAACCGCATTCAACGCAACACCAACGGGTATACTCATGAAACCAGTTCCAGCCAAAAGACCAACCCATTACAATATTGACTAAACATAACATACCCGCAGGTCCCTAGATATCCAAATGTTGTCTAATATCATCGCCGAGCCGCCACTCCTCCTCCCTCGCCGCCCTCTGCAGCGGCGTCACAATGTCGTCTTCGTCGCGGTCGCGGCCCCCGTCCGTTCCCCCGCTGCCCACAGTCTCCCTGCCCAAACTGCCCGAGCTGCTCTTAGTCCGCTTCTTCTTCTTGAACCAGCCGCGCTTACTCTGAGTGCTTGCTGCGTCATCATCGCCGCCCTCCGACGCAACAGAGGCCGCGTACTCGCTGGGCACGAGCGTGGGATCGCGGCTGGAGGAGGTGGAGGTGTTGGAGGAGAGGCGGGTGAGGTGGTTTGGGTCTGGGGAGAGGGGTTGGAGGGGATCGGCGCGGGGGGTGGGTACGGGTGTGATTTCGGTGCTGGGCGTACACTCGACGAGTTCGGCGGAGCGGTACCATTTGCGGCGGCGCGTGTAGCGGCCCCAGCCGTCTTGGCCTCTGCGGCCGTCCCGCCACTGCGGTTGTCAGGATATTGCTTCTCACAGGGAGGTACTGGAAGGTGCTTACCTTGTTGTCATAGTAGATCCAGCCCATTTCCTCCTTGTTGGCTGCCTTTGAAGTTTTACTGTCATGCTCGCCGACTTCGATCTTCCACTCGCTGCCTTGTACCCAGCGCCATCGTGATGCACCGCCGTCGACATCAGGGAGCTCGAAGTGTTCCTTGTCAGGGACTGCATTCATGTGCTCGTCTGTCCAGGACGCCCGCTCGTAGGCCAGCATCGAGGATGTCCAACCAATGCCGAGCCATCGCCGCTGATTCTCGTAGATTGAGAATGTAAAGCGTACCCCTGTTGATTCAGGTCGTCGTTTCGCCACTAGTGAGGCTGCGACTTCTTGCGTACTCTTCTTTCGAGGAGGAAGAGGGGGTGCCTGGGCGCCTTTGACGGGTGCATCGCCGAAGTTCAGACCAGTCACGAAAACACAAATCCGGCGGACTGTGCGTGAGCGCCACAGAAGAGTGCGGGTCACGCGCGCTGGGCGGGAGTGCCAGCTGAGGACTACCGTGCCAACTGCTAGTACGACTCGTTTCGTTGTGAGGATATAAAGGGGAGGCAGACTCAAGGCAATCCAGAGCGGTAGAACAAAGAGTATACGGATGAACAGAACGGTAAGCGCGGGCCGTGTTGTGGCGGATGTTGCAGTGCGCTGGGTAGAAAGAAAGTCCGTCAACCGTAGAAATGGGTCCAGTAGGATGTTGCAGCGCGAGGTGAACAGCTTTAAGTCGTCCACAATATCTTCCAAGCTCTTATGATGTTTGATGTTGACGTCCGACTCTGCGCGCTTGTGACCCTTCTGGCTCTGACCTTTCTCCCCCGTCCATCCTGTTGATGACAGTGGCGAGTATCTGCGCGCGTACATGCCCAAGATCAAACTGGTCACTACAATAATAGGTCCAGCATATCTTGTCACGGCATCTCCGTACATTACTACTGCCCAGAAGCTGGCGACCAGTATGAAGCTCTCCCACGGGTCGGCAGTCGTCCATGTTATCAGCCCAGCCAGTTTGTTCAGAGGCAGAAGGAACGGATGCGAATATGCAAGGACTCGAGTGACCTGCGGCGGCGTCGCAGCAAGCAGTGGGGATTTTTGATGTACGAGTATAGCGGATCGGAGCTTTGTTTGCGGCGTCGCCTGCCCTATGTTAGAGGGCGAGAAGGCGGCATAAGTTGGCGGGTTGGGGTCGCCGGAGGGTTGCGGCGACGCATCGTTGGTGCTCTTTGAAGGGCTGGACATATGCTCTAGCCAGGGTGTGTCTTTCAATATATTAGCATACTGTGTGGTACGTGTGTTGGAGTGTGTCGGTGCAGGTATACCTAGTGCTGCCATGCAGTGCTTAGCTCCTCCAGAACTGCGTCATAAGGCAGCTACGGTTGGGGCTACAAAGTACGTGCCTCGTCTTTATACACGTCGCAAACCTGTCTGGATGGGTTGAGTGTAGATTATGGAGGTTTTGCATGCAGTGTCAGTGTGCGCAGCTCGCGTGAGGCTTTCAACATATGATGCGGTCACTGGATGTATGGAGGCTACCTAGGTAGGGCCGACGGACATGTGAAAGCCTCGCTCGGTACTTGCGGCATCCACAGTAATGTGAACATTGCGCAACTTGGGTAAATGAGAAGAAGTCACATTGATGTCAGATGGCAGCCGGAATAGGATACGCTACGTAGCATCCTCTGGATGCATACTCGCAACCGTCGAGTTGCATCGATTTGAGGACGGTGCTTTGCGATCGGAGTTTGATTGGCTGTTGAGCCACAGGTCACGTGTACGAGCGGAAGACCGCCGAAGGCTCGGAAGAAGGCGATCTGAAATTCTTGGGACCATCCATCCAGTGTTCAGCTTGTCCATCACGGCCGGCCCGCTGTACTGCCCGCTCAGCTCATTCCTATTCGAATCTGCTGTCCCTCTGACCTCTTTTGCCTCAGCGGTTTCCTCACAATGGTCAGTCATCCCATCGCAGCTGCCACAATATCCTGCTAACACCATCAGGCCCACCGCATAATAACACAGGTCGTCTTTTCCGGCGCTCGTATCATCGGGCGCGCGGTCTCCGAGTCATACCGTCAAGCTGCTGCCTCGCAGAAGTATGCCGCCGCAAATAACGGAAGTGGTGGCGGCAGCGCATTTGCCTCGTCGAACATCACCATGGACGAAGCATGCAAGATCTTGAACGTTGGTCCTGGAAAAGGAGGCATAATAGAAGCAGAGGCAGTCACCGAGCGGTTCAAGCGACTGTTCGATCTAAATGATCCACAGAAGGGTGGCAGTTTCTACCTGCAGAGCAAGATCTTAAGAGCGAGAGAACGGATCGAACGAGAGTTGCAGGGGCAGCAGCGTATGGCAGAGAGAGAAGCAGAGTTAAGAGACGGATTCAAGCCGAAATTCACCAAGGAGGAGAAATGAGCGGACACGAAACTTGTATAAGACGAAGCAAACACCAAGCATGCATGAGGGAGCGGGAACACGTTGGACTCGGATATGAGAGCAAGCAAGAGCCGGAGAGTGCATCGAGATGGCGTTGGTTTATGGGCATACCTAGCGATCGGAGCTTTCTTCTCGGGGCATATCTCGTTGTATAAGTGGCACCATTGTTGCCTCTTCCGAGAAGCACATGTGTTGCTGTGCGCCTCTCTACTCCACCAGGCGGGTACATGCCCTTTTAACCTGTCTAAAATATTGTAACATTAGATGCTATGAGCATTGTACACTTCCTCGCAATGTATGTCGTAATACTCTTGTGTATTCGACTGACTTTTGACTTAAACCACCCGAATGAGCATCGGATATTTCATACAAGATTGTTTATGTCGAACACATTCGGGAGACTTATCTTGTTGCGCGTGCTAGGAAGTGCAGGGCTGCAAGCAGCGCGGGCGCGACTTCCCCGTCTCTTAGCGGGCCCCACCTCGTCCAAACATTTTCCAAGCTGCGGCTCTTCCTCCACCTCACCAACTATCACGAAAACCTCGACAAACGCCAACAGTAGCGATTTAACGCGTCGCGGTGCAAACGCATCCAGTAAATCACGATGGGTGACTCGTATCGCCCAGGCGGCGGCGGTGGTGGACGATCGCTTGCAGACCGCATGACGTTCACAGGTGGAGGAGGCGATAACCACCGTTCTGGTGACCCTCAGCAAGGTCGCAACCACTCTGAGTTCACGTTCTCGTCGAACCACGATGGACCGCGGTTCCCTCCTGCTGGGCCAGCAAACGCGGGGCCACCTGCAAGGAGGCGCAACCAGCGCGGTGGCGGTCAACACGGCCTACGCGACTCGAGACGAGGAGATTCTAATGGCTTTCGCGGCAGAGGCGGTGGCCGAGGAGGCTACCGTAAGCCTGGAGCCCACGAACGCGCTCTCCTTAGAGTTCAAGATCACGGTAGCCCTGAGCGAACGCTGGGCGTTGCTGATGGGTCCAACAAGTTTATGAACGTCGAGGATATGTCTGAACCTGAAGAAGAGGGCGCGGAGGATGGATCTCCTGAAGACACTTCCGAGAATGGCGCTCACAAGATTGCTCGTACGTCGAATGGACGCGCTGATGGCGATTCTGTCCCGAAGTGGAGTAACCCTGAGATTTATTCTGCCCTGCCTCCTCCTGAAGAGCTGAGACCTGGGAAAAAGATCGATTTTGTTCAGCTGATTCGAAAGGCAAAGAACGAAGCAGCCGAGATGGGCGAGAACCACAACGCTGTAGCTGCTAATGACGATTTCATCTCATTTGGAGATGATGACGGCTCTGCCAAAGGCCACGACTTAGAAACCCTTGACGACAACGAACCCAAGAGGAACAAGCGACCACAGAACGAGAGCTACACGGAAGGGACATTGAACGATCTCGATTACGTAGATGATACTGTCATCGAAAACCAGCGCGCATATCAAGTTGCTGACGTACGCGAACAGCCGCAACACAGCAGAGCAAAACGTAAGAGAGCAGAGATCGAGACTGTGCGCAGCATTGTTCACGAGTGGGTGGGCACTGCGCGTTGTGATACAGCGCCGTGGCTCGATCCACGACACAGCTATGCGCATCTTGTCAACGACCCGCTTAAATGGTAGGATTCCGCACTTCTGCCGACCTGTGCTCTATACTGACACTCGAAGGCTACACAACGAAATTCTCGACTTCTACGACTTCGTAGCGCCTCAGCCATATGAGCACGATGTCCGTCATCGACTTGTCCAGCGAGTACAACAGGCTTTGGGCACTCAGAGATTCCCTCAAGATACTGGGCGCATTCTCTGCTTCGGCTCCTTTCCTGCCGGGCTGTACCTGCCTACTGCAGATATGGACCTGGTATACACCTCCGACAGGTTCTACCAGGGTGGTCCAGCAGCTATGGACTTCAGCAACAAAGGCGTTGTCAACTCTACGTTGAGGAAGGCTGCCAGAAGGCTTGAAACTGTACGCATCGCCACGAACGTGCTGTGCATCACCAAGGCCAAGGTGCCAATTATTAAGTTCGTGGATCGAGTGACTAACATCCACGTGGATATTTCCTTCGAGAACCTCAGCGGAGTCCAAGCTCAAGCAACGTTTCAGCAATGGAAGCACGATTACCCCGATATGATATACATGGTCGCTTTGTTGAAGCAGTTCCTCGTTATGCGTGGCATGAACGAGGTTCATACAGGCGGTATTGGAGGCTTCACCATCATCTGTCTCGTTATCAGCTATTTCCAGCACAACAAGAAGCCCGAGAATCTCGGTGACTGCTTTTTGGGCTTCCTCGATTATTACGGCAACGAGTTCGACCTTCGGACACAACGCATACAGATGCATCCGCCTGCGATCATTCGCAAGAATGGCTACGATGTCGACGGGCGTGAGGATAGACCTAACGGGCTGTCAATCCAAGACCCGAATCGCCCCGAAAACAATATTTCGGGAGGATCCCATAAGGCCTGGGAAGTATTCTCAGCTTTCCGCTCCGCGCACCGGGTGTTGAAAGATCGCATCGACTCCAAGAGCGCCGGAAGAAGCATTCTCGAGTGTCTTTTAGGTGGCAACTATGAGACGTACATCATGCAGCGACGTCATATGCAGACTCTCAAGTAAGTTGTATGCACTAGATAGGACGCAGGGTCACATTCGTGGTATTCTCAGAGTCAAGCAAACGGTGAACTGCAGCTCTGAGCTCAGTCAGCGAACATTTGCTTGTCCACTGATTATCTCGGCCCTTCTTCCGATCGTGTATACAACCTTACTACCTCGCGAATGACTGTGTGGTATATGACTTACTTTGTCTAGCCCTCGGGACTTTGAGGCCCAAGAACGATACATCGAAATCGCTCGGATGAGCTACGACTCATGGTTCCAAGAGCTCGAGCGGATTTCGTTGTTACAGTCACCGCCACACCGTCCTTCGCGTTCCGCGTATGGACGAACTTGGGATGTTTAGGCTCTGGAACGTGGAAAGGTATATTCTAACGGTAGGGCGTTTATCGGCGTGTGTGAGTTGAGGAGCACCTTGCTTCTCACGCTTCACTCATCCTGATACAGGTTAGGGCTTTCATTTTGTCGCGATACCCTGGAGCATCACAGGCGTTACATTCGAGCATCATACGGCGGGCATCTCCTACCGGCAGCGGTCTGCCTCTGGACCGTTGTTGTATCAACTTCAAGACAGAAGAACGGACTCACGAATACGAATGACACCGCGCTGCCACCGGGATCACCAGTCGATCGATCGACTCGTTACTGTACTCTAGATGTTCATGACAACAGATTCACTTTTTCTTCCTCTGCTTCTGTCATCTCCTGCTCGCTTCGGCGGTGGCTGATCCGTTGTTTTGCACTACTGATAAGTTCCCGGTGTGGGCAAGGTCTTTGTGGGGAACTCGCATCCAACTTGTCAGTGATGACAGGTTCGGACACCTCAGAAATGTCCGCAATCATGGGACACCTTTTCTCGTCGAATTGTTTGCTTCAAGCGAGCACTCGAAGAAGAAAGGTAAATCTGAGTTTGCACAGCTTCATCGTCAGCTCAAAACGTCAGTCCTGAATCAATCAGCTGCTCTCTCCGGAATTGGAGGGCACTTAAAATGTGGCATTTAGCGCCACGTCGAGTGACACCTGAGTTGAGGATTCCATATGGTGAACGGCAGTGGCGTGCCGCCAGTGGGGACAAGGGGTTGGATCGGAATTATCGGGACGCCAAGGCGTCGACTGTCAACACGCGACTGACTGCCCAAACATCACCCTCATGGACACGATATCTATGCTCCAGCCATGAGGTCACACACAAATTCAGCATGGCAATCCATTGCTGTGCTTCTCCTATTGAGCGGAGCTGCAACAGCTTCGTTGGGCGATAGATTGCCCGACTTCAAGCACTGTCTAGAGGTATGTAGCATTGGCAATACCGCTCTCATCGCAATGCCAATAGCTATTCTAGGTCTGCAAGGAAGCCAACTGCGGCGAAGATCCCACACCAATCCGTAGGTCTGCCTCTCAATCTCTCACCTTAATCTAATTTTCCTAGCCCTCCACCGTCGTCTCATGTTCTGGGACTGTCCAGCCGAATGCGACTACACCTGCCAACACTCCGTGACCGCGAAGCGTCTCGCCCGTGACCCGCCCTATATGCAGCCCATATACCAGTTCCACGGCAAGTGGCCTTTTTACCGCTTCATGGGCATACAAGAGCCTTTCAGCGTCATCTTCTCGCTCTTCAACTACCTCGCGCACGACTGGGGCATGTCACAGCTCCGTGAGAAAATTCCAGCTTCCTATTCGTTGCGCAAATACTATCTCTGTTTCGGATACGTGGGCCTGGCGAGCTGGACATTCAGCATGATCTTTCATACCAGGGACTTCAACATCACCGAGAAACTAGACTATTGGGCAGCAGGTGCAAACGTGCTGTACGGACTATACTATGCGCCGATCAGGGTGTTCAGGCTGGACCGCGCTGATCCAAGGAAGCAAAGTGTGCTGAGGCTGTGGACTGCGCTGTGCATACTCCTCTACGTAATGCACGTCCTCTATCTCTCGCTGTGGAGCTGGGACTACACGTACAACATGGCTGCGAATGTGGTTGTCGGGACTCTGGCCAATATCCTTTGGACTGGTTTCAGTTACGTACAGTACAAGAGGATTGGACGGACATGGGCAGTACTGCCTGGCATATGCGTGGCCTGGATCATCTCCGCAATGAGTCTGGAGCTCATGGATTTCGCACCATGGAAGGGCATGATTGATGCACACAGCCTGTGGCATCTGGGCACCGTGGTCCCGACCATCCTTTGGTACAAGTAGGTCTGCCATCAAAGCGCCGTTGAGGACTCTGCTAACCATGACAGCTTCCTCGTCAAGGATGCACAAGAAGACATAGCAGGTACGCGCCCGAAGCAATAGGCACCGCTTTTCTCGCTCAACTGCTGCTTACCACGTACTTCCCAGGCAAACTGCCGATGGCTAATCGTAGCGCAGGCGCACGAAAGGGGAAGGACTAGACGGCCGCACCCAAGATCTTGGTCTCGTTCTTCATCAACCAATACATTTACTACCTTCATCTCCGCGATCTTCTATATCATATCTTTGTCAAGACTTCCGATGATATCGAGGCGAATTTGACGTTTCAAGGCGGCCTTTCGGTCATGTCGCTGTTAAAAGTTGGGATTGATTCTGGGTGCACAAAATCATTACATCAATATGACTGTCTGACATGAGCCAAAACACTCAATTACAGACCGCTTTTGAGTTCAAAATCACACATATGCCGTATCAGTACTACTTTGTCAGGTAAACTGCTACATTTCTCTCCTCGGCCATCAAAAGCTGTTACGTGCACACTTTGCGGTGAAGAAGTGGAGAGGTGCAGGAGTTGCTTTGCAATGATCCCTATCAGTCCGTAGTATACATATACAACAACACAAGCAGCACAGAGCAACAAAAGTGAGTACAAGGTCATTCATCTATATGCCAAACTCCAACACCCTCAGAACTCCTTAAATCCGAAAAGATTGATCACAGCCCTTCACGCAAACGTCATACATCCGTACAAAGCAGCCCTACTCCTCCCATCACACCAACGCCATGAACATGTATTAAATGACCTCAGTCTTGCCCCAGACCTACAAGTTCAGACCTCAGGTTTTCAATCAATTTCTCTCCATCCTCCAGACTCATCATCTCAGTCGGTGCGAAAACGCCAACGTCCAGTTTCCCATCACGGATCGTAGCTTCCACATCAATTGCATGCTGTCCGGTATTAGCATGGTTCCCGCCTTCGTCAGGACACATGAACTTACAAGATACGCCGCATTCACACGCTCATTCACCAAGTCCTGGGGTACTTGCCAATCACCGTGATCGACGGGAGTCACCCTGCTGACAGCGTCTTGCCAGCTGCTCTTAGGCGTGATCTTCACCCCGACCGTGGGTCGCGCGCTTTCTGTCTCGGCATCGGGCAGGCTGAGGAAGTTGACGAAGGTGTCGAGTTTGATGCCTGTCCACTCGCTGATCTCAAAGAGGCTGGTTGTTGCGTGGGCCGGCTCGCCGATGGTTTGCAAATCCTGTTGGATCTGGACTGCCACATTGATGAGGGGCGTACTGAGAGGTGTTTGAATGCGCAGAGGGAGGAGGTTGACAGTGAGTATTGCAGCTGTCGAAAGCCCGTAAACAGGGAGCGAGCGGTTGGCGAGGTAAATTCCGATCACGACGTCCTCTCCTCTCTGCGCCAAGACCGAGTTCATCGCGTAGACTTTGGCGTAGACTGCGAGGAAAAGCGCTTGCATGGAAACGCCACGTTGCCGAGCCTTGCTTTCCAGACCAGATGTTTCCAAGAAACTGGGTCGGTAGATTTCCGTCTTTGAGATGGGCCTGACCTCCACTTTGATGTTATGATGCGGACTGATGCTTCCAAGATACTGCGTCCAGAACGATCTTCGTTGCGGTGGTGCTGACGTATTGTGGGCTACGGCAATGATCTTATCAAGTGTACAGCTTGATGTACAGGAGACAACGCCGTTGCAGAGATCCTGGAACTGCTGCATCAGAAGCGGAAGGCTCACGCCATCATACAAAGCGTGATGAATCTTTAGTCTGAGGGACCAACCTGACGCCGTGCGCAAGGCGAAAAGGTAGACCCAAGGTTGCTGCATGATGGACGTTACAGTATGTTCCTTGTCGACCGTGATCTCGGTGAGCGAAGCACTCGTTTCCTTCAGCACAACCTGGACATACGGTATATCGCTCTGATTGGTCCGAACGATGCGTGTGCGAAGTATCGGGTTTGAGGCCATGAGCTCTTGCCAAGAGTGTTTTAACGCTTCAAAATCTACCAGGCTCTCGAGCTCGTAGACAAATTCTGGGAAGAAGTTTGCGCCTTTGGTGTTGAGCCACATAGAGAGCATGTACAGCTGTCCAGCTGTGAGAGGTAGAATGCTGTCAACCTGTGATGAGTCCACGCTCGCCCGGCTCATGATGTCAGCTAGATCAAGTCCGCGCAATGTACGGCTGACCACAACGGTCGGCTCATTATGGTCTCCAACAGTGGGAGCTCTCTCATCAGCAGTCTCGGCCATCATTTCCACAGTACCGGCCTTAAGCATCTGGCCAACACTGAGAGCAATGCCTTGCTTGCGAAGAATAGATGACACCTTGATGGCACTGATGGAATCCAGGCCAATATGGAAGATTGACATGCCTTGTTCGATATCATCCTCGGGTATCTGGGCAACGGAGGCTAGTGCTTTTCGAATCTGGCGGAGCGTCTGTAATGACGGAGCGTTGGCGGAGCTTGGCTGCTTGTTCGTGGCACCACTTTCCTTTGTATTCGCACTCGTCTCTTCGAAGGCCGGTAGGCCACACACCGAAATTCCTTGGGGGATTGATTCGATGGTTGGTGCTTCAGGAGATTGGAAGATGTTGTGAAGGACTTGGTCCAATCTACCGATCAGTACCTGAACTTCATCTGGACCCATAATTTCTTCCTTGATCGCGCAACGCCAGACTAGCCTGTCGTCGACAACCTCCATCTCCACACAAACCGGGTATTCCACATCACTTTTACTGTCGATGCTGTGGTAAAGCTCTTTCTCCGCAGAGGAGGGCTGCTCTATGCTCTTCTGATAGATGAATAAGCTATCAAAGAGCTTGCCTTGCGCGCCTGCAAAAGCTGATGCTTTCCGTAGAGGGAAGTTCTGCCATTGCTTGACACCGGTAAAATTTTCCTGGACGTACTGTAGCAATTCCGAACGCGAACCGTGCAGCACCGTACGAATGGCAACTGTGTTCATAGTTGGGAACAGTAACTGGGATTTCTCATCGTCGTCACGACCGGAAAGCACACAGCCAAAGGTGACGTCCAATAGACCAGTGTACAATGCCAGTGTTATTGCGAAAATGGTCTGGCCTAGAGTCTGAAGGGACACTCGGTGGCTCTTGGCAAAATCAGTGATGTCGTTGAGCTTCATAGCGCTTGCCATCTCGTTGCGGTGAACCTTGTCGATAGCCGTACTGGAGATTCGACGGCGAGGCATAAGGCTTGGTTTCAGATTAGCTAAGTTGTTCTTCCAGAAAGTTGCAGCTTCCGAGCCAGATCCGGATCCAGCAAGAATGTCGGCTAAGGTTGTCTCATAACTAGGCGGGTGAAGGAATCCGCCGTGATAAGCCGCGTTGATAGAATCGTGTAGCAGACTCAGAGACCAGCCGTCGTAGAGCGCATGAGCAATTGAAAGTATTTGATACTTATGTTGAGGTGCTTCTAGTAAAATGACCTTAACAGGCGGGTCTAGGGTCTTTGATTGTACGGCCGCGCGACGTAACTCCTCAAAAATGGTGGGAAAGTCGGGTTGTTGTGCAGTGTTCATATGCTGGATATTTACGGGAGACTGTACCGAATCTTGCTTGACAATTGCCTGTACGAAAGCTCCGTCAATTTCTGGATGATCGACTTCGACAAACGCTGTGCGGAGTATAGGTGCTGACTTTATAACGGTATGCCAGGCGTTACTGAGCCTGATAACATCGGTATCTGCAGCCAACTCTGCGACATCGAAATTGTAGTAACGGGTGTAGTCTGAAGCTACCATCTCGGCTACCATGGCTTCTTGCAATGGTGTGGAAGGTAAGACATCGTCGATATTGGTCATGTCTATTGCACATGACTCAACATAGCGCCGTATCTCTCTCTTGCGATGAGCAAATCCTGCCTCGATTTGGGAGTTTGTGTCATTGTTCTGGCTTGTCAGTATGTTGCTGACCATTTTATTAATGGTGAGTCCTCGCATGATGCCGCTAACCGGTAGACTGAGGCCATGTTTCTTGAGCCTCGATGACAGCTTGATGGCGTCAATACTGTCCAACCCGAGCTCGAAGATCGATGTAGACTCGTTGATCTGAAAGCTTTCGATACCAGCAAGAATGGCGACCTGTTCCCTGATCGCGATAGCATTGTCATCCCAATCGAACTTTGCCGCATCGCAATCTCCGTTGGTGATGTTGGGTTCTGCTGTACCATTCGATGTGCTCAATCTTGGGTGAATGGCCGTTTCAAGAACCATCGAGGAGTCCGTCAATGCGCATGTCAGTGCTTCTTCGAATCGATCGAGGAGCTCATTCGAAGTTTTCGTGCTTGAGATGTGACCTTGAGTGACTAAGGTAAGTGAGAACCTGTCAGAGCTTTTCTGCTCGATCTCTATTGCCAAAGGATAGTCTGCGACAGTATCATCATCTAGCAGCTCCCAAATCGTGTTGTTTCTCCACCGGTTCCTATCAGTCTGCGCCACCTGATAGACAAACAACGTGTCAAACAGCGGCCGAGTCGGGCTTCTCTTGGACCATTTCGCGATATCCCGCAATGGTGTATGTTGATGCGGAAGAGCCGCCATATTGAAGTCATGTGCCCTGGTGATCGCCGATGCCCAGGTATCACCGACTTGGGTGTGGTGTTGGTAGGGTATTGTGTTGAACAATGGACCAGCGATGCGATTAGCATGTGCAAGTTCGAGACTTCGTCCAGATACCACAATGCCCGTTGTGATTGGAACACAAGCATACTCCTGCAGTGTCTGTATCCAACAGGCTTGGGCAATCGCCTGGGCTGTGACGTTGAGCTTCCTTCTTGTGATGTCATATCCTGGGACTGGCTCCAGTTCTCGAGTTACTACCACTGTGCCTCTTGTTCTCTCTATCGTCAACGATGGCAGTGTATCCGATACATGATCTTTCAGATGCTCTTCCCAAAAGTTCCGTGTATCTTCAGGAATACAGAGGGGACCATGAGGAAGAGCTTCATGGAAGGTTGGTACATTGAGAATCTTGGCTGTGGTGCCACAATAGATCCTGTGTACCTCTTCGAGCAGGAGCTCTATGCTGTTTCCATCGTAAAGTCCATGGAAAATGTGGACAAGCAACAGCTTCGTGCCCAGGAGATGGATTTCGAATGGTCGAATAAGCTCAATGCGGTTCGCTTCAAGCCAGCACTGTCGTAGTCTGAGTAGGTATTCTGGTGTTGACGCATACTTGGCATCATGCTCGACCCATGGTAGTGAGACATTCTGCAACACCGCTTGCACATGGCCATTGTCTGTGTTGATAAAAGCTGTTCGTAGGATTTGTGTGTCCATAAACACTGAATTCCACGCCCAGTACAGTCGAGGAATGTCAATGTCGTCTTTCAAATTGAATTTGAAGGTGTTGAAGTAGAGTCCGTCCTCGCTGTCGAGATACCGTGCAATCATACCCTGTTGCAGAGGGGTACATGGAGCGAGCGCTTCCAGATCTTGCGACTCCACACCGAGTGACTCGGCGACGGACCTCCGGCATCGGTGCTGTACAGCATTGATCGCCTGCTGTGCTGCTAGCAGGGAGCCACGATTGGATGTATTCGCGCCAGAGGCAGACAGTGCCTTAGCAAGTCGACTAATAGTAGCGTGTCTCATAAGTACTGCAGCAGTGACCTGTGTGAAACCGGCTTGCTTCACAGCTCGAGACACCCCAATGACGGATATCGAGTCCATACCGAGCTCATAGAAGCTGGAAGTTTTGTGTATAGCATCTTCACTGACGTATAAAGCTTCAGCTAGAGCAACGCGAAGCCTCTCTTCTTCCTTTGACCACGTTTCGTCCAATGTGGTTGAGGTCACCGATAGCTTCTGCAGGTCACTGGTCGACAATGCTTCATATATCTGTCTTAGCTGCTTACCATCGGCTTTGTTGTTGATATTGAGAGGCATAGAAGCTAAAGGAACGAAATGTGTGGGAACCATGTAAGGTGGAAGCTTGTCATGGCATGCGTCCTTTGCCCCGCCTAGATTGACTGTTTCGCCGAGGAGTACTTTTGGCTCGCGAAGAGACTTCATACCAATGACGACGAACGCAACAAGCTGTTCTTTTTGTTGTTTGGGATGTTTGAGGACTATTGTCGCGACGTCCGTAAAGTGCTTGCTCGATTGTCTGATGACAGAGTTGATCTCGCCAATTTCGAGTCGCTGACCGCGCAGTTTGACTTGGTCGTCTGCACGTCCTAGAAAATCAAACGTGCCATCATACAACACTCTGACCAGATCTCCAGTGCGATAGACTCTCTCTTTGAAGCGGTCAAGGTGAGCAAAACGCTGTTCTGTTAGGTCAGGGCGATTCAAATAGCCTTTGCCAACAAGTTTGCCAGAAACACAAAGCTCACCAACCCCACCCCGAAGTACAGGAATGTCTGTGCCAGGCTTGAGCACGTATGAACCAACGTTGTCAAATTGATGTCCAATGTTAGAAGGCTTGCCGTTGGCTGGAACTCGTGGGTACATGGTACATCCGATCGTAGCTTCAGTGGGTCCATAGCCGTTATAGATTACACTGGTGGGACCCCAGACATCCAGAATCTCCTGCTTCAGGCTCTCACCACCGGTAATGAAAACTCCTTTGCAGAGACTAGGTACGTCGTCTGGGTGCAGTGTCTGGGCTAGACTTGGTGTAAGGTCGATGTGCGTAATATTGAGTGTGCGAATAGAGTTTGCAAGGTCCTCAAAGATGAGATCTCGCGGCGCTGAGACGACACAGATACCTGCTGACCAGCTCCAATACTGCTCAAGCACGGAAACATCAAAGTGGAAAGATGCAAATTGCAGCCAGCGCGAGTTTGAGTCCCAGTGGCCTGCAAATAAACGTTGGAAGGCAAGCAGTGCCTGTACTGCATTTTCATGGGTCAACTCACAGCCTTTAGGCGTGCCAGTAGTACCGCTGGTATACAGACAATAGCTGCGATCTTGAGGTACGATAGGCCTCTCGAGTGGCGGCCTCGATGACGATAAGTTGTGGGTACTGATCCTGTCAAGATTGATCACTGGCACCTTAACGTGTTTCGTGAAGCCCGAAGATTGTGAGCTCATCGTGAGTACAACTTGAGCACCAGAATCTTCGACCATAAAAGTTTGACGTGCGCCAGGTGCACTTGGATCGATAGCAACAAATGCACATCCAGCTTTCAGTATACCCAGCATCGCGAAGGACGCTTCAGGGCACTTTTCAAAGCACACACCGACAAGTCCACCTTGCTGAACGTTACGGGCTAACAGCAAGCTTGCAATTCTATTGCCTTCTGCATCGAGCTCCCGGTATGACCACCTCTTGCTTGTGACCTGATCGTCGTGTATTGAGCTTGCGAACTCGAACGCAACCCGATCAGGGCAGACATCAGCAGTAGACTCGACAAATTGGTGGAGCAGCTTTACTTCAGATGGCAAAGTTGATTCCTTGGCTGGTGTGATGGAGTAGATTGATTGATCGAAGAAAGACCCAGCCGCAGTCTCGGGTTTATCAATGATATAGGCTCTCATAACATGATCCAGTTGTTCAAGGATCATGTTCGCCTGTTGAGATGGAATGATGTGCGGTAGGTATGTCAATCGGTATTGTAAGACCTCTTGCGATAGGACGAACTCAATGGAGATTGGGTACTCTGTCGTTGCTTTCTCTTCATCAACTGTCCACAGTTTGCTCTGCTGACTTCCTCCAGTGGGCTTTTGGAAAGCAAACAGTGAGTCGAAAAGAGATTCGTTCGCCAACCCCATCAGCTTCTGGATCTTGTTGAGCGGGGTGAACTGATGTTGGTACAGTTCTGCATTGAGTTTCATGACTGACTTCATAGTCGCCATCTTGTCGTCGGTTACTGTGCATGGGAAAGGTACTGTATTGATACACGGGAGAACAGCGTTATTGGCCATGTCCGAAGTGCGGCCGGAAAGCACAATACCAACGGTCACTGTAGGCTCCGCTGTGTATGCTGACAAGATCGTCGACCAACTGGCGATACTAGCAGCTTGGAGAGTGACGTCTTTCGCGCGACAGGCGTGTTCCATCTCCAAGACGGACATGGAAGAAAGTCTTGTGAGTACCACTGGGTGAGCTGGTTCAAGTCTGAGGGGTGTCATATTTGGGAAACGTGATGAGACTGTCTGCTTCCCTAAGTGAGACCAGAATTCCTGGGTTTGCTCGCTCTGCTTGTTGGTGAGCTGCAGAAGCTCGCTTAGCGTCGATTCAGGGAGAGAAATCTCCCTTAGCGGTTGGTCACAGTAGGTAGCAACAACGTCTTCAAAGATTAGCTGCAAGCTGTGCGCGTCAAACAACGCATGCAACATTGACAGGTCGAGGAAGAGCTCCCCATCATGGGTGATGATCCGAAGGTCCCACATTGGCTGATGAAGCTGGGTCAGACTCTCCCGCTGTAGCTGACCCAATCTCTCTGCAGCGAGCTGAGGATCCGTATCAGAATTTTCTGACCACGGTAATATGCATGAGTCAGGCATATGCTGGACCATCGCGAAGGAGTATTGCTCGTCCTTGACTTGAGCGAACCCTGTCCGGAGGATGGGATGTCGTGTCATTGTCTTCCTCCAGGCATCTTTCAGCCTTGTAACATCCATATTGGCGTCCCGCATTTTGAGACGGATATAGTTGTAGTACACAAGTCCATCTTGAGCAATATATTGAGAGAGCATGCCTTGCTGAAGGGGTGTACATGGCCGAATGGCTTCGATGAGCTGATCATCGAACCCACAGCTACCTAGAATGCCGGGTCTGTGCTTCCTCTCGAAGGCTTGGAAATCAAAAGGCTCATTTCGAAGTCGAATCGCATGAGATCGCGTCCTAACATGTTCTGCAAGGTCAATGCAAGTGGGATACTTCAAGACGTCTGAAGCACTGGCTTCATAGCCTTGCTTCCGAAGTGCGGAAGCAATCTGGACTGCGCTGATACTATCGAGTCCCAGCTGGTAGATCGATAGTTCTGGGAGAATCTCATCAGCTGGTGCTCTCGATAGTCGACTTAGCACATCGCGGATAAGCATTTCGACATCAGTCCACGTATGATTGACGACCATCTCATTCGACAAGCGCTTCACAGCAGTGGCAGCTTTGAAGATGTCTGACAAAGCTTTCTTGTCGACCTTGCTAGCCATCGATCTCGGTATACTGCTCACAAATACATAGATCTGAGGAACCATGTACCCAGGCAGCTTATGCTTCGCAGCTTGCATGGCATTTCTTCGAAACTCCGACTCTTCAGTTGGTTCGAGTTCACGGCCCATGGCGAGGAAAGAGACCAATTGCTCCTTGGCATCTGTGTCTTTCTTCAAAATCTGCGTCACAACAGAATTGATACGCAAATCGGAATGTTGTAACACCTGGTTGATTTCACCAAGCTCGACTCTCAGTCCGCGTATCTTCACCTGATCATCCGCGCGACCGATGAACTCAAAGTTGCCGTTACTTAGCTTGCGTACTACGTCGCCACTCTTGTAGAATCTTTGGCCGCATCGGGTCACAAAGCGGTCGTTGGTCAGCTCAGATCGACCATAATAGCCTCTAGCGAGCTGTGCACCTCCAATGTACAGTTCTCCGGTACTTAGCAAGGGTAAAGGCTGTTGTCCTTGGAGTGAAAACACGGCGAAAGACGTGCTTGGATATGGCTGTCCAATAATAGATGTCTTTGTGTCCTTCGAAATGGGAAACATGGTCGTACAGAAGGCGGCTTCAGTAGGCCCGTAGGAGTTGACGCAAGCGCCACCCCATTCTGCGGCAACGTCGTCTGACATTGCCTCTCCAATACAATAAAGCCACTGCACACCGGGTACATCAAGCCGTGACAAAGAGGCGGCTACTGAGGGCGTGAGGTCCAGTAGAGTGGCATTGTGCGAGTTAATGACATGCGGGAGGTTGTCGAACATGATGTGCTGCTCGGCTGAGCAGAGAGTGAAGCCAAGCGTCCAAGCCAAAAAACAGTCATAGTAGCACATGTCGAAAGTAATCGCTGCATACTGCAAGAGTCTCGAAGACTGCGTCCACGGCACGAGTGCCCTCGAACTTTCTATGGTCTGAACCGGAGCTTGATGGTCCACACTGACTGCTTTGGGGACACCAGTTGAGCCGCTTGTGTAAAGACAGTACGCCAAGTTCGAGCCTCTCAGGTTGTCAATCTTTGATATCTCGCAGTCGTCGTAGCTCGAATCCTCAAGATCTGTGAGGTTGAGAATGATTGCAAAAGCCGGGTCTCCGAGGCTCGGTACGTGTTCTGTGCACAGCACAACTTTCGGATTCAAGTCTTTGAACATCACGTCCTTGCGAGCTTCCGGCAGATCCGGATGGACTGGTGCAAAGGCGGCGCCGGCCTTAAGCACGCCAACAATACTTGCATAAAACATCGGGGACTTCAACATATGAATCGGGACGACGTCTTCAACGCCAACGCCGTGACGCATCAGTCTGTATGCGACGCGATTGGCTAACATGTCCAGCGTTTGGTACGACCATCTTGTTCGTCTGTCGTCCGAATGCAAAAAGTCTAGAGCAATGGCATCGGGCGGTAAAGAAGATGCGTTTTGCTCGAAGGCTTTGTGCAGCAGATCTGATCTCGTCGGCAAGCGCTCCAGACTTGGGTTCGAAATGGCCCTAAGAGTGTGAGGTATGTCAATGGGATCGTTGGCAGCAGCATCGGGATGATGAGCTAGATCCCATAGGCTGCTATCGAAAGTTTGAGCCACTATCTGCGCGTCCTCATCAGACAGCAAGTCGGTCTTGTAATGTAGCGTCAATCTTAGGCAGTCGCCTTGTTCGTCTTGATACACTTCGCACACCACGGGCAAGTCCATCTCACCCATATCCTCCTCAAGGCTCCAGATGGTTTCATCAAGGGGTTTGCTTGGTTGTTGTAGAACGACTAGGGTATCAAATAATCGACACCCGTCTCCCAAGACAGCATTCTGAATACGCCGAAGGGCTGTCAATTGGTACGGAAATGTGTCCACGTTGAAGTTGTGCAAATGTTGAACGAGTTCTGCGTTGGGTTTCGAGAAATCGAGTTTGGCCCGGACCGGTAGGGCATTGAAGCAAGGCGCTACAAGTGCATCGAGCCCCTCTTCTGGAATAGCACGACCGCTGACGATGTTCCCGAAGCATAAGTCGTACTCGCCAGTATAGTAATGCAACAATTTCACCCAAGCGGCTTGTACCATGGGAAGCACGGAAACAGAGACCTGCCGAGATGCCGACCGAAGTGCACTCAAAGGGATTTTGAGGTCTCGCTTTGTTGACCGAAAAGTCCCAGTGATTTTCTGAGCCATACCAGTCAGGTCTGGAAAGTAGGTTGGTTCGAAGTTTAAAAAGTGGTTTAGCCAGAACTCATTTGTCTCCGCCACGTCCTCAAATACCAAGTGCTGCAGATATCGGTCGTAAGAGACGGCAGGTGGTAGTTCATGGTCGAAGTAGGTCTTCTGAATCTCCCCCAACAAATTGGTGATAGCAATACCGTCATAGAGTGCATGATGGCAGCTAAATATGAGTTTTGTTGTCAACTCTGTTATATGGACTGCCAGGTACAGAGGTGGTCTGTGAGATGCAACAAGGCCTTGAACGATTGCATCTGCCCGAAGCTGTACTTCCTGGAAGTTGTCCAATTGGTCCCACTGGAGGTCCCAGTGTTTCAGCACCACCTGTGCGTAAGCAAAGTCGGGGTGATCTGAGGGAACAAATGAGGTCCGCAGCATCTCGTGACGAACCAGTGCAAGCTTCCAGCTTGCCTGGAGGCGAGGAAGATCACCTTTGACATCAAAGATCATAGTATTACTGTAAGCAGCCTCAAAGGAAGCACTACTTGCCAGCATAGCTTCTTGTAGAGGGGTACAAGGATTGATCTTTTCCACCTCAAGGCCTGTATTTTCAAATACCGAACGGATCGAATATCTCTGTTGTTCTGTGAAGACATTGAGAAGCTTTTCGGATGAAGAGCATTTCAGGTTTGAAGCAGCAGTCCTCTCCCTGCGTTTCGCGTCCAAGTAAGAGATAGATGGATTCTTGAGCACTTCAGCCACCGTAAAATCAGCGACATCAGACTTTCTGAGACTCCAGCAAAAGCGAATCGCTGATACAGAATCCAGACCCAAGTTGAACAAGGACGATTCCCGCCGGATCCCTTTCAAATCGATATCGAGTATGCGTGCGAGATGTTCTGCGACGCTCTTTTCCCAATCTGATAAAGGATCCGCTGCGTCATCAATATCTGCAACGGTGTTACCATTAATGGTTTGTGTGGATGTAAACTGTTCAGGGCCGCTGTCCTTGACGTTGTTGAACGTTTCCTGCAGTAGTCTCTTATCGACCTTGGCCTGAGCAGTCATGGGAATTTTGGTTATGCCAATGAGGTAAGTCGGTATCATGTACGTAGGTAGCTGCCTTGAGAGGGACCCAAAAATCCGCGATATAGTGGAACTGGTTTTGCCAGCATCTGTTACAGCGAAAAGCTCACTCGTACATTTCTTGTGAACCCAGAATGTTACCAGACTCTTGGCGCCATTCTCTGTGGAGAAAAGAAGAGTCACACAATCGGCAACATCTATGTCATCCAATACAATTGATGTGATTTCTCCAAGCTCGACTCGCTGACCGCGAATCTTCACTTGGTCGTCCAAGCGACCGGCCGAAAGGATGCAGTCATCAGGAAGAAGTCTTCCCATATCTCCAGATCGGTAAATCCTGCCGTAAGGTGCAATATCAATCAGCTTCGCATCATTGAGCTCTGGTCGATTGAGATAGCCACGAAACACCTGTTCTCCGCCAAAGCAGAGCTCTCCCACTGCTCCGCGGGGAAGGATGGTCTTACTGCTCGGGTCCAGTACGAACGCAGATGTGTTGTCGAAGGGTGGTCCAATGTTGTTGATCAAGTCTTTAGACGTCACAGAAGGTCGTACCGTACAAATGTTCGTTGTTTCGGACGGACCATAGCCTGTACTTGATTTAGCCTACTACATGCAAAGAGTTGAGTCACTTACCTTGGTACAAGCCGCGTCCTGCCCATCGCCGTCGGACGTGCTCTGTCAATGCTTCTCCTGCGGTCACGAGAAACTCGACCTTTGGCACATTATTCGGATTGACGAGAGCTGCTACAGTGGGTGTAAGACTAAGGTGTGTCACCCCCAGATTGTTTATCGAAGCTTCGAAGTCGCGGAATAGGTCCTCTTTCATCGCTGTGCAGAGCGACATGCCTACATACCATGCGTAGAATATCTCGAAGACCGACACATCGAAGGCTTGTGAGCACGACTGGAGCATTCTCGATTCAGGGGATGCTGGGTACAAGCCGGACAAGAATTTGAGATTGCTCATCAAGTTCTGCTGCGTAACTAAAACGCCCTTCGGTACGCCTGTGCTTCCACTCGTGAATACAGCGTAGGCTATGTGTTTACCATGGTATGGTGTATCAATGTTTTCCTTTGAATACGTGGAAAAGTCTATCGAGCCGGGATTGACGATGATGCCTTGAAAAGCCTTACGAAGCGATGGTAGAGTCAAGGAATCGCTCACACAAAGTGTGACCTTGGCGTCCCTGAGTATAGTACTGAGTCTTTCAGCCGGTGTGTCGGGTACAAGCGGTAAGTATCCGGCTCCGAGTTTTGACACGGCAAGGATGCTAACGTATAGATCTACGCATTTCTCCATCATGATACACACCAGATGATCTTCGGCCACTCCATGCTCTGAAAACAAACGAGCCAGTTGATTAGCTCGAGTGTTCAAGCCCGAGTAGGTCGCCGTTTCTTTGACACTCATCACACCATCCAAGACATGACCGAATATGACAGCTTCCTTTTCAGGGGAGGTTTTTGCCCATGTCTCAACTGCGTGCGAGAGACTATCGCTATCGCAACTATGCTGATAATCCGGGTTCGCAATTGAAAGGCTTGAGGTGGTGAAGCTGCGCCCAATATCGGCTATCGTGCAGCTAGTGTCATCCAGGAGCTTTCCAACGACTTCGTCGATCTGCTGCGAGAGGGAGATGACCTGCTTCTCTGGTAGGATTGATGGATCGAACATGGCACGGAAAGAGATAAAGCTGTCGCATGGTTCAAACTCGAGTGTGAGCTTGAATTCAAGATCGTCAGCGCTGTCGACGATCTTTGCTGCGAGTGAAGAGGTATTGCCAGAAGTTGAAGACTGCTGCCATACAAAAAGTACATCAAACAATTTTGTACCAGGCTGTACCTTTGCTGCTCTTGCGATATCTCGTAATGGTAATGTACAATGACGTAAACCTTCGCGATTCAGACGTTGAACTTCCTCTAGTGCCTCGTGTGCCTTCGAGAATGTACCAAAATCCAGGCGGCAAGGTAATGAGGCTATGCACGGGCCGACAATATCCTCTACACCAGTCACTGGTAGTGTTCTTCCGGAAGTGACGTTGCCGAAAACCACGTCTGTCGACCCAGTGTAAAGCCCTAGGATGTACCCAATTGCGGCTTGAAAGAAAACTTGAGGATTGACAGCAAGACAGCGGGCTTTTGCGGACAAGCGCTCAATATCGATCACAGAGCGTTTACGGTATGATCGAAGACCTGCTTCGGTTCTTGTCTCTCCGTTGTAGTTGACTAGAGTTGTAGGTGTGTAATCGTGAAGTAGGTGTGCCCAGTACCTCGTGTCCTCTTCTGATGCTGATGTTCCTCGTCGTTGTGTGTAATAGCGACTGACATCAGAAAATTGAGGACGTTTTGTTGGTCCCCATCCCCGCAGAAGCTTATCAAGATCCGTTAAAATTAGGTCGAATGACCAGCCGTCATACATTGCGTGGTGTATTTGAACAAGTATATGTTGCTGTTTCGGTCCATCCTGTATACTGACTGCAAACGGTCGTAGCAAGTCTTTTGTGCTACTCAGTGTGTAGGCTTTCTCGAATCTTGAAACGTTCTTGATTTGTGTCATTTCCAGCTCCTTCCATGTGATTTGTTCAAAACTCCCGGTGCCATGGATGGAAGGGCGGAATCCCGAGCGCAGAATGCTATTATCCTTAGCAAGTTGTGATATCGCCGCGACTATTTCGTCGTGTGTGCGTGTCACAGTGAGCTCCAGTTCGATCCAATTACAGTACGCGCTTGGTCTTGACATTGTCTCAACGAGCATTGCCTCCTGTAGTGGTGTGCATGGAGAAATAAAATCGATGTTTAAGTTCTCAGATGCGGATTTGGGGCTCGTGGATGTGAGGTCATCATCTGATGAGTTTTCCGTAGACCCCGAGGGCTCAATAAGGAGTGATGTTGCCTTGCAAGATCTGATGAGGTCATACAGAGTTGGCGAAGCTAGGACCTCTACAGCACTGATATTGTAACCCTCCTTTCGAAGTCTTGACGCAATGCGAATTGCTCGCAATGAGTCCAGTCCAGCAGCTCCAAGATCTGAATCCAATGAGAGCCTCCGGCCTAAGCAGTCCTGACTTAGTCGTAGGATCGCAAGGGCAGCATGATCGTCGGGCTGCAAGTCGAGGCTGTCGTCAGTACCATGATGCTGAAGGGACTCCGAGTATGCCGCTTCCAAAGAGCGCTTATCAATCTTTCCAGACGGAAGCTGAGGCATGCTCGGTAATATGAGTACGTCCGAAGGTATCATGAAGGCTGGGAGCCATTGCTTGCACATTCGAAGCACCTCCGTACTCGATACCTTGCCCGAAGTCGTCGCGCAAAAAGCCACCAAAGTGTCGTCGACGATCGCTGCAACCACAACGCGACACCCTTCAACCTTCAGGATAACTTGCTCTATCTCGCCAAGCTCCACTCGCTGACCTCTCAGTTTTACTTGGCCAGTGACGATACGACCGAGGCATTCAATCAGACCGTCATCGCGAAATCTTGCACGATCGCCAGTGCGGTATAATCGACCATACACGGGATGATTGACGAAGACTGCATCTGTCAATTCGGGCCGATTGAGATACTCCTCTGCAATCTGATACCCTCCGAGTGCAAGCTCGCCCTCTTCGCCCCACGGCAGAATTGTGACATTTGTCTTCCCTAGTGCACTCTCAGCTGGAGCGACTACGAAAGTCGAGACTGTATCCAGGGGGTAACCAATGTTGCCGGTTGAGGAAGAAGTTTCGAATCGAGCCTGTAAGGTGCAATGTATTGCGGCTTCTGTGGGGCCGTACATAGCCCAAAGAATTCCCGCTCGAGAGGCGCTGCTACCGAATTCGGTCACGACATGCTGGGTAAGCATCTCGCCAATAGTGAGTAGCAACTTCAATCCGGGCACACTCGATCGGCCTTGCAGGAGGTTCCCAACAACCGTCGGCGTGAGCTCAGCGGCATCTACTGCGAGTGTTTCAATTATGCCAGGGAGATCTTCCAGCATCCGCTCTCGCAGACAACCGACTAAGGTCTTTCCTCTGAACCAGGGAAAGAATATTTCGAATATCGAAACATCGAATGTAGGAGCAGCGAACTGGAGGAAGCGCGCGAAGCCTGGTATGTGACTATCATGGGCCAACAAACTCTGTGTGACAGCGCGATGGGATACGCTCACAGCTTTGGGCAACCCGGTAGATCCACTGGTATATAGCACATACGCCAGATCAGTGCTGTCGATATGTGGCAGAGCTGTGGCATTTAACTCGTCACCGTTCAGCAGTTCGCGATCTGCGCATATTGTCCGGACCTCATGCTTTGATTGAAGTCGGTCCAAGAGCGTGGTATTCGTTATGAGCAAGTCCGCAGAGATATCCGAAAGAATGAATTTCAACCTCTCGTCTGGGGTATCGAGGTTTAGGGGACAAAAGGCTTTACCTGCCTTCAGGATCGCCAGCAACACAATGTATAGCTCTGGACACTGCGGCAGTAGAACTGGAACAACAGCGGACGCATTTTCTAGCGTTGCCGTTAGCTCAATAATCCGCTGCGCTAAGATGTCGCTCAGTGTATGCAGTTGTTGATAGGAAAATTTCCGTCTCTTGATTCCATGTTCCAGGAAATCGATCGCTGATACAGTTGAAACCTGGGGCACCAGCTTGTGTAGGAGTTCTGGACCTTCGAAGGTTCTTGGAGTCTCGTTCAATATAGACAGCTTGTGTTGTTGTGGTTGAACCATCTTGCTGGGTCCTGATTAGGTAAAGCTGGAGTTGCACCAGTTCGAACTTGAAGATAACACGCCGCTCCCAACGAACACAAGAAAGAATAAGCTGTATGTGAAGGGGAAGCAGAATGACGTTTCTTGTAGTCTGACACTATTGACTTGTAAATTATAGCCTCAGTGGGTACAGAATGATGATGAGAAACTGCAGGCCACTGATTGGTCAAAAGCGTTGCAGCACCTGCTGTCGAATATGTAGGCGGCAGTGGCGCACGTGAAATCGCGAGAGTGTCACCTTGTAATAGCGCGTCGAAGCTCGTCTACGGGCCGTGCAGTTCGCTGGATGTTATGCAAGGACAGCCGATGTGCCCAAAGAGGGAGAGTAGCAGAGACTGGTAAGCGTAGCATCGGGTAGCGGCGGGGCTCAGGTCGTAAACCAAGTTGTGCAGCGTACAACACTCTCTGCTTTTTTTATTGGGGCTTCAGCGCTGCATCCGCTATGCTGTACCCTGTGTCTTGGTGATGCGTGTAGCGGCGTCATACATTTTGCTGGGTTTAACGGATCTAATGAAGACGGGATCAGCAAGAACGAACAGGCAGCACTCTAAGGCGAACGAAGCCAACAAACGACGGAAGCTCGAAGGAGGACAGCGCGATGGGCCGCAAGACTGCTCCACAGTTGGCTCGTTAGTTCGTGTTCAAGGTGATGAGGAAATGGCAGGCACGCCTCCAATGACGTGCCTGAAACTCTTCCAGTCCATCATGTTGCCCCACGCCAGAGAATCTGTTTGTCACGCCGCAGATGCGTCGCTAATCGTTGCTTAGGGGCTGAGATTGTGGCCGGTCTCGGAGAGCAAGCCGTTCTGGGGTGAGAAGAAGAAGCTTACGGCTGATGAAGGAGGATACGAATCAAGAAGACATGCCGAGTCACCCGCTACCCACCAATATTTGCATCTGATAATTCGGCCGCATGATCTGATAACCTTAATTTCAGTCATTGGTCTGACTCGCATATTCAAATCGACGACCTCCTCTAGCACCCTCGAGTGCCTTACATTAACTACCCAGATTACAATACTAATACGAAAAGCCTTGAGATTGCCGGAGAGACTTTGCATGTAAACTTCATGGTTTTTTGTTCGCAAAAGCTACGCAACGAAATTAGTCAGGTACGCACGGGGCACCTGCGCAAGTCATGAGTCCGTCCTTCGAGGCTTGGGAGATCCATCTCAACGTCGACCTCGACACGCGTTTTGACCATCTATATGGCATTCTGCTCGTGAAATCTGACATCTTTGTGTCCTTCAACTCTTTACTTACGCGCCAATGAACCGCTCGTAAATATGCCCCATTCCCGAGAGAGCTCCGCGGCTCTCAATCAACCAACATCTACAATTGAAGATGGGCCTGCGACTCCGCTTCTGAGCGACTCTGAATCTGACGACTTCAATATCGATGGCCGGGCCTCTGTACGCCGTAGTGTACAATGGGACAGGCATGCCGAACCTTCGCTTGGAGCAGTGCAACCGGAGGCGTGGGTGGACATCACCGCCATACGTCATAAGTTTATTCGTCAGATCCTCGGGTTGAACCCCTTCAAGACTTCCTATTTTGCACTCTACAGACCACTGGACGATCTAGGCTCAAGATTCATACTCATGTTGGGAGTGGTCTTGGCGATTCTTGCTGGTCTGCCCATTCCGTTTATAGGGATCATACTGGGCAGGATTATCAATAACTTCCCGCCTCCAGAGGATGAGCTTCGAACGTTATTGGGGTATCTCATGATCGTCGCAGCGTGCTACTTCGTGGTCACTTGGGGCTGGGCGGTTGCGTGGGCGGTGATCGGTGAACGGGTGTCGCGCAAAACACGAGAACAGCTTTTGCACCGCGCACTCGGTATGGACATGACCTACTTCGACACTGCTTCACCAGATATGACAAGCATCCTCACGGACAAGACTCAAACGATCCAACTGGGTACTTCTGAGAAAGTCGGCTTGTTTCTCGCATCAATCTCCTACTTTGGCGCAGCTTTTTGTGTAGGATTCTCGCTGAATGCCAGGCTCACAGGTGTCATGTAAGTAAATTTCGATTCTTCTGGATTACAGACTCTATAATGTACTCATGCTCTACGTAGGTTTTTGACTGTGATACCTTCAATGGCCTGCGTAGTCATCTTTGGCACAAAATACGTCGCCAAATTCAGTAAGCAAGCCGCCGCATACACTGAGAAGGCAGCTACTGTGGCCGAGAGTGCCATTCGAGCAGTACAGATTGTGCAGGCTTTTGGGTTGCAAGAGAAATTGAGCGAAGAACACGTTCATTATCTTCGAGCAGCATTGCGAGCTGGTATCAAGAAAAGCGTGACCGGAGCGGTGATGCTAGGGTCCGTCTACTTCGTGGCATATGCAGCAAACGCATTGGCATTCTGGTACGGCGACCGTCTTCGTGATGGTAGTGCTGAGGCTGGTACCATATACGCTGTTGTGTTCCTCATCCTGGATGCATCCTTTGTCGTTGGGAGATTTGGACCATTCATTCAAACATTTGCAATGGCAGCAGCTGCTGGACAGGCTGTCCACGAGATTCTCGACCACCCATTGTCTGACATCGATGTTTACAATAACGAGGGGCAACAAGTTACCGCTTCTTTCTTCGCAAAAGCCATAAAGTTCTCCGCTGTCTCTTTCGTCTATCCGGCTAGGCCGACGGTCAGAATTCTAGACGCCATTGATTTGACTATTACGCCAGGAATGGTAACGGGACTTGTGGGTCCTTCTGGATCAGGGAAATCGACAATCACCTCGTTGATGCTCCGACTTTATGACCCGACCTTTGGCAATGTCTTTGTTGGCGACGATAACATCAAATCATTCAACATTCGCAGTCTGCGGTCGCATGTCGCTCTTGTTACGCAGAATCCGGTTCTCTTCAGTGGAACTATCTATGAGAACATCAAGCATGGACTGCCACAAGGAGAGGCTATCTCAGAGGATGAAGCTTTCGACAGGTGCGCAGCTGCAGCCAAGGAGGCTCACTGCGAGTTTCTCGATCGTCTCCCTGATGGTATGCACACAAAAATCGGCTCAGGTCCTCACTCACAGCTGTCTGGGGGGCAAAAGCAACGTATCACCTTGGCTAGAGCGCTGGTGGGTCGCCCCTCAGTGTTACTCCTTGATGAGTTCACGAGTGCAATGGATGCAACAAGTGAGGCGATTGTGCTGGAGAATCTAAGACGTTCTTCGAAAGCAGCGAACCGTACAACAATTATCATCGCGCATAGGCTTGCCACAGTCAGAGATGCAGACCGCATTGTCGTTTTAAAGGATGGCATTGTAGCTGAAGATGGCCGTCACGAGAATCTTATCAAGGCGAGTGGCATCTACGCTGATCTCATCCAAGCACAGCAGTTCGAAAAGAAGGGCCAGTCTTCAGTTACTTCTTCTGTCTACTCCAGCCCTCGATTCTCACAGAAAGAGCCTGATCACACTGGAGTGTCGACAAATGACTCATCCTCCGAGACTACGATCATTCCCGTGGAGAAACCGAAGAAGAGTGCAGTTGAACTCGTGAGTAGGTGTTTGGCCCTAAGTCGTCATGAAATTCCGGTAATCGTGCTCGGCCTGACTGCGTCCATAATGAGTGGAGGCGTCACTATTGGAGAAGCCTTCATTTTCGGCAATCTGGTAGAGCTTCTCAACGACACTTCAAAGACAAGCGAGTTGGCTTCGAGAATATCCTTCTTCTGCCTGTTGTTTTTCCTACTATCGCTGGTAGCACTAGTCGCTCACGGAGTTGGCGGTGCAGCTTTTGGTCTGGTGTCAGAAAATCTCGTCCTTCGAGTACGAGACATCTCGTTCCGCACGATTCTCAAACAAGATATCTCCTGGTTCTCAAAGCCTGGGCACTCTCATCACGCTCTAATGTCTAAACTCAACATGGACAGCGGTTCTATCAGTGGTCTTTCTGGAGTTATCTTAGGGACCATATTCTCCATTACAACCTCAGTGGTCGGCGGAAACATCCTCGCATTTCTTGTCGCGCCACGGATCGCCATAGTACTCCTCGCAGCTGTTCCCGTCATGATCTTCGCTGGTTATGTCCGTCTTCGCATTTTAGCTCTGGCAGAAGAAAAACATCAAAACGCCTACAACGATGCCGCATCGCTGGCTTCTGAAGCGACCGCCTCCATGCAGATTGTCGCAGCCTTTGGTCTGGAGGACCATTTCCTTGACTCTTATCGAAATGCTATCAGCGGGCCGTACGAGGAACACCTAAAATTTGCATTATTTGGCAACATTCTGCTTGCATTCTCACTATCCGTAACGTACTATGTGTACTCTCTCGCATATTGGTGGGGTTCTAAGCAGGTACGAAACGGATCCTACAGCCAAAAGGACTTCTTCATCGTCCTGCCTGCTCTTCTCTTCTCTGCCCAGGCTGCTGGTCAGCTATTCAGTCTGGCACCCGAGGTTACCCGAGCCAAAACCGCTGCCCAAAATGTCTTTGCGCTGCACGACGAACAGCCTACCATTCTTACGGATGACAGCGATCTGAAAACAACATCAGATGGTAGCAATGTGAACACGGATGCTTTGCTGTCCGGAGCGTCAGCCAGCTATGGAACATTCGGCGTACGAGGAGAACTTGAATTTCGCGGCGTTAGCTTGCATTATGAGACTCGGCCAGATGTCGCTGCGTTGAATAACGTCTCCTTTCAGATTAGACACGGCGAATACGCAGCGTTTGTCGGAAGATCCGGTGCTGGAAAGTCGAGCACAGTTCATCTTATTGAAAGATTCTTCGATCCCACGGCTGGTCAGGTCTATCTTGATGGGCGCGATATTCGCAATGAGCCTGTACAAAATCACCGAGCTCGTTTAGCACTGGTGGAGCAGGAGCCTGATTTGTTCCCCGGTAGCGTCAAGTTCAATATCGGACTCGGCAGACGACCTGGCGCTTATATCAGTGACGAGGATATTGTGGCTGTTGCGAGGAAGTGCGAACTCCATGACTTTATCATGAGCCTGCCTGAAGGATACAACACTGAGGTCGGAGCCCATGGTTCAAAACTCTCTGGTGGCCAGCGCCAAAGGTTAGCCATCGCGCGTGCCCTTCTAAGAGATCCAGAGATCCTTTTGCTTGACGAAGCAACGTCTCAGCTGGACGCAAATACCGAGAGAGAGATCCGCAGAACAATCTCAGCTGCATCAAAAGGCCGTACAACAATCATGATAGCTCACAGGCTTGCGAGTGTCCAGCACGCAGACAAAATCTTTGTATTCGATGCTGGGAGGATCGTTGAACAAGGCCGGCACGATGAGCTTGTCGCAGAGGGCGGCATCTATGCTGGGATGGTCGCAGCGCAAGAGCTGGATTGAGTCTTGGATCGATCACATGTCTCCATCCGCGTTCTGTTACTCTGTTTAGCACTGTTGTACTAATAGCCGAATATACGGCACTTCTTTCGGTGTATTACCTGGGTGGCAGTTTGCTCCTTCCACTTAGGGTCCAGTATCCAGCAAATCAAATATTTCAACATCACACATCCTATCGCTACCTAGGTATATAACACCTTGTACTTTATTCGAAAATTCCCGCCCAACACAAAAGCACATGGTCAAAAGCTGTTTCTTCACAACATTCCTTAGCATACATCATCAGCTCGCATCGATCCAATAGAGATGTCAAATGATTCAGTCACAAATTGGGAAGTAGCATTGAAAAGACGGCGAATGACATGCCCTAAAGCCTTAACAGCCTCTCTCGTCATAGCCCGTGTCATCGCTGGCTAGGATGATGTACGTGTAAATGATCTGCGGCTGCGGCGCATTAACCGAACTCGTACTCAAGCCCGGCACAACCCTGCATACGTAGTTTTTGGTGTTGAGGCGTGCAGAAAGCCCGAGCCCACTCCGGTTTCCGGCTGTTGCTGCGCAGAAATTTCATCAGATTAGATGAAGACCACCAGATAACTTTGCCGCCAAGCTACTACCTGTCCGTCATCCCACGGCTGACGCAGCGACCGGCGCTTGAGTCCAAGCATTTCAGGGCAAGCGTTGCGGGGACGATCAGAAAATTTTGCCTGCACTATGACCGCCCACACCAGCGTCGAGCCGCTTTCTGGCGGTTGTCCCTCCGGCGTTGTTATCTGATCCGGCTTGAAGCATCTGATTAGATGGCCGATCAGTCTCGGAGCCTCGATGCCTGCTCTCGATTCGCAAATGTGGATAGCATACGCCATCTTGAACGGGCCGCAAGGGTCTCATTACGAGCGGGCATCGAACCATCCTCTCACGAGCGTTGCAGGCCTCGCCCTTGACATGGGTTCCTCAGACGCAGGAGCGGAGCTTGGTGTCGTCTTGGTGCAGGTACAGAAATAGTGGATGCTATCAACTTTTTTCCTAATAATCTAGTGACGGTACGCTCCACGAGCTGACCATCAGTCGATTTTACTTTGCTTCCTCTGTCAATAACATTTGTTGTGGGTGAGTACTCCAGATGTCCCTTTGGTTCTTACCTCGCGCCTTCCCCAGTGTAGTGTAAGACGTCATCTAGCACACCAGCCACATTCGCGGCTATGTCAACGAGCAGCCAGTTCCCTTCAACCTATTACTACGCGGGCGCATGTTGTAAAAGATGGATATTATTTACAGTGAGAAGGAGACGGTTTTCAGCAGCTTTCGATTCTTATTGTTGCATCACACGAATTCGCGGTGTTGCAAGAATTACACTGACATTTGTATCAGAGCATCTGATCTCTCCAACATTTAGCGTTCGCCCTAACCAACACAATGAGCCCTCACGCTGAGTTCCCCACCAGCTCGCCTGGAAACCCAACACCGGCTGTTCAGAGAGCTTTTGGTGGCTTCACAAACGGTCTGGATGAGAGCGATTTTCCCGCATTCGAAAACCGGTCGAATCTGCGTTATACACCGGAAGATGAGCTGCACGACTTGATTTGTGTCGGATTCGGACCTGCATCTCTGGCCATCGCTGTTGCTATTCACGATGCACTCGAAGGTACAGATCCATCGCTCTCTGATATCCCTGGTTTGGAGAGCAGGGCACCAAAGGTCGCGTTCTTGGAGAAGCAATCACAGTTCGCATGGCACGCAGGCATGCTGTTGCCTGGTGCAAAGATGCAGATTACATTCATGAAAGATATGGCTACCATGAGGAATCCACGCAGCGAGTTTACATTCATCAACTATCTTCACCAGAAGAACCGTTTGGTTGAGTTCGCCAACTTGAACACCTTCCTTCCCGCACGCGTCGAGTACGAGGACTACATGAAGTGGTGCGCAAGCTGGTTCGAAGAGGTTGTTTCGTATTCTCAGGAGGTCATTGCGGTTAATCCTCAGAAGTCGGCCAGCGGCGAGATCTCCACCTTCGAGGTTGTATCGAAGAATCACTTGACCGGTCAGGTCGAGACACGGAGAACGAAGCACGTCGTCATCGCTGCTGGTGGAAGACCAAACATCACCGCACCTTTCCCCCAGGACCACCCCAAGGTTGTTCACTCCTCGAAGTTCTCATATATCTCAAAACAGATCCTCAACGACCACCAAGCGCCCTACAAAGTTGCAGTTGTCGGTAACGGACAAAGTGCCGCTGAGATCTTTGACTTCTTACACGCGAACTACCCCAACTCTGAGACGCGACTTTTGATCAAGGGTGGAGCGCTGCGACCCAGTGACGATTCGCCATTGTACGTACAGCTACATTATCACACATTTACCAATAGATGGCTAACATTGCGAAGCGTTAACGAAATCTTTAACCCCTCGCGCACCGAAGTAACTTACAACCGCGACCCGACTCTGCGCGCGCAGACTCTCACCGAGGACAAGGGCACCAACTATGGCGTTGTACGCATCAACCTTCTCGAACATATTTACGAGACGCTTTATCTGCAGCGCTTGAAGTACGGCAACTCGCGCGAAGCTGAGGAGCAATGGCCACACAACATCCTACCTTACCGTAGAGTAACGGCTGTCGAAGACAGCCCGGTGGTCAAGGACGGAATCCGCTTGCATGTCCGTGACCAAAGCCCGCTGTACTTCAGCGAGGCGCCTGGCGCAGGCGAGCAGAAGCAAATCCTGGATGTTGATGCTGTGTTCGTTGCTACTGGATATCTCAGGAACTTGCACGAGACACTGCTCAAGGATGCTCGGCACCTCATGCCTGGCGGTGACCTGAAAGACGCGAAGTGGACGGTGCAGAGAGATTACAAGATCAACTTTGCGAACAAGGCTGTCAGCGACGACGCAGGCGTCTGGCTGCAAGGCTGCTGCGAGACCACACACGGTGTAAGTGCTACTGTTGCTTCCAAGTCAACAACAAGATTACTAACATCCGCAGTTGAGCGATACCCTTCTATCTGTGCTTGCCTGCCGTGGTGGAGAAATGGCCAGGGCCATCTTTGAGAAGGCGCCTAAGTGGGAGAACACTGACGTCCTCGGTGGATTTCAGGCTCCCAGACTCTAAGCCACATGCTGAGAGTATCTTCGGAGTCGCGGCGTCTGGGACAGCGAGGCCTCTTTATTAGATTCTGTCTGCCGTTGCGATTGGCAGCATTTTTTGTAGCGATTGCGTTATCTGGAATGGACATTCTTCACCCACTTCTGCGCATGAGGTGTGCGAATGCTGTCGACTGAACCAGGATCAGCCATGCAACCCACACGTCATTCCCCTCGTATCTCTTACAGTTCCGCCAATGGCTAGTTTGCAGCGGCTTTGCGCCCCCTGCGGAATTCTTTGTGAAATTCAGGGTGGTGCAATACATGGTGATGGGACCCTCATTTCGCAGCTGCGTCGCTCCTTCCCTGTCTGCGCCTAGACAGGAGCCCAACTGGAAAGAACGGCAGGACAAGCTCACAGCAAACGGCAAGAGCAACCGGACAGAGCTGCTGGTACCAATTGCATGCTGCACAATGCTGCACCCAAAGTCAAACGTCGACTCGGAGGTCTTGGCACAGCGGATGCTGCGCAGCATAATGTCAGCGTCGTGAGCATGAAACCGGCGCAGGGTTGCGTCGTTGTCGAGAGAGCTGCGTCAACCTGACTAGGCCCAATAGCACAGAAGCGCAGCCCAGTGTTCACGAACCCAACCTCCGCGCTGACCCAAAGCCTATCCTTTTGCCCTGTTCACTGTCCTCCTACACACTGCGCCCGTTGTCTGCTGCAGCGTCTGTCTTGCTCGCCCCTGCTGCAGTCATCGCGTGAAGCTGCGTTCGCACCCAGCATCCCTCGTGGCTCACACGCCCAAGCCCCCGCTGCGAGCACTGTACGTGCACCGTACGCCAGCCAGGCCCGTGTCGCATCCCGCATTCGTGCTCGCCTACCGGTGCTGTCATCGTCTGCAGGCCGCGCTGCAGCGCAGTGCCCCTCATAGGAGCTGCCCGGTACTGCGACGCCGCACTGCAATTCGGCATGCAACGCGCGCATTGACTGCGTCACAGCTGAAGCGGCTGCCTTTTGCGACCCTGCTCGCACCACCTATACCCTCTCGACACGCACCCGCCCTGCGACATGGATCAGCAGTGGACTGCCTACTCCGAAGCGCCGGATGCCAGCCGCCAGGCGCGGTATGCTCCACACGGGACGACCCCCTCGCAACTTACGCAACGAGACGCCAGCGCGTCTGCGCAACTTAAGCAGAACCCGTACGCATCGCCTTCTGCGCCCTCGCGCTCCAGCACTATTGCGCTGCAGTCCCCCAGTCAGCCTTCCAGCCGCGGCCCCGACTTCAACGACAACGACGGCGACGTGAAGATGGAAGACGCCGATCCCTACAAGCCCAAGTACAACACACAACGGCCCAACCAGCACCGTCAGTCGCAGCAGTTCCTGCAGCAGGAGGAAAGCGCCGCAGCCCGCAGATACTCGCCTATGAATATGTCGCCTACCTCGCCCTATGCCGGCGGCACGCAGCACGGTGGTCAGACCTATACGAGCTTCACCCCGCAGGTCCAGAGCAACAGCAATCGCGCAAGTCCCACGCGCAACAACCCGTACATGTCGCCGCCAAACAGCTACTACTCCCCTCCATGTACGTTGCGCCCAACACGCCGGGTCGTATTGTAAGCGCCGGCACGCTAATTCGCACTTGTGTAGCATCGCGCCCAAACGCACCCCAGCTGCCGCCCATCCAGTCCAACATGAGCCCCGAGAGCTTTTATCCCCAGTCTGCCACTGCGCAACTGAACGCCGTCTATAACAGAGACCAGCGTTCGCCACGGACGTCAACGAACGCCAATCCCCCGCAATTGCCCTTAATGGGACGCGGGCCTGTGCCACAGTTCGAGAAGTGCACCAACACTGCCGACCTGGTGCCCAAGATCAATGCGCAACCTCCGTTTCGGCGTGCAAACCCAGAGGGCGGTTTCATCAGCGTGAGTCGAGTCGCAGGCAACAGAAGGCACAGGGCTGACAACACATATATCTAGCCCCTACAGGCACTTACATGCCATCTACCTATGACCTATAAGCTGTGCAACGCCGGCTTCAACTACCAGGCTACACGCAACCCGCGTCGAGTCCTTACCAAGCCCAGCAAAGGCGTCAAGAACGACGGCTACGACAACGAGGACAGCGATTACATCCTCTACGTCAACGACATATTGGGGTCGGAGGAATCAGGGCACAAGAACCGTTACCTCATCCTTGATGTGCTCGGCCAGGGAACGTTTGGACAGGTCGTCAAGTGCCAGAATCTCAAGACACAGGAGGTGGTTGCAGTCAAGGTCATCAAGAACAGAACGGCATACTTCAATCAGAGTATGATGGAAGTTTCGGTGCTTGACTTGGTACGTCGATGCGACGCATTCTGCACGCTAGCTATGCTGACCATATGCAGTTGAACAAGCAGATGGATAAGAACGACGACCACCACCTGCTAAGGCTGAAAGACACGTTCATCCACCGACAACATCTGTGTCTTGTGTTCGAACTGCTGAGCGTCAACTTGTATGAGTTGATCAAGCAGAACCAATTCCGTGGCCTGTCGACAACGTTGGTGCGTGTCTTTGCTCAACAGCTGATCAACGGTCTTGCGTTGCTGGGTAAGGCGAAGTTGATCCATTGTGATCTGAAACCGGAGAACATTCTGCTGAAGAAGTAAGTCGGGACCCTGCGAGCGGATCTGACAGAGCTAATGGAAAAAAGCCTCGAAAGTCCTATCATCAAGATCATCGATTTTGGTTCCGCGTGCGATGAGCGACAGACAGTCTACACGTACATCCAATCGCGATTCTATCGATCACCTGAGGTGCTGCTCGGCCTGCCATACTCAGCAGCAATCGACATGTGGTCGCTAGGCTGCATTGTTGTGGAGTTATTCCTTGGGCTGCCGTTGTTTCCAGGATCTTCTGAGTACAATCAGGTTTCCAGGATTACAGAAATGTTAGGCCTCGCGCCACAGTGGATGCTAGAAATGGGCAAGCAGTCTGGCGAATTCTTCGAGAAGACTCAGGATGAGTATGGACGTAAGAACTACCGGCTCAAGTCCATGGAGCAATACTCAAGGGAACACGGTACAAAAGAGCAACCCAGCAAGAAGTACTTCTCGGCCACAACGCTTCCAGACATCATCAGGAACTACCCCATGCCAAGGAAGAACATGAAGCCGAATGAGATCGAGCGCGGTAAGTGACAAAACTCAAAAAATCTGGCGTATATGCTGATTATCTATAGAAATGGCGAACCGAGCCGCTTTTATCGACTTTGCACAAGGATTGTTGAATCTCAACCCCCTCGAAAGATGGACGCCAGCTCAAGCGAAGCTGCACCCGTTCATTACGCAAGCCAAATTCACCGGCCCGTTCGTTCCCCCAATGACTTTGAAGTCGAGCTCGAGCCGCTCTCCAGCACCTGGCGTCCAAGAACAGCAACGCTTCGAGGGCATGGCCAAACAGCGGGCCCAGCAACAACAACAAGCTCTTGCTGCACAACAGGCCCAGGCTGCGCAAAATGCAGCATTTGCCAACATGCAAATGAATCAGTATGCTGCGCAAAATCCACATGCGCAACCGAATCCGTACAACAACATGTACGCGCCAAATCATCAGGGTGCGCCCCCACCTTACCCGGCGCAGGCAGCGCCGTACGCGCAACAGATTCCTGCAATGCAGCCACAGCAGCCGCAGCAGCCTCGGCAGTATGCTCAGCCACAGAATCTGTACACGCAAGCGACAACGCGTGCTGGACGACAACGGGCATCTACTATGGACCAACAGCAGGCGACCCCATCTGGGATACCTCCAGCTTTGCAAAGAGTGATGAGTCATCTGGATCCGAATGCGCCAGTCAGGCTGCAGCCGTCGCCTGCTTACTACCCGCCACCCCCCTGAAGGAGCTCCAGAGAGCGCAAGCAGCGCCAGACGGCGAGGCTCTCGTACAGGCAATGCACAGCGGAATCATAACTTTGTTCGCAACCTTGAAGATCGAACTCTGGAAGAAGGCTTTATGCAACAGCCACACTGGCAATGACGGGAAGAGCATCAGGGAAACATCCTGCTACATTGTTAAATTGGTTTCAGACTGGCGGCCAGCAAGTGATGCAGTTGATGACTCTGCAGGCTCTGACATGTTGTCGTTCAAGATTGCCCCAACAGAAAAACGCACAATATCGATACCCCGACAATATCAAGCTTTGCAGCCTGATAGCATTCACCCTGTAAGAATGCTGTGTACCCCTCGCGCCCTGCTCCACCTCAAGCGACTTCGCGGCGGTGTACAGACTTTTCCGTATCATTCCGCACAACAGAAATTGCTCGCAGTAGTAGTCTCATCAGACGGGCAGAAGACGAATAGGCGAACTAGATTGACTCACAAGCCTAGGGTGACTTCGCCAGAGGATAGTAAGACGACACCTGTTGGATGACACTCGGCAGTATGAGTCTTGTAACTTGGCATAGCGTCCTGTCGGGACGTCGCAAGTGCTTCAATGTCTTTTATGATTGCTCGCAGCGAGGAGGTGGGGAACCTGCTGGCGGCATATGTACTTTTACTGCTTTCGTATAAAATTGCAACTCCTACGTTGTGTGCGGGTCGTGCCTGCCCAACACATAAACTGTTCCATCAACACATGCATGTCATGTTGTCCCACCTGGGCAGTTCATGCTGTTCCGTTGTTGTGTTGCTGCATGTGAAGACTGAACCAATCAAGCGTCGTTTGCGGACAGCAGGATAAGTGGATGCCCCGCCCACACAATTATTTTGAAGTCTTGGCACTAGCGATTTGGTGAGTCGAGGCAGCGCTTGCCCCAACACACAACCTACGGCGCCCGCCACCTATACCCCTCGACCCTCCGGCAATCTCTACTCTCGAGTACAGCAGCCATGTCGCGCTTTTTCGCCGCCAGCGACAGCTCCTCGGAAGAGTCCAGCGAGGAGGAGCTCTACTCCAACGATGAGGCTTCTGAACAGGAAGGCTCCGACGTCGACTCCGACGACGACTCTGACGACTCCGACTCCTCCTCTGGATCTGAGACCGGTGCCGCCCGTTTCTTGAAGGATGTCGACAGCGAGAGCGAGAGCGACGACGAGGACGCGAGCAAGGTGCTCAAGAGCGCCAAGGACAAGCGTTTCGACGAGCTCGAAGCCGTTGTCAGGCAGATCGAGAACGCGCAGAGGATCAACGATTGGGCTGTCATCTCAGACCGTATGTGCACCCCAGACAGCAGAGCAGAGGTGGCGAACACGCGCTGCGGCAGGACATCGTGGCGGGGTACAACGAACAATGCTAACGTCGCGGACATGTAGAGTTCGACAAGCTGAACCGCCTGGTGCCCACGCTTATCAAGCAGAATGATGGCAAGGTTCCCAAGATGTACATCCAGGCCATCGCCGACCTTGAGACCGCCGTCCTCGAAGCCCACGAGAAGCAGAAGGTCACCCCCAAGAAGATGACCGCCCCCAACCAGCGTGGTTTCAACGCTATTCGTCAGAAGGTCAAGAAGCACAACCGCGACTACCAGAGGGACATCGATCTGTACAGGGAGAACAAAGAGGAGTTCATGAAGGAGGAGGAGATCGTCGAGCAGGCACCCAAGGAGAAGAAGAAGAAGGACAAGACCAGGATTGCCCAGCTCGGCACCGAGACAGTTATTGATGCTGGCGACGATGGTTTCGTTACCGTTGGAGCCGGCGGCAAGGCCGTCTTGTACACCGCAGAAGGCATTCTCAAGCAGTTGCGATCGATTGTTGAGCAGCGTGGACGCAAGAACACAGACAAGCTCGAGCAGATCCGCACCATGGAGAAGCTGTTCGACGTTGCTGTCAACGACTACCAAAGAGTCCGCGTTCTCCTCACCCTGATCTCCACCCGCTTCGACCTGACATCCGGTACCGCCAGCCACATGCACCAGGAGCAGTGGAAGCTGTGAGTTTCGCCACAGTACGTATGAAAGACGCGCGTGCTAATACTTTCTAGGGCCGATCAAGAGTTCGGCAAGCTTCTCCAGATTCTCGAAGATAGCAATGAAATCGTTGTTGTGGAGAATGCTGAGGAGTGGGAGGACGACGAGAAGACACCCACCATCGAGGACGGCCAGATTTTCAAGATCCCCGGCAGCGTTGTCTCTTTTGTCGAGAGGCTCGATGATGAACTCACTCGTTCGCTCCAACACATCGACCCTCACACAGCCGAGTACGTCGAGCGTCTCACAGACGAGAGCGCACTGTACGCTCAGCTTGTGCGCACGATGATCTACGTTGAGAGCCTCCAGAAGAAGGAGGGTATTGAGATCCCACAAGACTCGGCTAACCGCGTCGTCATGCGCCGATTGGAGCATGTCTACTTCAAGGTCAGTCCATCCATTTCATGCCAATGATACTTGAAGCTAACGGTGCTACTAGCCCTCATCTGTTGTTGAGATCCTCGAGAGCAAGACATGGGAGGCAATCCCATCCCACCTCGATTCCACAACCTCTCCTCGTTCCATCGCCAGCGACACAACCTCTATTGTTCAAACACTTTGCACATACCTTTTCAAGCACAGTGAGGGCATTATCCGCGCGAGAGCAATGCTCTGCCAGATCTACTTCTTGGCTCTGCATGACCAGTATTACAAGGCTCGCGACATGATGCTCATGTCCCATTTGCAGGAGACGATTAGCAACTTCGATGTCAACACTCAGATTCTGTTCAACCGCTCGCTCGTACAAGTCGGTCTCTGTGCGTTCCGTGCCGGCCTTGTCTACGAGGCACAGACTTCGCTTCAGGAGATCTGCGGCAGCAACAGGCAGAAGGAGCTTCTCGCACAGGGTCTGCAAATGCAGCGTTACTCGCAGATCTCGCCCGAGCAGGAACGTCTCGAGCGCCAGCGACAGCTCCCCTTCCACCTTCACATCAACCTCGAGCTGCTCGAGTGCGTCTACTTGACCTGCTCCATGTTGCTCGAGATCCCTCTCCTCGCACAGCTTGGCTCCTCGCCTGACCTCAGGAAGCGCGTCATCAGCAAGACCTACCGCCGCCTCTTAGAATACCATGAACGCCAGATCTTCACTGGTCCTCCGGAGAACACTCGCGACCACGTTATGCAGGCCTCCAAGGCTCTGTCGGCCGGCGAGTGGAAGAAGGCCGCTGAGTTCATCAACAGCATCAAGATCTGGGAACTCATGGCCAACTCGGAGCAGATCAAGGACATGCTCTCCGCCCAGATCCAGGAGGAGGGTCTGAGGACTTACCTTTTCACATACGCGCCCTACTACGATACACTCGCTGTCTCCACGCTGGCCGATATGTTTGAGTTGAGCGAACGCAAGATTAGCGCAGTCGTCAGCAAAATGATCTCGCACGAGGAACTCGGTGCTGCTCTTGACCAGGTCAACAGCGCCGTGATCTTCCGCAAGGGTGTCGAGCTGTCTCGTCTCCAGACACTGGCCCTCAGCCTCTCGGATAAGGCATCTGGCCTCATCGAGTCGAACGAGAAGACACTCGAACAGAGAACACAAGGCACAGCCCATGCCTTCGAGCGACAAGGCGGACGCGGCGGTCGTGGAGGCCGTGGTGGAGGCCGTGGCGGCCGTGGAGGCGGCGGCGGGCCGAGGGGAGGCAGGAATCAGCAGTTCACGGGCGGTGCTTTGGGACGCGCCATCCAGGCTTAAACGGTGGCCGACAATGCTATTTAGGTTTTCATGGGCGGCGTTTGATCGGGTGTCGCTTTTTTGGCATGGCATCCCGTGGTAATGCAATGGCATGATGATTCGATATGAGCTGGGGACTGTGGCGAGGATCTGTTAGTGCATACCAAGTAGATTACGAATTACATCGGGAAAAGTTCATCCTACACTTTTTTGTATACATGTGTCTGTTACAGGTCTTTGATTTTATCCGGCAGAATGAGGTCTCATACGAAGTACAATTTAGCCACTGCGAAGTCGTGCGCTCAACTAATATGTCAAGCAATTTCAACACAAGGCAGAACATTCCCCAAAAACACGAGATGTTAGATTCGCACACAGGCCCTGGCTCCGTCCAGGGCTCTCCCAAATTCGCCTTGAACTGTAGCTGGCCGGCAGGAAGCTGCCACGTTTTCCATTCGTTCACATGGGTCAAATACAAGGTCCGAACCAGAACAGCCAGCATTAATCTCAGTCTAGGCTGGACCCGCCACACAGGGCAGTGAGGGAGACTCAAGCCTGTCAGACATCGCCCACCCAGGTGAGAGTTTCTTTTCACGTCGGGGATTGAACGTTGATCAGTCTCGTCTCTCGTCTTTCAAAAATTTCAACCGCATGCATGATGGAGCAAACTGCATGTTTCAAACTAGCATTTCGCATAGGGATGTGTATAGTATAGTTCAGCACTCAGAAGAAGATCACTTGGTCAAGGAGTGTGTGAAACCAAAAAGAGCAGACCGCACATCAGCCCTGCGTCATCTGTTTTCGAACTAACATCACAAAGGCTTTCAAGGGTTGCAGATTTGGAGGTTCAGGTTGCGACCACAGTGTAGTCGGTGTATTTATGATGACGACTCTACAGTGCGGGATCCACGTCCACAGAAGCATGCTGGGGGTATTCGCTCAATCTCAAGAGCCGTTTGTACAGGGAAGCAGAGAGTCACTCCGGTCTCCATGAAGCGGAATCCATCGCATTTCCAAGTGTTCGCAAGTCGCCGGTTGCAGACACATCGGCGGAAGAAAGATCTTTCTTGGGACATCGTTCAAGTGATCGTGCCTTTCAAGCCATCAATTGTGGTCTAGGTGGATTTTCATTCAACCTGCAGAGTCAAGAGATGGAGTATCAGTGGGTTTTCTAACTGAGATTCTGTAGAAGTCTTTTGCCAACTGCAGAGTCCAGACAGACACTGTCCTGAGGAAGTGTTTTCATACACATGTGCCGCTCACTTCAATTTTGAACTTATGTTGTATCAGAGCATGAATTTCTCAAACAAACCGCGTGTGGAAGGGGGGGAGAGTGAGTCTCAGTGCATTGTCGTACGTTGTTTGAAGACCATCAGCGTCGTTCGGACTAACGACCATGGTGAAGCACATGTGCCTCTGGTTATTTGCAGTTTTCTGGCAATAGAGGCTGCCGTAGACCTGAAATAAACGAGGACATGTGTGCACTGTGAATCATATCAAGGGCCTTTGCTGAGAGGTCCGTCTATTTTACGGCACATACTGTTGGGGCAAGTGCCCTTCATGGTGCACATGCATGTGGATTGTGCGGTGGAAGGATTCAGAAACGTTGGAGATGATGTTTAGTAGACTATTTATAAGGAGGTTGCACTCTGCTAACATTGTAGTTCTCGTTGCCCTCATAATTAAGCTAGGCAGTTGCCGATGTTGTAAGTGGGAGAAGCACGCGAGCTTATCAAGCATAATGCTGTACCTGAACCACGCAGGCTCATGGTACTGTATATCACATACTTCCTTCCGTCCATCTCGTTGAAATCGTTCCAACCTTGTGCTAACATATGGTATCAATTCACGTCTGGCGGGTCATAGCATGCTGTTAGGTCTGTTCGCCAGCACTGATCTTCTAGACCGGGACGCCGACAAAACCTATGCGTGGCTTACACCTTGCTCCATCAGTTGTCTCGCCATCCCACTGACTTCTCCATTCCTTCTCCTCTGCCTTCAGATTCTCAAAGACTTCGCGCTCATCAGGCTTCATTTCTGCTAGAACCTCATCCGCAAGATTGGGCAGACCGTTAGTTCCGACGTCGATATAGTCTGCATCTGGTCCGGGGAGACCCAACCCAGCAAAGGGTGGTTGTTGAAATATCTTGTCCACAATGAGATATTTGTGCGCGACGATTGGTGGCACGTCAGTCTCTGAGGCGGACACGCGTTCCCAGCGGGCATGTGTAGGCTGTGTGGTTTTGGGATAGCACATCATGTTTGTGTGAGGATCATAGGTGCCGTTGGCCAAGTTCGCACGGCGAATGGCGGAAAGTGAGGTATTGAAGCGGCTATCGAAAGTCAGTATCTCGGCGCTAGCTATAAAGTACGCGGTAACTTACCTGGCTGCTCGACCATGCTCAAATTGCCAGTTCGCAGACGTGATATTAACCTTCTTCTTCCCGGGAACAGGTTTGCCGCCGATGGCTGTGGGAACACTTGGAACGCCAGTGTGGTAGACGCTACTTGCGCCGTGCCATGCGACATATTGGTTCTTGTTGTATGGCTCACCTGGTGGCGGAAGGCGGTCATTAGGGTCCGCCAGCTCGCCTTCGACGTCTCCACGTTCTCGCGCTGCGGTCACGTAGTAGTCATCGGTGATGCGCTTGCCACCGATAATAATGCGAGCGCCAAACTCGCGGAAAACTGAGCGTGCAGTGACTACGCCGATCGCGCGACCTTTGTAGGAGTGTGGAATGATTTCACGGTCGATCATATCGCGCTTCTCGGCATCGTCTATGATGATCTTGTAAAGCTGCATGTGCTTAGTGAAGAACAGGTAACTGTCCCTGAATCCACAACAACGCGCGGGCTCAGTTGACAGCATGTACTGTCGCTCGCCCCTGCCCTTGATTGTGAAGATGCGCACGCGGTAGTCCCGGCCGCCCTGGAGGTTGCCCAGCTTATCGACTTTCTGTTCGCCCTCCTCGTCTTCAGGCAGATCGACCTCGTCGTTGATGACATCCATCATGTTGCCCTCCTTATCGATTGGCACACGTGTTGTATGCGACGGTCCACCCTTGGGCGGGCGCCCTCGACCTCCACCAGCTGGCCGCCCTCGTTTGCGCTTGATGGGTGTACCGCCTTCTGAAACATTGTCGGGGTCTTGATTCCAGTCCGGTGGTCTGTTCTTAGGCGGCCGTCCAAGTCGCTTCTTGCGCGGAAACGGTTGTACAATGGCTGGCGACGGCGAGCGCTCGGAGGGAACTTCCTCTTCGTTCTCTGGCACGACTGAGCCTGCCTCCTCTTCCTCCTCTTCCTCTTCTTTTGGCGAATCTGCGCGTGATTCCACTACGTCGTCCATCTCTACATCGCTTGCTTGTTGCGGTGTTGCGCTACGCGCGGGCGTGCTGCGACGAGCTGCAGCAGCTCGAGATGGGCGGCCGCGCGCCATTGCTTAGTGAAAGCTCGGTTTGGGCCTAGCGCAGTACTCATGCAAACCGAGATTGGATGCAGCTTGTCGGCGGAAGGTTTAAAGGAAGTATTCTAAAGTGAAGGACAGTCGCGCAGTTCGGTGATGTGCATGCCTTGCGACGAGCTTCGCGACTCCCGGACGTGTTCAGCCTAACCAGGATAGGCTTAATCTAAGCCACGTGATTCCGATCATGTCTTTGCTATCAATGGATGTCTTGCCATGTTCGTTCCAAGAAGAAAAGGCGATAGATTAATAAACATATTTTTTAATGGCACATATTGTTGGCCTGTTCGACTTCAGCCGGAGCACTCGCCCAATGCTGTTGGAAAATCATCCTTGCGTCTCCTGCACAGGCAAAAGCATTAACAGTCCCGTCACAAAACGTTTGTACTAGCGTATGGAGTCTTTGAGGAAGCTTCTTCATTTGAATTTTATGGCCTTATGGCTGTGACAAGGACGAGTCGGGTCTAACGAAAGTATCAAGTTGCTGAATAAATGTGCCTGGGTACATCATTCATACTGAGTCACAGAGGCTATCTTGTACGTTAGTTTCTCCCCCTACAGCTTGTTTATCTCTTTCTCTGATGTTGCAGTAGAAGTGTCGAGATCCTTGATCTTTGCACTTGATCCCATCAGTTCTGTGGACATTTGCAGTCCAACAAGTGCATTGATAAACATCTTGTCACTAACGGCTGGTCCATTTGGCTCAGATTCGTGCATTCGATTTGCAGGCTCAACAGCTGTAAGATCGGTAACAGTAACTCGAGTTACCGCAGTGATGAACCACGACTTTGGATCAGAAAATGTCCAGGCCTTTCTGTTAAGAGAACACATGATCAGAACGTGCTTTGTATCCTGCGCTTCTTATTACAATACGCTTTTGCTGGCGATTAATCATTGTCTTGTGAATCCGAGGGTTTCGCGATGTTGTTTTGCAACATGTACGATGGCATTGATGGAATGACGGAGCTAGAATTCCGAAGTAGTAAGAAGAGTAATCACTATCGAGTCCTAATAGCAGTGTCAGGAACAAGTGCGGAAGTGAGAAAATAGACTCAAGTGTACGAAGCAAGGAAGAGGTCCCATGGGAATGTGTAGAATGTACGTAATTGAGACACAACATTTCATTTCATAGCTACTCGGAACTTCGACACTCAGGGTTCTGAACCAAGGTCTACTCGTCGTCCTCGTCATCGTCGTCAACAACAGGAACAGCCTCGTCCTTCTTTGTTGTCTTGACGTTGCGGTCCGGCTCAGCGCCTGCGGGCTTCTTCGACTTGTCACCAGCATCTTCGTCATCGTCATTATCCTCGTCTTCAGGAACGTCGGATGCAGCATCTTCGTCATCATCTAATTCATCTTCCTCCTCGTCGTCTTCATCTTCGTCGTCCTTGGCGGGGCGCTTGGCTTTTTTCTTTGGGGCTGAGCCAAATGTCAGTATCGCACTATCCAACCTGAGAACCGGATCTTACGAGGTTCCAACGCATCAGAGTCGTCTTCTCCGCCAAAGTCCGAGCCCTCAGACTCTTGATATCTAGAAAACACTGATGTCAGCCTGGTGCTTGTCGCGTGTATAGACGAAGTCTTTGCTGGCAACGCCGTCCCAAACAGAGCAATCGCTGTTTTGAGAGTTTGTCAAACATGTGTCTTGCGCTCGCAATTACTTGGCTTTCGCGATTGCGTGACAACGCGTCAGCTTGTGGTGCCGAATGCGGGAGTCTCTTCAGACCATTGCGCCGCGACAATGAAGCTCGACTATGGTACTCAAGAACATCTGTTCGATAGAGCAACGAGAGGCGACAAAGATAAAGCTGGAACCGCAAAATGACGACTCGGAAGTTGCAATTGCATGACGTCAAAGAAAGGGCACGCTTACTCTTCTTCCTCTTCAGACTCGTCCGAAGGCAGAGCGACGAGCTCCTCCTCGGCATCCTGCTTCCTCTTGCGGGTAGACATTTTGTGTGATGGTGTTGAGAAATAGGTCAAGATGGGTTGTTGTGGTGAGATGAAGCTGAGTCGAAGGGCGAGCTGCGCGTCCCGAGCTCAAGGAGCGGGGACGGGATAAGCTACGTACTTTTAGGCGGATGGCTGGGAAACCAGGCAAGGGGAAGCCGCTCTGTGCTAAGATTGGAATTGAGTCCAGCCAATAGTTTGGGGCGCTCATGGCACCCGCAAGCTCTCGAGCGAGCCGGAAGAAGGGTTCGAGTTCCCTGCCGCAAACTGCTTGCGGTGTTTGCTGCAAGGTACCACTTCAAGGGACACCAACTCTACCACCATGCAAGCCAGTCATCGCACTGTCCTTTGGCTGCACTGCTCACAAGACGATACAGCAATAGTGAGCACGGTCGTTGATCGCACAGTCGACTTGAGAACAGCCAGTCCTCTCATGGCTTGAATGGTGCGCCAGCCCTCAGCTAACTATGCGGTGACATGGCGTGTGAACCCGGTCCGTATACATCTGTGGAGTTCATTTAGAAGTCCCAGCGACACTCGACGTGGTCATGATCAGACGCATAGATACTGATTCTGGCTTATCAGCCTACAGTTCCACATCCGATCGAGATCGAGGTGTCAGCCCTCAGCTGCTCAAGGCGCGAGGTGTAGGGCTCAGTGGGGCACGCTAAAAGCCCGCCCCGCACGATTGGATCTCCGAGCGCTGAACCGTCGTTCGCGGCGTCCTGCATAAACTTTTGACTCTACTCTTCACCTCGTTGACTCGACACGACGCACTGCGATTTTTGATTTTGGCAAGAACGTCAATACACAACACCATGCCTGCCGCTGTTGCGCGGCCGAAGGCGCCACGCCTCGGCTCGATCAACCCTTCGAAGGCAGCGGGCACCGGATACATCTACCAGTCTGCAGAAACAAAACGGAAGGCACAACCCGCGCCAGTACGAGCCTCGAAACCCGAACGCCCGAAATGCTGCGACGATCCGAATGTCAGCGATGCCGACGAGGGAGGATCGATCTGCTACAACTGCGGCCAGGTCATTGAAGAGAGCCACATCGTCGCCGAGATTACCTTTGGTGAAACAGCCGGCGGAGCGGCCATAGTCGAAGGTGGCTTCATCGGAGAGAATCAGCGACACGCCAACTCTATGGGTGGAACGATGCGGGGTCTTGGAGGTATGGGGAGTAGAGAGCAAGCCGAGATGAACGGAAGGAGCGAGATCCAGAAGCTTGCACATGCACTGAAGATCCGGCAAGCAGTTGAGGATCAGGCTATCGGATGGTACAAGCTCGCTTCCAACCATAACTTCGTCCAAGGCCGGCGCATCCGCAATGTTGCAGCTGTTGCTCTGTACATGGCAGCTCGGAGACAACCGGAGAACACGCTGATGCTGATGGATCTGGCCGAGAAAGTGCAAGTCAACGTCTGGCAGCTGGGAGACACATACAAGCAGTTTCTGAAGAAACTACGAGAAGAAGACCCTGCGCAACTTATAGGTAACAAGGCAGTGCAAGAGATCGAGCCACTCATGCTGAAGTACTGCCGCAAGCTCGAATTCGACGAAGCATCGCACAAAGTCGCAGATGACGCTTGCAAATTACTCAAGCGCATGAGTCGGGATTGGATGGTACAAGGTCGACAGCCTGCAGGACTGTGTGGCGCCTGCATCATTCTTGCTGCCCGCATGAACAACTTCCGTCGCTCTGTACGAGAGGTTGTATACGTGGTCAAAGTCGCCGACTCCACAGTAAATCAGCGACTGTACGAATATAAGAGAACACCCAGCTCAGCTTTGACAGTAAGCCAGTTTCGCGAAGTCGGCCATAGAATGAAGGTCCAAACTCTGCCTCCATCTATCTGGAGGCGAGCGGAGCGAGAAGAGAACAAGGCAAAGAGGAAAGAGAGACAGGCCTCCCAGGCTGAGGGGATCAGTGCGGAGGAGCTGGAGACAATGGAAACCGAAGCTGGCCCGAGCACCGCGCCAACGAGGGCCAGTAAGAGAAGCAAGGCAAGCAATGCAGTATCTGAAAACGCCACAGCTCAGTTGCAGACTCCAGATCCGACACAGCAGACACCCCAAGGGTCATTGGACGTTGACGCACTGAACGAGGGCAATGAAGATGGCATCGTAGATGCGATCGGAAGTGCTTTTGGTGAAGGAAACGGCGACGATCCTTTGGATGAAAATTTCGTCATTCCCAAGAAGCGTGGCCGCCCGCCCAAGAAACGCGAACCAGTCCATGTTTCCGAAGAGGATCTTGACATCGAGCAAGAGATTGAAGCAGAAATCAACGAAGAAGTTCAAAACTGGGAAAAGGTTTTCACAGAATTCACCGACAACGACAATCACGAAGTTCTCAGACGCACTGGCCTCACCGCAAAAGAACTTGCCGATACCCTCACACCAAATCGTAACGTCAGCACTTTACCCGACATAGGCGAGGACGAGTTTGAAGACGACCCAGATGTTGCCAATTGCATCCTTAACCCCATCGAAGTCCGTCTAAAGGAGCGCGTCTGGCTTACACAAAACGAGGACTGGCTGCGCGAACAACAAGCTAAGCTATTGGCAGCAGAGCTGGAGGCTGCTCTGGACAAACCAAAGAAACCGAAGCAGAAACGCAAACACCACCAGATGGGGGATGGCAGCGTGCTTGAAGGTCAGCCTGCTGCCAGTGCGGCTGACGCTGCGCACAAGATGTTGAAAAAGCGCGCCAAGGGGTTCAGTAACCATATCAACTACGATAGGCTCAAGGAGCTGTTTCCCGGTGGAAACACAGATGCTGCAAGCACGCCATCGGGTAGTGGGCTGGGTGCGAGTCCTATACCAAGCCAGACTACCACTCCACTTGCGCACGCGCCCGTTAATAAGCCTGCGGAAGAAGAGGAAGAGGAACAAGAAGAACAAGAAGAGTATGTGGTGGAGGCACCGGAAGAAGAAGAGTTTGATGATCCAGCGCAGTACAGAGACGATGAGGATGAAGGATTTGGCGACGACAACTACGACGATTACTGAACATTGAAGAGCTCAAGATGTGGTCTGGGTGACGGTAATAAGCACTTGAACATTGTACAGTCCTGGTGTCAGAGCCTAGGACGGCGTTTGTATTGGGGATTGCATCGGTTTAGATACCCCGCTTCGAAGCGTAAGCGTAGCATATTCAATGGAGTTTGTGTATCTTCTCTTTAATACGACGCCCAATGCAAAGTTCCCAGACGGGATTAACATAGGGCTAGGAGACGACATGACGCCGCGGCTCGCGGCTTCCAATGATCGACAGTCCGTGCACGCAAGGCGAGCTCCAGTTGTCGAATATGCGCCGGCCATTGCTCTTACACAACGCTCATTTCGAGCAAAATGAACCATTGATATCAGTTCGATAGCAATCGCGAGTAAAGCTCCTAGAACATGGATCCTTCAGACCCTGGGAAGGCGCATGCGCTCGATGTCAATAACGCGTCACACTTGACGAATGCATCAGCTAACACCACCACCTCCGCAACACCGCAACAACCAACCCCGCCCAGCTCGAACGCTCCCGCATGGTCAGTACAGATGAACAAGTTCCCATCGAATGGCAATGCTGGACCTAGCTTCCATCAGTTTTCAGCCTCAACAGCTGCGATCTTGGAAAGACTGCAGCAAGGCAAATCCGGGCATGCTTCAACTTCGGCTGCGTTTGAAGCGAAGAAGGCCGAAATTATGCAGAACTACGCTACAAGCGACAAGCTATCAACACCGCCGCCAGCGCCGACTGTAAGCAAGAGGGTCAGAGGAGGAAAAGCCGGTACTCCATTGAAGACGGAAGTAGGGGCAACACCAGCAGGAGCAACACCAATGTCGGGCCGTGGGTCAGCAAAAGGGAAGGTTCGAGGTCGGGGACGGGCTCGAGGCGGGAGAGGAGGCCGTGGAGGTAAGAGAAAGCGCTCTGACAGCGCGGAAGAGGAGAGTGACGTGAGTACGAAGGGCTGCTCGCAAAAGCATGTCTGACAGTATGCAGAACGATGACGACGACGACTCCGACGTGTCAGAAACGTACACACCACAGCCTACGCGGACAAAGTCCGGGCGCAGTGTCAACAGGCCCATCGCATTCGTTCCAGTGATACCAGAGCCAACACCAGGCGTCAAGCGGAGGAAATCGACAAAGACCATGCTAGCCGCAAAATGCAAGACATGCCAACGAGATACAGACCCGTCACAAAACAGAATAGTATTCTGCGATTCATGTAGTACGGCGTATCATCAGTACTGTCACAATCCACCCATTAGTAATGAGGTAGTCACAGTATTGGAGAAAGAATGGTTGTGTGGACCTTGCGCGCGTTCGAGAGAGAGCGTGGTCCAGGGAACAGAGCACCTTGTAGCTGCAGAGGATTTGTCGATAGACGAGGTACGTCTGATCAGCCCAGTGCTGTGCATCCCCACTAAATGGCGTACAGAAACGCGCGTACCTTTCCACTCTCCCACAGCCTCAACTCGTCTCTCTTTTACTACATGCCACAATACGACATCCGGAGCTTCCTGTATTTCCTCCCAACATTGCTGATCACCTCCCGAATCCGTCAACTGCATCTCAGTCACAGCCCCCAGCTATAACCGCCGCAATACCACCGATCGTGTCGACCGCAACCCCTCTCGTTCACACGCCGAACACCACTGCGTCCTCCTCTGAAGCACAGGTGTTGCGAGAGATGGGGATGCGCGCTCAGCCGAGGGTGACATTAGACATGGCGGGTAATCGGTATGAGGAAGATGACGGATACGATACCGACCCACCAACACACTACCCAAAAGCGGGCCAAGGGCTGGCAAGAACCTTGAGACCTGAAAGTGAGGATTTGCAGTGGTTAGTGGACGACAATTTTGAGGTGTTCAGCCATGGATGGAAGGGCGATGGGAGTGGGTTGGGCGCTGATGGCACGCTGGACAGCAAGGCTTAGGCGGCCGATGCACAGAAGCAGGAACCAAACAAAAGGGATGTATCCCAGAGAAAGGAGATGACCGACTACGATGATGGTGAGCTCAGCGAAATGGACACAGATGAGCTGGAAAAGCTCGTTGATTGAGCTTGTATCGTTACAGATGTTCAACAACCACACTATACGCACGAATACACGTCGAGTCTCGCATCTACGCGACAACACCTTCCCTCTTCAGTCCTTCAACCTCATCCTTGCTCATTCCTAGTGTTTGTCCCAAAATCTCATCCGTATGCTGGCCCAATGTTGGAGGCGGCATCCTAATCCCCGGCTTCGAATCGCTCCACTTAACTGGTGTGTTCACCATCTTAATCGTCCCACACGCAGGATGCTCAACCTCCTTGACCATATCCCTCGCCAGCACATGCTCGTGATTCAGAGTATCCTGCACATCATTAATCGCTGCATACGGCATCCCGCAGCCCTCCAGAATCTCAAGCCACTCCTGCGTGCTCTTCTGCCGCGTCTCGCTCTCAATCAGCTCCTCCAGCGTCTCCCGATGCTTGACGCGCACCGCATTCGTCTCGAACCGCGCGTCAGTGATCCACTCCGGCTTGCCCAGCTTGTTGCACAGCACGCCATACAGTCTGTCGTTCCCGCCACCAAGCAGAATGTCCCCGTCAGCCGTCTTGAATGCCTTGTACGGCACGATACTGGGATGCGCGGTGCCCCAGCGTCCCGAGTCCTTCTTACCGCTGATCAGGCACGACGACGCGATGTTGGCCAGCGTGGCGACCTGGCAGTCGCTCAGCGCCACGTCGATGTGCTGGCCCTTTCCTGTGCGGGCACGGCCGAGCAGCGCTGCCATGACTGAGTTGGAGGTGTAGAGCCCCGTGGTGAGGTCTGTGACGGCGACGCCGACTTTGACGGGGGGCCCGTCGCGCGAGCCGGTGATGTGCATGAGGCCCATTTCGGCTTCGACCATGACGTCGTAGCCGGCGCGGTTGCGGTAGGGACCTGTCTGGCCGTAGCCGGTGATGGAGGCGTAGATGAGCTGGGGGTTGAGTTTGGAGACGGTATCGTAGTCCATGGCGTATTTGGCGAGGGAGCCGGGCAGGTAGTTTTCTACAAGGACGTCGCATTCTTTGACAAGGCGGTGGAGGATGTCGACGCCAGCTGGGTGCTGGAAGGAGAGGCCTATTGAGCGCTTGTTGCGATTTACGCCGAGGTAGTATGCGCTTTCACCGGGCCCTTCGTCGCCGTTGGTGTACTGAGCGTATGGAGGGCCCCATGCTCGAGTGTCGTCTCCTCTCGTTGGATGTTCAATCTTGATCACGTCTGCACTATTTCAAGTCAATTGATTGTTCTCATGTCTGCCAACCTCGGCTATCAGACATCTATGAAGGGCAGTGTTGGCTACAAACATGTATTTGATGGCGAACGAAATAGAAAAAGGCCTGTGGAGGTTGTCACAGAACTACCTGGTGCGTTGCCATCAAATATATGTTTGTTGTCAACTCTGATATAGGGATCGTCGTACCCAAGATCTCCGAGAATCTGCGTGCAGTATGGCTAATGAGAGTCAGCAAAGCTGGAATTGTGACTCTTAGGTCATTCGAACGTACTCCAGCCAATACTCTTGTCATATCGAGCACCTTGATACCGGCCAGTGGCAGGTTGGCTGCATCTCCACTTGCCGCCGCGGCCGTTGCGAGTTTCCTCAAGGACCAATTCATGTTGCTGGAAGCAGCAGTCTGTCGAACAGAACATTGCAATAACGCCCTTGCGCCTTGAGATACGATTCGAGACATGATGCGCAATACCTATATGCACTTAAAGAGTGTAATTGCAATGGTTCCCAAAACAGGCACCGTAGGGCTCCCCACAGGTACCCGAAAGTCCGAGGCATCTAGCATTCGTACAGCTCAGGCGTACCCCGCCACACTCTCCCTCTCCAATAGCAAACCCGCACCACCACAATGTTTACCGGGCTTGTAGAAACAATCGGCAGTAAGCCCGCGCTCTACCTCTTTGTACTGCGCGGCTCAGCTGATCATGGCTAGCTGTCGCTGCGCTCGAGCAGCTCGACCAGACGGCGTCCGGAGGCGGTGGCACGTCATTGACTATTTCGGACTGCGAGGACATCTTGGGTGACTGCCACTTGGGTGACAGCATCAGCGTCAATGGTACAACAGCAGCTATTTGCGGCCGAGATGCAATGCTGATGTGATGCAGGAACGTGTCTGACAGTCACCGAGTTCGACAAGACGTCGTTCAAGATCGGATGCGCGCCCGAGACGCTCCGCCGCACGAACCTGGGCGCGCTGAAGCAGGGCTCGAAGGTCAACCTTGAGCGCGCTGTGTCGGCGCACACTCGCATGGGCGGCCACTTCGTCCAGGGCCATGTCGACACAATCGCGACGATCCAGTCTGTGACGCCTGACGGCAACGCCCTCACGTTCCGCTTCAAGCCGCGCGACCCCGCTGTGCTGCGCTACATCGTCGAGAAGGGCTATGTGACAATAGACGGAGCGAGCTTGACGGTCACGAAGGTCGAGGATGGCCCTGAGGGGTTCTGGGAGGTCATGCTCATTGCATACACACAGGAGAAGGTGGTCACGGCAAGCAAGAAGGTCGGCGAGGATGTCAATGTCGAAGTAGACCAGGTCGGCAAGTACGTGGAGAAGAGCGTAGCCGGATACTTTGAAGACGGTGCCAAGGGCGAGTTTGCAATCTTGGAGAAGATGGTCTCGAAGCTTGTCGACGAGAGGCTAAAGGCTCTGGGGAAGTGAGACGATCGACATGTGGGAGGACCCCAACACGGCCCCCGCATAACCTTCCATAACCCATACCCAATAGATCGCATTTCCTCGAATCAAAACAGGTGCCTTATAAGTGATATCGAGGGTGGTTGGATGACGCTGAAACCGGCATAACGGCATGGTGGCGCAGAGAGAGTGAGGCTTAGCTTGCTCCAAAGGACTACATATATATACAACGCCTGTGGCCAGCTCAAATGACTGACTTCTCCATCTATCATTTAAGATCTTGTCTGTAACTATCCTCGTGTGTCTTGCCCCTGCTGTAGTTGAGTCTCGTTCCACCCACGGCTGCTGCCTAGCTTGTGCATGAACAGACCTCAACTTGCAGTTGACGACCGGTTGACAGCTGTCCACGTCGTGCATCTACATATTAGACGGCAGTGGATCTTGACCGCCGTTGCCGGCCAGCTTTTGATCAAGAATACTGACCTGATCTTGCTGACACTGCAGCACTAGGTTCGGCATGCAGTGGAGCGCGGCCAGGCAGAAAGGCCTTTTGGGGCATCTGACAACATTGGCAACGCATTTCCAAAACGATGTCATCGGCTGCAGCACTCGCGTAACCTCAAACGCGTCGCACCGGTTCAGATTTACATGCACAAAGCAATTAGTATTACATGTCACCTGACAAGAGCCGCTGGCTATCCTCACTTAATCGCATCGCAAGCACTCAACGCTTCGTTGCCTACATCTTCGTGTCACAAGCCTCCTGAACTTCAGAGGGCGCATGCAATCGTGGAGGTAGGCCCGGGGGCCAGAATAGTTGAGGGGCAGATCGAGAAATAAAGAGAAGGGAGAGCTGCAGGTAACAAGCTTCGGCGTCCACGATTGGCTTCCTTCGCGGCCTGCAGCCGTTGCTGCATACCTGAACACGTCAAACACCGGTCGGTCCTGATCAAGGCCCGCAACGCCAGTGCACCTCAAGATTTCCTGTTCAGCCCTGTCGCCTCATTCAAATACCTCCCCCAATTGCTCTGTTGGTCTCCAAATCGTGCGCCACTAGCGACGCTTCTTTTCGGCTCCAAATCTCTCGTCACGCGATCTACGTGACAACATGGACTGGCGGTTGGCGGACTACAGCAAAGAAGCCGAAGATACGGCAACAGGCCTTGCCCTTTTCGTCAGCGAAATTCCACAATACCGGAAAGACTTAACTGGCGACATAGCTGAACTGTACGCCATATCGAGTGGTCTGCACACGCTGCAGGAAGCGCTCGAACCGTCCCGGTACGGTAGAGCTGCAGGCCGGATCGTGAAAGATCTGGAAGTATGTCTTCCAAGCCTGGGTTACACTTTGGATGACATTCGTGACATCTTCAAAAACACCAAAAGAAAAGGCCGGCTTCCTGGCGCATTTCCGGGTACCCCGCAGTATGCTGATATGTGGGTGGATGCACTTGCCGATTTCAAAGCTCAGGGTATCTCTCTACCCATCCGGTTGGAGTATTATCGCACCTATTTGCAGGGAATGTATGATGAGCTGAAAGGGTATGTCTCGCGAGCCATGTACGTGGGCATGACTGACGATGTATAGTGATGACCCAGGGGAAGAAATCGATAGAATCCAAGTCCGCCTGAAGAAGCTGTTGAAGCAGCAGGAGCCCATCCAGTCTTATTTCAGTAGACTGTCGCTACCCACCCATGCTCCCTCCAAAACACCTGGACCGAAGCCACCTCGCAACCCACGACCGAACATTCAGAGCTTCTCATCGTATCCAGCTTACAGCCATGTACCTGCCCCACCAGCTCTACCACCCCGCACCCAGCGACCAAAGTCCCAGGTATACGGTGGCATTGGAGAAGTTCCATTCATGCCTCCAGCTGCTGCTTCTAAGCCAGCTCCTCACGCGTACGGCGGCATAGGAGGTTTTCCAATGTTCGTTCCTCCAGCTGCACCTTCTGTACCGACCTCACCTACCTTCTCGTCTGCCTCCTCTCAAGGCATGTCGTCCCACTCTACCGACTCGGGAGGTCCAGTCGCCCACTGGGCAATGCGTATATTTGACGGACGGCATACTTCTACTCCGTTCCAGACGTTAGGCGACATCACTGAATGTCTAGGCCGAGACGAGCCACGGGTCATTGAGATGTTGGGTGATGACGGATTCGAGAAAGTCCTTGAGCTGCCGTTAGAAGCTACTAATGTTTGGCTGCGCCTGTATTGCAGATACGAAGATCTTCGAGCTCGCATCCTGTTTCTCACCATGGATGCCGATGGAACACGTATGAGGTACTGCTTCCCACTGACCGGGCTCAAGATAATTCGAAAGGACTCCTGTCTGCAGCTATGCCGCGTCAACCGAAAGGACGGAGGGCTCGATCTATGGGCCCGTCTACGCTTCCCTCTTTATGAACGTACGTTTGCATTGAACCACCCTTTGGGCAAAACTGACATGCGGAAGGAATGGTGCTGTTCTACAACACCGCCGTTGCTATGAAACACCAAGATCAGACCCGCATGGCTGATGGTCTCGAAGACATGTTCGACCCAGAGAACAAGGAGCGAATGGAGTTTAGCAGGTGAGTCGTCTGACACCTTGTAGGCACCTAAGCTAACTCGAAGCACAGTGAAATCTCGGACACTCAATTCCTTCATCACCTCCGCGTTTACCGCGATACCGACTCTGGTGTTGTTCGCTTCGAGGCGACTCCGCGGCGCGGTCCATTGAAGGCAGTACCCATCTGGACTGCCTTCGTCACGCAGTTCGTCGGGGACAGGAGTTGGATGAAGAGAGTGGGTTCCACGACAGTTGTTTTTAGACAACTGCATCCATACGTGTTCTGCGAGGGCTACAAATTGCCAAAGGGGCCCAGCGGAAGATATCAGCTCAGCTTTTCGGCGCCCGAAGGTATGCACGTTTGCTTTTTCCTAGGAATAAGACTACTGACTTGTGTCGCAGATGCGAGAGATTTTATGGACACCTTCCATCATATTCGCGTGCGACGATAAGCCGGTCAAAAATTGTTGGAGATACTCTCAGGCAGATGCGTGGTGTGACGTGCCGCCGCGTTTGACCGCAATGGTGACATTGGGCGCACTCGGTGCAATTTTCAGCAAACGACATTGACGACTGACGATTTGACGACTTCATGATGATTTTGGGAGGGCAGTTTCTGGCATTTGCAGGATACCCCTCTCTCACGTAGGCGCTGCTGAAATGCGTGTATTGGTAACGGCTTGCATAGTCAAAACTGAGCTTCTGTTGACTTCGCGTGTACTTGAGGGTCCTGTAATATGGACAGTGCCTGTGGCAAAACCACGGAGCTACTCCTCGACAAATTGCACTTAGCTTTTCGCCGCGGCTCAGTTTTCTGAGGCATGTTCTTGTCATAGCCGGTTCAAGACTAGGGTACGTCGTAGGGCTTTCCTGGTGGGGCAGGGTTAAAGGCTAGCGTAGAAATTATCCATCCTGCACCACGGCGCGTACATTACAAGTTCCGCGAATCTCCTTCCATTCCTCACATTCACTTTTTCCACGCTCTCACTTTGTAAAAATGGCAAACAACGCTTCTGCCCCCGCCGGCAAGGAAGGCATCTCCGCGCTCCCTCACACCGAGGCGCATTACTTCAACAGGTATGAAGACCACCAGGCCAGCATAGCTTGAGGCACCTGCTAACTTTGCTTAACAGCTATAACCACCATGGTTCGTCGCGCGCTTCTTCCACGTCTGAATTCTACTAATATGCGCGTGAAGGCATCCACGAGGAAATGCTGGTACGCCCCACCTGATCCCGCGCCTCGAGTAAGACGAGACGCAAAGGCTGACCGCAGTTTAGAAAGATGAGGTTCGCACAAGAAGCTACCGCGACTCGATCTACCAGAACCCCCACCTCTTCAAGGACAAGGTTGTCCTTGATGTTGGCTGCGGTACCGGTATCCTCTCCATGTACGCACGCCCAGCGATCCACCCCCACGCACATCACACGAGCAGATGCTGATATAGAACACAGGTTCGCTGCTAAGGCTGGCGCGAAGCACGTTATTGGTGTCGATATGTCGACCATCATTGGAAAGGCCAAGGAGATCGTTGCCGTGAACGGTCTGTCCGACAAGATCACCCTGCTCCAGGGCAAGATGGAGGAGGTCGTTCTCCCCTACGACAAGGTCGACATCATTATCTCGGAGTGGATGGGCTACTTCTTGCTCTACGAATCCATGTTGGACACCGTTCTGTACGCCAGGGACAAGTACCTGGTCAAGGACGGCCTCATCTTCCCCGACAAGGCTACCATCTACGTTGCTGGTATCGAGGACGGTGACTACAAGGAGGAGAAGATCGGATGTAAGTGGATCTCCGCGCAAAGGCAGATAACCACATACTAACGAGTTAGTCTGGGACAACGTCTGGGGCTTCGACTACACCCCCCTCAAGCACACCGCCCTGACCGAGCCCCTCGTCGACACCGTCGACATCAAGGCTGTTGTCACCGACCCCTCCGCCGTCATCACACTCGATCTCTACAAGTGCACCGTCGAGGACCTTTCCTTCAAGCTGCCATACGAGCTCAAGGTCCGCCGCAACGACTTCGTCCACGCCCTGATCGCGTGGTTCGACATCGAATTCGCGTGCTGCCACAAGCCCATCAAGTTCTCTACCGGCCCCCACACAAAGTACACCCACTGGAAGCAGACCGTCTTCTACCTCAAGGACGTCCTGACCGTCGAGGAGGGCGAGACCATCTCCGGCACCCTTGAGAACAGGCCCAGCGACCAGAACCACCGTGATCTCGATATCACTGTCGACTACAAGCTGCACGCAAACGACATGGACAGGCAAGCCGAGGGCTCTGGCACGTACAAGATGTGCTAAGTATTCTGCGACGGCTGAGCGAGCGAGCGAGTAAGATGTTCTGTTTTCATCCGCGAGAGTGCCGCGGCAGCATGCGCGGAGCATGCGGCATATGCATTTGATTGAACCTCATATAGACCCTTGATAAGAGGCCAGGCGTTGGACGGGGTTTTGGTTTTGGGAAAAGTATTCTAGGGTAGCATCGTCACGACTTACGAAGAAGGGACCAAATTTACGATTGGGAATTCCTCCCCTACAAGACTTCAATATTCGTTCCAGTCGCTCGTGTGCATGTGAAGTAGTGGTGAAGTAGTATTGAGGGAGACCCGTGCTGCGATGAGGCTCACATGCAGCAGCAGCCTCAACTCGTCGAAAGCTTTGGCCTGCAGGCCATTAGAGGATATCCACATATCGTTTTGTCTTACTCATCCTCTCTGATTAAGCTGTAATGTGTGTAGTGTCCCTCTCGGCGCAGTGCGTCTGCGCGCTTCTATCATTCCTCGCAGTAGCCAAGTCAATGCATAACAAGACCAACTACTGCAAGTCGCCTCTCTCTCTCTACAACCTTCACATACAGAGCCTCGGACGCAACTACAACTTCAGTTTACACACATAGCGCAAGCACACCATGAAGCATTGATTCTCATTCGCATGAGGCGTAGCACATGCCATTCGGCACTGTTATCACAAAGAAACTGGACCCCGAAATACCAACAAAGTGCTCAAGCCGTTCCTCCTTGCTTCTCAAACGTTGCAAGATCTCGCCTGCACGGCGACACTGTGTCCTCAAAAATATTCGGATATCGGGAGCTACGGAATGCGTAGGAGCGTTACGGGTAGACCGCGCGTTAGGTTTGCGCTCCTCGTTGAGAATGTGGAATGGCCGTTATCGGAAATACGGGATTAGATATTTCTATGGCTTCATGACTTCTACTGAGTCGTGTGAGCTGTCTCATCTGAGTGAGTTGAACATCACGGTTGTTGCCTTATGTTTGGTCCATCTATCACGCTCGCAAACTACAATGCTCGGAGCCGGTATGAGGTTGGCAGAGTTGGCTACGAACAAGTGTTTGATGTCGAACGAACCAGAAAGAGGACTGTGGAGACTATCGCAGCATTTGGGCTAGTCCACCTACCTTTCATTGGCATCTCTACGGGGAGAGACTGGACCTACGTGAGGTTTCAGACGCAACATTGCGTCGTTGAGGGTAAGAACCGCGTGAGGCCACATCCCAGCATTCAGTTGTCGAGCATGGTAGCTATTGCTGCGCCTGTTGCAAACACCTATCCTCGCCGCGTATCGTTAACGTTCTCGTCTTCGTGGAGCCAGGGCGGCACAAGAGACATCGCCATCAACAATTTTGTGTCAGTCAACCATCGAGTCGTCAACCGAGTCACCCACTGTACCCTTGACGCGATCCCATAGCTTTTGCTGTGTCATTGCGTACTCGGAGTAGAATTTCCACTAGGGCCTTTGTATCGAACAGTGCCTCGTGGAAATCCAGAACTTACTGCGTCGACTGCAGGAAGTTTGCTTTGAATACCAGCCCCAGCGACCATTGATTGAGACCGAGACCGAGTCGCACAAAACCGCTCAAGTCGATCACGTCACATTCTAACGTTGTAGTGTCGCAGTCGGCAACGAGATCGTCCACGCCCCTGACTATTCGGCCTAGGGATGACTTATCCAGCTTGGATGAACCCCAGTAGACAGCAACAGCATCCTTCTCTTGAAAGCCTATGTCGTTGAGATCACTGAGGTGGGCGGATGCTGGTCGGGCACGGCCTTTGGCTCGTGATTCCTACTTTGTGAAGAAGCCAATGTGTTTCTGGATTTTCTGTTCGGTCCAGCCTTCCTTCCACGCAATGGTGTTGTTGTCCTTTAGCTCTGTTGCAAGGTTGATCGGCTGCCTGCGTCCGTATTCAATGTATCCCATATAAGACTCAGAAGTCCCAGCGTTGGCGACGGCAACTTGCATTGGTATGGCGGCGAGGTCTGGTCTTGTGTTTGGAATACCTTCGAAATCCATGCAGAACATCCTTGTCGGGTCGTGTGTATGGATCGTCCTTAGAGTCTTACAGAACGTGGAAGCCGTTTTCCCGTTGGGTACGCGCCATTGTCGACCAGATAGCATCGTGTTCGCCATGGGGAAGATTTCTTCTAGCCTTGGGCTCGCTTCCACTATCGAAGTAAGTCGCGTGGTGTGCATACTGCACATGCCTAACTCGTCAACGTCTGTGTCCACGCACTCCATCGCAAAGACGCAAGAGGTCTTGTTATTGACCAACGTCTTTAGATTATCGGTGCCTGTAAAAATGTGCGGACCCCCCCTTGTTTGGTACGAGGATGTCAGGGACTAGTAGGTTGAGGCCTAGGACTAGTAGGTTGTGGCAGGTTCAACCCAGGCCTAGTAGGTTGTTGCCTAGCTTGATCTACAAGCTTAGTTGTTAGTAAAGGAGAACTAGCTTGTTATTTAGTTTTAGCTTACTTAAGCAAGCCTTCCCTTTGCTTCTCTCTTACTTATATTTATATTAAGCTGCCTCTAGCCCTACTTTTAGCTAGCGTCTGCTATTTTGTTAGTTTAGCTACCTATCTCTTTTGCTATTAGATTGCTTCTTTTGTGCCTATAAAGTCTGCCTTATATAAGGGCCTAGCTTAATCTATAAGCTTAGTTGTTAGTAAAGGAGAACTAGCTTATTATTTAGTTTTAGCTTGCTTAAGCAAGCCTTCTCTTTACTTCTCTCTTACTTATATTTATATTAAGCTGCTTCTAGCCCTACTTTTAGCTAGCATCTACTCTTTTATTAGTTTAGCTACCTATCTCTTTTACTATTAGATTACTTCTTTTATACCTATAAAGTCTACCTTATATAATAGTAGACTAAATAAAGTAAAAAATTTACTTTCTTTAGGCTTCTACCTTAGTTATTAGTTATAGTTAGCTATAGCTACTAAGGTATATACTTAAGAATTAGTTATAGTAGCTAACTCTTTATTAAGTATTAGTCTATATTACTTACTTTCTTTTACTTTCCCTTACTCTATTATATATAGTATAAGAGCTCTAGCCTAAGTATAAGCTACCTCTATACTTCTTAGCTTTAGTATAAGTATAAGGTACTAACTATTTAGCTTATAGCCTAGAGTACTAGCTACTTCTTAAAGCCTATAGCTAGTTTAGAAAGCTTCTAGCTTCCTTCTATAGGTTTAAAGAGGTAGTTTAGTTAGCTAAACTCTTTTTATTCTCTCTTCTTTTTCTATTTATATAAGTAGAATCACCTTATAAATGTAATTACTTACTATCTAGAACTTTTTAAAATATATAAGTTAGTTTAGAGTAAGTAAATATTTTTTATTTACTAACTAATAAACTTTCTTTAGTCTCTATCTAGCTTCTAGGTATGCCTATTTACCTCCTTTCTTCTTTCTTTCTCTTTTCTTTAACTATACTATTACTTCTACTAGCTATCTTCTACTAACTTTTACCTATCTTCTACTAACTTCTATAACACTTTCCTCTTAATCTAGCTATATCTAGCTATAATTAAGATAAAGACATATAGTCTTTAATAGCTAGCCTTTATAAGAAGCGCACTCTCTAATATAAGGTCTCTAAGCTAGCTACTATTAAACCTAACCCCCCTTCTAGATAAGCCTTTAAGGAAAACACCTTAGTCTCTTTCCCTATTAAATCTCTCTATCTAGATAGCTTAGGTACTATTATTACCTTCCTTACTTCCCTTACTATTCTACTTATTAACTCTAAATCCTTTTACTAAAACCTTTACCCTAATACTAGTACTATCTACTATCCTCTAGATAACCCCTTCTCTTAGCTAACCTATAGTAGGCTAGCCCCTACTATACTACTATATAGGGAAAGTTAGCACTCTACTAAACTTCTAGAAACCTTTCTCTACTTATTAACTATTCTCTATCTTAATATTCTAGAATTCCTTAATTAGGTAGTTAATTCTAGTAAAAAGTAAGCTTACCTATAAACTATTCCTAGCCTTAATAAGTTAAAGTTTCTAGAGCCTATAGCTATAATAAAGGCACTTAAGGGGGTGTCTACTTAAGTAGTTATATTAATTAGCCTTAGCCTACTACTTTGCTAGAATAATATACTTAATAAGGCTATTAATAATTTAAAAAAGTTCTATAAAAAGGCTAAAGGATTTACTAAATCTCTAAAGGAGAAGAAGTGCTATTACTAGAAACTATTATATAGGTATAAGTCTATACTTACTAACTTTAATACTCTTTTAGTAGTATATAATTAGCTTTAATATAAAGCACTACTAAAGGGGCTATACTATTAAAGGGGCTACTTTATCTTAGCATTATAACTTTCTTATATAATATAATATGCAAGAATAATGCAAATAGGAATTAACTTAATAAGAAGGTAGAATTACTCTTGCTCTTTAGGTATATACTAAAGGATAGTTTTAAAGTATATAATATGCTACTATAGCCTATAATATACGTTATTAGCAGCTCTTAAGAAGACTTTAAAATATTAGATTTTAATAAAAGGCTCTACTAAATAGCTAGAAGCTCTCTATAACTAAAGAGTAATTAATTATATAATATATAATTAAGCTTAACTTATAAGGATTTATACCTATACTACCTAAGGTAGTAGATATTATAGATAAACTCCTAGCTATATATAGTAGGACACCTATTAGAAAGAACTAGGTAGAGTAACTTATTATACGTATATAGGAGCTTAAAATAGCTTTTAACTAAGTAAAAGATTATTAAAGAATACTTTAAGAGGACCTAGGGGTTATTAATGCCTAGTTTAAGCTTATATAAGATATAAAAGATAAGTATAGAGTCTAGGATAATAACATCTATAACTTTAATAAGACTAGCTTCTAGATAGGAGTTATTAGCTTAATAAAGGTTATTATAGGTTTAGAGAGATGTAAAAGACTATAGCTAGTTTAGCTAGGCAATTAGAAGTAGGTAATAGTAATCTAAAGTATCTATACTACTAGGTATACTACTCTACCCTTTATTATCTATAAAGGGTATATATATATCTCTACCTAGTATAAGGAGACTAATATACTATATAACTAGAAGATCTTAGTCTTAGATAATAGATAGATAAATAATATACTTAGTCTTAAGTAGTTAAAGTACTTTAACTAGTATATAAAGGCGCATTAGAAGGGGTTATATAGGCTACTTATTTTAGATAGCTATAAGAGCTACCTTAACTAGGATTTTAAGAACTACTACCTAGAAAATA